CCCCCCCCCCCCCCCCCCCGTAACTAGTAGAGTCAACCCTGGATCCCGGCATGATTTTCTTCAAACATTGGCTGGATTGGTTGAAATTAACCACTGGAGTGAATATTCCGGGGATTTTCCTAGTCTAAACTGTCTAACCGCATAGCAACACCAGAAAGGAGCTGGGGTTTACGCGGGGCCCCGCTGAGAGTACGAGGATTTTCCTTTTTGTAAGCGAATGGAGTATGTGGAGATGCTGCTTTTTGCCGTGGAGAAACCCTTAGGCCGGTCTCTCAACGTCAATGAGTAGATTTTGTTTTCTGTGATTCGCTCGTGCAGCTAATCTACCAACATGTGCTTATTCCGGAACTTATAAATGGAGATTGCTAGGGTTGTACCGAGTATACTTACCCAAATAGGTAAAAGGCATCCTTCTCAAAACACAATTTTGCTTGACAACAGATTCATTTTTCTCAGACGTCCTTTGTTCTTATCATTAACTAAGTGAGCACATAATAGTTACAGCTGGTAATTACAACCTCGCCCCAAGACCTTCCCCCGTCTTGCTATCCTCCTGTCTAAGCTTCGTGGCAACATCATCATAAACTTCATAAGCATGCTTCTCCGAGTCAAAATTCAACAACCAAGACTCCCGCTGAAGCTTAACAACTGCCGGGTTTCTCTTGACATATTCCATATCGGCCTTGTGCCATTTATCTCGTGTCGTTTCCCCGGTCTTTTGCGCCTTGAGAACCCGATCGTAACGAATTCGTTCGTAGGCTCGTAGTGCTTCGCGGACGTTAGCAGGGCCACCACACTTTTCGAGGCAGACGGCCAGTGTGGCTCCGTCTTCCATTGACTGCGACGCGCCCTGGATCGATGTAGGGAGAAAAGGATGTGCGGCGTCTCCAATGAGTGCAATACGTCGTTTCGGGCTGATCCATGTAGGTAAAGGATCTCGGTAGATTAGTTTCCAGTCAACGAGGTAGTCTGTCGGTGTCGCTTTGATAATCTCCTGTACGACGGGGTCCCATCCCTCCACGACTTTGAGACAGTCTTCGATCTTGCCTGGAGCGGACCATGATTCTTCTATATCTGTGTCGTCCTGGTACCGTCAGACTCTTTCTCCAAGGAATCTGCCTATGAAATACAGACCTTATGCGTGCACACCCAGCTAAAGTCCTTACCATTTTTGAGCGAAGCCGCCAAAAAGTGTACATCAGGTCCTATCCACCCCCAATGTGTATCCCCGTTCTTCCACAAATGATCGGTCAAGGGAGACTTCAAGTTCGTGGAATCAAACCATGAACGGTAAATCGCATAACCAGACGATATCGGTTTATCTTCGTATCCCAAAACGATCTTCCGTCCTTCTGATCGCACTCCATCCGCGGGGAAGACTACGTCTGCGGTAAACCTTTCCTCTACACCCGTTGCGACATTTCGGGCCAAAACGCCCGCTTCATTTTCATCTTCAAAATAGTCAATCACCTTTTGACCAAGTCGGATATCAATACCCCGAGCCAAAGCATGCTTGAACACAATCTCGTGGATCTCGCCTCTGTGTCCATTGAACTTCTTCCCATAGCTTTCTTCAGCGTCCCAATGCTGCGCAATTAGATAATCACCATCCCATGTCACGAAATTGATACGATCGGTATTGTGGCATAGAGGATCCAACTGTTCCTCTACCCCTTCCCATTTCTGAAAGATGCGGCCGCTATTAGGTCCGAAGGAGATGATATCGCCTAGGATCTTGAGTTGAGGGAATGATTCGAGGACGAGAACGTCGTGGCCCTTGCGGTGGCATTCAATTGCTGCTGTGAGACCGGCAAAGCCAGCGCCAACGATGAGCACATTGATACCTGTGGGAGGATTCCGACGATATTGAGACATGGTGAAGCTGGTTTTCGGGAAGTACTATAAGATTATGCAAGGGCTACAGAGGCTGGAGAAGGATGTATTTGGCTATACTCTTTATCTACTGATTGAACCAAGTTCTGACATGGGCTGCGACAATACTCAGTAAAAGAAAAGTCGTATCTTAGTTAAGAAAGTATTCCCGACTTCTTACTCGATCACCCGCGGTAAAATGTGGAGAGGATAAGACATGAGAACGGATTTGGGGGATTCCCCGCGAAAAGAAGACGTGGATTAGTGTGGAGGGGAGACGCGGAGGTTTGACCCCCAGATCCTTGGAATGTCGTCCACTCTGCCTGTTACAATTAGTATTTCTAATCGTAGTACTAAGTCAAATGACAATATCCCTGTTTGGTCATTCTCGGTCACAGTAGCCCTGCGTGGGACCGGAGACAACCCGCTTGAACTTGACTGAGTACATGCTCGGTAATTGCTGTATGACTTCACTACCGATTATAGGAACAAAAAGAGTGACACTTAGAAGTGGAATACAGCTATAACCGCACTATCGTGTACTGCTCCATGATCAACGACTGAAGCTATATTGGGTGACAGATGTGCATGATGTCGCTCATCACCTCCACCGGCATCGTGCACCTGCTGTATGCACAGTACATATACATCATCCCCAGTCTATTCATCGCAATATTGCTCGGGATAGCGATACATGACTACATCCTCTCTCTACGCATGCCTCCGGGTCCTCGTCCTCTCCCCTTCGTCGGCAACAGAATCTCCATCCCCAAAAAATCACCATGGATCCAATTTGAGAAATGGTCCCAAATCTACGGACCAATCTATACCCTCTGGATGGGCCGAAGACCAACAATAATCATTTCCGATCCCAACGTGGCGGTGGACTTGCTCGAGAAAAGAAGCAACAAATACAGTTCTAGACCTCGATTTGTGGTCATGGGTGAATTGTACTGGGATAATGCGAGCATACTCGTGCAACCCTATAGTCGAGAATGGCAACTTCGACGAAAACTTTTGCATCAGGCGCTTAATCCTCAGGCTTTGAAGGTGTATAAACCTATCCAAGAAGCGGAGGCGACGAGGCTTTGTCATCAGCTCTTTCTGAACCCGGCGGCGTATGAAGGGTTGATTGATCGGTTCACGTCTAGTGTGGTTTTTAGTATTTCGTATGGGCATCGGATTGACTCGATGAATGCGAAGGTTATTCGTCAACGCTTGGAGTTCATGCAGTATGCTGCTTCGTTGAATGTGCCGGGGAAATATCTTGTTGAAAGTATACCTGCTCTGAAGTATCTTCCAAACTGGTTAGCGCCATGGAAGAGGGAAATTCAAGAAAGGGGACGACTTGAAGCTGCGACAAACATGTCCCTTGTCCATCAAATGCAAGAGGAGATGTTTATCAAGGCAGATATTCCAGAGTCCCTCACAAAGATCCTCTTACACGCAAAAGAGGAGGATCCCGAGTCGTTCAGTCTACTGAGTGAGAGAGATTTCTCATTCATCCCAGCATCACTCTTCGGCGCTGGTAGTGATACAACAGCCAGCACCTTGTGCAGTGGTATCCTAATGCTAATCACAAACCCGGAGACTTTACAAGCAGCGCACGCAGAGCTAGATGCAGTTGTTGGGACCGATCGAATGCCAACTTTTGAAGACGAAAAATCTCTCTCGTATATCAACGCAATGTGCTCGGAAATCCTTCGTATTCGTCCCGTTGCCGTCTTGGGTGGTACTCCGCATGCGAATTCCGAGTCGGATGTTTATCAAGGATACTGTATCCCTAAAGGAACGACCATCCTCTCCAATTCATGGGCTATCAATCTAAATCCTCGCTATTATCCCAATCCGCATCATTTCAACCCATTGCGATTTCTGCCGAATAATATTCCCTCAAATTCATTACCCTATCTTCCCAAGGAATATGTAGAGACAACACCCTCTGAAAAAGGAGAACCGCATCCGTCGCGCGACGGACATAGTTCATTCGGATGGGGTCGTCGAATCTGCCCTGGAGCCGGTCTGGCGAGAAATTCACTATTTATTGCTATTGCCAAGATGTTATGGACATTTGATATTCTGCCTGTTACGGAGAAGGATGGGTCAGCGAGAAAGTATGATACGTTCGCGTATACGGAAGGGTTCAATGTCCGACCAAAACCTTTTGAGTGTATTATCAAAGTGAGGAGTGAGAAGCATGCGACTGTTTTGGAGAGGGAGTTTGTTGAGGCGGAGAGGACGATGGGGAAGTTCAGTGCGTTTTCTGAGTAGAATTTTGCTATGTTCAGCCATGGGTCAGTAAGGATTCGTACCCAGGTAGTTTGAAAATGACGGTGTGACAATGTGAGAAGATAGGTTATTCACAATTATATAAGTTCTAATTTTGACTATACCATACATCATAACTTTTGAGCTTCTTAATACGACATGAACAAGTAACTAGGGGCTTGTCGCAAAGTCTTTCAAATATGTGGCTAGTTTCTGAGCTCCGGCTTCATCGACAACGTTGTAATTTGACACGCGAATGCCTTTGCATGGTCTGTTAGTGTGTGCATAACTGCAGCAGAGACCGATTAACTTACCGCCGACGCTTCTGTGACCCTTCAATCCGAGTAGTCCCCTTTCTGTTGCGCCTCGGATGAATGCCCTTTCGGCTTCATCAACGTTTCCTCCCTGAATGGGTTAGCTCGATGCACATGAGGAGGTGGAGATAGATGTACCTTGGTAACGCGGAAACATAAATTCATCCGTGATCGCACGCTTTCGTCGGGAACAACTTTGTAAACCTCTGGGTACGAGTCAAGAACGCCATATAGGAGGGCAGCTTTCTTTCCGGAGAGAGCCTCCTGGCCGCGAACTTTATCGGGGAATGTGGCAAGTAATTTTTTCAGCACTTGGCCAGCCACAAAGACACTTTTAGACAGTTAGTCGACGATATTGAATCAGGAACAGGAAACCTACTCGAATATGCTCAGAGTATTATAAAGACTGTTATTCTTGGCTGCAACCGCGTAGTCCAGAATGGTGGGAGGAACCGGTAGGCCAATCTTTCTCGCCAGGTCGGGTTTACCCTGGCTCAGAATTGAAAGAAGGCTCTTCTTAATCACCACAACTGTGATGCCGGGTAAACCAAGATTCTTCTGTGCGCCAAAGTAGACAATAGAGAACTGGTCAAATGGAATGCGTCGCGAAAGGATTGTTGACGAGAAGTCTCCCACAACAAGAGTTTGGTCGTCGGATGCTCTTGATTCAAGAGTCTTGGGGAAACTGGGCCATTCAACACCGTCCACAGTTTCGTTCTCGCATAGATAAATCATGGCGGGTTTATCACTTAGCTGCCAGGTGGATTCGTCTGCGATTTTTCCGAATTTGCCATCATTGAGTTTTCTGGAGTCTGTTGCGACATTGACATGTGTTGGTCCCAGTAACCGGACGGCTTCCTGATTAGCCTTCAAGGACCATGACCCGGTCACAAGATAGTCGAGTCGCAAGTCCGACTGCACTTTTTGTTGCAATTGTTTAATCAAGTCCTCTTCATTTATGCTGGGGTTCGCTCGAACGATCTTTTGTCGTTGGGTTTCCACCCAGACGAGCACCGAGTTGTAGACTGTCGCATCGAATTGTCCCGATCCTCCACCTGCCAATTGATACAAACACATTAGCCAAAGCGTGGAGCTGGTATTAACATATATCTCATGCACCTTGCATAATTAGCACGTCGTGTGAAGGGGGTATCTCGAGGAATTCGGCGAGGTCGGCCTTCATGGTATTCACGATATCGGCTGCCAATGTACTGCGATGACTGTGCTCGGCCACTCCACTATCCCAGCAGCAATATCAGTACCAGACTAAATCCACTGTTGTAGAGAGAGGAACAAACTTACAGACCAGTCTCTTGATAGTTGAGCAACGCAGATGCTGCGGTGGTGAGCACATCTGTTGGCAGCCCCGCGGGGCCTGCGCCAAAGTAGACGACGTCTTCTCTCTTCATTGTATATTTCTGTGCTATGTATGAGACCGAGAGAAGAACTGCAATTGGAGTCTTTAAATAAATCAATCGAGAGAACTGAAGAGAAATTGAGTCATCGCATCAGAGAGAAATTGTCCGCCCGCTATCCGAAAATGCGCTGTGATTGGTTGGCAGCTCTTGCCCCGCGCCGATGACGGCACCTACCCTAACCCTAGATATCGGCATCCCGTTATATGTTCTCTCGTGAAGCATCGTCTTGGATTCTTTGCAAATGCTCGGGGACGCAATGGCACTCTTATTGTTATTAGCGGCATGCAGGCTCTCAGTCAAATTGGATAAGGAGATTCAGAGCGTCTTTTATGCCTTCACAATGTCTTAAGCTCCTTGCAAGCGCGTCCTTGGAATGATCTCACTGGTCTCTTTTTATGGGCGAGTCGTAATAGTCTGTGCTAATGCTCAGTCTGGACACCTGACATCGTGCATGGTCCAGATTGATGAATTGCTGGAAAAGGCAGAATTATTACCGGACACTAATACATATAAGCACATCTCTTTGTGGCCATATGCAGGGATCTGTCGCATGATGGCGTCGCTCTCCACTGCGACTCGTTTGCGTCGTATTCGCGAGAGCCCCTAGATATTCATAAATAGGAGACGCATCTGGATCCTGTCTTCCTGGAACGGCTATGAGAAAAATGTCCGAGATTGCATGCCATATATATTCTTCGCGGACCACACAGCTGATAAAGTGATGTCCATTCTTTTTGTGACTTTGTGACTCGACATCGACCCCGGACTGTTTCTCAACTTCCCCGAATGTTCTCTGCATGCCTTTAAGTTCGCGGGGAAGTTCAGGACTTACTGCTTTTCGAGCATTTATTCTTGGCGGATACTGGGTAATATCCGAAATGGCTGTTAACGGTATGCTCTCAATCTCAAGCAGCACAAGCATTGCGCTCTAATATATAATCAACAAGAAGTTATTCCTGGTCAGGGTTCCGACAAGATCGACGAATTCAATGAGGAAAAGAAGCTCTCGCAAACGCAACGAAAAGATGAAGATGTCGAGCGTAGCTCAGTAACGACCGAAAAGATGGATCAAGTCGAGGAGAAAGTGCTGGAACCTCGAGATCCAAATTTGGTCGATTGGGATGGCCCTGATGATCCAGAAAATCCGATAAATTGGACATCCAAGCGAAAGGCTATTGTCACCGTCTCCATAGCACTGATTACATTCTTGACGTATGTTCCGTTCATTCACCGAGTCTGCTGCCATACTAAATCTTCTCACTTAGGCCCCTGGGTTCATCCATGTTTGCGCCCGGTGTCCCCAATGTCATGCGGGACTTCAAATCTAGTAATGAATCTCTTGCGGCATTTGTCGTACCGGTATATCTGTTAAGCTACTGTTTTGGTCCACTTGTGATCGCTCCACTGTCCGAGATGTACGGACGCCAACCACTCTATACAATCTGCAACGTACTCTACACCGTCTTCAACGTGGCTTGTGCCCTGGCCCCAGAGATGGGCAGCTTGATTGTGTTTCGGTTCATTTCAGGACTTGCTGGCAGTTGTCCATTGACTCTAGGCGCCGGTTCACTCGCAGATATGATTCCACAGGAAAAGCGTGGTGCTGCCATGGCTGTGTGGGCGCTAGGTCCTCTCCTAGGGCCTGTTATCGGACCTGTTGGTGAGTCGCTAAATCCTTTGTTCAGTAATCACCTTAGAGCTAACATATCATTGATAGCTGGCGGCTATCTCACCCAAGCCAAAGGGTGGTGGTGGACGTTTTGGGTTCTGGCCATAGCGGTAGGGCACATCTCCCCCTGGATTAGAGGTAGTTGCTAATACTTTATGATAACAAGGGAGGCGCTGTGACCATTTCATCACTGATCTCATTGCGTGAATCTTATGCTTATGTCATTCTTGACCGCAAGGCTAAACGACTGCGAAAGGAGACCGGCAATCCCAATCTTCGTTCAGTATTAGACACAGGACGGACACCGAAGCAACTATTCATGTTCTCCATCGTTCGCCCAACAAAAATGCTCTTCATGTCACCAATAGTGTTCCTGTTGTCACTATACGTCGCAGTCATCTACGGATACCTCTATCTACTCTTCACAACAATACCAAACGTCTTCGAGGTTCAATATGGTTTCTCTCAGGGTTCTGTTGGTCTCCCATACTTGGGTACCGGTGTTGGTTTATTGATTGGTCTGGTCATTCTCGGTGCCACTTCAGATCGTCTTTTGAAACGTTTGACAAGGTCTAACGGCGGGGTCTCGAAAACGGAATATCGATTACCTCCAATGTTCTTCGGATCCTGGCTTGTCCCCATGGCCCTTTCTGGTATGGTTGGACTGCGGAAAAGAAGGATGCTTGGATATTGCCTATCTTGCGCACATCTTTCCTTGGTATTGGGATGATTATTGCCTTTGTAGGTTCTGCTTAGTTTAGGCCGTTGTCTGTTGTCTAATATTTTATTTCACAGATGTCGACAACAACATATCTTGTTGATGCTTACACAGTATACTCAGCCTCCGCGATGGCCGCATACACGTTGCTTCGATCTCTCATGGGTGCGCTTTTGCCCCCAGCAGGAGGGAGGATGTATCGAACTCTAGGCCTAGGGTGGGGAAATTCCTTGCTTGGATTCATTGCATTGACACTGGCGCCTATACCGTTAGTTTTCTATCGGTGGGGGGAACGGATACGCAACAGCAAGCTCTTCAAGGTTGAATTCTAGCGGTGCAAAGACATTGGCACAGGTCGCTATTTATCTAGATCTGATTTTGTATGTTTGAATAGAAACTAATATTAAGTAATCTATTTGACAGAGTTTAGGATCTCCATGTCCTGAAGCTGAACTCCTAATCATTTAATCCGTTATCAAACTCACCACTAAGTGCTAAGGGCTTTTCTACCTAGGTATACCATCTCTATCAAATTAAGAACAGTAAGCTGTTTACCAGATCCTCATCAGACCGGAAAAGCCCTATATCATCAGATCTAAACCCTAATAAACACGGGCATAATTTCAATAGGACAATCAAATTCTCTCCACTGTCCCTTTTCTAATTGGAATCTGTATCCCTGAGAAGATTTCCTCCCAATCTCACCTGTCCCCATTGAGCCATCCGCGTAGTAGTGCCATTCTCCCTCAGGAAGATAAACGGATCGCTTTTTTTGACCTGGATACAATATCGGTGCGCAGAGATACTTGGAGCCATACATATACTGATCCTCAACCTCCCAGGCAGTCTTGTCTTGGGGGAATTCGAGGAAGAGTGGTCTCATAACTGGTGTCCCTTTCTCGTGAGCCTCCTTCATAAGTTCCCTGGTATAGTCCCGCAATTGCTCACGGATCTTTAAATATTTCTTGCATATGGCATAAACCTCTTCTCCATAAGACCAAACTTCATTTTCCGCTCCTGACAGACATGTTGCACCACCGGTAGTACCGTGCTGTGGTTGTCTCGGTTCTCGATCTCCGTGAAGTCTCATAACAGGACAAAATGCGCCCCATTGGAACCAACGCACAAGTAACTCTCGGAATGATTCTTTGGTTGGATCTCCACCGTGGAATCCGCCGATATCTGTCGTCCACCATGGAATTCCTGCCATGCCCATGTTAAGACCCGCCGCTAACTGGCAGCGCAGTGACTCCCAGCTAGACGCAATGTCGCCGCTCCAGACCAAAGCGCCATACTTTTGAGATCCTGCCCATGCGCATCGGAGCAGGTTGACGATATTCTTCTGTCCTGCTTCTGTTTGGCCTTCGTAGAATGCTCTTGCATATTCTCGAGGGTATATGTTGCCAATAGTGACGTTTGAGCCGAGGTGGTATCTGTAATTGTCGAAATCGTAGGCTGAATACTCTGGCTCAGCTTCGTCGAGCCAAAATACCTTGATGCCTTTAGAATAATAGTTTTGACGTGCTTTCTCCCAGACGTATTTTCGCGAACCTGGATTGGTGGCATCAAAATGTACGGTTTCGCCTTGGAAGTTCATGGCTGTACGGATACCACGATCTGTGCGGATGAGATAACCTTTTGCAAGCATCTCCTCATAGTTTTCCGATTTGATATCGACCGTGGGCCATATGGAGACCATGAGTTCAATCTTGAGCTCGTTGAGTTCTTTGATCATTGCATCTATCAAGCGTTAGAATGAGAATTTCCTAGGAGCGAAAAGGTAAACATACCCGGATCTGGCCAATACGTAGGATCAAATTTCCATTCTCCTTGCAATGGCCAATGGAAGTAATCAATCACAATCAAATCGATAGGTAGTTTTCGTCTTCGATATTCTCGTGCAACACTCAGCAATTCCTCTTGAGTCTGATATCGCAGCTTACACTGCCAAAAACCAAGTCCATATTCAGGCATCATAGGAACCTTTCCGGTAACATCCGCATACGCTTCGACAATCTCCTTTGGTGAATCTCCCGCAACGATCCAGTAATCCAAAACTCGGGTAGAATATGCCTCGAACGACATGATATTCTTACCCAGCACTGCGCGACCAACACCAGGATTATTCCACAATAAACCATACCCAAGCGAAGAGACAGCAAAAGGTACAGAAGCCTGTGAATTACGTTGCGCAAGTTCTAAGTCAAGACCTTTCAGATCGAGATATGGTTGCTGATATTGTCCCATGCCGTAGATCTTCTCGTCCCGTTCAACACTTTCTAGTCTCATGGTTAAATGGTAATCATCACGACCGGCGCGGGGCTTGAACTCGCGTGCTTCGACGAGTAAAGCAGAGCATTTCGGATCTAGTTGATCGTTGCGATTGCGCATGTACTCTTCTAGAAGTAACTGGCCCGTTTGCGCATTTCGAATGATAATTTTGCCTCGTGGAGAGATGTTGGCAGTTATTTTGCCGTTTGTGATCGTTCCACCGGTGGTGTCGGACTCTATATTGATTGTTGTTTTGTTCGATGTTGGACTATCTGGAGGGGAAGAAGATAATGCCCAGTCTTGGTTTGAGGGGAGTTCGGGCTGATGTGTTGCACGGATGCGAAGAGCATTTGGGCCCCATGGCTCGATGAAGACTTTTTCAAAGTCATATTGATAGATTATGCGATGGTTTTCAGTATCGTGTGAGAGCATTTTGACCGATAGCTAACGAGTCTGAATGTCTTTTCGCTACTAATAATATTCCCGACTGGAGAATTGAGTCCGTCTTGTCAGATGCTCATCTATCACCACGGAAATAATGAGGATCAAATTTGAAACGAGCTGGAGGTCAGCAGCAACGTCTTTATGTACACATCACACAGAACTGCGGGGTATGTACAAATCATCGTCATCCTCCCTTATGATGGTACGGAACTCCCTAGTTATGTACGGAGTAGATAGATGCGGAGATGAGTGGTTAAACTACGGACTGCTTTCCGATCCATGAGATTCTGATGTGGTACAAAGTGCAAAGCCAGCTATATAGCTGAAGGGACAACATTTGTGTTGTTTCTCGTCCTGCAATTGGTTGGTATTCAGGCTAATCTCTTTTTCTATTCGTGTGATTAGCCTGCTCACCAAGAATGAAATCGGCAATGAGGGTTGGAGGGTAGCCCGCAGGAAAATTTCCTAATACGGCAAGTTCTGAAACAGGCAGGCGAATTGGGTATATCGATTCTTCAAGCGACTACACCCCACGTACAAACAAGTTGAACAAAAACTGATTGACTCTAAGCGGCTTAATGCAGAGAACCTTGGAGTCATACAAACTTGGTTTGATCGTCTTGAAATTCAAGTTCGTATTAACAAGATTACACCTTCAAATACTTGGAACTTTGACGAGGCCGGATTCCGCGTTGGACAAGGCAAAAGGGAACTGGTTGTCACTCAATATCCTCATACCTCTACAAAAATTGCAAGTGCGTCTTCTCGAAAATCCTTGACGATAATTGAGAGTATAAGTGCAGCCGTAAATGTGATCCATCCATTTGTTGTTATTGCTGGTAAGAATCACTTGGAGGAATGGTATCAACATCTTACAGAAGAGGATTATATCGCCGCTTTTTCCGAGAAAGACTTCTCAAATGCTGATCTTATATACGAAAAGCCTCATCATTTTGATATTTCAACTCAGCAATACGCGAAAAATGGTTATCGATTGCTTTTCATGGATAATTGTACGGCGCACCTATCATACAACTTCATCCAGTATTGCAAGGAACAAAAGATCATTGTATACTGTTTTTTACCTCATGCGACACACATTCTTCGGCCATTAGATGATATTCCGTTTCAGGCTTATAAGCATTACCACGGGGTGGCCGTTAACAACCAGGCGCGTGCTGGAAGCTATGATTTTGACAAATATGACTTCCTTTTCATCTGCCAGCCGTTCGCAAGCAACCCTTTACAACAAGAGTTATACGCGCCGCTTTCCGTGATATAGGGATACATCCATATAATCTGGAAATTGTGATAAATAAGCTCAATGTCTCCGAGATTATTGACGCGGTTCCTATATTGAAAATTTTTGATGGCAATGAGCAAGGTATCCCTAGGTAACAGTCTCAACTGCTGAGGCAAATCGACCTAGCATCGAGGCTATCATCAATAGGGCTCTCAGCTAGGAGAAACAAAGCAGAGCTACTTTCAAAGGCAAAAAGACAGCCATCGTATACTTCACTTGAAATATAGATTGATGAAGCAGTGCTGTATTCACAGTCAAAGGAGAGTTAATTAAACTGAAAGAGTATGCCAAGCTTCTTGGGGTAGTCATAGACTCTCAACTACGCTACAAACAACATATTTCCTGAGTAGCAAGTAGAGGACTAAAGGTTGCTATGGCACTAAGGAGGCTAAAACGATCTCCCCACAAACTGCAAGGCAGTTGTTCATAGCAACAGTGGCGCCTATAATAGATTATACCTCTAGCATGTGGATGCATGCCTGCAGGACACACGGAACGTAGTGCCTAAACAGAGCGCAGAAGATAGAGGGTATAGCAGTCACAGGTGCCTTTTGGAAAATCGCCATGATAAGTGGTGGAAGTTAAAGCAAATATTTGCTTATTCAAGGAACAACATACAGAGGAAGTAACGAAATTGTGGGCTGATATTTGCGTACTTCCTAGAACGAACCCGCTAACGAAGCTAAGAGTCATGATGACTTGGAGGCTTTCCTCTCCATTCCAAAGAATAGTGCAGACACTAAGAAGAGAAGTAATAGATAGAATAGAAACCATCAATACGTATGCAGTATCATCTAGAATAGATCGGCTGCAGATGGGATGTGAACATGATAGGGAGAAAGCCATCGAGATTGTTAACAGTGTAGAAGGTATCCTAATTGCCACAAGCTTGTCCGTCAAGGGTGATATAGTAGTATGGGAGGAAGTATTAGGGATACCCAGGTCAATATTGCAGAGAAGAAGATGACTAGCTACACTGTCATGCTAGTAAGACAAATAGAACAAAGCCCATACACAGCTGAATTAGAAGTGATAGCAGTAGGATTGAGGCACATTCTGCTATAGATCTGTAATAGATAGGTAATTATCTTTAGTTGTAGCTGGTAAGCATTGGCTACAATTATTGTATTAAGGTTGAAGGAAGAAATAGCCACTCAAAAATCAACAATAGAGGGATATGAGCCAGAAAAACCATCATATCAAGCTAAATTAGCTGCTATGAAACTTGCCATCACCAAGTAACAACTGAACAAAGCCCTTCTAGATAGATTGGGTAAGTACTCGAAGGCTATTAACACAGTATTACTAGGAAAGCACACCTGCAGCCTATATAACGGGCTGAAGCGGAAAGAAGCTATAGTCCTAGCTCAACTTTGGACAGGGATAACAAGGCTTAATAGTTATCTAAATAAGATTAGGGCTGCGGAGTCAGACCTTTGTATCTGTGGGCAGGCAAGTGAGATAGTAGAGCGTTTTTTATTCTGTTGCACAAAGTAGACAATAATAAGAGATGGCATGTTACAGTGTTCAGAAATAAGAAGAGGGAGTTTGTCATTCTACCTTGGAGAAAAGTATGAGCAGACCCAGAGCAATGTCGACCAAATATCAAAGCGGTACGAATAACAATTAAGTGTATGATGTTGACAGGAGGGCTTGACACAGAATAGGAACATGAACTAAGCCAATCACAGCAGAACCAACATTAACTAACTATTCCTACTTTCACGTACAGTAGACCCCGCTGCAGCTGCCGAAGATAGGACACTTCACACTTAAAGAAGATAGCCTTTGAGCCGGTCTATCAATCTTAACTCACTAGGGGTTGGGAACCCTAGTTCGACAAAGTCTTAATTGCAAATACCAAGACAGCACGCCAAAGCAGAAAGAGCATGCATGATGCTTTTAGGAGGATAGGTTATTCATCCGCCACCAATTACAAATTGTTGCGCTTTTCGTTCAAATCTCTAGCAGGCTCCCACTTCACTCGGATAGGCTCATGCTCTCTGCTCCTGATGTGAGTTTCCTTGTTCCATAGCTGAAATTTAAGATCGGCCGGCCCAACCACAACTTTCACGTCAAATGTTGCTCTCAAATAAGCAGGCTTGAAATTATACCAGTGGCGGTTTTTCAGCTTTTTATCCACGTAACCGGTGGGGATGTCGAGACTGCATACTCGTTGTGCACCACCCTGATTCATGCTCCGAGGAAGATTATCGGGCGAGAGAGTCGACATGACGATGTGAACTTTGTATATTTCGTTGTCTTCGTCGAGTTCCATTTTGAGTTGGAACGCTTTTGCTATTCCTGTGTGCGGGATTGGCTTTCCCTAGAATCCACCGCATATTGTTATAGCGTGTTAGAGTTGAAAAACAGATAGCAACGAGTGAGACATACATACCTGAATGACGAGCCAATCTATCTGACGTGTTGCATATATATTGTTGTCGCGAGGATCCAGCCTTATTGGCTCCGCAACATGTCTTACTGGGTCGTAGATCTCGTCACATATAATTCCGTAACTCACAGGAGAACACCTCGATTCGAAAATGACCACTCCTTGCTGGAGTTGCTGTGTTCGGTCTAGCACTAAACCATGAACCACAACAAGTTGGCTGACGAAGGATGTCATATCAGCATCCGAAATTGTGACAAAAGATGGAGGGTAGACTGACGGTTCATCTGCCATGAGAACATGCATTCCCGTTTGATCAGGAATTTCACTAATAGGAGACTTAACAGGCAAGCTGTTATACCGATCAAGAAGGCGTTTTCTCACATATGGAGAGCTGCCGAATCCTCCCGAGAGGACAATATACGACTAAGCAACATGTCAGAATCAATCTCACCAAGAACAGGAAATGTGTTGCAAGGAATTCGCACAATTCTCTCGTTCGGGTATTTTGTGCGTGTTTGCTCAATTTGAGCATCGAGGAGGTCACACATTTCGTCGATCTTAACATCAAAGCACCGTTTCAAGATATCCCTTTTCTGGTTTCAACTGACATGATCTCAATGACTTAATATAGGATAATGAAAAGACACACCATGATATTCGCATTTGCCCGTTCTGAATCTCTGCTTCAGGGAAGTCTGATCCAGGTCCCAATGAGGGAACATCAAGTTTCAACCACGGCGTTGAAGTTGCATCAGTGCCAAAGGAGCATTTGAGTCGCTGGAAACGTCCGGATATCATTTTCCATGCTGTGTCAGTTGGAGTCTTGGGTAAGTGATGGCAAATTCTTGATAATCTTTCGCACAACAACTGATGGATAGTTCGGTCGATGAAGACAGAGCCGATGGGTCGTCCTAGAGACGTCAATTATCTAACTTGTAGAAATAAGGCATCTGTTAGTTCTTACCTTCGACGTTGCCTAGTTGTTTGAGGACTGTAGGCTCGCCAGTTGATGACAGCAATTTGAGTACGTTGACATCCTTGCGCTTTGTAAGAAATTGACGAGGAAAAAACGATCTGATAGCGCGATCCGGCTTACAGTTGTTCCCCCTCCAGCATCGCAGACCATAATAGTGTCGCCTCTCTGCAAATCTTGATCAGGATTCAATTTCTAAGGGTCATATCAACAATAAAATCAGTTTAATTGGGAATACCTGATAATGTTGCTTGCAAGCATAAACAGCCGCGGCTTCGGCCTCAGTCAAGCCAATGGCAGCTTGATGATTGGACGATCTCGTCATTATTGCCTGCTCTATCAGAGTCCTAGTTTCTTCAATCATTCGTACATCCTTCCAGGTAGTCGGAACACTGAAGAGAATTTCAACTTTCCGTAATGGGAACCCTGGGATCGTACTGGCTAGATAGTTCATTACATGCTGATAAATGCATTGAATATAGTCTCGAAACCATCGTTGCGCCTCCATCCTGCTGGGACCGCTGTTATCGACGCTATGTTCGTCACGATAATGAGGCGCCAGATGAAGCTTGAAGAACTCGTATATCACGCATGACTGGTCTTCTTGGTCGCAGAGAAACCCCCAGTTTTTCACTGTCGTCGAGTCTGCCTCGTACTCAATACAGGTAGGTACTTTGTTTGCCAACTCACCAGGCAATTTGCCAGGCCAGCGCTGGATTGTCCTTGGTGGTAACCATCCTGGCGCACACGAGTATGCCACTCCTGTTCAATTCATATCACGTTATCCTTTTATACTCATTCCATACGAAGAAAGCGCCGTTCTTACCGGTGTATGTCATACCAAAGTCGACTCCGACAACTATATCTGGATGCCATTCATCTAGATCCACCAGTCGGGACCTGAAAGCAATTACTTCCTTGTCACTCATTTTTTCTTGCGCGGTAAAAAAGGGCTGTCATTTACTGCTATAACTCTGCATCTGCAGAATTGATTTTGGAGGAGCTCCTTTCGAGGGATGCTCGAGCCTTGCAGCTTTCCTGTCTCGGCGAGACTATTTACTGTGTAAACAAACTAAAATAAACCCGCATCACCACCATCCCCTGTTATTTTAGTCTCGTGATATGACAGGGGTCTATTGCATACAACCTAAGAAAGGCATCAGCCATGCAGACTATTGAGCAATCACATAGAATGGTTCTACACAGCCGCCACGACGCTGTCTGGCGTTAAAGGCTAGAGATGGCCCTGTTCCTTGGCATCCCTGGATCTAGAAACTGCTTTTCGTGTTTCGTTTTTGTCCTGGATCTCCCATAGCTATGATATTTTATTCTACTCTATCTCCAAACTGCTTCTTCTGAAAGACACGACACACTGGTGGATGCAGACTATAGTCCCAAGAGCTCTAGCAGCACTACTTTTGATTCAATGGCTACGGCCTCTACAATTTCCTCGAAAGCTGTTGTTCCATCTTCTAGCCATGTTGTACCAGCCACTACTAATCTCCCCGATCCTAACATTGGTTCGACTACCCCTGGACGAGGTAAAGGACTGAGCAATGGAACGCTTGCGGGTGCGATTGTCGGATCCATTGCTGGTACAGCATTACTGGTCTTCTTGGCCGCATGGCTCTTCTTTCGCAAATCCCAGAACACACGCAGCGGCTTCAGGCGATATGAGGGAGGAGAATATACTACGGCAGCAATGGAGAAGGCTGGCCGTTCTGATCATCCCGATCAGAATAGACTTCCTAGTGCTGAGCTGAAAGCAACGGGAGCCAATGATCAAATCTTTTCGGGCAATACTGGCGAGAAATGGTTATTAACAAGCAGTCTGTCGAGATATATCCCAGAACCAGCAAGCGATGAGACTGTTGTTAAACATGCTTTGACGTTTTTTGATCAGGCCAGTCTTCACGTGGACAACTATTATTCTCAGACACTGTCGGTCTCTTCGCTGCTAAGTTCTGGAAAGACTTCACAGATATCCGACTTTGGCACGCCTTACCTTCCTGGATCTTTGACTTCTCTCCTGGAAAACTCCACGACACGCCGGTTAATCATCACGCATACTCTTGTGCACTCTCTTCTGCAGGCAATACAGCCACACAGCGCGGCAAGAGAATCATTGCTACCCTTACCCTTCACAATTGGTCCACTGAAACAAGTGCAGCAGGCTATCAACTCTGATAAAGGTACGGCACGTCGCTTAAATCTGGAATGTATTGTTGATCTGATTTTAGAATTGAGCCAAGCTTTCTATACATGGCGTATGTTAACAGCTTACCTATCTCAACTTGCAACACCTGAAGCTGCGAAAAGAAACTTGGCCGTGCAAGATACGGCGGTTCATAAATTTGTTGAAACCTTCACCTCCTCCTTCGCCCCATACGCTGACTCATCACACTCACGAGGAAACCGTGTTCGTCACTTGGGAACCGTGACGACAACTGCTGCTGACTTGGGACGTTGGCTTTTTGGCCAACCTTGTACGTTTGAATTCGTCTACACCAGCCCGGCTGGGAGTGGCGAAATTGTAGTGTTGCCTGCAATTGTGAAGGTGCTTGACGAAGAAGGGCAGCGTTTAGCAAACAAAGTGATTTTGTGCGAAGCAGTTACTGCGAAGTTGTAAACGTGCTTCTTCGCTGAATTTGTAATTTTTCTGAAACTATTTGTTTACATAGACACCGCATCAAATGAAAACTGTTGAGCCGTAGATTCTTTAGCAGCAACTTATCAGACTATGATTGTAACCACCTGAGGAAAACAGCAAGCACAAATGTTTTGAGTACCTCATTGAGTAAAAATACAGTGAAATCAGATATTAATCAATGCAAATTATGAGGCTTATATAGTTGCCAAGTTATTAATCTGACAGTGTGACGCTCTCCAACTCGGCTACAAATTTGGTCTGGGGCCTGTCCACAATATCGGACTGTTTTGATCGCCGCCAAGCCAACATCTCACTGATTTCATGATTGATAGAAACAGTTTCCTCGGGCCCATTCTTTGGTATCTCCTCTGCAGAGCGCAGAGACCCAATCTCGCTAGGGAGAACAAGAGATATGGTACTGCTGAGATTCATAGAATCTATAAAATGTCTTCCCAGCACCGCTTGACCATGCTCATCAACACGCGTTGGCAAGTAAGACCGAACGCGGTCGTTGTCACGCGTGATTTCCTGCGATTCCAAGGGAGTGATTTGATGGAGATGACTGATTACTGGCGAGAGACTGCCAAGACAAAGCAGTAGATGACTTCGCTTTTCATCCCCGCGTTGACTATTGTTCCGTAGCGCCCAAAGCATCCGCTTTCCGAAACGCATCCTCCCTTCGCCGCGCGTCTCTTGTTCTACGCGGGCGGGCTCGATCCAGGCTAGCATGTCCCAGGTTGCTTCTTCTGCATCTCTGATAGTCAAGTCGATCCAGTTCAGGATTTCGAAGTCCCCCTTATCCATAAGCTGGGCATATGTGAGTTGGCGCAGACGCTGAGCCTCGCGAACTTGAGTGAATGCGTGTCGAGTCATCTTCACTAGTTCTTGGGTTTGCTCGCTTACGGATCGATTCTGGGCCTTTATTAGTGCAGTAAACGACCGCATGCTGACGACGGAAGGTATGGAGGCTGAGGAAGTCAATACAGTGTTTGTAGGTTTCCTTGCTATTAGTAGGCGAATCAGAGATTGCTAGGAACTGATGTCCTATTTGGTACGGTCAGGATGGAATGATATAGACCGTATGATCCAATCCATTCGTAAGTAACTGTATCCTATTTTCAAATTTGATTTTGGGGTAGTTAATTGAGTGCCTTCTAATGATTATGGAAGTGGAGCGGAAGAAATTGCCCATCTTGAGAAGTGCCTGCGGTTGGAGGGGACTTGCTGCCGGGGTTGGGTTCAAAAGCAGGGAAGAAAGCCTCTTCTTCCATCAACCACGGAGGCTGGTTAACCAGCCTTGTACAACCCTGTCTTGACTTTCAACTTCAATTGGCGGTTGATTTACGAAGAGTGTTGCAATGGTGGTAATCGACGCCTTGAAAGTACATGAAAGGGGGAGATTAAGTTCTCGGTATCCGCGCGGTCATCCAAATTTGCTTTTGCTTCTTTTCTTTTCTTTTCTTGAATGCTATGTCGAGGCTGCTTCATTATTGCAAGGAAAAGGAGAACTAGACACGATCTAACCCTAGCAGGCAGTTCGAAAGATCAGCCCCGAAGAGCTAAATGAATTTGACTAGCGTACCTGCATGGTAACGAATCCTTAGATGCTTGCTTGTTCCCTGCGCCGTCGGATTAGCTGCCAAAGCTAATGCATCTTCGTTATCAATTGCCAATTAGCAGGCTCCTTCAGATTAATTTGCAGGGTGGTAGCACGTCCTTCATATACCTGCTACGTACGGAGTACATTATTTTCCCTAGCAATTCCTATTCGAAGCTATATTTCACTTATACATGGTATTTTTGACTATTCTTTCCACTAATACAGTATGCAGACCCTAATAGCGCTATCCCTCTGTAGACAATCTAAGTTGCTGTTGTGTGGACCCACCTGCAAAACCTCCCTAATGTCTTATTCACGACTAGGTGATATGCTCAGCACTATCTAAGATTCTATATCATCACAATAGGTGTACCTGTAAGTTCAATATCAGCCAATGCCACCTGTGATTGATGCTATAGCATAACTCGTCATATGATATTAACTTTGATTTTCCCTTCGACAATTGAAAAGCCCAAATTAGTAGAGTGATGCTGACATCAATAAAATCAAAGACTAGAGCATCACCGAAAACAATGGCATAGTAGGTCCATGCGGTAGCTTCTGGAAACAAAACTTTAGTAGCGACTATAGCCCAGGGTAGCATCCAGAGGATGTTTGAATCAAGGGCCTGGTGGAAATACGAACGAGGGCATGCTGCAAGAAGAATGGCGGCAACTCGATAGTCTAAAGCGTAGAAAATGTATGCCCGATCTATGGTCTGACAAGGGAAAGTTGGTAAATTTTTGTAATACAAGAGTGCTGTAGTGGCTACTACCTTCCACATCAATTGCGTGATTTGAGCAACTATTTTAGAGCCGGATAGAAAATAGGCGAAAGACTGTATACCGTGGGTAGAAAGAGCAATACAAATAACCACTTCGACAACTAGTGCCATGGAGCATGACATAAGAGCAGGATGTATTATTTCTGGGGAATCACAGGAATTAGCTAATACAGTAAAATATAAGACCAGAGTTCATACCCAATATCTCAGCTCTGGATGCTTTAGGGTAACGAATCTCAACACTCACAAGGGCTCGCCACTTTCCCCAGACAAACGTTAACATGGATGCCTCAAGAGTTTGGATTGGAACCATAATAAGACACCATCCAATTGTATTAAAGAAGCCCCATGCCGTGGCATAGTTTTCTCCAAGCAAAATGATTCGATTGACGAGCCAAATGTAGACGGCGTTTCGATTAGCAGATTCCGTAAAAGTGTAAACACTGGTTCTCGCAATATTTTTCAAGGCTGCGAAGGTCACTGTTGGTTTATAGGGAAGGAACACGAAGACCAATCCCCAAACCGTGGTCTCACGAGGAGGCCTACTCTGCACGAAGGGAGCACTAATATGGAGTCAAAAATGGGTTCAAATTCGTTGCCCCGAGGAAGACTCCGAGGGGTGAAAATAAACTATCTAAATACTATGAGGCTCAAAACCTTACGCCAAACAAGGCCCGGATCATGCCGTCAAACCGTTTGCTGAGTCTCCCCCATTGAGCTTAATTCGACGTTGCTCTCCGTCAAATCTCCATGGGGTGTCATGCCAACAATCGTCATTGGGATTCACCGCGGTTCCAACAGTCACTTTCAAGGGCTTCTCCGTCTACCGCCGCAAACTGAATGTGATGAAAATGAGATCCATAAGTCCGGAGAATGCGGAGGCCATATCGCAAGCAAGCCTAATCAAGGCCTGCATATTAACGGCTGGGGTGAAGGAACCAACATGAAACTTCGATATGATCAAGAGATTAAGTATAATATTGATGATGAATTTCGTTGAACTGATCAGCAGTGGTACATCAGGATAATCTAATGCTCTTGTACATAATGATACGACAGTCTCCATGATAGAGGACTTGTTCTGGGACAAATGCCGACACAAGTTTATCTGAAGTAGCGAGGATTTTACCGTCATCAGTGCGCCCAGTACAATTTGGGCCACTATTATGGTACCGCTAAGCTCAACCGGGAGGATATTGTTCGTGAAGATTTGTCTCCAGTAGTCAACCAAGCTGGCCTTGGGAGACCATCGTTCAAGACTTGCACAATAACATCAACGGAAGTGTATACATCAGTTGTAACGACTTGGCTTGAATCAATATTAGCAACCCAGGGCTTGTTTAGCGTATTGTGCAGGGCTGGGAGGAGGAAAGCGCCAAAGTTGAAGATGAGTGAGCCAGGATATCTGTTTGTTTAATTAGCATAGTCGTACTTTCCCGGAAAACTCGAGCTTACGTTTGTCGACTCCACGAATGCTGCTTTTTATGCTGTTCATGTATATAGCATCATGCTCCCACAGCAGCCGCCCTTAGCGCTACGGTTCCTTTTAGTGAAGCCATCGAGAAGTTTTTTTTTCCACAAGGTAAGATAGTCTTTCAAAGCAATGGAATCAATGAAATCAACAACGTAAGTGGTAATATCATTCCTTGAGCAAGATAAGAGGCAGGAAAGTGATGATATTCCCTCAAATGCTACCTAGAAAGTCCACAGGCGTATTCCAGGGTTGTAGGAAGAATATCTCTACGAAGCGAGAGATATATCCTATTCCCAACATCGCGCTAACTACACGAAGGTGCCGCTGGCTTTGGAAGAACGGGCATTCCCATCAACGCGTATTCATGGAAATCATTTACCAGAGGATTCTAGATTGGTCGACTTCTCGAAATGCGGGGATTTGCTGCAGCAGTCTCTCGTCAATTTCTACTAGTCTGGTTGCCCTAATCATGTCTTATAAATGCAAACGAAAGGATTGGGAATCGAGAACTTCACGCATGATAAGATGGCTGATGAATGTTTCAACGTTTGGCTCGTCAGAAGCTAATTCTGCATTGAGCTGCGGGCAGTTTATAATCAGACCTCTTGCTTTTCCCCTGCTCATTTTCATTGACGGTTTTCGCCTTGATGTGATAAAATATATGATCCTCAGAGACAAAATCTATTTCTTTTGGATTTTGGGGTGGGTAGTTAAACTACAACGTCGCTTGGTTCGTTCTCATCAATTGTACGGCTATTACCATGAAAGAACTTTTAGCGACAAGTCATGCAAACAAGTGCCCCAAAATGGCCGTGTATATCTACAAGGCGAGGTAGGTAGAGTATCATTTCTAAGATATTCATCTTCTAGACCAGGGCCGATTATGTAGCGACAACTAGTTGAAGGGACAAGGAGATGTTGCTTCGGGGAGAAGTCTGAACATTTGAACGTGATGATAGGTTGCCAGCTTTCGTTGTATCTGCTGTGGGAAAAGACAAGAGAACGTCTTGAGACATATCCTCATTGGCTGCTAGGTACATCCATGTCGTGGCGGACGCTATTTTAAATCGGTCACGGTCCGTTATTCTGTGGTGCAGTCGCATCTCTACCGACAGAGTCCTGAGTGCTGAAACCTGCACAGCTTTCTCTCGGACCTGCATCCATCTACCTGCTTTTTCAATGGTTGCTAACTTCCGGGATACCCGACGAGATGGAAGATGGTCTAAGCGCGGCCGCCTTGCTAGGCGCTACAACGACCACACTGCAGCAGGTGCAGTCGCTCTACACTACCATCGACAATACTAGAGCAGCGCCTGACGCTTTACAAAGCATAAAGTCGGATCTCCAGGCCATCACATTAGTGCTTCACAATACAGCGTGTACATGGCCGTGCGATAGCCCGCAGAGCGTTGCCATTGCGGCCGAAGTCACCGCCACGTTGGGCAATTGCAGCCGGATATGTACAGACTTCCAGGTCCTCTTGACACGTTGGGAGTTCTATTCAGTGGAAAATAACACCTTCTGGATGAATCAATGGCGACAGAGTTTTTCTGGGCAAGAGCGAACAGCTGCCTTCAAAGGCCAATTGAACCTTTGTAAGGATACTTTAGCCGTTGCCTTGTCAACGGTCAGTATGTGCGTATCAATTGCCCAAGCTTGAGAAAAGTTGTTTCTTCACGTACATTACAGTGAATTAACCCCCAGGACTCCCTTTAGTATCGCAAAGTTACGCCGCCAAGAGGAGCTCATGAGTGAAATCAAGGAGATGAGTTTGAAGCAGAATGAAACTGTGTTGCAAAAAGAGATTGACCGGGCCGACAGCGAGAGGACGGAGACAGAAAATGCTCTCCGAGAATACTCGATCGAGGGCAGTAACCGGTCTAGCGAGGAATCAAAGAAGACGGAGTGGAATTTACTCAAAGATATTCAACAACGGCAGGAGTTAAACGATGCCTTTCGTAGGGTATGTGAACAATCACTGGCAATCACGATGTCAGCGCGCAAAGGACCTAAGACCGAAGATCTCACGAAGCTCCATCCGCCCCAAATACTCACTGGAGTCAACACATCTACAGAGGGTTCGTTAATGGACTTCCAAACTACAACAGATAGCAACACCTTTGGTTTATCCACACTTTGGCAAGAAGAACAACACAACCATGGGCCGGGCCACGTGTGCTGCTTGACTCTAGGAATTTTGGACCTTGTCAGCCCGAACAATCAGCAAACGCATGGTCCTCCTAGTTCTGGCCTATCTTCTCAGTCTCAAGGTTTTCTCTTCGAGTCAATAGAATCCTCACATGTAATTAGGGCAGATGACTCAAGTCGAAAACTTACTCAGCAGGAGCGTCAAGACCTCCCAACACCGCCAGCGCAGTCCACCCACTCTTCTAGGTCTCAACCGCGAAACAAAGAGAAGCCCGTTTGTTGGGAACACGGTTGTGGAGGTCGTTTATTTTCTTCCTGGAGCAATTTAAGGCGCCACGAGAGGGAAAAAGAACGACAAAGGCCTACCTGTTATTGTCCTCGCTGTGGTGCATATTTCAGTCGGACATCCAGCCGGGATCAGCACTTAGCTAATATGAGTTGCAAACGAATACGGCGATATTCCAACGGCAGGCTACGACAAAAAATTTCATGAAGATACAAGAGTTGCTGATACGCCCCTACATCTCCTTCGTCGGACAAGTCATTTGCGTCCTCGCCAACTCGGGTTTCATACAGTTCTTGATTGACACAACATTTTTAAAGTCTTAAATCCTTAATCTTTTTCTTCAATTGGAATGGTACCTAGGTAGCCAACTATGAACCATTCTCAGAGGGTGGACAGACCCTTTCAACACTTCAAATCGTCAATACGCGTTTTCCAAAAAAAAAAAAAATAAGAATTTTGAGTTGTACTATCCAGATAGAGTGTCAAAAAAATAAAAAAAAACCAAACACCATATTTCCCTTGATTACGTGAAGTTTACCAGTGAGACATTGAGCACAAGCTCAACTTCTCGGCTGGAAGATCTATAATAATCACAAAACCGGTCTCTGTCGTCTATCTTATGGCTATCGTGATGTAGGACTTTCCCTATTCGTTTGCGACTTGAGCAAATTTCGACATCTTTCTCAATTTGATGCCGTACTTCATGAAAATTAGAGGAACTGGTAATGCCAAGCACGAAAGGCCTCCAAGCAAACTGGAACCCAGACCAACACCCAGCTTTGTGAACAAAGGACGAGCGGCCATAGGTAGGCCACAGGCAAGTAAAGACCGCAGGAAGGTGTTACCAGCCATGGCGCTTGCGGCAAAGGGGCCGTATGTGTCAACGAGAAAGTTCAGACACTGCTGGAAAGTGATATTGAAGCCCGCACCAATGAAGCCTGACACACAATGTTAACACGGCTGAGTTTCTCATGTTGGAACTTAATCGTCCACGGGTAGCCCAATATATCTTACCTGCTGCAACGGTTGGAAGAACCCAGGAGTATCTCGGTGCGGCTGTCCATCCAAACCAAAACATGCCAGCAGAGAAAAAGATCCCCCCTATTAGCATTGGTGGTAAGCGGGCCTCCGGAACTGCGCAGCCCCTGTTCTTAGCGACTGCCTTTGCATAGAACGTTTGGTTAGCGAAATTAATCGTCAAAGCACATAGGACACCAACGAGAAGGCCTAAAAAAGGAAGGGTGGAGATGACGAGCGAATAGCCACGTTCTTGGTAGAACACGAAGGGGAACGATTCCATTTGGAAAAACAGCAGACCGTAGACGTATGAGGCATAGAGTGCAATACATGTGACGATAGGCTCGGTAAAAAGCATCCTAAACGACAGACATTAATCAGTTTTTGATAACATGACGAATGAACCGAGATTAGCATGATGGTAGAGTGCTTACCGGAGTGGTCGGCTGATGTACTTTGTCAACACGTTTCGGGGATTTATTTTTTCTGATTCATGCGGGTGCCAGTATTGGCTATTGCCAGTTTCTTGCCGTAGCTGCTGTGCTTTACGCTTTAGGAGCACCGGATGGTATGTTTCAGGTAAACACACGGCGGTGACAGCGGTGACGAAGAATGTGATGATACCCTGAATGTACTCGGTCCCTGTGTAGAGATTATTAGAAGTGTCACACTGCTTGTGCAAACATCCACGTACAGCGCCATCCCATATGTGGGTTCACGACTATGGCGGCCCCCACGACTGGTGCAAGACATGGGCCGCCTACAACACAGGCTGCCATCAAAGCCATTGGAACACCTCGTTCTTTGGGCCCATAAAAGTCTCCTATAGCGGCAGAAACGTTGCTGATGGGGGCTGAAGCAAAGAAGCCACCGAAAAAACGCGTGACAAAGATGGCCGCAGCAGACTTGCTGGTAGCTGTCCCGATGCTGAAGAGTCCTAAGACGAATACGGCTGGCAACATTGACAGTTTCCGACCATACACTTCTCCAAAGGGACCCCAGACCATGGGGCCGAAGGCATAGCCAAGAACAAAAAGCGACAGTAGAAGGACGGTCACTTCTCTGCTGATATTGAACTCAGTTGCCAATACGGCTTCCGCGGGAGAGATGACCGAGGCACCGAAAGATCCAACAAAAGCTAGCATGGCCATTTGCGATGTTATCCACACTTTGTAGATAGGCGCAAAATTATTTGGGTTGGCTGGGTCGTTATCACCCCAGCTGACTTTGTATTGATCGTGAATGGGGGTTTGGCCTTCATCCTTCATGGTGGTGGCAAAATGCAATTGGGTAGAGAACCAGGGAGGAATAGAGAAGTATAGGAGAATAGTGCGATACGCTGGGAATCCCCCTCCTTTATACCGGACGTCTTACATCTTCGAATCTTCCAACTTTTATAACCAACGAGTGCATTTTCCTCTTTAATTCTAATATCCGAGAAGTTCTGTACGTATCAATAAAGCGTGCTGTCACTCAACTGTTCGTAGATCGATCCGGCATTTGGGCCAATCGGTTGCAACCTCTTCCGGCTTCACTCCTGACTTTGCCCTAACTCCCCCCGTTATTTACCTATTTTTTCTTGCTTTGTCCTTCTTAGGAAGTAGTGAGGGTAGAGAGCCAAGATGAAATGCAGGAGAGTATCGATAACCTCGTACTAGAGATTCCAATATCACAAAATGCATTTCTATTGATTACGTGGGAGCTGCCTGTGAGTTCCTCTCTAGTCTCATCAGTTTGCTCTGACAGCGGAGATAAGGGTGGAGCGAATCGATCCAGCATTTTGACCAATCGCACCGTGTCTGCTCGTAGTACTGCGACAGATTAAATGGCTCTATGCTTGTGATTTATTTTGCAGCGGAGCTCCAGTTATACTCATCCTACGGAGTAAGTGCATCTCATTTCTCTGGGGCTGGCTCGGTCGGGGTTAGGGCTGCACCCTAAGCTGGCTGTCGGCCAGGCTTATTGGCAAGAAAGCTTAGCCTGCATAATTGGTTTAAATGCTGCAAGCCCAAAAAGGGACTTTCTTTCCAATCATTAGCCAATCACAATCATCAGAGCTTTGGCCAATTAGAGCACAGGGATGGAATGAAAAGAGTCACACACATCGATGTGTCTCGTATGTTTTCATCGCACTTCGTTCCATTCAAGCATTACTTTAACTATCCAGCATCGATATATGCAGCGATGCTTGTAGCACTATTTGCGTTGCGCATTATAGGTGCGTCGGGGCACGGCGAAGACTTTTACTATGACCGAGGCTAGAGACATGTTAGGGTTAATCCCCCCGAAGTTCCGGCAACGCCAGCGCCGTGAAGTGGAATGCTCTGCGCGGACCAAAAGTACGAGTGATGGATGGTTATCTTATATCTATGAGGTTTCAAGATATTCCATCATGTCTACCCGTGCCATTGCGAATAACATTGAGGAATGGAAGAGGGATCTTTATGTCGATCCGAATTTGCATGGGTACAGCAGACATGGGTCTCGAAAACTCATACGTTGTATAACAGCTGCCCTTAGTGTCTTAATGAGATTTAATCAATCATCATCTTGGCAGGTTAGCAGATGGGTGCGCCGCCTCAGGGCCCCCGGCCCATATTCCCGACACAGTGGGTCACATATAGGGCACGGATTGTTCGTCAGTGTGCCTCTGAGATCGCAGTTCCCTATACGGAGGTCCATATGAGTTATAAGACATCTTAAATGATGTGAGTCTTATTTACTCCGGATAAGGTTGAAAGAGCATGGAGCATGATCTTTAAGTGAGAGATTTTGTGTGCTGCGATGCGTATGTGATGGTAAATATCAAGCGGCTCAATCGCGTAAAATCTCCCGATTGAGCTAGCACACATGTGAGATTTGGAGAAGAATTCGAGGGAAAGCTCGAGGGAAAGCTCGAGGGAAAGTTTACGTGCGTGCTAGTGTCCCAGTCCGTGTTGAATTTAGGTTACGGCCAAGAGGAGGCTCAAGCTATGTTCATGCTATCCAGTATCTCACGATCCCTCCTCGGATGGCTCTGGTACGACACCGGTGAGTATGTATATTAATGTGCTCCTTAGAGAGACTCGAATAAAATACTTCAGATCGGCCATGGAGACGTTAGAGATGGTAATATTCTACTGATATTATCTGGCGATGTAAAATTAGGTAGCTACAACTCTGACTTGGGCTCAATTATCATTATCTAATTAATTTTAGCCAACATAGGGGATAGCATGCTGAACCAGATCACACTCAAAGATTGTAATTCCCACCTGAAAGCCATCAGCACACTGGCCATGAATGTGACTGATCGCGTAACTAAGATTTTTAAGACCGATGTAATCCATTGGACTTTCAGGGCATCAAAGATCCTAAAGGAATTTATATCTAGCACTAATGAAGAGCCCCTGAAGAGCCTCCTAAAGGTACCTCATCCTTTAAGTTCTATACCGATGTGAGCTAACTAATAAACCTAGCATAAGTTTCTATAATTAGCTGGCCCAAGCTGGAGTCTCAAGCCACATCTTACAAAAATGCTCTAGTTTGATCCTACTTTCAAGAAGTTGACCTCCATAAACTAAAGGCACTTGGAGATATGTAATTTTTTCTCAATTAATTGATTGTATATTTTTACAACTGTGTAACACGCATGTCTCGTTCTGTCTTAGTAGCTCTGAACCTGTACATCGTTGAATTCCACTTTATCACAACTAAATATGTCAGAAGTCTTCCGAAGGAATAATACAGGGTATCTTTGGCGCCTTGAGATACTAGATAGTCGCGCAATTCGTGCACTTTTGCCTCACCCGGTTCTAGAAAGTAGCAGCGTAGTCCATTCCATATCTTCTGCATTCTGTAGTTTTATAGCGTTAAGTTGAATATGCTCAACTGCCTAAAATAAAGGAGTCCGACCACCATATTACTGGATAAGTAATGCAATTATCTGAGTATGCCCATGAATAGCTGCCAATGCAACAATCAGCGGCATCCATAGCTTTGCCAATCATGCTTAGAATTAATTTTTATTCTCTAAGAAGTTCTCTTATTTAAATGAAGCTCTATTAAGTAGTATAATTAGACCCGCCGGGATCTTCTTTCTACATATCCTTCCCGAGGAAAAAACGGGAGCAGGAGATTGACAAACAAATATAAGATATGAAATTCACTCATAGGATTGGCTGAGCTATAAACCAGTAGAACGCCATCTAGCAGCCTATAAGGAAAAGTATACATGAAGCACGAAACTAGTCCTCATCGTCCTCGTTCGCTTCGTCCTTTTCCGATGATTCCTTATTCAGCTCGCTCCGTTTCAGAAAGTCATCCAGCGTTATTCTGATTAGGACAGGGTAATAGCCCTTCTACTTATGTTTAGCCCCATGAGTCTTCACCCTATTGGAGAACTTACTGGATTTGCTGAGGACCACAGGCTGTCAGGGTCTAAGCAAAATGTGGTAACTCGGCTGTTCTCTCTGATTTAGATACCCAGATAGATTTTAGTATCACAAAGAATGCTTATCTGAACTGCCTTAGAGATGAGGTTTTTCCTCCACCAGCTGCGTCGTTGGAGTTCTCTCCTTTGTTGAGATTTTGCCTCAGTTATCGCGGGATCTATTTTAATATCCATGATCACTTGGATTCTAGATGTTGTTCTTTTCGCAAAAGGATTTAAAGGAACATTTATATTATAAGCTGAACTACTTGTACATAAAACTATTCTAGTTCAAAGTGCATATTATTTCAGAGTTATTAATCCTGCTTTAAAGAGACTTTTGATCCTTTAAGCTTCCATCTTATAGGTAAAGCCTCCAGCCTCTGTGGTGGGGAAGACAGTAGCATTGCGTCTCCTAACTCTGTTCACCTCCCTATGCATTTACTAGCAGGCATAAAATGTCTGCGTCTAAGTAAGGTAGTTGGTCTTCGTGGTGCGAAACTCCAGAGATCAAAATATTATGGACGCCAATTAAGCATAAGAAGACACTGTTCGCCTCCAGAAACTATTTTAGAGAGTGGTAATCTACTGTCATGTAGCACATGTCCAATTGACCAATATTAAGTCCACCCTGTGACAGTAAATCTAGGGTTGACTCTGATCGCGTCAACCTCAGACAGAGAGTGTCGCTCAGTAGCTTTTGCATATGCGCTGCAAGTGATATCACATCTGCAATCTCATACTGGTCTTCTGGGATTTGCAGTCCCATCAAGTGTATAGTATCTACTTGGCTCCCTCTCAACCTAGCGTAAGACAGAGCCTCCGAGATAATCCAGACATGATGCTTATACAACTTTAGGGGCATGGTCATATCCATATTGATGTAGTACTCTAACCAGTCTATGCGTTCTATAGTTGTGCAGAAATGGACTATCAATTCTTTCATATGGGGGAAAGCCCAGAAAGCCAGTATTAGAGTTAATTGATTAACACCAGTATCAACAATATAATTCTATTTCCTGTATATCTTCTGTAAAGATAGGAAGATCACTAAGTATGGTGGATATTCATTTGCAGAGTGTCCATAATCATAGAGTGATTTTGCCTCATTCATGTACTCTTTAGATGTCAAGATGGAAGACTTGAAGTGATTAAAATTGATTATATCTTTGCTACGCGTTAGTTTCAATCTCACTTCTCTCGTCAGATTTTGTACCGGGTTTTAAGAGCTCTGGCATCATATATGTGAATGATATCACATGATGACATAGATAAGAGGTGAAGAGTGCTTTCAGGTCTCGCAGACTAGTTCTCGAGAATTCAAATCGGATAGATTAGAAGACCAATGGTATGCATATCACCCTTAATTGTTGGTTGACTCAAGATAATTGCTTCGTCTCCTAGGAAGACAGGTGACGGATGACTAGCAGTACAACCTTGATAGGTAAGCAGTCCAAGGTCTTGGCCATAGGTACTATATTGTATGGCCCAAATGCATAGAATCACTTTATAGAAGAGGGCATATCTATCCTTGCCCTCTGCGCCATTGAAGTGCTTACTAGGATAGGACTGGAACAAGAATTTATATTGAACCGAAGGTCTAGATACTAGCAGGGGTGTAGTTGGAATTTTACCACTAAAGCGGCTCGCTAGGACTCCTTTCTCTCAATACCTAGCGCCGAGCTACAGTTACATCTCAATCTTGTTTTCCTGTGGTTCTGACCTGTATAGACAGGAAATCGGTAATATTCCTTTTCTCCACCATACCTTCCTTATTCGCGCATAGTATCAGTTGTCAATATATTGCGCCTTGCACGGGTTTATCTAGCAACTAGGCTTTGCCATTTTTGTATCTAAATAACTTGTACTCTTGCAGGTATATAGATAAGCTTTCCCTTAGATACAAGTAGTCTTTTCAAAAGAGCTTTATGTATGTCCACTGCTCTACAAAATATAACACTATTAACTGGTCATTTCTGGAATCATCCCACGTTTGTATTATATCTAAAGCTCGCTAGTGGCTGTAAGTAAAGATTGGTAGCACTACCTTCATTTGGCCCACGTAGTCGGCACTTTTGAAGCTAGGCGCTAGATTCTCTTCGTGGCGAGGGCTTCCTGATGGGTGGGACTCAAATTCTAGTAAAAGGTAATCATCTTCTGACACTAGATCTAGTATAACATGCTCAGTGTCGACTTCTCCATGTCCCTTCCTATGCCTTTTTGAGGCGGGCTTCTCTGTGTGAGTTGGCTCCACATGAGTCAGCTCGTCCGAGGGAGCATTCGTGGTTGAGTGACTGTAAACCACGATAGTGCTATCAGTCAGCTCACTGTGGGCTGCGGGGACATCGGCCCACTCATCGTGAACCATGACAACGTCAGTCAAGTCACTACTAATCCTATCATGGTCATTCTGGGACGACTCTAACCGCGACACTATATTTAGCAGCATATTCTGGTCAAAAAAGGCAAATAAAATCTCTCTTGACACTGCTAGTGGGGTGGGAAATAGCGTAGTAGGTTAATCTAGACTGCAGATATATTGCATAAATAAGTACGGACGACTCTGCCAGTAGTTATCCATTATTAGGCTGTTAAACCTTCTCATTGCCGCGTTCTGTGTCTTGTTTGTCATAAAGATTGTCTGCCCATCCAGAGAATAGCTCTATATAGAAAAAAGAAGTCGCAGACCTTGAATGAAAAGATCTCTGGCTTCACTAAGTTGTTAATTATCTTCTACCTCTATTTACTGGCCAAGGTACAGGTCCAGAAGTTCTTAAGAGTAAACCACCTCGGGATTGGCCTTGCTCAGTCGGTTAATATTATTGGAGTGGAATCTAATTCAGTTTGCGAGGTTTGCTAACCCCTTAAGTTTCTGGATATCGAATAGCCACTTAATCTTCTTCTTCCGCTTATTCTCTATTTCATTGGTAAATAGCTATACGAAGTATCTCCAGGTATAGAGCCACAGCTAGACCAGTGCGACTTCTCTTTCATAATGAGACGCTGTATAGCTACTAAATATACCCTTGGAATCCTGGATTTGTCTTTTAGAACTACTGACCTGGTATCCTACTAGTAAAGCTTTAGAGATGGTCTTCCTAGTCTCCTTGGGATATAAATGTTATAGAGCTGCAGCACATGGCGCCAAAAACGTGAGGTCCTCCACCATAGTATATATAGGAATGATCCTTCTGGAACCTTCTACTATAGCCTACAACCTCTCCCTGGTTTGGTCCCCTTCCACCCGCGGGAAAATGCGTCTCAAAATCATGGCTTCACTGATCCATGTACAGTCCACTTAGGAATACTTTAGCATCATACCCTCCAGGAACTCTACCATCTCTATGTCCAACAACATACCCTGCACTTTGGGCAAGAATGCTGACCACAGCTCGTAAATTCGATTAAGGTAATAAGAGACTTGCTACAATCACTGATTAGCGTGTGTAATCTGTTGGGCAGCATGTAGCCTACTTCATAATAACCCATGTCTAGGACAGTGCGGAAATTATCTGCCATGAACCCCTTCCACAGTACTTCATACAGTAGTAATTAGTTAAAGCCATAGCAAAGTTATGGCTTGTGCTGTAGACATTTAATATTTTTTTTTTCTCCAGCAAACTAAATCAATTGAACCACCTTTGGGCTCGATTGCTATTCCTGAGTATCTCATACTAGCGAAAGGCGCAATATATATCACCATCACTGAAAGGCTTCTCGTTTGACGACTCCTCACACAGATGGGTCCATAAGGTGCTTGATAGGTCTAGAATTAATTACTTTCATTTAGTATCTTATGGATTAGTATTTCCAACCTTGACGGTACAGTTCTACCACCCACCAGTACTCTCCAAACTAACGACATGCTTCCAGTCGATGTTTTCCTTGCGCACATAGCAGTTTCACATCTGGTCCGAGGTCTAATAGAGGTGGATCGGAAGACTCTTTGAGTCGTTCCAGACTCATTTGTGTTTGTGATAGACTCTGCGTAAGGATATCATCACTAATCTGAACTGCAATATGATGTTTAGGCTCCAGACAATTGCAGCCCTCTATTTCAAAGACCCTGACCAGGCGCTTAATATTGTCAGGATCTAGCTGTCTTATCCCAATGGTATTCTTAGATTGATATTTGAGGTGGTGAAGCTTTACTCTCGCGTAGCCATAGAAATAGCGCTCTCTGTCGGATTTATTGTTTGTAGAGTCTATGTTTGTGTGAATAAAAGTTCTAAAGAATAGAAGATATGTAAATGGTAGCAATCAAATTTATATGTCTATGACTGTGTCGAGGCACTAAGGAGCAAAGCTACTACAATGCAGAGACAACCACAGGTTACATAAAGAATCACACGTTATGACTGTACCTAGACTCCAAAGAGCAAAGCCCATAAAATAGTGCAGAGACCATCTAGTGGGAAGACTATTAAGTGCAGCCACTTGAAATTTATGCAAAGACACTGATTCCTTGCATACACACCCCAGTATAAAGGCATGGGGGAAGTGGAAAGGCATAGTAATGGTGCAAACGCATCATGTGTGAAGACACCTTAATGTAGGGATACCAAGGTGCAAGAACACAAGCCTGCTAAAACATCTGAATGGAAGAGCACAGTAATGTGAATGCAAAAGAGTGTCAATACACTACAATGCAGGTACTATATTATATAAATACACAAGTGGACTGGGGCACGAAAGCTGTGTAGAAGCAATAAAATCATGTAAAGACACTATGGAGTATAGACATAGAAGTAGTGCAAATGCTCTTAATTAATGCCAATATATATAGGTGTAAAGGCACTATTGTCTCCTTAAAACCATACAGGCTCCAGCTGGTGCCAATGCACACTAGTGTTAATGCATATAGATGCAAATGCACTATTGTATTCCTAAAAACCGTATAGGCCCCAGCCGGTGCCAACACACACCAGTGTTTGTGCGTATAGGTGTAAAGGCACCGCTGTATTCCTAAAAACCATACAGGCCCTTCCCATTTGAGACGATTAAGAGGCAATGCATTGGTTGAAGCGGAGCAAGCTAAAGTTATAAAGCAGTACCGCGAAGAGATCGAGGCATTAAAAAGTCCCGCAAAACCTGGTGGAAATGTGGCCAGCGCTCAAAGTGTTGGGGAAAGGCTACAACACCAGTCTCCCATGAGCTCATAACTACTGAGAAGAGTAAGAAATACACGAAGCCTCCTAGTGACGAACCTCGCAAGAAGATCAAGGTCCCAGATGCAATGCCGACGCAGGCAATTTCAGAAGCAAAGGCTGAGTGGAATTATCAAAAGACCTATCATAACTCTCAAAGCCCAGAAATCGACCAGTTGATGGACATGATTGGACTGGAATTTGTCAAGAAAAAGTTCTTAGAAATTAAACAGAAAGTAGATCTTGCAATCAGACAGAATATTGATCTGAGCAGCGAGAGGTATGGAACTGTGCTTCTGGGTAACCCTGGAACTGGCAAGACGACAGTCGCTCGGCTTTACTCGAAGTTTTTGGCGACAGTGGGAATTATCCCTGGATGCAAGTTCATCGAGACCACTGGATCAAGGCTCTCGAACGAGGGGGTTTTGCAGTGCCAGAAAACTATCGAATCACTTCTCAAAGATGGGGGAGGAGTAATCTTTATTGATGAAGCCTATCAACTCGTGCAGGCTAACAGCTCAGGAGGCGGTCAGGTTCTTGACTTTCTTCTCGCCGAAGTCGAGAACCTCACGGGGAAAATCGTGTTCATTCTTGCCGGGTATCAGAGACAGATGGAGCAGTTCTTCGCTCACAACCCTGGACTTCCAAGTCGTTTCCCTCATGAGCTAAAGTTTGAAGATTTTAACGACACAGAGTTAATGTTGATCCTAGAACACTGGATTGAAAAGACATACCAAAAGCGAATGAAAATCGATGGTGACCCCGGCGGGCTTTATTGCCGCATTGTTGCTCGGCGAATAGGGCGTGGACGTGGAAGTGATGGCTTTGCAAACGCGAGGGCTGTCGAGAACACCGTAACCAAGATTACTGAACGACAAGCCAAGCGCGTTGCACGAGAAAGACGAAATGGCTCCGGGATAGTGGACGACTTCTTCCTGGATAGGGCACGCCATTGATTATGATTTTCAAGACTCTAAAATACCTCTAATCATAATCATTGATGATTATGATAAATGACTAATGATTAATGATTTAATCATGATTAATATTGTCACGTGGTAATATAAAATGCCCAGTCCAACAATCCCGGCAATGGATATATACTTCTATATTACTGTAGTCAGAAATCGGGTATCATAATTGATGAGAACTTCCAGTAGTCATTATTCATGAAGCTCATTTTAGGTCTACATCTACTTATTCGATTAACTATTTTGGGACGAATAACACCATTGCTAGATCCAGAACTTCGTTGATCACTTGGGAGTGACTATAACCCCTATATCAACATCATCTTTCAACGGTCCTCTCGGATTGGTGGGTCTACTCCAGGCCAATCCTAGTAGCTTACAAAAAAAAGGTAAATGAAGAAATGAATAGCAAGATCGTGTGGATTGAGTTCTCTGTCTCCGTCTACATGAGGTTCCAAAGCCGGACTTTTATAGACATTTTGGCGGGGTGATTTTTGAGCTATCAGGAGGGGTAAACATTGGGCTATATTGAGCCGTACTAAGAAAATGCTTCTAATTTGCTAAAATGTACAGAGTAGGTGGCCGAATACATGTTGAGCCGTTCCGGGAGCTATGACTTTACCTTTCTCTTGACAGTGAATACGATTCGAAAGACATCTTGCCATACAAATCTTCGCGTCTTGTCCTTTTTCTTATAATAAAATACATCTAGGGCGGAGCACAGTTCGACAAAATCGAGGGGCGCCATTGATCATATCATCAATTTGTGCTTGCATCTAAAAATATTAGATTTTTTTCTCCTGAGACGCGTGACCTGACTTGCTTTATTCCTCGACGTGTGATTAACTTGATACGACGATATCTACTGTAAGTGTCTCAATGAATATTGAAAGCTCAAGAATTAATTCATATGTGCCTTGTTGATACAAGACGTTCTGGAATTATGGTAGTATGAAAGGTTGAAGAACACGCGGTTAAGACGCGTTTAGAAAAATACTTCCGGGAGATGAAGCATACCGTCTTGCTGAGGGCCACTTTGCTAAGGAGGCCATGGACGAATTAGTGGACGGTATCACAAAGCCTAGATTTGCCAGAAAGCTCATCATTATCTTGGCTGGATATGACGCTGATATAAACCGACTTATGTCCATCAATCCTGGTCTTACCAGTCATTTCCCAGAGTCTCTCCAATTCGAACCCTTGTCACCAGAAAAGTGTACTCGGTTACTCAAGGAGCTCTTGTCGAAAAAAAAAAGAGATCTTCTCGAACACTCGCAAACAAAATTTGACATTAGCTGTGTGCAATGCCCGGACCCCAATCTGAGCAAGGAAATGACGCAAGGATTTGATACTCTGTCGAAGTCTGCAAGCTGGGCCAATGCTAGAGATGTTGAAACACTGGCGACGGCAATCTTTGGGAAGACTGTAACGACGATACAGGATACCAGTACAGGAGGATTAATATTGAGTCGAGACTCAGTCATTGAGGAGATTCAAAACATGATCACCGAACACAATAGCCGTGACAATTTCCAGCCGCAGCATCCTCTCACCAAAGACAACGGGGGCCCTTCCTTCTCAGTACCTCTACGTACCCAGAATACGAACCAATCCATGACCAATATACAAAGTGAAAATGCCAAGTCAACTACTGTATCCAATGCTAAGTTCAATAAAGTGGTACAATCTGACATAACCGAACAGAAGGTGGCAGATCAGCGCGACGATGGTGTCGCAGACGATGTTTGGGCGCAGCTTGAGAAGGATAAAGCTATGGAGGATGCAAAGGAAAAGGAATATTTGCGTGTGACTCATGATGAACAAGAGCAGAAAAGGGAGCTCCAGAAGCTTCAGGACGAGGAGAACACGTCAGCCAGGGAAGCCGATGAAGCAAGAAATCGATACGAACAAGAACGATTACGCCATGAATTAGAACGCAGAATGAAGGAGGTCATTGCAAGAGATCTTGTAAAGAAACGAAAAGCGTTGGTTGAAGCCCGCCGTAAGGAACAGGCTAATCAAGCAAAGCTTCGTCAGATGGAAGTTTGTATCATGGGGTATCGTTGGATCAAACAATCCGGTGGATATCGATGTGCTGGTGGCAGTCACTGGGTATCAGATGCACAGCTCCATTAACATTATAGTAAACTCATTCATGACCACTTTGAAAGTAGAAATCGATTCGAAGGCATGTATCGATGCTTGCTCGGGGGTTTCATATGTACACAGATAGGGCTTCTTTGAGCTTTGTTATGCTTCAGAAAGAAATCGTCCAAAGTATACTTTCATACAAAGACAAAAACAGCTCGGAAAATGAACAATTCATGTTAGGACTTATTCAACTTGAAGTAGATTTGATGGACAAAGCACAGAGTAACAGAAGTTGTGAAACATTTAAAATACAATAAAGGTAAAATATTATACTTTAGAAGTAAAGGCAACTTGTTCATGGAAAGGACTGAAACGCGCCGAAATGATAGATGTGTGTGTGGAGATTCTATACTAAGAAGATGGATCGGAATTATCGTTGTGCAAGCTGTCAAATCAGCCCATGTATCTATATTTCATACAGATACTTTGATTCTCTTAGACCGACGCACTAAGCACTGTGTAGAATGAACAGAACCAGATTCGATCAAGCGAGGATCGGTGTTCGTTATTTCAGATGTGATAGAGGAAGCGGGGGTGTCTATGCCGGAATGGCGATTGGAGTCAGAAGAGGAATCTGAATCATCAGAAGATGAATCTTCACGGCCACTAACAGGCTGTCTCGGCGGAAGATGTTTCAGCTGAATATTGACATCGTATGCATGCACATATATAGCATGGGCCAAGAAATCAGCGATTTTGGTGAACTTCGGCACATCATGGCACATCTTCCAGGTGCATCTGATCCTATCGTACGCCTTTGCGAGGTGACAATCGATGAGATGCCGCCGAAGAGAATCTTGTCGCTAGGGAGGAAATCTGTGCGGAGGCGGATTAGATGCGGAACGGCGGGATAGGCCGAAACAGATGATGCAAACATCTGTCGGGCAGTCAAGAGTTTCTTCTTCGAGAAAGCAAGGTTTTTCCAGTTCCGCAGACTCGTCATCGTCAAATTTCCAGTTGACTCGATCGCCCCGCCGATTCGGTTCACAGAGGGTGCTGAGCGCAACCATATCTTTAGTTGCCTGGATACGTCTTGCAAGAAGCTTATCGTCCTCGTAACTCTCTGCGTCTGGGCCATAAAAATTGTCAACAAGCCGTTCCCGCTCCGGGAAGATATAGGTGGGGATAGGAAGTTCCCAGTCCTTCTTGTCGGGGCTGTTAACATTACAGTCCTCAGGGTCGGCCTGACTGAGAAGTCGCTTGATCTGCCTGTCGACTTCAAGGATAGGCGCATTATAGAAGTGCTCTTTCCTGGCGGTCTCCTTGGTGTCCTTGGCTAATGTTTTCCTCAACTGAGAAAGCTCCTTGCAAAGCGATTCGTGCCTCTGGTAGAGATGCGGGAAAGCCTTCTGGGCTTTCTTCTTGGTCCCAGCAAGGGATCGCATCTCCTCTATTACTCTCGCTTTGCGCGCCTGAGCTCCAAAATCCGTGGGTCCTGGCAGATAGCGCGGCGCTGCTCCTTGGTCAGTTCGGCGGAGGGAGTGGACAGATCCCGTTTCCGGAGCATGCTCCCAGCGGCCTGAAGGAGATGTTCCTGGGGCGGCCGGAGAAGCACCACATTTTGAAGATCGCGTTGAACAAACTGTGATTGGTAGTGCCCCTCAAAAACCCCGTCACCGGATTGACCGAGCACCCTCTGCCACTCCTGGCTCGTGAACTTCCCTGTAATAGCATGTTAGATACTAAATGATCTTGACAGACCTCATAGTAGAGTTTTTCCGACTTACGGTTCGCCTCGTTGGCAGTCCAGCGCCGATAATTTAGTGGCCAACATCATCCTCGAACTTGGCATCCCGACCCAACTCCCGCAGCTCTTCTCGGCTGGAGGCATATGCCATCGGCTGACATTTATGAAGCTCGAGGCCGTATTTTGTGGAGTGGACATGCCGAAGAAGAGGGGTATCTAGGACCTCAGGTTTCCAATATAGGGGAAGAGAAGCAAGGTGGTCTGGCACCTGGAGTTGCCAAATTAGTTCTGGTGTCAGTGTAGTATTGGCGAAGGCCTCGTCACGAAATGCGTACGAGATAATCTGCAATATCGGGCAATATGCTAGTTGATAATCACAATGCATGAAAAATTTGGTTCTATAGGCAGGCTTTAGCATGGTAGGACTCTGAGGGTGGAAGTGATCGCTCTTACCCATCAGCACCCTCAGGTCGGCCTTTCAGGTTGCGAAACTCAATGATGGCACATAGGATGTCACGATTACCAGTCGGATCTCTGAGATAGAAGAGTTCAATATCCCGATAACACACCGAGTCTGGAAGATCACTGGCCGAAATATATTGGGGAATGTCACTTTGAAAATTTACGCCACGTTTTCGTTTGCCCACGGCCGTATTGTTGGGTAGATAGGCTTTCTGCGGAAGTTGTTAGATAACCCGGATATCCGGCGAGGCAGAAGCCAACCTTCAAGGTTCACCCCTCATGATAGCTCACAAATTTACCCCGCCAAAGATGTCTATAAAAACCCTTCTGGGAAACTCGTGTATACACAGGAACACACACAACACAATACATACAGATCTTGCTAGTCACTTCTTTCCTTTTCATCCCAGTAAAACCTCTTCAGGATTGGCCTGGAGTAAGCCTACCAATCCGACAGAAGTAGTACACCGGGCCGTGTCCCAGTAATGGATGACCACAGTTGGATCGTAGCGAGTTGTATTAACATGCTCCCATGACGAAAAAATCTCGAATAAATCCAATGGTGGCGGTACAGAATACAGAAGGCGTCCACCGAAAGCGTATGCTTTCCCTTCATCCGTCGAGAGATGGAGTGTTCGGCGGGGAATCTTCTGTTGATATACTGTCTTGTACATATGCGCTTATACAAACCATTATTTCCCTCCCAGCGCTGTTGATATTGCTGCGCCTGCCATAGCCCCAAAGAGCGTCATGGAGATGACATTGTCCACAGAGAGTGTACGGTTAATCATGTAGTGAGGTTATTCAAGGTTTGAGAGTTGAAACAAGTAAACAAACCAGACAAAATCGATGCGGGCCTTGTCAAGATTACGGAATCTGATTGGCCACTCGCTGTTTGGGTTAGGGTTGGCATAAAAAATTCGATTCGTCGTGCATTGCAGGTTTCAAGATCTTTTCTATGATAAGAGGGAACTCTTCGACTGAATAACCTTGTTGTCTAGCTTCTCTACCTATTTGAATCTGACGCATCTCGGCACAGTGTCCGGAGGCCGCCTACACGCTTGTACCAGCCAGGTGGGTGCATGTGCCTGGAAGTTGTATGAGCGCTCTGTTGGGCAAATTCTGAAACCAAAGAAATTCGTAGATTGATAACGGAGAACCTGCGCCGCTGCAAGATTGGTAACATTGGTTAGCGCAAACATCTTCTGAAAGGGGATCGATCTCAAAGCCTACTTTCTTGCTGCGTACAAAGCATCGAACAAAGTGCGGCTATTGACAACCATTGTGTCAAGAGTCGCACGTATGTAGTTACTCCATTCAGTCGCTAAAGCGGTGTTAATGGGATTGTTTGGATATTGTTGCTGATACGTTCTGTCGAAGACCACCAGGTCGCCGTAGATAGCCTCAAAAGTGTCGCAAAACATTGCCCACACATTCGGATTGTTCATGTACTCGAAAACCATGCCTGCTCAAGTTAGTCACTTCGGAATCAGAGAAGAACGTTAAGGAGTAGCAAGATGCAAAATTACCAAACTCTTTCACCGACATAAGTTGAGCTTCTGGAGCTTTCCTCGCGTAGCCTCCTGTCGGGCTGATTGCTTGGTTCATCGAAAACAACTGTTTGCCTTGTCAGCATCGAAATTCATGTGTTCGTTCTATATTCGAAAATCGCGGACAGGAGGTTCCAGTTGGAACTATCTATTCGCAATTTGCTGAGGACGCTGATAGACTGCTTGTGTTGATGAACCCAGCCGTATGACCAACATCATATAGCTTGTAGGAAAGAGAGCAAAGGAAAAATGGTTCTTACACTGCCTTTGATTTGGTTTGGCCGTGATAGGAAAATGGTGAGGCGATCCAAATGAGCCACGTTGCCGAGTTCACTCCACATGACGTTCGCGATAGAGTATGGGCGGACTTGAGGCAAAGTCCAAGACAATCTGGTTATGCTCATTGCATACTCTTTCGACCAGTTGCAATCTACTATGCTGGCCGAACTCAACATCACTCGTGCCGGCTGATTTTTTACCCGGCCCTTTTCTAACCATTGATCAAAAAAGTCGCCGATCAATTGACCCTCGAAAACATGCTCGGCTGTGATTGAGGGGAGAATTTGGTCAGTACCGGTTGGCCATAATCAATGCAAACAGCTGCTAAAATAGCACAAGAAATGAATGAAGAAGGTATAGCTGGGAAAGGAAAAGCATACTTTGGTACTTTGCTCGAACCTGTCTCCCCGGGGCTATATAGACTTGATCGGCAGGTTGCATTGGGCCAACGCTCCAATCCACACATGATGAGGACGTGTTTCCATAGTATCTGGCGACGGCGTTCCATGCTCCATTGTCAAGAGTCTCCCACTGGGTATGAACATTGTTAGGAAAAGAAGGGTACATAAACTGTTGAGAAGCTCTAGAGATTTTCTTAAAGCATGAATTGACCTCCTTTTCCGTAAGAGTTACGTCGTATACCACACGTGGCACTAAGATAGCCAAGTCTGTCGCATTCTCTTTGGTTTGATGGGCTGAAAGCTCCCCAATCTCTGACATTCCAATATTAGTATCATGTTTTGTATCATTATGGCCATCAACGTGCTCAGTCATCACAATTTTACCTGGTTGTCTCTTTTGGAAGAAGGTACCAGTAGGCCAACTACCATCAACATCAACCGGATCGCAGTCTGGACATGGTGTAAGATCTGAATTGCCATATATGCAATCCATACAGACACAGCCGCAGCAAAATGTTGGCTCCTCGTCCTCTTCAGTTTCGGTCATACAAGAAACACAAGAATTACACTTGATTTTGCTCTTTTGACTTGTGAATATGTCGCTGTCGCTTCCGATGAAGGTAGAAGGGCTAATCTCAGAGTCACTCTGATAGCCCCAGCCGGGATATGAGCCAGACAAAGTTCCGTTTTTGACGTATGTTGCGTAGCATAATTCTTCGGCATCGGGAGATTGCTAGACAAGAGTCAGTAAAATCATCATGGTGGATTTGACCAGGCTAATTAGTATGGGTAATATCTACCACGTCAGAAACCAGGTAGGTAGGGGCATCAGACGAAATCAAGGAGTTTCTGTTAGTTTAATACAAGGCATTAGTATCTCAATGCGTAGAAGCCAGTGTCGTAGAAGGGTGTGGACTCGACTCACTGGTCGCTTGTCTGCCAAGCTGTCGTGCTGTCGGTATTATTGATAGTCAGCTGGACAATCTTCACCTGTCACTCAATGAACTGAATGTACTTACGAGACGTTATAGTCAACACAAGCTGAAACGGAGTCGGGAGCACCAAAGGTGTAAATAGTTTGAGTACTCCACTTCAGTTCCATCTATCTTGTGTGTTAGATTGACCGAAAATATGTGCTTGCTTGGATAGGTCATGGGCCCGCGAGGCTTACATCGGCTAACTCTTCAGTCAACTGGGCAGTTTGCGATGGTCCAAACCATTGCAGATCCGCTTTGACTCCGAATGTGACGAAAGTAGTAATACCAATGGCCGCGTTACTGCTCGGAGCAGAATATAGGATATTGTTTTTGGATATCGATATCTGGTTGGGCTTGCGTTTGTCATTGTATGGGAAGTCACCTGAACCGTTGGAAGAGCTGGAAGAGTTCTGCGGAAAATTTGCCTTAAATTCCCCTAAATCAGTGATTGAACGGACTTTTAGTTCTCCATCATAATGAACTGTACTGTCTCCACCGTCTGGCGATGAGCCTGAACTGTTGTAGGTTGCCAATTGATAATCAAACTGAATGTATGGTTGGATGATAAGTGTCCTACCCTGGGATAAGTCCACGGTCACGCTGCCATCCAAGTTGTTCAGAGAGCCTGTGACAGTGGCAGGGTTGGCTATGTTCGCCTGGGAAATGTCGAGATTGCCAACACCAGCCACACCATGCGTGAGGTCAGTCTGTCCTGTCGCAGACACAAAACCGCTCATTTGTACGGGCTGAATAGTGTTTTCGTTTTCTGAAACGGTAAGTTCGGCCTTCATCTCGTACATATTGTCGTTAGTAAGGGGAGGCCTCTAAGGCAATTTGCCATTTTCTTCTCCATTTCAATCTTCAGGTTTGGCTCGTATGGCAGCTTACTTTCCTTAGACTGGAACGAGAGGGAGAGATTGCGGGCTGGGCACGTACAATCATGGAAAAGCCATAGCTTAATGACGCATTCACAGTCCCATCCACGTACGCCACGATACCTTCGGTAAAATCTGAGCCGTTGACGGGGCATTCTCCAATCCCCGTAGCTTGCCAAAAGATAGGTGCACTGACGTCCTGGTTGATCGAAATGTCACTTTTTGCACTGGTATCGTTAGTAAGCCACTGACTCTGACGCGTGTCCCATTCCCAGGTATTCGGCGCAAAGAAACGTGCTTTGATCTTGCTCAAGTCGCTATCTTGGATACCAGGATAGTTGACCATCCCATCCCAATACCCCGGCATATTAGAGACATCGATTCGCATGATGGTGTTATCCGTATCTCTTCTAGCGAGGGACAAGTCAAAGTCAAATGAGAAGTCGTATACCTGAGATGAGGCACTTCTTTTTCCAAGCTGATCCAAGGATATATGTTGATCTGGAAGGAAGAAAGGTCTTGTTAGATAACCTGTTGAAAAAGCATGAAGTTAAAAGGAGTGAAGTAAAGATAGAATCAGCTTACCTTCAGACACCTCCAGAGATATAGCTCTAGCAAACCTTTGCCTTGCGCACTTCGTGTTTCTAGATTAGCTTGTTTCCCTTACTTAAGAAAAAACAGAAAGCTAAGACAAATGATGGTAGTCGAGAACCTACATTCTCTGGCATCTCAACAATGGTTCCCTTGACACCACGTTCCGTTATACGAAAACATCCCTCAACATCATCGCTCAAACAAACCACTCTGACTGTTTGGGCCTCGTTTTGAGAGGCGTCCATGACATTCTCCGGGCAATTGAGGAAGGTAAAGGGTTCCGGATCGGTTTCACTACGCTTGTTCAGTGTCGTAACAGCATACGAATCGCCTGCTATCAGCATGAGTCCAAATCCAGTCTGAGCAGGATCCATAGAGCCCTGAGCGGCGGCAGCACCAAATGTAGTAATACCCCACTGAATAGTGCTGTTGTCCAAGGGTAAATACTGCGAAGGGAAGAGATATTCAAGTGGCACTAGCGAAAAGTCAACGCTAGAGGCGTTAAGCACCGATTTATCTGTTATAGCTTTTAATGCCTCAAGGTTTGAGTCATCGAGGTCGATTGCCCACACCATTAGACCTCCGAGACCCATTTTGTTTGCATACTCGATCTTGGCAGCAAAAGTCTGTTCATCGTCATATCTATGTCCCACTATTAATATAATCATTCCAGACTATGATTCAGGGGGGGGTGAACCGACGAAACCCAGTTATTCCCACTGTATACCATGTAATTCACGGCAGCTGACGTATCGACGTAGGGCGTTGCGCCGGTATCTGCAATGATCTGTTTGATCTCTGAATAATGCACCGTGAGATATTGCTTCCGCTATCTGTAGAGGAACCCATTACTTACCACGATATGAAAGAATGCCGGGAGTGTGAGTACACGGTCCTGCAGCTCCAGCAGAGAGAAAAGAACAGCCAGGTTTCCAACATGATGTATCTGCCAGCTCATAGGTGCGGCCATAAAAGCCCAGTCCCAGGACGATGTCAGACGGATCAACATTCACTCGCCAAAACTAACGTGAAATCAAACATTAGTCGCGATAGTTACCATTCCCCTTGAGAGGGAATTGAATCATTGTTTTTGCCACTCACTAGGTCAAGCGCAAGGTCTATTTCAGTCAAGTTTGTATGGGCAAAAACCTCTGAACCGATATAACGATCAGTGGAATCCCAAACTCCATGAAGATCATATGACATCAAGTTCACCCAGTCAACGTATGGGATCATATTTGCTAAGTCAAAATTTTGAAGATACCAGTATGATGTCGGTGCTGTGAAAGTCAAGATGTAATCTTTGCCTGCAGTGTTGATAGCAGCACGCAACTCTTGCAAAAATGTTGCAAAATTAGCCCCGTCTTCGGGCTGGCCGTCACGATCACTTGCACCTGGATACTCCCAGTCAAAATCAATGCCATCATAGCCATATTCACCAAGCCATGATAGTACGTTCTGAATAAACGTTGCACGGCTGGTGGCACTTGAGACCATTTGACTGAAAAGCTGTTGCGAGAAGTCCCAGCCGCCAACTGTGATTATGAGTTTAAGCTCCGGATTTTTAAATTTGACATTACCAACACTCTGGTAGATTCCTTCGGGAACTCCAGGCATGGTTGTAAGATCAAAATCATCTGATATGTAGGCAAATGCTACATTCAAATGCGTCAACAAGGTGGCGGGAATTTGCCCTGGTGGCATGGTGCCCTGCACATCTTTAGTGTTAGTAGACAAGTAACACGAGATCATGATTCTCTATATAGAAGACGCACGCAAGGATTCTCGCTGTTCCAAGCCTCCCAATAACCGACTATACGTGTCTGGGTATTACTTGCAGGTGCATCGGGAACCGGCTGAGGGCAATTGGACTGACAACCAGTTACGCAGAAGTCGCTAGTCGTACCACAGAAGCCGAATTGCGAGCAACAGACATTCAGGGGACAAGTTTTTCCTGCAGGGCTTGCATCTTTGCCGCATTCAGCGGTAGCATTGCAGTTGGACTGGCAGCCGTCACCGCAGTATGTAGAACCATAACCGCACCAACCACTGGAGCCACAACAAGCTCCGTTCGAGCAGGGGGAACCTGGGCCACAGGTGTAGCTGCCCTGGCCCATGGTTGAGTTTGATGAGTCCCTCTCATAGACCCTCATGCCAAAGCCCAGTTCCTCGGCTTGGGGAGACTGCAAAAAGTCGCCATGATCTGTAACAGTCGTCTTCTTGTCGGTTTGGCCAGTTTGGTCCCAAGTCAGCAGGGACTTTGAAAATGAAGAGAGTTCAAGGTTTGATATAACAAATAAAATAAGAATAAAGAGAGGAGGTACAAGCCATCGCCGGCTACGTATAGGCATTGCCATTGAGGGACAGAAACGAGTGCAAATCAGGTCAATGCGGTGACTGTAAAGGAGTGACTATAAAGAGTGAATGTGAAGACAGACGGGATACGGTGGTTGCAAGTATCATATACCCAGACCTTGAGACAGATGGGCGAAGTTTTTCGCGAACCGACGTAACTAGATATAATGTAACAGTCATGAGATCCGTTTAAACTACTAGAACTAGTCATAAAAAAACTACCCCTATTGCGCGAACAATGGCATGCAGAGTTGCAGACCAACATCGACTCGGTGGCATACTATCTAGGCAAAGTTCCCACATAGCTTCTTCGCTTGGGTAACTGTAAGTACATGTGGCACAGCGGACTTTGATGAGTGTGACCGAGCTTCAAGTCCTGCATTCTAGTATTTAGTAGAGACGTTGCGCAAGCGGGTCCTCTCAGTAAAATGGATAAAAGATGGCCTATAATTATATTAATGATTTAGCGCACATTTTTGCGCTAAACTATAAGAGGTTTAAATACATAGGTTTCTAATAACCGCCCTATACTAGGGTGAGTGATTAATAAGAAGTTTAAGCTAAAATAGAATAAGTGCTGTAAAATATACCTACTACGGTCTACCCAGGTAATTTCCATAGTACGGTGGGGCTACAGGGGTATGCCCACCGCCTTCCTGTATCGGTTATCCGTCCACTACAGGAGGTGTAAGAGTCTATACTTAGATGCTAACACATATTCCTTACCACACCGCATAGAGCCTGCCACAATATCTGAGCCTACGAATGAGACTACAAAAGAGCCTCCGAATAGGTCTACGAACGAGTCCGCAAACGAATCTACCTCACCAAAGCAGTATAGCGCACGCTTAACCCGAGACGATCGCATTCGTGTTCAAACCTTGAGAGAAGCAGGATTTACCTATGAACAAATAGCGAAACAACTCAATATTACACAAAATCAGGTTCAATATGCGTGTCAGTCTGGTCAGGTTACTCCTAAAAAGGCACGTGGGGCTGCACCTAAGCTCTCTGAAACTCAAATGGATGAGATCATTGAATGGATATCTTCATCCAAGAGGAATCGTCGCATGCCATATCACAAGGTTGTCAAGGCGCTTAATCTCAATGTGACACCAACTACACTTGCCTATTCCTTGAAGAAAAGAGGTTATACACGATGTAAGGCGCTTCGCAAACCTTACCTAAGTCCTGAAAATCGACGCCAACGGCTTATATGGGCTCTAGAACATGTACAATGGACATATGAACAATGGAAACAGCTTTTATGGACGGATGAAACATGGGTCACATCAGGCTCTCATACTCGCATTTACGTTACCCGTAAGGCTGGTGAAGAATTGGATGATACCTGTGTTCGTTCAAAAATCTCACGACGTCGAGGATGGATGTTCTGGGGGTCATTTCATGGAAACATGAAAGGACCATGTCTATTTTGGGAAAAAGAATGGAGCTCTATCAATGCTGAACGGTACTGTGAACGAACAGTGCCATTGATTGACGGATATCTTCGGTTAATGCGACAGGAGGGTTTACATCTACAGTTGATGCAGGATGGGGCCCCAGGGCATTCAAGTTCTTTTACAAAAGATGAACTTCATTCTCGAGGCATATATCCCATATTTTGGCCTGCCTTTTCACCTGATCTCAATCCAATTGAGACGATATGGGACTGGATGAAGGATTGGATTCAAGATAGATATCCGGACGATGAAGAATTATCCTATGATCAGCTCCGAGAAATAGTTCGGGCTGCATGGGACGCAGTTTTTGAGAGCTTCCTTATTCAGCTTATTGGTAGTATGCAGGCTCGTTGTCAGGCAGTAATAGCTGCGAATGGAGGAAATATTCCTTACTAGCTAATTAGGCGTTTTAGAGAACGGCAGAATAATTGAGATTGATAGGTAGTAAACCCCTGTAGATATCCCTGCAGCCCCACCGTACTATGGAAATTACCTGGATAGACCATAGTAGTAAGCTTTCGACTGCACCGCAAGGGTCTTTTCACTTAGCGCATGGGCGGCAAACATGGTGCAACCGGGAATATCTCCGATTCTCCAATCTGAATTTATCCAGTGACCCACAACACTCTGTAGGAAATTAGGAATGGAGGCACCGAAATGTTGGCCTGCTGGAGGCTCAGACTAGTGGATACTCCGTACCCGGCCCGCTCCGATGCACGAGCGCTTTACGGACAAATCGGAACTTTACAGCTCTCAAGCAGAAAGGGACTGTGCGCACTGAAAGGATGTGGGTATCATTCACTCGGTATTAAACTGAACAGTACCTTACAAGCAAGTTTAACATATGCCAGCCATACGGCTGATATCGCACATGTATCAGGTATAGTGCGGGCAGATGTTTGTCCGTGATGCTTCTTAAAGCCTGAGAGAGGACTGGACTCGGGGGCATGAGGACTCTTACCTAACCTATCGAGCTTCGATTATGTCCTAGAGCTGGCGGTGTATCTGGCACTCTGCTATGGACTGTTACGTACATATCAATTATAATCAGGTCTCTAGGGCTATCGGAAGAACCACTGTGGACCTAATATTCAGCACTAAAGTAGTGAATACTACACGACCAGGCCGAGAAACACCGCTACGATACGACTTTATCACGCGCCGTTCGAACCTCAACAAAGAGAGATGCAGGGTATCGGACTAACCAGAGAAATTAATCAAATTCTCTCGCAAGAGGACCAAATTAACTTAGAACACTGAAAGGTCTTCATGAACCCCTTTTTTCGAACTGGCAGATGGAAGGGACCCGTGGACCCCTCGAAATCTTGTGAAGCAAGCGACGGCCTAATAAGAATCTATATGTATTGCTCACCAACAAAGGTCAAAATCGTTTAATGTTGCCTCGTTTGATCTCTGTTCATGAGGCATGAACTTTGCACTTGTTTTCCAACACAATTTCAGTATATCTTAATATTTTCTTGCTCTTCTACGAAAATGAAGATCATACGTTCCTTTCTTGTTCTGTTGACCCTATGGATGGCGCAAGCTTCTGGCATGGAAGGCCTACATCCTCGATCTAATGAAACGGTCAATGGGGGAATGACCAACAGTAGCAGTTCAGAATGTGTCAGCTACGCTATACTCGGAAGCGATACCTGCTTTACCATTGCATCAGCAAACAGTATTACATGGGCACAGTTACTTGCTTGGAACCCAACTCTCTCTACGACTTGTTCGTAAGTATAGATCTATGGGAAAGAATGACTGGGCCAGGGCAGGCAGGGAGATGCTGATAACTAATATTTCCCACAGAAATCTACACAGCTTCACAAATATTTGTGTGAGCAACCCAGCTGGAAACTACTCTATGCCCACCAACACGGCTGGCGTTACCCAGATCATCACTACAACAGCGTAAGAATCGACATAACAAGGCTTTCTCAAGGAGCAAAAGAACGACTGACGGTAAAGACCACACGCAGTGCTATTCCAACCCCTACTGTAGATGGCAGCAATCCTGATTGTGGTGAATGGTACTATCATGTCGGTGATGATGATAATTGCGATTATATCACAGAGACATTCAGTATCTCGCTAAAAGACTTGTGAGCTCCCTTCTAACCTTGCGTTTCTTGACGTATGAGCTCCAATCTTACTCTTGCTAGCTTGTTCCTTAATCCTGAGGTGTATTCCAATTGTACGAACCTTTGGGCCGGCTATTATTACTGTGCCGAACCTGTGGGCTACATATCAACCTATCCGGGCTACTTATCGACATCAACCTCGTCCATGTTCAATCAGACTCCAACAACGCAATTGCCACCTGGTACCAACATTGAACCAGATTGGCTAACAACAGCACCGATTATTCCTCTTGCTAACGGAACCCGAAAGGACTGCAATAGGTACGTTGCGAACCAAACCATTCACTGACTTGGAAAAGTAAACCCTTGAATATGTTGGCTAACCAAGATGTCATTCTTCAATAGCTACATTTGGGTGGATACCGTTGCAAATACATCTATTGCAGACTGCTGGCATTTAGCCTGGGCATATGGAGCAACATCTGAAGTGGGTCGTCAAAACAGACTGTTCATTACTTTAAACATGTTCATTACTGACGATTATTGCAACCAGGAGTAAGCTATTAGAGACCCTTGAAAACACCAGCAAGTATTGAACAACATGGATGGGGCTGATCAGTGATTCTTTCATCTTACTACTAGATTGGTGCTCTGGAATCCATCACTTGCGGAACCAAACACCACGAACTCGTTTATATTCCCTGACGCTACAGCCACGGTTTCACCCATCGTCAGTGATACTTACACATACCCTTGCACTATATCACCGAGCTTGTCGTACTGTGTGCAATTAGAGCCTGCTACAACAAGTAAGTTGTGATCACCATTTTCTACGTTGTAACTATCATGAAACTCGGGCAAATGACTTGTATTCTCTTCTTTTTCTAGCATCGTCTAGCGCGATTGCCACGCCTACACCTCGTGCGATAGGCGAGACAGTTAATTGCACCGAATGGTATGCGACAGAATCTTATGATACATGCCAGGATATCATCGACATCTTCGATCTGGATGCCACTGAATTTTACGATTGGAACCCAAGCATCGGTACCAACTGCACTGGACTCGTCGAAGGCACCTACTACTGCATCTCCACAGGGCCTGCCGGACAGCCTCTGACGACAACCTGGACTGGCCCTTATCCTTCGGTCACTGCTACTACGACGACGAGCAGTGGTGTATCCACACCGTCTCCCATTCAAACTGGCATGGTGTCAAACTGTGACAGTTTCTACCTTGTCCAGGCCAATGATGAGTGTGACACTATTGCTGCTGACTATGGAATCAGCCTATCTAGCTTTTACTCATGGAACCCAGCTGTGGGATCCAATTGCGCCTATCTAGATCTGGGTGATTATGTTTGTGTTGGTATCGCGAGCTCTCCCACAGTTACGACTTCTTCAAGTACAAGCACAAGCACTGGAATAGTCACACCTTCGCCAATTCAAACAGGCATGGTCTCGGACTGTGACTCATTTTACCTGGTTCAGGCGAACGATGAGTGTGATACCATAGCATCTGAGTACGATATTACTCTAACAGAGCTTTACTCTTGGAACCCTGCTATTGGATCAAGCTGTGAATACCTTGACCTCGGTGACTACGTTTGTGTTGGTGTTTCTGCTCCGGCAAGTAGTGTCACAGTCACAAGCGGAAGTACCTTGACGTCCTCCATCTCAACACCCTCACCCATTCAAACCGGCATGACGACCAACTGTGACGAGTTTTATGAAGTCCAAGAGAATGATACCTGTTCTGGTATTGCTTCCGACTTTGATATTAGCCTATCTGACTTCTATGCATGGAATCCGGCGGTAGGCTCGACTTGCGCATACTTGGAGCTCAACGTGTACGTGTGCGTTCAAGTGTCATCGTAACATACCTTACGGTCAAGCGGAAGGGCACGAAATCTCGCCAAGAGATTTGCCAACTGCTTCCTTGACACTGCGCGTTTTGAAGATTTGATTGAGAAGATGGTACTTCATGTAAACTATCTAGCGACATTTAAGTCCTAATTAAGTACATATATCAAGCAAACTGCTACGGCAGAATCTCTAATAGCTCAAAATCATCTGAGTAGAGATGAAACGGTGATATCTGACGGAATGGGACTGGGCTGAGGAGTACTCTCTGCGTGCGGAAGGGGTCCAATCCACCATGGTAAATAAATTCATTTGTGGCCTTGTCATAGCAGCAATAGTCCATGTTACCAATATCGTCCCATCTGTGATGCAAAGTCAACACTGGCCTTTCACCCACTACGCGCTGAGTCCAGCCGAGTCTGTCGCGTATGCCCACAAGCAGCTCGTGATAACCATTCGACTCTTGATGCAGAAATTCCAAGTGACTCAGCTCAACAGACCGTACAGAGGTGGGCAGGTCAGCCAGCACGCTTAAAAGTTCATCGCCTCGCACTAGAAGTCCTGAAAGACCAAAATGTTGTAGTTTCTTCCATTTTTCATTGACTGCAGGCAATATCGTTTTTAGTGGGATGCAGTGCTCAGGCCCCAACGAATCGTCTGCAGGCCTGCTCAAGTGCCGGGCTCTTTCATAATTGACGTTGATCTGCAAACTAAAGTGTCTGAGATCGGATGGTAACGCATCTAGTGCCTTTTTGAGGAGACCGCTGCGGAACGATGACCAATTTTGCTCTGGAGAGCATTGTCCATCAGCCAACAAGGTCAAGTCAATGCGTTTAAATCCCGGACGCTGTAGTAAAGATACCAGGTTATCGTACTCTTCGCATGGTTGATCAAAGAGTCGGCAACTTAGTCCAGTCTGGTGAAGAGTATGTGTATCAACAACAAACTCCGAAACAGTGTGGCTGGGCAATTTTGAAAGTTCCTTCGTTATAACACAGAAGCCGCGCCACTTCTTTTTCTCTTCTTGATTCCAGGGCTCCAAGCTGTAAGAGGTCCGGTTTTTCAAATCATATGGCGGCCAGGTGTGCGGGATGGGGTAGTTAAATTTAGGCGGAAAAGATCGAATCATCGGGGTCTCGTATAATGGTACATCCAGGACCCCATGGGCTACAGGAGTAAGCGTGACCCGTGTCAATCGTGGAAAACGCTGTAGACCATATCTCAAAGCCCTGACGTCATCATCAGATTCAAGGACAGCTTTCTGTTGTTGTAGTAGCTGCTCATAGAATTCCCACGAGAGATGAATTGACGGATCTGTTTTGTGGGAAATTTTCCGAATCTCTCGAACCCTGACGTTCTTTTCGTAGGCCTCCTTGAACCACCAAGGAATTCCATCATTAGAGCCCATAGCCTCTTCCCAGTCTTCTTCATCGTCCGAGAATTCAAATTCTGGTTTCGGGACATTGTCAATGAGGCGAGCGTCGTCCCAGATGATCTCAACAATATGATGCCGAAAAGACTCGTGGTCTGCAATTGCGCGACAGACCTCAATATTGCGTGGATTAGCAGACAGAAATACCCTGTTGAGGCGGAGATGCGCCCTCTGGGCTAGCGTCGAGCATGTCCGACGCAAGTTCTTGATATCGCGGTTGGACAGGTAAGAGAGTATGAGTCTCAAGATTTCAAGCGGAAGATGTATGAACGAACTCATAACTGGATAACACCAGTCTGAATACTAAGTAGTGCTTTGTGTGTCGATGAAGTTCGGTGGCACTTCTCTCAGAACTCAGCTGACTGCAGCGGCTAGCCGCCAAGAATTAATCTACTATGTAATTTATAATTACAACCTCGTACGAAGGGAGTGATATACCTAACCCCCACCCCCATTAACTTATGTCGGCCTAGCCTGTTATTATCTCTTACACATGTAATTTTCTTAGTAAAGCGGATATTGGATTGTGAATTCTGCATAATTTATTAACTAAGTAAAAACAGTAAGGACAGGGCGTTCGGTCGCGTCCCTTCCCCTCAATACAAGTAAACAGCGGGGCTTCTCGATTGGTGTTGGTAACGTTCCTAACTTAGAAGGCTAGCATATACATTCAGTTTGCCTACATTGTTTGCCAACGACTCGGTGGAATGTGGCTCACATACAAACAAGAAGTGACTAATAAAGGTATTGCATTGATAATTCCAGTCTGATTTACGATGCCGTGCCTCTCTCAAGATGAAACGGTGGTTATCCACGGCTCTTGATCCGTCTCCTTCTACTTCGTCTTATCGACCCCTTTAATTTAGTACAGTAGTGCACCTGCAGCGACGACTTGCTCCAATTGGGAATCGTTGCGCAAATTGATCCTCAATTATACCCCAGCTGAAATTCTTGTTTTTCAGTTCAACGATAAACGCATCTTCTTCTGGTGAGAATTTTCTTGATCTCGCCGTAGAATGGCATTTCTATTGAGAGGGCTGAATACTATTCATTTGTTCATTCCCAAATAATGACAAAATATGGGATTGAGATAACTCTAAGCAGTAGACGACCTCGGATCCGATATATCGTAATTTGAGAAGGCCTTGGACGGGGATTGACTCGCTTTCCTGATTCGCCTCTTGTTGTGGCGACTCGGGCTGTCTGGTGCACGGAGACTCGGGGGATAGCCGTGGAACTCTTTCTTAAGAAGTCGATGAGACCGTGTCCAGTATATGACTCCTCTTCAACCTTTTCGCTGGATGCAAGTATTCCCTTTGATTCGTCTCTATCAATGTTGCCAACATGTTCTGCATCGTTCTCGTTCCCGTTGTTAGACACAGACACATCAGGATCTTCGACGACCTGACTCGCGCAGTGAGACTGATCATGAGATGCCGACCAGTCAGGTGATCCCTGCAACGGGTCTAAGAAACGAGGCAGAGCAGGGATTACAACTGGTTGAGACGGGGGGCTGGGAACGCGTGCTATTCCATTCTGCAACGAATTTGAAAAGTTTTCCGATAGATATGAGGTAGAAAGCATGAAATCTTCCAGAATATCCCGTGCTTCAATGCTTTCAATTGGCGGACTGCTTCCCCAAGACTCCAACTGCTGAGAGATACTGGTAGACAAATTTTGCTGAGTTTGACCCGGACTAACCGTAGGCGATCCCGATGTAGAAGATAGCGTCGTTATCATATCTGTCAGAGTGAAATCCTCGAGGACTAGCGCTGATATTGCTGTTTCAGGCATGCAGAGTGGTGATAGGCCTTGATCTAGTATAGGTGTGGCATCACTAGCTTGGTCCTGTAGCTCGGTCTGACCTTGACTGAGTGGCTGCGAGAGATCTGCATTTTCTACCGCCTTCGAGGGCGTTCTGCGGTGGAGACGGACGATACACATTCAGCTGCGATTTCTTGATCCGATGAAGTTGTATGTACGCTAATGCTATCGTCATCTTTGTCTCCTACTTGTATATGTAAGCCAAAAACCGACAGGTTGGATGATAAGGAGTGTACCTTTCACAGGCAAGCGAGCCAAAGACTCTTTCTCATCTTGTCCACCCTCCACGACTGAAGAGTCACAGAACGCTTGGTCACAATCATTTGAACACGCGGGATTGGGATGAACTGCATTAGATGTGCTTGTGGTAGTAGGTAAAACTGTAATCTCTGAACTGTGAATGGATGAGACAACAGCTGGTGGACGGGGGGGAAGTGTATGATGCAAAGCTGGTTGTCGGAAGGATGTAAAGGAGCTTGAATGAATGGAAGGTTTTGGATTGAATCTCTTTGAGGGGTGGAGGAAAGGATTTGAACCCTTATTAGAAGGTATGCTCTGTATAGGACGTGCAGGAAGGGAATGGGGACGGTAAAATTTGATTTTTTCTAAGGTAACAGCCATGATCGTGCAATGGTTATAGAGAGGTCAGGGAAAACAAAACTGATGTCCAACGGATACACTCCATCCTACTGAGCGCTGAGAGGTCTTTAAATGTGTCTCAGGACACAAAATGTGCAAAAAGATTGTTAGTTCTCGAATGTCGCGATCGCTGCTACTAACATATTCTCTGTCACCGTCGTCTCCACCTGCAACAAAGAACAGCGATATTGACAATGCAGTCGTCGTAATCAACGGACCGGCCGATTTCCAATCAGATAACCCAAATCCAAGCTCAAAAATGAGATATGATCTAGTAGCACGCCCGATGCTACTCATTTTCATGCGCAACTCCGCTTCCGTCCCACAATTGAGGCATTACTAGCCAATCTGTGACTAAAGTCATCCAGATTACCATGTTGTTGCTGCCGTGCATGAATCAAGGTGTCTTACAAGCGGGTTTGACGCTTGAACACCAACATTGGATCAGCATCCTCGCAAATCTGCCTTAATGAATGTGTCAGCCCCTTTCAGCTCTGCAGCTGTAAATGCTAGCTCAGATGATGCGGCATTTTCGCTATTGGCTATACTTGCCTTTCAATAAATGTGACAGCTGGAACAGTGGATATGACACTATCAAATGGAAATTGCGCAGCATTTCTACTGGTGGAATAGCAACCATGCACAGATGGGCTTATTTCTAGCGCGTCCGGGATCAGGATGCCTCTCATCCAAATACCACATGATTGAATCACTGGACTATGAGACCCGCCCAATCGATTGCAATGCTGAAGTTCCTAGTGGCCACGCTCGTGTTAGTAAACTCAGGACTGAGAGGAATTTGGTCTCATCATAGCCGGTAGAGTGAGCGAACAATGAAGGCCAATCTTCGATACAAGTCATCTTCCAGTCATCTGAATTGTGGATGATGGCTTACTGCTGTAGTAGAAGCCCAAAGCTGTAATTTCTGTCAACTACTCAAAAGTAGTCACGGTGCAGATGGGGAGGGCGGCGCAGGAATAAGGTGGATCCGCGCAGGGGGGATGTAAAAAATGTTTGGATTAGCAATTCGCGTAGTTTCTTGCTAAGCAGACACGGCTGAGAAAGAGCTGAGAAAAAAAAGGACGTGGAATTGACAGTCGTCGTTCAGGGACGCACTTGCGGTTTATATAGGCCTCGCGGAGTGGGGCGCCTCCCATTAAAGCGGCGAGAGGACCGCTATTCCCCATATGGTATACACTGTACTTCCACGACCTCGCGCTAAACGGGATCGGGGAATTTCTTTTCCGTTCCGTTCTCTGGTTGGTCGGGGGCCGAAACCCGCGCCCCGCTAACCGTCACAATTAATACTGAATATCGAAGCATGCATCATACTCGAAAACAAATAAATATATGCAGAGTATGAAAGGGGCTCTGCCACCAACAAAACTGAGCTGTCCAAGCGGCCCACTTGACCCGTATCGCGCCCCTCAGCGAATTGAGCGGCTCGTGTAGATTATTTGATCCATGAAACGCAAGCCCAATCAGAGTGATCTTTCAATTGACCGCCACGAAAATAGGGCAATGGTTAGGCTTACTGCCCAATGCCATGTCCACTTCATAAGCACTTGCATTCAGTACCGAGGACTCGGTGGCTGTGCCACATAAGCTAGAGTACGCCCTACGTCGTAAGGACTCCAGATTCTCGAGATAATACTCTATCAATGCACCACGCCAAGTTGCCAGTCCTTCAATTAGGTTCATCGTTCCCATGTTTCTTGTTCAAATACGAGGTGACGGCTCGAGTCCCAACTCCAAACTACAGACTTCAAACCAGACACGGTAATCGACTCATCTAAATCTGTAGAAGTGGACGGCTTGGCTTCGTGACTGGAAGTAACTAAGCCGGACTCGGATTATGGGTGACGAATAGGAATGCATATCTGCGAAAACATTTCTAACCCTAATAAGAAATGGTAAGCAATCAGCCTCTCCCCAGACCCCCGTACAGCGACTAGGGCAGCTTTGACTCGGATACTTCAAGACTTGATTGGAATATTGGAAAAATGAGGATCTATCTGCTGTGTTAGTCGACTCTAATAAATGAGAAGTGGTCGCCGCACTACCATGACAATCTGTTTCGCTTTTTGAGATTTTTGAATTTAACAGGCTGTTGAGGCTTTTCCGAAACGTTCGTTGCTTACTTCAAGCCCTAATCTCGGTCTCAGAGAACAAAAGATAGTTAGCCAAGTCGTCGCCATCTACTGCCACAAATGGCGGAACAAGCGCAGGAATTATACGGTGCACGAAAATTCGCACCGGCGAATAATACCGGCACCCTGCCCTACGATCTATCAATCGTGAATGGCATCAACCTCATCGCAAGACAATCGTCTTGTACCAATTCATCCTGGGATCCATGCACCAACAAGCCTGGAGAGTGCTGCCCATCTGGAGAGACATGTTGTGTGACGAGCAATTGGTGTGCTCTTCCTGGAGGCACATGTTGTGCATCAGGTACATGTCCCTCGGGCTGGAACTGCTGTGGTGTCAGCCATTGTTATCCTAACGGCGGCCAGTGCTGCTCGGATGAATGGTACTGTGATCCGGGATACTACTGCTCAGCTGACGGTAGATGTGCCCTTTTAAGCAGTTCAACTGCCACGGTGACAGACACTGCGGCATTCAATCCCTCTACAGCCGATGCAGCCTCCGTGTCAGCAACATCTTCGAAAGCATCAACAACATCATCGTCATCAACAAGCACCACCACATCATCTACAACCGCAAGCAGTACTACTTCATCCTCACTCTTGGCGGATAATACTAGCAGCTCAACTGCCACTTCCACACCCCAGCCATCTCATAGTTCTGGGCTTTCCGGGGGAGCAATTGGTGGTATTGTTGTCGGAGTCGTCGCCGTTATCGCTATTGCCTGTGTTCTAGGTTTTGTTTTCGGCCGCCGACGCAGTAGAAACACGCAGACAGAGCCAGCGCAAACCGCACCACCAACCCCAGCCATGACTCAAGCACCGCCTCAATATACCCAGAAACCCCCTGAAACTCAGTACTCGCCACCTCCAGCTCAATATCAATCTCCACCGACCCAGTATTCGCCTACCGCAGGTCAACATGAATTGGAGGCAAACAGCCCATTATATGAGGTTCAGGGATCTTTTCCGGACCCTGGATATCACAACCCTCAAAGATGATGAGCGCCTGATATTCACATTGTCATTACACGGTTTTGTTTTCATGATCTATTCCTAATACCCGGCGTTCGTGGGGAACTCTACTGTTAGCATATAACGCTAAAACAAAATCACTTGTCGACGGCGAGTACAATCCATGAGATTCATACCGCATAAACAACTTTTGAAACATTTCAGAACTGCATTCCAAGGTTGGCCCCGTCTGGATTTGATGTCACCGGCTACATTAGCTATTTCCAATTTGCCTTATGCGTCAATAAATAATCACAAATAATAGTTTGCCAATCAGTGATTTCAACCAATGTACATATCTTGCTGAATTCTGTCATACGGTGCAATAATTATCACATACATGTGTATACAGTTTCACGAGGACCATAATATAGCCACCCATAAATCTGGATTTGCCTTATATCTGACATATTAGAAGGTTAAGTACTTAATGATATCTATAGTTACAACATCTCATTTATTAAGAACGTCCTTGCAATGTCAGACCGCAGCAAATGACACTCTGCTTACTAGGGTTAGGGTGAATTGCGATAGGGTTTGGAAGATAAGGGCTGATCGGCTTTCGGCTTTGCTTACCAATTCATTAGTTAACCGATAAGTTCTGATCTCGACGATAGCCGATGGGGATAACTTCAGTCCCCAAGGATCCCTTCTCCTATAGTGCCAGATTGATAAAGAACTATGGTAAGAACGACTATAGCTTGTGCCCGATGCAGGTAAGTATTACTATAGAAGCGAAATCCATCAATAGCGCACAGCTAATCCGAGCTTTCTCCAGGCGATACAAGGTCAAATGCATGCACTCAGGGAACCCTCCATGTCAGGGTTGTATAAGAGCAGGCTCTGAAGTTTGTAGTACTTGCATACTTTCGAGACCAGCTGTGACAAGGAAGAAGAGGTCAGTCGCTTTTCGTGATTATATTGTCTACTGAAAGCTAAGCTCGCATTAGACATCGGCCAATTGGTGCACATAATGCTCCGCCGGATGCATCTCCACCACAGCACCGGACAGTGAACTCATCTCAAGTAGATGTGAGTCCGGCAAGATCTGAGCATGATAGTGTGTTGCCGCCGCATCGTGCACGTGATGATTGTGCCATTGATCCTGAGCTTGTTCTTCGCGCTGGCAATGTTTTTAATGAAAAGTTTCCGGAGATCCCTTTTCTACATATGTCAAGTTTCAGGAAATCTCTTAGGTTATTAGATAGAGATGCGGATGCAGGAACAGGTTTGTCAGGTGCTCACAATCAGAGCAGATTTGGCCCAGCAAGTGCTTTATATGCTGCATTGATTGCGGTCACTCTTCCTATAATCGAGCCCAGTGTGAAAGCGGATGAGTATGCCGCGCTCGCCAAGCAGTTAGTTTCGGCAGATGATGCTGGAGACATAAGCCAAGTTCAGGCATTAATTGTTCTGGCCATCTACGAGTGGGGCAGTGGAAAGCCGTATCAGGCATGGATATACAGCGGAATGGCAATCAGACTGGTACAGCTCATAGGATCAATAACAGACCGCGAAAAGACAACGGAACTACAACAAGTGATTTATAACCGGACTTTTTGGAGCTGTTTTGTCCTCGATAGACTGGTTTTCTGCGGCAAACCGCAGCCGCCGGCACTGCCGCTCTCGTTGATAGATACACATTGGCCATCTGGTGACGTGGACTTTGCATTTGGCACATTGGGAAGAAAGATATTCCCAGAAAATAATTGTGTACAATCATCTATGACTGCGGTGGAGGACATTGATGGATACTTTGCTCTGCTTGTGCAGGGTATTGACATCTGGTCCGACATTTTCAAATGGGTTGTCAATGGCGGAAGGCGTCAATCCTATGCTGTTACGTCCAAAGAGTTACCATGGTCGGCGGGTTCATATTGGGGAGTCACCTATAAAAGACTTCAACTCTGGAGACAGAGACATGGAGGTCGTATTCGGTTCCCTGATGGTAGCGTGGACGGACATGTCTCGTTACGAGGGGGTGCGGGAGAGGCCTTTGCGTATATCAATCTTATTTACCATGTGAGGTAAGACTATCCTACAGAACTTCAGCAAACCATACTGGTTTAACACTTTGAACTAGCATGCTATTCTTGGGCCGAGAGTATATTCCATTCTTGCCTACTCCGACCTCACGACCCAGTGGGCCTGTTGACCCTCCACTCCTCAATAAAGCAGCACCCTCACAGTGGTGGGAAGATCGCGCAAATGAACTATTTTCGGCGTCGTCCAACATAACAGCGCTCTTGAATGAACTGAGAACAGAGGGCGCCCCTCTCCTTACACCTTTCGCCGGGTTTTGTGCGTTCTCCGCGGCAACAATGAATATCTACGTCGTATGCTTCCCAGAGATGAATCTAGGACGCAGCAGAGGAAAAGAAGCGAACTTTGACATGGACTTGATTTACCTCGACGAATTTCGAGCACGTTGGCCGATGGGAGCTGGTTGGTGGGTAACTCTCGAGAAGATCAAAGATTTATACCGACGAGCGAGCGCAGACGGATCTAGGTATGCAGGCAAGACACAGGCAGACTTTGTGCATCTCTTGACATCTATCCATGATTGCACCGGGGCTTCACCTGAAGATGGCGATGAGAATCCAAGGTCCAAGACCCGTGGATTGACCAAACTAGGTCACCCGAGTTCCGAGGACCACCAAGCGGCGATGAGTTTACAGCAAGTATCGCAGTCGCGTACACTCGACGATGCAGCTCTCCAAGCCGCGCAAATGATACCTGACTGGAATGAACTGTGGTCCCTTTGGGGTGATCCTCAAATGGCTGCGTTTGGTGTGGAAGAGAACTCTTACGAGTACTCATTTGAAATACTATAAGGCAACACATCACTTTATTAGTTAGGTCTCATTTATGAGTCCTTCCAAGGCTACATTTGTAGCTAGGTAGACTAATGTCTACGGACGATTTCGAGAATACCTTCATGTATAGCCACCAATGAGATGCGATATATGTCCAGTTGACGAGCTATACCAAAAATTAACTACCCCCTGAGAGTCTCTATATAGGTAGGTGGAAGTGCCCCGTTAACTCTGAAGAGCACCGAGGTATTCAGGGACCAATAACACAAGCTGGACGCAGTGTGATTGGTGCTTCAACCATCTAGAGAATCCTCCGCTACATCGTAGGCCCTTTTCAGGGTTGATACTAATAGACATAACTCCTCGTCAGAGACAGTGAAAGGCGGTGCTATCAATACATGATCACCGTTCACACCATCAACTGTCCCGGTGCCTGGATAGATAGCCACCCCAAAATCAAACGCTGCTTTGTGGATTCTTGCACCAAATGCAATATGCTTTGGAAAGGGGGCTCTGGTGCTTGGATCCTGGACAAATTCCATAGCCCAAAAGAGTCCCCTACCTCGTATATCGCCCACATACCTGCAATCGGCGAATGTTTCCCACAGCATACGTCCAAGTTTTTGACCACATTCGGCGCAACGCTGTAGTAAGTGGTCACGCTTTACTATCTTTTGGACCGCAAGTGCAGCTGCACATGCTACCGGGTGCGCTTGAAATGTCTGGCCGTGATTGAATGCCGAGGTACCTCGTCTTAGAGAATCAACTACTTTGTCCCCGAGCAGCATCGCTGATATAGGAACATAACCCCCTCCCAGACCCTTTCCGATAGTTACTATATCCGGCTGAATTCCTTCCTGTTCGAAAGCAAAATATGTCCCTGTACGCCCCACACCACACATGACTTCATCCAGATGAAGCAAAATCCCGTATTCCTCGCACAAGTCCCTAACGCCACGAAAATAGCCCCTTGGAGCTGGTACACATCCTGATGTTGCGCCGACAACTGGCTCCGCTCTGGAAGACATCGTGATAAGCTAATTGTTAGGAAGTGCTTGGATAGAGGCTACTAACATAAATGATATAATCTTCTCCGGAGTAATGCGGAGAAACTCCTGCCTGAGCTCCGAGATCAATCTCGCAGCATATTGTTCTTCTGTCTCGTCTGCCTCTTGATATCGATATGCGTAGGCTGGGCTCACAAACGATACATTCGAGGGTAAGACATCCGTATAAGGCGCTTTACGAGCCAAGTTAGATGATACTGTCATCGCACCCATTGTATTGCCATGATAAGACTGCCTTCTTGCAACGTAGTAGCATCTTTGAACCTCTCCTCTCTCCACGAAGTATTGCCTAGCGGCCTTCAATGCAGCTTCATTTGCTTCACTTCCACTGCCGACCAGATAAGCCTTTGTGAGCTTGTGTGCATCGCCTCCCATATTGACAAGGAATTGTGCAAGCTCCTCGGCCGGCTTCGTTGTGTATGACATGGTGTGTACGTAACTCACTTTCTGCATTTGTTCGACTGTCGCTGCAATGACCTCGGGGTTGCCATGGCCGAGAATAGCAACCGCTGCTCCGCCACATGCGTCAAGAATTTTCTGGCCGTTGCCGAGAAATAAGAAGCTTCCTTGGGCATTGGTTACCATATGCGGAAGCTCTGCCAGTGAGCGATGAAGGAGGGCAGACTCTTTACAATAAGTGTGTAGAGTGGCTGTCTGCTCATGAACGGGTTCCATAGTATAAGATTCGGGAGGCTCGTCAACGACACCAGAAGTACTCATGATAGAACTTGAGTTTCTGCTAAATCGGTCACTAATTGTAGCAAAAGAGGAGTTTTATTTATCAAGAGGAATTATGAAGTATTGTTGTCTATAATTCCGAGAGGGGCCGGGGTGGCTTAGGGTTATCGCATTTGCTTCCTGGATCAAATTCGAGTCCCTCCAGCTGCGAATTACCATCATTCATGACTTCTGAGGTTTGTAGCATTATATGTGCATAAAAATAAGACCTATAGTTCCGCTTTGAAGATATTTACCCATGCTTAGCATATGCCTCTTTTTCCTTTCATTATTATGACCACAACAACCCTCATACCGGGTTTAGTCAAACCCGAAATGCGATCAATATATTCACCGACAGCAGATGCACGACTGATCTTGCGCAGAGATCGCATATGCACGTCAGAACCAGGGCTCGGACACACTGGGCTCTCTGCTAAGTGTTTGTATGGCTGTTCTCAATATATCGTCGTCCATGGAAGATAGTGATTGGCTCTGATAATTGCTTTTGCCAATGTGGAATGGACGTTCATCCACCTCGCAAACTGTACCCGTACTCGGTAGTTCACCTGTTTGAAAATATTTCCGTACTGTTTTCGCGGTGCATAGTGAAGGGGCACTAATTGAACCATGCTTTTATACCTTGATCAGTCACATGTACTCCGCGGGACTTTCTACCATCTACCATGGAAGTAAGAATATGCACTTACACCCTCGGAACGCTGCTCGAGGACAGTTGAGTTTGCAAAAAAGGTGGACATCAAATGGGCACTATTTTAAGGAGCAGTAGTCAGCTTCTCGGTAGGTTTTTCTGTGGCGTTTAAGTATTCGCGTCTAAAAGACTCACTTTCTTAGAGGGGTTACCGGATCCCGTGTATTTCCTATAAATAACAACGGATGCGACGTCTCACCGCCGATTTCACCTGGCGAAACGAACAAACAAGTTAGCTAAATTCCAGTAGCTTGAGAAAAACACCAACCGTCAAACCGCCATGCCGGTCTCTCCTTGAACCCTAGACAGACCATTGCAATAGCTGACCAAGCGTCCCCTAAGACCTTGCTTTGGTTCCTAAGTGTGTCTCTATAGTCATAAAAAGAGGATTTGCTGATATCTTTTACGTCAACCAAATCGGTGCATTGTATTGCAATGCCAGCCTCGTGTGCATCGCTGTAGCAGTCTCTTCCGCTGGCATCTTCCTGGCAACCAGTAGACGCCGGTGATGCCTCCCTATGGCGTTGTCTCTTAGATTCTAGTAGTGATGTTCCGTTCTTCTGAGCAATTTCCGCAAGAACCTTTGCAAAGAAGTCAAAGTATACATATGGAGCATATAGCGTGTCGGATAACAGGAGGACTAGATCGCTGTAGGTGACTATATCCCACGGTTGACCAACAGATCCAGGGACCACGATTGGATCCTCTTTCAACGAAGTTAGCAAGTTTTCAAACTTCTGCTTCAACTCAGCTGCAGTTTCTCCGGACATGAATGGGCAACTTTCGGGGCCCGCTTCGTGGCAGTACTCGTAGAACTTGTTCATGATCAAATCTGTATCCTGCAGGTTTGACAGCCAGGAACCGGTATAGTAATCAGTGGCATTGACGACACTATCAATAGCTGCGCGTTCAATTCGATGAGGTTGCATTGCCGCAAATGTCATTCCGAGTATAGTGCCGTAGGAGAATCCCCAATACAATAGTTTCTCTTTGCCTCTCTTCCAGGCATTCCGTTGTTTGACGGCCGCTTCTGTTTCATCAATAGCAAGCTGAACAGATTTCTCGGATAATAACCTTTCGGTTTCGTGTTCGCGCCATTCGCCGTGCCGTTCGATGAATTCAACCATATCTAAGACAGCAGGAGATGTGTTCATAAAATTACCCAACCACTCTGTATCCTTGTCTGATCTTACGCACCCCGCACCTAAGGCCTCAGAGCGTGCCCATATTTGGTGAACTGCGCTGTCCGAACTGCCCATCACACCTTCTGCTTCCATCTGCAATTTGGCCTCGTACCGTGATTGTGCATCTGGGAAACATGAAAAGGTCGGCGTGGTATTATTGGTTCCCCTAGGATCAAAACCAACTATATCAAAATACTTGCCCTTATCGTCACTAGGTTCTGGCTGGCCAGAGGTGAAGTCGATGATAGTTTGAATTCGTTGACCCCATCTCAAGAGAAGGGACACGCCAGAACCTCCTGGGCCGCCTAAAAATGTTATCAGTCTTCGGCTTTCTAATAATGAAAGAAACAGTAAACAACTTACCTGGGTTGATTAAAACAGGTCCTCCATACCGCTTATCGTTGATAGGCACTCTAGCTGGTAGCTTGACAATTGCTAAAGCAATCTTTTCACCAGCACCGTCTGTCCGGTTCCAATTCATTGGGAGTTCCAGACGAGCACATTGAAATTCTCCATAGCAGGGGTAGTAGATGAGATTTGATGTCGCTGGGATCTATTTTAACGTGAATCGGTAGATATTAATGTGCTTTCTGACACGGACATAGTAGGCATGGGAACGTACATGGTGCCATGCAAATTCGGAGTGCTCGTCTAATGTTGACTGTACTTGCTCGTCAATTCGAGCATGGTATGTCCAGTGTCGCGCATTGAAAAGGAAAGCCGATGCTAAAACACTGGTAACGAGGACCGCTGTAAAGTAGGACAGTCTTCTGCCACGAGGTGAGCCCTCTAGTCGATTCTCGAGAAAACCCATCTGTTCCAAAGTTCTGCTTAGACATCCGTTTTGAAGAACTAAAATAACAATCTTGATAATATGTACCACGGATGCAACGATGGAAGTAATATATGATAGATAAAGTAAGAAAGATACCTAGGTACTGCTGCCTAGTAGTCACTAGTGTCTCGATAAAATGGACCTTGCCATTTCTAATATATTAAATCAGTTTTGTTGTTCTTGGTCTCTTTGTATTGCGGGGTAATGTTGTTGCACTAGAAATACCACTTCACCAAAAAGGGACCCCTACTGGGATTTCTTGCATTGGTAGATTCAGCAACTGTCCAATCGTTGATTTTGGATAAGCAAAATGTAACGACAATATGATACCGATTTCCCGTAGTGCCGAGTAAGCCCTAACTTGCTGGCCATAATCCCTACACATTTGGACTACAAGGGAAAGACAAGTTTTTGTACTGGGTTGAACATTATTATTGAAAAGAAAAAGTATTTAGTAGAGAATAATCAAATATAGAATAAATTGCACCACCAAGGTGGTCAATGTAATAGAATAAGCTATCAACAAATCAATGAATCATGCTCGTCCCATCGAATCCTCACAAGTCAGATGCGAATCCTGCGCTTTACGAACTCAAGCATTAAGGGATAGAAGTAAAAAAGGCATTGGTCCGAAGTGGAAGAAATGCGAAAAGGGGTCAAAGTCCGCTATTCATACTCGATATGATCCATATTAGTTGGAGGTAGGAAGCTTGACGAGGGAAAGGGGGAGGTTGGCGTAGGAAGCAACTCCCTGCGTAAGGGCAGTGAGCTCGCCGACGGTTTGAGTCAAGGGGACATTGTCTATTACGGGTCTTGTGAGTATGGACTTCGTATCTAGTGTTTGGCAAGATACTTACTGGTAATGCCACTGCAAAGGTTGTTGGCCAATGGGAGAATGCTGTCAACGGTGCTGATAGGGTTAGAAAGGATACCAGTGACGCTTGCGACGGCGCCAGAAACTATGTCCCGCTGGGTGAAGGTGTTGACGTCTGTACAGATAGTCAGATTACAGAATCAGAAAAGGGGGATGCTGACAAACCTACCATTGACAGCAGGACCGGCAACTGAACCAACAGTGTTGACGGCAGGAGAGGCAGCAGAACCAACAGTGTTAACAGCGGATCCCACAAGTTCAGTAGCACCTTGCACAACTTCGCGCTTAGCGGGCGCACCGACGAGGGAGGAGACAAGAGTTTTGATCTGGGAAAGCTCGGATTCCAAGGCGACGAGGTCAACGTCTGTCTCAATATTGTTGACGAGGTTGCTGAGAGAAGGCTCAACATTGTTGAGGAGGGTGTTGAGCTCGTTCAAGGTAGAGTCAAGGGAGGCAGAGACGGTTCCGCGAGGGATGGCGATAGCACTGACAGCGCCGGTAAGGGCGAGAGCAGCGGCGATTCCAGTGAACTTCATTTTGACTGTTGACTTGAGTTCTTATAAAAGAGCGACTGAGTTGGATGAATGAATGCAAAGAAGAATGAGCGAATGGAAGACTGGTTTGCGTTGATGATGATAGAGGAAACGAAGGTTCTGAGTTGAGTGGTTCGCTTCCTCTTTATAGGCATCTCATTTGATAGAAGGAGCCCCTATTCTCGTCTATGAACCAGTTGGGCCATTGTTTTGCCTGACTAACGTGTTTAACAGTCGATGATCACTCATGTTGTTTGGGCAGTCTCAACTGGAAGTCATACTGATCGACATCGCCGAAAATGACTTTATGCGCTACTGCTCGCGTGAGCCAATGGATTCAGGCACAAACTTAAGTGCTTACCATGACAGTCATGACTAATTGTTTGTTATTGAGCTAAGCTTTATAGTATTTGGAGTTCGCCCTGTCGATCGGTATCAGTGCCTGTCTTGAATCATATGTATTTTCTGGTACAGACCGTATGAGTAGGATAGGAACTAGAAACCCATGTATAACTTGCTGACTGATCTAGCAGGTTATGTGGCATGTGTCCTTCAATGTAAAATCTCGCCTATAGACTCGCTTACAGTGTAGATACTAGACACTAAATATTGAAGTCAGCTGCATATGATCGGCATATGAAGCTTTATCTGTTCGCAATTAGTTATGATTATTGATATTGATGCTATAGCTCTGTTGTAAGAACCAACTGGACTCTACTCACAATATCCTAGCATGTTAACGTCCCGCTAGAACTACTATCATTCCTTCCTAATCAAAACTATACTGATAGGTCAAAACACCTCCAATGTCTATTAGTTACTACCGGCGATCTTCCACCCGGCTCACTCTCTATGGCTCTAGTGATATCGAAGCAACGACCGGAGATAGAATAGAGTAGCAGTTAGTAACCAATCTGAACACAGTCTGTAAACCGTTTGCCGATCCAAATATCCCGAGAATTCCGACCTTCCCAACTGGAAAAGAGGAGTCGAGCACAGACAGCGTCATGATCGTCGAAGAACTAATTTTTTTGGAAGAGCGGTATGGGGACGAGCATGGAATTTCTCCACGTGTTGAGGGAGTTATGTGGATAAGCTAGTAAGACTCGAGGTGAATATCAATTGGTTTTGACTTCGTTCGAGGAAAAGATCCTTGGGTTGTCTTCTTGGTGGAAGGCTCACGCAATGGAAGTAGTTACTAGCCAATCACTGAGTATTGGGGAGAAGCAATACACTTAATATTCAAACATTTCTTGATCACGAACGTTGATATGAGGATTAACAAAAAGAAAGAAACAAAACTTTTACCCCTTTTCGCTCGCACGGGCCACACCTTAACCAAACCGCTCATCCATATTGCGAAAACAGCCGGATTCTGCATCCGTAACGAATAACTGGCCTATCCAAAACAGCCTTGGAACATCATGCTTTGCTTAATTACTCCAATATAGGAGTGAGGAGTACTCTGTTTACGTACTGGTAAGTGGACAAGCTGAGGATATTTGGAATACTTTTTAGGATGCAGGTGACTAACGACATATTAGTTCGGATATGGAGTTTCTGTTCAATAACCAGATGTTGTGGGCCGCTTTAAAAGTTTCATCACGATATTCTAGGGTTAAAGTGTAAATACATCTTTTAACCCAGTGGAGATTGTAATACCAGGCCCCACAGCACATTTGCTCCTAGTCTATCCAGGTACTCTATTTTCTCTTGAGGCAACAGAACAGCAGCTATGGTCGATGGTTGCTAGGGAAAAAGACAGTCTTGTGGTTGTCGGGATCTATCAAGACTGAAAAAATGTTCAACATGAAGTAATTCGCATTCAGTTAGAATCCACTATCAATTCGCACCATGCGAGAATGGTAAATTACAGATCACTTTCTACCCAAGACAGTCTCCACAGTAGCAACCAAATCAGCAGTTTGTGCAAGTCCCACCGTCACATTATCAAGTTTGTGTGTAGCAGAATAATCCGATCCAAGCCCGGCACGGAAAAGAGCCGCAAAGATCAAATCTAATGCACCACTGAAATCACCCTTTCCAATCTTCTCAAACCCTTCCTTCTGAAGATCCTGCGTTATGCGATGGGTAATCTTCCAGTCTTCCCGAGAAGTCCTGGTGGTCTTGAGCAATGCTTCGAAGATATCGTTCTGGGAGATGGTGAAGTCGGAAACGAAAGCATATCTGTTTTTGAAACTGTCTGGTTTTGTGAGAATGCCGCTGACAACAGCTCCCAAAGACGTGATGTTTATGGAATCAAATTTGGTGGTGCCGCTGTCGTACAATGTTGCTGTACGCTTTGAGGGGTTGAAGCCGAAGACGTTCCGTTCCATGCCCTAGAGCCGTCAGTCACAAATACGTTCGGTTTTGAACGGCGCATTCCTTACCCAGTCCAAAAAGGGGCCGTTGACAATAGCAGTCCAGCTGGTAGCAGGACTCTTGGCGGCAATACTTTCAAGGTGCTTCACGGCGTCCACTTTTCCTTGGAATATGGGAACAGCTTCCAAAATCTTGGGATTGGTAGTATCCTGCATTTATAAATCTGTTAGTCCTTGCATCCTTCAATTTTTTCCTAGCCATTTACTCACACTTCCGTATTCGCTAGGAATGATTCGCTTAACCCCAACAGCGGCAGCGACATCCACCAATCTGTTCTGCAATATAAGAGTATCTGGTGTCACATCTAGGGAAATAACAAGTGCATCTTGCCCTTCCAGCGTGCCCTTGAGGAAGGAGTCATCGTTAAAGTCGCCGCGAAGGACCTTGATAGCGGCATGGCCTTCTTGGGTGATCTTGGAGGTAGATCCTTCTCGGACAAGGATTGTGATTTTGAAGTCGGTTGGGGAGGAGAGTAGTCCGTTTAAAACGGACCGGCCGACGCTTCCGCTTGCCTATTAATTGATGATGTTAGGGGTGTATCTTCGTTGGTCTAATGGGAGGAGGGTACGTACTCCAACAAGAGCGACGTTCTTATATGAAGACATTTTCGAAGTTTCAAGTTTCCAGGGTGATAGAAGTGCTCTGGGTGGTAGCCTTTGGTTTGTTTGGTATAATTTTTAAATGATTTGAGATTGTTGATTTACAAAATCGAACAGCGACTAGAAATATTCTCCGTTATATACTTGTTTCCAGACATAGATGTTAGGTGTATAGACGGGGGGTTTCCGCTCTCATCATTGATTTCTAATATGAGCACATAAGCATCCTATACATTTCCAATAAGTTCTCGACATGACGAATACTCTCTCCGCGCCGAGTGATGCTTTTTTATCGATGTATGGAACTTCATGAAACAGTGCGGTGCAAAACCGCCCTGGATAAATATCGCGCTAGCGGACGTCTCTTCAGGCTAGCCCGATTGGTAACCATATAAAAAGGGAGCTTCTGGAATTCTTCATACTTCTTCTATGTCCAGATGTCTAGCAGTTGGTTTCAATTCTAATATGCACTGCAGGACTTGAATCTTCATTAAATTCGTCCTGTCAAATCTTCTATATATTTGTCTACGATTCATGTCAGGGTTCCTCAGTATTCCGGTGGACAGCAGAGAAACGATCAACGTACCAGCCAGACCCCACAGCTCTCTATTCTTTTGCAATGCGTCCCTAAAGACGATCAACTCATCCAATTTCTCCATTGTTGCTATACGATCAATCTCCCTTTGCCGACATATAGCCACCAAAGAATGGTGATTCGATACGACACTTGCGATGGGGACGATGCCGTTGGCGAATTTCACGTCTTTGTCCTCGAGATAATTCCTTGTGATGTCGGTTGTGATCTTTAAAAGGGTCGATACTCCCTGAAGACATGATTCCGTGGCTTTGGCATCTTGGGGATTCTTCGTCAATTTCGCAAATTGGAGTTCGATTGCGGAACTTTGTAAAGTTGTGCCGCTTAGCATGTCGTAATGTTGATAACTCACGTAAGTAGTAGAGCTATTGCACTACAGAACGGCCTCCAGGATCCAGGGGCCTTTTCGAACATACTGCCAAGATTCGCCATTAACTGAGTATTGTTATCTTCGAAATAAGTATCCTCAAAGTAATTGGGGCATTTTATGTATTGTAAAGTCTGTCCGGCCAAGTATGCAGCTTGTATCTCTCCATAAAAATAGTCATATGGTCCGTTCTCAGCGCTTTCCGAAGAGACTCGAAAGCATTGCATATCCGGAAGATCTCCATAGTTTCGTGGCTGTTCCATTAGTAGAGGAAGATTATTCGGTAATGATGCTAGCGCAAGGACACTGCAGGGGTTAAAGAATCAGTCTAAGATATGATTAGGAGAGGATAAGCCCTACCGATCTAGAAAAAATATGGCCCACCAAACGACTCTCGCCTCGTGATTACTGTATCCACCGGTAGTCTTATTATGGCAGTCTAGAAGCCGACTTACTCGAGCCAAGCCTATCGTTGTCGATAATGTAACATAAGCATCTGGAAGTAGACCAGCGCCGATTTGGTAAATTGCCAGCAATATACCGCATTGAATCGCGTCAATGGAGAATCGGTTTATGGTCTGCAAGAGAGAAAAGATCTTCTGTGACTGGGTGTATAGTGTCTGCATATGGGTCTGTTCTCGTATATCCGTTGAGGATCGTTGCGTGGCTAGATAAATGCATAGAAGTAGACTAGCAAGCTCCGCATCTGATTTAGCCATGCATGAGGGATCCAATCGTTTGGTCATTCGATGGAGATCGATGACCGGTAACCAGTGATGGATATGATGGGTGTAACTTTCAATGACAAGAAGCGGGCTGATTGAATGCTCATCCAAAAGCCTTGTTGCTTCATTCAGGATAGACGTCCCTGGGCTTCCTTGTCCGAGATGTAATAGCTCTGGACTTCCCAACGGCGTTACACGCGGGTCGGCATACCAACATGGCTGTCGATTACTGAACCAAGTTAGAATATCACCTATCGCTATCGCAAGTATATAATTCTGAAGGTGGAATTGTCTCACTTTAGGCACCGGGCGCAAGCCGGCAGCCTTCTGTCACATTTTCGCTTTTTGCTGCGGCACGATGTGCATGAAGTAAAGGCAGTGGATGGGCGTATTTGCTGTATTTTTATATCGGAGAAGTCGTCATCCATTTTCGGATGAATAATATAACCAGGAAATACAAGATATATGCAATTTCGAGACTCATGTGATGGTAGTAAAGTTCTGTGGTTATTCCGGCTCTTTTGTGTCGTTGCTGACTTTGAAGCCCGGACTTCTTACAAATTGTGATTCCGCAGACGCTAAATATTTTCTGGTCGTTGGCTTGCAAATTCAACCTTAAATGGGCCGAATTCGGCGTCGTCAACGGCGATGACTCCAGAGACAGCACCATTATTCTTACAGCCTACAGGTTCAAAATGCCTGTTTCAAAACAGCTGTCGAAAATGCCAAAGATTACATTGCACATCTCGTCTACGATCGAGCTCATTTATCGATGGCCATTGTCAAAAGTCCTCGGAGATCATTGGCGGAATAGCATATCGCGAATTCCGGGATCGCAAGTTTGCCGAAATCGTCTTTTGCGCGGTCTCTTCTGATCAGGAGGTAAAAGGATACGGAGCACACCTGATGAACCACTTGAAGGATTATGTCAAAGCTACTTTCCTGTGATGCATTTTCTAACATAGCCGACAATTATGCGTAATGCAACCGGGCATTTTCAGAAAGAAGGGGTTTACCAAAGAGATTACTCTTGACAAGTCGATTTGAATGGGATACATTAAGGATGACGAAGGAGCAACACCGATGCAATGCACAGTGCTCCCCAAAGTATGATATCTCGAGCCAGGCCGTTTACTTCTTAAGCAGAAAGAAGCCGTTCGGGCTAAAATGCGTCTTTTGAGCAAAAGCCATGTGAGCAATTCACCACCTGAGGAATGGGCCAACTCGTCACTCCAATCGACCCGCTCTCTATTGCTGCCATTCGGAAACTGGCTGGTCTTCAGAAGCGGACGCACTAGCGCGTGAACCGCGCCACGGTCAACAAAGATGAAGTCCCTGACTATTACAATGTCATAGAAACGCCAATGGATTTGTCCACCATGGAAGAAAGATTGGAACATGACAAATATGCTACACCAAGGGGCCTTGTCGACGGTCTTAAGCTCATCTTTAGTAAATATCAGCGGTATAACGATGCAACAACGGTATATACAAAGTGTGCATCCAAGCTAGAAAGATACCTGTGGAGCCTTCTCAAGGAGATTCCAGAATGGATTAGCTTGCTTGATGAATGATGACATTGATTCCGAGTTGGATCTTGTTCGGGTTAGGCTGCTGTGCAAGGACCTAGTCACCTAGGTATACAAGGCGGTTCTACTACTTGTACGTCGATTCTCTCACATGTCCACGGTGGTTTTACGTAGGTGTATACTCAGCCATGCTAAGCAAAGTCAACTTACAACGATCCTCCTTGTTCATTGCGCTGCAACTTTGTTGAAATGGTTCCACGTGATAGAGAACTTTTGTTTGCCACCTCTTCTCTGCCATCTCTGTCGTTCTGCTCGTGGATATACGAACCTCTCACTGTTTGATTCATCAAAAAGAGCAAATAAGAGCGAATGTTTTTCGATCTTCCATCTTGGATCGACCAAGTGATCTCATTCGATACTGCAGAAGATCAGTCTGCCAATGACTGGAAGATCGTCGGAAAGCTTAGCGAACACAATAGCCAGTCGAATGCTGAGAACTACAAGGACGACCCGAGACTTACGGAAGCATGGGGTCTATTTGAATGTGTCAACAGTATGGAATCTGCCTTCATGAAAATTTACATGCGGTTTGTGCCACCCTATTCCTTTTATTTTTTGCGTGATCTGATTATGGCGAGAATACCATACGTTGGCTCTGAATTTGCGAACTTGACGTGAAGCATCTTTAAGCATCAGTCGATTTAGCCAGATACTCGAAGAGTAAATTCCCGCCTTGACTACCCTAACGCAGGGTGAATGCAAATACACTCCAACTCTGATCAACTGGAGAAAATCGGAGCAAGACAACGGTGACCCTCTTCCTGGAGGCTATATTTTTGGTGATGGAGAAATTACCTGAGATTCGTCTTAGCTCGGACTACTACTGGACTTTGCACAAAGACGAGCGTAATGATATCTGTCAAGCATCCAAGCAAGCGTGAATGTAAGCCTTCCCAATTTATCACACCCGCAATAGCTAACTCTGCTTTGTGCTAGCAACTGTGCAATTGCTGGGATGGTCAGTCACGCTGCTCATACTGTCATAGCTATATCGTTGGTTTTCCAGACAGTCGCAAATCGAGGGCAGCTGATGTGTGGGACCCAGAAATTGGGTGGGAGTGGAGGTTGTCGAAGTCAGAAGCTGAACTGGAAATACCAATTATATAGAGCAATCCACTAAGCCAAACTTCCTTAGAGATATGACTCAATGCAATATCATCTCAGTGATATTATACCTTGGTACTGGAAGGATGAGGGCTTGGCATACCACGTGATCAATGTTCACTGTAGGAGTTGGCCTCAATACCGTAGACACCTTGCTGAATAAATAGTAGCCAGTGGGGTAATAATAAGCTAATAACCGTCAGGAAGCAGTACCCAACCACTATGTAGCACGGGATGAGGACCTTGGAGATCCTCGTCGAGTAACAGTATAAAGAAGCATGTTCCTCTCTACAATCTTTATACGAGTTGAATGGATCATACATTTTTTGCGTTCCTGTCTCACGAAATCATCTATATGATTCCTAATATCATGTTCACCGCTATGATCAGATTGAGCTTCAAGAAGAGCGGGTTCAGATTTTTCGAATGTTGGAACTTGTCCTTAGTGACAGCTGGATAAAGAGTAGCGATTTCTAAAACGCCATTCGATAGAATGACGAGGAACGTTAAGCAGCCATTCCGGAAATCGAATCTCACACATCAAAGCCAACGCAGAAATCAACCTTGAGAAATCAGTGAGTATGCATGTCCGAGTTGAAGATACACTGCGCATTTCTGTTGTGATACAAACCTAGAATCAATGGCTCACTTCATTCCGGCAATGGTTTATGTCATTCTATGCACAAATCACGATTTTTCGTCAGGTCCTACAACTGGGAATCTTGTAATTTCTACAGATTCACCGAGGTAGCATTCACGAAATTCAACCACGTTTATTCGAAGACGGAAACAAATAGATGGTTATATTCCTCCGTGGCCGAATTCAACAATATCCTTGCTGGAAGTTGAGAATCGAATATCCCGCGCATACCTCGGTATATGCGCATCTTCAGAACATCCGCTTTGAATTGAAGAAATTATATTCGCCATTCACCGAGACGGCGACCTCCGGATATACCACAATTTACACACAATTTTAACCTGCATGAAGAAAGCGTGGTGTTTATCGAATGCTATCAATAAAACCCTGCACGTGAGTCTGATTGGGGCTCAAATGGTTACATCCGCGGGACAAGGCGGGCTGTTTAGGTCGGTTGTTTGGGGATTTTATTCGCCAGAGAACGAGATAACGATCTGATCTACAGTAATTCTCCTTGTTTGATCATAGTTAAGGTTATTTTGATGCGATGCCAATACGACGACATTATCTGGCATCGTGCTATCTTGCCAAGTCTTCTAATTTCCCCGGCAAGTCTTGTTTCTTAGCTGCAAGGGTTTGTTCATATAAATTCCATGATATTGCCGCCGTCTGAAGAATCTCCGGAGATTTACTCTGTACCAAATTCGCTCAGAACGACTGTTGTTTCCAAGATTTCAAGGCATCGATCCAATCTGGAAATGTTCGATTCTCGTTCCGTCCTACTCGGCCTGGCCACCCTCAATGGTGTCCAAGCCTGGGGTACTCTCGGCCATGCCACAGTCGCCTACATTGCCCAAAACTACCTAGACGATGCTACAGCAACCTGGGCCAAGGGCGTCTTGGGTGATACCTCAGACTCATATCTAGCCAACATCGCATCGTGGGCCGATAGCTATCGTTCTACTTCCGCTGGCAAGTGGTCCGCTCCCTTGCATTTCATCGATGCCGAGGACAGCCCTCCCACCAGCTGCAACGTAGACTATGAGCGAGACTGCGGCTCCTCGGGCTGCTCGGTCTCCGCCATCGCTAACTACACACAACGTGTTGGAGATGGCCGTCTTAGTAAGGCAAACACGGCCGAGGCTCTCAAGTTTCTTGTCCACTTTCTTGGCGACGTCACACAACCCCTGCATGACGAAGCGCTAGACAGAGGTGGAAACGAAATCACTGTCACTTTTGACGGCTACGACAGCGACAATCTGCATTCAGATTGGGACACGTACATCCCGCAAAAGCTGGTTGGCGGTTCGACGCTATCCGATGCGCAGACATGGGCCAACGAGCTGATTAGTCAGATTGACAGCGGCAGTTACAAGAGCGTGGCTGCAAACTGGATCAAGGGCGACGATATCTCTGATCCTATCACTTCTGCCACAACCTGGGCCAGCGATGCGAATGCCTTTGTATGCTCTGTGGTCATGCCCAATGGTGTCGCGGCGTTGCAACAGGGTGATTTGTATCCGGATTACTACAACAGTGTCATTCCAACCATTGAGCTGCAGATTGCAAAAGGTGGCTACAGACTCGCCAATTGGTTGAACAGCATCTATTCAGCTCATATTGCCAAGCGCAAACGTGATGGAGAAACCATGATTAAGAAGAAGGATGTTGATCTGTCTGGTCGCAGTTTCTTGCCTCCTCCCATTCCCTTGAGTGAGCAGAAAAAGAAGAGGGCTGCAGCTGGATACGGATGCATGCACAGACATTAGTATCCAAACTGGGGTATTTGTAAATAGCCGATTCGACAAGATGTCGACCATCCTTGATTATTTGTTGAAAAGTGTCTCAAGTTAGCATTTTCGGAATTGTCGTGGTAAAAGTTGGATCATGAAATGAATGAATAGGATACTCCGGAAACACTTCTGGAAGTTGATGATATATCGCACCCTGTAAAAGCAATCATGTTGAAGCTTTCGAATGTCGTATAAAGGTTGATGTAAAAGGATGGCAGAACTTTCACAGAAGAATGGAGCCCGTTGTGGGCCTGAACCCTCAGGCCACCGCCACGTGGGGCTGCGGAGTCATTCCGCTCAAGACTTTTACAGCTTCACCTCGCTCAATTTAATGATATCGGCATCACAGTCTTTAAAATATGGAGGATATCGATACAAAATGCACCGCCATACGAGCGCAAATTACCGCCACAGAATCGCAGCTTGCAGCACTGAAGGAAGAACTCGAAGCAGCTGAGAGGCTGCGCGGGGCATCCGCACCGACGTCCAGCAAACATTCCGAGCGCAAATGGCCTCTTTCAGCAGAAGAATACCAGCGATATGGGCGGCAGATGATTGTGTCCCAAATCGGGCTTCCCGGTTAGAATCGCTCACTTGTTCTTTCTATTGTGATGTATAGTTGCTAACGTCTAATGTTAGGTCAACTCAAACTTCGATCCGCTTCAGTTCTATTAGTCGGTGCAGGTGGTTTGGGCTGTCCTGCAGCATTATATCTTGCAGGAGCTGGGGTTGGTACAGTCGGTATGGTGGATGGAGACACGGTTGAGGCTTCGAATCTTCATCGCCAAGTTTTACACCGTACGAAGAATGTCGGAAAATATAAAGTTGATAGTGCGATTGAGTATCTGGAAGAGTCAGATGGCATGACGCGGAGTTGGAAGAAACGAGGGCTAATATGATTTAATAGATTAAACCCTCATCCGAAATATTGTGCTCACCGTGAGCATTTATCCCCTCAAAATGCACCTGGCATATTCCAAAATTACGACATCATTCTCGATTGCACCGATAACCCGGCCACTCGATATCTGATATCGGACACTGCTGTTCTTCTCGGCAAACCACTAGTCACAGCGTCAGCTTTAAGAACAGATGGACAACTCATGGTCTTGAACAACCCACCGAAACCACCCGGTGACCTATCGGGTGGTCCATGTTATCGATGTGTTTTCCCCAAGCCACCTCCAGCAGATACCGTCGTCAGCTGCGCGGATGGGGGTATCCTCGGACCGGTAGTCGGTACTATGGGGGTTTTACAAGCCCTAGAAACCATCAAAGTCCTCGTAAAGTCTGTCGATCAAAGTAGTGATGATCGCCCTTCTCTACATATATTTTCCGCATACAGCAACCCTCCATTCCGCACAATTCGTCTAAGAGGCCGACGCACGAATTGTGCTGTGTGCTCATCAGAACCAACCATCACATTATCAACTCTCCAGTCAGGATCAACAGACTATGTTCAATTCTGTGGTTCTGCAAGGTTCCCACAAGTACTCTCCAAAGATGAACGCGTTTCTGTACGCGAATTTGAACCTATATACGACTCGAAGAAATACAGCTTGATCGATGTTCGGGATCCAGTTCAGTTCGGTATATGCAATCTAGAAAACAGCATAAATATCCCAATCACTCAAATTCTGCAAGACAGAACCTTTGATAACAAGGATCCAAAGGAAACTCTGCGTTCACTGCTACCACCGGAATTAACATCTACCGATTCCACGGACCCGATATACTTCGTCTGTCGTATGGGCAATGACTCGCAATTAGCTGTCCAGAAACTGAGACAACTAGGGTTTGATCAGGATGGGAGACGTTTTATTGGCGATATTCGCGGTGGACTCAAAGCGTGGAAGGCAGAAGTTGATCCGGAGTGGCCAGAATATTGACCTTCATCATAATAAGCAGGACTTTAGACCAGTGAGTATTGTCATACACTGTGGATAGGTATAGATCACTCTATGCTGTACTTGACACGAAATAAACTGTTAACAGTACTGGAATAATATGAAAATAGCTCAGGAGGTCTCCCAAAACAAATGCCTTTCTATTGAAGGAGAGGCATGAAATACCTGAGGGCTCTGTGAATTCAAATCATCATTACACTAATTAAGAATCATAAATTACTGGAGGGTTTCCTAAACACAATTTATGGCTACTGATACTCGGGAATAATAATGAAGTTGGGGAGACTCTGAATATCAATCATCGTTCCCTAGTCATGACAAATAAAGTAGAGCAGGCTTCCCTGCATACTAATAATGGTTCCACTATCCAAAGAATCAAAGAGCACTAGAGCCTTCCCTAGATACCAATCATCGTCCCATTACTTCAGAGTAACACAGTAGCGAACGCCTGCCGAATACACATTGTTATTCCAATAATAAGTACTAGCACCCTCCCCGAATAGAAATAATAACCCGTTAGCGAACTCGTATGCCATAGCCCGAATCACCCCGTGACTCTACGCTTAGCGGCGCGAGCCACATTTTGCGCCTGCGCAAATCGATCCTCCCTAAGGGCTTGAGGATGTAATAAGTGTAAGGCGGAGGCTGGCACCCTCAACTTCTCTGCCACTTGATCGTTGACTCGGGTGGTGCGAAGCTCAGGAAAAACACGAGACAAACTGAAATCTGACGACGCGAACTCGACGAAACGGGCCAGTTCGCCACCAGGTAGGAACGAGGCGTGAAACACCCGCTCGGCATAGCCCTGGTGAGATCGATAAGAGGAGGTCAAGCAATAAATGTCGAGATCAGTTCGGGAGGTAGACTGTTGTAGATCTAGGTAGTGGATATGAGCTATAATGGAATCAAGAGGCCACGACACGATTTCTTGTGCTGACAGGCCCCAGTCACAGCTCTTTGATGTCGAAGTGAGAGCTGAAGGGGCACCCCACGGCGCCACCGGATCTTCTTGGCTCAAGCAGGCAATAATAGCAAGTTTGAGGGATCCTGAAGATTCTCGAAACCAGTTTGCAGCCTTATTGTAGATATATTGACTTCTCGGAGCCGCCGCAGGGTCACTTTTGTCAATTTGGACCGACTCAAAGATGACGGTTGGACGATTTTTGCCTTTCTCATGTAAGGAAAGATGGGAGAAATAGCAAGACCCGTCGTGCAGGCCAGAGAGGCCCAGGGCAGATGACTGCAAGCGCTCGTACGTCTTTCCGGAGGCTTCTTGGATCACATCTGAGGCGTCTAAGAGCCATTTATCGAAGACCGCTAGCAAATAGGTCTGTAGCCTCGTCAAGGGTGGATGCATTATTAACCTGTTGACTGTGTATATGGTAATCGATAAGCAGAATTGGCGGGCGAAACAGCAGGAAATAATAAAGTTGTGAGCAGGACACTTTGAGATTAGGTAGTTCGATGAAGTTCCTGGTCTCTGTTGATTCAAGTACCTCTCTCACGGCAGGATTTTTTAAATCCTCCAGTGTCGTGTCCCAGCCAAACAGGCTGGGTACCTGTGTAATAGTTCCATTTTGATGGCGTGTTTCGAATTTCAGTGGTCTTTGTACAGGCATTTTCAGTCCAAAAGGAAACCAACGTCGGCTAACCCACAGAGAAGAAGCGTAAACCAAGCAGGGAGATGAGCAAGGAGGGGTTCTCGGTTGACAAAGACTCGAGATGTGATTCTTGTCTGTTTGCAGTCCTGTATCCAAGTTTATGAGAATCGAGTGATTGAGAGAGGTCATTAGTCAAAACAAAGATTAAATTAGCATTGAGTAGTCAAAGGGGTATCATGAAGAAAGTCAAAGAAACAAAAAGACAATTGTGTGAAGAGTTCCACACACAAAGCACACTGAGAGGAAACAATGTCATATCCCCTCCCCACCATTAGGCAATGCTTGAAACATTCACAGGTGAACTTTCCAACCAAGCCCATTCAACATTCACACGCCCCTGATCAATATCAGCCAATTTCCCAAACACCGAGGTCGTGGTATCAATATCAGTGGCTTTGCAACCAACACAGCGGTCGACTACAGTAACATCAACGCTGTGCTCATTTCTTCGAAGCCGCATTTTCAATCCACATAGTGGATTTGCATTGGGATTTGACCCGGTTTGTACAGCGTCGAAGATGATGTGTGATACAGCGCAGATACTGTCTGAGTCTGAGGAGGTAATACCACATGCCCCTAGAGCAGGGCCGTAATAGGTAAGATCACCACTATATGGGCCTCCATGTGAAGTTGGTAAAGGGAGATTTTGGCTATAATTCAGAAATTAGCTTCGTTTCTAAATGACAGACAAGGAAAGACTTACTCTGAATTTGTCAAGACGCTGACAGTAACCCCAATAATAATCGCCAACAAGGCTATTATCGTCCCAGCGATTATTCCAGCAATTACATACCGACGCTTTCGTTGATCTGAAGGCAAGTACTTTTCCAAGGGGCCAAGACGCACCCGATCAATGACAGCCAAACACCAAGCAAACAATATAAACCATCTTCGGCGGGAGCCACTGTTGACTGTCTGCGACTCAACTGCCAAATCCTTATCTGGGTCTGAAGCTATACTTTGCGATTGTAGTTCATGGGTTTGTTCGTCTCCAGTGGTAGTAGTGGTAGTGGTGGTCCGTTCGACACGGGACACTCTGTTTGTGGCGGGTACAGGTTTGCGCCGAGGAATATTTGTTGTCTGTGGAGGCTGAACAGGCGACAATTCAACCGACTCGGGGTTTTGGTCGTCTGTCATTCTGTCTGGACGGAATCTGCGATGGTGCGAGAGATATTGTAGGAATAAGCTGGAGAAGGAGCTTATTAGAGAGCACAGAATAGCGATGCCTGGTGTCCAAGACTCCAAAACTCCAAGGCTCTCCACCTGGGGACTTAATATGTAGAGCCCACCAATAGATTCGTCTCTTTTGACTCTGATGCTGGTCGCAATACCTATGCGACTACCGCATCACTGTCGCATACTTCTCTCCTCTTGTAGATGCCACAATTCATACAGATTGAACGATCATGAAGGCTGGAATTAGAATGGATAAGAAGAGGAGATAAGCGCAAGATTCAGGGGCTAGCCAATCAGAAGCTGGAAATCGGCGGAATTGCGGAGTGGCGGATATCTTAGTCATTTCTCCGCTGCTTCAATTTCTTCTTTTTACGTCTTGGTGAAGACTATGCCTTTCATTACAATTGTTGTGGACTCGAGTTCATGATATTGTATAATAGAAATAATGGCAGCTGGAATAGTTGCAGGGATAGCATTATGCTAGTCGGAGATGCGGAATAGTTACTAATAGCTGTCAAATCGAAGCATGTCCTGAATTCAAGATGTATATAAATAATGTCGAAGCCCAACAATTTCTTTTCAATACAGTAGTCCCGTACCTAGGTATTCTTGTAATCAACATCAAAATGACTCTCAAATACCTCATAACAGGCGCCACAGGCGGTCTCGGCAGCCAAGTCCTCAAACACCTCTCCAACCATCTTCCCTCATCCGACTATGCCGCTGCTTCTTCCAACGAAGCCAGTCGTGCCCAATTCGAAAAAGCCGGAATCACATTCCGACTCGCTAACTTCGACGACCCCGCAACACTAGAGGCAGCATTCGCAGATGTTGAGAATCTGTATTTCGTGAGTACGAATACATTCGATAATGCGCGACGGACGGTGCAGCATCGGAATGTTATCGAGGCTGCGAAGAGGGTTGGCGTGAGACATGTACGTTCCCTTTCCTTAATTCGGACTGAAAGAGAAGGACGCTGACTATGAGAACTCAGGTATGGTATACATCTCTCGCATTCGGTGGTCTCGGCTCAGACTCGAAGATGTCTGTTCAACAAGCACATTTGGAGACTGAGAAGATGCTGAAAGAGTATGTCCTTCAACAAAGTTGTGCAGAGTTTATACTAAATCATGATACAGAGCAGGAATAACATACACCTCCATCCGCGAAGGCATCTACGCCGACGCATTCCCACTCTTCCTGCAATGGTACCCAACAATCGAAACAATCATCCTCCCTTCCGACGGGGTGATTACATATACCTCTCGCGACGAACTAGGCGAAGCAAACGCCAAACTGCTCCTAAAAGGAGGACACGAGAATGAAATCATCCTGCTTACCGCTAACGAACCCCTGACCGGCGGGGAGATAATTAAAATCATCAACGAGACAACCGGTCGAAATGTGAAATTGCAACTGGTTTCTCCAGAAGAGTATATCAAATACCATACCGAAAACGACATCGGCAAAAAACCCGAGTCGTTTTGGCAGCAGCGGATTTCTTGGTTTGAGGGTATTGCGAAAGGGGATGCAGATTTGAAAAATCCGTTGATGAGGGAGGTTTTGGGTAGAGAGCCCAAGACGGGGAGTCAGTTGATTCGGGAGCTTTTGACGGAAAATCGGGATTATACGTGGCATCAGAATTATATTGATAAGGCTCAGTATGAGGCTACGTTGAAGAAGGAGCATCGCAATGGGAAATAGTATGTAGTAGTGATTATTAGTAGAGTAATAAAGTTTTTTTTTTTGGGGCATGGCCGTCGTGTAAATTACTAAGGAGATGGTCCGAATGCTGTCATCCCAGTCAAGTAGTAGACAGTTCTTGAGCCCTCTTCAACATCGCCTCCAAGTGATCGCCAATCAACTCATTGGCCTCCTCTTCAAGGCCCTTCTTGGACAATCCTCTTTTTCCAACAGCTGAAAGTGATTCCAGACGGCTCAGCTCGACTACAACAGTAAGTATACGCATGATACTAGAGAGACAAAAACTCACCATGAATGTAGACCGCAGCACGCTTCCCACTAAACATAGCATGTGGCACATTAGTGGCTCCATCGCTATTGGCGTCTCCAATTGCATAAATGCCGTTGTCGCTAGTCTTCATATTCGTTCCGACCTTGATCTTTGTACCGTCCATTGTCAGGTTGAGCGCTCTCGGCAGAGTGGAATACTGATCATCTGGGAAATTCGTGATAAAAGCACCCCGTTCAATGACAGACCCGTCGGCAAGATTGACACGAAAGAGATCAAATTCTAGATCCTGGGCGGTGTCGTTATTTGTACTGCCGTCTTGAAGACGGTCGATGGATAGAATGGTTTCGTTGTTGAGGGTGACGTTATAAGCTTTGAGTTGTGCTTCCCAATGGGGATACTTGGCTGCTAGCGCGCCTTGTTGTTCTGGTGTGTTTGTACCATTGACGAAAGCAACGATATCCTGGTTGAGAGTCCATACTTCGATCACACTACCCATTACATCACTGAGACTGCCCAAGATACCGAATGATTGGCCACGGTGCTCGTAGCCATCGCACCAGGGACACCAATAAATGCCCTTACCCCATCCCTCTGCCACACCTGGAGTGATGGGAAGTATGTCTTTCATTCCAGTACCGAGCACAATTCGTCGAGCAGTGTATTCCTCGCCATCTGAGACAATTGCTCTGTAGTAAGATCCGTTATTGACTGAGAAGACAGATGTGACGGTTGCATTTTTCATAGTAGTGGTCTCGTTGTATCTCGAGATTTGCTCCCGGGCAAGCTCTCTAAACACAGACGGAACCGTACCTAAGATATAAGTTACATGTCACAGATCCAAAGCGAACTGAGAACTCACCATCATTCCCTATGACATCGTGCATATGTCTTGTAGGATCATTGCGGTAGACACCCGAGTCTAGCATCAAGGTCTTCCGCTTGACTCGAGATAGACCACTTGTAGCACTGAGACCGGCAGGACCACCACCGATCACGATGACATCGTAGTCAGTCGAGACGACAGGAGCCGCAATAGCAAGGCTGATGATGCTCAATAGGAGTAGTGAAAGGAGGTTGAAGGAAGCCATGTCGCACGAAGAGCCGATAGTATTGGTGACAGAGACTTCATGAAATCGACGGAAGGAAGGTGGGATTTATAGGGGTGTTCGTCACGTATGCCTCAGGAAGCCTTGTACAAGATCGTCGCTTCTCCGTGAGATCCCTTACTTCCGTTCCCGTCGCTTAAAATTCAGGCTGCATAATGATAGTTCGCAGAATAGAGGATGCAGTTGTGCGTCGTTCGTACCATTTCGGCCATTTGTTCGAAAACAATCCAGCCCGTGTAACAATCGAGAGATCGATATAATTCAAGAATCAATGACGATCCTCCGAGCGTAGGAATAAAGTTCTGAGTTCGTGCAGCTTCAGGTAGCCACGATCTGACAGATACGAGAGTGATGCTCGTATCATGTGTAGATCGAGGTCTTGGACATGCAGACTGAAGACAAACCCCCAGTCGGAGCGGAAGATCTACAGTCGCATATTCAGCATCTTATTCTGGTTGATGACTATTATGCAGAGTGCATTCGTAACTCTGCAATCCCACCGCAGAATTGATGTCAGAGCGCATGTCGATCAGCAGAATATCACAGAATTCCTTGTAGACACCAAGATGGAGAGAAGAAGGATTGAAATTGATCGATTCTGATTGGTGGATATACAGACTAGCTTGTTTAGGTTAGTCTCCTGATCCCCGTGATGATGTACATCACGTGACCATCTGATTGCCGTAAGTCTCCGAGCGCTTGCAATTAGGGCTACTCTGATTGGCGGAAAGAGAGTGTCACGTGGTGCGACAGCTGCTTTTCGGCAACGGGCCCTCGGCTTGAGGAGAGTAGGCTAACAAGAAAGCGAGGCACTCGACTTTGACTTCATACCTCTCTCTTCTGCGATCATTTCACTCTCCGCTCTCCAGCTGCTGCTACGCTCTTGATTGAGTGATAGTCACAGTATCGCGTCCATCTATCGTAAATCCAATCGCTACCATGGCCGCCCTTCGCACCACTCGCCTGTTGGCCACCTCCAGGCCATTGTTCACCTCCTCCGTCTTCGCCCGCTCCTATGCCACCGTCGATCCCATCTCCAAGGTCAGCGAAGCCACCTCGAGCAGCAGCAAATTTGTGCCCGAATCGCAAACCTCCACCGTCAAGGATCCTGCTCCTTCCGCCACTCCTCGCACCAAGACGTTCCATGTCTACCGCTGGGATCCCGATACTCCGTCCGAGAAGCCTCGTATGCAGAGCTATACTCTTGACCTGAACAAGACCGGTCCTATGATGCTGGATGCGTTGATTCGGATCAAGAATGAGGTTGACCCTACGTTGACTTTCCGCCGAAGCTGCCGTGAGGGTATTTGTGGAAGTTGTGCTATGAACATCGATGGTGTGAATACTTTGGCTTGTTTGTGTATGTGCAATCTCTCAATACAAATAAAGCTTTCGACGCTAATGAAGCAGGCCGTATCCCTACCGATACCACCAAGGAATCTCGCATCTACCCACTCCCACACACCTACGTTGTTAAGGATTTGGTTCCCGACTTGACCCATTTCTACAAACAATACAAATCCATTAAGCCATATCTTCAGCGAGATACCAAGACTGAAGATGTACGTACCCCTCTATCTATCATCTTATCAAAAATTGACTCTGGATAGGGCCTTGAGAACCGTCAATCGATCGAAGAGCGTCGCAAACTCGACGGTCTCTACGAATGTATCCTTTGTGCCTGCTGCTCTACCTCCTGCCCATCCTACTGGTGGAACAGCGAAGAGTATCTCGGTCCCGCCATTCTGTTGCAGTCATACCGTTGGTTGGCCGATTCCCGTGACGAGAAGACCGAAGAGCGCAAGGCGGCTCTTAATAACAGTATGAGCGTCTACCGATGCCATACTATCCTCAACTGCTCGAGGACATGTCCCAAGGGTCTTAACCCCGGTAAGGCAATTGCTGAGATCAAGAAGATGATGGCGTTTTAGATAAAATCTTTTATGTACTGTTTAAACATATTGTATAAATTGATCAATTGACAATTCGCATTTCTTTGTTTTGTTGTAGTGTCAATTGACGGACGAACGGGACGCCCGTCTCCTTGACAGCATGCCTTTTCTCCGGTTGTGTAATGTTATGGAGAGAAGAATAGAGCTGATTCTATAACTGCTCGAATATTTGTTCAACTCGTCTTCGGGCATCATTCCTCGTTCAAGGACACTATCATAAATAATGCACGCCACTTCTGCACGTTACAGCTCCGCTGAATAACCCTGGTCGAGTTTGGTTACATTTGACATATTAATCTATCAATTTAGAGGAAGACTACATCCTTGGGTCGATCTAGACACCATGTTGCATGGTGGTATGTACGTAACTTAACAAAGCAAAATAAATTAATATCGTTTGACATACATACATACGTAAGGTCAAGGGTAAAATGTCCATGGACGGTAATCGAGTATGCTTCGTCATGTATAAATGCAATATTCAACCCGCCTACTACAAGCCCTTTCTACTGACCACTAATCAAATAACGATCCGAGAGAAGATCAACAAAAAATAAAAAAATAAAATGCAATTCACAATCCAAATCGCCCAAGACGGGGATTTGCACGACCTCATGAAAGTCCTATGGACATGCTTCGAAACTCCCCCTCAAGGAATCCTGCGCATCTTCTTCCCTATCCTCAACAACGACCGCGAAGCCAGTCTCCTCGCAGCTAGCAACGGCCAGCGCGAGGAATACAAAGCATCATACCCAGAATTGATCTGGCTCAAGGTCATTGACGACGAGACCGGTGAGATGGTTGGAGGCGCAAAATGGTATTTTTACGAACGCAATCCGTTTGATGGTCACAGTCTGGAGGAGGAAGAGGCCGTTTGGTATCCAGAGGGAGTTGGGAGGGAGTTTGCTACGAGGGCGATGCATGCTTTTGAGAAGCCTCGGGTTGTGATGGGTCAAAAGCCTCATTCATGTATTCTCTACTCCTTTCTCCTACTTTGCCTTCTTCGTGCCAGCTGACGAGTCAGATCTGAACATCATCTTCACCTTACCTGAATACCAACGCAAAGGCATAGGCCGCGCAATCATGAAATGGGGCCTCAGAAAAGCCGACCAACTCGGTCTCGAATCATGGCTCGATGCGTCCCCCTTCGGATACTCATTATACCATAGCGTCGGGTTTCTGACGTACGGATCGAACAATGTCAGTATCAAAATGCACGAAGATTACAACCAAGGACAACAAGCGGAATGGGAAGAATACAAGAAAATAATGCTCCCGGTCGAACATGCTGTGATGTGGCGGCCTGTTGGGGGCAAGTTTGTCGTTGGCGAGACTGTCACGCCATGGTTTAAGGATTTGAATTAGTAGACATTTCTCTTTTCTTTTTCTTGTTGTAACTTATCTGAGCTTTGAAATAATTAGCATAGAAAATGGCTTATTGGATATCCAATCGTTTATGCCCATGGCGGTCTTATCAGGTAAAATATATTGCAGGGGTTCGTCCCTCCTGCGCCGCAAAATTGTGATATATCGCGCTATTCCGATATCCCCGGAGCTTCCGAGGCCAATTTGAATTGCAAAATACAACATTGACATGGGGGGTTTGACTGGGCATAGTACTAGACAGGGATCCGTTGTAAAAAAGTTGTGTGATGCTACAATACGAGTGTTGCGCGCAGTTGTTGTAAAATATTCCTCAGCCTGCAGCAGACATATTTGAAGCGAACAAGACGATGGATAAAAAGGGTGCCGTATGCTTCATTTCAGCGAGTCAAACTCTACAGAATTATACAGATTGAGATTCAACGATGACTACTCGGTTTACAGGTGATACCTGGTTGCCCGCGATAAATGTTATCTGTTGGTTCCTTCTGGTTGTTGCAGTACTGGGGATCATGACAAGACTGGGGACGAAATTGTGGATATACCGTAAATTTACCAAGGATGACTATGTGATTATTCTTTCTACTGTGAGTGTTACTTTCGGAGATCTACACTCGGATGCTAAACCTACAGGTATTTGATATCGCCCAAGGAATCGCAACTTCAACCGCTACAGCGAACGGATATGGCGAACATATCGGGACCCTGACTGATGACCAAGTCACAACTGTCATGAAGAGTCAGTACGCAGCTGGGATTTTGAGTATTGTCAGTCTCGCAAGTTCAAAGGTATCATACGTCATGTTCGTTCGGAGTATAACTGCTGCTCCCCTGGATCGTCGAATTGCGTTGGTCATCATTATTCTCTTGTCGATTTGGGGAGTTGTGTCTGTTATCACGGTTGCGTTTCAGTGTCAACCTTTGCCAACGTGGGATTATTTGACTGGGAAATGCTATGATCGGGTGGGTTTCTCTCAAATGTGGAAACTCAGTTGCTAATTTCGAGTAGCAATCATGGCAGAATTTCTTTGGCATATCAAACATAGTCTCCGAGATTGTCATTATATCGCAAACTATTGTGATAATCGCCCGGATACAGACTAAGCTGAAAAGGAAGCTGACGATTGGGTTTGTTTTCGGTCTCCGAATATTGTAAATATTCTTCATCAATCTTCGAGAACTTCTCTAACTAGGTACGCAGTGTCGTTGCTGCTGCAATCGCTCAAATAGTCGTCCTAAACAAAACCTTCCATGACCCCGACGTCACCTATGCAACTTGGTCTGTATCAGTCACAAACCAACTCGTTCTATGCTCGAGCATAATCACCGCATGCTCAGCGCAATTCAAACCGTTCCTAGACAGTCTGCGATCTAGTGGTATGCGTCTTGACGCGTTGACTGGAAGTTATCAATACAAATCCCAGAACCGATACGCATACGGCTCTCATATTGCCTCGTCCAAACAACGCTCAATCCCGCTGCACAGTTTGACTGGATCAAGCGCACAACGCCCGGAGAATAAGAATTCAATAGCTAGCGAAACATACGTTTCGGCATCGAGACCATCGCCAGATTGGGATGCAGCTAGTGCGACGAGCCAGTCACAAATCATTCGGGAAACGAGAACGTTTGCTGTGACGGAAGAGTTTCGATCTGACGCTGATGAAATTTTGTGATGTTGCTTAGTTTGTTTTACACAGGATTAAGCGAGATCTATTGAACAATGAATACGTATAAAAGTGCGAAATTTAGGTTTTATGTCAAATATCTTGGCGTGATATTTTCTAATCTATCGATTCGATTACCCTATTTCCTGTTATGGAAGCCCTAAAAGACCCTGGTTCATACCCGGCGTAAATAAACGCCAACAGCAACATTCTAGAAGGCGTGATTGGGTAAATTAAACTAGCCAAGTAGAATAATTACCACATTTCTAGAAGGAATGCGCCATCTACCTAGGTAGAAAGTCTGGACCTTCTTGGAAGAGAAACTAGTAAAACAGAAAGACAGGGATTTGCACCTCATGTTACTTGCCACCTGGACACCATTAATCTATTCAATATATTGTCTCATACCCTAGCACATGCCACATAGCCCATATAAAATGGAGTAGTATGAAACTAATTCTTCAAATACAAGATTTACTACTTTATATCAAAGCCCTTTTATTATCCCGGGTTCCCCGTCCTGCCTTCGTCGGTATAGTTACTATAGTAGGGTCCAACCGTATATAGGGTATTAGGGCTTGAGTTAGTCTGCTAGTTAGTACCTACATTGCCTGAGTAGCCTGACTGTAACCTTTCTCGAAGAGGATATTGACTAGGATTTTTGTCATTATGGAAATAACACATGCAAAACACTTACTCTACGGCCGCTCTTCTAGAGTTGGCTGTTTGTAACTCCACCTGTTGCAACGCTCTTGGTGTTGCACGTTGCACCTTTTGGCCTCCCCTTATTTGTCTCTCGTGTAACTTCTTATTTATCTCTCAATTTCTAGACTTCTCTTTTTTTCTTCAGCTTTTTGTCTTTTTGTCTTCAGTACTCATATTGAATTCGGCACGTCATGGCGCAGAGCGAGTCTCTGAAAATGAATAGTCTTCTGGCTTCGAGAGAAGCAGAGGCTCATTTCTCCAGTAAACAACAGCGTGATGAGGCCGGTTTGGCACGTCTGGGCAAGCGAAGCGTGTTGAAGGTATGCTATTATTGTTAGTAGCACTCCCAAAATTTCTGGCTAATTCGCAAAAGCGCAATTTCGGTTTTATGGCTGTTCTAGGTTTTAGTACGACCATTTTGATTACTTGGGAGGGCCTTTTCACGTATGTTAGGTCAATGGCATTGTTGATCTTCAACTAATGGATTCTTAGAACGTTTTTGCAGCCGCTTCAAAAGTACGTGACAATATTCAGGGATGTTCTGAGATAGACTAACGATTGCCAGTGGCGGTCCTGCGGGTACAGTCTATGGGTATATCTTCGTCTGGGCAGGAACCGCGGCGATATTTGCGATGCTTTCTGAGATGGTTTCCATGTAGGTTGTTCGAGTACATCACGAGTGCTACCAAGCTGATAATATAGGGCTCCAACTTCCGGTGGTCAATATCATTGGTGTTCCATGCTCGCTTCTTCAAGGACAATGAAATTCTCAAGCTACGTTACTGGTCAGATATAATCCCAGCTTCGTATAGCAATGTACAGTGATTGACTCGAACAGGTTGGCTCACGGTCGTCGGCTGGCAGGCCACTTTCGCGACAGCCTGCTATCTCAGCGGAACTACCATACAAGGTCTCATCGCATTATCAAATCCATCCTACGTACCTCATCCCTGGCATTCAACACTCCTTTATTGGTCTGTGGTGGCATTCGGACTCGTCATCAATACTGTGGGCGGAGCAACTCTTCTACCAAAATTTGAAGGCCTGATTCTGGTTCTGCATATCATTGGGTTTTTTGCAGTTCTTATCCCATTGGTATATATGTCCGACCATGGCAGTGCCAAAGATGTCTTTGCGACTTGGTTCAATGAAGGTGGATGGGATACTCAGGGGCTTTCTTTCTTTGTTGGGCTCATTGGGGTTGTGTTTGCATTTGCTGGAGGTGATGCCGCGGTACACGTAAGTCGCCTCGAATATACGTTGGATGACAGTATGAGAGCTAACCTAATATTGGCGTAGATGGCAGAAGAGACTCAAAACGCACCAAAGATCGTTCCCATTTCCATCATGTTCAGCGTCGTTATCAACGGCGTTCTCGGCTTCGCCATGCTTATCGCTTCTCTCTTTTGTCTTGGAAATCTCCAAGATGACCTCAATTCTCCAACAGGCTACCCATTTATGGCAATCTTTCTCCAAGGCACAGGTTCAGTTGCCGGCGCCACGGCAATGTCTGCTATCGTGGGTGTCATGGCTATCTGTGCTACTACCGGCATGTTGGCCACTGCTTCACGCATGTTCTGGGCATTTGCGCGCGACAGAGGCGTTCCAGGATGGCGTCTCTGGAGCCAGGTATCACCACAGGCCGGGGTCCCCGTCAACGCGGTTATTTTTACAGCTACAGTCTCAACATTATTAGGGTTGATCCCGCTCGGCTCTCCTGTCGCATTCAATGATCTCACCTCCATGTCTACATCAGGCCTGTATCTGTCGTACATGGTCTGTTGCATTCTGTTACTCTACCGTCGCTGCACCGGTGGCATCATCACACTAACCGAGACCAGCAGTGTTGCCTCGCCGGCCGATGATGAGCAGATCGTGAACACGGCAGGTGCAAAGCTTGTATGGGGTCCATTCCATCTCAAGGGTATCGTTGGCATTGCTGTTAATGTGTTTGCCATTGTCTATATGTTGATCACGGTGTTTTTCAGCTTTTGGCCACCAACAGCAGAGGTCACTGTGTCGACGATGAATTATAGTGCTGTCGGGACTGTTGGGACGATGACTCTGAGTCTGTTGTATTATTTCTTCAGAGCAAGGCATGTTTATGAGGGGCCTATCGTGGAGATTTGAAACTTCCCATCGCTTTTTGTTATGACACATCGGCATTCTCTGTATGAAAAAGGGAGTGATACTCAAATCATTAGCTGGGCTACATCAAGAACTGTCACTTTGAACATGCTACAGCGGTTTTAGAAAATTAAAATATAGATTTGGCTTGATTACTTATCTTCCTCTTCCCTTTAATGTAATCAATGATCCAAGATGTAACAGTACATGGATCATTTTGCACCAACTGATGCATAACGACCGCCACAAGCTAGTTCCTCCGCGATGACTGAGTCGACAGCTTTTCAGTGATATCGGGTGCATTCTCTGTCAGAGTTCGAGTAGAGATGTCATCGTAGTCGACGTTCAAGCAGTTGGAAGTACTAGCTGAATGACATTATATCTTCATCTCGGAGACCGATTACTATAGGATTGTAAATCTGAGACGCCTGGAACGAGTCTCGTGATACTGACACTCGTAGGTTTGTGAAACCCATCTTTGAGCAGATGGTGGCTCGATTGGTTTGGACTTCCGATTATGCTACAAAGTTCTTGTTCATTTAAGTATAATGGCTTCGCGTCTGATTAGAAGTGAACTATCTGTGTTACCATGTCTCTTGGCTTCAATATCCAATTCTCTGTTTGCATCCATGGATGGACTTCCTACCTGTCATTCCATTCCATTCCAACCTCATACACAGACATCCATCCTTCTATTTACGTAAACCACCCAGATCTCGATGTTATCTCTAACCGGCTTGAACCTGAACGTTTCAATTTTGCCTCCCTCTCCTCCCCTCCCCCCCCCCCATAGCGCCTGGGAATTTGCATTACTGGGATGGGCGGGCGCGGTAACGATGTTCCAAACAGTTTGGGTTACAAAATGAAGAGAAGACGGTCAAGTTTGAGCTTTCAGAAATTCCTACAAAACTAAGTCTATCACAAACAACACAGGTCCACTTCACGATGGTCTGACCTGTCAGAACTATGCGTACTTACTATCACTATAGGTTTCGAGCCAGATCCCCGGGTATCTTCATGTTCTATTTTACAGTCTTCCATATCTGCAGCAGACTTTTGCCCCCTGGCTTGAGGATATGAATCCAATGCAGCATCTCGTCAAAGGCGTTGACCACAGGATGCAGTGTAATTTTATTAGCTGGCTCATTTGGTTGCATGATTTACGACTAATGACAGATTTTCCTCCTAGCAAGATCGTCGACAAATTACAGCACGCAGTAACTGTGGGCTTTTAGGCTTTTGAAGGCCGTATGCCTCGATAAGTCAGTATACACCCATTCTTACTTGAAACATCGATCAGCTAGTGTTAACGTTTAGATCTCTCTCTCTCCTTTGGATCTTGTTGATCTCTAAGCTCCCGAATACGCGTTATACAGGTTATCACGTTCTCGGCCGATGTTCTAGGCCATTCATCAGATTCATAATGTATCAATTGATATAAAATTTGCCAGCCTCCATGTCTGCCTACAGGAAACACCTAGCTAATTGCTTATTGAGGAGGAAGAGGAGCCAACATATTAGCCCGAATATACTCTACAGTCTTCGCCTGATCAGCATATGGATACCTCCATTCCAACATCTGTTCAAACTCCGGAACCGTTGGCACAGACACTATAGATTGCTTATGTGAGAAGGTATCGATACTGGCTTTACCACGATACGAGCCAAATCCACTCTTACCAAACCCACCGAAAGGCATACTCGGCGGTGCAACTTGACCCATCAAATCATTGATACAAGCGGATCCGTTGGGGAGGGTGTTGACGACGCTGTTTGCTTCTTCCATATCTTCGGTGAAGATGTATAGACCCAGAGATTCAGGAGCGATCGACCTGACGAGAGCCTGGGCATGTATGATGTCAGTGGCACGGAGGATTGGGAGGATGGGTCCGAACATCTCGCTTTGCAAAATGGCGTCGTCTTCGTTGACATCCGTGACAATTGTGGGCTCAATGAATCTAGTCTTTTCGTCGAGTGTCCCACCAAGAAGAACTTTCCCTTTTGTCGACGTGAATAATGACCGCGCTCGTGAAAATTCATTGGCATTCACGATGTTGCCGACTGCGGCATGTTTTGGCTTTCCCTTGTAAAATTCGGCATAGTACTGATACGAATCAGCCCTTGTAACAAGCCACCGGTTTGAAAAGGAATTGTACGTACATCTTTAAGCGCGTCTAAAAACTCATCATACACAGCGTCATGCACAATAGCAACATTGGGCGCAAAGCAGGTCTGACCAGCAGCAGCAGCTTTCGCCCAAAGAATCCTTTTCGCTGCCATACGGACATTGGCCTTATTCGACACAATGGCGGCATTCCTGCCACCAAGCTCCAATGTGACCGGTGTGATATTTTGAGCAGCTGCTTTCATGACTTCCTTGCCGACTGTGAGTCCACCGGTGAAGAGAATATGTCCGTACGGGTGTTTTAGCAGACTCTCGGCGGCTTCCCTACCTCCGAGGACGCAACGGAAGCTGCTCGGGTCCAGATAGTTGGGGAATAGTTCTGCAATAAGATCACCGGTATGAGGAGCGAATTCACTACATTTGAGTCAGGTCAGTCAAGGTTTTAAGACCTCTCGCCTATATTGAACGTCGGATGGCTTACCTAGGACGTAGGATACCGGCATTTCCAGCAGCAATGAGTCCGGAGAACGGGAGAAGCGCTATAATTACTCAGTTTGATATTCATAACTGTACGAAGCTGCGTTTATAACTTACTCAATGTCAAAGGGTAATTCCAGGTTCTATTAGTAGCCTCTTAGCATATCACTATGACTTGATCTCAGGACACAACTTACCCAAGAATGAGAACGACCCCCTTTGGCCGTTTTCGAATGATTGGAGACCAATTCTCGAAAGAAGGCAGGGTCTCGACCGACTCATCTTTAAGCCAGTCGTCAAGATTTTGCAACATATGAACTATCTGGGTAACATTGAACACAGGCAGTTAGCACTCTCAGGGTTGAAATAATTGGATAGCGAGACTGACATCATTCGCAACGGTCAGAACCTCAAAGGCTTCGACTTGAACAGGCGGCTTCCCGACATCCTTGAAAATAGCTTCCGCAAATCGATCCCGATTATCCTTTGGATAGTAACGCAAAATTGGTGAGTAAACAGCCTTCGTATGCTTGAGTTTGAACGGCCTTACAACAACAAGATGCCACAAATTCCGCAGCTGCTCTTTGCGATAAGCAATAGGACGAGTTTTGCCGCTTTCGAAGGTCTGGCGAAGCTCGGAGACGATACTGCCGGTGTCCATGATGACATAGGTTGTATTATCTAGGTAACCTTGGAAGAAAAACAAGTAGGTAATCAAGGATTCTAGATACCAACTACCTTGAGAATCCCTGGCTGTTGGATAAAGCCACACTGTACCTTACACATAGGTCAGGGGAGTTATATCAATATATAACTACGACCATTCAGCTATTCAATTTCGTAACATTGCTCATCGGTAGCTGGTACGGTACATCTTTTACCTCGTACCTAGGTAAATCCCATACAAAATGGCTACCTATGTACTTGCGGGGCTTGCTCTTTAACGTTAAGGGGACATTACGCAGGACATTACGCCCCACCACCGGAAATCCGTACCATATTCTTAGGTCAGAATAGCATATTGCACCATGTTTCAAAGGTAAGAATTCATCTATATCAATTGTAACCACGATACGGCATGTTTCAACATAGGGATAGACAGAAATCTGCCAGCAGGGCTTTTTGGTGGGCGTAACTCCGACTCGTTTGCCTTGAATGACGAAACGACGCGGATTTATATAGGGCTGTTGAGATATTAGACCTAATGAAGAAATACAACGAACCTTGAAAGTGTACACCGTACCTGTTACGCGTTTGTGCCATCTATATTAAGCGATACAGAGAGTACGTATGGCATAGGTCGATTAAATTGTTGGATAAATTCTTGAAAGAAAGCTTGTGAGAGTCTTTTGATCGTTTGCATGTTAGGGCTGGTCCCACATCTCTAACCCCGGCGACCCCCTATCCTGCCATGGACTCACAGCCCTAACCCTTTTTTATCTCTCATCGTTGATAAATCGATAAATCGGTGATAAATAGACGTTGTGAAAGTCCTGTCTAAAAAAGGTGACTATGTCTGGGACTAACTTTTAATTCACTTGCAGGTAAGATTTTGTGGTTCACACTCCCACAACTGCCTTCGGCGCCAATCATCATAATTTTTACTTCTCATCTGCGTCTCTCTTCCCTAGAACATGTGTGTCTACAGTTGAGAATGAGACACGTACGGTATCCCTATGCCCCAAACTCTTATGACTAAAGCCTCGGTTGTTGAACGCTCCTTGTTGACGTATACTTGAAAGAAAAATGGTTCCCTGGCGGTGCTGCGCGGACAATATCTTCTAGTTGATATGATGCATTTATACATATCTGTTTCATGACAGGTAGATATGACTTGCAAGGTCTAGTTGACTTTAATTGCTGATGAGGTTGTCGGTTCGCCTAGCTTACTACGCAGATAGTAAGGTAGACCAGCTGTTCAGAAGAGCTAGTGATCCAATATCTTTGATTCCAATAAATATGACTTGATTAGAAACTATGGAGCTCATATAACCCTCTACACCCCGGGATAAAGGTTCTCCTGTTCTGCAAGCGAAGGCTGTAACTATTTGGGAAGGATAAAAACAGAAGTTTACTATACACATTGCGCAAACCCGTTCTTTGCATATGCTATTGGAATGTTGAAATAGATATTTATCCTTTATCATGTGCCAACTATACCATCACAGCTGGTGCAACATAAACAGCAATGACGTGGTAGCGCCGTAAATAACTTGATCTGTCACTTTTTCAGGATGTGTGGGCAGAACCTAATCTTGTCCTATAATGACTGGTTTGCTCGTTCGGAAATGAGATCCGCAACTGCAGACTAATGGTATCCCCACGCTTTTTCTAGAGGTGCATTTTGGCCACTGCCTCAAAGCCGTGTATGCCCAATATACTTGAAAGTAGAGGGATTTGGTTGCCATATTTCGAATCTTTGTTTGTGGGTTCCAGGGGCACATATTGTAATATTTGAGACATTTTTGTCGATGATTCTACCTTGGAAACATGTTGGTGACAGGGTTCGTACAAGGAGGTCGCGGTCATAGATCTCGTTGTATGTTCGAGATGCGTCTTTCCCTGCATGCCTAAGAATAACTTGTAGGATTTTTTGCTATAGATCACTACGGATTATCATAATTTACATGGCAAGGTGTTACTTTTTGCCCCGCCTGGGTGATTGAATAGATAATTTGTTACATCCCATACTTTTCCATTGACTATAATCCAACAATCAGTATCATTCGAATGAAGCCTAACATCCTCTCGCGAAAGCCGCTTGTGTTGCTCATGTTGGTTTTTGGCATCTATTGTTTAGGTTGTTTCCGTGTCCGGAGGGCCGGATGAGGGCGAGGCAGAGGGATGGTGTTGTACAACGATGGGGACACGGTAGGAAATCCTTGCAGGCGGGACCCAAGCATGATAAGGACCTACCTATGATCCAACTGGTTACGGAGAATAGGATACAAATCCATACAGTAGTCTTCAATAGACGAGGGCTCTTACTGGTTACTTCAGCACTACCGGATTTATACCGAAGCCATGTTTGGCGCTTGTACGACTGCGAAAGTCAGCTCAATAATCCCTCTGGTACTCTAATTTCCTTATATTAAAAATATGCTTCTCCCAAAAATCACGAACAGAAAGTCCTGAAACGGCCAACAGCTATGGCACAACGCCTTAGCCAGATCGACCGGCTCATTAACTCGTGTCATTGGATCACGATCTCCCTGCCCTCTCTCATCGTCTCTTGTTACTATCGAGCTGCCAACAATGTCTGGGTCCAGATTCTATCTGAACGGCTTCAGACAATCTTTCACGTTTCCAGCACCAAACCCAGCGAAATCGTGTCTCTGGATTGCTTTTAGAAAAACTGTTGGTTTGTCCAGCAATGGCTTGGTGAGTAATTGAAACAGGTATCCCCCTTCATCAAAATCAACAAGAATGCTTGATTGTTGCAGGTTTTGCATGTCTTGCTCAACGGTCATACCGGAGTTCTCCAACCGTCCGGGTTGAAAGGTTTTCGTAATATGTTGCTGGAATACTAATGAATTTTCTTCAGAAGTGACCCTCCCGCATCGTATCAACTTGGACTACTTGTCAATACTAGTTGGTGATTACTAGTTCGGGGTTGACCCTCTGAATTCGAAACCCGTCAGCCCAAGGACTTTCATCCTGCCGCTGGAAATTTGACCGGTTGGGTAATCTACCAGTTTAAATCTTTCCCAAACTAAACATGCCTCATGTCTCAGCATGGAAAATGATCCGACTAGTTGAATGTATTCAACAGAACCCTAGTAAGTGAGGAAATAATCAGCAGACGGCTTGTACATCTGAGATTTCTTCTTTTACCAAATCTCATTTATGGCATTGATATAAGCTTTTCATCACGAAAAGCGTTGGATGTCGCAACTTCAATCCAACTTATCAGATAGCACGAGCTAGATTCAAGCGCAACTGATTCTCTTGCTACACTGAACCCTGAGATTAGTGGGCTACTGTTGCTTTCAGACTATCTCGCTGCATGCCGATTAATAACATCCAGAGTGCCGGAGAACAGGGCAAGGAGGCTTGCATATTATTCCGATCTTTGTTCGACGACCGGGTATGTTTGGAGAGTTCGGAGTTCTAACGTACGTTATTTGTGCCCATTACTTAATGGTTTGTTCCTCGATTCAAAAACTAAGAAGTGAAAAGAGTGAAAATAGCACAGAGGTCCTTCGTACAACAGGGTCATGATTACCTAGTGGGGCCATGTGGGACGGAGCTTGCGGCCCGTGCATAACCTCAATGACCATGGTAGTTTAGTTAGGTGTATGTACGTATGCCGTATTTACGCGGTATTTACGTTGGATAACTTACACGGTACTTATTGCCGAGCGTCACATCAAGATATCGGAGATCGATGGTTCTTCGGAAACCTAAACTTCGGGGTATATTTCCTTTGAATGATCAATTTCTTACAAACCATTCCTAGGTTGCGAAATGTTTAGTCTCCCTGTCCTTTGAATTATCTGATCATTTCCCACTCCCCCAAGAGTCTAAAGGAAATTCGTCTGGCACGTAGTCTACCAAGACAGTAGGCACCTGTTGCTTGGTTGGCACTAGATAATGCAGAATAGCGTGAAGCGCCGCTTGATCTGGAATATACCCGGTCTCGCTCTCTACGAGGGACCTTCTACATAAATCCCAGTAGTTCTACTTAAACCACACTCTCGTTATTGTACTATCATTGGCGTGGTGTCTAAGTAGCTGTTCTCTTTTTTCGGAGACTTGTCACTACCCATTCATTGAGCGGCTCCGATATAGTAAAGCCCGTAAAGATACGTGTTGAAAGATCAATCTTCATCCCCTACCTTCCTCAAGGGCAATAAGTCGGCAACTAGATATTATGTAGTCAATACGCGCTCGTAATCCTAGGAATCATCGATGAGAACACGGGATGAGAAGTAGTGCTCACATGTGCCCGGGTATGGTTAGCAAAAGCGTGGAAAGTATTGTCGACAGGTGCTCAATCCAGGAACAATAACATATAATATTCAACAATTCCTCGAACAAGTAAAAGGTTTTGGGTTCAATCCAAGATTTGTTACCACTGATAAGTACTAGGTAGAGCTTGCAGCAGTCACCGCGGTATGGCCTGGTATCAAAGTTCAACTTTGCTACTGGCACATAAAACGCGTAGTAAGCACAAAGCTGAATTCGTCCAAAAATACCAACACGCAAAACCACTATAAGCTGAGGAAGCTCAGAAATTGATTACAGATTTAGAGATCTGCTAGGGCTTCTTGCCTATATGCTGCCCAGTAAGCCATAGATTCGGCAATTATCAATGCCCCTCAAAAGATGAAAAAATCAAAGAGATGGGGAGAGTAGAACTAGCAAGCAAGAAGGAGCGTGATACTGTACTTGATATTTTCTGCTGACATTTTAACCTCCATCCACTTATACCTGACCCCAATGGCACCTATAAATCCTTAAAAGATTTACATCGCGAATGTGCAGTGGAGATGTACATATAGTGTAAGACTCATGGGTACTACTGATTGTGGGCTTATCTGTATGCCAACTGGTACTGTCTGGAATAGTGGAAGCTGTAGGCACGAGCTGCTGAGCCTTCCGAGATCCTAGCGTTAAAGACAACAATGATAATTGAGTGGCATTAGCGAACACTCAAGCATGATTATCTCCACAGATTAAATTGGCCATGTGTGGACCTGGTGGTATGGAAATTGACATCTCGAGTTCTATCTGTCGGAACGTGAATATCAAACCCTACGCGTTTCGGCACCGGACTACTTAGTCTCACGTGGCACGTGCGTGCCGCGTGTATATCTAACTAGCTATCCCCCCGTTCCCCCTCGTTCTTAGGAAGAAGTCACAATATTAGGAATCAAGATATTTTCATATTGTCAGGCTCATTAGGCCGCTTCGTGTTCGCGCCTTACTACCGTCTATGCTTCGTGATACGGACCGTAGTTAAACCAACACTATCTGATGGTGTTTATCGAATAAAAGCCATTTCTAATGGTCAATTTCGCATATTCAAGGCTTGTTGGAGAGAAGCATCCAAGAAGCAATAGAAAAAGGAAGGACATAAAGCAGTTCATTCAGACAAGCTAAAGGAATACTATACCATTCTGGTCAACTAGGTTTGTGCCTGCAAATCCTTCCTACATAGTCGCTTTCTTATTTGCAAATACATTGTACATTGTTTTGAGTCATCTACTCCAGAATTCTTTGAAACTGTGAGTCGTCAGAGAGTTCATCCTCTTTGGAAAGATCCACAATTAACTCTATGACTTGAATATTCACTGAGAGTCGAGATTGATACCCAAGGATTGCATGGAGGTAATAGACTGCAAGCAGACGACGCAAAAGAGACCCTATTTAACTCCTCAGAGAGTGAGTCTGAGCAGGATGGAGATAAAGATGATGAGCAGGAGTCCATATTAATGGAAACCTAGGTTGCAGAATTTAGAAAATTGATACAGAATACTATAATTGTCTTTGAAGACCAACTGGCAAAGGAAAATGAGAAGTTCGTAGAGAGATTTATAGGTTCTAACCAGACAAATCGTATCTTGGTGGAGGAAGTTGAGCAACGTGGCAATATGCGAAGCATACCACGGACTTGGGGTAGGTACTGGCATCCGGCGACGATGTATTTTAAGTGAATATAAATGACATTGATTGTGATTAGCTGGTAGTGGCTCGTATCCATTTGATGCACGTGATCGCAAATTTAGGGAAGTACATTACGCCCCCATTGCGCGGGACTTGATGATAGCGTGTACACATAACCCAATCGACAATGTCGTGATGCAATGAAATTACGGCCCTTTGGCTGGGTAAATCAATTAGCTGTAATCAATCAGATGCAGTCAAGATGACGAATCAACTTTATCGTGCTATCAGACGAAGCAATTGACGAGGTGGCCGGTGGCCGTAAGACAGCGAGATGGGTCTGTCGAGCCGACAAGGAGTACTCACATTCCGTCCGTCTGGCCGACTTCTTCGGCAGCACTCGGTACATAGTATAGACTTTTAACCGTGACGGCATATTGGTAGGTACAGCACGCTCCTTTCGCCTCGACAAAGGCATCAATGATATCATAGAAATATGGTGGATTGATATGTATCCATCCCTCACTAGTTTCGGTACAGTCGTCCTGCGGAGCCCCGCGTCGATCATTTCGAGAATTGGATGATAGGCCAGGGACACTTGGAGAATTAACCATAATTTAACCGATTTTGCCTAAATTCGAGTGGAAACTCCAAGTGCTATTAACGCCAATGAAACCACGCTAATGTCAGTCTGTGTGTGGGTAGAATAGAGGTTCAGCTATCTCGTTGGAAGATTCTCCAGGTTTTGTTTGAGAATTGGTGAAATTGAAAGACTGGGGAAACGGAGAAAAGATACGGGATAGAGCAGATGACGCAAGCCAGGAGGTCTATCAAGTCAAGATGCTTTTGCTGTAGTTTACAGATATTGTTCAGATAAACTATATAAACGGCGTCTTTCTATGGACGCCTCCAATCTACACTTAGGTCGTTGCCCCAGTAGTATGATCATTCGTGCAAGCCCCCCCCCGCCTTCCCGACGCCGTAGCTCCATAGCTATTGACAGTCCTATATCGAGCTAATCCGGAAGTTTTTGTTTAAGAAGCCAGGATGTATAGAATTACAAATATTTACGGTGAGCAAGCATCTATGCTCCTTGAGACTTCAAAAGTCTTGTTTCACTGACTTTCGGATGGCTACCAGTCCTAGCGGCGTTTGGTACCATTGGTGGTGCCCTTTTTGGGTTCGATGTTAGGTATGTTACGATATATAGATAGCTTGGTAAGGTTTATTTGCGATTGACAATTCATGGAGTTCCATGAGCGCATGGATTGCCACTCCGCAATATCTTGATTATTTCCACAGTCCAGACTCGAATCTGCAAGGAGGGGTACGTTAATGCCACAAACACCTATCTCATGGCGCACTGCGTATTTATGCAATGACGACCATACTGATACACTATAGATCACGGCTTCCATGTCCGCCGGCTCATTTGGTGGTGCTATCGCCGCCGGTATCATTTCTGATTATCTGGGTCGGCGTCTTGCTCTTATGCTAGCTGCATGCATATGGGTTATTGGAGCAGCAATTCAGTGCAGTGCTCAGAATGTGGCTCACCTGGTTGTTGGTCGAGTTGTGAGCGGTCTTGCGGGTAAGTTTCCACTGACTTCGATTATCAACAAATGCAATCTTCCAAGGTTAGAAGATGAAAATATCGGACAAGTATTAATTCTTCTTTTCTTTATATAGTTGGCATCACTTCGTCACAAGTATGTGTCTATCTTGCGGAACTCGCCCCAGCTCGCATCAGAGGCCGGATCGTCGGAATGCAGCAATGGGCAATTGAATGGGGTATACTTATCATGTATTTAATTGCATATGGCTGTTCTGTGAGCGTCTCTGGACCTGCCGCTTTCCGAATCGCTTGGGGAATTCAAGGCGTCCCTGGTCTTATCCTGCTTGTGTCACTCTTCTTCTTCCCAGAATCGCCGCGTTGGCTGGGTTCAAAGGAGAGATGGGAAGAATGCCTCGGTACCCTAGCGGCACTTCATGCTAATGGTAACCGCAATGATCCTGTCGTTCAAGTAGAATTTGAGGAAGTGCGAGAAGCGGCTCGAATTGCTCATGAGGCGCATGATGTATCCTTCCTTTCTCTATTTGGTCCTCGAATTTGGAAACGAACTATGTGTGGAATGACTGTGCAGATGTGGCAGCAGTTACTTGGAGGCAATGTGGCCATGTACTATGTCGTCTATATCTTTCAGATGGCTGGAATGGTTTGTCCTTCTCGATCTCGTTTAATTTTACCCTCCTGGGGACGAAGTGGACTAATATAACATGATTCCCAGAGTGGAAACACAACTTTATACTCTTCCGCTATACAATATGTTATTTTCCTGGTGACTACCGGCATTATGCTACCACGTGTGGACCGAATAGGCCGTCGCCCATTGCTCCTTGTGGGCTCAATTGTGTGCATGGCGTGTCACTTTGCCATTGCAGGACTCATGGCAAATTACGGCCATTACGTCGACGAAGTCAATGGGAACAGTAATCTGCGATGGTCAATCTTCGGTGCTCCTGCAAAAGGCGTCATTGCCTGCTCCTATATTTTCGTCGGTTTCTACGGTTTGACCTGGGTATGTCATCTTGAACTCTTTGGCTTACTATATCAGAACTTTCCCACTTTTGCTAATATTTAAAGGCACCGGGTGCATGGATTTACGTCTCGGAAGTCTTCCCGCTCAAATATCGCGCAAAAGGAGTTGGCATATCTGCAGCAACAAATTGGATCTTCAATTTCGCCATCGCGTATTTCGTGGCTCCTGCTTTTACAAATATCCAATGGAAGACGTACATCATATTTGGAGTGTTCTGTTTCGTAATGACCTTTCAGATCTTTTTTACCTATTCTGAGACGGCACGCAGGTCGCTTGAGGAAATCGACCTCGTCTTCGACACGGATGTGAAACCCTGGCGTACCGCTCAAGTCAAAGATTTGTTTGAAGAAGAGATTCAACAACATAGGGAGCAGAAGGTTGAAGGAGAGCGTAAGGACTTTGCCGATACCGCAAGTCATCATGAAAATGTTTGAGGTTGCCAATTCACTGTGGGCACATCAGTTATTGTGAGACCAATGAGTCTCAATCTGGCCTTGAAACCCCCAAATCGAGGGAATCTTTGGTGCATCCGTGTTTTAGGCGTATCACTTTACTGCAGTATCTGTGGGCATATAGGATATCTAAATTTGAGGTACCTAGGTAACCTTGGAACTGGTCTGTCGGCATATATTGATTAAATAAATGTTTCTTAGCACCTATAGAACAACTGGACAAATCATCTACCAACCTAGGCAGGCAGGTAGGCAGGTATCACTCTGCAATTGAGAAGAAAGGAAGAAAGTCCAACAATACATTGAATATTCTATTCAGCATAAGTCATAACTAATTCAAGCATTTCCTGTTGATCCTAGCATATCCATGCATCTTTCAACAGCCGCTTGCATGGCATTGGTGACCTCTTCATGTAAAGTAGTCAAAGGAACTTTGCCCGCTTTCTCAGCCTGTACTCGTAGGTACTCGTTATTCATAACCTTGTTTATATTGATCTTGGAGACACCGTGTGAGATGCACTTCTGGAAGATCTCAGTTGTAAATGGATCCGCGCCGTGAAGTACAATGCGCACTTTGTCGCCCACAGCCTTGTTGATAGACTCCAAGCGGTCATACTCCAATTGAACACCACGGGGTCCATAGGAACCATGGACGTTACCAAAAGCCGGTGCAAGCCAGTCAATACCCGTGGCAACGAATTCATGGCTCTCTTCGGGTGTTGTTAGAAGACCCGTGAGGTCCGCGGTATCTGCCACGCCATCCTCTCCACCTTCAATACGGCCAGGCTCTGCTTCCGTTGCGATGCCGCGCTCGTGGCAATACGCTACCAACTCGCGGGTCTTGGCCAGATTCTCCTCCTTCTCATAATGGCTCATGTCAACCATAATACTATCAAAACCACCGAGATCTGCCGCATAACGAATGATTTCGGGCGATTGGGCATGGTCCATGTGTACCGTGACGGGCACCTTTGCCTTTTTAGCAGCTTCTGCAGCTGCGTGAACGAGTAAACCATCGGCATATTGAATTGCCCAGGGAAAAAGTAGGATCATGGCTGGTGACTTTTTGGCTTCTGCGGCACGGACAGTGGCTAGGATACCTTCGATGTTGTAACAGCACATTCCGGGGACACCATATTTTCCTGCGAGGGCCTTGTCGAGTATTTCGAGGGCTCGGTTGCCCTTGAGATTTGGGTGGGGCATTGTATATGATTATACTTTCAGTTTCTTCTTCATTCACGTTATTTTAATGGCGATGTATTGACGCGGCTGAAGAGTAGTGAAGTCAGCGGCGATGAATAATTGTATCCATAGGATGAACAATTACCTGTGAACGATTCGCGGTGTCAAGAAACTTGAAACTTAGATATTTGAAATAGTATTGCTAGAATTAGAATCAAGAGTATCAAATATCATGAGCTTTTATACATCCAACAAGCATCCGTGAAACATCGTCGGCTGTTTGTCCGCTCTATCATAGTGAGTCGGAGCAAGTCCGATGGGTGGAGCCGCAGGCGGGGGAGGTGGGGGAATCGGATCATTCTGCGATATATCTTAACCCTAAGTCGGGGCATCTGCTAAGTTCAGGGTATGTGGTATTTATTCACTGCACGCATAATTTCTCTAAGACTGGCTTAAAATTTGTAGTATTCTTATAAAGGATGTTTGTGTCTTCAAATAGCCGGTAGATTGATAAACCATCTCTGAATTGAGGTCCCGTCATTGCTATGTGTAGACTTAAAATAGGAGAATAGTGAAACACACATAATCTGTTCAATTACAGCACTAACCAGTCTCACATTATTTGCTGGATTATCTAGTTCTCCCATACCCTGATGATACTCGTCGCCGCCTCAGATCCCCATCCACGTCGTTGTGCGACAAGGTACTGAGTTAATGCTTCGGTAGCTAGGTGCAAGGGTGTAAATGAGTCCCTCGCTTCTTGCACAATAGCACTAAGCTCGTTGACAATATCGTCAATGCTCAATGTTCCCTCCGGCGCTTTCTCCTTCAGTATCCCTTCGCCCATTGTCACCCCAAGTGTGTTAAACATCCTGCTTCCACCAGCGGCGTTGATGACCAGGTCATAGAATTGTTTCATGTCCACATTCAGGTACCGCGCGAAAGCAACAGCTTCAGCTGCTGCAACAATGTTTGTATATTGCATGCACTTGATGACCATTTGAACTCTTCGTGATGTCTCTTCTGGTGATAGAGTACACTTCACATTGACGATCGGGTCTGGGAAATACATACGAACAAGTGACGAATCATCCTTGGGACCATATCCGTGGACAAGGCTCGTTAGATAGAGTTGTTCTGCAGACGATGCTAATGGTGTCGGGAATTTGTGTAGTCTCGCAGTAGATGTGATGATACCCTTGCTCCAGTCAGCTGTGTCAATACAAAACTTCGATCAAGGTACGCCTACCACGTCTTTGAGAATGATTGTCATGGCACTTGCTCCTGGATTCCAATCTTCTTCTAACATCCTCTTGATACGATTTTCATGCATCCATGTCCATGCATCCGAGTTGATGATTGCATCCTTGACGACATAAGCGTCTAATCCCAATCGTGCCGCAAGTCCCATAGATTCGCTAACACCAGCAATGTGGATAGCCGCAAGAACTTGATGTACCATTTTCATATTACTACCTGCCCCAATCCCACCCGGCACCAAGTACAGTTTCTTCGCATCGGACATTTCCTGAAGAAGAAAGTGCCCTTGAGAAAGGGCAGCCGGGCTTCCACCAGCCATTATTGATAGTGTCCCGTCGGCTGCACGACCAGCTCCGCCAGATACCGGGCTATCAATGAACAGTATATCGTCTCTTCCGCGGGCTTTGAATTCTTTCTCGACCGATTGAGCGTATGCTGATGAAACCGTGGAACAAAGCAGAAATGTCGCACCTTTGGGGAGTACTATCGCATAATGTCAGAATGATACCAAGACAAATGAAACTGCATTGAGGTAATGGAAAGGTCATACCACCTATAATTCCCGTTTCTAGATTGAACAACACATCCTGTACTTGAGGTGGCGATGCGACCATGCAGATATAGTACTGCTTTCCCTCCGCCGAATCCCTCAAAGAAGCTGCCGGAATTCCACCAGCAGCTTTGAATCGCTCCACTGATGAAGGAAAGACGTCGTAGCCTTTGACGGGATATCCTTGCTTGACTAGATTGGAGGCCATTCCAAATCCCATGGCACCAAGGCCGACGAAGCCAATCTCAGGCTTTTTGGAAGTCATGATTGTATTTCCCAGGTGACTCCAGTGTGGTCCTGATCTCAACTTTGGTGACCTTGAAAGAAAACCTAGCTTCAGAATATCTTGAGGTCTTATAAAGAATATGCCAACTTTTATTTACATCTCATAATTGACCTCGGAAAGTTGCTTCCCCGCGCTGCTTAACGGAGCAGCTCCGAGTCTCGGTGGAACCGGCATCATTGATCTGGATAAATCGTTTGCCAGCAAATCAAGGAGTAAGTATCATTTTGTTCATCGCATCAAATTCCGGCTAAATCGATTCTGAGGCCTTCCAGTCTCAGGAACTGGTAACATCGCATTAATGTAGAGGCCGATTGTTGGCTAATGAGTTTTGTCAATAGCCGATTCTTAGATGGGCTGAAGCAACAACGTGCGCGTATGAAAAAGGATGAGGGCTTGGTATATTACAAGTTTTTCTCATATTTCTCAGGTTGTTAACATTCCTATACCGTATATCCAAAGGAAATATTCAAGATTATGGGATGACTGAGCAGAGGAGAATCTTCACATCCATACATGGTATATGGAACATACATGGCAACTGTGCCAGTGATACAGTACAGCCTTCTGTAAAAAGCTTCAGGCGGTAGTCCTAGCTTTAAAATATATGTACTGTTCCATTAACATTAAGTTGTTTGCTTTGTGCAACTTTCTTGTGTAAATCAAGACTCTCTTGTCTCGTGATCTTTGGACCATTTCAACTGCGCAGGACAGTTAGGGCTAACCGTAAGCACAACAAGATCACAATTCTTTCCTTCGTCTAACCTACTAACAGCTATTAAAAATTATTCTGGTCATAAATGTCTATCTACATTTTTCTGTATTTCTAATCGGGTTTAGGGTTTTTTGAAGTAGGAAACGATATCTTTGCAGATGAGCAGGCTGTAATCATCGAATAATTTTTGGTGCTTATATGCCCGTGACCAGCATTATCCCTGCTCCTGTCGGATTGATCGATTTATTCCAGGCCAATCCTGAGGAGTGTCTTACTATGATGAAAAGAAAAGAAGTGACTAACAAGATTGTATGTATTGAGTTCTCTGTCTCTCTCTGTCTATCCGTCAGGTTTCAAAGCTGGGTTTTAATAAACATCTTTTGCAGGGTGCTTTGTGAGCTATCATGAGGGGTAAACATTGGGCTGAAATCTAGGTGCATAGATATATGCCCCAAGGTGCCTTGTAGACCTGTAAGATCGAACAACCAATCTCTCTGCCTCGTTTCAAATCCGGATTATCTGACAGCTCCTCATGCCTAGTCCCCCGTCGCAGAGCTACTCGAGAAGATATGGACATCACATGTAAGTCTATCTGTATCATCTGCTTTCCCAACTGTCAATTAAGTCAATTTTCACAGTCACCCTCCCTACCTAGGTACCTTTTGGTGCCCTACTCCTGAGTTCATTTAAGATCTAGCCATGCAAAATATAGTAGTTATGTACCAAAATATCACATAAAGTAGCAGCATTCCCTATGTTATACATCAAAATGGTTATAGAAAGTGCATATGATTGACACTGTAAATGATCACTAAAACCCCACAATAACAGTCTTTGTATAACTGTATACAGATCATATTTTGTTATCTGAATAAGGCTCTATATATCTTTGCAACACTCGAAGTACGTTTCTACTGGTACAAAACATATTTCCAAGCATTATGCAGCACAGCTCCGAGATTTGGCGTTTCTTAAGATTCATTCTGCACAGATGTATGATCATTGACTCAGCTGCTGCGGTTCCCAAGGATATGCCTTAGATGGTTAGATTCAATCAAGTTGGCTATAAACAGAGGACGAATTTTGAACGCTTGACCAGTGTTATATTGTATCTCGATGTCCCCATAAAGTTGAATGCAGCCATTCTAGGATAGCCATGGAATATTACGTTGTTCCACCCACAATACAGGTTGTCAGGCAAGCTTTACTAGACAGAGATTAGAACGAGAAGGAATATGGCATAGAAGTTGACTACATGAATTACAGGGCATTTGCAGAGAGATACCTACTCAAGGGGTCAAATTTTGCACTGCTTAAGCCGAAACAAATCACAGCACTTCTAGTAAATATATTTCTATACCAATAACACCACAGTTGCCACAATCTAGGTAACTCACCACTCTTTAGGTCACATTTACTGGGAAATATAACAAACATGTTGATGCTACTTCTTCTTGCCTGAGTGAGTTTTAAAACACAGACCTTCTTTCTTTCGAGCCGAAAGTCTTGGGTTCTTTGGACTGCATCATAAAAAAAGTCAATGCTAACTTGATTGCAGGAATTGCGGCTTCTTACAGCAACGTCGAGTCTAGTTCTGCTACAAGTGATATTACCAATGGCGCTGAATGGTGGTGTATTCCACCATTTTTGGCTGTAAGGGCTTGGTTTGTTTCTTCTCAACTCGGAACTATATGATGACACAAATCACTGATTACTTGATATTGCCAAAAACCAATAATGTCGGAAGGGCGGCCTTTGCTGTGGTTTCCTCTATGTTAATTTATCAATAGATCCGCTTCATTGTGGTAACTGTTTCACTTGAGTAAGCTGCTCCTTTTTTTCTAAGTTGCATACTTCTTCCATTTAAACGGTGTACATGGATGTCATAAAGGTTATGTACTGATTCATGTTTTATATTAATATCGATTAGCGTATTTGTGACGGCTAAGCATGGCTCTGCACTCCCGTCTCAGTTCACAGATAACTCGGAGCCGTATAACCCTATCCGCGCCCTATTGGGAAGCCATATCAACATCAGATGTCGGAGCTGGATAGGGAAAGGCGACTCGCACAGAGATTTATATGAGAAGCGAGAGCAAGAGCTTTTACTTCATTTCTTCCTTTTTCCCCCTTATGCTCAATATCACCTGTCGACAGGCACCTCTTGTACGAGATAGCTAGCTAGGATAACGTACTCAAATCAAGCAGATTGGCACCGTCACATATTTATTAACCTTTCATCTATAGTGCCCATCCAATCCAACGTGTGTGAATGCAGTTTGCACATGTAATTCTCCAGGGACATTATGTCCTGATAGTCAATGCCATAATTTATCAAATGATTCTCAAAACTATGGCTCTTGTGGTAATAAGGTAGATACTCGGCTAAAATATTAATTAAATTTGTGACATTACGAGTTACTAATCTCTATTTTAGCGTCCTATGAATGCTCCATGTCTGAAAGGACAATGTACAGATCCAGTATGCTATGGGTCTAACTGTAGTGTTGGAAAGTCATGTGTAACGATGGGCTTGCATTGTCAATGTACCTTTATATTGGAAGGTGAAATGCTTTTAAGTGTCCGGCATCAAGCCAGTGTCAATCGAGTTCAGACTGTCCAGCAGGCCAGATCTGTGCTGAGACTACTAACAGTATCTGTGTGACCAATACTGGCTGTGTATAGTGGTTTACCGTGACCAGACGGCTATTGCCGCCTTAGGGTCTTGTTGCCGGAGCCCCATGTTCAGCTTTGTACGAGGGAATAAATACTAGCGCTTGATGCTGCATTGGAAATCTGCTTTGTCAATACTTGAGGAACTTCACTATGTATCCATGGATATTTTTATATTTCATGGTGATATCAGATGCGTTCCTATATAGAGAAGCCGTCAACCCTCTGACCGATTCCTATTCTTATTTTCCATGCTCAGTTTTCTCGCTGTAATTCTACCCAACAAACCAATGGCCTAAGTATCTTCACATTAACGGTACATGTTATCGAACAACATACCTCCTGATGTCCTGAGTAGGGTCCCAGAACAGCTCAAAAACCATTTACCAGAGAGCCCCATTAAAGGCTCCCCGTTGGCCAGAATGGTATGAATTTTGTTCTGACATGTTACAGGCTGGCGTATGGTTAGTTGATGTCGACTGGCATGTTAACTGACCAGGCCAGATAATTAGCTATCTAAGCGAGACTTATCTCCGATCTTAGAAATATATAATTTACCTGGAGTGTGGGTGCATCTGCACTAGTACTAGTACGATAAGCTTCCTAACACGGAATATGGGTTCAATTGAGTAGTCTAAGTTGTCTCTTCTTAAGATATCTGACACCGACGCGTAAGGGATTCCTTGTGTAGTATTGGAACTTTTCCGTACTAGTGCTAACTGGGCTAGGCCAACCAAAGAAGTTTCTTAGAGTAAGGATTTTTCTGATATTTGTGCACACTATCTAAAACCTCACTATCTAACAATCTTGGTCCTTTTATATTCACATTCTCAATACAAATGACATCATTTGAAACCACAATCTGTACTCGATCGAACTTTCTAGATATAAGCTGTAAAGTTGATTTGTAATATCAATCTTATGTTGATGTGTGAATTCAATTTCTCGAAATTTCCTGTTGATCAGTATTTGTACGGTTCTCTGAATCCCATCCCAAAAAGGAATAGCACAGTATAGTTCCAACATGTAGCCTTCGTCACGTGATGTTATCACGTGACATCAGCTATCCGGATCTCGACTGCACCCTCGCATCCAACATGGAGTCCTGTTACTCTCATTACTCACTTCTATGTATCTACAATCCCTCTTACTGCATGGTGCAGGATGCGGTGAAACTATTGCTAAGTTCATTTGTTCCTACCTAGGTAGGTAGTTATTAGCTAATTGTGCAACAGTTGCCTCTTCTCCAACTAGGAGACGTATTTAGATTCTATACTGTAGTAGGGAAAGCAGCATCTCTAATATCAAACACCCACAAATAAACCTAGGTATTATTTTGTAGTCAAGAATGAAAGCAATTGATCGTCAAGGCACAGAATACAGTAGACACCAACTGACTTGGACGGCTGTTGATACCAAATGACGAGTCAATCACAACCCAGGATATGTTAGAGAGTTAGGGTTAGAGTTGAGCAGGTGATCATGACGTCGGATGCCGGAGAAAAGATCCGCTACGTTCGATACAGAATCTCAGCTTAACATAGCAGGATAAATAATTTATTTGCCTGATCATTCCTGTACAATCAAGAAGAATTTCATCCATATCGAGATCAGTCAAAAATGCAGTGACATGTGGTGACTGTCTCTATGTTCTTGCTGAAGGCAACGAATATGTTGATGCCATTGGCTTCACCGGAAGACAACGGATCCAACAGCAAGAGAAACCACGGCTTAATTGAAACCTTCGAGGATATTGGTGAATGTTAAAAAGGATCCAGCTCGACGTGTGGTGCAGCAGCAGCTCATCGCACAGTGGCCTCCTTCCTGCTTCCTCGACACCTTCCTCTACTGTATCAGAAGGGACAACATCTGTCAATTCTGTTCTTCCTCGTTTATCTCCATAAACATATTTAGTCCTGTATCAGGCCCCTACTCCTTACAAGTATTCATTCTTCTATCAGTTCTTAGACGCCCATAGACAGTCTGTCTGGGTATCGCATGTACGGAAGGATTCATTTCCTACTTCGGGTTTCGTTCCCTTCAGTGCGGCTTAGGTACTGTCTACTGCTACTCTCAAATTTTACTCTCAAAGTTCCTGCTAACATACCGACTTGCTTAGAGAGTACTGGTCCATCCTTCAGCTTGTGTCTCTTCAGAAGTGGATGTTACTTTACCTTCTCCTCGATCAGAACATTCAGTAAGAACCCCTATCTGCCGTCACTACCAACATTCAAGCTGACTAGAAGCATTCAAGAAGACGCTGGACACTGTATAAATCATTCGCAATGGCCACAATAAGCAAGGTATACGGTCAGTCTCACGCACACGAGTTACTGAAAAGGCACAATTGGGCAAGCCGGAATCCCGGGGTTATTCTCGTGTTCTGTATCGTCTTCATCGTTACGTTGGGGCTATTTTCATTGGTTCTCTATCGGAGAATGCTACGCAGAAAAGCTGAGAAGCAAGCTTTTACGGGATAAGGAACGACAATGGTATCCTGCATGCGACTGTTTGAAGCTTTATATCCAAGTGGCGTACTCTGCAGTGTGGCCTCGTCGCGACGAATTGGTAGTTTATCGACCAGAAACGTGGACAAAGCTTTGTTGTCCACTGCATCGTCATTGCTTAGGATCTATGTTGCCCGTTTTTTGTTACCGTTCAACTGAATGTCGTGATGAATGACAGTGTTATCTTTAGGGTAATGGGTGTTTGACCTCTTGGAGGTATAGCCGGTCTACCGATAATGTATAATCATTCTCATCGTTAGCTTGGGCTTGATTGCAATAAGACCTCGGGACGAGACAAATAGCTCATTTCATCAGCAAGATATTGGCATCGTAGCTACAACTTACAACGAATTGGTATGAGACTTTAAAAATGAATATTAAAGTAACTGTTATTGATTTGGTCATAAACTGTCATTCATCGGATCTTCATATGCTCCAACGAAGCCTAAATAAATACATGGTATACAATTAAATAGATATAAGAAACAAGCCATAATGAAGGTATAATCACCAATTCTTAGCATCACCGGCGCCGCCTGAATTCCGAGATGGATGAAACGGAGCAGGTTCACTGGTAACTTCAATCGTCGTCTTTTGGTAAACCTTGCCCAGTTCAGCGAGCTCGACGTCTTTTTGGACTATATTATCAGTTGATGTGTTATTGTCGCCATCATGAGAATCTGATGAGTATATCGTTTCGTGGTCAGGATTACCTCGCCCACGGCGAAATGCTCCCTCGCCCGAATTATCGACATGGCTCGTGATGGTTGTAGTTATTGTGGTTAAGCCATTCCCTTTACTCGGCATTAAGCGACTAAGTCCCTTGCTGGATTTGCTCTGGCTATGACTGCCCATATTATTATACTCACGGTGCTCGCTGGCATCGGAGTAGATAATCAAGTTTCGACGTGTGAGCGTGTAGAGCAGGACATCAACGAATCCCGAACTTGTAATCATGGCTCCGGCAACGCAAAAGTATGCCAGGCTAGGCGTCTTGCCCTGCGCTGTCGACATGCGCCCGGCCGCGAGAGGAAGCGATAAAACGACGTATGCGAGTGGATAGATAACCATGTAGCTGACAACGCGACGAAGACGTTTTAGACTTTCCATTTGGCTACCGGCAAGAATCGATGAATTTGCCATTTGTCGGCGGAGGTGGAAGAACATGACTGCGTAGAGAACGACGGTGCCAAATTCGGCCACGAAAATCCAGATATAATGGGTGTAAAGGCGATAGTTTTCGTATCGGGAGTCGATCCAGCACTGGAAAATCTGCTGTTAGCCAATACGTAATGCTAATCTATAGGAAAAGGAGAGACTTACCCATGCACCCGAGGGGATCATCACATCGATCCCTTTCGACGCCATCGGTATAATGACCAGAATGGCCAAGAAAACCCACACTCCCACGACGCCAATAGTGAACCATATATGATTCACCAACTTCCCCGAAGTGACAAGCAAGAAGGTATGAGCAGCAATGACCAAGACGAATAGACCGCTTCCGGGATCGCCGGCTTGCACTAGAATTCCTTGTAGTATGCAAGCTGCTGTGCCTGCTTTGATAGCATTATCAGAGACATAGCGGATGCACAGTACGAACGACAGCGACTGTATGAAATCTGCCAGAATCAAGTTGTAAATGAGGACAATGTATTGATTGGTGGTGAGGTTTCTTTTGTAGTATTTGTGCCAGAAAATGAAGCGATAGGTGATGAAGCAGAGGAGACCAAATGTTGCCAGCAATGATATCATTGCGAGCACTGAGATGGCAATGAGGCCACTATGAAGCACTGGGGATATAGGATCAATATCCTTGGGGCTGCTCGGTGCGGAGGCGGATCTTCCCCGGAGCAGTACGTCGACTACCGCATGAGGATCTGCCGTCCTCAGTCCCCTGGAGATGAGGTTCATCATTGCTATCGTGTAGTCGGTTTGTTCTGACGATTATCGTTCGTTATTCCTATACATTGGGATCGCACCGGCAAGTAAACAAATGCAGATGCGCCTTCGATATTCAGGCTGATACGGTCAAACCTTTCCAGGTTGACGTAGGCTTAGGGCACAAGGACCATGTACCGAAAACTAAAGCGTAGAAAAAAGACGAGGCCAGAAAACGTTTCTTTATACAGCAGATGTCAGTTCAATGCATGTCAAAATAATGCCTCAGACTGGCATAATTTTTCCGGGGAATGCCTTTTAGCCACAGAAAGAGGGGTCGCCCTTTAAACTAGACGCAGAATTCTGCCAGCAGCGAGAGTGTAAATTTGATAGTCCACTGACAAGGTTCAAAATTTGCCAGTCTAGATTGACAAGATCAGCGTACTAGCAGAAAAAGCAGGGACTAGTTTACTGCATTTCATTTTTATGTAATGTACTTGCCTTTCGAAGCCCTAAATCCCGTGCTCTGGGTACGCCACCACTTTTTGAGATTGGGTAATGACTTAAAAGTATCAGGCAAAGTGTAAGTGCCACTTTTTGCTTCAGATAGAGCCATTTGCTTACTACGTAGTACTGCTCAAGTACCGCAACAGGCAGCTACTGGTAAATGCCGTGCTCGTGCGCACTTTATAAAGTGGGAATGCACGTGCGAGGCTTATGTTGAGTTTGCCTACCATTAAATCCGATGCTGGGATCGTATGCTATTATACTCTGTTCATGTTCTGCTCGTGAACCATATTATCGCATTTCGTATATACGTACTAGATCACCGGCTAATCTGTGCAATATGCCTAAGCAAATGTCCAAGCCAGCTATGAAACGACACCGACAAACAACACGGATGGAATCCGGAAGAGTCAGTGGTGCCTTGGAGCATGGGTACGGATTGAACGGAGCATGTAGATTAATAATAGACCTCTATTATGTCTCGCATAATTGGACGTCAGACTTCAGCCCTGGTAAAAAATCAAACAGGACGCGAATGATAGCCCAGGGGAACGAGCCACTACCAACAAATTAGTAGATATCCACCAATAGGATACGGCATACGTAAAAAGCAAAGACAGAATCCGGGGTCAACATTACCAATCGTCGATATGGCTGGTTGGGCGCATTAACTAGGGTAATTTAGTGCGTGAATGAACGGCGTTGCTCTAGCAGTTTTGAGAAAGCCAAGCCTAACGGGGATCCATTTTAATTGATTTTCCAGGGGATGTCAAGGACGCGAGGCCTCGAGGACCACCGTGAAGCGGAGTTTACAGTGGGGATGTCTGACCCAGAACCCGAACCGATTTGACATCAATGACCACATTCGGCCAGTCGTCGACCCGTTGACAAGTGTTCTGTGAAGCCTAGTGAAACTAAGCATCAGTAAGAATGAGGATGATCAATGGAGATCAGGGAAACGGGCTTCATCCCTGTTCTGTTAGGCAGTGTTAGCTAGTTCAGGTACGTGTGTAGGTACGTGTGCAGTAGTGGCTCGTGTTCTCAGCTTGATACGGCGCTCAGACTGTTCAGCTTGAACGAAAAGGGACATTTTGCCGGTGGCCAGAGCAGCGTGGTCCCTAGCTCTCTCCTTGGTACCAGTCTCAATGATTTCGCGAGTAATGAAAACTCTGTTGGAAGAACGTAGAGGCTTCCACTCTGACCGTTGAGGCAGATTAAGTTGTGATAAGTTATAACAGAGTTTTCTGATAAGTAGAACTTCATCAAAGGCAGAGCCCGGACGCTAAACTGTTCCCAGCCAGTACAATGAGTTTAGATAATCTCTAATATTCATGCTTAAGGTTTGCTTGATTCCTAAAATTCCACCGAGAATACAATTAGGGAGACGCGGATTGTGTGCGGTCGCTCCGGCAGATTTTTACGTCGATCTTTCGCTGAGGGTTTCGACTATTGGGATCTAAGTGCCCACTGAGTCACAGTAGACGCACCCAGTGTATCGCAAAGACAGGAAATCGTCTCCAGCTGTCGCCAATTCTTGTCACATAGTCAAAAGGCACTACATCCGTTCGGGAAATTCTTGCCTAGAGGCTAGTTGTGGTGGCAAGCACCATATTCAGAAAAGTTGGCCACGTTTTACTCGAGCCTCAATTCTCTCGGCAATAATAAGAGACCCAAGAATCATATTATCCCGACTCTGCAATTTCTGGCGTTTGAAATCCTTGGCATAACGTTCCAGATGTATGAATGGACGGACAGTCTAGCCGAGGCTCTATATCAAAATCGCGACATCAAAAAAAGTACTCTTCCCATTGCCCGACAGCCTAGGCATCTTTGGAAAAAGGAGACACCCCGTGTTTCTCTGCTTCTGCAAAGTACTGCTTCAAGATAGCTCGGCTCTGCCCCTTGGGTCCTCCAAATATTTTCAACACTTTATCCTTTGTCATCGGTTGTCCACTCTGTATTTGACGAGCCCAGACGTCCAGCATCCGATCCAATTCTCTCCATGTGTGTTCCTCCGATTGACATACCCCCGTCATAGTCAACGGCGGTCCGAAGGACGTCCCGTCATCTCTTTTGACGACTGCATAGTAGGTTTCCCAATCATCAGATTCAATATCAATATCATAGTCACCGGGGCCCCATATAATACGACAGTTGGATTGGATGCGTTCGGCGGACATGATTTTGTAGTTTTCAAGCGTTCTAATACGGTGATAGAATCAACTCGGATCGAAATCTCGTTGAGTGGTGACGAATGCGTTGATGCTGGCGGAGACAAATTAGGTAGGTTCCTAGGACTTTCACATCTTCTTTGAAAGAAAACAAATGTATTTGTGCTATTTATTGTCCGACACCAGGGTGAACTTGGTCAAACATCCAAACTCAGCCTTGCTGCACACTTACCAAGGATATGCGACACCGCTGTTTATAGCTGCATGATTGGAGGCATGCAGCTGGTTATCAAAAGAAAGAAGAGTTTTCTGGCATCCATGCATGCATTATCAGTCACTTATGGGCATCTGTATAAATGACCAAGAGAGTACTTAGATATGGATAATTCAACATGACCATAGATGCTACCTAGGTACTCACCGACACTGGCATTTTCCCCCTATATCAGTGCACAATTGTCGATCCTTAAGGTTTCAAGGTCGTGACCGATTACCCTACCTACCTCCCTAGATAAGTAGGTAATATAGATTCGAAATTTATGACTATTCAAAAGCAACTTGGAACATTGCGACGCGCGGTTACCTTACTAAAGTCACGCCGGCGGCCAAGAGATATAGGTATTCTTCAACACTGAACCTTTGACCACGACCGTTGAGTTGAATAGCGGTGCAACTTCATAATAGAATATTTTCGGCCCTGAATATTTATAAGCGGGGAGTCTGTTGTTACCATTCGATGTTGAACGTCGGTTAAATGAAGATTGACGTCCTCGAATGATAATGATCCACGTTAGCCAAATACATCAATTCTAAGCGAGAGCGAGGCTGCGTGTACACCGAAATGTCGTATGTGGGAGCAGGTGACTGGGAATCCATCAGGAGATTCATGGTGCAGCGGGAAAAAATGCCACCGTGCAAAGGGGCTGCAGGACATACAGAACCCGACGGCTCACGAAGGTACACATTGCTGGATGATTCGGTTGTAAGCAACATGGCAATTTTTGAAATACGCTATAAGGATTTGATTGCATGGAACAATCTTAAGAAATTCTTCATTGTGTCACCGTCTGTGATGCTGCTGTGCCGTTGATTAGGGATGGATTCAAGTTAAACGCAAATTCCGCCCAGCTGGACGATGATTGGAAAGAACTCCTACTTTTTTATTCAAAGACGCATGGACCTACTGTCGTGCCAGGAAATGAGGAAGCTGGAGGCTGGCAGAACCGATTGGTACTCATCAATTGCCCGTCCCAAGGTTGTTGGTATGCGGTGCATGTTATTTGGATATGTTTGGGCCGGATCATGGCGACCTTTGGAACTCGTTATCTCTTACAAGTGAGCAAGAGGAATCACGTCTGGACTGTACCATGTCGACGATGCCTATTCAGATAGCATGGAGACAGATACACAGGGCTACTAAGAGTTCGAAGCCACGCTAAGATGATCCTGGATAATCCACGCTGCGATCTGGAGGGAATCACGTATGTTATATGGTACACTCCACGAACCTATCATGGTAGTGATTTTGCGATTTGTGGGAGGTGCCTTACTGCTTTCATGATTCCGCCAGGATTTCGGTTTTAATTCCGGGAAATATCGCCTCAAGAAGATGGTAGCGCATACATATGTGACTTTAACCCCATGAAGCCGCGGTTCTTGACCTATATGGTCAAATACAATAAGGCCGTTGCACGAAAAGATCTGGAAGTTTTGTCGAGATTCGTGTCCTGGTACGCTTCGCTGCCAGACTACCCTAATAGCACAGGTTATTCGAATCGAAAATGATACGAGACCAAAGACTTCACTGTCTGCGAGCAATGCTATGAAGAATTTGTCAAACCTACGAGCCTGGCCAGTCGCTTGGAATGCGATATCGTAGCTGGAGAGATGCGATATCATCTGTATTCCTCGAGGATGCGAAGGCTTTAGTTGCAAGCCTGCGAAGAAAATAATCTAGAGGCTTTCGAGGGTATTGCTCGACAGTGTATGGAGATGATCGTATATGCCCAAAACGAAATCTTGCAGGTCCGCATGAGACAGTTGAGTCTTCTAAAGGAGCAGCATGGGTTGTTCATGTCTTCGATCCATAACCAAGGCCTTGAAGGTCTCTCTCTCGCCGTAGGACAGAGCTCAACATACGAATATGACTACTCGCAGGTTGGATGGGGATATGCCACGAGATATGGGGCTGAAGCTGCGACGCAGTTTCAGCCAGCGTTAGCTATGAATCCTGTTCGACCAGGAGATACTGTGGAGATGACCCGCCTTGACGCGATGTGGACAAAGGTGGAGTGAGAGGTGCTTCCCCTTTTTCAATTCAGCAATCGAGACTTCCCAGGGTAGTCGATCCGTGCCGTTTTCCTGTCAGCCATATTCATCTAAAGCGATTTAACGCGCCACAATGTCCAGATTCGGAACTAGAAAGTCAATTGACCAAGAAAGAAGCATCTCATGTGGAGGAGAAATCTTACACTTCCTGATGCCATATGTGTTTTTAACGTTCTGCATTCAGCTGTAAGATCAATATCATGAGACTCTGGGAAAGACTTAGCGTTGGATTGGAGCCCAATGGCCCTGCATTCGAAGAAGAATCCGTTATATGCATAGTTGGATACAAGTGTGCACTAGTTCAGTCTTAGAACAGCTCAATTCGTCAACTCGCAGTCTTCCTCACTCTTTGCACCTCCACAGTCTGCCACGGCGTCCTTCCAGCCAATTCACCGGACTCAAACTGCAACTCAAAAGCAATTTTATACACACCCGGAACATAAAAAACCACATTCTTGACCTCCACGATCCCCGTTTTCAAAGTTGAAGACCTCATCAACATACTCCCATTGTATAATTGTTTCTTCCTCCCATCGTGGCCTAGGGTACTTGACAAATCCTCCTTGAACCTAACCCATTTATTCATATGGCTCCGCGTAATCTCTCTAAACCCTTCCGAGTCGACTATACCTGATAACCCAATGGCTTCAAAAACCATATTTTGGCACTGACAATTTGCGCCGTAGTGAACTTTGGCCGCGAATCTTGTCACGGATACTCTCGAGTGTTTGTTGACTGGTAATGTTGCGGATGAGTGTCGGGGAACGGTGAGGCGGATGGGAAGACTGGTGTGGACTTCTCCGAGATGAAGCTTTAGAATGCCATTATCCTTTCGAGAGGGGGTCACGAAGGTTATTTCGTATGGATTTGGGTCGGATAACATTGGTAGTCGTTTGTGTGTCTCTCCGTATTGTAGAACGAGGTTTGTCACTCGGGTTATACTAGTATCTGATGATGTGTCGATATATCCCGCTCATTTCGAACACCTGAGCTTTCTAATTGAACATAACCCGCGAGAGGGGAAGTAATATGGAGTAGCATAAACCCATACCCAAGCTCAGTGTGATTCAAGCTTACTTAAACAACAATTACAAATACGACTCGAGGACTCGAGATCACGTAACATGTCTGTGTCTAACCTGGAAAAAGAAAGCAGAAAAAAAAAAAGCTGGGGAAGTACAAGGGTAGGAAAAAGAAATCAGCATTTCCGTGTCAGCGTCTCGCGAATTGACTGGATGAGGAGTTGCGAGGGCGTCAGGTGCTGGACACGTCGATGACACACTCCTTGCATGGTATTGTTAATAATTAGGAATTATTAGTTGTAAGGTGAATCAGTTGATTTAGCTGATCGTACACCTTAGGGTAAGAATTCCAATTGTAAATGTTTTAGATCGCCATTGACGTATATGGCCGTGGATTGAGAGCAAAAGAAGGAAAAAAATTGCCGATTGGACATCAATACGAAGATACTCCGTGGAAAGGAAAGTGTACGAATTCTGATTGACGGGACAGACTGATAAATCATGTTAATCAGGGTTACGAAACCATGAAGGAGGTAGGTATTCACTATGAACCAGAACCCTTTTAATGCAGAGGCCCAACTGTCTTTTCAAATGCACAACATAGCAAGAAAGACCAAAAACGTAATAGCATGGATATAATCTGATGATCTTGGTATCATCACTCATTTGAATGCATAACGTATCGCTGTCATTATCATGATGGACTGGTTCCGAGATCATAAACAAAAAGCCGAGAACTACCTGCGTCGCATCCGCCGCGCGTCATAATCATCTTCTTCCTCATCCTCCTCTTCCACAGGCGCGGGAGTACGTCGCTCATTTCGCCGTTTTGGACGACGACGTCGATTCGAACTGATATTACTTGCCGAGTCATCGGGGGCAAGGGACATGTCATCGTCTATTCCGTCGTCTTCGTCCAGAGCATTCTCCCAAAGGCTTCCCGCCATGGATGCGGGGGTGCCTAATCGGGCGTCAAGATTTGTAGAAGAACCTCGACGGGCTTGATTAGCAACCGACAATCCGGCTCCTCGTTCACGTAGTGCACGTCGGACAGCTTCGGCTTTGCAGTGTAGTGCTTCGAATGCATCCTCGAGCGCTTCCATGCTCTGAAATATATCTTTCTCAATCTCGGCCAGCACCGCAATTTCCATGTCTTCATCTAGTCCAATTGGTGCGCCATATGAGGCAGAAATGGTCGAACCGTACGGCTGGCTCATGGGCCGATGAATTGGATCCATTTGGAAAGGTGTCGGTCCCCGTGACGAGGGTATGACAAAAGGAGTCCCCGCGCGGCTGGCAGATAGTGCTGGATTGAAAGTGTCCTCAGCGCCACTTCGCAAAAAGCCATCAAACCGTCCAGAGATGAGAATCTCCCACTCATCATCACTTATTGCTGCTAGGGTCGCAAGAACATTATGAATAAGCGGGTTCTTCAACATGTAGAGAGCTGTCTCGGAATCTCGTGCGGGAGCGGCTAGACGATACAAGCGCTGTATAGCCAATGAAGAAGCAATCAAAGGTTCCGGACGGGGACGCGGAGCAGGTGTTGCGCTTCTCGGTACTGGGGTCGACGATTTGATCCCTAGTAGTGTACAAAAGATATCCCTCTGTTCTGTATCTAAATATGTCATCATTGCAAATGCAAGCGTCTCATCATCTACTTCTTCTGGCGCGTTCGAATCTGTTTGTCCAAGTAGCCATTTGTCAACTGCCTGTTTCGTCTTTCGGGACTGCCGGACGTAGTGATCACGATATTCCTCTGGCACGTCAATATCCAACTTCTGCATGGGGATATGCTCTTCACCGGGAGCAATCTGATCTTGTGTAGGTGCAGGCATATGGAATGGAGGCCAGCTAGGTAGCTCGCGTCGGCCGGAGACCAGCTCCAAAACCTCGCCCCAACTGACACCCGTAGTCATCTCATCAGACTCTTGGCCATCACACATCACGCATTGGCAAGTCTCGGACGATATGTCTCTTGCAAAAACAGCTTCCAACCGGTCCAGTAATCGCCGAGCTACAGATCGATAACCTGTAGCTACAGCAAGAGATCCATTCTTTGACAAGACCTTATTATAATCGTCTAGTAATCGATGATAGGGCTCAAATGCTTGAACAATAGCATTTTGCTGATGAGGAAGGTGGTCGGGTGCATTCGGTGGCAGTCCAGCCCCGAGAAGGTGTTTAGGTACTGGATATCGCAACCCGCCGTTTTGTAGCAGGTAATCTACTCGGGGTGGTGCGACAGGCATCTGTGGAGGTGGTGGAGGCGGTGGAGGAAGCGAAGACGAAGATTGGTCATGGTTCCCATTGACCACTGACTCTTCCTCTTCAATGAACACTTCAATCGGAGGTGAATGCTTTCGTGCGCGGTTCTGTGGTGAATGGGTTTTTGGTCGCAGCGGGACTTGGGCTTGGTTCGGGGCAATTGATGTCGCATCAGAGTCGGTCGTATATTGAGAAATATTGTCGGTGCTGTGAACGATTGAATGTGTCGCTGATCTAGAGCTATGACTTGCGGCACGCTTGGGCAGATCGGAGCTCTGCGACGTTGACTTTGATGTCCTGTGACTAGATGTACGGTGAGGTGTAGGTGAATCTCGAAGCCGGACCTTGATCGGGGTGCTTGATCGAGGAGACTTTGTGCTCACTCGCGAACCATCTTCGGGATTTCGTCCTAGGCTAGATGTTGACTGTGTTGGATCTTTGCGGCTTTTCACTTTGGTGTCTCTCTCTTTATCCTTATGTTTGCTGCCAATCGAGCTCCCGACTCTTGAGGATCGTTGATCAGCAGTGAGCGGTGGACTCGGTGGTGTTCCATGCCGGTGTCCATTTCGAGATGTAGTCGCACGATTTTCATGGTGGTCGACGTCCGTAGGATCTGGCGTAGGAATCTCTGCCTGCCGTGGAGAATCGGGTTTACCCCATAACGCCACCTTGCTATGCGCTTTATTCAAGGCCGGATATGGAAGACTTGCTCTCGAATCGAGAAATGAGGTGGCAGCCGAATCTGCATTGCTATCAATCTCCGGCATGGACGATCTGCGTGTTCGAGTATGAGAGCTCGATGTGGACGAAGTCATGGTGGAGTCGCGGTCCCTGGTTGATGTGCCAGTTCGTTTTCCATGGGACGGACGGGAGTACCGACGCTTCTCTTTATCCTTCTCCACAGCATCTCTCTCTCGGTCTTTAGTCTTGGGAGACTTCGCCATTATTTTGCCTTTGTCTAGATCTCGGTCACTAAGTATGTTTCGCAGCTTCGACGACATGGCTCAGACGTAGGAGGCCTAAAAAGGGCTTTGACTAATAAGCGGGAGTCACAAGCGAATCGCTTGTTACCTCGTCTAACAAATCAGCGGGCCTTCGGACGACGTGTTTGGACATGGAAGCGCGCGGGGCACTTACTACTGTGATAGGGCAGCTATACTGCGTCAACCCGGTCAAGAGGAAACCCAGCTCAAAAAGTTACCGTGATGTTGGCCAACACAGAGAAGCGGGGCCTGGTCGACCAACTCTTGCGAAGCCGTCCAGTTAGAGATCATGATGCGGCCTGAAGCCAGCGTCGCAACGGTTGTAGGAAGCCCAACGCACTTTGCCTCAGGACCGATGTGGGTTTCTGGCGTAATGTGATGTGACGTGGGCAGGGAGTATTTCAGCTAGGCCGTGAGGATTTATTGAAGGGCGGGGTGCAGAATCGAATCGGCGGTCTTGAATAATGCTATTGTCCCTTTCTATGTAGCAAGGGTACGTATAGGTTGCTTTGTATGGGGGATTTGGGCGGAAACGACATTAAAAGGTACAGGATACAGATTTAGCAGCTTTCACAAAGAGAAGAGATGGAATCAGCATGGAGCAAGTCATAGACGAGGAATAGGCGCGCACTTATGTATGGCTTCACCGCCTGGCTGTCATTGGTGCCTGACTGATGCATTAGTGCCTCAGGCATTAACTTTGTCTTCATTCCACCGAGGGTTTTGAGTGTCAAGAAAATCAGTCTATCATTATAAAAATATGTCTATGTATATCTCTATATCAGCGATTTATATCTAAATAGCAAATCCCCCAGAACTCCGCTGTCTCGGCTCCCCAGCGGCCTCAAACGTGCCATTCGGCAACAACCGGACACATTGCGCTGAACTGGCACTTACCATCAGCTCAGTCACATTATGGCCTCGACTCTTCAAAAACCGTGCAATATCCTGGTCAAAATCAGGCTCTAATGCAACCACATTCGGAATCAATTGGTCGTGAAGGCGAGGTTCTAAAAGTGCTTGTAAAGGTGTCATCCCTCTGTCGATTAGGTTGATGACACTCTGGACCGTTGCGGTGATGATGCGACTGCCGCCAGCGGCGCCGGTGACGAAGTATAGTGATCCATCTGCGTTTTCTACGATTATTGGAGTGATGGATGATAGAGGGCGTTTCCCAGGTTGGATGTAGTTTGAAGGTGAAGGGGCGTAGCCGAACTGGTTTGATGAACCAGGTATGGAGAAATCTATAGGGGTGTATCAGCATAGTCCACATATGTGAAAGCGAAGAGACTAACCGTCCATTTCGTTATTCATGATAATTCCCGTCTCTGGGACCATGATCAGGTTACCGAAAAAGAGATTGATGGTCGTTGTCAAAGACAATGCGAGACCAGACCGATCCGCAGTTGAAACATGTGAGGTTCCCGGTCTATCCAGTTAGTTGTACCACTTTGACGTCGGTGACTGATACATACGTGTCTAGACTCTCAAGGCCGTCTGGATTATAAGCCGAAACATTCTGGGTATGAAAATCAGAAATCCGCCCACGGATTGCAGAGGCCACAGTATCATTCAGCATATCTTCTTCACGTTGATGTAAGTCTCGTAGAAATGACGGGTCACCAAAGCTCGTTCTCTATAGATGCGATCCATTAGCAAAACCAAGAACTTGCAGAAACAATAATATGTAGCCTACCTGGCCGTACGCAAATCTCATAGCTTCATCGAGTCGATGCGTACTCAGGTTCATAGTCTCCGGGTGAAAGAAATCACTATACCCCTCCACAATCTTCAATATACTCAAACCAACAGTCCCACTAGACGGCGCCGATGTGGTCGTAATCTTATAACCGCGATAATCAATCTCTTTAGTATCACGAATGAGAACTTCATAGCGTCGAAGATCATCCAACGTCATTGTCCCGTTCGCCTCCCTAGTGGCTCGAATGATCGCTTCAGCAATGGGGCCAATATAAAATGCATCGGGCCCTTCGGTTGCAATTTTCTCAAGAGTGTCGGCATAACGTTTTCGATATATCGTATCTCCGAGTCCTAATAACGTGCTGTTTGGCGCAAAGTCTAGAGCCCAGGATGGGTCAGTACTGAGAAAATCACCGTGGTCCCTTACACTGGCGTTGATGGCGCGAGACAAGTCTGTTGTGATGACGAAACCGTCTCGAGCGACTTTAATAGCGGGTTGGAGGATTGTAGACCACGGTAAAGTGCCGTACTTTGTGTGTATGTATTCCAAGCCACGAACCTCACCGGGTACGCCACTACAGTTATATCAGTATGTAGCCTGATCCAAAAATTGGTTCCAAATAGATAAACACACCTAGCCAGTCCACCGACCACGGATGCTTGCTTATTATCGTTGAACATATCCTGAAATGCTGCGGCGGGAGCAGTTTCCCGAAAATCGACATGTTCAAATGTGCCGTCAGGCGATCTGACAAGCACAAATCCTCCACCGCCGATTCCACTATGATACATACCTGAACTATATTAACTCAAATGCAATGTTGGAGAGTCGAGAGATTCTTACCGATTACACCAACACAGAAAACGGTTGCAACCATCTTGTCCAAGTCAGCAGACTCAAATCTCACTTCTCATAGGAATAAATTGCTTACAGCATCGGCAGCATTCCCTCCCATTTTCAACATATCGATTCCAGCTGCGCTACAGATCGAGCTTTCGCTCGAGACGGCTCCAAGGCTCGCATCTCCGTCTTGGTTCAGTGTATTTGACGTGGCCCTCCACGATTTAGGGAGAATATAAGTCCTCAACGTAGGAAAGAGGATAAACAAATACAAAACCGCTGCAGTGGCCGTGATGGCAATTTTGACAATGAGGATCACACGGCCTGACCGCCTTGAGTTCGGCTTGTGGTCCGAAGTGGGCGGTATCAGAAGCTGAATACACTGGTCAACTCATTCTCTATTCGGAGATCTCTGAGGGGGTAGTCTCACCTGCTTCTCAGAGTCTGAGACAGCGACATGGATAGGTGCCATTTTGAAATGGTCGATATATTTCTATCCCTGTTCGTCGGTCTCTCTCATCGATTGACAGGGATCAAAGATAACACCGTTCCACGCTGAAATACGAATATAACGCACAAACTCAAATCATACCAGAAAACCATACATATACGCAAGTTAGCAAAGATCAAAATTTCGAGAACCAGGACGAAATGAATAAAGGAAGAAGAGATGAAGATCTGAAGAATGATCCACGTGCCCACAAATCCTCGGGCTCTTATCGGCGCAGATAAGCTTCGGTATCTAATAGCGCTAGACCTTTTATGGTAGAGAGCCTAAATGTATTCCGCCAATCGGAGTGTGAATGTGAATCGAGATAGGTCTAACCATTTATAGAAGGCGCTTTTTAGAGCTACAAACCTTCAGGTTCTAGAGGTGAGAATTCGTTCTAAGCTATAGATGATGCATATATTCTGTCGGAAAAGTAGATTAGATTCAATCTATTCACTATCCATCGGTTTTATAGTGTGTTTGTGGTCTACTTGCACGTTGAACAGTACAGAATTGTAACGATAATCCATGGATCATTGATAGAGATATTTCAAAGAAACTGAAACTGTCATGTCCTAACAACATATACGTGTAATGATATCAGAGCCGTTAGAATAACATGCAGAAAGTCAATTGCATCGAATTCTAGTCAGACCACTATCCACCTTTCTCTTGCACTTCATTGACGTTGACGTTTTCCCACAAGAACACTAACAGCAGTGCTAATGGCAGAAACCCCAGCCCAGCGATACACGCATGCCGCATGAAATCGTCATAAGCTTGAATGATCGCGAGTCTGACTGTGCTGCCCATGGGATAACTCAGTTGCTTGTTGAGACTTCCGTAAATGATTTTGGCCATTGGCTTGGCATCAGCAGGGAGGTAGCGTTCCAATGCTTTGGGCATATAGTTGATGTATAAGGCTGTTGCAACTGCTCGTCCGGTAGCAGCACCTAGCCCTGTCAAGAGACTATATAACCCGAGTGGTAGTGGCACTTCTGAGCTTGGAACCACCGCCATGACCGCTATGGGTCCGCAAATTCCCATTGTTCCACCGGGGAATGATAGCATCAGCTGGTTCCCAATTATATGTGATAGCTTTTTACCTGACTTTCGGGTGACTATAGCCAGACCTGTTGCCAGGAGATTGAAAGTCGTGGCCGCAAGAGCCGGCGTTGTGTACTTGCCGTTGACGCGGATCGAGCTGCCCCCGTTAGAAAATATATAGTATAGAAAGATATGCAAGTGAACCTACACCCCGGTACACACTGCGAAGAAGCAGGAGCCAATAACGTAGAGGTTGTGCACATGCCCTGCCCGTGATACTGTAAGATTATGAACCACTTGAAGATATGAGAGGAAGTATGAATCTAAACAGCTAGCTTCAGGTCAGTGGGTATGCAATAATAGACATGGAAAATGCCTTACTAGAAGCTGGCAAACAGCGCTGCGGTTGAAGTGCATGCTCCGACTATAGTCTTATTGGCCAAGCCACCGAAAGGGACAACGCGAGTCTTATACTGGTGTCTCTCCCACATCACGATGATGGGCAGTAAGGAGACTCCAAAAGCTGACATGATCGATAGCTGAGGAGCTTTTGACGGATTTTGGGAGAAGACCCCTAAGCTAAGTGGCAATAGGAGCATTGAAGAAGATGCACCGACAAGAAAACTGCCGATAACTATGGACTTCATTAGTTGCTGACTTTTATTAAATGGATGTCAAATCGTACGATCATGCTCCATCAAAAGGTTCTTGATAATTCTCCATATTCTCCGCTGGGGATCGGGACTTGGGGATTCTTGAGATTTCCGAGGCATTTGCCTCAGCTTTCGAGTATCGTCAAAGAGCGTGACGGACAACGGCAATGAAAACAGTGGCAAGATAACTGCAAACCCTCCATATGCCCAGCGCCAGTTACCATGTTTCTGAAGCGATTGGGCTGCAACAGGACCGAGATATGCGTTGATGAGATGTGGGAAGTTGCTGACCGCAAAAAGCCAACCTCGATTTTTGATAGAGGTTAAGTCTGCTATACCTACACCGAGGATATATGAGATGGCATCATAACCAATCCAGCACAGAGTCTTTCCCCATCAGCGATGAAACCGTAGAAGTGGAACAGTGACAATTACCTGTGCGACCATGAACAATGTCACATTTTGAGCAACTGCCGCCAAAAGGAGCCCTAAAGACATTTAGCAGATTCCCCAACTCTTATTTGGTGATGACTTCATACCAAAAACCGTTGCAAGCACGACCACGACAAATAGCTCAACTCGCCCCCAAGTATTGCCTGCTTTAGACATGGGGATCTTGATCACTGCGCCGATGATAGTAGCAACAATGCTATTAGTAGTTGTAAGATGGTGCTTGCCAAAAGTGCTCATAGTGTGGACAATGAGATGATTGCTGATTTGTAGTTGAAGGGAGGTAAGACAATAGACAATAAATACTCTATATGGTGTAGCCGTCAGTAGTTGGTCCTACAGCACATAGAAGGGGAACAAACCCAACATACGACATAGTCAATCGGCCTCGACTCCATGTATTTGGGCTATTATTTGAGTTCTGATGTCCCTCCTCAGGTGGTTTCTCTTCCGGTCTACAGTTCCCACCATCAAGTTGATCCGGAGCAATTCCTGTGATCCCCGACTCTATCCTATCGTGAGCAGTATTCTGGGTTGTGCTGCCCGGATCAGCAGCTGAAGGCTCCGAAGCCTCTGGAATGCTGACTAGACTCTGACGATACCCGCGCATGGTGCATGAAGTTTGTAGGCGCCAAAAAAGCGAGTCAATCTGGAGTTATTATCGGTGCACAGCAAACGAAGTATCGGAGATCGAGAAACGCGGGCCGCGAGAAAAGAAGGACAAGATAATAGAGAGGGTTGTAAGCGAGTCTCCGCGCAGAGCTGCCACGATCTTCAGAGTGACTGGCGGACTGTATGTAATATTCTAAACATGGCCATAATAACGATGGAATTCAACCGCTCGAGGTCTTCAAAGATTGAGATGACTCCGTTGAAGTAAGTTAATGTACTTATGCAATAGTCGCTAAAAAGCGAGGGAAGAGCGGAAGGTGCCCAAGGGCAACCTTCTTACCTTGACCATGCCTAGCGATATTCTTAGAACAATATATATTCCTGTGTTATCTATGCCTGAAATGCAAAATTAAATTGCTGGGATTGATTGTAAATGAATGGATCTCGTGGCCGCTCTGTTCCTTATTTACACAATACCATATCCGACCAGTCCGGCTGAAGCGAGGTGAACAACGTTGGAGAGTACTAAGCAATCCCGTACATCATAGCATGAAGTCAACTCATTATTCACAACTGATGGGTATCTGTGCGAATTCCATCTGGCCAGAGTTGGTCTTAATGACGATATCTCTGCCTCGTAATGATGACTGGCCTAACACTGAGAGATGAGATTGCCGTTAGGTCTATCCAAGAGGCAAGTATCCTTCACACATTCCGGGTCTCTTGTGTCGTCCAGGGAGAATCAGAGCAACCGGGGGCCAGTGGCTGAGATCGGATTTAAGTCTCCAGTGTTGATGTCAAATATAACATACTTCAATACTCAAGGCACGTGACCCAGATTTCATTTTCCGTTCTTGAAGGCAGGTTGATGCTCCATAGTCTGAGAGATGAATCCTCGGAGAGCTGCCCATCTATTCGACGTGGAATTAGATCCAGTACTCGTGAATTGGTTTTCGGGCTGCTGCTGTGCGTTTGATGCAGCTTGTTCAATAGCACTCATCTGTGCCATATTTTGGATAAACCTGTTACGCTCCAACTTTTCCATCTTCTCTTTTCTCTTCATAGCTCCCGGGCGATGTTTCAATGTCTTGTGTCTGATAATATTCGCTTGATTGGCAATGTCTGAGGTGACTTCGTCGTCGGCATCGGGTAATGCATCGGCGAGAGAATCGAGGCTGGTGACCAGCTTTTTCGACGGTCGTCGTCGCTTGGGTGATTTCAGTTGAGATTTCGCTACCTTATTGACGAAGACTGAGTGTTTTATCAAGCGCTTGTCTTTCTTGGTCGTCCGAAATTCATCTGGAAAGAGGCCATGGTTGACCGAAGGTATGGCGCCTCGGCCGCTGGGTGCCTTGCGAGTAGGGGCCACAGGAGCCTGCTACAGATTAGAGCCACACAATTTCGATTACTGTTCTCGACTACATACCATGTCAATAATGAGATTCGAGATAATAAAAAAGGCACAACGTGATACGTAGAGATATGGAGAACCAAATTGCATGTGGTATATGGAGAAAAAAAAATAGAGTGGCTCGTGCTCTCTGTGGTAAAGGCGGGGACGCATGTGACGTCGATTCTTACGCCGTCCCTTTTCTGCTTGTCAACAAATACTCTCTGACACTAACGCCTCTGTGATAGTACTACTCTCAGTTCATGAATTACTTCAAATCTGCGTCACATGCCACCACCCTGAGGAAATCCTGCACCTCTCACCGACGACTTCTAGCCACCACCGCCACCACCACTTCTTCGACATTTATTACGCCCTCCACAGCGCCTTCGTTTTCAAATCGCCAAACTATATCACCCTGTCGCTACACCACATTGCCCTCACGCAGAAACCACCAATTTCGTTTTAGCCCTCAAACTAGCCAAGCCAAAATGTTGCTATCCACCAACTCGAAGAAGCACAAGGTGACCGTTATCGGTTCCGGTAATTGGTGAGTCGCAGGTGGTGTGCGTGCAGTCAGAGACTACGTGGCTAACATCCATGCAGGGGAACTGCAATCTCAAAGATCCTCGCCGAGAACTGTCGGGAGCGCAATGATATATTCCACGAGACGGTTGAGATGTGGGTGTTTGAAGAGAAGTTAGAGGTGCCAAAGAATTCCATGCATTACAAGTCGTCTGAGCCCGTCTGTCAAGGTCAACACAACTTGACAGATATCATCAACGCTCTGAACGAGAATGTCAAGTATCTCCCTGGGGTTGCTCTCCCCAAGAACATCCATGCCAACCCCTCGTTAGAAGATGCTGTTAGGGACTCTACGATTTTGATCTTCAACGTCCCCCATCAATTTATTATCCGGATCTGCGATCAACTCCAGGGAAAGATCCTGCCCTACGCTCGTGGTATCTCGTGTATCAAGGGTGTCGACGTTGAAGAAGAGGGAGTTAGTCTCTTCTCCGAAACCATCGGCAAGAAACTCGGAATCTACTGCGGCTCCCTCTCCGGTGCCAATATCGCAAACGAAGTAGCCAAGGAGCTCTGGTGCGAGACGACAATCGGTTATGATCCTCCTCACCTTGACTCCAAGGCTCCTACTCCGGCGGGCGGTTCTCCCTCCCAGTCACAGGTCGATCTTGTCTCTTTTGAACACAAGGACTCGTCCGGGCAATATTCCAAAGTCAAGCTTCGACCTCTGCCTACCGACTACCCACCAATTGACCACGCTCTTTGGTGGACATTGTTCCACCGTCCTTACTTCCATGTACGTGTTGTAAGCGATGTTGCCGGGGTCGCTCTTGGTGGTGCTCTCAAGAATATCATTGCTGTTGCCGCTGGTTTTGTGGACGGCATGGGCTGGGGTGACAATGCCAAGGCAGCCGTCATGCGCGTCGGGTTGTTGGAGATGGTAAAGTTTGGAACGCAATTCTTCGGCAATTCTATCGAGACGAAGACATTTACAGAAGAGAGCGCCGGTGTCGCAGATCTTATCACTAGTTGCAGTGGTGGGCGTAACTTCCGTTGCGCGAAGCTCAGTGTCCAGCGAGGTGCTCCCATCGAGGAGATTGAGAAGCAAGAGCTCAACGGCCAGAAGTTGCAAGGCACGTTGACTGCTGCTGACATTAATAAATTTTTGAAGAAGCAGGGTGCGGAGAAGGATTATCCATTGTTCACTGCTGTCCACCGTACGTTCTATCCCGAGCTATGAATTCCAACACTGGCTAACTTGATACAGGCATTTTGAAAGGCGAGATGAGTGTCGAAGATATACCTTCACACATCGAGCCCAAACTTTAATCGTGAGACTGTTTTAATTATTTCTTGCAGGCGGTGGTGTTGGTGTTGGAGAGAGTGGAGTCGCAAGAAGGTGAATTTAGGACAGGGTATATACGGACCGATGTCTTTAAGGCTAGGAATGAATCGAACATTAATTGAATAGCGGTCTGAAATACTACCATACTACTGAATGGTACTCAATATAATATAATAGATAGATCTTATGATTATCAGGTTAGGAAGCCTTGCTAGCCTCAGATATTCAGGCATGCGACATGATGTCATGGGCGGTCTAGCCCCGCGAGACAAAAGCCAGGAAGTTCATCTTCCCATCGCAAACAACAGAACAGAGACACCAACATCCCAATGATCCCACGATGGTCGCTTTGCCAACCTTGTCTAAGCCGTCTGTGTCATAGTGGATATGCACAGTGGGTGTGACACATTACGTACACTTACTAGTCCTTCTGGACCTGACTATAAGCTAGCCCGAGCTTACAGTAATAAAACCCTGTCCAAATTCCACATGTTCTCCGCCATTTCTGCCTCATAATCCCCCCCAAACCACCTCCTACCCACCCCCGATCGCTTCAATTCACATTGCGCATCAAACAATGGGTAGTACACGACAGGTATATCTGTTGCCGTTGACAGACAACGGTGCGCCGGATATACCGGGTGGTTATATTTACTTACCACCGCCAACTACCCCCGCCTATGTGCTGCGCTTCGTGATTGAAGGTACAAGCTCGATTTGTCGGAAAGGGAGCTTATGGGTGAATATACCGGAGGAAGGCGCGAGATTCGATCGGTCGAAATTTCGCCAATTCACGTGAGTTATATAGTCTACTGAGAAATGTTGTAAAAACTCATCTATGATATGACAGTCTTCAACCGGACTTTAACAAAGATATCCATATCGATGTACCCATAACCCAGGCTGGCGCGTTTGCTTTCTATACCACCTACTCGCCTCTTCCCGAATTCACGGCGTCGTCTCTTCCCTCACAGAAACAGGAGAAGAGCGAAGTTCACTATGTCGATGTGTCGCCGGCGTTGTCTCTGCGAGGCGCGGAATTACCATTGGATGCTCTGTCTATATTCTCGGTTATATCCAAGTTCATGGGAAAATACCCAACTGACTGGGACGATCATCTCCGCGGCATATCGCAGCGAAATTACAACATGATCCATTTCACACCGCTGATGCAAAGGGGTGAGTCCAATTCGCCCTATAGTATCTATGACCAGTTGCAATTCGATACGGGCGCATTCCCCAATGGCGAAAAGGATGTTGCAGAGTTGGTGGACAAAATGGCTACTGAATACGGTTTGTTGGCGTTGACGGACGTCGTTTGGAATCATACTGCGAATAACAGTAAGTGGCTTGAGGAACATCCTGAAGCTGGATATAACATTGAGACAGCGCCGTGGTTGGAGGCTGCTCTGGAACTTGATACTGCCTTGCTCAAATACGGAGATGATCTGGAGGAGCTTGGATTGCCTACGGAATTTCACAGCGTGGATGATCTGATGAAAGTTATCACTGAAATGCGCAAGCATGTCATAGATGCAATCAAATTGTGGGAGTTTTACGTTGTAGACGTGAAAGAGAATACCAGCCGAATCATCAAAAAATGGGCAAATAGTCCATCCTCGCCACCCATTGACGGTGCTGAATCATGGAGTTTGAAGCAAAAAGCAGATTTTATTCGTCAAAATGCTCTTCCTAACGCTTCTCGCATTCTCGGGAGATTCTCTCGAAAGGTGGATGAGAAAGAAGCCTCGCGCTTGCTTGCTACTTTACACGGACCCAAGGACACAGCAGACAGCTCTGCAGTGGAAGCAGAACTTATTCGCATTCTCGACGAGGTCAACCTACCGTTCTATGAAGAGTACGATGCAGACGTCAAAGTCATCTTGGATCAATTATTCAATCGCATCAAGTATGTCAGAATTGATGATCATGGGCCGAAACTGGGACCAGTGACCAAGACCAGTGCTCTTATCGAAACCTACTTCACCCGGCTACCCACCAACGAAACAACCAGGAACCATAATTCGCGTTCTATGGCACTGGTTAACAATGGCTGGATATGGAATGCTGATGCTATGAAAGACAACGCCGGTCCAGACTCTCGGGCATACCTTCGTCGAGAAGTCATTGTGTGGGGCGATTGTGTTAAGCTGAGATATGGATCCTCGCCTAAGGATAACCCATTTCTTTGGGAGTACATGGCCAAATATACACGTCTTATGGCCAAGTACTTCTCCGGTTTCCGAGTTGATAATTGCCACTCCACTCCTCTGGTGGTGGCCGAGTATCTGCTCGATGAAGCACGCAAAGTCCGACCAAACTTGACTGTCTTTGCCGAACTATTCACTGGATCTGAAGAAACTGACTATGTCTTTGTGAAACGTTTGGGTCTGAGCGCGTTGATCCGAGAAGCTATGCAGGCATGGAGCACCGCTGAATTGAGTCGTTTGGTTCATCGACATGGAGGCCGACCAATTGGAAGCTTTGAGCTTGATCTTCCTACGGGATCTTCTCCAGCATCAACCGAGCAAGAAACCATTGCCCATATCCGACAGAGTCCGGTGCATGCACTATTCATGGACTGTACGCACGATAATGAAGTTCCAGCCCAGAAGAGAGATGCAAGAGATACATTGCCAAATGCTGCGTTGGTTGCAATGTGTGCCTCTGCTACTGGTAGTGTGATGGGATATGATGAAATATACCCCAAACTCATTGATCTTGTTTCCGAAACTCGTTTGTATACATCCAAGTTCTCACGAAATGAGACTCTTGAAGTTGGTCCCGGCGAGGGCGGTATTGGCGGTATAAAGAAACTTTTAAACCTGCTACATACCAGGATGGGCAAAGAGGGATACGATGAAACGCATATTCATCACAATGGAGAGTACATTACTGTCCATAGAGTACATCCAAAGACACGGCAAGGTATATTCTTGATCGCGCATACGGCATTCCCTGGGTATGGCAATGGAAACGGAACTCTTGCCCCAACTCACCTTATTGGCACTCATGCAAAGCTAATTGGAAGCTGGAAACTGGAAGTCGAAGATGGCGCAGAACCTCGAAAGCAGGTTCTCGAAGATGAGACTTCTCTACGAGGTCTACCGAGCAAAGTCGTCGACATTGATGGTGCCAAAGTCAACATCAATGGAGCTGACTCCACTTTGAGTATTACTGAGCATCTAATCCCCGGTTCCATTGCATTGTTCAAGACCTGGATCCCAAGTGCCGAACATGCAGATGGACTGGATCATTACATCACCAGTGGCGCTGACGAGGCATTCTCAAAACTCAACCTGATCGATCTCAACTTCCTCCTTTATAAATGCGAAGCTGAAGAGAGAGATTCCAGCAACGGGCAGGATGGCGTGTACGCTATTCCGAATCATGGTCCGTTAGTCTATGCTGGTCTTCAGGGTTGGTGGAGTCTGCTTGAGAGCATTATCAAATACAACGAACTCGCGCATCCTTTATGCGACCATTTGCGCCAGGGACAGTGGGCATTGGATTATATTGTCGGTCGTTTGGAGAGGGCAAGCAAACAGGAAGTGTACAGTCGTCTCGATGCGCCAGCAGCTTGGCTGCGAACACGTTTCGATGTAGTCCGAACATTACCCAGTTTTCTACTCCCGCGATACTTTGCTATTATCGTGCAAAGTGCATTCACCGCCGCATGGCGACGGGGTATTCAACTATTCAGCAAGAACGTCCAACACGGTCAACAATTCATCCATCAACTAGCCATGGTCAGTGTGCAGCAAGTCGGCTACGTCAATTCGGCATCCTTGTGGCCAATCAAGAGCGTACCCAGTCTGGCCGCTGGTCTCCCGCATTTCGCTGTTGATTGGGCACGGTGCTGGGGTCGTGACGTCTTCATCTCACTCCGCGGTCTACTTCTTTGTACAGGTCGTTTTGATGAAGCCAAAGAACATATCGTCGGTTTCGCCAGTGTTCTCAAACACGGAATGATTCCTAACCTGTTGAGTAGCGGCAAGCTACCGCGATACAACTCTCGTGACTCGGTCTGGTTTTTCCTACAGGCTATTCAGGATTATACCAAAATGGTGCCTGACGGTATCAAGATTCTGGATGCAAAAGTCCCACGACGATTTTTACCGTATGACGATACCTGGTTTCCCTATGATGATCCACGAGCGTACTCTCGATCATCAACGATCCGAGAAATCATTCAAGAGGTATTTCAACGGCATGCATCTGGACTTAGTTTCAGAGAATACAACGCCGGGCCCACGCTTGATGTTCAAATGAAACCAGAAGGATTCCAGATTGATGTGAATGTTGACTGGGACACTGGTATCATCTTCGGCGGAAATCAGTTCAACTGCGGTACATGGATGGATAAAATGGGTGAGAGTGAAAAGGCAGGAAGTAAAGGAGTTCCTGGAACGCCACGAGACGGCGCCGCTGTCGAGATCACTGGCTTGTGTTATAGTGCTTTGAAATGGGTCGAAGAACTTTACTCAAACGGACAGTATGAGCATGCCGGAGTCAAGATGGACTCTGGTGAGGAGACAATTACATTCACCGAATGGGCATCAAGAATCAAATCCAACTTTGAGCGATGCTACTACATCCCCCTCGACACCAAGGACGACAAAAACTATGACATTGAACCTTCCCTCGTCAACAGACGAGGCATTTACAAGGATCTCTATCGCTCCGGAAAACCATACGAAGATTACCAACTCCGTGCCAACTTCCCAATCGCCATGACCGTTGCCCCCGATCTCTTCGACCCCGAACACGCACTCCAATGCCTCTCGCTCGCAGACTCAGTCCTCCTCGGCCCCACAGGAGTCAGAACACTAGATCCGTCCGATCTAAACTACAGACCTAATTACAACAACTCCGAAGATTCAACTGACTTCTCAACTTCAAAAGGACGAAACTACCACCAAGGACCGGAATGGCTATGGCCTCGCGGATTCTTTTTACGGGCTTTGTTACGATTCGATTTATTGAGACGTAAGGGGGAGCATGAACGTACAGAGACGTTTCAGCAGGTTACTAGACGGTTGGAAGGGTGTAAGGTTGCGATTAGGGAGAGTCCCTGGAAAGGGTTGACTGAATTGACGAATATGGATGGTGCTTTTTGTGCGGATTCGGTATGCCCCCTTCCCCCGTTTTTCGCCTCCATTTTGACCTTGTTTCGAATGGTTACTGATATGGTTATAGTCCCCTACTCAGGCTTGGTCGGCGGGTTGTTTACTTGATGTGTACTATGATGCAAGGTTTCAAGGTGGTTCACATTGATTAGAGATTGGGGACCTCGGGAGAAGACGAAGGTGGATGCTACGAACATGACATTCTGTCGTTGGATGAGAGCGAATTGATAAACGTTTCATTGCCTAAAATAAAGTACTTGACTTTTCCTAAACCGTTGAAGTAAATATCATGCTTGGCTACTTTTTGCGTTGACTTTGGAACGGAAATAGATAAGAGAAATATTTATACATTCATAAATATATGGTGATGTCAAAAACGAAATATCTTATATGCACGCTTGCTATAATCAAATGGGGTACTCGTGTAAGAAAAATGCAAAGAAAAATGCATCATGACAACCAAGCACAAAGCAGTTTTGGTATATACAAGGCGATAGTCATCGCCATCGACCAGGAGATGGTTTTGATGCAGAGGTGGACCAAACAGTATAAAACTTCCGAATCTCCTTAGGATCGTAAGAAGCTACGTCGTGGAATTCGGCGGTCTCGGGTCCACAGGCCGGAGTTGACGGGACTGTCGATGCACGATTGGGATCCGTCCATTGACCGTCTCGGGTGCCGAGTTCGGGGATTCTCAGATCCATTATGCATGCGGCGAAGGATTGGCGCCGGTCGGTTCTGGCGCTTATTCCAGTTGGCGGCCTTGAGGATGAGGATGTTGGCCCGGCTTCGGGGGCGACTGTATCGTTATCTTTGTGGGTAGATGTTGTATTGCTGCTATTCCACATGCTCAATAACTTCCGATCAAATGCTGCAGGCTGGCTGAGGTGCTTTCGTTTCCGTGAGGCCTTGATTGGTAGCGGCGATAAAAGACCAGACTCCGCGCGGTCCATAAAGGACGCAGACCCAATGCTACCATCGGAAGCTACATTCAAAGCTTTGATGGCAACATGCATGGCAAGCCGTGTCTTGGTGGTATACGTATCAATATCGAATATACGTGCCTCGCCCGACGCACCAAATGCCCAGACCCGGACTCCGCCATTCGATGTCTGGACTGAAAAGTCGACGACCTTGTCCATGCGCCCAATTTCCTTGCCGTAAATTTTTAACGGCCAGAGCATAGCTGTGGGTCGATAACTAACTCGCAATAAAAACTCCCAGTCGCCGTTCTGGTTCTGCGCTAGACTGCCGCGACGCTTCGAATTGCGTTCGTTGTCAAGGAACCAATCGCGCGCCAAGTCACTATCACCCATAACGTTGTCACCTTGCAATTGTCGCTCTCGTCGAAGGACATTATACACATCGACGGGTACAGTGTACAAAATGATGCGATCTTGGTAAGCAGCCACAATACGTAGACCCCGGCTCAGGTCCGAGCCTACCGCAAAAATAGTTGGGATTCGTGCTTCTTCCGTATCCAATCCTTGATCAGAAGGTGGTATACAGATCATAGCACGCGTCAAGTTTGTTGGCCCGCCAATTGGAGCATCAGATCCGATGCAGAGATAGCCAGTGACAGGCTCAATAAACAAAATATGTAAACCATCATTCACCGGCATTGCCCGATAATGGTGACAATGCGTTGCTTTTACCAGACTCAGACGACCATTCTTCCGTGGAGTCCAATGAGTGAATGCATTGACTCGAGAAGAAAGATGGAATTGGCAGACAACATCTTCGCCGTTCGCGGCACGATGACATTGGCACCCTGAAGCACCTGGACCGGCTAGTGATGAGATCAATCGCAACTTGGAGGCCTCGTCAATTTCGACACGACTAGGCAAAAAGTGCAATATCTCAGCTGGTTGAGAAAGTGGAAACATTTTCCTAGAATCCTCTTGTGTTTTTTCATCAACCCAGTGCAACTCAATACCGGAACCGCATCCAAACGCAACACATCGACGACCAGGACAGATTGATACGCTGCGAGGAGGATCCTCCACCGAACAAATATCATGGAAGTATTTCCTCGGTGCCCTCGTTAGGCGATTCATCGTGCGACGTGTGGAAACAGTTCGAGGGCCCATCGGTGGTCGTCCACTAGTCGTGGCCTGCTCAACAACTGCGCTGGAAGCAATGGCATCTCGGAATTCGTCCATCTTTCTAGCCTGGTCTGCAGGAATGTCTTCTCTGGTCGAGGAGCGCTTACGTAGAAAAGGTGACGGCTGCTCGGGAGAAGTGTGAACGGGGACTCCCTTGATATCACAGATCATGCCAACTCGACCTCGCAACAACGCAGCAATCACAAACCTAGGTGTACTGGTATCGATTGTGGCTGACAGGATTTCGTATGGACATCCAATGCTTGATACGGGGAGGATGTCGAGATCGTTATCCCCTAAGAACAAGTCCTCTGGTGTAGCCTCCGATAAACGAGGAGGCCCCGAGTCACCTCGCTTTCGGTTGCCCAAGTAGTACACGTAGATCATACACCCCGTCGCAACCAGAACATAATGGCCACATGTACTGACGCTGAATTTGATCGATCGGGAAAAGGCGGGATCCCGCAGGGCGGCTGTGAGTCGAGGCGCGGAACCGTTAAACATATCCCGTGATAAGCCCGGGGACTCCTTAGGCAATGATTCACGAGATAGCTGACCAAAATCTACAACGCCGGTCGGTAAAAACCCGCTCTTTTCAACATTGACCTTTCGACCAGATAGCACACATTCGGTCGAGAAACGCTTGCTCAATCGCCAAACTAGACTTTCCTCCACACCGTCGATAGGCTGATAGGTTTGGCAATCACGTTGCCACGCATCCCACCAGCCGGCCCTCTTCAACATACTTTCAAGAAGCTTTTGATGGAGACTGGCACGCATCCATTGCGAGCATGTTCGTCGAGCGTTGTCAAAGTCTCGAGGACTTAGCATGGCATAGATTTGGAAGAGTATCTCTGGAGGTGTCCTGTTTGCTGCTGGAATGTGTTTGCAGAGATTGCCACCACCTCGCCATTCTGTTTCAGAAGACGACGTCTCGCTTGCTGACAGGTCAGGACTGGAGCTATCGGGAGATGAGGCATCATTGTCAGATAGAGTCGTGTCTTCCGAGATGCAGGGCGACGATGAAAGATAACCCTTTGATTGAAGGTCAGAAGAATCCAGTGCAATGATATCCGCAGTGCTCTCGGCACTGTGTGGTTCAATGGTGAGCTCTGGGAAAGGTTCCGTTGCCGCGTCCCAGTCATCTGACCAATGCAAGGGCTTCTGGGGTAGAGTATCGGAAGTTGTCTGATTGCTAGACTCTGACCACCAGGAAGACGCCATTGGTGCAGTGTGAGTGCTGCCAGACATTTAAAATGTGTAGAATGCGATGGAAACGCCCGCGCTTTGATGGTCGGCCCCCCCTCTATGTATATATAGAGGATATATATCCTATAATTAGATAGTCCGACCAGAGGGTGGGATTCCTTGGGACGGAAGTATGACGGAACCGGGTCTAAGAAGTAGACTTTGTTCGAGACCAAATGAGGCGTTCCGACTTCTGTAGACGATTGAATTCAAAGACCGGATTCAAAAAAGCAGAAAAGAGGGACCACCCCAAGTTTAACCTGGAGCAGATGGAAGAATCAGAAGCAAGACCCAGCGGTGAGCTGTCATCTGCATTTCTCGGCCAGATATTAATCTGGATGGTTGTCTTGCGGTAGAAAAAAATGAGTTTGCTGTTCCGATCTATGAACGGCCCATTCGAGCTTCGTTGGCGACCTACCAAACTCAGCAGGTCACGCGCAACATGTAATCGGGCAGTGGCCGGAACGATGGTGTTAGTGCTAGACTCAAGTCGGTGGCGTCGAATGAGTGTTGTTAAGCGTAGCCACTGACCGGCAGTGAAGGATGCAAGACTTGATATGCAGTATAAACGTAAATTGATAACATAACAGACAAAAAAAGAAATCAAAATGAGCGATGTCGAATGTATTTATAAACCATTTGTATGCCGAGACAAGCAGAATATGCACGACGTATGAAACGAGACGATCAAACTGATTCACTTACTAACCCACGGTATCAACCGCCCCTCTAGTGAAAAGTCTGACGAGAGCCGGCCCGTGAAACGGCCAATTGAATTGGAGGGGAGGCCAGTCAGAGAGCAAGGTGGTCGTCTTCATGCTTTCTGAATGGCTGGTCCGCGATACCTGAACCGAAGTTTCTTAGACCGCGGACCGGCTGACGTTGATACAGTTAGCCGACAGGCATGAAAAGGATGAAAAAACTGGGGACGATGGGATAAGGGTGGATCAATGCCTCAATCGGCCAGGGAGCAGAGGCGAAGCGGAGCAGCTAGAAAACTAGTACGTACGTAGAAGTTTAGCAGAAATTTAGAAAATGATGGATCCATGCCGCTAGAGCGGGATGGGAAGGAAGTTGACACATATTGACCATTTTGTGTGAGCTGAAGAATGGGATGAGGTGATGAAGATCAAAGAGATGAAGAGGATGGAAAGAAGAAAAGAAGAAGAAGTTGAAGTTGAAGTTGAAGTTGAGATGAGATTAAGGCAGTAAGGACAGTCAGAAGGAAGGAGCACAGAAGGAAGGAGGCGAGGCCCCGCGCATCTAAAGGATGCCTAATTAATCAGGTGTCGAGTCTAGCCGGTCAGCCACACCGCGCTACCTGCATCTTCCCTGCATCTTCTCTCTCGTCTCTACACCGTCTCTTTTCTTATCGCCAGTCACAACTCATTGCTAATCAGCTCATCTCACCACCGACAAATCTAGAACCCGCCATGCGAGGACGCGTGGATTCAAAACATCCGAGGAATGCTTCCACTCTGTACATGACAACTCTACTTCGTGGACATATACATAGTACTACCATATCTACTGTCCGGGGTACATCTCTATGATCACTCGAGTCGATGATCTTGCGGATCTCACGTCAACGTGGGGTATATTCTACCTACATCTTCCATATTCATACTTTGTACCACAACGATCGCCGGCTTTGCCCTAGAGAGGCTATTCCGAGTCATCAACTACGCCCCTGCGTATACTGCATCAGTCGCACGCTCAGTGGATACCGCCGCAATGGACATCTGGCGTATGACGATTGCCAGCCACTAACTTAGGAGCTTGAACGCGAGTAAGTGTGCATATGTATTATGCAATGCAAAGCTGGAATATGCATTCGCTGTCACCCCCTCCTTGGCCATGATATGATAATCCTCCGGATTTCGCAGCGAAGATGGACCGGATAGACTCATGTCCTTGGATTTTCGAGGATAATTGCCACTCGGGAATGGTTTCCTTCTGACGGCTCTCACATGGAATTCTCGTGGCATTCACGACAGCAGCTGAAACAAACCAACAGAAGAATCTGACCTGGTAAAGCATATCAACTCCCAAAGCAAGGATTGGCTGTCTCATATAACATGTAATAAGCTACATTCCTGAACTCTTGGTCTATGGCGAGCCCACCTCCACCTTTGAACCCAAACTCCCCCGCCACGATAATTAAGTTTACTTAGGAATGTTATGTTTCAGCCTCAAGGCATATTTTTATGTGCCCTTGCACTGATCTATAACCCGTTTAAAAGCGAGGTTATACCGCCACTTCCTTGCTAATTGTGACAAACCCGACTGGAATGGGGGCCCGGGCGTCCTAGTATGCTTCGCTTCGCCGGCGAACCGTGAATTAGGGTTATGTCCCGATTTGTCACCTGGATTCGTGGCATTTGGCCATGTGGATGGCAGATACTTAGGTACTTAGTGTTTACATTCCTGAGTAACCCGGTTGGGTTACCTATTTACCTACAAGGATGATACTACACAAATCTCCAGGAGATTGTATACTCTGTAGATTCCACACCTATGACGATATCTGCGAATTCTCGAGAACCCATTTCACCCCATCAACAACGACATTTGGCTGAGTCAACTGGACGAAATGCCCACTCTCGCGGGCAAAAACAAGCTCAGTCTTCGTAGAGAGTTTCAGAAACTCCTTCATGAGACCCTCACTCTTCTCGTCGGCCGTGCTAATCAACTCCCTGACATGCCTCCTCTGTTCCTCAGTTCCATTCCCCTTCTCAACGCCCGCCTCGCACAACCGACTCCAATCTCTACTCCGCATGCCCCCTATAACATAAACCGGCTTATCTCCAAGTAGAGGCTGCTTCTTACTCAACTCTTTCTTCCGTAGAGTCTCAAAACTCGGCGCATAATGCTCAACATCCTCCTTCTCAGCAATCAGTTTTGTCTTCTCTGTCGATTCGTCACTGATGAACGCATCCCATTCTTCTGGTGTCAATCTATGTTCCTTGTGAAGGCCTAGGCCAGAGTAGAACTCGACGCCTTCGGCAATGGCCCACAGATTTGGATCGTTTACGTTTAGTACCTGTGGCATAGTCTCATGGTTGGCATCGACGAGGACCAGGCCAGCGATGTGTGGACCGTTGCCAGTCAGGGCAATAAATTCGCTTATGAGCACGCCGGCCCATGAGTGGCCGACAAGGATTAGAGAGTTTGAAATGGGAGCCTTTTCGATTAGAAGAGACAGCTCAAGAGCAATGTTCTCGGCTGTCGGTTCGCGAGGTGAGAGCTCTGAGTTGCCGTACCCGGAACGGTCGTAAGTATAGCTTCGTAGTGAAGGGGAGAGTAATCGCACCACGGCTGCCCAGTTGAGGCTTGAGCTTGCTACGCCTGAGATAAAGAGGACAACGGGATCTTTGGAGCTGACTGGTTCCGGGCCGTGGCTGTAGAGGGCCAGGGAGTGAGTGCCAATGTCGACCAGGCTGGTGTTCGAGGGGAGAGTTGAGGAGGACATTGCTCGATAAATTGTGGGGTTTCTAACGTGGTTGCGTTTGATACTTGGGTGATATCTCGGAGATGCAATTTTTGATTATGGCACCAGACGCGTTATATCGTGCAGGATTTGTGGCACGATATCAGACATCATAGTGGGAGGGTTTCAGCCCTTTATATCTGAACAAGTAAATTAAGTAAATAGCTCGTACTAGACGCTTGACTTTGGGGAGTACCTAGAGGCCTGATTGATCACTGTAGTCGCCCTGGTCTTATGTGACGCTATCTCATCTAAGGGAGATATGTATGAACAAACAGTGCAAATCAATCAAACAATTCTCACCGTTTATAACCGTGAAATGCCACGTCGAATCTTACAAATCAACTCCCGAATGGAAGATATCGTGTGTTAGCGGGTTCGATATTGTGTAATTGGTTTGTCAGATTGTTTTGCATTGATTTGTGTTGTTTGCTCGTCATTTTCAGCCCAGCTGACAGGCTTGGCCACAGCCATAATAGGTAACTATTCTACTAGTCCATGCTTTAATGTGGCGTTGGTGAGGGCCCCTATATGCCCTAAACTTATAGGGCAGTTTACTCCTAACAATTTCCGGCTGATAATGAAGCGATAACGCTTGTTTTGCCCCTGTACGACCCAGAACTCCAAGGGAAATTCGGGCTTGCTCAAAATGTCTATGCCCTGCAATAGTACTCTACTACAACGTACTCTGCTACTATTCTACCCCTTCCTAAGCAACTTCGTACACCTACCAACCGGGACCATGGACAGCCGCCTCACATGCCAGACCAGTCTAGATGGTATCCTCGTGCGAGACTGCCACTTACGTTGTCATCAATGATCAATTCTTGGTGCCCAGGACCCTCTACAGCATATGTAGCGTACGACATACAATAACTGAAAATCTATCTATTCACCCAGTTCAATCCTGGTTACTCTCCAAGGCTATTTATTCATCACGCTCCCGAAACCTTTTCTGCCTCTAGTCTTTGTGCTCTCTTCTCCCTCCATTCAGGAACCCATTGCATAAGAACCCCCAAGATCCGTGTCGTGGCAAAGATTACCAACGCAATGAAAGTGAAGCACCATTCACATCCCATTGACTCGATCATTTGGATGATGACAGCTGCTTCTCCGGCGCCGAGCAGACAGCGGCAGAGATTGTTTCCGGCTGCTGCTGTTGCCGGAGACATTGGATCTGTTGCTGTCACTTGACAGGATCTTACTTAATTCTGAAATATCCAGGGACAGATAGAGACATACAGTAGTCGATCAAAACAACGCTGCAGCAGTTGAAGCTACCGGAAATGCAATACCCCACGAAGAATAGAAGAACCAGAGGAGCCGCTAGAGGGGCCTAGACTTGTAAGGTCTAGTTATCTCATCAAATATCAACTCTGATCAGCGGAAGCGTGAATTCGAAAGAATAGGGAGGGGGTGTAGAAATATACCCATCCATAACAAAGCAGAGCAGAATTTCCAACCAAGATCAGCACCAATGCAATCAGTAATCGCACTCTTCCAAAGGGAAATTTCTAGTGTCCGTGGTCTGACCAGAAATGATTTCAATACCAACAGATTTGGCGACTCGACGAAACCGCCAGTCAAGTACTCGTCCGTTGAAAATGGATGCTAGTAGCGCACCGACCCCATATGGAAGATACGATAATCCGATCTGCAAGTCGTTGAATCCGTGAAGTTTTGCGAAGAGATAAGGAAGACTGCTGGTCACGCTGAAATATGAGGCATAGATGAGACAGTTATATAAGAGAAGCAGGCCGAAATCCTTTTCTTTGAGGATTTTCAATGTAACAAGAGGGTTTGGCATTCGGAGCTTCCTCTTTGCTTTCCCTTCTCTTTTAAGATTGTTTGCATCAGCTTGTACCTTGATGATCAACCTCTGCTTCCTCCTTTCTCCGATGACAGTAAGCAAGTCTCGATTCCATCTCTGGGTTGGTATTGATCCGTTGCCCACGACATTCTGGCCTGTCTCTGGAAAAGCCAATCATAGCAAGACGAGGAGCATTCCGGCAAAGGTACCCAGAAACCAGAATATAGATCGCCATCCCAGGAATGCTGATAGTATACCACCGAGAACAGGACCTAAGGCAGGTCCTACCAGTGCGCCGCAATTAATTAATCCCATGTACGTTCCACGTTCGGCTGCGGTGGCCACGTCAGCGGCCACGGCTGATCCTAGTGCAATGGTTGACGATGACCCTGTTGACTGGAAACAGCGTAGTACTAACAGAGCCGGATACGAAGTCTGTAGGGCAAGACCAATGCAGGCACCAATATAAATGGTAAGCCCGATAATGTATGCTGGACGACGGCCATTAGTACCAGCCAAGTTCCCCATGAATGTTGGTGAAATGCCTTGGAATATCATGTAGGTGGTAAGCGAGATATTGATCAACGATTGACTGACGTGAAGCTCAGCCGCCAGAGGGTTTAGAGCAGGATAATAGATGTTTCCTGAAAGAGGTGAGACCGTGCCACATATTGCGGCCATGAGGACAACGAACATACAAGTGCCTTTGGGGAAGACTGAATGGCGGATATCTGGTGTCATTGACTGTATGTTTGGCGGTGGATTTTCCAACCTGGCTTCTCTTCCAGATGCTTGTAGGATAGCAGCATTGGACTTTCGCACCTGCTCTTCTGGGTCAATCACGGCCTGCTCTCCAGTATCCCTTCCCCTCTCGATCTGCTGAATTAATGGTTCCTGGTTGAGCTCGGTGAACAGCGTGATTGTGGTTGCTGCATCTTGCAGATTGGTTTGCATGATAGGAAATGGGGATGAACTTCCCAAATTGGAGCCTTGGACAAATATCCTCTTGAATGTCGCAGTTGTGCGTTATACGCCCAAGAAATCGCAGAGAGCTGAGCATAAAAGGTACGGAATGTCATAGTACTGAAATCTATCTGCTTGCGGATTCCGAGCATAAATACCATCAATATTAAGGCAAGACCAGCAGTTTTCTAGACAATGCCCGCTCGCACAATCAAAAATAAAAAATAAAGCGTGATTCGTCCATATTCGCACCTTGAGAAACCTCCCTGAAGTGTCCGGCACGAAGACCGATAGAAATTAGGTACAGTACTCGATTCGAGCCATTCAGTAGCATACAGCAACACGGAAACATCTCCCTAATCATCGCCATGACAGGGATGTATGGCATCGTTGATCCACCCTCTCTTGACTCATTTTAGCGTACTCTTTCTTTCTTCTACAAATTGCACACCGGGACATGAGTCACTCCAGACACAGGACATATTAGGAAAGGAATCAAAATTGGCGTTTGCTCCATATCGTCCGTCCAAGCCCAAGGTAAACATCACGCCGCTTCTATTCATTCTCTAGAGATATTCGGATTCTTGCACGGGGGATTTGATATGCAATACGTATAACTCAGTAACTAGTTAACTAGGGCTAAATCTCTCATTCATTTCGCAGAGCTTCAATTTCAAAACCTTTGCCAGCTCGGTCTTCAACCGCCGCCCTGTTGCATCCAAGTACTTGTCCAGCTGTCTAGCTGAGATTGCCAGATTCTGAGTCATTATGCCATCCAGATCAACTGTGTCAATACGCGGTTTCTGCAAGGATTCGGCGACAATGACAAGTTCCGGATTATGATCGAGCTTGCCGCGCTGAATTAACCTCCTCGTCCAGGGAAAGATAGTCACATTGGGGTCTGTCGACGTCTCGTTTCCTTTCTGGTCTCGCGAAAATGCCGCGTCACAGTGCCAAGGGCAGCCTCGCTCTCGAAACCTTTGCCGTCCGCAGTGGTGAGGGCTGAGGTCATCAGGCCTAGAGACCCGAAGCTTTGGACAACGGGATCAGATTGGACATCTCCGTCGTAGTCTATATCAAGAGGAGTCGGTGTATATTTCGTCAGTCATAGCAACTATGCAATGGGAAAGAATTCGATAAAGGAAGGGGAGAGGCGTAGATTTACTCTTCAGAGACAAGACAAGCCCCCCTTCGCTCTTCATCATGTTCGCCACCATGTCATCAATGAGACGGTGTTCGTACCAGATGTCCTGTTTCTCGAACTCAGGCTTGTATTGTGTCTCGTACAACCGCTGGGTCAGATTAATTCTAGCAATCCGTGTCTTCCAGTAATTAATTCCATCTCTGTTTAGTGTAGGGGTCAGGAGGCAGAATCCTCATGCAGTCAGACTTGTTTCTATCTCTAGAGAGAAAGTTCAATCAGTCCAAACAAATTATATTAGTTTCGGAAATCATCATCTATTTATCGCTGAAACGAAGGTTATGTTCATGGTGGTATCTCGAGTAGTAAAAGAAAGAAAAAACACAATAGCCACACAACAAAATGAGAGATATGTACACATCAACTACAAGGGATCAAATTATGTATATACATATGTAGATCACGCCTCACCAGCAATATGCTCCTCCTCAACCGCACTAGGACGAATAACAATCGACCCATCACTTCTCGGAATCCAAGCCCCATCAAGAGGAATCGTAAGATTCGGATTGACATATTTCCTCAACCTCAACCCAATCTCGCGACCACCAATAAGAATCGGAAGAGCGTCTCGATCCAGGCCAGACAATGGTGAAAGCAGAGGCGGTGGACTCAGGGAGTCATCTGAGTTATTGCCGTTGCTGCGATTTGGTCGATCGTGGTCGATGCTGCGGAGGGCAATGAATTTCATTAGGGGTTCGTAGGTTTTTGCGAAGAAATATGTGAACCATACGGTTGCTCCTAGGAGAGGGACGAGTAACAGGGATCTAGCGATCAGTTTGCGAAGAGCAAGGACTCCGATCATGGCGACTTGGAAAACTACTAGACCCAAAAACACCCGGCTGCAGATCATGGGCCATGCGCGGCCTGTCGAGTGCTGTTGATGGTCCATTGCGTAGAGTAGTTGGTATTTATATATGAAATGTCCCAAGAAGAAGTATATCAACCCACAGAAACACACAAGCCAGGAGCTGGGGAAGACACTATAGACGACGCAGATGATAAAGATGAATATCGTCTGAGGGATGGTGAATCCGTAGCTGAACTTAGGCGGCGCCGACAACTCCGCGTATTCGCGAGGCGATTTCGCGTATAGCACGTTGATAGGATACATGGCAACGCTTCCGAATTCCAACAACCGGAAAGGAAACAGTCCAAGACCTTGAAGGATGATGAGGTTAATATAAAAACGAGACAAGTTCTCCAAAGATGTTGCCAGAGCGAATGCGATAGTCGTTGCATCTTTGAATGCGTTTTGCACGTTTTGGAGAAAACCGTAGAAATTTGATGCTGATCCGAGAACGGTGAATAGAAAGAAGAGGTTGAAGAAGGTGAAAAAGAAGTTTTTCGAGATGATGGACAATTCCAGGTCGCCTCTAGAAGTCATGCCTTGGAGGCTCGAAAGCCCTGTATATCTGTCAGTGGCTGAAACATAGATGCATCGAAGAACTTACAGCTGTATAAATAAGGTACCGCCACTGTCAACAAAGAGAGTGTAATAGTCGGCAAACTGGATTGCACAAGAGACTTGATAATCGGATGTCGCGCAAGCAAATCGGCGAGGCCAGGAATAGCCTTGTGAAGAGTGTTCAAATCCAACAATGATGCAATAGGAACTAGTAGTACAGACCAGAAAATGGTCAAGAAACTGATAACAAGTGTAATGAGCCAAGACCGAGAAATACGACTCGAACGCGGAATATACGTATTCTTCCATACCACATCCGCAGGAGCGGGCGCGAGACTTGGTACTAATTGAGTAGGGTGAGGGTCAATTATGGTCTGAACGACCAACTGGCATGCGGAAATTGTCTCCATCGTAACAAATGCAAGATCCGTGGCTGGATACTCCTTCTGACGAGCGGCTAGGATTCTTTCATCGATACGACGAAGCTTTTCTTCGTAGTAATCAATCGAGTCAACATTTTTGTAACGTAGCTTGAACGGACCGTACCATAATCGAGTAGTCGGCCGCCTCTTGTGGACGGTTCTTACAGGAACACGTCCGTCTTCACTTCCTAGAAGTTGCGAGTGCTCCGTAGCTGTTTCGGATTCGAGACTGGGTGAACGATCACGCGAAGCTCGGACTAGTGGCAATGTATCGTTGTATCTCCTCTTTTGCTTGTAGCCAAGATATTTCGTCCATGCTCGTTCCAGTGGCTTCAGAATCTTCTTCCGCTCTTCCATCAACAAATCCAAATCGTGCCACTGACGACACAACGTAACCGCTTCCACCTTTCCAATGTGCAAATCTTCAATAATTTCCTGAATCTTCTCCTCTGAGCGCAGTTCGGTTGGGATACCGGATAGACGGAATGTGCGATCTGTTGTCGATGTCTGACTTCCCAGGTAATTCTGACGTACGCGAATAATCTTGTTGGTTTCGTGGATAAGCAGATATATAGCGATACCTGTAAACACATAGGGGAATATCACGTATATCCATAGATAAGTCGGATCAGATTTGAACTTTTTGTTTCCGTGTCCAAACAATATGTCCCTCGCGAACAGAGATTGGCCGTCATCGTCATTGTCGTCGTCGTCATGGTCCCAACCCGGAACGCCCCATTGACCGGCATATCGCAGATGTAGCGGCATTATAATGAGCGTAGCAAATGCGAAGGTAGCTGAGAGGAATTTTATAGCAAACTTGAAGAACGAAAGCAACTGAGAACCAGCATATTAGCAAGACCTGGAGATGATGTTTTGACATCACACATACAACATATGCATCCAATCCAGCAGATTCTAGTACTTCCTCATCTGTTATCCTATATATTACCGGCATCCAACCAAAAAAGCTATCCGGCAGCTCGGGCAGAAAGGACGCAGCATTTCGTCTTTTTCTTCGCGCAGCGTAAAGCTCTGTCCATTTTGGCCGAAGAATCTACCACGATAATCGGTTAGATGACAATACACGTCGCGGAGTGAGACAGCTAACATACGCAAAAGGAGAAAAATGCACTCAACCCCAGCGTCGCACTGAGAATGAGTTGTGTTGCCAGGTCTCGACCACCTTGTGCTTGACTTCCCCAGTCTATTGGATGATCTCCGGGGACTGTGGAACTCGCTATGGCCGCAAACTGAACCGGGGTGGAAATACCGCCGGTGGACGACATTGTATTCGCTGCTCGGTTTTCCTCTGGAGGCGTTGAATATTATGAAGGGGGCTCCCTATCGGCCAGACATGTGTGCTGTCACTATGTTGTTTTTTCGTTGCGCGATATCAGTCGATGTCTCACCGGCACAGACCGGATTGCGAAGACAGGGAGTATAAAATGTGATAAATATCAATAGACGCCCAAATCAAGAATCAAACACTGAAATAAAGAGCATAAGCAAGCACGCAGCATATCGCAAGACGATGAATTGCGAGAAAGCAAAACAGTCAGTTTTCCCATTTGGGGTTTTCTTTGCGCTATGACGAAACCGACCCGATGCTTGCCCTAAGCCCAAATAGTCTTAGTGTCTACACGGTTTTATTTCTAAGCCCAAAAAGCTAAGCTGCACGTCTCAAAATAGGATTGAAAAACTCCAACTTTTATATCGTCCCTCTTTCGGGATACAGTGTCATTACCAACAACCATGAAACTTTTCCCAACTGATTATATCGTTTTCACCAAACTGAAAATTAAGTCATATCTAGGTGCACAACAAAAGACGTTTCGTTCGATTGTTCATTAGTTACCGTTGGTGGCGGCCAATTTTTGACGTTTCTGGACGGCTTGTGCCAGGCTCTCGAGAACCGACTCGGTGTCTTCCCAGCCGATACACGCGTCGGTGATACTGACACCGTACTTCAAGCCGGACTTGCCTTCTGGAGGAACCTTTTGGGAGCCTGATGACCGGATTAGTCAACTGACCCTGCAGACGAAGCTTTGCATCACTCACCTTCGTTGATGTTACTCTCAATCATGACTCCCATGATAGCGGTCTCGCCAGCGGCAATCTGCTCAGCGAGAACGTCGGCTACCTTGGGCTGATTCTTGTGGTTCTTCAATGAGTTACCATGTGAGCAATCGACCATAAGACGTGGCCTCAAGCCCTTCTTGGTGAGGTCCTCCTTTGCCTCGGAAATACTTTTAGCGTCGTAATTCGTTCCCTTGGTGCCACCACGGAGAATCACGAAGCAGTCGTCGTTACCATCCGTTCCCACAATAGCGACAACACCGGGTTTTGTGACAGACAGGAAGTGATGAGGATGTCTAACAGCGCCAATGGCATCGATAGCAACACCTAGCGAACCATCGGTACCGTTCTTGAATCCGACGGGGAAAGACAATCCGGAAGCTAGTTCTCGGTGAACTTGAGATTCGGTGGTACGAGCACCGACGGCGCCGAGTGATAAGCAGTCGGCAGTGTACTGTGGAGAGATGGTATCCAGCATCTCACTGGCAATTGGCATACCCTTGCTAGTCAGATCGACGAAAAGTTGTCTGGACAGGCGCAGACCCTTGTTGATCTTGAAACTACCGTCGATATCCGGGTCATTGATCAATCCCTTCCAGCCGACAGTCGTGCGAGGCTTCTCGAGGTAGGAGCGCATGACAATGAGGAGAGTATCTTGGTATTTTTCTTTGAGCTTGAGCAGGCGATCGCAGTACTCGAGAGCAATCTCGGGGTCGTGGATGGAGCAAGGACCGATAATCACGAGAAGACGGTTTAGCGGGTCAGTGCCCTTGACGACGGCAGCGGCATCTTTCCGACCTTGCAACACGGTCTTTTTCGACTTTTCGGTGAGAGCGATCTCATGTTGAAGGAGGTTTGGGGGGGTGAGGGGGTTGTAGCCACGGACTAATCAATCAGCTTGTTGTTTCTGTTCATAGTGTTTCGATCTTCGGGAAATCAGAGAAACGTACTTCGGTGGTCCTCCAAGCTATCGGCGTTCCCAAGGTTGGGATTATCAATGAAGAACTAGATGAGATAATTAGCATTGATCAGTTTAAAGCGATACAGGAATGAAAATACCAGAGCAGACTCCATTGCGATAATTGTGGTGTTTGGTGAAGCGAAGTTGTTTGACTCACAGGCGTAAGAATCAATGCGGGGCCCTGATAAATTAAAGATTTCTTTCCGAGCTAGTCCGTTTCTAGTAATGACGTATGACTTCACTCGGATTCTTTTCTTTTGCTGAGACACACAGATTGAAGTTTTTTCACCTGCAAGATATATCTTTGGGCTGAATTGTCACTTTCACAGCTCAGTGAGAATTCATTGCATCGTACGAGTCACATCGGCGCCCGTCACTCGGCTTTATATACTTCTTATACGGTCCGACGTACATCAAAGAGATGAGTTCGGAGACTCCAGACCTATAAAACTACCGAAGGGACCACTGATATCTACTAGATATCACCGAAGATTCGGTGAGCATAGCTGAACAAGTTCATCGTTGTCCTAGTACTCTTTCAGTCTCTTTTATGCGCCGGCATCGGAGCTCTACTCCCTTGGGTATACGAGATGTGCCTTCATTCATTCGAGTGCTTGGACCTGATATTGCTTGAAGAAACATCATTCTGTCACTGGCCAATTCTGGGCACTTAACTGCTGATATCCATATCAATCTACAGGCAAACATATCAAACATCGTATGTTGCCTGAGGTTAAACTAAGTTTTCAAGCTCCCACCAATCAGATTGGGTTTCCTCCATGACGTTCTTTGCACGTGATGATTGCTTAGTCATCCATTCCTGAATTTCTCACCAACGAATGTTTTTAAGGCTCGGCCCTTTTCGTATGCATAGTGCATACAACAGTCGCCAAGTACAGAGTATCTCAATCAACATCTAGGAACCATCCTTATCATGGTAGTTCCTAACCAACTCGCTAAACATAGATTCCTTCTTCGCAAGAAGCGTCTTGGGGTTATCATACTCGACACATTTGCCGTGATCCATCACAGCCACTTGGTCACAAGCCATGATCGTATGAAGTCGGTGCGCAATGATGAGAACTGTCTTGTCCGTGAATTCTGACAATATAGTTTTCTGGATTACTGTATCCGTGACCTGGTCCATACTGATAGGTGTAAGACATAAATCAAACAAGGGTCGGATTCCAACATACCTGCTCGTAATTTCATCAAGGATAACCACTTTCCCAGGTCGTAGCAACGCTCTCGCCAGACAGAACAGTTGCTGCTGTCCGTGACTGAGCGAGTTCTTCTTCAGCTCCGCGTCGAGACCTCCTTTCTCCTCAATGACGTCCCATAATTGTACTGTTTTTAACACTTTGATGAGAGGCTCATCGCCATCACTTTCATGAGTCTTATACGGATCCAAGTTCAGTCTCACACTTCCCGTGAGAAAGTAGGACTCCTGATGGAGCCCATTCAACCGTGACCGAACACTCTCTTGGTTTAAATTTGCCAAATCAAGTCCATCAAGCAGTATACGACCCGAATTGAGCTCTAACAATCGCAAAAGAGCCAGGACAGTAGAGCTTTTACCGCTTCCAGTCCGGCCACAAATACCGATTTTCTGGCCCGGGCGGATTTTCATCGAAATTCCATCAAGTGCGAGTTGTCCATTTTCGTCTTCGCCGTATGAGGCTTGGGCATTTTCTAGGATGAGCTCGCCCTTTGCTGGCCAGTTGGGAGGTGGTTGTTCGCCTTTGTCGTTGTGCGTTCCGCCGGGCAGAATGGATGCGTCTTCGTGGAACTTCTTGATACGCGCGATAGCACCCAAGGTAGTCTCCAGCAAAGTATACGTTGTAATGAGTTGGTTGAGGTAACTCGATAACGTGATGATCTGCACGAGAGCAACAGCAACACCGCCTGTGCCAATAGATGCGCGCAACTTGACCGCAATACCTACAATAAGCACAGTAAGTGCGGCAGTGACAAGGTCCAGAACAAGGAGTAACCATCGCTGAACCATGAGCAAGAGATACCAAGGTTTCTGCGAATTGTCTACCAGTCTATAATTCGTAGTCCTGAATCTGGTCTGCCATTTGAAGGCACGGATCGTAAGTAAACCGGCCAATGCATCAAGATACTGCGTATAGACTGGCGCTTTCTCCGCAAGATCAAGCAGCCGCATCTGTTTAGCGGTTCGGAGATAGAATCGCTGAATAGCAATGAGAACCGCTATCAAAGCAGGATAGCTTACTGCTACCCATCCAACCGCAGCTCCGATCAGGCCCGCCTGAGCTACGCAAACAAACAAATTCTGAGCCATGGTCAGTAGCTGCAAGGGCAGATTCATATCCACCATCTGCATATCCTGCGAAAAGCGTGTTAGGATCTGGCCACTATCGTTCTTGGAGAATAAGCTTAAGGGGGCGGAGAGTGTAGCGTTGAGAAGGACGGTGTGAAGCTGGATTCCTGACTTGCGGGCTATAAAGCTGAAGGCGAACCAGGTTACGAGAGCGGATGAGCCAAGGGCTGTTACTTGGAGTGTGGCATAGACGCCCAGGTATAAACCTAGATTTTTATTGGGGTGTTTGTCATTATCTTCTGCCCACCATTTGAGCCATTGAACTGGGAAGACACATAAAAATGCCCAGATGGCTTCTAGTGATATGAAGATTGCCATTGGCCAGATCCCGATAGCTTCGAGGTAGAACCGGTAAATTGAGGAGTCACTGACTGCTGTGGTTGCTGGTGAAGCATTGGGCTTCTGGACGGACTGGCCGTTGGGCTTCGTCGAATTGCCCTGTGTGCTGCTCTTCGGCCGTGGAGATGTCACAGATTCGTTGATTTCATTCTCATCTTGGTCGGCCTGTTGTAGAAGCTGGGATAGCCTCTCACTATGGACACGCTCGATATACCCTCCCGCCGTAACCAGAGACTGATAGCTGCCTCGCTCGCTGATAGTTCCGTTCTTGTCGACAACAACGATTTGATCAGCCAATGGAAGTACGCGAGTTGAGTTGGTTGTGAGAACGACAGTCGTACCCCAATGATGTCGTAAACCATTCGGTCCAAGACAGCGCTGGACTATATGTTTCTCGGTAGTAGCATCAAGGCCACTGAACGGCTCGTCCAATACCATAACATCCTTGCGCGAATACAAAGCACGCGCAAGCGCAATTCTCTTTTTCTGGCCACCACTGAGTGAAATACCTTTACTGCCAACCTTTGTCTGGTCCCCTGCTGGCAGACTCTCCAGATCCGTTTGAAGATCACAGCAATGGATGATTGTCGAGTACAAAGTCTCATCCATTGAAGATCCAGCGAGGATATTTTGGCAGATTGTGTCGTTGATAAGCCATGGGGTTTGGTCACACCAGGCGATTTCTGTAGCGGATGAATATACTGAACCACTCAGCTTGGAGGATTCGCCGAGAAGTCCCTTGAGTAATGCCGATTTTCCTACGCCTGATGGGCCAACTATCAGGTTCAATGTTCCCCTTTCGATGGTCATGCTGATATTGCGAAGGGTGGGTTTGTCAGTGTCAGCCCAACTAAAAGATGCATTCGAAAATTCGAAAATCACATTCGAGACTGATTTTCTAGTCTTGGTGTCTCTTTCGATTGACTCTTCCATCTCATAGTCGTTCACGTTTACTGCCTTGCCACTTTTTGCATTCGACGAGGACTCCGGATCACTTTCACGGTCCTGCCTGTAATCGACATGACTCTCACGAGAAAGGTATTCTTCAATGCGCTCGAAACAACCAATAGCAGCTCGTGAGTTCACCACCGACCCGAATAAGGTAAACAAAGGCTGTGAAAGAAGTGAAATGATGGACAGAGACGTAAAAAGACGAGACACGTCAAGGATTCCGCCATCACGTAGCGTTACGGCTGCATATATTGCAAACGCCAGCACAGGCGAAATGAGTTGCGGCAACAAAGCAATACTCGACGTGCCAGCTCCCAAAAGTCGAAAGGGCTTAGAGGCATTGACCTCTTGCTGGCGGAGACCGGCAATAATGTCGTGTAATCGTGGCGTGAGTCCCAGTATCTTAATCCCCTTGATCGAGTCCAGCATGCTAGATACCTCGCCGATACGGACTTGTAGTTTTGCCAACCACTGCTTCTGAAACTGCTTTGTGTATCCGGACAAGTAGGTGATGGAGACAAAAGAGCCGACTGCCACTACTGCTGGCGCAGCACAGGCGTATTTCAGTTCCAGTTCAAGTAGATATGTTGCTATGATGATTTGGATAGCATTGGCCCATAACTCGTGTACTTCACGCAGTCCATTTACGATGCGATCAACGTCGGTGCTCATTAGTGTGAGGGCAGCCTTGTCGTTGGCGACATCTGGCTTTGCTTGAAGGGTCTTCTCAAAGATTGCTGTCATTAACATACTGCGCATCAATGCTAGGGAGCGAAGCCATGATGACCAGTAGAATCCAGATGATATCTATATTCAATATCAGTATAGATGATTGAATGTAATTGTAGATCATGACGAACCGCAATACCAAAGTAAATCAGGAAATAAGCACCGATCATGCCATAGCCAATATTGATCTTGTCACTATCTCCTTGAAGATAGTCAAGGAACCGTCGCAAACAGAGCGGTTGTCCAATTGTGAATGCAATTAGAATCAATCGAGGGACCATCGGACTCAGCAGATCCCATGGCATGGCCGTCATCAGTGAGTATATCAGGCGACGTTTATCCTTTGAAGCTTAGTTCAGATGAATGTTAGCGTCCCACCCAGCTCAGATATTAGGAGGGATCATCTTACTCTTCTGCCACGCAACCCAGAACCGTCGATCCAGGACTTCAGCAGCCATAGCAGACTCCAAGGGATCGAGATCCTTGGCCTCTAAATGCCGTCGATATCCAAGCGCGAGAAGTCGATTCACCCACCAGAAAAACGCGCGATTGTAGATACTACTCTTAGCATAAGGACTGAGCTGTCGGTCCTTGTCGGAAATGAAATAGCGTTGTTTCTCCACTGCTTCAAGAAGGAGCAGGACCGCTTTCACTGTAAATGCTGCGGTGAATGCGTTCCGGATGTCTGTATCATAACTCGAAAGCCATAGGGTGCGCAGGACCACCGCATCGAGAAAGACAGATAGTAGATAGGCATTGAGGATGGACGACGTGCGCAAATTGCGAGAGTGCTCCAGTGGAGATAGCAAGCAGAGGAGTAAACCCACGACCGTGTTCAGACATGATGCTGCTATTCCTGCTGGAGCTGCTGGTATCGGTCGTACTGACCAGAGGGCGATTAAAGTGAGTTGCAGGCTACAGTAGGCAATAATGTTGATCTGAAGAGAAGTAAGTTATTTGAGACAGTTCGCTCACATATCCAAGAAAGATTCAAGTTTACCAATTTCAGATGTTGAAGCCATGGCACGTTGACACAGCGGTCTCTAGCAAAGAGCAAGTAGATGCGCGTGGGCGCAATTAAAATAAATATAGACGCAGGAGCTATCAGGAAGAAATACAATTCAAAGGCAAGCGTGAAGTCGAAGTTCCCTCGACAGCCTTGCACTGCAGGGCCGAATGAAGCGTCCGTGAGACAGTCGTGTGCGCTCATTGGGACGTCTACCGTCACCGTCGAACTAAATAGTTTAAGCTTCGAAAAATTCGAAGATATATGGAGCATACAAGATCTGAAGGAGTTTATAATAAACAGTTCAGAACGTCTGTAGGCAGCTGTATTTCATACATTAAGGAGAGGACAACAAAGAAATAGTGCAAGCGCCGGTTACTTTCGATAAGCAGACCCTTGTCGTTTTAAGATAAGAGGGAAGAGATAATGACTGTACAAGCTATAAAATAATCTATTTTTATAATGAAATTGACCAGTTATCAGGAAACAGGATACAACAACCTCGGTTAAATTTTTTACCTAATTGGGGTTATTAGGGCTGTTAGTTAGGGCTACAGTAGTTACAGACACTGCTCTTGAATGCTTCTCACTGTGTATTTTCGGACATAAAGCGACATTTGATCATCCCATGAGTATTCATGCATTTTGCATCTTCTCCAGAACATGCCCGTAGCAGTAGTGGAATGCCATCACCTCACATGCTATTTTGTCTTGTTTATCCTCCCAAACACCCATACACAAAGCACGCTTGACATCCTTGATTTTGACACGTTTTCAGGACTAATAACCCAATCGTCAACATTGTCACTGTCTATCAAATGCGCTCTCCTTCGAGGACAGCATGCACAAGTGTGCAATGCATCAAAGATCTCTCCTAGGCTTGGAGACTCTCTTGCTTTATAGCAGCATCCACAGTCAAAGGCGCAACATCCACCACTGGCCTTGCACGCAGACTCAAAACTTTCTGATCGGTTACATCGAGCAAACTCAAGAAATCGGTCATAGAACCGAACAATTAATCCTTCTGGTCTTCTGGACCTGGCGGGGTGAATATCGGTAACGGCCTGGCAACGATATGGCCTGACTATCGCCATGAATCGTTCTATAACTTTAAGAATCTTTTCTTTCAATATCTATAAAGTCATCACCTCTAGTTTTTGAAGTTTTTCTCACTTTTGCAGGCTTTCATGAATAGCAATTTCCATTTGAATTGCGGTCATTGAGGTGTGCAGAGCCATATCACACTTCTCGATCCAGTCCACTTGCTTCTCACAAGAGTTTGGGCCGTCAATTATTACGCCTGAAGCACATGTTACTACTAAATGGAGAGTAAAATAATCATGTTTTAAAAGCTTCTTTTGAATTTTGGCGAGCATTGCGAATGGCAAATGGCAGAGGGGATTGGAACGAGGTGGAAGTTTTGGGGAGAAGGGAAAGTGAAGTTGGTGTTCTTAAATAGCTAACTTACAACCAGTAGCACCCAAACTCAAGATACTTGGCCTCATGTCGTTGACGCGCCAAACTTTTCCAGTGACTGCCTGGCTTCTATTACACATATACAGTAAGGATCTCTGAGTGGTTACTCAGTCTCATTTACATAGATTGACGTAGGATAAATTGAAAAGTGACAGTGCTTGAAATTGAGGAATTTTTCCGTTGCTACAACTCTCTCAATCTTACATGATAATCGCATTGAACTGCCGTGGCATCTTAAGTTTTGACTTGCTGAATATCCATCATCCCAATCACAAGATGGGGTTCCATATCATTTTAACTACTGCATCACACATCCGGCTTTCGCGTCAACATGTCAATAACTTTCTGCCGCTCGTCCATATCCCTTTTAAGTTCAGCCACATACTCCAACTTGATGGCATCAACTTTTTCTTGATGCAAGCGGGTCATCTCTGCCGTGATTTGGGCGAGTTTTCCTTCTAGGTAGGATTTGGCTGTAGGCGGGACACTGAGTAGGAAAGTGCTGTTCTTTCGAGAGAGTGTTTCTGCAAATTTCTATATAATACAAGGGGGTTAGGATGACTTTATTTCTGTCCGATGACAAGAAGTAATTTAATCAGTGCTTACCTGGTTCTCGCTGAGTATCTGGGTTGCGAAGTTCTTGCTGCTCTGTGCAGTACTTGGTGCGAAACGAATGATTGGAGTTTTATAATGAAGAGCACCATTCATCTGCTGTACATTCTGACCTTTGATACTGGCAGCTACAAACCCAGGAGTAATTGTAGCAGGACTTCTCTCTGCCTGAAGGCGTGGGTCAATGTTTTGCAGCACACTAAGAGCCTGCGATGTTTTTTCCACATGAGCGAATCCCTTCTGGTCTTGAATTCCAACCGTTTGCTTGGAGGCAGTGCTGATCTCCTGACTAGTAGAGCCATTCTCTGGCTTGTCAGATACCTTGGGGGTGTTTCGACGAGGACGTTTCGGTGTCTGGACCAGTGGAATATCACTGTCACTGGACTGATGTTCTTCAGTGTGCTCTTTGTTGGCAGATCGGCGCGTCCTCTTTCGAGTTGTAGTGTCTTGAGTTGATGACACAGTACTTGGAGGTGCTTGCTGGGTACCTGCTTCTCGTACAAACAGTCAGTAAATCATATCAAGTCAAATCTGTGGGGTTGGCCGTACTGGCGACTTGACTGCTCTGACTAGCTTTGATTCCAGGACTATTGGGTTGTTGAGAGCTTGATGCCAAAGGCGGCTGCAGACTCTTGGACTGATTCTGCCGCCCTGGTCTAAAGCCTTTGAAAGCTTGGAGCAGGTCTGCATGAGTTTGATTTATAGCTTCACCATATGAACCATAACCAGGGCTGCTAACTGCTGAGTCCATGATCTGTGGGCTGAGTGAGTGTGAGGAGAGAATGAAAGGGAGGAAGAAAGGGAGGAAAAACTGAATATGTGACTGGCACGCTGTTGAAGTTGAATGCAGGTTCTCCTTTGATTGTACTACCTGGAGAAGGCTAAAGAAGTTCAAGAAGATAGTAAAATAAAAAAGAGATGTAAAGGACAGGTGATTTCCACGCGTAGCTTGTCCCGCAGTGACTGTGAGAGGTAGTAATGAGATTTCTTCAAGATTGAGTTGACTTGAAGCAAACAGTCAAGATAATTCGAGTTAGCAAGCATGTGATTGTTGAGTGAGAGTAGACATGATGCCTGACTCCTCAGGAGTCAGTATACCTTGCTCACTAGCAAAACTTTAGGAGGACGGGATTGCCAAAAGGAAGAGATTAGTGCTGTAGAAGCCCTAGAGCTGTCCACACATAAACAGATACATGTAGAACCAAATTGAGAATCCTTTTCTCACTTAGGCGATCACCCTATTTGCGATCCTAAGCGAATGATGCATCGCCATCTTCCTAAATCTTCCAAGGTTAGAGATATTACTCCAGATATATGCGAATAGAACCAATCTTGAAGCTGACAAGATACCTAGGTATCTCAATATTCCAAGGTTTCTGCGAAGAATTTAGATATCTGATTTCCCTTTAGGTCGCCGTATATATATCTTATGGAACGCACTAGCTTTGACACTTCGACCAAGGATTTCACATCTCATGTCCGTACCAACTTTGTGATGCACAATGAACGATATTTTTGTCCAAAAGTAGTTTCTTATATAGCAGTCTGTGGTTTGCAGGATACTAGGATCAACTCAGCTGGCCAAAATAAGCATCGATAGCACCGGTCCAAAACCTCCGAGGCGGCAGACCAACGATGTCTCGCGATAAGAACTCCACAAGTACTGCAACGACAACATCTTCCTAGACCTACACAACTCTATATACCTAATGAACATATTATTCAGCTAACAAAATGACAGACTGGTCTACAATCACAATGACTCCCACCCCGAAATACCCTCGTCCTCCCCCAACCTCCCCAGACAGACTACAACTCGGGCGAGATCCAACCTCGATAGACGCAGACCCAAATCTATACTACTCCATCTGCTCAACCCGCCAAACATGTTTCGACAGGACCATCACCACAGACGAAAATCCTGAAAAAACAGTTCTATACTTAGCATACGGCTCGAATCTATCCATCGAAAAATTCCGTGGTGATCGAGGCATTGCGCCGCTTTCGCAGGTGAATGTGTACGTGCCGGAGCTGAGGCTTACGTTTGATTTGGCTGGGATACCATATCTGGAGCCTTGTTTTTCGGGGACGCAATACCGGACTGTTGATAATACACATGTCATTCAAGAACGATATAAGGATATAGTCGACGATGATATCCTCGAAAAGAAAGAAATAGATCTCGAATCAGGCCATTACCTGATCCAAAATCGGGGGTATAACAAAGACCAATGGCACAAACCTCTCATCGGAGTCGTATACGAAGTCACACTCTCCGATTACGCACACATAATCGCAACCGAAGGCGGCGGAAATGGATACGTCGATATTGTGACTCCCTGCTTCCCATTCCCTTCTACTACTACCGGGGAATACAATCCCAACGATCCAACGCCAGATGTGCCGAGTGGTACGGCATTTATGGCTCATACACTGTTATCGCCGCCGAAATCAGCGTATGGACCGAATAGTCATCTTGTTCGTCCCGTACCGTCGTATGCGCAGCCGTCGGCGAGATACTTGAAGTTGATGACCGATGGAGCTGCGGAGCTGGATTTTCCGTATGATTATCGCGCGTATTTAGCGTCTATTAGACCCTATAGAGTGACGACGTTTGGACAAGGGGTCGGGCAGAAGTTGGCGTTATACGTTTTGATTCCGTTGATGCTAGTTTTTATTCGGTTGGGAGAGTTGCTTGCGGATGATGATGGGATTACACCAAGTTGGTTGGGGAGGATATTTGATATTATCAGAGAGTTGACATGGAGGATTTACGATGTTGTTTTGGTTAAAGTGTTGGGGGATGGGGAGAGGAGTATTGATGATATATAGTATATATCCCTGATAGAGATCTACAGGTAATGATTTATGATGACACGATACAAGTTGATTAAAACAAATGCATTGAACAAGTAGTTGACAAAGGAAATTATCTAAGGTCTCAGATCAAAACTAATTTTGTGTCTATGTATACAAGGAGTACAGGTCCACACCCCAAGGTATATCTGCGAAGAGAGGCGTTGTTCTTCTTTTCCGTCCATCTTGTAATTTCCGCTGGTCGGCCAACAACAAAAAAGAAAAAAAAAAGAAACAGCTAAACGTACAGATACGGGATGGCGATACCCGGTTAGATGGGAGTAGTAAACCGTCATCCATGGAATTCAATCAAGGTTTTAGCGTCGCACGGGAGGGTTATAGACGATCTTCCTTGCCTTGATGGCAGCCCACTTGTATCGCTTGACCCAGACGCTAATGGCGAACAAACCGGCAGAAAGAGCGAGAGCTTTCATACCCATCTTCTTGCGCTCGTCCATCTCGGGCTCGGCAGCCCAGTTCAAGAATTCGACAACGTCCTTGGCCATTTGAGAGGTGGTGGCGGGAGTGCCGTCTTCGTATTCGACCAGGCCGTCAAAGAGGACACGAGCCATAGCAATACCTAGTCGTTATTAATATTGGTTGACATTTGCTGACTTGAATGAAGTATACGTACCGGTACCGGGGAAGTAAGGGTTGAAGTTCAAGCCTTCCTGGACAGAAGCACCAGCAGGAGGTTCATCAGGATAACCAGTGAGAAGAGAGAAGATGTAATTGCAGCCACCGTGACGAGCCTTGACAATCAAACTCAAATCAGGGGGAAGAGCACCGTTGTTGGCAGCACGAGCGGCCTCGTCGTTCTTGTAAGGAGCGGGCATGTAATCAGAAAGCTTTCCGGGACGCTTCTCAATTTCACCCTCATCGTTGGGCTCTGTATCGTATTCGTTTTCCTCGGCCATAGCCTTCATTTCATCGACGGTGTGCATAACACCGACAAAGTCACGCCATGGTACACGGGAAAGGGAGTGGCAGCTGGCGCAGACTTCACGGTAAACCTGGAATCCACGTCGAAGGCTAGACATGAATTTAGTACTCTGAATCGATTCGCTTAGAGATATGGAGGTACGTACGCTTGGTGGTCGAAAGTCTTGTTCCATTTGGCGTGTTCCCATGGGTACTGAGATGGGTGCAATCTATCCGAGGTTGATCAGTCCAGCCCCAATCGAGTCCAACAATTATATCTCAAAGCAGTATTGTATCAATACTCACCCTTCTTCGGCAGGTGTCATGGCAAACGCCTGCTGGCCGTACAAGTGGTAGTACCAGGCGGTAGTTGCGATGGTAGCAGCGGTTGCAACGGTAGCGGTCGCAGTGAGGTAGAACGGAGAGCTCGCGTTCTCAGAACCGGAGGATGTGGACGAAGCTCGCTGTATCAGTCGTTAGTAAACCATCCTCAAAACACGTAACACATGGCTGACAGCCATTTGCACCAGCAGAGAGTGTCCAATGGCTATCGAAGACGACTGATGGTGCATACCGAGTTCTGACGAAGGCTCTGGCGTGCAGTGGCCCGCGCGGGCGCAGCACGAAGAAGCGAACGAGCCAGCATTGTTGCTAATTGCAGCTGGAGCCCTCCTTTGCGTATACAGAGATCGAGCGGATGGTGAGAGGAGAGGAGGGGGGAGGAATTGGCGATATGGCCTATGATGGCTTGTAGTTGAAGTTCCAAGTTGGACGTTCGGAGCTTCGGGGCGGATGGAATTTGCTTTCGCTGATTACCTGCACGCTGATTGGCCAAGTGGGCGCCTCTAGTCTCCCTCACACGAAAACACCACGGAATCTCTCTGTATACATTCGTATAGGTCATACAACGTCAAGAATTAATCTACGTTCTTTTGATTCTTTTATAAAATAGTATAATATACATTAGACGACAGATTAAACTGCATTTTCGTTGTTGATTATGACCTCGAATTCTTTATCAGATTTCTTGGCAAGTTCCTCCTTGACCCATCCACCAATTAAGGAGACGGCGTCATGGGGACTGTCTAAATGCTGTTGGAAGAACCCTTGTAGAGCAGAGGGGGTTATCTTGTCATCGGGAATTTGACTGGCAAAACTAGTGGCCAGGTCTCGCATTTCATCCATGTCAAACGAGAATTTGAAGCCCAGATCAGGCGAAAACATGCGGAGGAACATCTCCTCGCTAGACTTCTGACTGATGTTGCCTAGATAAACCTTCATATCAATGCGTCCCGGTCGGGTGAGTGCACTGTCGAGGGCTTCCGGTCTATTAGTTGTCATGATAACAATTCGACCTTCTTGTGAGCCCACACCGTCCAGCACATTTAGCAGTCCGGATAAAGTGCAATTCGGCATAGGTTGTCCATCTTGCACAGGTTTGGATGAGTTCGACCGATCCACCCACACAGCATCGATATCTTCAAGTAATACAACACATCTTGGTGGTATATCTTGAAACATCTGCTCCAGGTCGGCATCGGTGGCAACACTGGGAATCTTCACTTCATAAAGGTCAAGCCCAAACTCACCCGCAATAGCGAGCGATAAGGACGATTTTCCAGTCCCAGGTGGACCGTAGAAAAGATACCCTCTGCGATACGGCATACTCCGTGTTTGATAACGCTTCTGAGTCTTGGGGTCCAGATAATTGCGAATGTCCGCGAGCAGATCCTGCTTGAGCTGATTATCGAAATGGACGGTATCCAGATGACGAATAGGTTTCCGTGCTTTAGGTTGCCATGCAAGGCCATATCGGTCCCTTGAGTAGATTATAACAAAAAACTGAGTTTGCGTCTCGGTATAGTCCCGACAGGCTTTTATGAACCTTTTGACAGGTTCTACAGACCAGCCAAAGCAGCTTATTGTGAGTTCCTCTCCTCCAATGCCGTCATATCCTGGGTTATTCGACATGGCGATACTGTGACTGTCACTGGAACGCTCCACAAGAAACGCATTCCTATTATACAAGAACCACCTGGTATGCCAATGGGGCCAATACCGAATTGGATGTCGAGTTTTCTTCAGTGCAGCAGCCCGGTCCATGCCGGAATTTCCAACTTCCGTAAGCCCCGTGAACGACCGATAGTTACGAGGTCTGTTTGCGAGGATCCATTCCACCACGCTCCTGTTTAGAGGATCTCCTCCGGGTATGGTGACTGAGGCTAGGAAACAATGCCTTACCCAGCTATATGTCTCATCCCAGGCATGCCGTAAGAACCTCCAAGCGCTTGGCAATACCCCGGCAATTGCAACAAGAGATCCAATCTGCGTGATATCTAATTTGGAGAATCGGGTCAAGACATCTTTAAACAGAAGATAGCCCTGGGAACAGGGTTCCAGCAAAGGACGGCTGGCGGCACCTCCGGCATGGATATAAAATGCCATTTCTGTGATTCCACAGCGATAAATGACCCTAGGACATATCAAGAATCCGGCTCTTCCATATAGCAGTTAATTGATTTGTGTATAAGAGTAGGCAAAGGGAAGAAAGAGATGTTTAATGGAGAAAAGGCTGAAAGAAGGACACAAACAATGAAATTATAATGTCATAACAAAATTTAATAATACAATGAGCGACGAAGAAGGAGAGAAAGGAAAGGGAAATGCCCGTCCAACTGTCTGTAGCAGTTTGAGTAGCTGAGTGAGGAAGGAGATGAATAATTTCAGACCAAATTTCGTTATCAGCAGCTGAGCCACAGATACGCCACAGAACTAATCGGTGAGTATGGCTTGACTGTGTATCCAAATTCTGCCACCGCCTTGTCATCGAGGTGGCATCAACAGAAGCTCTTTCCTAATACGCCGTCCGTATAACTACATGCCTCTGCCACTGTCGCTTTTGAACCGTTGTCTCGTTGATCAAGACTGTCGATATATTTGACTACACGTCATGAGATAGTATCTCGACATTTTCATTGCCATCCAATGGCTTAGTCTCTATGTCGAGCTGAAGTAGATGGCAGTATTCCACTAGAACAGCTCTCATTCCAAAATATAGGCACAATGTCGAAGCCTAAGAGACCGCCCGCCTCTCGCGCTCCGCCGCGCCGAGATGTTTTGGCGTCGCTTAAAATGGCTTCCATGGAGATCCTTGTACCGGTCTTACCTGCAGGTATGCTGCAAGCTCCCAAGCATGCAATGCCATACACAACTAATGCATGGAAGAATTGATGTCGCAGGTACTGGATTATGTCGATCCGCCAGATCTCATCCGTGTTGCGCAAACTTCGAAACGTATGCGCGAAATGGTCTACGAGGACGCTAGATGGATAGCAAGGTTGAAGCGAATGGGCTGCTGGAATGAAGAGGAGGCGAGGCAAAATGCAGAGAAACCGATGTCGCCTACAACACCTGCAACTGGATATGGGAGACGATCAAGTGTTTATAAGAACCCGACAGATGGGTTCGATACGATACCTGTATCGTCTGGCGCAACAAAAGAGACAGAAATTCCAATTCACGAGGATGAGACACTCGACATTTTGCGCCGTGTCAAATCACTACGCGGAAATGCGCGTCAAGAATACGGCAAGGTCCATGCTGTTTTGGCGCCTTTGTATAATGACATCGCAAAGAGTGGAGGATCTACAGATAGCCTGGTGTTTAGGCGGTATACCGATCCAGAAAGTCAGGCTAAGATGCTCGCTCAAATTGTGAAATTCGCCAACAGCGACACTTCAGACGGATGGGCTCATCGAGAAGCATGTCTTCAGGAAGCGATACAACTATTTGAAACAGCCGCAATCCGTGAGTTTCGGAATGCATACGAAGCATCAGATGTCAATGGGGAAATGCGCAAATATACACACGTTTTGTGGTACCTCAATGGTGGACAGTCTGCAGTCGATCTTTTCCTCCATCACAATCACATCATCACAAGGAAGTCCGAGCTCGGGAGAGTCCAAGATTGTATAGACACGGAAACTTTGGAAGTTAAAGTGGAGCATACTCAAGCATTTTTTACGCGATTTGGAGTCGCATATAACAAGGAAATTGAGGCCATTAATGGCGCATTCCCGAAAGATTTAGACGTTGCTCTGCCTTTCCTTGACAAAGCCAGTGTTGACGTGGTCTCACCTTTTTTAACAGGCCTGTTTGACGAACTACACCAAAGCAATATCGAGAGTTATCTTAAAGCCGTTTCTGGAACATTTGCTCAATGTTTCAACCTGTTCTCAGACCTCGAAATTCCTCTTGCATCTGGAGTGAGCAAGGAAAACGCTATAGCGCGCGTCATGGCTCAAATATTTGAGCCTCATTTAGATCTTTATCTTGCTGAAGAGCTCGACTTCTTCCGTAAAGGGTGCGATGCCACTGTCGAGGACTGGGATCGGCAACTGTCTGAACAAGCGGCATCGACAGAATCGTTTCTCATGTCCAACGTGAACCGGCAAGCCGCCAAGAATGACTTTTTAACGTCATTCAAGAAAGTGCTCATGGCGCCCGTTACTATATTACCTCTACCGTCCTTCTCTAGCAAGACTCAGCGAAGTGCAGTTCCTGAGACTGAGAACGCAGCATCGCATAACAAGAATACGGCACGATTCTCGACCTTTTCTCCTCCTACACCTGCCACTCCGTTGCCAGAGGCACCCTCAGATGAATTGGCTGCAAAAGCTGCTTTGATGAATTCCAGACTGGAAGGTATTAAATCCTTATTCAGTATAGAAGTTGCCCTCGGATTAGTTCATGCGGCAAAGACCAGCCTCGAGCGTACTGTTCAATTCGTGAAGCTAGGGGGCGATTGGGGCAATACGGCAAAACTGCAATGTGAAGGGATATTTATCTCACTTCTCGAAATCCTTGGACATCGACATGTCATTAAAGGGTTTACCAAAGCTGTTGATCATTTATCAAACTACCGACCGCGCGAGCAAGGTGAACGAGACAAAAACGGAGTAGAACCTTTAGTAACGTTTCTTGAGCTTGTAAACGTCGGCGATCTTATATTACAAATGATGGATGTCTTTTACGAACAAGAACTCATCGGCGCAAAACTTATCGATCGCAGCGACTTTCTCGACCCAGCTGCAAAAGGCAAGAAGAAATTCGAGCAAAGACTCGATGAATGTGTGGCTTCTGGCTTGAATAAGGGTATTGATGTGCTCATGGAGGAGGTAGACTATATTCTCGCCACAAAACAATTGACAACTGATTATAATCCGGAAGCCGATATTGACGCCGGGAAAAAAATGCCCGACATCAGTGTTAGCGATGCTGCAATCGGCGTGATTGATGTTGTTTCATCGCACACCTCCATGCTTATCGGTAGCACGGATAAAAGCACACTTGATGTGTTCAATCAAGAAGTTGGACTCAGGCTTTTTGCAGCTATTTGCAAGCATCTCAAACGCCAACGGATCAGCGTTGACGGATCACTCAAACTGATCAGGTATGGTTTTCGTCAAGAATCTTGCTTTCAAAATCTAATCAAAAACAGTGATATGAACCATTACTTCAAATTTATTCAAAACCTAAAGAATAACGAACTGCTCCTCTACTTCAAAGCTCTCCGAGAACTATCACAGATCTATCTCATTGACCCATCCGATGCCAAAGAACTGGCATTCGTTATCGCCGATAACGATCGATTCTATGGCATTTTCCGTGCCGAGGAAGTATATGAATTTGCTGAACGGCGTGCAGATTGGTTTCAGGTTCGACGCGATGTTGAGCGAGCCATGTATGGCTTGGAATGTAGTTTGATGTGATGTGATGATGTTTCATGACGGCGGCCTCGATCTTCTCCATGTATATGTATATACATATTTCCGCATATAACTAGCACGTATCCTAGACGCCGATTACGAATATTGTGGATACAACTCCGTCTCGATGTTGGCGTGATGTTGGTTTGTTTTCTAAGCAGCGTCCGTGGTTGATTGAATCTTCGCTTAAATCCTTGGAGCTATATACATACTACGATGATACAACAGATGTATCTCGTTTTACTATTTACCTGGAGAATTGCTGGTAACTCGGCGTTACAGAGATGTCAGAAATCATTCTTATACGTACTACGACAAATTTCGCCAGTAACGCCGACTCGAGTTGATAGACTGAAACTTCGTCGTTGACAACGCCGACAGTACGCGGATCTTCGTTTCATATGCTCTTATCCACTAGTTATCAACGCTCTAAGTGTTGGTAAAGCCTTGTGCGGGGTTTACGGCGATATTGGCGGAGATATCTAGAAAAATGGGCCCCTTGTTGCCCAGATGGGAGGTATATAAGTGACTGGCCCTTGCTTTCACTCACTTTCCTGCAAAGTCTGTTGTCTAGTTATAAATTGTGCTCCATACGCTAAGATCAAAGCAAATAATCAACATGCCTCGTATTCTCGTTACCGGTGGCAGTGGCTTTCTCGGCGGCACTGTCGTCGACACTCTACTCTCAAGAGGGTACTTGGTCGTGACAACAGTACGCTCCGCCGAGAAAGCACAACAGATGCGCGCTGACAGACCGAATGTGTCAGCCTCTCAGCTCACGTATGCGATAGTAAAGGACATTGCTCAATTAGACGCCTTTGATGAGGCTGTTCAACAGAATCCGCCGCTAGATGCAGTGATACACACCGCGAGTCCCTTCCATTATCGCATCGAGGATGTGAAGAGGGACATGCTTGATCCCGCCGTAAACGGAACAGTGGGCGTGTTGCAATCGATAAGGAAATATGCCCCCTCGGTGAAGAAGGTGGCTATTACATCTAGCTTCGCAGCCATGTACAACAACGTCAATAAACCCGTCGGATCGACGTATAGTGAACAGGACTGGAATCCGGTGACCTGGGAGACTGCTCTTGATCCTGAAAATGCCGCAGGTCAAGCTGGGTACCGGACTTCAAAGGCCCTTGCCGAAAAGGCTGCGTGGGAGTTTATGGAGAAGGAAAAACCGGGGTTTACATTGACTTCTTTGAATCCGACGCTCATATTTGGTCCTGTGGCGGCCAATACAGCCTCATTGGAGAATTTGAATACGTCGAATGCTCGATTTTTGGACTTTATTACGGGGAAAGTGAAGGATAAATGTCCGCCTACGGGCAGTTTGTTCTGGGTTGATGTACGTGATACGGCGTTGGCGCATGTATTGGCCATTGAGAAGGATGAGGCTGCTGGGAAACGTTACTTCCTATGCGCCAGCCCGTTTTGTAATGTTGATTTGGTCGAAATTATTGCCGAGTCGTTTCCGAAATACAAGGATTTGTTGCCCAAGGGTGATGCCTTGGAGTTGGGTCGGTATCCGGGGAGTGGACCGCCTTATAAGGTTGATCATTCAAGGTCGGTGAATGAGTTGGGGTTGAAGTATAGGACTTTGAAGGAGAGTGTTGAGGATACGGTGAAGAGTATTGAGGTTTTGCTTGAGAAGTCCTGATATGTTGATTCTGAATGCTTTCAGGCCTGGTGGAGCGCTAGCGGGGGCGAACTTCATGATCTAAAATCTTGTATAGAACCTCAGTCTCCTAGATCTATTAGGTAGGCTATAGAAGTTCAAGCTAGAGAGGGAAAACAAAACAACCTTATGAATCCATCCACGGATGCGTTTGGCAATCATATCAGTTAATGTGGTCGAGACAGAAGAGGGAAGGAATAATCATTACGAGTAGTCTTGACACAATGGGCCATCATAAGCAAAACATTAGATTTGTTTCAACCAATGTCGTGGGAATAGATCTGTCAAACTATGTGGTAGGTTAGGGCTAGCGAAAACTGCCCCATTACAGCGCCTACTGAAACGTTTCAACTTCAACCAGTAGCCAATCATTCCAACTTTCTTCAATATCAGAAGTTTCGATCTGTTTATTGTTAGGCCTAGATTTATTCAGATGAGACATTGTATTTAATGTTATTCGATTCATATAGCTATGGATGACTGAGTGACTTTGAACGACGATGACTCTACTTACCTATAAGCTCCTCTCCACCTACACTGGTAGCTATACTGATCTGCGATTAAAACGAAATGTAGACGAAAATTCACACAGTACATCATCACATAGAAAGACAATGCGATATCTTTCGTTCTACTTCCTATCATTCCATACAGTACTCGCATCCAACTATAGCCTACCACAAACCCTAACCCGAGCTCCTCCAACACCAACACTCGAACAACGCGCAGGCACTATTATAGTCGTCACCGTAACAGTAACACCTTCAGCTGCGCCTGTATCGCCCTCATATACTAATCCAGAACTATTCGAGTACGACATCCTCAATCAAACGAATTACTATCGTCGTCAACACAATGCTACTGGTGTGATATGGAACGATACACTGGCGACATATGCTAAACAATGGGCTAAGCCATGTAATTGGAAACATTCCGTATGTCCTCCACCATCTATCTTGACTGCAGGATCCTCCACCAGGCTGATATCGAGACCTATGAAGGGAGGTCCCTACGGCGAAAACCTCGCAGAAGGCTATAGCAATGTCACAGCCGCGGTCGATGCATGGGCCATCGAGAGTAAGAAATACGACTACAATCGTCCCACAGGCTTTAGTGAAAAGACGGGCCATTTCACGCAGTTAGTCTGGAAGGCCACGACGGACGTCGGATGTGGTCTTGCGGACTGTTCGGCGAATCTGAATGGTGATAACGGTGGCAAGACTGGGAAAGCGGTTGGATGGTTTCTGGTGTGTGAGTATTGGCCGCCTGGGAATGTAGTTGGTGATCATGATAAATATTTCGAGGAAAATGTTGAGCCATTGGTTTCTTTGGGTACTTGGTTGAAAGTGAATGTGTTTGATGTTTGGCTCATGATTGTTTTTGCTGTATTGATTTTGACGTTTCTATGATCGTTGGCGTTTGAGTTCGTAGGAAGAACGATGAAAATGATCTGGTATCTTGGGTATGACTGGGTATCTCATCCTATGTACTTATTACAATGTTCTTAATGTCGCCAGATTCTGACCTTTTTATCGGCACCTCCACTCCCAACTCTCTCTCCATCCGGTGACCAGTCCACTGCAAAGACTTGATCTTCATGTCCTGGTAAATCCATTACAAGTTTCCCCGTGCGAACCTCAAATATTTTTAGGGTGCTGTCTTGCGATGAACTAACGAGTAGACGGGAATCGGCTGAGAAGCAGCATTGATAGACTGCTGCGACATGCCCGCGAAATGTATTGATGAATCTGTAGTTCGTCAGCTTGTGATGAGCGCATGGATTGGTGGAGAAACTTACTTCCCATCTCTGGCATTCCAGAGTTTGACGTGATTATCGAATGCAGCACTGGAATACGTCAGCTAACTTCAAACAGCAAACTTGAAAAGATATAAATACCTTGCAATATAGGCCCCGTCAGGAGAGAATGTGACGTGATTGACTGCTTTCTGATGGCCCAACATCCTTGCAACAGGTTTCGTTGAGTTTTCAGGATCCCAAAGATACATCGTAAAATCGTCACTGGCTGATACCAGCCTCTCCGTGATTTTACCAGCAACAGTGGCAGCCTTTTCAAATCGCTTTTTCGCTACCTCCACCTTTTCAGCCTCTGTCTCAGGTATCTTGTGCGTATGGTCATGGAAAGCGGTTCGTAATACGAAATCAGTCGAAAGTGCTAAATGATTGACTCGGTGTGTATGAGCTCCCAATGCGGTAATCAAAGTACCATCCTTAGCAGACCAGACCCGGACAGTCTTGTCCAATGATGCGGTGTAAATCTTCCCAATCCCACCCCAGCGTACACATGTCACGGAGTCTTTGTGACTTAAGACCATTTCAATCCTCTTATTGACGACATCCCATATTCTCACTGTTGTATCCTTGGATGCAGACGCTAATCGTGGTCGTCCGGCCTCTTGAGTATGGTACGGTTCCCACGATAAACTATTAATCCATCTACTATGACCCTTGAGCGTTCCTAGTGGCTTCCCTTTGGATGAAGACCAGAGTCGCACTGTCTTGTCTTTACTGCCCGTCGCTATCATCTGACCATTTGGAGAAAATGACACTGCCAACACCCAATCCGTGTGCCCTTTCAGAGTCTCGATCGGTGTACCGGTATTGCAGTCAAATATTCTCGCAGTATTATCACCACTACCAGTGACCATCGTCGATGACGACGCGGGAGAGAAAGCTATCGCCAGGATGGCAGAGCCATGTCCAGCTATTGCCGCAGAGCATCTCGACACTGCCTTCACTTTAAAAACGGCCTGCGGGGTGTAGTGGAGCCGAATAACATCTTCTGTAGTTTTTACACCGGGTTTGATCAATGCGTCGTAGAGATCGGAGAGAATATCAATTGTCTGCCCATCTTCTTTTTCGGATTTATATGCAAATCTGTAAGGAACTCGGTCATGTTCCGACTGTTATAGCCCATTAGCGCTCTGAGAGAAACATCAAATTTTCAGAGGGTGCTCACATTATCCAATATACTATTCAGGATAGTCTCCAGCTCTCGCACGGTAGTATTCGCAACAGGAACTTTGATCTCGCCCTTCGTGGGTTTTCCGGTAGACTCGTCGATAAACTGCAGTACAACACTGCCGAGATCTCGAGGGACAATGTCGATTTCTTGTTGTTCCCGAGCCCTTTCGGCAATTTCGCGTTTTTGCTTTTTGCTTGGAGGGGGTAATAGTGTCGCCATTTTGCTAATTACACCTGTATGTTCGAAAGTGACTGGTTTGTTGCTGAAAATGTATTGCCAAGAGTCGCAGATGAGATGGAAATTTTGGACTTTTTCCCGCACTAAACCCTTTCTGGAAGTCCTTATCTTATCGCACCGTGCCTTCCTAAAAGGGAAACTGGCAGTCTCTTTAAATAGTTTCCTCCTTTTCATCTTGGACAATTAGTCGACGTCCTCAATCCTTAACCACCTAAGAACTTATCAAGTTGTTAAGAATGTCGTCAATTCTCACCACCGACAACGATCCTCCAAATGAGAGACGAGCTCGGTCTGGCTTCAGTCAACCCACGCATACTCGTACCAGGCCCACGGCTTCTGGCACGAGCATAGCATATCAGGAAGTCATTTGTGCTATAAGCAAGTCTCGCGGTGCCTCGCCAAGTTTTGAAATATATAGAGCTGCACATTGACATGATGTTTACTTTCCATTCTCTCCGGGTATAAGAGTTAAGAGTTACTGTCTGTCACAGATCTGGCAGAGTACTGCTTTATAGACAGACTCCCGCATGCTAGTCCAGCAGTAATGTCAATTAGTGCCACTGCTAAATGAGATATCAGAGGACTAAAGCATACTGCTGCAAAGTAGTGGCTCTTCATGAACAAAAGCTCCGTTGGTTCGAATACAGCCAGCTTGTTGGCCATCCGCATCAAATTCGAAGCTTCTCAAGGTTCCATGGTGATCAACCTATCTGCGGCAGTATCACTGGGACTGATACAAAACCTTCAAAATGCCAAATCGCGAAAGTGTTTGTTCGGTTTGCTGAATGAAACCCTAACTACCATGGGCTCCAGGTTATTGCGGACTAATATACTGCAACCTCCTACTGAGCACTAAAGTAGACATTTTCTTTGCCATCAGTGAGGGTTAGTCGTTCCTCAATTATTAGTTTTATGGTGAGGCTAATGTTTGTAGTGTTGAAGAATTTTATCGACGCCGACAAAGTCCTCACATCCGTAAGCTATACATTTGTGCCTTCCAACGGTTGCTCTATTTTGTATGTACGCTTAGTGAAACTATTATCTCTATATACATTAGCTACTCATAAGAGAGCTGAACCTAACCAAACTGAAATAAAATCTGCTTCCCCTTCTTTCCCTTCCCTTTCTTCCCCCCACTAGAAATATCATCACCGCTATTCCTCGGCATCGAAGCACCCGAAGTAGTATTTTCAGTACCCCAAGCAGCCGGAGCAGGACCTCGACGATCATCCCATCGCACAGTTCCACGCGTAAGACCGGCCATTAACGTATTCGGTTTCGGGCGGCAGGTAAAGCCGGAATGCGGTTTGATCTGTTGTTCGCGGGCGGGACTGTGGATGCGCGTGGTGCGGGTCGCGCGTAGGATGATGTAGTTGTAATTGACGGCCGGGTTGGGGGTGTACTATTCCAGACTGGCGGAGCAGCCCGCTTAGACGAAGAAGAAGAAGTAGACGCTGATAATGGTGGGAAGGGGTTGGTACTGCTTGTACTTGATAAACTACCAGCTCGACCAACTGCCGAGCGCGAGGATTGCGCAGTCGACGATTTGAGACGTAATACTCTTTTCCCACCGGAGCCCGTTGTACCAGACGACAAACCTGGGAGGATCCCGTTCGGTCCTGGTAATGCTGGGTAATCCTCATTGATGGCTCGCCAATTATTCCATGCTGATAGCAAGGCGGTCTTTTTGGAATCATCTTCGTAGATTTCGGCAAGTTCTTTGATTAGCTTCCCCAATTCTGAGGTTGGTGTGTCGAATAATGAAAAGAATGAATCGATGAGATCGGTTGCGGAGATGAGGGATGTGCGGTAGTTGGAGACTTTGGTGCGGAATTCGGAGGTCTTTGTGGCGTCATTTTGGAGGAGATTGGATGCGCGTTCGATGACGGCGGAATGGCGAAGGCGACGGGCTTGGTCTTGAGGGGAGAGAGATGTGTTTAGGCTTAGATTTTCCATGGCATTCACAGGGACTGGGGGAGTACGAGTGCCTGCGGTAGGGGTTTGACCAGGTGGAGGTCCAGCAAGGGTGCGAGCAGCAGGAGGCTCACGCGTGGTGAGTTGTCCACCGAAGCTTCGAGTAGACACAGATTGTGCACTTTGGATGGCCATTTGTCGTTGGTAAGCGAGCTCATCTCTTCGTAGAGGCTGCGCGCTTGAGACTGGAAGTGAGTCTGCATTGGGATCACGTCCTCTGCCGGCGCCACGTCCTTCGCGCTCGCCACGGCGCTGCCTTCCAGGTTGATAAGGGGCACGATAATCGAATGTTGAGATGTCTACAGTACGTGCATCTCGTCGAGCGTCCTTGGAAAGTCCATTGGGATGTGCTTCGAGCTGATGAGCTTTGAGATCCATCTGACTTTCGAACACCACAAATTTCTTTTCCAGGCATTCCTTATCCAAGCAGAGAAAGTGGTCTCTCTGAAAGTGATCCTCGAGAGCATCATAGTTGATGTAGTACTGATGGCGGCGATTACCAGGCTGTCGGTCACATATGTGGCATCGTTCGTGCTTGTCTCTGCAGTGAGCATACAATTCATCGTCGCCGTAGAAGCGTTCGTGACAGAATTCACATTCGGGATGTCCTTTGAAACCACTTTGGTCGATGGCACCGGGGTTATCATCTCCGTACTTTTCATGTTTGCGAAGCTGCGCAATAGTGAAAAGTTCATGCTCGTGTGTAAAGACCTTTTTATTCCGAGTACATAGGTCGCTTGAAGAAGTCAGCCACATTGTGCTCTCAAATTTCGAGACAGGGACATACCACATAGATCTTCCATGCTTGCTCTTGACGTGACGATGTAAATCCGGCCACCCCATGCAGGCAACATCGCAATCCTTATCCGGACAATTGTAACGTAACAGAATGACAGTGTCTTCATAGATCTCATCCTTCTCATATTTGATTCCGAGGTTCGGATCGGTCCGAATTATGTCGGTGCTTTTGAAGTCTTGGAAACGTTTGGCAGGATCGTCAGTGAATATCACAAACGGCGACTCGGTCTAGAGATCGGTTAGGTCAGAGATATTGAATCCAGACTCAGAATATCAACATACTCGACAATGTGCGCAAGCTTTGTTCTTGTACAATGCCCTCAATCTAAGCGCACAAATATGGCAAGTCCTATGATTACAGGGTGCCACGGACGTATGCTCAACGGTCGAAGCACAAATAAAACATACTTCGCCATCGTCAGGCTCGTCCGTGGCAGCTGCAGTCAATTGCTTGCCTGTTGTCACTTCACCCTCCTTCTTTATGGCATCTCCAGTCGGGTGATCACCGGAGGTGCCTGTTCCATCAAGATCTATGCCGGGAGGCTGGCCAGAAGTTGTATTTGTCATTGAAGCTCGCGGCGGGTTATTGTGCTCATGGCCGTGGCCATGACCTCGTCCTCCTCTCCTACCGCCTCGGCCGCGAGAGTTCCTGGGTTCTCCTCCGTCAGCGCGACCTTCGTTTCTGCGATGATCCGTTCGATTTGAGTTGTGAGAAGCTCCGCGCCCGCCGCCTCGTCGCCGTCCGCCGCGTTCGCCCCCAGTGGGATTACTATTTTGCCCCGCGGATGGATTGCCTTCCGACATCTTTGCGCAGTAGTAAATAGGATGCTAAGATACGTTGATGAAAGTTGTCGGTTTTGCCTTGAAATTGTTCGCAATAACCGAGAGGCGGGCGAGTGAGAGTGATGAGTATTCAACGGAAAAAAGGCGTGGTTTTTATTTTCTGATGTTGAGTGGGTGCAGCGGGCCTTCCTCTTTAGCTTCTCCAACTCCGCCTCAACTGAACTCGCCTTCTTTCTCCAGCTCTAGTTATGTACAATAACGAAGAGTTGTGACTAGAATGTTTTGACAGTTGGCTCAATTTGACATTGACTGCGCCTCAGCCTAACATCATGACTCACTATTACTCTTTATTCGTGGTTCCTTTGCTTAGTCATTTCTAATCTGGGACTACACTTCATTCAAAGAAGCATCTTCTTTCTCACCCAGGTCTCTATCTGCTATTAACCCTGAAACTCTCGCCATAGCCAAATATCTCTTTTCGTATTTGGTCCAGTGTCTTACTGCCGCCCGAACCAAATGCGTGGGTGCATCAGCGTGAGGAGCACTGACATGATAATCATAGGGATGCTATCAAGAGCGATGAATATGCCCTCTTTAGATGCAAGCGGACCATTAAACCCTTTACTCAATTCTGCAACACGCCAACACGACCGAATAAAGAGACAGGTAGCTGCCGTTGCTGCCACTTTTTTCCATACACACTCAAGTTAGACGACATGGGTCCTTGATTAGCTTGTGGCAGGCCACTCACTCATTATGAACTGATTCCGCCCATCTTTCTTTGCTTTCTTATGTATCTCACTATGAAGGACCAATAGGAGAACGCAGAATATTGCGGTGACCATGACCTGTGTCGCCAGTCCTGCTAGCATAAGGTCAACGCCAATCGGATTTTGGGCATAAATTGCAGCCAACGAGCCTCCAACTCCTATAAAGCAGAGACAGGCAAAGTCGCCGAGTATGAACAGTGTTGTGAATGATCTGGGCCCGATGGGAGAAAAGCATGTTGATCGGTAGTGTCTCAGAAGAGCGCTGATACCCAGGTAGAGTGATGAGGATAAGAAGGTTGGCCCAAGGGTAAGGCCAATGATATACCTGCCAAAAAGCCATAAGCAAATCACACGTCTTCTTGGTGTTCCAGGGTTCTTACATGATATATCCATCCTTGTTGCTTCGATCTTTTGCAAGTTGAACTTTGGCCACACAGCCCAAAAGTTCCAAGAGCAAGCCGCACAGCATCCCAATTGCATAACCATACCACTTTCTATACAGGATGGCCAGGATGACGTGCAGAGATAGAAGGATAGCAAACACTACTGTAAAGAGGGCATTCGCTGCGTAGGAGGGCGTGAAGGAGATTCTCCCAATGGCGTTGGGAGGTATATCGACGCTGGCCATGTTGCTCTCCATAGCAACTATAGACTTGGATAGCAAAGTTCGACGTAGAATCCGTTGCTAAGTCCATGATATATTGCAATGTACTGCAAAGGGGCTCGGACGACGTATTTATAACAGTCTTCAACGGTATGTATGTAGGAAAAATGGCAGCCTGGGATATTTGGATATACGGGTTTTATGCGGTGATTGTACGGTGTAGACTAATCTTTGATACTTGCTACTGAAGTATCCAAATGTTGCATGAATTGACTGGTTTGACGGCCTATACAAGGCTAGCCTTACCGTATTCCCGCTCAGTTTCCGCAGAACCTCCGCGAAATTCCCGTTCATATACCGACCACATCATCATCAGATGAATCATTTTCTTTGCTCTTAGAAGCAAAACAAAAATGAAACTAAAAAGAGGCCAGCCACGAACGTCCTGCAATTTCTGCTATCGTCGCAAGATCAAATGTGACCGTTCCGCTCGCGCTGTTGAAGGGCTCTCAGCTTGTACCCCGTGCGATCTCCGACGGTTGTCTTGCGATCAAGATTGTTCCGATGATATTCGCATTCGAAGTCCACGTCAGACTGTCTTACGTGGTGGTGGGAATACTGAAAGCTCTTATTCCCGTTCAATGACCGCTGAGGTTATAGAAGGGGAATCCGTTATACAAGATACAAATGCCGTGGCGGCGATAGATATCGGTGAAGATTCGTTTCTGCAAATCAGTGAAGATGCCATTTCGTTTCTGGATCAGATATTTATGACCAACGAACCACCCTTTATCTTTGAGGGAGAGATGTCGAATCCCCTCGGAGGCCACTCAATGGAGGAAGCCCAAGACCATGGTTGTGGGACTGCTTTGAGCTTGTCCGATATAGCCATCCCTTCCAGCCTCATCGAGGACTCTCTCCGTGCATACTTTGACCTCGTCGCACCTTGCCTACCAATACTAAGTGAAGATGCGTTCTGGGAGGACTACGACCAGAAGAAATGCAGCGATACACTCATCTATGCCGTCGCCTGTCGAGGAGTTATTTTCACCTCAACGGACAATAAATGGCAAAAACAACAATCCCTCGCCAACAAATTCAGAGAAACCTTTCTAGAGGGCCGAAAGACTGCAAAACAAGACATAATCCGGCTCGATGACCTCGAAGCATTGGCGCTGATGGTGAATTTCCAATACGATCATGGGACGGGCTCGCCGTTACAAGAGAGTGTAGGCAATCTCCTACTTACTCACGACTCTCTCGTTCTGATGACTATGCGATACCGAATTGATTATCACTCCTCCCATCCGTCCGATTCATCAAAACTACTCTCTCAGAGATCAAAACGACGTATTCTTCTCCTCTGGCATGTCTATGGTCTCGATGCATTCTTCAACCTAGAAACTAAGGGGATTTCACGAATACGAGATGAGAAGGAATATCTGGCCGAATGTTCATCAAATGATGAAAGCAGACGGCGTGGGTATCTTGATTCTATTTTTAAATTGGCGACGATTGCGCGCAGGATTCCAAGTTGTCTCTGCAATCCTACGGCGAGGCGGGAAGGGGTTGATATCCAGAAAATCATCTATATTTACAACTACCTCGATAGGTGGAGAGAGTGTTTTCGTCCATGGTCTTCAGATGATGATACGAGCACGAGTTCCCTTAATGTTCCCCGCCAAAACAAATCCCTAAAATTCCAACAAACAATCTGTCAACTCCTAGCCGCAAACTGCTACATAGAAATAGGCGAAATCATTCACCAATACGGCATTCGGGATCCAGACTCCCTCGAAGGGGAGAGTTTGCTTCTAAAAGTCGAGTATGAAACCCTCAACGCCACTCGTCGTATCCACAGCGTCTCTGGCTGGTTACGCCAGACTATGATCCAGGGATCCTCTGGCAAGGAATATGCGCTAGTCAATTTCTGTCCCGAGATACTGCGAGATATATGTAAAGGGGCGTGTTATTGGATTTGTTTGCGAGGGTTGTCCATGATCACCAGCTTTGAGATTTCTCATTCGACATCGTCAATGGATATTCTTCCCAATAGATCAGTTGAAAGAGCAGGTGGTTCTGTTAAGAATGACCGTCAGCTGGAATGTTATTTACAAGCAGCTCGGTCTCTCCGGAATACCGTTGCTGCTGCTGCATCGCACAGAGATACCGTCGAACTTGTTGCTGGGTTAGATGAGAAGATACGCTTGCTGGAAGATAGTATGCGAAGCACCAATTCAATATGAAGCAGTTATACTTTTGTCCCACAAGATTCCCAATAATAATCAGATTAAAACGAGAAACAAGTGTCAAACGGCAGTAATATTCATAATGCTAAATATATCAAAGACCTAGTCGTAAATACGAGACCTATCAACTCCAGGCTGAGCGAGGCGAACAGTTAAATGGATATACTTTACGAACGCTAATATGAGATCAACCATGCAATCACCCAAGAAAAGAAAGTCATGAACACATAGAAGGGGTTCGTCAATGAGTCGGGGGTAGCAATCGTGGTAGTATGAAAGAGGGGCGTGATGTGAATGTCGGGTAGGTTAGATTCAGCAGAATGACATCGGAGCAGTGGTTATCGATGTGAGCGCATCTTTGATGTGGTCCAAAAGGTTCTCATACGCATGGTAGACTGTATGGTAGGTCCTGCTTCGAGCAGTCACTCCTGAGTACTGAGATGGGTATGAGAGGGATATAGAGCTGAGAATAAAGGATACAAGACTATTCTCCAGGATCGTAGAGGTTCTGATTCAATATCTTGGTCATGGTAAACATATGGACCCGATCTTGTTTGAAAACAAGCCGCATGCGATCATCGCATCGTATTTGGCGGCGGTCTGATGGGTCTTGAAGATCGTTGGCTTTGATGTACTCCCAGACTCTTTTCACTGTTTGTGGGCGCGAGAGCTTCTTGGTGTCAGTAGAATCCAGCATATAATATCTGACTTGTGAACTCACCGCCACTTCACCGTCTAAAAGCTCCGAAAGGGCTGGAGATAGATTGAGAGGTTTCTGCTCCATCAGTAAAAACTATTGCGCCAGCTCAGTCTGAGGTACACTCACATGAAATCCACCAGAGCGATTGACTTCTTTCTTTGCACCTGTCTCAGAGGTAGATTCTAAATCCGAGTCATCTTCTGCTCTGATCTTCTTTGAGGTCTTGGCTTTTGATTTCTTCTTAGACGGCGCAACCTTGCGCGTAGCACTACCTCGTGTCGGGCGAGCACGTTTATTTTCCTCTGCCTGTAGCTTCGCAGCGAACTCCGCATCCGCATCCACATCATGATCAGGGCGTCGCTTCTTGGGCTCAGTTCCGTCTGACGCTAGACTTTCTGCCTCGCGTTTTCTCTGCGGCGATGACGATGCGGTTGGAGGGGAATGGCTAGTTTCTTGGGCGGGGGAGCCATTGCCATGGCCATTAGCGGTCTCTGTTGATGGGACAACGTCTTCCGGTGGTGTCGAGGGCTCGTCTTTTTTGTTCATGAATAAGTCAAATCGCTCCATAATGAGCTCCTTGACAGGAGCCTGCTTTATGTTAGCAACCTCACATGGTCCAATGGTGAGTCAATCTGAACCTTGTAGTCATTGAGGTCATAGTCGACAGTGGCTTGAAGGCCCTGTCGAATTCGTTTGGAGGAGATGGTATTTATGTCGCTCGCAGCGAGAATCGAATCAATCACTTTCGTGAAAGAAGCGCGCTGCTCTGAAGAGACTGTATATACAGGTTGGTCAGTTCTGTTCGTCTGCCCGCAGTAATCCTGGTTTCACTTACGCGACATGTTGAGCGCCAACAACACGCGTAGACGTAGCAATCCCAAATGAAATCCAAGCAAAATATCCTCAATTGAAGTCGCAGCGACCCGGCATTGGTCAAGAGGTAAGAGTTTGAAGTGCTTGCGAAAGAATGGCAGGAGGTTACGTATTCTTATGTTGATGTAGATGAGAGCCTGGCGCTTAAGACGACGGGTGGGGCATGAGAGAGGTTAAAAGGATGAGCTCAAACAGCGACAAAGGTAATGTCCCAGTGGATAGACTAGCAATTTGTAGAAGATGAAAGAGACGGTATATTTCAAGGAGGCGAAGATATGAGATACGGATCTGGGGAACTTTTCTGGTGGAGAGATTCCAAAAGAGAAATGAGCTGCAGGAGAGAAGCTCACTGAAATCGCTGTTGATTGGGTGGAATAGCCGCAGCCGCGGAAGACGAACTATGGGCACGTGACCTAGTCGCCATAAAAGCATCAGGCATTCCACAACCAGCCTCAATATTCGAGTATTTATTCGCTGTGAGTGGAGTATAATGTAGATATAATCTCTTAGCTATGATATAAGTTTATCAAATTATTTGGTATTAGTAACTAGGGCGCTGTGTATTGACTAAGAGTGAGAGTATGGTGTTTGTCTGGTTTGTCCCCGTCTCGCACGGATGACTAAGCAGCACACACAGAAAGCATCGGCTGGACAAGACCAAAGATCCAGTCAAAAGAGGTCGACGAACAATCCTGCTGAGTGCGCAACTCGCTACAACGAGCAACTGGGCCCTTTTCAAACTGATACTTTATTTTCAGTCTGCCCAATATGGCTCCCAGCTTCGACAACCTCTCCGAGGACGAGTTCGACGTGGAGGACATCAACTTCGATGGTAAAAAATAAAATTTCGCCGGCTGGCTTACCCCTCCGCAACGAGCTAACAGAATGAATAGATCTCCACGAACAGTTCGAAGTCCGACTCGAGTCAGGATACGATGCCTTTGTGGTTCTCGATGGTCTTCCGATTGTGCCAGGTGAGCAGCAATTCCGTCCTTACGAAGGAGGTGGAAATATAGCCGTTGAATACGGCTTGATGAGTCGACGTGGCGATGAAGGGAAATTATTGTTGGTGTTAAGAATCGCACTAACGACGATGACTACACAGAGGATAACAAGGATAAACTCGTCAAATATGTTTCAAAAAAACTCTCTGCTGTTGGCCGCGTGATCGACTTTTTTATGCCCATGAATGAAGAGAAGAAGTCTGAAGGGTAAGACTGAAAATCCAGCAAATATGAAGGAGACAGCTCTGATTATCGCAGTTACGCCTTTGTGGAATACGAGACCCCGGAACAAGCATCAGCTGCCGTTAAACAACTGCACGGCGTTGCTCTTGATAAAAAACATACCCTTCTAGTCAACAAGCTTACCGATATTGAGCGCTATGGCCGCGAAGGACGCATCGATGAGGAATACACCCCACCCGAAATCCCTCCTTTCCAAGAGAAAGAACACTTGCGATCATGGCTCGGTGATCCTAACGCTCGAGATCAGTTTGCCCTTTTCCGTGGTGACAAAGTCGGCGTGTTCTGGAACATGAAGAAGGACGAACCAGAGAATGTTGTTGATCGCCCACACTGGACACAGCTTTTCGTGCAATGGTCGCCGCTTGGAACGTACTTGGCTTCGATGCATCCTCAGGGTGTCCAACTTTGGGGTGGATCTTCATTCTCCAAGCAAAAGCAACTTCCTCATCCTTTTGTTCAGCTCATCGAATACTCCCCTAATGAAAAGTACATTACAACCTGGTCAGCGCGTCCTATTCAGGTCGAAGAGGGACAACCGGGTCCTCTAACTATTGACGAAGATGGAAAGCACATAATCATCTGGGATATCGAAACAGCGAAACCCTTGCGATCTTTCGTAGCACATGACCTTGCTGGCCCCGAAGGCGATGCAGCCGCACCTAAGAAGAAAATTCAATGGCCCGCATTCAAATGGTCTGCAGATGAGAATTACGTTGCTCGAATGCTGCCAGGACAGTCGATCTCTATCTACGAGTTGCCGCGCATGAACTTGCTGGACAAGACCTCTGTCAAGATCGATGGCATTGTGGACTTTGAATGGGCACCTGCTACTGTGATCCGTGAGGGTGTCAAACGCTACGAACAATTACTTTCTTACTGGACTCCTGAAATTGGCAGCAACCCAGCCAAGGTGGGATTGATGAGTGTTCCATCAAAGGAAATTGTTCGTACGCGAAATTTGTTCTTGGTTTCAGATGTCAAGCTTCACGTAAGTTGATTCCTCTCAGTTAGTCGTCATAATTCTAATTATTATCCAGTGGCAATCGCAAGCGGCCTTCCTCTGCGTCAAGGTCGACCGACACAGCAAGAGCAAGAAGAGTATGGCTACAAACTTGGAGATTTTCCGTATCAAAGAAAAGGGTGTTCCAGTCGAAGTTGTGGACAGCTTGAAGGATACAGTGATCAACTTTGCCTGGGAACCCAAGGGTGACCGATTCGTTTTGATTACATCAGGTGAGGCGGTCGCAGGAGCAGCAACAGCCCCTAAGACAGCAGTATCTTTCTTTGCACCTGAGAAGGTCAAGGGTCCCGGTATTGGAAACTTCCGACTTGTGCGAACGATAGAGCGAAAGACCAGCAACGGTATCTACTGGTCACCCAAGGGACGATTTGTGGTCGTTGCCACTGTCCACTCGCAGTCAAGCTTCGATCTCGATTTCTGGGATATGGATTTTGAAGGCGAAAAGCTAGAGGCCGAGAAGGACTTGAATGCCAACGTTATGCTATTGAAGACTGCAGAGCACTACGGCGTCACAGACATTGACTGGGATCCCACGGGCCGATACGTCGTCAGCAGCGCCAGTGTATGGACTCATTCTATGGAAAACGGCTGGAACATCCACACTTTCTACGGCGAGACGCTAGCCGAACACCCCACAGAGAAATTCAAGCAATTCCTCTGGCGACCACGACCACCCACCCTATTGAGCAAGGAAGAGCAGAAACAAGTCCGCAAGAATCTGCGTGAATACTCCAAGGAATTCGACGAGGAAGACAAGTACGCCGTCGACATTGCTAATACCGCTGTCGTCGAGAAACGCAAGCGTGTCCTTAATGAATGGTTGGCTTGGTCTCGGAGGGAGAAGGAACTTCTCACCGAAGAAAAGGAAGAGCTCGGTTTGCCGCAAGATGAAGATGTCTTTGTCGATACACCCAAGACAGTTGCCAGGGCTGAGGGAGAGGCAGCAGATACGGTTGTTGAGGAGATTGTGGAAGAGATTATTGAAGAGACGGAGGAAATTATTGGATAGACGCCCGTTCATCATTTTCTCTTTTCTACTTGCATACCTTTTTCTTTCTTTTTTTTGTTATAAAATCGTTCGGTACCGGGGAAACGTTTTCTTTTTGCTTTTCTTGCTTGCTTTTATCCAATCTCATAATCGATTCAATACCTCTCAATCGATCGGAAAAAAAAAACAAAACATTGAATGTTCATACATGTCAAGACATGCAAAACGGAGGGGAATGATGATACAGGAATTACTTTATGATGTATATTCATGATTTGATGTGACGTGACGAGATGAAGATGAGAAGAGAGGAGTAAGGTAGATAACTCGATTCAACACATCCAAGTTATTCTGACCTCTACCTAAGTAGTTACCTGGATATCGTAAATGTAACAGGAAGTCGTAACCGTTTTTTGTTTGAGTACTAAACGCCAATGGATAATTCTTGAACACGGTAGTTACTACCAATGTATATAGATAGTGATCTTACACTGGGTTATTCAGATGCATCATACATATCTACATAAATGAAAGTTATCTAGGAATAATCATAAGAATGGCGCTGGGCATATATATATTGATGAAGTTGAAAGGAACTAAATCATTCTTGCTGAAAGATATTTACAGCATCTACTGACAAACATAGCAAGCAATGACAAGAATAACAAGATATATAAAACGTTCATGGAGCACTCTAATAAAGGGGGTCCTACTTATAGCTGAATAGCCGAGGCAAGCACCGATATCATGAATAGCTTCATGGAGCTTCGGTGAGGGTCTAGGCCTGAACGATCTAACCATTGTGTTAGCCCATAACATAATTAACTCTATGAAAATATAAGATAGGAAAGTATTAGCAGAGAAGAATATTGAGTTAGTGCGAAGTTGGCTAGGATAGCTATATAGAGAAAAATGACATTAAACCTTTCCTGCTTTCTGCGACAAGCATCAGCCACCTTTTTCGAAACTTCTGTATGTTTCTGCATGTCGGTGTAACTACCTGACAGGATCTTGGTTACTAATCATCTGTTTGGACACGTTGGATTCAAAGGATTGCCCAACATACTATTTCAATGAATGGCGAGTATTTACTGGCACCCTCTTAGGCTGGCCCTTTGCTAAATCGGTGCAATTTAAGCGAATCTGCCTCATTCAAGACCCGCAAATGCTCCGCCGCCCTGACAACAATTAGACAAATCGAAGCGATTGGTAAAAGAGCTTGACTTGATATGTTTCCTTTCAGCCCCGGCTGATTCACAGGATCGAAATTTCTGAGATTATCGAAGGAAATGCGACGCAGTTAACACAAAAAGGTTTAGCTTACCCTATCGACGGCTTAATCAAAACAAGCTATGGAACTAAAAGCTGCCTTGTGGTGTCAGAATCGGTATTTCCTCGCCTTTCTGGAAGCTATGTTGGTGCTATATAGGTAGACGGCAGGGTAGGGGGTTTATAGTCGGTCGTCCCCGTTTTTGATATTCCCAGCTGGTCAGCTTGACCACAGTTTGCTAAATCAACTATGCTCTCCAGAACGATTTTTAGGGCCTTGATAGCCCTAGAGGCTGCTGCAACTCTTGCCCTTGCACAAACCAACATCACTGCCGATGTCTGTGCAGACCCCTCTGCTTTCACCAGCTGTACAACGCAAGCCCTTGCGACGAGCAAGGGATGCACGGATATGTGCAATGGAAGTAAGATGTGTGTTCTGGGCTGTGGATGCGCCATGTACCAGTCCTACATCAACTGCGTAGCTGAGTCATGCTGGAACCAAGTACGTCAACTGCGTTCTTGCCTTCATCGATTTCATTTGACCGTGTTGTATTGTAGGCATACTCCTGCGAATACGATAAATTGGTAGCAGCTTACTTCTCTCAATGTTCCACGGCTGCTGAACCGATCCCATTCTGGCCGGCACCAGATAGTGCCCCCGGTGGCTGCTCGTGCAATCTCGGCAAGGTGCTGCAATCGGTCACCAAGGCGCAGCAGGAGTACAACACGTGCATCACGAATGACACCTCGACGTCAGTGATTCAGCAGGGGAATCAGAACACGGCGTGTGGATGCTGCGAGGTTAGTGCCGGGTTGTCTGCGTATGTACCTTTGCTGCCCGCTTTTTTGCTATCAATATACTGAATCAGTGACTACCTAGAATGTACGAAACCTGCCCGGATACGATTCCCGCCGACATGGGCGCAGACATCTGGCTGCAAGCTTCCACCATCTATGGCACCGTAATCCACTGGGACAAATGTGGGAGTGTGCTTGACCAATACAACTGCCACAATCTAGGGTTTGCGCCTCCGTCGTCGAATTCCAGCACGTTTTATAAGCCAGCCAACCTCCCTCCGAATGGGACCCTGACACTGTATAATACCGGGCCAGCGAATGCGGTTACAGCGCCGCCTAGCGGGTCAGTGTTCACTTGGTCGCAGTCCAGCGTGATGTACACTGTAACTGCGTCGCCATGGAAGAATGGTCAAATCATGGTGACTAGTACTAGCATCGCTACGACTAAGACTAGCAGCACTGTGACTGGGACTAGCAGCACTGTGCCTCCTGGAGCTACTAGTGCTGCCACTGGGACTGCGAAGACTGGAGCAGCCATGTCGATGAAGGAGTTGAGTCTCGTAGGCCCGGCTGCTTGGTTACAAGTGATAGGGGTACTTATGTTGGTTTAGAAGATGGCCAGCGCAAACGCCGGATTATGATACCTATAATAGCCGTGTTGTATACCCTGATATAATCATTCGATTTATTATTACCAGGGCTCCCAGTACTTCAACAAAATGCTCAATGAAGCTTCTTAGTATACTGACTGATTTAAAAGAGGTATGGACATATTAAATTGCATTATGAGTATAGAAGATAGTACTCTATCCATGTTTTTGGCGATGTGAATTTGAGTATCGATTATAATTTGATACCCATATCTAATCATATAGTGTTATCTTAGTCTTTGCTAACTATCTAGTGCATTGTAACAATAGTATAGAATATTCTTTTATTATAACGAACAAAAGGTCTCAGCATCCAAGTCAGGTACTTAGAATTAGGAGACGAAAAGCACCTCGGGATAATAATCTATCTTGATATTGATACCTAGGATGCTCTACAATTCCATAAATTAAACTAATCAAATCTGAGATCAGTATAAATATGGGGAGACGCTCTTTTTGTTATAGCTAGGGCCGTCTTTGAACATGTATTTCTCGGTGCTGGACGGTATTCTTTTAAATTCTCACTGGGTGATCTTTCTCTGTGCAAAGACTGTGGCGACAAGAGCATTACTGTCAATGCTGTTGCATGTTTCAAGCATCATTACATTCCAGGCGGCAAGGATCTCACTGGCTTTTGGTTATAGTACTGACCTTATCCATCTATAATTCTCGAACTCAAGTAGTTCTATAGAGGAATTTATTCTTCTACCCACCTGGGCAGTGTGTTGCCGTGTTGAATTTATCAAAAGCTACTAATCATAGGCCATTTACTGGTTATGTCTTATATATAATGAAGAAGCTAAAAGGAACTAGATTATGCTTGACGAAGGATGTTTGCAGCATCTACCGACAAGGTACGCAGATGCAATCGCAGGTCAGCCTCGATATGCTCCAATACAGAGCTAGGGAACATAAATGTGAACATATTAGAGCTCCCATCAGTTGTTGATGCCTTGGGTTCGTCATCCTGTCTTCCTTTGACGCTTACCTTGTGTGTTTTGAATCTTTCTGACAGAATGTTTATCAAGCGTTGGATTCGATGGAGTCGGCCAATGATCTGTTGCGATGCCATACAGATTTGATCCTCATCAAATCCACCACTATGAGTATCGACGACGTTGGGAGGATTTTGGTTCGTCTCAATCTGGTATTCGGTATTATTTCCAGGCTGGGTAGTTCCATCTTCCTGCTGCACTAGGGCCGTATAACAGCTCAGAATCTTCAAAAGAATAATGGACAAAATAATCAAAAGATACATGTCCTGCGAGCATTGACATGTTAATATATCGCTGATGGACTGGATTGTTTGCTCATTGTCGGTTATTGTTGACTGAATCGTCATCTATTTCGAGGAAAGTTCACGGCTCGACCTCATACATCCACCACAAGACTCGCGAGCTGAAGACTGTTGTTTGAGAAGCCCAAGAGCACGCACAAGAAAGCAACATGTTGGGCCAGCGCCGGGTTCTTCGACAGTAGAGGAATGGTTTTCTGCCGGTTCTGGCACAGGGCAGGATGCTTCTGATTGTTGAAGCGCAGTGGTCACATCGTCGCATAAGTATGGGTTGACCATGTCAGCAGACATTGATAACAAACTTGAAGGGCTGGGAAGATCATCGAATCCCCAGTTAAGAGCGTTTAGTAATAGAATAGATGACGTTGCTGGATCTACCAACGAGGTGGAACAATCTGTATACTCTGTGATCGACGGCATGGGAGACATTTGTGCGACATTATCAGGCAGCACCAACGTGTCCGATCCAGAAACGACGTCCATGGGACTTGATGAGATTGAATTGCTCCTCTGGCGGGTTCTTTGCTTCCGCCCTGAGCGTTTGGTTACAGCGTACTGGCAAGTGATGCCTCTTTTCATACAGCGGAAGCATTCTGGCTTTTCCTTGCTGCACTTGATCTTGGAAGCAGAACAGGTGTTGCAACTGACCCATTGTTTCTGACTTTGAGTTGAATTGGCTTCTGGTGCTCCAGCTGGTGACACAAGCGTAGACGGTTGGGAAGCCATGATGATTCCGTATATACAAGCCCGTGTATGAAGATAGTATCGAGCTGAATAGAAAATGAAAACCCAGACAGGAAGCTTTGAAATGTCCCTCCGCATAACACATACTGAGAAGTCCCATGAGACTGTAATGTAGATAATGCTGATTACTGTTGGTTGGCCGGTTTCTGTGTTGGTTTTTCGTTCAAATGTTAGATAGTTACGTTGTAGTCAGTTAATTAGCCTGTACGTTGGTTAGTTATTCACCTGTTAGTTATGCCTATGCTAGCTACGTTAGTTACTGGCATATAGTTAGTTGATAAATCAATCGGTTAGGTACCGATGCAAAGCAGGTGTTGGTTGTTGGTGCAATTTACTCCGAGTCGACAGCGTAACAGCTCGTACATTGATCTACCCCATGGGCATGGCATCAAAATCGACAATATATGCAGTAATTGCGTACCTAGGTATTGAACTAAATATAATTTATATGCCGTGTTCGGTGAATTTTGAGATTTTACAAGAGGAAAGTGTCGGGGCGAGATTTCATTCCATTCTCCCAAAGGGGAATCCCCTTAATGGAGCTTTTTGGTAAGTAATTTCTGCGCTATTCAGCGCCTCATATTATTTCCAACGTTAAGTATAATACGACAAGCGAACGGTCCATCCACTGGAAATTCTTCCAGTCCTGGTTAATCTTCGTCCTGTTGAGTCCGTGTCACCCACGAGGGAGATATGCCTAATATTTTGAACCCAGATTGCCTTTGTCTACCATGACAGATTTAACCCAGCTGGAAATTCATGCGAGAGAGCTTTTGACGTTCCTCAACTACCTCTCAGTATATCATCTCCTTCGGGGCAATTAGGGCTACCAGATAATGCACGAGAATCAGCACTGGCAACTATCGCCAAACTTCAGATGATGTTGTCGAGCCCATCTGATTTTGTGCAGCAGATGGCTACTCAGGTATTCACACCTCTCTTCTCCCGATAGAGCTGCAGAATACACTCGCTAACCTTGCAACTCATACTGCGAGTATATATAGACTCAAATTCTTGCTTGCATGCAGTCGATGGGAGACTCAAGTTCTGGCCTACATCCCTCAGGACGGCAGTGCCTTGGTGAAAGACATATCGGATCTTATAAACGTTCCTGAAAGTCAGCTGCGTCGCAATATACGTATGGCTACAATCACCGGGTTTTTGAAAGAGCCTCAGCCAGGCTACGTAGCCCACAGCGAATTGTCGGCATCTTTTGCATCTAAACAGTCGTACGTAGATGCTATGATGTTCCTAGCTAATACAATGGCTCCAGCTGCCCTGGGTACAGTAACAGCCAGTCAGAAAAGCTCGAAACAGGCTGAGCACACTGGCAAAAACGAGTTGGCTATGTACATATTCGGTGTTCATCGGAACGCATCTCAAGTGCTCCGAAGGCGTAAAGAAGCAAGCTTCAGCGCCTCAATGATCTGAAGTTCCTATGTTCTACAAGGGAATTAGGGTTCAAATCAAGCAGTTCTGATCAGATATCAATTTCTATATACGTAACGAAATGGATTGCAACGACATGACGTGAGCACTTTCAGGGTTAGGGCTCCTCTCTTTTACCTCCTGTTCGTAGGAACCGCCCTCCCCTCGATGGCCTGTAGAATATGCATCATGTAAACACAGGTATAAGAAAACTTTTCCACTGCTATGATATGGGCTGGGTATCTCGAGTTTATTAATCTGACTTAAATGGAAAACAAGACTAATCACATCCCTGAAGTCTCATCAAATTCGTGTCCTTGCATACTTAATTTCAATGTTTTCTGCAAGTCTTCATCGTCTTTATCTTCTATCGATGTGGCACGGCCCTTGCCTTTATTCTGATGGTACAGTTCTAAGAGGCTTTGCTTCTTGACGTATTCCATCACAATCTCTTCTTCCGCCCGTTCTTGTGTCGTTTTCCCCCAACGCTGTCCGTGCTGTTGCGCCACGAACTCACTTTGCATGGTGGGATTATATGAAGGAGGTTGCTGACCTGATGATTCACCAGCTGCTCCCTTCTCCGCCACGTCCTCGGATCTTCTCGCTAGCAGCTCATCATCGTCTTCGTCCTCGTCATCGAGACTTCTATCCGACTGCCATGCACTACTGCCACTGCTACTCTGTCTCTGTTCCCTCAGACTTTTAGCCATAGCTCGCTTGAGCTGTCTCTCAAATTCCAATTCTTCGGTTGCTTGTCGTTGAGCTTCTGTTTCGCTGGCCGCTATCGCCTGGCGCAAATTCTCCTGCTCTGCCTGATGATCTGCAGTTTCATGTCGTCGGTGCTGGAGCTGGAGGACATTCTCCTCAATCGCCGGCTCCATACTGGAATCCTCTTCGGCGTCTCTACATGACGTCTCCTGGACTGATACTGGGATGATTTCGTTAATTTCGACCTGTTCTAGAGATTCTTCGGAAGACTGTGAACCACACATAGCGAGCATGGTACTCTCGGGAGCACCCTCACTAGTGGACTGAGCGGAACCTGCTGTATGTCTGTAGTTTTGGGGGGCCCCCGTGTCCTCTGTGTTCTTCTTTCGCTGTGCTTCTAAAACATCTTGCACCATCTCGTCAGGAGTGCCTTTTATCTTCAGATACTTCTGGATCAACTTCCACCGGACGATGACGTCTTGTTTTTCGGCATCGGAGCTCTGCAGCCACTCCTCGTACCCTTGAGCTACCCTAGAGGCCACTATGTAGTTCTGCACATTGCTGCCGAATAACCTCTGCACCTCTTTGTGTACCCCCTTCATCGTATGGCCAAGAATACCAAAGAGAGCTGCGCTTGGCTTCGCTACAAATCCTCCAATCCCTTTACCGATTCCTTTTAAAAAGCCGCTCGTACCCTCTTTCTGGGCTCCTTTCCAGGGCTGAGTAAACAGGCCAGTGACGCCATCGTACCAACCAAAGCCAAACTCTCTTCCTGCGGCCATGGCGCCGGACTTGAAATCAACAACTTTTTCTTGGGGGCGAACGGTATCGTCTCCCCAAAGCTTAGGGGCATTGTGAAACCCTTTGGTAAAGCTCACTGAGATTTCCATAGGTGCCTGCACCGCTGCTTTTATGATACGCCCGAGGCCTTTGCTCGTGTGCACGCCAGTCTGGCGCAGCATGTCATGGTTCTTATTGGTGCTAGATTTATTCCGGTTGCGAACTTGACTTCGGCTTGCGTAATCATATTTGGGACCCGACTTGCCATGCAATGCATCGGACATAGAGCTTGATTTTGTATTCGAAGTGGAAGATGACAGACGGGAGAGGCTGGGAGAGCTCTGGACATGAGCAAGAGATTCTTGCACATTCGAGCTCGTCTCAATGTTTTCTGGCGAAGTTGGCACAGTTGATCTTTCCCCAGCATCTGACATCTCGGCTTTCCTAGCGTTTGCCGACACTGATAACTGGGACTGCTGTCGACTGGACCCAACCGCCATGTGCAAAGGTTTCAACGTCTCCGAGGGAAACTCAGCTACCCCCATCGCCATACCGCTAAAAGCCCTAATAACTGCCGTAGCACCTCCGGATATTGGATCCCAAGGGCCTTCGTCTGTGAGATATTCTTGTGGTCTAAAGAGCTTCAAGTCGTGGAAATCCAAAAGCTTTGCATTCGCCAAAGTACAGGCGGCAAAAGCGCTAAGCCTGACCTGGGTGCGCTTGACGCGCCACGTAGCGGGTCGAGATGGTGCGAGGGTGCAACGAAGTCGATCGACCTCGAGGTGTTGATGGAAAGACTGGGCACCCATGTCACTTCCTCGCTCCGCCGCGATTTTGCTTGCGAGTTCTTTGGCGCGTTCCAAGCTTGAGGGTTTCAGACAGAAGTTGATTGCATCGGCTAGTTTGTCCGCTGTGAGTTGTCTCTGAGGAATTGGATCAGGGCCGGCGCCTGCTCGCGCCACCATGGTGCCCCAGAAAAGTTGGTCTCCAAAGAAGGGAACGACTACAGTTGGCCGGCCCGCGGTAATGCCTGCTGCTGTGGTTCCTGCTCCACCATGGTGAACAACACACGAGACGTGCTTAAAAAGCCAGTCATGTGGCACGTTATCTAGCATAAAGACGCCGTCAGGGATATTAAGTTTGTCAGCACCCATGCCTCCCCAGCCTTGAGAAAGAAGAACACGCTGGCCAGTTTTCCTCACGGCCTCGAAAATGAGCTCCATCATCGCATTAGGGTCGTCCAAAACGATGCTCCCGAATCCTATATAGACGGGGGGAGGACCAGCATCGAGGAATGCCTGGAAGTCAGGGGTAGGGGTGTAATTAGAGGCCAAGTTGAGAAAGTAGTACCCAGAGACAGATATGTGACGGGCCCAGTCTTGTGGTTTAGGTATCAGGGCTGGAGACCAGCAGTAGGTGTGAGGGACTTTGAGACGGTGGAGCATCCCAGGGGCCCAGATCAGACTCACGGGATCCAAATTGAGACACTTTGCGCGAAATCGGTTGATAATGTCACCTAGGCCTTGCCATGACAGGACTTCAATCATAACATAACTTATGTAATTGGTAAGTTGAGGGTCGGCATTGGATGATTGGATGTTAGCCAGGGGATGGGGAAAGGCCTGGGTGGGGGAATATGGCATAGTGAACATGATATGGAGAGGGATGCCCAGCTTCTCTGCGCAATGAATATGGGCAAAGCTTGGAGGGTTAGCAATAATGCAGTCGGCGACGAAGGGTCTTGATGTAAGCTTGGAGCTAGAATCGTGCTCAGGGGATGGCTCAGAAAGGTCATCCTCGGTAGCACCAAGACCCATTCCATCACCGGCTTCGTAACATGATCGCCAGCAGCCTTGAATGTATTCGGCAACATCTCTCCTTCGCTGACCGACATCTCCACCTAGTAGGCTGCGAAAACCCGGCATCAGACTGGGATTTTTTACCATGAAGGCCATTAACTGGGAGGGATCGCCGCCGATGCTGAAGAATTCCAGGCCATTTTCCTGCACAAAGTCCTTGAAGTTGGGATGAGTCGCCAGACGTACGCGATGGCCGTAGGTATCTTTTAAGACTTTTCCCAAGGCAACGAAAGGTTGCACGTCTCCGCGTGAGCCCACGATCTGGATGACGATGTTCAACTGTGGTGGTGGAACTCCCTCCTCGCCTCTCAGGGAAGCAGGAATATAGGGGGAAGGAGGCGGACGACTCTCCTGACCACTCTGGACCTGTTCACGTAAAGCAGGGGTAAAGATCTGGGACAGACGGCGGTTGACCTGATTGATGCGGATGTTGACACGGCCGTCGTCAGTGACACGGGCACTGGTGTCCAAACCGTTTTCTTCGTTGTGGATCTCGCCATAGATCTCGCCGTAAGCAGGAGGTGGTATGTAGTCCTCGGTCGGATCTGCACTTATGAGATCAATCTTTTGCAGGGAGGTCTCCTGTCTCGTGTTGTTCTGGGCGGCAGCAGCGGCTTGTGCTTGCTGAAGGATGGATTGCTGCACGGCAGTCTCCTCTTCTGAAGAAGATTGGGTGGTCATAATGCAATGAGGTTTATATCGCTCAGTCACGACATCAGTTTTATGTCGTGGAAGAGCGAGTGAGTGGAATCCCTAAGCGAGAAAACCGAGCTGGTTTTATGTAGCTATCCTAAAGTCAAGGCAGCAACTTTCTACCCTTTTGGTGGTGGGATTTGTCTCAACTCTCTGGGGTATAAGCCAAGCTATCAATGAATAAGTATGCATCTTAGTCTCTCTTCCACATACGACTCTCAAGGAAATAGATCTGCCTAGTTTCGGCGGCTTATTCGAAAATTCCCTTTTCAGTATAGGGTTAGGGCTTGAAGATTCATCCCTAACCCTGTACATGGATATTCGCAGCACTTGAAATAATGGTTAACTGCATAGAAGTCGAGACCCATATTTACACATACTGACCATTTATTATGCTCAAATTCGCCTCTAAAATGATCAAAGGCCTCATACCCCAGAAAAAAATGATAAGCCGACCAAGTAAACGTCAATGATTGGATTGTCGTCGTTGTAGATAAGACTAGCAAGGATGATATCAATCAGCACATTACGTGGAAGATACATTTGTCTTTCCCCCTCTTTTCTGTGTTTTCATCTTCTTCTGACTGCTCGTCTGATCCTTTCACAGAGAACTGCGTTCACATATCGAATATCATATGGATTGACTATGTACTGACAGCACAGAATCAGAGTGGGGTTATATAACTTCCCAATTATGAACATCTGTTACTGAAACCAGCAAGAAGACAAGGTTGTGGGAGAAAAAAAAAGAACTGATTATGAAAAACTGGGAGCCTTTTAAGCAGAAAATCAGACGCCGATACGCCGCTGACAGCGGAGGGTATTCCAAGTGAAACAACAAACACCAAATGAGAAAGAAAACAAGAAAGCGTCGTCCCAAGACGTCCGAGACTTGCGTCCGCTTTAACCATATTGCGGCTATATCTATTAGGATTGGGGGATGAAAGGCGAGGATCTCGTCGGATACCGAGATATCGATGTGTACCAGTTCAGTTCCAAAGAAGATGTACAACGCAGAAAGAGCCGATTTCCCGGCTTCGAGGGGACATAATGGTACTAATTGGTCTTTCCACCTGGGACTTCCTTTGGTCGATCTTGGGTCGGCACTCGCTCAGGCTGAGGGTCAGCGGCGGTATGTTTCGCTTTCTGCTCTTCGACAGCTGGAATAACAGCATTCGCGACGCCACCTTTGCTCTGTCAGCTTCGGATATCCAAGATATTCCACGCGCAAATATTCTCTTTCATCTTGACCAAGTGAGAGGGGCGGGTTTACCTCGACCAGTAAACTGAACATTCTCCTCCGACCGTTTGGGCGGTTTTTCAACATCCTGATAATCGCGCGCTAGCTCCGGACGGTCCTTGTCGTTGTGCGCCATGTTGCCTGTTCCTCCTCGACCGGTTGTGAAGAAGTCTTGTTTGAGGGTGGGGGTGACGAGGTCAGCTGCTGTGGTTGCTTTACCGTCGGCGTGGATGTTTCCTGGATAAATGAAATAAGTATGTCAGCAATCAGGGAAAGCGATATTCCTATACACTGCAGAATAACAGGTGCCAATAGCAAGAGCAGCGCTGCATGGGTCGGTGTAGTGGACGTACCAGCACCTCCCCGGCCGTGCGACACGGCGCGACCTGATGACATCGTTGACAAAAAGTGCAATATTGTGTACCAGTTCAAACAGAACAGCACTTATATATCGATAAAGTTGTGATTATTTCTTGTGTGTACAGGTGAAAGATGAGTGAATGTACAAAGAAGAAATAACAAGAAGTGGGAAGTTCAACAAGGGTCAACAGCTAAGGTAGGTGTGACTCTCAAGCCTAGGCAATTACGTACGAACAATAAGAATTTTTCTACTGGGGCCACTGCGAAAAGTCTCTCGCCGCAATTGCTTTGATTTGCCCTGAATGACTATACAGGATGGACAGGGGCTGCTTACGTGCTATGTTGTCATAGTAAAATATTTATTCAGTTGGGCCAATTATGGATTGTAGTGATATGGGCGTGCTGACTGAGTGGCAGACAGTGCCCATTGCCCCTCCATGTACCCTAACCCTGGTGTAATATTATGAGCTCAATATTCTAGCCAATACCCGTCACAACGCCACACCGCCTCCGCGGTGTGGGTTGGCTCCAGCTCAACGGAACCAATTTTTACATACATACAAATTGACCCAATTTGAACTTCAAAATCACCACCAAAATGGCATCGGATTCGTACAAAAACCAGGAAATTGCTATAAAAATAGCATCGCAGGCAGCTAGGAGTCGATTACAATTGTTGAGTGTATAAACGTACTTGGAAAGGTAATTCCTCCGTCTATCATACTCGCTGGCAAGGCCCATATGGAAGTGTGGTACCGCGACCTAGAGGATGATTCCGTTGTTGCAGTATCCCCAGATGGATATATATCTGACGAGCTTGCTACCGAATGGCTCATACATTTTGACACATCTACAGAAGAGAAAGAGGATATGAAATATCGACTTCTTCTTATGGATAATTGTGGCGCTCATTTTGACCTGGCAATTCCTCGACTATTGTCAACGCCATCGGATTATATGTATTCGTTTCCACCCCCATACAACTCATACCCTACAGCCATTGTATGGTGTGCCTTTTCAACGACATAAGCATTTCCATGGGAAAGCGGTGAACCGTCAGACGCGCCTTGGAGACGAATCTGACCGATAAAAGCGACTTTCTACATGGACATCATAACGTGCACCTACAGGTCTTTACACAGCGTACAATCAAGGCAGGCTTTCGGAACGCAGGCACCTATACTTACGATCCAGAGATTGTGCTTAGGCCACTGCAAGCAAAGATAGATTCATGTGACAGTCCTATATTACAAATTTTTGACGGAGAGGAGCAGAACATTCCAAGTTCACCAATAATCGGATTTCGCTCAACACCAAGAGACACCCAAGGTTTTGAGAAAAGTGTCGAAAGATTACGACAGGATATTGGCGCTATATCGCAATACCTTCGTCAATAGGATTGCTGATGCCGGGCTTCCTAAATCTCACCAAAGTGATCTTTATGAACACCATATAGAGCTTCTTACAGAAGTCAATCGGCGCCGCAGCCGTAAGAAAACTAAGCGGCAGGTGCAGGTTGGAGGAGTTCTCACTATAATGGATGCTAATCGGGCTACTGAGAATCGTAAGCTTCACGAGATGGAGAAAAATAAGACGAAGATGGAACGGGAGCGCGAAGAAGCGAGAGAAAGAGAAGCTCGAGAAAAGGTACAACAACAAAGCTTACGGGCAAATGACGAGCCTATAGGTGAAAACGTCGTATCTGATTTACCCGACTAGGCACTTTTTCTTATAGATATAGAGGGGGGAAGCGCATTTGTGAGGCTATTCCGATATGTCAATTTGTATGTAAAATTCAATTCCGTTGAGCCGGTGCTGACCCACACCGCCAAGGCGGTGTGGATAAGACGCTACAACGGGTAATTAATTGTCGCAATTCTGCTCAGTGTAACCACCACCAAGACAACTATATAATGTATTTAAATCACTCAACTACCCCTATAATTCTCAAATATGTCGTTTATTCCTCTTAACCCAAAAATTCGCCGTGAGCCAACGCCATCCACGGCAGATCCTCTTCCCAACACCGCTGCATCAATTTACGCGCATTCTTGAACTAAAACCTCATGTTAATGACGAAGCAATAAAAAATTACCAAGGTGAGAACATACCTGCTTGAGCCCCTCAGTTTCAAAATTCATCACCCTCGTCATAATATCTAACCGCTGCTGAGGATCCCGACTTTCGCATCCAGCTGTAAAGAGCGGGAAGAGAACAGAACACTCGGTCGAACTTCCAGAACGGATTCTCGAGATTGCGTCACAGAGGTTGTCGACCGCTTCAGCGATCTCTGTCGAGTAGCTGGTGTTACCCAAGACACGGCGATGGGTGTGAAGTACGGCTGACCAGTGGAATGCCAGATCTATTGCCATCATCTCGTTGTCCTCTAACTCAGTGTGATGGGTTCCTGGGACGTGTCCGCGCTGTCTGGTGTGATGCATCTCCTCCAGGAGAGATTGGCCTGCTTGTATCACGTCGTCGGATGGAGTCCAATCTGTCCTGAAATTGCTGACTTCGTCAAAACGCTCGTTGTCACAGCGATGAGTCAATTGTGCTAGGCGCGCCAGATGCGCTCCCGTCCGAGGCGTGCATCCAAAGAAACAATCAACTCTGTAATTCTCATCGCCACCACCACGCTCTCCATATCTGTCATCCAGATTTTCATCCTCTGTTGATATCAACGGATAATTTGTATGAGACAAGGGAGCGCCGCTGTGTCGACACGATAGACTCCCAAGGATATCCAAATAGCGGAACCATTGAACAAGAAAGAAAGCCACCTTGTTATTCGGAGGGGGACGATGTTGAAACCCACGAGCAACAAATAGGTCCCTCGCGAGTTTAAGGTGAGTCTGCCATGTGATGGGTACTTCAAAAGTGCTTGGAGATACAATTTTGAGAGACAGAAGCATAATTGCAGTTGCCAAATGACTGTCGGTCACTTTTTCTTCGGGTTCATTCAGGGCATGCCGGAGGGTAGGAAAAACATCCTTGACCCAATGTGCAATTCGATTGGATGGTTCGGGATGACGCAGAAAGCGAGCTCGATGGCTTGCCGAATACGCCAGCATCAAATTGAGAAGATTGGGATCGTTAATAGCCACTACGATTGCTGTTAGGTAAGCGTTTTCCAGAGGTGTCGATTACTTACTCGCAGGTAGAATTCTCAAAAACCCATTGCGATCACAGTCATGAGGAACCAATATTCGCGCAGTGTGATCGATAAAATGATGAAAATACAGCAGATTCATCGGATTGTCCAGCAACGTCGACGGTAACGGTGTCATCCTCCTCGGAATCTTGACGCGAGTAGGGGTTACATAGTAACCACCGCCCGTAGTAAATGAGGATCTTCGACGTACGTGAATAGAACTGGTAGGCGTCTGTTCCGAGACAGGGCTTAATGAATCATCCTCAAAGACCTCTTCAGAAGGGCTGATTGGTGCAATGGCTTCGGCATCATTGTTCTTATTGACATCATAATCTGGAGTACCGCAGTCATATCCATAGAAAATCTCATGACCACTAACTATCGGCCCACATCTCCCTGGAACGGCCAGAGATCCCGACTCATGATTATCGCCGGCGCTGGCCAATAATTCATTTACTGACATCCGACCGATTTCCTGGTCAAGTGACGCTTGACGGCGGTGATAGAGACGATGACTCAAACTATCCTCCTGCTTCTTGTGACGCTTAGACCCGTATATGGATTGTTCAGTCATAGTCGGTGCCATGGAATCCCCGGCCGAGGTATCGCGAAGGAACGAAACTGGTTGCGAGACAGCATTACTTTCAAACCCGTACGACGGAAGCGAAGTAAATCCCAGTCCAACAGAGTCGAGACTATCCGGTACTGCAAAGGGTTGTGGATAAGGCTGGAAATTCTCATGCACTGTCATCGAAGGGGCTACCACTGGAGAATTTGCTAGTTGCTCGGCCATCGACGGCATTACTGAGTCCTCATTAGGTATCGCATGGTGATCCCCAGGTCCCGTAGGCGGCGACTTTGCGGGTACGGATGGGGTTGAACCGGGCGTCCCTTGGGAGATCCACGTATTTCCCGTACTATTTGCATATGGACTGGAAGCTGCAGACCAATCCCCTCTCACCGACTGAGTCAAATCGACCGGAGATGTCAACTCTAGCCCGCCGACAAAGGAGGACTGCTGAAAATTGGTCGAGTACGACACAAACGGGGAATTCGAAATTGGCGTCGGGGGATCGGAAGCCTTTCTCTTCGTACGACCTTCCCAATTCAGACGAATGCTATAATCGCACGTGTCACCTTGACGGAGACAGTTCGCACAAGACGGTTTTTCCTCGTTGCTTTTGGATATTAGTCCGACAGAATGACTAACTCATGGGATGAATTTCCATACCATTTGATTTTACGTCTTTTACAAGGCCTAGGCAAGTTAGCTTCCGTCACATCATTCGCACAAATCCACCAGACAATGATCTTACCAGCATCCATGTCGACTTCTTGGTTTAGGAGCGGGTGCGCCTGGTCGTTTCGGTCTCGGCATTATAGACTAAACGTCCAGTCGACGTAGGATATAAAATTGGAATCTGGATCGGCACTTGGAAACGCAGCCATCAAGCCTTAGGTGGGACCTAGTGTTCCTGAAGAACTACTATCAAAATATTTCTCAGTAGACGCTCCTAAGATGATAGGAGCTTTCATCGACGGGGTGATGTCTATGTTCCTATTCATCGATGTAGACGATTGGCCGGATTTCGCCGGTTGCGAGGGTTGAATGCTTGACTAGTGAATTTTTTGGATGTTTTCTGCAATGTGCTACGAGAGATTTCTCGTAGCAGACTGATTTGCTATAGCTATCCCGGTCTAGCGTTCTGTCTGGATGTCTGTCTAAGTCGCGGAGAATGGTGGACGGTGACCGGGGAAGGATAGGTCCGGGCTTGGAACAATATTTCTCCGATTTCTCCGATAATCTTTGATACGCTTGTCCTCTTGCGGTTTAGCGCCATCAGCATTCAGATATATTATGTAATCATTTACGATCACACGGATAACGCGATTTGATTGGCTAATCCCATGAAGCACTCGATTAGTATGACGTGTGATTCTGCTGGTCTGCTTCACATATTGAGCTGAAAACCTGTGTACGTACATCATTTCAGCTCAGGGGATACAACAATCCCCTGTCCTCCCTTCCACTCTCATTGTTTATTGTATTTTTGATGCCGGTTTGTGCTTGTCTGCTATTGTTACACATAATTGAGCCTTTTCTGTATTGGTTTTCCTCCAAAATGTCGATCTCCAAGACATCCGAGTACCTGGTGAACCGTCACCCACTCCAGCGACTCCCCAGTCCTGATAGAAGGACGTCTGCCCTAATCCATGTATATATCCCTTACGAACCGCTCCGACCAAAACCGTGGACTGACGACAACTCTATCTAGTTACTCGGACTGGCCAGTTTCCTTTCCTCCTTCAAATTGTAGGTTCATCCTTCCGGCGAACGAGATTGTCGTGTCTGAACTAACTTTCGGATAGTCTTATCGAGAACCCTAATCACGCGTGAGTGGCAAGTTCGACCTAAATATTACTCTGCGAATTGTCCTGACTGTATACCAAAAGCTCCGAGGGATTTGGCTGGCACTTTGTTTTCTTGACGATCATCGGTCTCGCGTTATCAACATGCACGTTCACCGTCGGTCTATTAGCAGATGTGACTCTTTCGCGACGACTCTTTTTGTTGAAGAATATACTGTCAGTGTGTAGTGCGCCGCTGGAGGTCTTGATTAGTGTTTTATACTGGGGCATCAGATCGGTATGACTTGTCGGATTTGGGACAATTACTTGGCATGGTCACTCACCAATTGACCAGATTGACCCTCATCTGGTGGTTCCTCCCGATGAATTGAAGATTCCCTTCCACGTTGGTCAGTGGTGGTTACTTCCGTGCACTGGGGATTAACTACTGAACCCTGCTCGCACAGACCTAGGATTTCATCTTGTTCCTAGCATCGTCATGCTTTTCGACATTCTTTTCCTCTCCCCTCCCTGGACAATCACTGCCCTTCCATCAATGGCTCTATCAAGTTGCATTGCCTTTGGATACTGGTTCTGGATTGAGAAATGCTATTCCGTGAATGGGTGGTGAGCACGATCGGTTACAATCCTCTTGTGTCATTCTTCGTACTAATGGAGACAGGTATCCCTATCCACTTTTCGAAATACTTGATATGAAAGGGCGTGTTGCACTCTTTACGGTCAGTGCCTTCTTGATGGCTGTTAACATAGTGACACTGAAATGGCTCTACGGTCGTGTTAATGGGTTCGGGAGATTGGAGTATCCGCAAGCACAATCGGGGCAGGTCAGGAAGGGGGATTATCAAAATTGAAAGCTCTCGATGTGGGATAGGACTAATAACATGGACGGCCGTCTCTTGCGTCCCTTTTGCAACTACTTGGGCAAAAAGATTAAAGAAGAGAGTATTTCTGCATTTAAGTAGATTTGTGGTTGCAGAGATGACTGACAGTTCGCTTCATCGTAGATCATGGGACGGCATCTGCAGTCAGAAGGAGAATCCGCATTTTTTCTACATAGTACAGTACCTGGCTAACTCACCACTGTAGATAGATGTTAATTCATTAATTTATTGATCACATGCTCAATACCCTTGTAACCGGTTGAGTCAATAAAACATACACTAATGCAATAATTTTACAACTCAATTGACATAAAGGTGGAGGAAATAGAGGACCACTTGAAATGTTGGGACCTTCTCACTCTTCCTATCAGATACAAGATACCGAGATGGAAGACTATCCTCCAACCCGAAATGGGGAAGATGTTGCTCCGCTGCATGCTGCAAACATCACACCACGGTGGAATGAGTCAAAGACTACGATATGGAGGGTGACAGCTGCATTCTGGTGCATGCTGATAATGGGCGCCAATAACGCTGCATATGGAGCAATAATACCATGTGTCTGTCTTTCTTTTATGGCCTTCACTAACCTAAACGTTTTACTAACTATTATTCTCTGGTTGTTTTCAGCTAGAGCTACATTACCGTAAAAGTTATATGATCATTTACTGGTACTGTCAGCTTCTTTTGCAGGATATAAAATCTCTGCCGTTCTCAGTAATTTGATCCATCAGCGTCTTGGCTGGCAAGGTGTTGCCATTATTGGTCCTGGATGCCATCTGTTTGCCTTCGCAATTATCTACATCCATCCCCCATTCTCGCTTCTCGTGATGATATACTTGATTATCGGTTTTGGAAGTGGCGTTTAAGATGCAGCATGGAATGTATAGTTCGGAAATATGGCAGATTGTAATGAGGTTATTAGGTTCCTTCACAGATTCTACGGCTTGGGGGCAACATGTAGTTCTTTCATTGCTATGACCGTGATTACCATCATAAGGCTAGGTAGGTATAGTTCTCCTTTTATTATCTGATGTATTTGTCTGAGTGAGGATCCTTTCCGTTATACTAAATGAAATTAACAAGATAACAATAGGCTGGTGCGGCTGCGATTGAGCTTTCCTCCGCTGTAGGTGCCTTTTGGAATGAGACAGGTGAAAAATACAAACAAGAGAATCCCAATCCTCCCGGAAGAGGCGGCGTGCTCTCTCAAACCCGTCAAGCCTTGACTTACAGTGTTACATGGACATGCGCCACATTTCTCTTTCTCTACGGCAGTATTGAGGCCTCAACCGAGGGGGTAATCCCGAAGATGGATAGTGAATAAATTGAACGTGTAACGATCAACATGAGTCGCGTGGGCGTCGATGAAAAATGTGTGTTTAGAGCAGGAAAGGAAAATTCCTGAGGCGGTAAGGTACAGGTTGGCTGGCCAGTAGGAATGTTCATTGGAGATTTACCCTAGCTGACTATCTCGTCATAGATGTTGAAGGCATCGGGAAACATCTCTTGAGTACTTGAGTGAGACGCGTAATAGATTGTAATGTTGCTTGTCTGATCTAGGAATAATAACTATAGCTATAGGCTATCTGAGAGGTAGTACTCAGGTTTAGCAACAAGATGTAGTGCAAAGAAGAGAAACCTATCTAGATACGTACACCAATACGAATTATCATCTCAGAGACTCAGACTGTCGGAACTCAAACGTAATACCGTTTCACCAAAAAGGACGCCCTTAAGGGAATTTGGTATTTTTGAGGTATTTGCGAACCGTTCCGTAGTTCGACTTCTGTATTCTGCTAGTCACGTGATTTTATTTCCAACACAGACCTCCGATCACGTGGGCAGAATTCTGCCGTTCAGCTAGACCTAATCTGTAACCTAACTTAACTGATACAAAAAAGGCTTTGTCAGCAAGCTGACCGCTTTGCGGCCTGAGGTATCCGTCTGAGTTCCTGAGGTAATACGAATAGGGTTGGCGACTCCCACTAGGTGCGCGGACCCGTGCGCCTAGTGGGCGCCGGAGGACCGACAACAAACTTATGTCTTTCCCTCAGTAAAGCTTCTCTAAACCAACATTTGTTCACTTACGCACTGCATCAACGAGTAACCCGCGATAATTGGTGATATCATCCCACTCAGAAAGATGCACTCTTCGATTGCTAGTGCTCCTCTTCGAAGCGCCATATTTGGTGGCGGCTCACGCTTTTCCTGCTGCTACACCCCGTTCACATTAGCCGGATCTGCAACGATTCCTCAACGGGCTCAACAAACAGTCCTCAAGCGAAGCGTTAACAGTTTCTCGACAAAATGCAATCAAAGCGCTCCGATAACCTGCTTTGCGCGAGCGACACGAGTATCGCTGAGAAAGGCGGAGTCAACACCAGCAAATTCACAATTCATCATCACACATATCCGACGCAACTTTAGCGACTCTACAGGCCCTCGCGCGGCCAGCACACAGTCATCTCAAACCGGCAAAGAAGCGTCCCTCGATTGGAATACATTCTTCAAGTTGCGTACCTCACGCCGGCGCTACTCGCTCATTTCCTCGGTTCTTGCGTCAATCGCTAGCACAGCTGTAGGCGTTCAAGTACTCTCCGCTCAGGACCTCGACACACTCGGGGCGCAAGTAATGGGTCTCGATCCTTTTATTGTTCTCGGTCTTGCTACAGCCGCTTGTGGTGCGCTGGGCTGGCTTATTGGTCCGATTTTGGGGAACACGGTTTGGGGGCTTGTGCATAGACAGTATCGGAGTGGTATTGCTGTTGTAAGTGTTGCGAACTTTCTGTCAATTTGTCGGTGGCTCAATGCTAATATTATAATTTTATAGAAAGAGAAAGAATTCTTCAACCGCATCAAGCGCTTCCGTGTTGACCCGTCCGCTAATTCTATTGCCAACCCTGTTCCGGACTACTACGGCGAGAAAATCGGCAGTGTACAGGGTTATCGTCAATGGTTGAAAGATCAACGAGCTTACAACAGGAAGAAGTCAAGACACATTTTGTAATGTCTGGTTTGGGTTTATGGGGGAGAGGAACTGTCGGAACTGTTTATATAGTAAGCGAGAAGTTCTCCAAAGTGGCTAGCTTGTCGTCATGTATTTCTATTTTCTGTCGGCATTTTTCAGCTTGTTCGCATCTCCTGTCTCGACGGAAGTTAGATAGTAGGTTCAGGAACTGACCAATACTCATCACCAAATCTTGGCTATTTGTCTATCACTTACTAAACGCAACGATCTGATACCTTAGTGTCTAGACACCAACTCAATTTACTCGGCAGGCAATGTAACCATTTATACTACGCAACAAAAGAGGGACGAAGTGAAATAGTAAAAGTGTTACCATGCCCGGGTTCCATTAAGTCCACTGTTAATTGATCGTCCTATATCTAGCTATGCAAGTTGATGTCGTAACAACACTCAACTCGGGATGCAATTCCGGGCCGATGCCACTCGGATTTATGCTCTTTATATTTCGATCATTTCTGCATTCAATTACCGGAATTATGCTCTGATGTTTTAATGCCAGCTGAATCAAAATGTCAAAACCAACTTTAATCTTCTGTCCCGGCGCCTGGAGCCCTCCAACAGCGTTCAACCCTCTCATCGAAAAGCTTCCCGAATACACATCCCAAACAATAGCATTCCCCTCCGTACATCAAGCAACTACCATCAAAGATCTGAAACCGGACATTGAAGCTCTCCGCAACGTTGTCCAAAGTGAATGCGATCAAGGCCATGAAGTAGCTATCATCTCGCACAGTTGGTCCGGTCTACCCGTCAGCAGTGCCCTTGACGAATCGAGTCGGACGGAACGTCAGAAAATAGGTACAAAGGGTGGAGTAGTCAAGCTAATTTATATATCTGCTTTTATACCAGAGATCGGGCAGAGTTTGCTTCAGACTCAAGGCGGCGTACCGCCGGATTGGTATATTCGTGATGTATGTGATCATTTCCTTTTCTCATCGTAGCAGCCAATGTCATGATCTGTTAATGCTAAATTATAAGCCAGGAAATGAATAACACTGTATTATCCTCTGATCCATATACTCTATTCTTCCATGATGTCCCTAACGGACAAGAATGGGCCCAAACCCTTCGTCCGCATGCTTGGGCGAGCATGAATTCGCCCACGACCAGTGCGTCATACCTAGAAATACCATGCGCTTATTTACTCTGTGAAAATGATCGAGCTATCCCACTATCCGTGCAGGAGGCGATGGTGGAGAGAGCACGATCTAAGGGCGCGGTTATCACGACGGAAAAGGTGAAGACGGGTCATACGCCGTGGTTGGTAGTGCCGGATGAGGTTGCGGCGTTTGTCAATAGGCAGATTGAGTAAGAACCTAGTCAGAGATACGTCAGCTATGTTAGTTAGGATTGGACACCGTTGAAGTTGTTTAAGGACCTAGTATGGGATTGTATCGCTGCGCATAAGGTTCTTATATTTCCGAATAGGACTTCCTGCATCACAAAAGGTCTGATGACCCTTTTGAACCCGAGAAAGGGGAACAAAAATCTCCAAACCGGCATTATGATACGTGCGGGTGAATAAGCCTGGAGGGTAGATACAAGATGTCTTCCCTTGTGCAATAGTTCTTTCCGTCAGCAAACCCCAACCTTCGAAGGTTATACGTGCTCGTGGGCTTTCTCGTCTACTGAGGTAGCTTCTTCAAGATACTTACTATTTCATATTGCCGAGCTTCATAACCGTCGTGCTGTCTGCCATCCTGAGCGTGGCAGGAGATGCAACCTGGCACCAGATTGATTGTTGTCCGACCTGAGACGGTAATGTGGCTTGAATGGCCAGAACTGCTGGTTGATCTTTTCCATGTTGCCCTTTGTTGCTTTTTCACGACAACTCTCGAGAGTGTAAATCCCCGGCCGTTCTACAGGTTTATATTTGAAGTGAGACTGTACGGTATCCTCTATACATCCAAGTACCTAGTAATTTCAAAAGCGATTTTGACCTATGTTTCAGACAAACACTTTTTACTAAAAGAAAAAGCCGGTATAATGGACATTACCATACATCCCTCGTGCCTAAGTAATCATCAACGAACTATTCAACACACGTCTATCTGCTACGGAAGTTCCGGTGCATAGTGAGCCCATATTCGTACCACTTCTGACTCAGCTAGACGGTGGTAGTAGTAATCTGCTTCTTGGCTATATTTTTATGTGACTTGACAGTCTTAGGAATGTCATTCAGAAAACGCAGGTAAGTTAGGTAAGGCTTCCAAATATTACGGAACTCCTGCTGCACAGAATGTTTTTGTCGCATCGTATTCCGAGATCACAAATATGGATCTTCCAAGCACTAAAATCTACCCAGGCTGAGTCATGTCCATACAGGTACATGTAATTAAAGCTGAATTACGGAATGTAGCAGGGACTTCGTCATGATCGTAATATAAAAGGTATATTAGATCTTCAACAGAGCATATGTGCAGAAGAAAGCCATCACAAACAATAAATATCATCAAGTCATGTCGAAACTCATGGTAATTTTGGGTATAACTGGCACCCAGGTGCGTTCAATCAAAAATCCAAGGAGAAAATGGTCTATTTGGCTAACTTATTCAGGGGGGCTCAGTTGCCGATATCTTCCTCCAAGAACCCGGCTGGAAAATAAGAGGACTCACACGAGACCCTAAGAAAACATCAAGCGCAAAATGGGAAGTCAAAGGAATTGAAATGGTCCAAGCAGATGTAGATGATTTCGAATCCCTCAAAAGGGCATTACAAGGTGCCCATGCCATCTTCGCTGTCACCGATTTCTGGGGTCCCATGTATGATCAACGCAGCTATGGAAGACTTCAACTCGGTCAAACGATCAGTGAATACTGCTATGAGTTGGAGGTTAGGCGCGGAATAAATATTGCGAATGCTGCTGCCTGTATTGAGACTTTGGAGCGATTTGTATTTTCCGGTCTACCCGGTATCAAGTCCATTGCTGGAGGGAAATATCAGTATGTCTATCACTTTGATGCAAAGGCGGAGATTGGACGGTACATACAAGAATCTCTCCCGAAATTGAATGAAAAGACTTCGCAACTGCTGCTTGGCGAATATGCTACCAATTGGAAAATGTGGAGACTAAGGAGACCTAACAAGGTATGTTGCGCGCCGTCTATCATCTTGAAGGTTCTCGGAACTCATAGAGTAATACCAGGAAGATGGTTTGTATGCCTTTTTATTGCCAGGAGACAGTAAAACCTTAACACCATTTGTCGTCCCGCGCAAAGATACCGGACACTTTGTCAGGGCCCTTGTCATGCTACCACCTGGAAAGTTGCTTTTGGGATACGGAAGCCTTCCTAGCCACGAAGAGTACGTTCGTCTTTGGACCCAGGTCTTTGGTGTTGAAGATATCAGAATCAAGCGCGTGACGGTGGACGAAGCTGCTGCATTCGAAGGTGGTCCGCACGGGTTAGAGCTTGCAGTCCAGGTCGCAAGCGTGCTGCAACTAGATTTGTCTGGTGAATTTATTTTGCATCCTAGTCAGGTAAGATTCTATCATTTTGGATGTTGCATGTTGGGTATCTGCCCAGGTGAAGGGCCTCTTGGTGGATCCAATGGATTAACCTTTCGCACAGATTCCTAAAGAAATAGGATGCCCAACTACCAGTCTCGAGGATTATATGAAAAGTGAAGATTTCTCATCACTGGTGGATTTGAACTAGGTTCTCCGCTGCTTTCTTGGTTTCCCAGTGATCGGGAATGTACATCCTGGCTATGAGATTCCTCTGTATGGAATAAGTTCTCCCATGAGCTGCAGAGCTTTGTTGTAAGAACGACATAGTTGCTTTTCTAAAACCCTCGAGGAGACTTGTGGTTATGGTGAATCTGTCCAGCATGTTATCATACAAGGTTACTGCGGATTAAAAGAAAACAGTGCACCCAGTTCCATCCAGGTCCGGTCATCTATCATAGATTCGAATCCCTGGAAAACGTCGTAATTGGTATCCATTAGGGAATATGGGGCACTCATACTCTGTACCATGCCAGATGCTCCTTCTGTTGTAAAGATATCTGGGTAGACCTCGTGTTGAGGTATATTGTTGAAGGGCGATGAGAGGTTCGCAGTTCCTTTGAGAAGTAGAAGAGCATTATTCTGAGGGTATTCCTGAGGATTACCACGAGCACCACTGTCAACTTGATGTTGGAGAGAAAGATGTGTGAGATCTTTATTCGTAAATCCTGTAGGATAGAAGATGCCCAGCTTTGAAAGAGGCTCGGCCATCGATATCATCCTTTTGAATAGGCGTCTCGAAGCGCCGGAGACAGTGAAATACGAAGCGTTTAGGCTGAAAGCGCGCGAGATACTCTCGCCGAGGTCCACGGAAGATGATAAATCGGAAATGATCTTGTATAGCGTGTTTCTTTTGGATTCGGATGCAATAACCAAAAGTAATAGCGCTACTGCAGAAGTGAGAAAGTGTTGAAAGAAAGGGTGCTGTTTGGCGTATATATCAGTAGTTGCGTCCAAGTCTGCAAGTACGTCGATAGTGTCACAGGCTATTTCGATTCCAGACTTTACAATATGTCGACTGCCTGCCAGACTAGAGCCGGACAGATAGACAGAGCGAATAGTAAGACCGCGAATCTGATTGGCACGAAGGTAGAGAAGAGTCGACACGGGCTGTGGAAGACTTGCTGGGGTAGAAATCCTGCGAATCTTGGGATGCAGAAAATCTAAATCTGCGAGAGATCTCTTTCGCCATTGTTCGATTTGGTAATTGCAACTGTCGAATAAGTCTTCGTCTTCACAAGCTCCTGCTGTCCGCATGGTGCCTGAAAAATCCCAGAACCGAGTGTGAAAAGGCGCATATGATGCCATAATTTTCAAATAAGGATTCTATAATTCAAAGACGATCTTGTCAGTCATACTACACGAAGGTTGCGTTCGGTTGAGTACTTTTCTAACCTCCAGAGGCTCCGGCAAAATCTTCGCAAATCCATTTCTTGTAAAATGATGCGGGAGACCAGCTGCACAGCTCCATTGCTTGTCAAGAACAACAATGTTCCATAGTATATTTACGACCTCGGCACGGTCTGACACATCTTCGATCATGTGTAGTGCGTCTTGTCGATGTAGTCCCATCTCCATGGCCACCTTGCCTGCGATGCCACAAGTTCGCCACGCCAGCTGTAAATCATCATGGAAGTAATGATACATACCCTGATGGAATTGTTAGAAGAGAACAGTGCTGACAGAACGGAAGGGTGATTTACGAACCACAAGAAGCAGCAGAACAAGCTTTCGAGGGTTTTTTATGGGTGAGAAGACGGCATTGTGGATCTTGTCTTGGACACTAGCATAGAGTGATACTCCAATCTCGCTATTCCCAATGCTGAGTGCAAGAAGCGCAATTGCCAGAGCGACTTTTATATTGTCCATATCATCCGCATCAATGTTCCATAGGCGTCCAGTTTTGATTTCTTGCTTAGATTCTAGCGCCGTGTAAATTGCCTCTACTTGAGATTTGAATCGTTCTTGATTGAGGAAAGGGTGCAAATTGCCGACGACATCTTCGTAGGTGTATACCAGTCGTAGAGCTTCATCTTTTGTCAACGTTCGAAGGGCGCGTAAACAATCTTCGCAAAAGCATGCACCTGATCCTTGAGACTTTTTGTTTGACGGTCGATTTTCTATAGAGCTGTTGCGATTATTGTGACTTGATTGCTTTTCAACAAAATGAGGAGAATGTTTAGAGGTAGAGTTTGGCTTGGGGGACTTCCCCTGATGTTGTGTCGCAGTAATATTGCGTTCGGCCACGTTAAAAGTATATTCCGAGCTCGTTGCGCCACAGAACAAAGGCATGTCCTTATCAGGGGTAGGATAATCTGGCCGTTGGTGATTATTCGATGATTTGACAGGACTCAGATCAGCGTGCTTGTGACTTTCGAAAACTGTATATGAATGATCTTGTTTCTGCTCATTCTTTTGCGACATACGAACATCGACAAGAATATCAATCTGCTTTTGCATATTCTCCACCAAGCCCGTCAACCGTTCAATCTCACTGATCAAGACAATGTGTGAGAACCATCGATCTATCATCGCATTCCGAAATAGGAAACTCACCTAATATTTCCCCGATTTCCATATGCTATAGACTCCTTGGGGTAGTGAGTTGAGCAAGAGCCACCACAGGCGCAGTTTGAGAGAAAACGAGGGTCCTCATCGTAGTGGCATTCAATAGAGCGCCTTCGGCAGTATGCGCACGGTGAATCTCCATCACACCGGCCTTTCCGTCGTTTGCATTCATCGCAAGCGCGCAAGGCATAACGCGCGCGCCGTCTTTTTGGTTTACCATGTTCGTGGGCGGCCTCACTCATCCTGCGGTGGCGTTGTGATGGAGCGGAAGTGGTAGACATCGGATATTCCGATGTGTTCGGAAGAGTAGTTTTGAGAAATGATCTCCTAAGAATGGTAGTCTGGTGGCCTACTCCTAGAAATTCTTCCACGACTCATCAAACACACTCACTTTGAAGTGATCGAAATGTTTTTCGAAGAAGAAGAAAAAGCAGGAGAGTCAGGACATGTCATCGGAAGTTCCGCCGGAATTTCCGATCTCCCTGACAGCGTGATGGGCTTACTAAACAGAGTTGTTAGTTAGCTTAGTTAATATTTATGTACACGATGCTATGAGACAGGATTGCGGTACATAATAGCGAGGAGCAAAAGAAGAGGTCACCTACTTACAATTGGGAAGCAACTGAGAAATGGAAGTTGACAGATGTCGGGTCTATGTCCGACAATCTCCATATATAACCCTAACCCTTATTTCGCTTGCCAAGCTAAGGGATAGGTCAGCATCACGTTTTTTTTGCTTCACATTTTCTTTTCTCCGATTTGATTAAGGTGGTCGCTGCTGACGGCTGCCTAAAAAGTCTATTTCTGGAAACCACTATCACCTCCGTCTCAGGGCCCTCACGGTCTCAAACAGTATAGTAGTACTCGGCAATTGTTGAAGTACCCAATGCCTATGATAGAAATCATCAATCATAGGGCGTGCTTCAAGCCCCCGCGAATCACTCAATCTCCCATATCCTCAACAATGTAATTGCATATACACTATTTTCATTCATTCTCAGACACGAAGATGATTGGATTCATGTGGAGCTGTGAAACATACTTATCCACTAGAGAAGCGAACCATGGCTTGAGATTAGCGAACTCCGTGATTAAGCGGTGACTCACGGACGAGCTTCAAGATAGCATGGACATGAGTCACGGTTTCATTTGTCTATGATTTGAGCTTTATAAAGACGTTTCGGGTCAACCAACGGAAAAAAGGATCAGAAATATCAAAATCAACAGTCATGTCGACGTCTAATCCCACATTTGGCGCCCCTCTTCTGCCCTACTTCCCCTTCCAATCCGACTATCTCAACATCAACCATGGCTCCTTTGGAGGATATCCTATTAAAGTTCGGGATGCCCTGCGAGAGTATCAGCGGCAAACTGATGCCAAACCAGACGATTTCATCCGATACAGACTCCCAGGATTGATCGACAAATCTCGCGCTGCGGTTGCGGAGCTGATTAACGCTGATGTTGGTAATGTGGTTCTCATTCCGAATGCTACGACAGGAGTGAACACCGTCTTGCGCAACCTGGTATACAACCCAGGAGACAAGATCGTGTATCTGGGCACGACGTATGGTGCGTGCGAGAAGGCTGTGATGCATATTGTGGACACATGTATCCCGGCCGGCGCAGTTGAAGCCATTAAAGTGGAGGTAGAGTATCCGGTGACGAGCAAGGAGATTTTGCGGCGATTCGAGGATGCAATCTCCCAAAAGGGGGTTCGCATTGCTCTGTTTGATACTGTCTCAAGCCTACCGGCCCTTCGGTTGCCGTACGAGAACATGATCTCTCTGTGCAAAAAGTACCATGTGCTTAGTCTCATCGATGGTGCCCATGCTGTGGGAGCTATTGAACTCGACATGCAACGCCTAGATCCCGACTTCTTCATTAGCAATCTGCACAAGTATGTTGTCTCTTCCTTTGAGCAGATAAACTATCTGCACCGACTAACCATTGCAGATGGCTCTACACCCCTCGTTCATGCGCAGTCTTCCATGTCGCTGCCCGAAGCCAACATCTGATCAAGACTTCACTTCCTACATCTCACGGCTACCGACCCGAAGAACGCCCCGGACGACTAAGAGTTTCCAATCCTCTTCCGACAAGCTCCAAGACGGGATTCGTAGAGCTGTTCGGTTATGTCGGAACAATGGACTATACACCATATCTATGTATCCCTGAAGCCATCAAATTCCGAAAGGAAGTATGTGGTGGCGAGCAAAAACTTTTGCAGTACATCACCACTTTGGCAAAGCAAGGAGGGAATCTTGTCGCGAATATTCTAGGAACTGAACTTCTCGGTGATGAAGATCAGAGACGATCTCCAATGGTGATGGTTCGATTACCGTTGAAATTTACCGCCGACGAACTTCAGCAGGGTAAGCAACATCTACTTCTTGAGGAGATTGAGCGGACTATCTCGGAGAAGTATCGAACATTTGTCCCATTGATCTATCATGGAGGCCATGCATATGGCAGATTGAGTGGGCAAGTCTACCTAACCCTGGAAGACTTTGAGAAAGCTGGGCAGATTTTGGCTAAAGCCTGCAAAGAGTTTGAGCAAAAGTCTAAGCTTTAGTTCTCTCTTGGTCATTGACTGAATAAGGATATTGCCATATGTCATATTGATGTCTCAAGTATTATCCACTGGTTGACGCGAAAAAAGGGCTTCCAAATGCGAGGTCACAGGTTGTATCGGACGTGAAAAAAAAAAAAATAAATAAATAAATAAATGAAATGAATCATTTCACCAAATAAATGACACCATCATTCTTTTTATAATCAATGTTATCTTCCGCTTTGTGTGAGGAGACTGGAGGAGAAGATAGCACTTGTTTCCCTAACTTCTCAATGAAGATATCTGTATAAATCTCTCTGATATACTGTTACACTGCGAAAGCCTGCTCCAGAAAGGTATGATATAGAGCTTGTGGGTTGTGGAGGACAATATGATTCTGTATTAGCAAGCTACACTTTACGCCAATCTAAGACAGTCATCAGATTATCAATTTCATTGATTGATCGAGATATTCGACTTGCTTTAGTCTATCTCATCAAAGTAATCGACGCCGTTAAGAAAAATGTAGATCACCCTCCTTCTTTGAAAGTAGACATGCTTAGAGAGATAGATACACGCATCACATAGGTTCGCTGTTGCATGGATCTTTGTCATATGTGAGGATGCAGTGTCGCAGAAAAATGTTCCGTTGAAGTTCATCGTACGCATATGCTGCCGCCCTCATGGAATGGAAACGCACACAGACTCTGAGCTTAGTCTGTTCTGGATATTCTTCATCACAGTAGCTCCTGGAGTAATGCTCGACAGAGTTTTTGAGATGAGGTGTCCCGACCACTCCATCAATACACTCAATTAGAGCTTCGGGAACCTCGTCAACTAACACACAGCGAGTGCAACCGTGATCGCGGATAGCTGCTCTCAAGGACATTCCCACTGGATAGGTTGCGGTTTTCTCTAGTGTCACATGGGCAGGAGTACCTTGTATTTCGAGTCCCCTCTTCTTAACGCTCCTGCAGAACTTCTCAGCCGACTTCTGATGCAGAAAGACCACTCGACCGGTGTGATAGCCAGTTATTGAGAGTGTATTGAGAAGATCGGCGGAAAAGACGTCTCCACAATGAATGTGAGCGAGAAGCTCATCAAGCGTAGTGCCGTTGGGGAGGTTCTCAATACGGACAGTGCGGTATGCATCCTTGTCGCCAGGTTTTGGAATATAGCGTAGGCCGTACTGAAAGAACCACTCATCCTGCATGCGACAGTGATCGATTGAGTTCAGTATGGCTTCATGTTCCTCCCTTTTATCCCTGAAAAGGTTAATAAACTTCCAAGCAATCGTCCCGTCCCAAGGTACCACGGCAAAGTCTCGCTCCTTCGTCTTTGGGTTTGAGGAAGTATCCACGGCACTTGACTCTGGTGAGCCAGATACAAGGGGCAAAGTATCAACAGTTGGGGGATTGAATCGGCTTCCTCCGCTTGGCTCAAATTCTGAGGCGGCCTGTTGTGTGTTAGTAATGGTGGAGTAGACGGGATTTCATACATACAGCGCTAGAAGGTGCCAGAGGTGAGTAGCGAACTTCAGACTTCGCAGTGGTTTTTGGAACCAAAACCTATGTCCCCGTCAGTGCTGTTTTCCAATTGTGATAATCAAACTGATTTGACTTGCACTGCGAGAAGGAGTCAAAATGGGCGTACTCAACAAGGTGGGTGCATCCAGAAGACTTAGAGATGACAAAGTTTTGACATGCTCATCAACACTATCCTCTGGCTCTTTAGCAAGTGCTTGGAGCTCAGAAATGTAAGAATTGTGGCCAGAGGAAGCCTGTGGCTTGATTAGAGGGGTCCATAAAAATCATGATCATCATGTGTTAATACTTGCCTTGGGAGTCAATGTTTGTGGGAACAGAACCTTTCCATTGCCCGGTCCATTACCCTGTTGCAGACTCGAAGCCAAGGCCTGACGCAATGTCTGATTCTCATCTTCGATGTATTGAACACGATACTCCAGAAGACGATGCTGAGCCTGGACAGCATAGAGAGTCCGTTCCAGGAGCTCGAGGCGATGCTTGATGGGAGAAATTGACTCTACCATGGTCTCTACAGACCAGAGCAGGTGCATAGTACTCTGATACAGCGAGATGAGAGCTTGAAGGGTAGCTCTGAGAGAGGACAGTGAAGAGGTGAGAGAGATGAGAGAGGTGAGAGAGGTGAGAGAGGTGAGAGAGGAAGAAGTGAGAAATAAAGAAGGTGAGCACGTGGGGGGTCGCAAACAAGGAAGGAGTGGCCCGGTGTCTCAAGGAGGGTACAACTGTCCTGTGTTCCTTCCCTATGTGCCATCTTATCTGATAAGTGAGTTCTTCACGACACACAGTAATGTCTCTATAGCCTGGCTATAACTTATTTATACTGGTGTCGGGTTGGTTGGATGACTTTGGTATAGAACTGAAGAGTATCTGTTAATACCAAAATAGAATACTATTTTATACTAAAGTCCTCTTCATCTCCAGATCAAATTCACATCTGGATCTGTTGACTTAGATCCCAAGAGATCTTATATTTGTTATAGCCAGGGTCTGCTGTATATCACTTGTCATGTGGCCAAGAGGTCTTTTCTGAAGACTGCCATGCAATGATGCTGTTACAGCAGAACCTGGCTATAATGAACAGAAGGCCTCTCAGGGTCCGAGTCAATACCTCCAGAACTGAGTTTGATTTAGGAGTGATTCCGAATGAAGGGCACCTCTGATATATTGATCCATTTTAGTATTAGAAAATTGGATGTTCCTCACTTCCATCCATCTTCAAGTTATCTAAGATGGTATTAGTGGAAATACGGGGTGGCTTCCTTTTGTTATAGCCAGGTTCTACTGTATTCATGTATTCCTATGAGTCTCTTTCGGTGAGGATGCCCAAATGGAAGCAACAAGCCTGGGATCTCTCGTGGAAAATATAGTTTGACCTGACCTTTGTGTAAGAATACTAAAAAATGAAAATAGAAAGGAAATGAAATATTGGGCTGCTTGCTCGTTAGAACAGGAACGTATTTCTGGGAGGATTCCCAAGCTCTTTATGCTTGGGATCCTGCTGCCAGCACATGCAAACATAACAAGCTAGGATAAAGATCTTTCAAAGAGATATTACAAAGATATTTCTCACAGGTATCAAACAAAATGCTGCACATGTGAAGATTTCATACGTCAATAGATACATCCTACCGTACAAGCCAGAGGAACATCCCTGGAACTAGAATCCCGAACATGCACGGATATAACCATATTTAACCATATTTAACCACATTTAAATCAGCCGCCAGCCGTTATGCTTATCTAGACGTATTCGGGCTCTGTTCATCGTCTTTGTTTTTTCATCAATATCTTCGGTTATCAGTCGGCATCCCACGAAGCAAAGAGCTAATCCCTAGACTCGGGGGAGCGGATGCGGGGAAAGGATCAGAAAACTGGAGTAGCGGAGTATAACAGGCCAACCAGGTACAATATGTGCGAGACTTCTGGCTTGGCACTGTCTCTCTATCATTCCTTCGGTCGTCGTTCTTTTCCTTTTAGAGAAGTTGCGGCTGGATTAGAGCGATTGCGTACAATGCGCAGAGCCCGAGCCATGAAGAGCAGGGATTCGCACACGAGGTTGCCCCTCGTATATGGTCTGGGGAATTGGGCCTCTCGGTCGACCTGCCTATTACTGCAGCGCTATAATCGTTCGAATGACCGGAAGATAAATTGGAAAGGTTTCCCACTTCCTGTAACGTCTTGTTTTCTCCGTCTGCCGGGTGCTTAGAATCTATACACGGAAAAAAACTTTTTTCATTTATTCAACTATGGACGTGGAATTAGAAAAGCCGTCGGAGATTCATGCCGAATTCGTTGGGGATCCAGACGAGGGGTTGACTGAGGGAGAAAGAGCAATCATTGTGAGATGACAAATCCACTCCAATTCAGGACTCAAGCTTACTGTCTGTTGCAGGATCGCAAATTACTGTGGAAGCTAGACCTTCGGCTTATTCCTTGGCTATCGCTGCTGTACCTTGCTGCATTCCTCGATCGCACAAATGTGGGAAACGCAAAGATTGAAGGTCTGCAGCAGGCTCTGCACATGAGCAACAACCAATACAACGCAACCCTTACAATCTTCTTTATATCGTACTCTGTCTTTGAGCCTTTGACAAATGTTTTGTTGAAACGGACCAAACCGAAGATTTTCATTGCGTCCATTATTATAATCTGGGTAAGTCTGAGACTGGTGTCGGTCCCCAAGAGGATGGGAGCTAATCATCAATTTGGGTTCTCTAGGGAATATGTATGACAACAATGGGCCTTGTTCATAACTTCTCTGGTCTTATGGCTGCCCGTTGGTTTCTTGGTCTAGCCGAAGCCGGCCTTTTCCCCGGTATAAGCTACTACCTCTCATGTTGGTATAAGAGATCCGAGTTCGGTGTACGCATGGCTATCTTCTTTTCTGCTGCCGCTCTTGCTGGTTCATTCGGTGGACTCTTAGCTGCTGCAATCGCACGGATGGACGGCATCGGTGGGAAAGCCGGCTGGTCGTGGATTTTCATCTTAGAGGGCTTGGCCACAATCGTGTTGGGTGTCTTGTCATTTTGGCTCGTTGTTGACTTTCCGGATAAAGCAACCTTCCTCTCGGATGCTGATCGTCAGCGAGTTACCAGACGACTGATGATGGATCAGCAAGCCAGCGGGCAGCACGAAGAGTGGAAGTCGTCATATGTGTGGGCTAGTTTGAAAGACTGGAAGACATATGTGAGCGCGATCATTTACATGGGTGCCGATGGACCTTTGTATGCTTTTTCCCTGTTCATTCCGACAATCATCGCAGAACTAGTAAGTTCAACTCCGTAGTAAATAAAAGCCTTGCTGACGAAGATAGGGTTACTCTTCGACCAGAGCGCAGCTCCTGAGTGTCCCTCCATACGCAGTTGCTGCAGTGCTAACTGTCGCAATTGGTTACATTGCCGATCGCACGCGGGCAAGAGGACTCTGTAACATTATTGTTTCCATCATTGGTGCAATTGGTTTTGCGATGCTTCTCGGTGCAAAGACTGCTGGTACTCGTTACGCAGGTGTTTTCCTCGGCGCGATGGGCATTTATCCTTGCATTTCCAACACGATTTCTTGGACCAGCAACAACGTTGAAGGTAAGTCGGTCGTCTTATGATCCAACTGATTCATGACTAACAAGCGGCGTACAGGCGTGTACAAACGTGGTGTCACACTGGGTATTGTGATCGGTTGGGGTAACCTTAACGGCATTGTTTCGTCAAATATATACCGTGGCAAAGATTCACCCAACTTCTACCCGGGTCACAGTACCGTCCTTGCATATCTTGTGCTGTTCCTCCTCGGCGGATCAATCTTGCAAACGATCCTGCTCCGAATCGAGAACAGGAAGCGACAACGTGGTGATCGGGATTATCGTATCGAAGGTTTGAGTGAAGAGGAGATTAGGGATCTGGGAGATATGCGACCAGACTTTATATACACTACTTAGACTTCGCTCTGGAGTGCATGATATACACGTTAGATGGAGCGGGTGATCTGAAGCCAAGTTAGTTCGAGCCACCAGAAGGATATAGAGAACCGCACCTAGGTAGATAGGTGTACTCATCCATGATTGGACAGCAATCTATGACGAGTGCAAGGCACGTTCCAAGACCATTTCATAACTATTGAATTGAATATAGATTCAAAATATCCTGATTCTTCTTCGGCCCCTTGACAACATGTCTACTAGCCCAACTCAACACTTCCCCCGTTTCCGGTACGATCCTAAACGAATAAGCCGTATAATACATATCCTTGACACAGAGATGATCCCCTGTCGCTTGAATCACTGTCGTCTCTGGATATTTGTCCCTGAGGGCAGGGAGAATCAACGGCGGAGGTGTTGGCGGATCAAATTTTGGTTTTGTGGTGTCTGTTTCTTTCTCTTCTTTTGCCTCTTGTGAGTAATTGAAATCGAATTCATGGAATAAATAATCTGGCTCGTCTTGGCTGTCGGCATTTCTCTCCTCGCTGGGTTTTATCTTGACGAACCAGACGCTAATTCCACCCATTTCTGGATTATTTTCTTCTCGCTCTGTAGATGCATTCGCACCGTTCAACCGCCAAATGTATTTTTTCGTCCACTTCAATCCTGCCATACCCATTACACTACTCGGCATTTCTCCTTCCTCCTTGTATATTATTTGTCTATACGCGGATGAGCCTTGTGTCCCGTCATGTTTGTCATCGGAAGGTGTGGGTTGCAATGGATGGAAAGTCGCTATTCCGTTTAGTTCGCCGTTTATGTCAGCAGGATTGTCGCTGCGGAGGATACGATGGAGGTGCCATTGGCGCGTTGGTAGATTATTTGATGAAGGGGAGGACAGCGAGGTGAATAGCAAGGAGAGGATGCGGGGTGATATTGGAAATTTCATCGTAGTTGTGGTTGTGGTTGTTTCTGAGGAGGGCATATTGAGAAGAGCTTCTGCTTTTGGTCAACGTTTGTTGGTAGCCCATATGAGGTTGTAGATTGTGTGGAAAAAGTGAATTTCCTCTTGGAGAAAATACAGTGAGGTCAAAAGAAAGTTGACTGATCTCTGGTTAAGCTGCCGGTGAAGGTTAAGGTTTGTGCCAATGAGATCTCAAACTCAGCCAATCAGCGTACGCAAACTATATCCTGCAATATTGCAATATGACAGTATAAAGTGTGAATCTCACGAAATTTATAGTGTTCTTTGGATAGTTTTATGTAAATATCAATTAATTACAAATCCATTAAGCCTTCTGATATAATAAGATAAAGAATCAATGAGATGATTGCCATTTCAATTCGATGTATCAACAGCATACCTACCTAGGCTGTCTCTCACCTGGGCAAGACTGTTTGATAACCCGGCGAGACTCGACGTACTTATCAAAATCCTCTGGAATCTTCGTCATGTCTGCATTTGGGAAACCCTGGGCCCTGTTTATGTTCCTTTGTCCACCTCAGTACAGGTGTTTGGATTTGCAGTGTTAGGGATCGCTCTTGCTCCAACCCTAACTCGGACCTTGGCGCTCAGAATAACTTCTTATTGTTCTCTGTTCTTTCTTGATTGCTATATGTGGTGCCTTATTTCCATTGTTTCTTTGTTACATTGTACGAGTACGGCCTCACTGTTCTTTGTTCGATGGTATCTGCTATGCCGGTTTAGAAGCTCTACCATGTGCTGGACGAAGCTTACAAGGAGCTCAACATGCCCATACAGTTCTTCCTGGGGATCAGCTGTCGTTGTTCCCTTTCTTGTTTTCTTGTTTCTCCTTTTCTTTCATGTCTCTTTCGAGTTCCTAGTTTTAGTTAAGTTCTCGCCAATCTATATATATTCCCAAATCAGTTCCTTACATGCAGGTTATAGAGAATGTGAAGTTAAAGATGGATTATTTCCAGTCTATGGACCTGCATTAGGGAACAGCTGTAAATGGTGTTACTTAGAAATAAAGGATTTTACATATTTAAATTTAAGTTTACACGTGAAAAGCTTGTTAGAGCAAAAGAAATAGTATATATGCACCAGAAGCTTAGACTAGTTAGCTGTAAAGGTTATAATTTCAGATCAGAAATATAATATACTTGACTATACATATTTTAAGAGCTTCTAGAGAACAGTAGCGATTGCTCTAGAGTTAGAATCAAGCAGGGGAAAACAGCCTAAGAACATAGTGCATTTTCTAGAATTAAATCTATGGAAAGCATTAATGTAGAATATCAGTTTCAGTACACATGTGCGCCTGGGCGCTGACAAAGTTATGTAATAGAAGCTATTATCATTAACTAAACCTATCTATTCTGGAATTAGGACACATCCATGGGTCTTTCTTTAGATTATCTCCCCCTAGGTATGTGTGATGCTCATCATTATTCATCAGACTGATGATGTGAATATGAGAGCTCATTTCAGAACAGTTAAACACCTCTGTTGGTCATGTGTCATGTTAGCAGTTCTACCTAGGTAGTTCTTGTCATCTCTAAAAGCCCATGGTATTTCCACTTGCTTCATGTCCTTCATCTACCGTCAACCACGCAACAACACTCTTGACAACGAATCATCGACATTTAAGAAATACAACGAGCTTGAAAGATTGACACCATGTCATTCGACCCAACTAACCCCAACCCCACCATGGGCGATACTTTCAAGCCGTCGCCATCCACAGCAGTCCCTTTACACGGAATCGCAATCTCAAGATCTAGAGATACCCCTGTGAAAAAGAAGAATTCCCCAAAACGAGACATGGATGACGATGTCATCATGGCAAGCAGCGAGAGTTCCGAAAGCGACACTCTTGGCAATGCGTCAAATAATAACGATACAGGCACAACTCGAAAAGCAGACGAAGTAATGTATGAGGACCTGGACAATGGGACGATATTTTCAGTTTTTCCTCTCGACAGTTCCGAAGATGGTGATGACAATGACAACGACGATGAAGACAGCCCTGAAAAGGGCCACAATAACAACGAATACTCCAGCATCGACAAATCCAAAGTGTTGAAGAATGGTGACAATCTCACAGATTGGTACAACAATATCAAAATTAGAACCCAGTCACTCAGACTTGTCAAACGTCACATATTCTACAGCAAGGCTTTGGAATTTGAGCGTGAGAACACATACATAAGTCTTGGACAGCTGGATTCGCGCGACGAGGACTTTCTGCGAATCGTACCGGTATTCGAGATTAACATGATTCCGGACGCAGCAAATCCCACCAATGTTACCAAAATGCGTACGTATTTCTGGGAAGTTGGGGAGGCTATTAGGAAGCAACGTTCCAGGACAACGCCTTCGAGCATATGGCAGTCGCTGGAAAGGACACTGGAAAGTTTGGTGTGGCCCGAAGCTGGAATTGTCGCAAAATAGCATGTGCTAGTTTTGAGCAGTACATGTTAGTCTTGCTGGAGATTCCATGCCTAATCATGTTTCATGTCATTATCTACTCATTAGATCCATAGCATCGAGCAGTCATACTTAACGTAGTATCCAATCAGATGCTCTCCATCCCATATCATAGGTCGCAACAAAAGTCAAATGTAAGTAACCTAGAGGGAAATCAGTAGACTCTAATCTACTTCAGCAGTCAGTCGGTACCCCTAGCCCTAAACCCTAGCCCTAACTCAATACTTATATAGGGATTGGCGCCTAAACTCCGTAAGCAAGCGTAGCATCCTAGCAAATCATCAGCAGAAATTTAAGGACAGAAGTAGTAATTCAATCGGTACTTGACTCAAGAAGGCTACAAACTCAGGCGTGAGTGGGGTGGGGGGCTTTATGAAGCTGTGGCTGGCATTGCGTTCTCGAGCCGAGTAACTAGTTACGCTTTCCGCATGCGGCCTCAACCACATCTCATGATACTCAAAAGACCAAGGTTTAGAGGCGACATCCCGTGAATTCTTCCAAGGTTCTTACAGTACCTACCCGAGATATTCTGCCTAGGCAGGACAGAGCTAATTCATCCATGAACCTGTACGTCCATGGATACATGCCCCTTAAGATTACGAATCTAGGTAAGACTCGGAGTAAACAACTACTAGCATCGGTCATACCCACTTCACTGAATCGCATTTCATTCAACAATCTGCCTGAGCAAGTATCAGAACTATCTAGCAATGACACAAACCAGCAACAACAACCAAAGCCAAGACAAAGGGGTAAGGATATGGATATATCTGAGAACGCCGAATCCTTCCTAGTAACACAATCCTCTGTGTGCTGGTTCCCATAAGATAACCAGACAGGCAAAGAAAAATAGCAATATAACACCGCCTCTAGGTGGTTCCCTTTTTAATTTCCCCAGTAATAACATAACACCTAAGCTCCAGCCAACGGATATCAATTTTAATGATAATTCAAGAATGAGCAAAAAAGTATAGCCAGAGAAAGGAAAAGAATCATGGGCATGAAGGAGAAGTAAGAAAAAAAAAGCAGAAAGGGAAGAAAAAGGGTTTAGTCGTATTCGTCATCTCCTTCGCCGCCTACCCCTCGTCCCTTGACACCATCCTTGCGAATGGGGATTTTGATACCTTGTAAAGCGAAGCACTTGCTCAAGGGTGTGCTCTCAATCACACCCGGGAACTTCTTGGCGGAAAAGACTTGAAATGGTTCTGAGAAGACAGAGGCAAGGACAGGGGCGGAGCCGTGATTGAGAACGGGGGCACCTGAAGCACCTGGAGATTGCGATGTTCCCACGTTGACAAAGTTCATTTTCAGTCTGCAAATTTTTAGTTAGAACTGGATAATAAAAACAAAAAGAAGGGGGGGGGGGAAGAGGCATACCGAAAAGTCCCCTCTGTACGAACACTCAAATCCTGCAAGATAAACCACACGCCAATCTTATTATCCGGATCTGTTAATCGGAACGCACTCGCACTCAAACTTCCAATCAAATTCCTTGTAAACATGCCTCCCGGAGCAGCAGACTGAGGTGACAAATTAGGCGCTTGCATGCCACCCTGATAATAGCCCCCTCCATAATACGGACCGCCCTGAGGTGGAGCAGCAGCATACGGGTTTTGATACATTGAATTCTGACCGTAATAACCAGGAACCTGTTGATGATATCCTAACGACTGCTGCGGATAACCATGTTGACCAGCAAACGATGGATATGTAGGCGAGATATTGCTTTCCTGTGGAGGTGGATATGAAGACGAGGTTGCGGTAGAGATGGACGGTGAGTTTGCCGAATGACGGACGAGGTTGACTTCACTTGTCCCTTCTGCGTTCCATAAATCGACCGTGAGGACATAAAACGAGGTATCGATTTCGTTAATATCGATTTCTTTGTCTGTATTGGCGTCTTTGACAATCAATCTGATACAGGGAGGGGGAGTAATCGGTCGTCGGTCCTACATCTGTTAGCCATTTTCTCCCGAGAGTACCTAGTAACCCACCTTATCACCGAATCCGCACATACGTGCTCGAATAGGCTGCTGAACAACATGCAACGACCATATGCGACCTCCGTGTATAGTCGAAACAGGTTTTAGATGTTCGGTAGAGCGCAAAGGCGCCACGGTCACTGAGGTCGGGTACACAGGGCCTCCCGGGGGAGCAATGCGATCCATAGAAAGAGGTGGCGGCTGGTGAGGAATTGGCTGGGACCTGTCATGCTCGACGGCGGTATACATGGTTCGGACGAACGTGGTACGCTTACCACGGTGAGGACTATGGAGAAACGAATATATGTAGTAGAAGTGGTAAAAAAGAATAGATTCTTGTAGTAAAGAGTAATCAGATGAACCGCGATCGAATGAAAAAAAGTGGATTTATCTGGTCTTTGTTGCAAGCGTCATCGTCGTAAGTCAGTCCCAAGACGGATGGAAGAATGCAGGAGCCGCCTGGAAATGGTAGCGGCTAGCCGGATGGGGTTAGCGGGGTAGTCTAATGATATCAAGCTTTATGTAATCGTCTCGACCGTTACGCCGTTACGCTGAGATCATTGTGAGCAACACAAATAAGCATTTTAAGTTAACTGGAGCTAATGAGCACCATCTTGGGGATTCATCGTTGATGCCAGAAAATGTAATAGACAGCACCTACGCTCAAGAAAGCATCTATCGATGTAGGCCGTATGTCACGTGCTTCTATTGTCTCTAGTATTGAGAATAACTGTACAAGAGACGATCATATCATTTGACAATTCGAGTGCAATGCTTCGTTAATATCCAACTGTATACAGAGACTGGATGAATGTAACCAATATGCGTATGCAGAAGAAGCTTAATGCACAAAGTCCGGTAAAGTCTATTGCTTCTCAAAGTGTAGGAGTGATTGTGATGCAATGCTACTTCTAAGATGGGAACTTAATACAATACTAACCCATAACTCCGTACCTATTCTGTAGAGACTAGAGGTCATATAATAAGAGACTGCTGGCTGAAATTCGCACCTCGACTGAATCGTATCTTGACAAAGTACACTTCTGCCACTTAGTATGATCATTACATCTCACTGCAACTCAATAATATTCAACATTCATCGCACATATCGATCTAATCTAATCAAACAGACTCCTTCGTGCGTAGTGGCAAACAAGACCACACTCTAGCCACATTTATGATATCAGACAATTGAAACATGATAAGATAAGATAAGATAACCTGATAGTCTAGAATCCAGGCACCAAAAGACGCCGAACTTGCCGGGCCGGCGATCTTCCGAGTTCCGACAATGGTACTTGCAACGCTAACCGGATCCTGGTTAGAGATTATGCACATCATTCGGAGTGTCCAGTCGATTTATTGGGGTTATCAGATGATTTGATCTCTGTGTCAGTGTGTATGATGGGTTCTTGACAGAGTGATTACTTGTCAGTGCTGATTCCGCAAGGGATTGGTCAATCGTATACTTATGCACTATGGATGTAGTCAGGTAATGCACAGATGTTACAATCGTTTTATCTAGAAGCTTGGGCATTCATGCACACGACTATTCAGACGAATTGTACGGAGTATAGACGTGCTCTGCAAGGAGCCGGCTGCAATGAATATGTACACGTGATCCCAATCATTCCATTCTATCCGATTGCAGATCGTCAATGTCCACGGACGAAGCTGCCAGCATCGGAACCACATGGGAATACCCGAGGGCCACATGAGAGGATTCCTCATGCCTCTGTAGAGACTCAATTCATGTGCCACTTGCCATGTGCCATCTCATCCGTATGAATCCGACTAGTATCACAGACGTCTATCCATCAAATCAGATATACCTCAGTTCCCACTGACCGAATACGTGCGTACGAAGTAGACTGAAAACAATCGTGAAGCGGAGAAGACACTCACTGACTCAGAGTGTGGAGTAGAAAAAGAAACAAATTTTGAGGGTCATGTGTTCCTGTATGTTATCCACTTAGCGATGCCGTTCTGCCGATACCTAGGTACTGATCCTCTTTTCCTCGGGAGAATGACTGACTCATCTGATTAGAGGCTAGCCGTCTTAAGGCATAGGTCTTTCCTAAGTGGGTATAGGGTATTAAGTCTACTGAGATTTACAGAGATTTACAGAGAAAAGTATTATGGAGTCATCCGTTGATATTCAAGCTATATAGTCGTCTCAACCATAAACCGGGAGATCGATATCATGAGAAGAGTGAATCATGAGTAGAGAAAATCGTAACCAAAAAAAAGGAAAAATACGTCAATTCATAGACGATACAGGCCCTGTTATTCCATGCAATGCAATGCTCAAATGTATCGCTTATTCCAAAAATAAAAACGCCGGAGGATGCTCATTAGATCAGATGTCGCTGGGGTATATATTCATAACAAATCAATAGTCATAAAGAAGCAAGACTTTTGTTTTCAAAATCAATAGGCAGGAATCATTGTGCCTTGATGATGAATAAAGCCATGCTCTTCAAACAGTGATTGCGACTCTGTCTCGCTGAGCAGATTGGTTTGTGTTGCGGGTTGTTTTTTTCCCGAGGTAGAAGCAAAGGCATCCATGGTAAGTTGTTCGGGTGAGGGAGGCATAGAGTCTTCCTCGTCGTCCGAGGAGAGATCCTCAGTTAATCCGGGAGGAGATTGTGTTCGTGAGGGAGAGCGAGTTAATGTGAGACGAGCGGCTTCTTCCTCTTCCTCTTCCTCGTCAGAAGCAACCTCGTTCATTGAGATGAGGGCAGGAGGGGAAGCAGCGCGGCGGAGTGGTTTAGCGACTGCGGCAGCAGTGTAGATAGCAGTAAGATCTTCAAACTTCTCCTCATCGTCTTCTTCCTCCTCATCATAATCCGAGTAATCATCGTCGCTCATATCCGAGTCATCGTCGGAGACATCGTCCTCCATTGACTCCTCCTCAATAGTATCAGCCCATCGAATGTGTGAAGGTTGAGCCTTTTTGGTAGCGTTGCGAACGGTGTTGTTGAACCATTGTTCTTGTTCGCGTTCGGCATTGGCCAGATCCAGCATCAGCGAGTCCAAGAGGTTGGCGTGGCCGACGAGGAGACGCAGATCATGATCAGAGCGGGCAGCCTCCTTGGAGAGCTTGCTGCGGGCGGTGTGGGCCAGGTAGTAAGTCTGAGTGATGCTCATTTTCTTCTTGGGTTGATCTGGACGACGGGGGAGGAAGGATGTGTTGGAGAGTAGAGAGGGAGCCATTTTAGTTGGTTGGCTGTTCTGTATATATATGTGTGTGGTGAAGTGTGAAAAGGCCGAGTGAGTCAGAGCTTTTTTTTAAATTTGCTTTTTCCGCAGCGAGGGCAGCGAGTGGGCGGTGTAGGGTGAAACGTGGAGGTCGTCGTGGCTGATTGGCTTGCTGATGAACTATCGACGTTCTTTGTCTTGACTTGTTCTGTGTTATCTTGTCTGATGGTTTTGTTGTAGCTGTTGGTTGTTCTGTGTGATGGATCTGAAAAAGAATGCAGGGCAGTCAGCTGTTTTTATGTTCCGATGAGAAATCACCATAAAATTAGGCTTTCGGATTTCTCATCAATCGCGCCAAAAAGTCCACATATCCGTGAGCCGAACTGACTCATCGCGCTAACCAGGAAAGGATTTGTCAAGCTCGGCGTCGGAAGTTGGCAGCTTTTTACGGCCGGAGCTGGAGTTAAGCTTACCCTACGAAAAAGGCATCTTACGGCCGACCACAGCCATCTTCCTAGCCATACTCCATACATAGCCATCATACCATGGATGTTCCTCCATGGTCTGATTCTTTTCATTCATTCCTACACTTTACGCCCTTAGATAGTTCTTTCTTTCGATACACCGCTACCACTACACATGCATACTAACCATCGACGTAGGTTTAGGGTCAAAGCTCACTGACAAACCCGTCCGGATTTAAAATCAAGCTGTGTCGCTTTCGGATTCGACCTTTTTCCATCTGGTGCCGCCTTAAACCGTAAACCCTTAATTCCAGGCGGGTATTACTCATCTTACATAGTAGTCTCCGTGCTTGGCACCACTTTACTGGGAAAAAATCTGCAGGCCCCACGATTGGACGACAGACCCGCTTAGCAATCAGCCTTTTTTTTTTCTCCAATTCATCCGAGGTGACTAATTCTGAGCCATGGGTTGTGATTATTAATTTTGTGTTTGCATATATCATGAGTGCATCATATACGAATTTAATTTGAAATATTCTTGGATCCGAAGCAGTTGCTAAAAACAACTGTTTGTCGATGTGACAAGTCTGCCTGATGGTCGATCACTGCGAGTTAACTCCGTTGTCCAGGCAGCCCAGCTGATCCGAAGCACAAGCCAATCATAAGGCTGGATCGCATTGATTCAGTTATGCCCATTTTCCCATATCGACCAATCACCTTGCAGAATCATGCATGCAGATCTTCAATGATTCATGATGCCTAATTCTCAAGGCTTTCAGTTTTATTTTCTACTTAAAGCGACCAACACTAACCATCCCATTCTCAGTAACGAATGCGATTCTCACCACAATTCCCCAGTTTCAACGAGGAATGCCTGGTGCCTGCCCTGAGGCTGAAACGAAACATACTCAGCCTCCTTACCGCTCGCTTCTGTTGCTACAGTTGCGAAGGCTTCAAAGTTTTCTATACGAGAGTGGATACAATCCTGAATCAAGGGCCAGCCCTCCGTCATATTCGTGCCTATCTGATTGTACTATGTACGTACGGAGGACATTTCTGCTGGGGAAGCTTCTTGAGGCTGAACTGACTCAGCTGAGTCACACTGCTCGCATTGACCAGTTATGTCTGCCCTACCGTCCACCTGCACCCCTCCACAATTGTTAAAAGACTTTTTAAAAACAGCCCTAGATGCCTTATGGAGGGCTACATGTACGTATAGATTGAGTTTTTTTCAATCAAGGTTTTTTTTTTCCCTCTCTCTTGTCTTTACTTTCCCTCGTCTGATAGTGAATGTCTAGATCCTAGAGTATGATTTGTTGCTTGATGCTCACATAATGTATTGTCCATCAGCCTGTTTAGGATAATGGAATAATGATTAATCATCGGTATCTAGACTTTTTCACCCGCGGAGTCGGTACGTCGGTGCTTCGGATTCGATAAAAGTGCGATTTTTGATGCGCATAACTCTGCGCTAAACCTAACCCAGACTAGAAACCCGAGCTTTGAGCGGACGGATATAAGCTGGGTCTTTTCGTCCGGTCAGGTCACGTGCAGGCTCGGTAACGGACAGCTTCCGGAGTAACCACGGAAGTTCGGATAAAGCAGCGACTCTGCTCGAAAAAAGAACGAAACGAGTCAATGATGTAAACAGGCCATGAGAATCTGGTTCCGGCCGAAATATATCAGTATCCGCTATTTGCTGCTTTTGTGCTTGGAGCCCTACTACTTGCAGTCTCAATCTGATCTTATCTCCGGGTGGTCTAGATTCGTTTGTGCTTTAAGCTTGATAGCTTACTCCTTACTCTGAGTACGTATCTGATAGTTCTTTAACTCTCTTTTCAGCGCACTCGCGCTACGCCGTGCAGCACAAACAACATGAACCCTAGACGACGCCATCGGTCCCGGATTAAGCTTAGCACCATATAGGGGAGGGTTACCAGGGCTGGAGTCTGGCTCGCCTGGCATCTCTTAGCTAGCTACACAACATCGACACACATTGTGCCGATACATGGCTATTCTAATATGAAACCTTCTATCGCAGTACCTTTTCAATGGATATAGCCGATAAGCGGTACATACTGTTATCAGTGCGATTCTATTGGTTAGATTGTGACTATGGAAATGACCCACCCAAGGATCAACAAAATCTGGAGGCAAGCACGCGGAGAAGAACTTTAACATCATCAAACTATGCTTAAATCTTATTCTCATCTGTAGATGAGAATTACTGCAGAAATGGACAATCCAACGCATATAATTGATCCCGATGGAGAGGTGATTCTCGTCTTGAAAGATGCCAATCTTCCGTTCGCAGTGTGGCCGGACGAGAAGGGGGATGAGGGGGAGAAAAGGTATTTCTGGATTGAGTTTGTATGAGTGTTATGTGCCATGGTTGACATTATATTTAGCATAACATCTGAAGTGCCCAGTCAGGATAATGCACAAGAATCAGAGACTGAAGTGGAAGTAGAGGAAGAAGAATGTTTCCGCATACGAGTCTCTGCCAAACACCTCACCCTTGCTTCACCAGTTTTCAAAAGCATGTTAGTTGGAGGTTGGAAAGAGAGTAATACCTTCCTTAACAAGGGATCTACTGAACTCGCTGTGCATGGATGGGATCCCGAAGCTTTCTTGATATTCTTGCGGATACTTCATTGTCGGAATAAAGAGGTACCTCGTAAAGTCAGTTTGGAACTCTTTGCAAAAATTGCTGTTCTGGCGGACTATTATGGGTGCAGAGATGCAATGGAATTTTTCACGAGTGTGTGGTATGATGAAACACCCGGTGATTTGATCTGGAATCGAGATCTTATGCTTTGGTTATGCATCGCATGGGTTTTTAAACGATCCGAGGCTTTCAGGTCGGCGACCCAAGTTTCCATTCTGAATAGCACGACTCGGATATCGAGTTTGGGACTTCCACTTCCTGCGAAATTGATCGGTAAGTTTGGAGAACTGATTCTCTTCAAAAAAAAGATTGGAAGACTGATTATTTTGTAGACAATTTGAATGAGAAAAGAGAGAAAGCCATCCAGTCGGTCCTTGCTGCACTTCAGAAACAACGGAGCATCTTTCTCGGTGACAGCTGGGCCTGCGAATATGCATTTGAATGTACATCAATGTTGCTGGGTGGGCTTGAAAAACAGATGTTTGCCAATGGTTTATCACCCGAACCAGTCCCTCCTTTCGTCGGTTTCAGTTATAAGGATCTGGTCAACAAGATTCGGGCCTTCAAGGCACCAGAATGGTCTGACGACCATTCTTGCATTCCCTCGGGTAGAGGCTATGACCAGCTCAAGCTGTCCACGGACATGCAAGGACTCAACATTAATTACTACTCTTGATTTTCGCGTGTCTCAGCGGATTTCCACCTTCACCGAGTTTTAAGCTGTCGTCGTTATAGCTTGCCCGGATCAGATAAGGTATTTGTTCTTGTCGGAACGTGAATGTCGACCCTACGCGTTTCGGCACTGGATATTAGTTAGTCCGACGCGGCACATGCGTGCCGCATATATATCTAGCTAGTTATCCCCTTATTCTTGGGGGGCAGTCATCAATATCAGGAATTCCATACCATATTGATCAGGCTCGTCAGCTCGTCGGATTAGCTGTTCTACGTGTCTAGTGCTAGCGACCTAGACGTAGATAAACTGACAGTTCCATATTGAAGCTGTACATACATCTACCGACACAAAGGAATTTTCACTATTGCTGGCAGCTCTTATCTACTTCTTATCAATAAGCCATGCTAGCTATTTCTGCCCCACTAGATTTCGAGGATTAGGTAAGCTAAACCTAATCAAGGAAAGCCTACAACATTGATACAAGGAAAATTCGAGAACTGAAGACACAAGATTGAGCCTACGAATCAATTTTACAGCTCTATATCGAGAATCTTCTATTGAGATTGTGTGAATATTGTCTGTATAGGATTCTCAAGTATAAATAGTGTCCAAAATCCCATCAAGATGTAGATAGGAGCATGCATAGAATTAGGTCAATATCAATATTTCCCACTATAAGGCGTCCTTGGGTGTTGAGCTTAACTGAGTTCGTGCTAGTACATAGCAAATTTCGATACTAGATAATGATCACGTGTTAACACAACAAACTGCAACTATGATTAGTTGAACCAAATAATAATCAACCTCGCTATGTATGAGACTGCCATAACTACACAAAAATTGAACAGCAAAGGTTTCATTATTATGAACACCCCTACCTATCTCGGTGTGCAATAATGGATCAACCAACTAAGAATAAAAACCACGTGATAGATCCAGATGGAGAAGTGATGTTTCTCCTGGGCAATGCGAATGCTCCATTCGCCGTCTGGGACGAGAAGAAGATCGGCAAACCGACTCCCAAGAAAGCTGTCAAAAAGCCTCCGAAGAAGAAGGCCAAGTTGGATAGTGCAAAGGTTTGTTTTTAGTCTTTGAAATAATTCTTCTCATGGGAAGTTAACACGCTGATTGATGCCTTCCCCTGAAAAATAGGAGTACATTCGTATCCAGGTGTCTGCTAAACATCTAATGTTAGCGTCGCCAGTACTGAAAAAGACCCTTTCGGGTGGATGGAAGGAAAGCGAAATTTTCGCTAAGAAGGGTTCAATAGATCTCGTCGTGGAGGACTGGGATCTAGATGCATTTTTACTCTTTCTGCGAATCCTTCATTGCCAACATCACGATTTGCCCAGCAGCGTTACTCTGGAAATGCTGGCAAAGATTGCAGTGATGGCTGATTACTATGCGTGCAAGAATACAGTCGCATTTTTTGCGAATTTATGGATTGAGAAATTGGAACCAGCCTTTCCCACGGAGTATTCACGTGATTTGATGCTGTGGCTGTTTGTATCGTGTTTTTTTGACAAACGAGAACTGTTCGCGAAATCGGCCTCCATTGCTATGACAAAATGTAATGCTCCAATAACAAATTTGGGTCTTCCAATCCCTATCAATGTGCTCAGTAAGTCCTTTTCCGACGTTTTGGCATCGTCCTTTATTGACATCCTCTACCAAGACAGGATAAATATCGACAGAGAGTGGTACATACAGCACGTTATGAAACGTTTGAAAGAACAGCGTGACTTGTATCTAAGTAAAGACTGGTCTTGCTCATTGGATTGCTGCTCAATGTTATTAGGCGCATTAGAAAAACAGATGCATTTGAACGGCCTCTCTTTACCTGGACCCCAGCCTCCGTTCTACGGAATAAGTTACGAGACACTTGTCACCGCGGTTCATTCTTTCACTATTCCTAGGTGGGCACCAATATCAGATCTTACGGGTAGGTATAATACCGAGCATTATTGTGAAGAGACACGTCGGGGATACAACCTCTTGGAATTCAAGACTGTTTGCGAGAGTTTATTACGAAATTGGTGACGACATCTAAGATTAGTGATGCCTTGTAAGTAAAATGCTTACATTGATAGTGCATAAGTCAGTTACTTGGTTCAGAACGAAGAAATGGCTATTTATTACGTGGGTCCCCGGTAGACGCGACCTATTTGCGGAGGCGAGTTCCATCGCTGTAAATCAAAGTAGGTCTCCAATAAGAAATTTTTGGGCTACCGATACCTCCTGTGATGCTTGGTAGGTGGTCACAAATCTTAGCCACTTATATTCTGGTATAACGGAACGCAGACTGAACAATCTTTGCCAGACGCGCTCAACCGGAAGAGAGAGGCATCAGAGTACTTTTCCACCGTTTAACAGAACAACGACTCCAATTCCTCGAAGACAACCGATCATGCTCGTTCCATTTCGCACCCATGTTATTTCTATCAATATGACTTTGGGTTCCTAGGACAAACAAATTCACTCCGGTGGTGTCAAAGAAACTCCAACCCCCTATACTGGCATGAGAAACCGAAACCTCATTGCTGTAGATGCTTCTCTTGAAGTTCCAGAGTTCACAATAGTATCCCGTGCAGATCGAGTTGCGAGGTGGCATACTTGTGAGAGGATCGCCCGTGAATACACCCATTTGATGAAGTATTCCAGCTACTTTGGAGGGTTTGAAGGGGTATCAGTGATTGGTGCTTGATGACCCTTTTTCTCTAAGCAGAAACCTTCTATTAAATATGGTTTAATCAGGTACTAGATCTTTCACTTATCAAGTCATATGTGTCTTAGTTTCGGGCAGTTTCTTTATACTTCATCAATTTGGATCTTTGTTCCCACTTTTCCTACCCCGGCAACCCGCTTTGATAGAGGAAGGTGGTGGCTTTAAGTCCTTTCTTGTGTTAGCGCCGATCAATATCCTGATGAGCCGACTGACTCGCAAGTACTTGTGCTGTATAATCCGATGCATCCTTTATCACCACCACTTTCATGAATGGTGTCATACCCTCTCTCACCCATTCTGCCAGAAGCATATCCTTATACGGCGGAAGATTCATCAAAGCTCCAGATAGTACAAGCACGCTGTTCCGAGGATGACACACGTTCTTTGCTGCCAGGGGCTTGATCATTTGGACAAGGGACTTTGTCCCGGATTGCAAGATAGATTGCGAATGGGTGTCGGGATTCACACCTCTGAATCCTAGTTCCGTGACGATTCTTGCTAGACCACTTATTCTATGTTTTTGTGAGATATCCGAAGCGAACAAGGTGGAAAGAACCTCGTTCTCTCTACAGCCGAGTTTGGCCAGAATTGTCATTTCGAGTTCGGTAAGATTGCGACTCTTATCGAACTGGCTTTGCTCTACCTCTGCCAAAACAGATTGGAGTGCTCTTTTACCGATATCAAATGCACTTCCATAGTCACCGAGAATATAACCCCAGCCACCAGTGCGGCCCAATTGGATGATCTTATCTCCCTCCTTTCTAAACGCTGTCGCCACAGACCCGGTTCCGGCGATGACCGAAATGCCACATTCACCGGAGCCATCAGTAGAGATGGCCGAGCTCAGAAGCATGTCGTCGCTAGTGAGTCGCATTTCTTTGTGCCGGTATGAAACATTGAACAACTTCTCCAGTCTCCAGATAAGTTGCTCAAGGTTGCTATGGCTAGTGTGGTAGATGCCTGCCAACCCAACCCAGACCTGAGTCAGCTTAGGCAGGTGGTTTGGGCCAAATTGGTTGGCTTCGGGTAATTGTGATACTGCTTTATGGGAAGCCAACGTGATTTGTCTCATGATATCGTCCAGTTTAACACAGTTGAAGTTGCAAGCACCAGCTGTACCTCTTCCTACCACCCCAGACCTCGTGGCTATTGACACTGTGCATTTGGTACCACCTCCATCGACGCAAAGAAAGTACTCATATACGACAGGAAGTTCCGGCAACATAGAAATTGAAGGGCCCAAATTGTCGAGAAAGTTTCGAAAGTTTCCATCCACTGACACCAATCTATGTTTCGCATCTTTTAAGGCCAGGCCAGAAATGGCGACAGCACAAGCCAGCTTGATGCTTCCTTCACACTGCTCGATGAGACGGTCAAGTATAATATCGCCATCTTCTGATTCTGGGACATTGATCGACGTTGAAGAGACAGTTCCATCTCGATCCAAGGTATACACTGGACACCCTGCGCAGACTTGGCGCACGATTCGTCTTCCACGGGCCCTGAGTTTGTGGTTCTTAACTCGAACATCAATCATAAGACTTTTATAAGTCTTCCCAAGCTTTATCATGGAGCATGTACTAATCATGTTGAGGATTTGCTTTGCGGCGCTGCCAGCTTTGAGTCTAGTACTTCCAGCCAGAAATTCTGGGCCTGTCAATACACAAATGCTGTACGTTGGTCTAAGTGCATCGAGAATGGACAGATGGGTGTTGGTGAGAGCAGCACTAAGACAACTCTTTTCTATGGCTGTTCTAAGTGCACCAAGAACGAAGGGTGTCCTCCCCGATGCAGAAATACCGATGACAGTGTCTTGCGGCGTTAATTGAAGAGCTTGCAATTTGGTAACGCCATCGTCTTCAGAATCTTCGGCGCCCTCCTGTGCGTGGATAATGGCACTTTTACCTCCTGCGACCACAGTAATAAACTGACCTGGATCAACTGAGAATGTCACTGGTAATTCGCTACTATCCATAAACCCTACTCTGCCACTGTTACCGGCGCCAACGTAGATGAGTCTTCCCCCGGCCTGGAGACGCGGAACTAGGTCGTTGATCAATGACGATATATCGGGAAGACAGGACGCAATGGCTGTCGATACCTGTGCCTCTTCGTGGTTAAAGGCCTCGCAAAGCCCTAATGTATCGTGGAGGTCAATCTGGTGCGCCACCGGATTTCGGGCTTCGGTTTGGAGATGGTCCAAAATGTTCTCACTCCTTGATAACGCCATAAAGCTAGCAGTGATTTTCTCGGCCATTTGCGTTTATTCTGATTTAAATGAGAGCATGGGGTAACATTTATGTTTTGAGGCCACGATTAGGAGGAACAACCTTTGACGGAGTTAGGAGCGGATGTCGGCCAACCGATATCAGAGCGACATCCGGGCGAGAACTTTTCCATCGTTGCCAGGCAATCTTTCGTGAGAATCATTGGAGAAGCCCCAAGTAAACAATCAAATTGACTTTTTTCGTCATGACCAGAATATCTTGGGTCATGCTAGTCAAATCATTCTCAATGCTTGTTGTGTCTATATATTCACCGGGCCAGTCTCCCACCACGTCTCTCGTCAGATCCATTTTCATCCTTCCGTGCTACATCTTCTGAATTTAACTCTATCCAGGTACAGTCTACAGAACCTTCACAATGTCTACAGCAACGGCCGACGTAAAAGTTGCTCAGAGCAATTTGTCACCTTCAGAAAAGAAGGAAAGCTTCTGGCTCCGATTACATCATGACCCCTGGTTCCAAGTAATGCTCATATCCGTCATATCATTCTGCAATCCTGGCATGTACAATGCCCTTACTGGCATGGGAGGCTCAGGTCAAGTCAATACAACCGTCACCGCGAATTCCAACGTCGCGACTCATGCATGCACTGCAGGAGCTGCTTTGATTTTCGTGGGTGTCTTCTACAAATACCTCGGACCTCGCTGGTCTCTACTGCTTGGGGGATGGACATATGCCCTCTATGCAGGCTCTTTGCTGAATTACAACCGCACTGCAAATGGACCCTTTGTGATTGGGGCTGGAGCAATCTTGGGTCTTGGTGCGGCGTTTTTCTGGGTTGCGCAGGGCACAATCATGGTTACTTATACCACCGACAGTACTAGAGGAGGAGCTATTGCTCTGTTTTGGGTGATCTTCAACTTAGGTAGTGCGATCGGTTCGCTCGCTAGTTTTGGGCTCAATTACAATTCCAAATCCGGTACTGTCACTGACTCAACATACATTGCTTACATCGTGATTATGCTATTCGGTTGGGTATTATCTTTGTTTGTGTCTCCCGCGGAAGCGTTATCTCGCAAGTACAACGGCAGTCGTCTCTCTGAAGAATCCAAGACCCTCAAATGGGCGAACGTGAAGGTTACAATCGTGCAAACGGTCAAGATTGTCCTTGACTGGAAAATCATGTGTCTGTACCCAATGTTTTTCAACGCCAACGTGTTTTATTCATATCAGCAAAACGATGTCAACGGGATGACCTTCAACCTACGCACACGATCCTTAAATAGCGCCCTATATTGGATCGCGCAGATGCTCGGAGGACTTTTAATAGGCTATATCCTAGACATCAATTGCATTAATCGCCGAACAAGAGCACAAATCGGCTGGTCTATCCTCTTCATCACCGGTATGATCATTTGGGGAGGAGGCTACAAATTTCAAATTTGGGCCGATAACCGCCATCTCCCCAACATCTGAAACAGGATATTGACTATAAAGATGGTAGCATATATTTGGGTCCCATGTTTTTGTATTTCTTCTATGGTGTCTACGACGCCTTTTGGCAGGGGTATTGCTACTGGATAATGGGCGCTCAGTCGCGCGACCCGGTTGTCAATGCGGTCATTATCGGGGCTTATTCTGCGTTGAAACCTGCTGGAGGATCTATGGCCTGGAGAGTGAATGCTAATGGTGTTAGTGCCATGGTTCAATTTGCAATGAATTGGGGGCTAACGATTGGGAGCTTGGTTGTGGCTGTTCCAACTGTGGTTACCTTGAGTAAGCATAGCTATACTTCGGAAGAGGTTCAAGAGGACGCGAAGAAGGATGACGTACAAGTGTAGTATATATATACATATATATCCATATAGCAGTACCCATCAGACTCGTCAGTTCTATCCATTAAAACTTGCCGTACTAGCTAGGTAATTGATCCTTATTTAAGTAAATCTATAATTGTGCGCTGAGGTTCGCAGTGATACGTATACATATCTGGAATTTCATTTACCTGTACATTTGTAAACTGGAGATGTTTGATTCCTAAAACTGAAAATCCTATATGTACGGAGGTGAGTTGCAATGCCGAGATTCACTAATATCACCTGGGCACCTGGGCAGTCTGAGCTATCTACAAAGAGAATATCTGAGCGCCAGTCTTCTGAAGCTTTCCATTGTATATTCCATAGAGATTGCTCAAGTACGAGCGCGTAGCATTCAGCCATGGCTGCTGACCAGCAGTCGCTTGGCAGCTATCGTTACATACGGCATAGTTCTTGCCGCCCCATATAACGAAGCCATCTAGATGACTGTTTGAGGACAGAATTTCAAGCTCTGTTTCCCATAGTTCGACCGGGATGAAGGAATAATTATTGTGGTACTGAGGCCAGGTATACGGCCAGATTGGTAGCGTATCATTTATTGCAGTAATGGTATTAATCACTGAGTTGAGTGAATTGTTCCATGTGGAGATGCTGCTGCTGAAGGTATATGCGGATGGGAAAAAAGCGTGACTGCTATAATTTGCAATCAAGCTTTGATAATGACCGTATAGCGATGGGATAGTGTTCCCAGACAGTCCGTACCAGCCTATTATCTGGCCAGGGGGTATAACTTCTGCAGCCCAGGTCTGCAATGAGCTCAGTATCTCAAGGTACAGATCTGCGGTGGACTCGTTGGTGAAGTAGATATCTTCACAGTCAAGTACCAATGGATATCCCGGATAGACGTTCCATTCGAGCACGATGTTTTTCCATTCTGTGACAGAAGGAAGAAACCCCCCTTTCGTCAAGGGATTGCAGACATAGGCGGGAATCCAGTTGATGTTGGTGCTTTGGTAACCAATGGAGGTGTTTGTATACGCCGTGTTGTCGAATACATGGAAATTAGAGGCCCGAGCAGCACCAACAACTGCAGCGGCTGATAGCACCTTAAGTATAAAGGACATTTTCAAACATGTAATCATAATCAATTGATTTACGGTAGAAAATCTCTTCTGAGCCTTTTGTTTTGGGCTAACCAGTGGACAGCAGCGTTACCGAAGGTGGCTTTTATATCCTTTTTATCGGCCAAGAGCTCATGCTGTTATAATTACTGATATTTGTATCCTTCATTTCCGAATAGAAGTATAGTATTGTTAATCTACAGTTGAAGTATATAGATGATAGGGCGACATCCACAGCTGACCGGATGTCGGCCTCTTAACAAGTCGAAGGGCGATGTCTCGATTACGTACTCGGGACCCCCTTTGCCCTAATCTCGATATAATGTACCATGTAGCTCATTGTGAGTTGCAACACGGTCAAAGAAATCGCGTGATCAAGATAAAGTTGCACTTTCGGCCAATGGAAAGGAGTACCAAGCGAGATCCGGATAACTACCGGGTGTCGGCATCCACATTCTCTGCAACATCATTTTGCTTGAATTGTCGTGATCACCGCTTGCCAGTAACTTCATCACCTTGTGAGAGACGTAACTTCATGCGTCTCTAATGTACCCTCCAAACGGGCTCTTCGGTGGGCAATGCCATGGTTGAACAGGTTTCCTCCAGCTGTCTTGTATGCCGGCGGCGAAAGGTGTGTATAGTCTACAGAACCTTAGGGAATCAAGGGCTCGTTAAACTGATCCGGGGATACTTACAGATAAAATGTGACCGCACTCCGGGTTCGTGTGAGAAATGCCGTGCACTAGGCGAACGATGCCTCTACTCGGCAGAAGCAGCGCAGGAAGCTCTCAATCCCAGTGATGCCATCACACAAGCTGGGCTCAAGCGTCGCCGAGTTATACGATCTTGTGTCGAGTGTAGACGGACAAAGTCCAGATGTTCCGGTCCTCCTGCGTGCGAAAGGTGCACAAAGAAAGCAATTGAATGTTGTTTCTATGACACAGATCTTGAGCACTCTTCCCCAGAAACAAGCTTCCAGCATAAATCTTCTCGCACAATACCGACATGGCTAGTGATTCGGAACTTGCCTCCTATTGATAGGATTCGCGAGCTGATCGACATCTACTTTTCTCATCTCCACTCCGTTCGTTGCATGGGATTCTTGCATATTCCAAACTTCATGGAGCAGTTTCAGAACTCGAAAACAGTATACTCAGAATTCTCAGGACTGGTCTATATCATGTGTGCATTGGCTGCTCCGATTTATTATGCAAAGACTATCGGTTACCCTGAAGAGGAACCTAGTTCTGACACTCGCTTTTACAATGCTGGTAAAGGCTGGGCCGAGGCGGCCATGCAGTGCGTTTTTGCGACCTTCGGCAATCCGACCATTGAATGTCTTATGACGGAAATTCTACTCCATGAATATTATCTCCGAGTCGGTGACTACTCAAAAGCATTTCTCATTTCCGGATCCATATCACGGAGGGTGCAACTACTGCAGCTCAACGTAGAGCACGACAATGACATCTTGTGCCAGAAGAATGAGATTTCATGGGCAGCAAAAGAAAGTCGCCGGCGACTTTTATGGGCTTGTTATCTGCTTGACGCATCCATCGAATGCGGTATTGACCAGCTCCGTTTTATCTCTGCAGGTGATCTTCAGGTCCAACTTCCATGCACTGAAGACTCCTTTATTCGAAACATGCCCTGCATTACGGAGATGTTGTCCGTCGGAAAGCTACTGCCTTTTGTCGAGAGGCAAGCATTGGCCACATTCACAGTCGAGAATATTGACATGCGTGGACATTACATTAGGGCTATGGCCATCCGTTCCAAGATACTGAAACATGTTAAGCACCTGGACGGAGAGATCCCCTGGGAAGCAAACGGAAACTCTCAGTTTCACGCTTTGAACGAGGAACTACGAGATATCGAAAATTCAATACCGGAAAGTATGAGAATGTCAACGGAAAATGTCTACATCTACAAAACCTCTGGTCGATTAAACCTATTCTTTGGCCTCCATATCCTTATCTCTCAAACTTACAATGATCTATATCGTGTAGGAGTCTCGAAGCTTGTTTTCCCAAACTCTGCTACCAAATGGATCCGCGAAAACGCCCCGGAGGAATTTATCAACATGTGTCATCACACTTGCCTTGAAAAGGCTATTTACATTGGGTCTCTTCTACAAGACCTTTGGGAACGCCATAAGCTCAGTATCATAGATACTCCGTATGCAGTCCACACGCAGATATGCAGCAGCGTACTGGTCACCAGCCTGGAGTCATGGAGAGTACTTGATCCTTCCATGTTCTCAAAATTTTCCTATCAAGACTGCCATGAAATATTGCAGAGCAATGTGCGAATTCTCAGTTTTCTCGCAAAGTACATCAAAGTAGATTTGTACTACGAGTCGGCAGTGCAGGCATTGCGGCGCTTTGACAGTTTGTTTTCTGGTGAGGCCAGGGGCGGCTTCTCAGCTATATCGGTTGAGACTCCAAGCGTAGTGGATAGGAATATGGAGCCAAAGAATCCAGCTCAGTTCTCTCTCGAATACATCCTGAACCCCTTGGGCACATACCCTATGGCGCGGAAACAGGTGTATGAACGTCACCAGTCAGAGTCAACCCAAGACAGACAGTCGGAGATCTCAACTCCCGAGATTCAACAACTTATGCCTCACCAACGTCCTTTTCTTAGCCGTATCACTGATGACCTCAGTCTATCAAACAACCGATTTTACTCCTCCAACGCAGTGTATAGCTTACCAAGCCCGGAAGAGGGTCTTTTACCTCTTCCGGACTGGGCTTCTGGAATTTCAATTATGGGTGGAATGGGGTATCCAAATTTTTTGGAGGAATTTTTGTAATAATTCAATCTTTTTGTATACCAGCTAAACAGAATATCTTATATATCTTCGGTATCTCCTCTAAATGAACCTGGTCAAATATCTTTCAGACAATGTCGATTACAGTTTGCTCGCCTGTAACCCTGCACGCTCACTGCCCGATGCAACAGGGACAGAGTGCTGAGATTGTCGATTTCCTTCAATACTGCTGTGTAGTTGTGTTCTTTCAACTACTTTCTCAAAGGCTTGCACGACATCATGTTCGGACAACCACACTGTATCAGGTCTATTCCTCATCCTCGAAATGAGCGCTGCATCCTCTTCTTCGCTAGAGACGTGTAATTCTGGTTTCTTATTAATCTGGCCGTGAACAATTTTTAGGAGTCTTCCCGTGTGTGGACGCCGAGTCTTGTCGTATAGCTCTAAGGCTTTTCTGATATCTGATGACCTAAACTTGGATTCGACTGGTTTGACTGCCAAAAAAACATGTTTGCATGCCAATGCTAGGGCGAACGAATCGTCAAGTGCTAGGGAACCACCGGCTGCAAAGGCACCACCATGAGTATGAGCAGCATCGCCAACCAAGGTTGCTCGAGACGAAAGAACCCATGTCGGGAGGGCCTCCCCAGCATAATTGGCATATAAACGAGTATAAGGGGTTAACTCAGTCAAGGCTTTGACAGTAGGGTTCCAATTCTTATACTTTTCTCTGAGAAACTCCACGTTCCCTGGTTGGTCCCAGGAGACTTGCTTTTCTAGCTCTTCTGCGCTACGTCCATCTTCATATGCGCCAACAGTGGTGTATTGCCCCTTGCCTATAATTAGTTAGGCCATCTCTCTCAGTACTAGAGAGTATAATCGCAGGAATGGGCTTACCCAATCTTGATGCGAAGAAATTATCTTTTGGTCCCCACTGGTTTGATGTTAGCCCAGGCCTTATTCGTGAGTAGTATAATATCGAGTACATACCCAATGCATAGAGTCAGCAGGTAAATCCGGGATTTTTCCTTCAACTATAGAAGCATCGAAAGTCGATCTGGCGAAGACCTTGCCACTGAACTTGAGTTTATACTCTGGGAAGAAAGACTGCCTCGTTCTCTGTTTCAGTGGTTAACAAACATCAACTGTGGGAGAATTCGTGAAGCGGACGAACCGATTTAATTCCATCAGCACCAATCAGAAGATCACCGTGAGCTTCACTTCCGTCTTCAAAGTAAAGAGTTACTTTATCGTCAGTGGCCACTGCACCAGCTACCTTTTTGTTGAGGTGAATTGACTCTCCGGGAACATGCTGCAGTAGGGCACTGTGCAAGTGTCCTCTATGGAATCGAGTAGTGTGATGACGCGGATTGGGCACGTTGACGTGAGTATCTACCGTTACTACTTGATTCGTTTTCCAGTGGCTTGTAGGATATTCAAGTCAGCAAGCTCACCTCTCTCTCAGATCTATCCGGTCCATGCTCATACCGGAAAATTTGGGGTATACCACTTGGCCCTCGATAGCCATTCTCATCTGTGAGTGCATTGTGGACACCGAGCTTTTCCAGAGTCCGCATGCCCTAGTAGGCCGGTCAAATCCAATACTAGAGAAAACCAGCAGGGAAAGAAGTCATACATTAGGACTAAGTGCAATGCTCGCTCCTATCTCAGTTAACTCTGGAGCCTGTTCGTACAGCTGGATGTCGAGATTTGGGATTCCTGAAATGCGACTGAGTGCTATTGCTGTTGCTAGCCCTGCTATACCAGCTCCGGCTATAAGCACTCGAAACTCAGGGTTATTCTCCGCCATAGGTATGCAAATATTTTCAACTTTCTCGATGTGAGTAGTTCGGAGACTACGAAAAATTAGCAGAGGCCGGAAGACTAAAGACAGTGATGGAGATATCACACCTTTCGAACCAAAGATATTCTGATATCCAATAAGCCGAGTGGAGGGGCTCACTTAAATATTTTCCCTTCATCAATTGGCAAGATAAGCACGTCACCGGCACGATACTGACGCAACAACAGTTTCTGCACGCAACTTTGATATGATCTCTGTTGAAATTCCCATGTTCAGTAATCTTTCTCGGAATTGAAGTCAATTGTTTACCGGAATGTCAATGCAGGTTCCCACGTTGAGACAGGGATGTCAACGGCCAAGCAGTTACGCTTGGGCCCAGCGAAAGGCGATAGATGTTTGCATAATGGCGAAATATGGGAGGTATTGCAGAGATAGATATTTATATGAGATTTTGATTTGTACTGCCAACCTTGAGACTGTATTTCTAAGGTTCCAAAGTTGTGTATGGCGTGCACCCCCAACAGACAACATGGCTTCAGATCACCGAAAATCGAACGCCAAAGCAGCTGTCCAGTCTGAAGATGACAGCTCTCCTCCTCCTGATGTACCCAAACTATCCGACCGCTATGCCGACGAGAGCTATAAACTCTTCCAGAAACTCCAAGTAAACGATCCAACTCCGGAAGAAGCTCGAAAGATTCGCAACAAATGCCTGTGGCGGATATTGCCCTTTCTTTGTATCGGCTATCATTTGATGTATGTCGACAAACAGACGGTAGGTTTGAAAAGATATTTCTAACTTGCAAAGGACGGGCGCTGACGGCTACGCAGCTGGGAAGCTCAGCAATACTTGGTATAATAAAAGATGCCCACCTTAATTCTAATCAATACAATTGGCTATCCTCGATCTTTTATTTTGGCTATCTCGTGGCGGAGTGGCCGCAAAACTGGGCTCTGCAAAGGTTTCCAGTGGGCAAATGGCTAGGTGGTAACCTAATAGTCTGGTCAGGCCCTCCATGTCTGTATTCGTCAATGATTTTGAACTTCATACTGACCTGCTAGCAGGGGCGGCATTACCCTTTTACATATTCCGTGCAATAGCTTCGCCTCCCTCTTCGTGGTCCGTTTCTTGCTGGGACTCTCAGAAGCATGCATCGTGCCAGCCTTCCTACTCACCATGTCGATGTTCTTCACTTATCAAGAGCAAGCGGTCTTGATGCCGGTAATGTGGTCAATCGGTAACGCAAGTCCTATAACATCGGGATTGTTGTCCTACGGCGTAATTTGGATCAAAACTGATGGCTTTTCTCCTTGGAAGTGGTTTATGGGTTTGTGTTTCACTTTGCATCAATGCTTCTGTGAAATATGAGTTCATATTGACATATTGTAGTTATCACCGGCGGCATCACAGTTATATTTGGTGGCATTGTTCTGCTTCTGTTCCCAGATAGTCCTGTGCATGCTCGGTTCCTGACATATGAAGAGCGCGCTCAAGCTATACTCCGGATTAAGGAAAATCATTCTGGAATTGAGCAGAAAACCTTCAAAAAGTACCAGTACGTGGTTTCAACTGCTCGGAAACTCTATAAATCGCGACACTGATGAATGAAGGTTTATCGAGGCAATTCAAGACGCTAAAACATGGCTCTTCTTCTTGCACGCCTGGTCGCAAGAGATGGCCAATGGACTTACCAATCAATACTCACTAATCATCAACTCATTCGGATTCACAGTCCTGCAGACGACCTTGCTAGGAACAGTCAGCGGAGCAGTTTCGTTTGTCTGTCTAATATCTGCTGCAATTGTGCTTCATAAGACTACAGTGAGTTTCTGGCTCGAATCTACCAGACGGTAATTGTTTACTGACCGAGCCAGAATTGTCGATCGTGGATTTCTCTAGCTTCATATATACCCGGCGCTTTGTCTAGTATACTTCTCTTGGGTGAGTCTGCTTTTCAATCAGCATAACTGTATCAAAGTGCTCAGAGTTCTCATACATACAGGCCTTCCATGGTCAAATCGGTGGGGTCTCATCACCGGCATATGGATTCGATCTACAACTGGCATTGCTTATGCTGTCGTCATGATATGGGCAGCTAATACTTCCGCCGGACATACCAAAAAGACCACAGTTATAGCCCTGTATCATATCGGATACGGATTGGGCAATATCATCTCTCCACAGCTCTTTCGGCCGCAGTGGAAGGTACGTTGTCCGCAAGCTAGTCGTCCAACATGGGAGATGAACACTAACAGAGTGACATAGCCACGGTATAGGCCGACGTGGATTATTCTACTTGTCGTAAGTGTCCTCCAACACTTCGACTGCATTAACTTTACTAATATCTTCGCACCAGGTCGCCGCAATCTTACCCTCGATCTGCATCGTAGCTCTTCGCATTATCCTTGTGAAGGAAAACAAGCGCCGTGACAAGCTACAGGAAGAAATTGATGTGCGAGATGATGGCATCGTCGAAGAAATCCACGACAATGGCACGAGTGTCACTCACGTCGTTGACAACAACCAGCTTGATTTGACGGACAAGGAGAATTTGAAATTGTGAGTCTCTTGTTGGGCAGTTTCATCTTTCGTGCTGCTAATTTCTTTATCTTGTAGTCGATACGTTCTCTAGTTTAAGTTCTGGTCATGGAAGATTAGATGCTGTCCGGGGTGTATAAACGATTCCTTACAATGTATCGAAACGGGCATACAGCATATAGTGCCATTACTGTCATAAGTCTAGTGAAATAGATCCAATGCTAGTTATAGAAGCAAATCTTTCTAGATCTCACTGGTGCATCCAGTTCGTAACCAGAAGTCTTTCAGCAATTGATTGTTAGACATTCGGAGATCAGCTAGCTGTAACGTCTTCATGTTGTTAGGGTTAGGGCTTTGTATGAAATTGTGCCATTGTGGCCATCACAAAGTGTAGCGGAAGCTTTTGGTACGTTTTGATGAATTAATGCTTGAATCTGTTGGTTATCAACGCACAAGTGATGTTTATGATATTCTGACAAAAGAAAAAGCACATCCTACCAGCTTATGTAGTAGAAGTAATTGTACGCCTTCGTCTCGGATCGGATAAAGAGCCGTTGTATTAATAAGCATGCCATCGGAAACTGAACCGCCTCTTCGAATGCTCCAGATTTTTCTGTCTTTTATCAAATTCTCATGAATGCGTAGTTAGACATTTTAAAAACGATTTCAACTGAGTTAGAGCTTTCAGATGTTACGTTGCCCTAGCAAGAGACCGACGACAAGGCTTTTCAATCACTCCAAGTTTTCTCTTTTCTTCAGAACGATGACAAATTACACCATTGAGATTACCTCAGACACCGTGTGCCCGGTACATACATATCCCATTCACCGATGACCTTCTTGTCAAAGAGACGACTGAACTAATTAGCATCATATTTCTATTAGTGGTGCTATATAGGTACATCTCGCCTCCAACGAGCCATCGCAGAGCACTCAAAAGCCAATCCTGGCGACACATTCGAGCTTAAATGGCACTCGTTCTACCTAAGGCCTGACGGACCCGGTTTCCCCGGCGTCAACAAGCTGCAAATGTACGAAAACAGGTTCGGCGACCCTGCGCGAGTTCAAGCTATGATGAAGAGAATCGGGGCCATAGGAGCCGAGGAAGGAATCAATTTCTCCTTTGGCGGCAATACGGGCTCAACGAGGGATTCGCATCGCCTTATCCATCTTGTTGGCAAGCATTACGGCTCGGAGAAACAGACGGAGGTTGTGAAGGCGCTGTTCAAGAAGTATTTTGAAGAGGAGCAGAATATCACCGATAAGGAGGTATTAGTTGACGCCGCGGTCAAATCGGCTGCACAGATACCTGAGAAGGAAGTCAGGGGATGGCTGGATTCTGATGTTGGTGGTGCTGAGGTTGATCGGGAAGCCAGACAAGCGAGACTAAACTCGATAACAGGGGTGCCATTTTTTAACATTCAAGGCAAGTATTCCGTTGAAGGCGCGCAGGATGCTGCGGAATTCTTGAGAGTATTCATGGCAGTCAAAGGGGTGGAGTAAAGCGGGTTTATGGAGTTTACGCCTTCAGTCACATATTCATAATGCGAAATTGATATTGTATTCTTGGGTGTCGTTGCCTGCAAGCGACATTTTTGACTATCCTCTCTGAGAATTTGTTGCGCTTGGCTGTTTCGATCAGCGCATAAATTTTTCGGGATGCGGTACTTCTTTTAGATATATGATGCTGTCAATATGATAGTGCTGGAAGATATTGCGATATGTACAGCATACCAGCTTCCAGATAATGCTTCTCACACTTTGTTGATTCTTAACATGTTAACGGCAATCATTTGATCTCTTCCTGTCGCTGCCGGGTCACTGGCGCGTTCATCAATTCTCGCCCGTTCTTTGGCCAGATGCTGCCCGGGTCGGAAGTTGCCACGATAGTATCATAATTTCCCAAGGTCAAAAATTGCAAGAATGGATTGTACGAAACTAATCAGAGAATGAACGGACCCTAGGTGTTTCGATCAAAATCTGCCGAAATAAGGTTGTACGGCAAAATTTCCTAATTAGGAAATATTGATGATGTTTCTTCATATCAGCTTTCCAGGCTCATTCGATCAAATCCAGACCCAGGCAACAAATATTAATACCTGATAAGACTACCTCGGACATCTAGATGATGTTTCGTTCTGAGTCAAGTGTTCAAGCATTCGATTGCCCTACTTTCATATGTACATATCCAGAATGGGCAGCGAAGCGTCTTTCATACTCAGGTATCCTACGCATTTTGCTCTTGTAGTAGACCTCCTTCCTTGGCTAAGCGATGGATACTCGGTAATATTTCGACTTCTGTCTGTGTTGTATCTCGAGGACCCTTATCTACAGCGCTCTTGCTGGGATTGGACGATTAGGACCTCCCAGCCCATACGCCGCACATAGTAGCTAGTTAGGGCTAGGTAGTGCATTGACAAAGTAACCGTGCATGGGCATACCTTATCAGCAGCGCTGATCGAAACACTCTCTCCCATATCACTGCTCCTTTCCTGCCTTATCTTGATGAACTGTCTCTTTGTGCAGGGTGATCAAACCCACAGATGCCCGATTTGTACTAGTCTGGGATTCTAAATTGAACTACGTCTTTGAGTCTATGTGATATCTCTATCAAGTTGTAGTATCAACCCAGGCTGGTTCAACAGCTTTCTATCAGGGCTAATCTTAGATAACAGACGTTGACTCATAGCAATTGGGTAAGCGTTCTGTTATGTTGCGATCTTCAGACCAAGGTCCACGGCAGTAGAGTAAGTAGACATATCCCTGGAGTGTGCGTGCGTGTCTGAATAGTTGCGAATGCGCCTGACATTCAAGGCAGCAAAATGTATCTGGAGGCAGCCACAGCCGCTGATTGGCTGGATCAAATTGCATCTTATCGCTTATCGGCCATCCCTTATCGCTTATCGTCCCCGTCATTTCTTGGTCGTTTTTCATCTATTTTTCTCTCTCAGACTTCTACTTGAAGATCTTCCGATGTCTCGTGTCGCCAAAAGAAAAGAAAATTTTTGTGAACCTTTCTTTCTCCGCGGAGTCAAAATACCCTCTACACTGCGAACTTGCGCGGTGACAGTCGTCCATACCGAGAAAACACCATCATGAGCCCTTTTTCCCACTTCTCTTCCGCGGAGATTCAGGAACAAGGCGAAAATTTCGCGAGGCATAAGCCCCTAGCAATCCCTACACAACCCGACTAACCATGCCGTTCGATGCGGTTTTCTCTGCAAATTGTCAGTATTTGACTCGGTATATCAACTGATGATTCCGTTAGTCCAGTGTCCGTGGTTGGTCGGCGAGCAGTTTGTATTTTCCTGTGACCATATACTATAAAAATGTAGAATTAAACTGAGCTTATGAGAGCATCATGTCACGATTTACGAGGTCAAAGTAAGCAATTAATTTCTAATGGAAAATCAGCGATTCGACGAGACTTGGGGTATGTGGGTCGGCAACATACGTTGTGCTTATATATACTTGAGCCACACTAGCTAAGTGATCGGTTCTTCATGTATCAAATGTCCGAACAGGGACATATAAAAATGCTTCGTCCGGCTCACTTCCAGGGATTCTGCCCATTATCTATTCAAATCATTATACCGATAACACAAATCTCAGCTCTTTATCACACATAGACTGCCACCACCATGCCCTTGACTGAAGATCAGATCAATATCATCAAGGCCACCGTACCTGTGGTTCAGGAGCATGGCACCACCATCACCACTGTGTTCTACAAGAACATGCTCACTGAAAACCCTGATTTGAATGACTACTTCAACACTACCAATCAGCTCAATGGCCATCAGCAAAGAGCCTTGGCTGGTTCTCTTTATGCCTATGCCGCCAACATCGACAACCTCGGTGCGCTGGGTCCCGCTGTGGAGAACATTACCAACAAACATGCTTCCTTGTACATCAAGCCGGAGCAGTACAAGATTGTTGGGACGTATCTGCTTGCAGCTATGGGCCAAGTTCTAGGCGATGCTCTAACTCCCGAGATTCACGATGCATGGGCTGCCGCATACTGGCAACTGGCTGATTTGTTCATTGCCAAGGAAGAGGAATTATACAAACAGGCCGAGAGCTGGAGAGACTGGCGAGAGTTCAAGATCGAGAAGAAAGTGCCCGAATCCGATGTTATCACTTCCTTTTACTTGAAGCCTATCGATGGCCAGCCTCTTCCCAGTTTCCGTCCTGGACAATATATCTCTGTGCGGACGCATGTTCCAGACTTGAAGTACATCCAGGCCAGACAATACTCGCTGAGTGACAAGCATTCTCCAGAATACTACCGCATCAGTGTCAAGAAGGAGTCCGGTCTCGACCCCAAACACCCAGAAGCCAAATACAACCCAGGCTACATTTCCAACATCCTGCACGACTTCAAGAACGAAGGCGATGTTATCCAGGTGTCTGCCCCACGCGGTGACTTCTTCCTTGTCGACGCAGAATCTTCTTCGCCCATCGTCATGATCGCCGCTGGTGTCGGTCTTACTCCCTTGACATCAATGTTGAACACAGTGGCCTCTGGCTCCACGGCCGACAAGCGCAAAGTTCATTTCGTCCACAGTGCACGACAGGCCAAGTCACGCGCTTTCAAGAACCATGTCTTGTCGCTGTCGAGGCAACATCCATCATTGGAAGTCACGTTTTTCAACACCTCCCCGTCTGCTGAGGAGAAGCAAGGAGAGGACTATCACGTCAAGGGACCTATTGACATCAACTCGCTTGCCAAGGATGGTAAATTGTACCTCGATGATGCAACGACGCAGTACTATATCTGCGGACCAGCTGGTTTTATGGTGTCGACAGCTAAAGCATTAGCTGAACAAGGTGTTTCGGCTGATAGAGTGCATATGGAGTTGTTCGGCACTGGTGGTGTCCCTTCTCCATGATCGATGACATTTTAGGTGAGCGTTTTGTAGATAGTAATTCTCCTCTCATGATTAATGATATTCTATATACAATAAATCTTTTGACTTGTATTCGAACCAATAAGTAGCCTGTTTGCTGGTCTATAATCAGCCACATGTGTGGCCCGGGCGTTACTAACGTTTGAATATGTGGCGCATATCGCCCGCATTACGCTGGACATTGAACATCATTTTCTGTCGTAAGCTGTACAAACGCAGCGTCAGCCTCCCGATTTTCTCTAATATAGCTTTCATTTCCTTATTAAATACCCACCGTCTATACTCTATCTTTACACAACTCCAAAATCTTGTATACAAGCCTACACGAGCTCCGATTTCAACTCTATGCCGAACTGATCTATCTAAACGAGTTACGCAAATGTCGACTGACAATCCTACCATGCAGACGGGGACTGCAGATGGGAATACAGCCGTAAAGCTTGAAGAATCTTCTCTGAACCAACATTTTCAATCTATCGACTGGGACTCGGAGCGGCAGCTCGTTACTTCTCTTGCTAAGCTGCAAGAGCTTGAATCCAAGGTTCGTACTCCCAACCTCGAACAGTCCACTCAATATGCTAAACAAAATGATATAGATTCATGAACTCCGCTCCCTCCTCCCAGACAGACTCCTCGCCCCCATAACACCCATCATCAATCCCCGCCACACCAAAGACGGCTCAACAATAACAACCTCCATCCCGCGAAACCCGCAACAGCTCAATGCGCTTTTACGCAAATCTGCGACAGAGGGCGTCGAGGAACTAAACAGGTTTCGCCAGTTATGGCTCAGCTCAGATATGCAGGCGATTTGGAAAAGGGTGGATGAGAAATTGGCTGAGACGAAAGGGGCGTTTCCGCAGGTGGAGGCGGGGATGTGGCAAGTTGACTACGAGGGGTTATTGAGGGAGATGGATGAAGAGGGAGAACAGAAGAAGGATGCAGAGAAGGAGGGACAGGGTGGTGGGGATGTGATGGAGGTTGATGCTCAGGGAGAGAAGCAGTTGCCGGCGGGTATTATCTCTTCGGTATATGGTACGCCAGAGACGGATCTGAAGACGGTCATGGAATCGTTCCAGAATAGATCAATACCGGGATTTCGTCTCGGGCGGACAAAGAATGAGTCTATGATACTTGTGTCCCTGGGTTTGGCGGGACTCACATTCGAGGTTCACGAAGTTCTCACCACAGGTTCTGAGACGACAACAACAACAACGACATCGTCCGAAACAACCGGCCCAGAAAGTAGCACAAGTAATAAACAATCTCCCCCAGAATGGCGCGTCTCTTCCCGAAACTCCTTCGGGAGACCAAGTCGTCTCGAAAACGCGATTCTGCATCAACTGAATTCACGACCACGGAAGTGGGATTTGTGTTATTTACTCGTTTGTCTCCGTACCCCCCCGATCCTGCTTGTCTAGGCCTTAGTGCTAACAGACTCTGAATAGGAATACGTCCTCTCATACTCCAATATCAGAAGCCAACCGTGCAAGAAATGCAATCACGTAACTGGCTCATTGGCTCAGTTGCCAATTGTTCGGAAGCCGGTTGCATTGACTTCTGCCGGGGATGGGAGTGCTCCTGCTGAAGGGAGTGGTAATGGTGCAAGTAATGAGCTCGGTGTTGTATGGGAGGCATATCATCAGGCATGCATATGATGAAACCTGGGTCATCTCTAGACCAAGTTGTAGAATGGGATGGCCCTAGAGGTAATTTGACAGACAATATAGAAAAACATTACATGGCTAGTTCTGAATTCATATTATCTCCTTCATTAGACTGAAAATTCTGCCTTTAGACGGCAGAACCGGACGTACAACTCGAATATATAAACACATTTCCTCGAATAGAAAAGAATTATCAACATGTGATCAAATCAATATGCTCGTTTGCCATTATAAACTGTTGAAAAAATAAAAACGCCCACCCAAACACCCATGCCACATTCTGATAAAAACACGCTTTTGACGAAATTCGGTACCCATTAATATGTTTATAAGAGGGAAAGTAAAATGTATGCAAAGTTGAAATCGCATCGTGAGGTTTATTATATGCATGATAACAAGCATCAAAATAACCGGTAGGTACGAGACGAGACAAGACGTGTCTAAAAAAGTCCGAAGCCGCCGGCAAACGAAGTGAATGAGAAGATGGTAATGGCTGCCATACCGAGGATGAAGCCTAGTGCTTGTCGGTCCATTATTGAAACGGCCGAGTTGCAGGTTACGCAGACATAACCTAGACGAGAAGATCAGTTCCTGCATAAATGTGAAAGATGGACGAAGGAGGAAAAACTTACTGGCTAATGGGGTATACGATTGCGTAGAATACATTGCAAAAGTATACGAGGCAGGGCCCAATTGTCCTGGACTAGCAACCTGAGTGGGCGATGTACCGGCCTCATAGATGATAAGTGTATAATGCGCAGTAAGCAATGGACTCTGAGAATCAGGTCCGTACTGATCCGTTTCCCAGACCACGGAGGTCGCGTTGGCAAAACTGACATTATTGGCTAGAGTATATGTCGCACTATTCGAGCTGCAGGAGGCAATCACATCAACAGCACTAGGAGTGATGTGGAGAGAAGTGTAATTCCAGCCGAGAGTAACATTTTGCCCGATTTTGTAGTATGTTGTCGATGTTGAAGGTGGGTTGGTCATGGAAGCGCCGCCAGCAGGCCATTCAGGGTCGACGGAGATGGAGGTTGTTTTGTGAGTGCTTGTTGTCTTGGTTCCTCCTGTTGTTGTCTGTGTGCTGGAGCCTGTTCCGGTTGCAGTTCCCGTTGTTGCGGCTGTTCCTGTGGTCTGGTCGGAGGCAGTATCGGTTCCTGACGCGGTTTGTGATTGACTATTTGAGGCTGAATCGGTAGCGCTGTCCGTGGTGCTGTCCGTGGCGCTATTCGTAGCGCTATTCGTAGCGCTATCTGTAGCTGTGGTCGAGTCTATCCGGTATTAGTTGATTTGCATCTTAAACAAGGACAGATATCGGGTTTACCTCGTGCCAGGATATCATCATACATATTCCGTGATGCCCCTACCACCGACGCCAGGAGCATCAGGCTGATGAGCAGACTCAATAGCGTAAAGGACCGCATCTTTGTTGTTGCGTTGTATGTTCAGGCGATCAACCCTGTGAAGGGGCAGCCGAAAGGAGCGGGGGTGGATTCAATCGATCGACAAACGTCGAGAAATCAGGCCGTAATAACCGATTATGTTACTCAATGAGAAAGCCTTGTACGTTCTACCCTTTTGATTCAATTCAAGGATGGGTGTGACCGAGGAAGGTGAGACAAGGGATGAAAATTGCCGGCGAAAGCAAGCAAAACAATGGGCGTTGAGAGTCGGCAGCGTAAGCGAATGTTTATGCCGGTTGACAAGTCGACGTAAGCGAAGGTCGAAGCGAGTGAATGTGAAAGCAATGAAGACTTGAGAATTAGCAGGAAAAAACCGAATTAACAGAGCTTGTCAAGGTGAGAAGACAATTATCATGAGACTGAAACAGAAACGACAGAAAGATTGTTCCAGAGCCCGAGAAGCCTCCCTGTGGTGGCCTGAAGAATGAGGCATCAGCATAACTTTTAGTACTAAAGAGGAATGGCGTATTTCTATTATTGAACCATGATCAGCCACAGATGCGATCATTCCACAATAGGACTAGCTTAGCATGTTTCTTCCAAGTTTATTGGTTCACAGCTTAAAAAGTATTACCAAGATGCCCCCATTCCTGGGCCTCGACGGCTGTTAATTGGCTGAGATCCTGCAAGTCTCAGACATTTAGATAGGCTAGTATTTTCTAGGCCTAGCGTGTTTACTCTTGTTTTCCTGGTCTTCAATTGCATCATGATATCAGCCTCAAATCACTTCAGAGATCACTACCGATGCGATATTTTACGAGACATGGAGTGGATGGCGTCCTGGCAGAAATAATTTGCATTCTTATTCACGTCCCTTGCTTATACGCTTGAGCCCGAGGCAACATTCTCGGGTGAAAGCAATCCACGATCAAAGGTCATATAGTCATTATGTATTCAACTATGTTCGTACTAATATACACGATATGATTATATGTTCAACACAAGACACAATCATCAAATTCACGTTCGTCAAGGGTACATCAGTGAGTCATTCAAGAGCTAATGGGTGCCGGAATGAGGTCGACCTCACTACAGGTCGATGGGAAGGGGACAGTACCTTCTTCATAGGCGACAATCCAGAAGAGTTGGGGTAATCCGTGCCACCAGTCGCAGGCTGTTCCATGTTGATTAATATGACCGAGGATCAACTAGCAGGGTGGGAAAGGAGCTTACCGAGCCATCCACCAAACTCAGTGCTGTTGTAGGTAAGTGTGCTCTTATTCTCCAACTCGAATCCAGGATAACCCTGTCCGGCGTTGATGGTGACGAATTCCCAAGCTATTTTGTCCATGGATTAGAAATACTACTAAAACTTTTATCTTGATCTAAGGACAAACTTACCGGCATAGTTGGTAGCACCACCAATATCAAACCCATATGAAAACTCCTGTCCAATATCCATTTGCAGATACGTCTCATTCAGGTAGAAGTGGCCGGCGTTGGCTGTGACGGTAGTGAGAACGGCATCTGCCATGCCGGCACCGGTGTGATAAGCCTCGACATAGAGATTGTTGTGTGCGGTGATGTTGGATCCGGTGGTCTTGAGGAGGAATTCGCTTGGTGCTGCGAGAGACCAGGCAGCGAAAGTGGCGAAAGCCAGGGCAAGTTGTGGGAACAGCATGTTTATCGTAGACTTGTTTTAAGAACAAAATTCTGATCGTAGTAAAAAAATATGTTTGATCTGATAGTAGACAAGCCCGCAGATACAGCGAGAAACAGTCCACTTATATAGGCATAAACAGTCTGCTTAAAGCTAAACGATGACGTTGGGCGGAGGCACCATGTCGATCATGTCTCGGCTGTACTTAGCGATCAGAATATACGTACCTAGGTACTCCGCATACCTAGAGTTTCTGGCTAGGGTACTTCGGTATAGCATCATAGTCAAATGATCCTTCCATTGGTCCAACCGTCTCCTCTTTTAAGTGTCTTTGTGGGGTTGTTCTCCTGTCCATCCGAACATCTTCATTAGGGCTTCACTCTATACACAAGCTAGTCCACTAGCAACTAATGATCATCACTCGGCAATCGGAAGACAACAAAATACCCCTCGAATCAGTGAATAACGACTGAATAGTCGTATGGTAGATGAGACAAGTTCTCTTGGCGGTTGGTTTTCTCTGTTGATCAGATGATCGAGTTCATCTATGAAAGTGCATAGGTACATCCTTTGAGACAAGGCTTGCATTAGAAGTATAGAGGCTTGAAACATTTACCTATACAGACATCCATGGATCGGAGAAAATACTGAGTGGACGCATGAGTTGTTTACATCAAGTGGATCGCTTAAAGGGTTGATCTAAGAACCCTGGAAATCTGCAGTATTATCTGCTTGATCATAGCTCCAAAGCTACATCATAAGGGACGTTTTCTGAACTACATATTTTTTTGGACCCATGGGTTGCGATACTCCCCTACGCAACTCCGTACAGGAGCACCTGTTTCCAAGGTTACCAGTATATGCCAAGAGTATCCGGATGGCGGTGTACACGAGTGTATCGGACACACAGGTAACATCTGGAGTGTTTCGAAAACATCCAAGAGCACCGACAGTAGGTAGCTTACTTACTACCTGTAAAAAAGTACTACCAAGGAAGTGAGCGTCTTGAAAACATGCTGCGTATTCGGGCCATATGAACATCTATCTTACTACGTAAAGTGTGAGTTCCACTACGCATTTTAGTCTGCTCCAAAATGTGGATAATCAACGCACATACCGTGACATACGGTTGAGGGAATAGGGAGTAATCGTTCAGGGGTTACAACACCTCTGAAGATCAGATTCAGTATGACGCAGGATACTCCATATCAGACTCAAGCATATCGTACAACTTATAGGTGCACATCTATGGTATAACAGTTTATTGCTCATCACTCATAACAATCATCATATCAATTATTGCTTGGCATATTCTTTCCTCAAGGTCCATCTTCCCCTCCCATTGCGTCCACCTTTCTCCAAATTAGCGACCGTCTTAAGCGTCTCCTTAAACTCCGCTGATCGATGAGGAGTCGTACAAAATCGATTGAAATGGTCAATAAGCATTTGCGTATATGCCGAACCTCCCTGAGCAATCATGTAATCCCGAATCATGGACAAGAAATCAAGACGACCTCCGGGGACAGGACTGTCTCGAGGACTGTTCGTTCGACTACTTGTACCGCTAGTGCGATTGGCTAGGTTGGCAAGTATACTAGCAGAAGAAGGCCCGGCACCCGCTCCTCGCGCAACACTAGCTGCTCCTCCAAACGCCGAGCGGGGCCGTCCTTCAGGTGGTCGTCCGGCTATACCGAATTGTCCGGTCCATGTGGGAGTGCCTACGGGGACTGATCGGGCGGTTTGTTCGGCTTTGCGCAATTTCTCGGCTGCTTCTGCTGCAAGACGTTTGGCTTCGGCTTCGATGATGGTTCTATCTGGGGCGATGATCTTTTTGCCGTTGATGATTCGGTCGTGTTCGAGGGCCGAGTGGACGCCAGATTGGGCAAAGATGGTTTCCATTAAACGTGCTTCGGATCTGGGAGCTCCGTTATCCTCGCCCTTGTCTTCAGCTTCGTCTACGTCTTCGTGGAAATGCTCAACAGCTGCTATTCCTTCGACTTTTTGAATGTCTTTTTCGTCACTGATGGACACTGCCTGCTCCGTCCCGGGTTTCTTCTCCTTCGTTTCACCCTTTTCTTGATAGGTGACTTCCGTTTTGAACATATTACTAGTCTCGGTTTGCCCTTCTTCTCCCAACGAAAAGAGATCGTGTAGGTTGCTCATCTCGAACGTCTGTCGCTGTTTCGGATCTTTCAAAACCTTGTTCGTCAGGAATTGTTTGAAGATTTGCCGATGGTAGATCTTCTCCTCGATCGTTCCCGCTGTCATTAATCGATAAATTGTGACTTCTCTCTTCTGACCTAATCGCCACGCCCTTTCACGAGCTTGCATGTCAGTTGATGGGTTCCAGTCCGGATCATAAATGATTACTCGATCGGCGCCAGTCAGATTCACGCCTAATCCCCCGACTTTTGTCGTGAGTAGGAAAACATGTATATCCGGTGAGTTATTGAATTCATCAACGAGAAGTTGACGCCGATGGATTGGAGTGTCGCCATCCATTCTTCGGTAGTTGAAACCAGACAATGTATTCACGAATTTCTCGAGGATGTTAAGCATGATCCGATGTTGCGCGAACAATAGTGTCTTGTGTCCGGTATCCTTCCACAGTTCCAAAAGCGCTTTCACGACTTGCATTTTCCCTGATTTGGAGGCATCGCCATACCCAGTTGTAGTTGAAAAAAGTTTGTGTGTGACAAGATCTGGGTGGTTACAGATCTTACGTAGCATATCCACTCCGTAAAGAACCTGTCTTCGACCAGCAAAAATCGAGTTACATTCCTGAGAATTTAGGAACTGCTCGTAAGCTTTTCTTTGGAGTGGAGAAAGCTTGCAGAAGAGCACTTGTTCACTCTTTTTGGGTAAATCAGAAGCAACATCCACCTTGAACCGTTGAAGAAGATACGGGCTGATGGCATCTTTCAAAGTCTCCGCACATCGCGCAGCAGTCTGGACTTGTAAGTTACTGGCATTCGCATAACCGCCTTGGCGGATAGGAAACTCAAATTGGTTTCGAAAGTCAACCAGAGTCCCCAAACGCATAGGAAAGACAAAGTCGAAGAGTGACCACAGCTCGGAGAGGTTGTTCTGCATCGGAGTACCGGACAAAATCAAGCGATGAGGAGTGCGCAATTCCTTGCAGTGAATTGTGATCGATGTATTGGGGTTGCGGATCTTGTGTCCTTCATCAAGAATAGCACAATCCCAGTCAACTGGGATCAAAACAGGTGCATATGTCTGTAGTCCGGAGTACGTCGTAACCAGCACATGCCCTTCTTCAACGACTCGTTGGACAATCTTTTTCGCCGTTTTCTGAGCTTTGGTCATGGTATAAGGTCGACTTGGATCCCACATTTCATTGGTCAGAGCGTTCTCGCGATTGCTCTCGCTTCGAACATTAATCATGCCACTTCCTGATGTATGAAGAATAGAGACTCTAAAAGGTGGCCACCATCGATGGAATTCAGTTACCCACTGTTTCATGACAGTTGCAGGAGCAACCACAATCACCGGTTTGTTTAACAAACGGCTGTGATGAAGACCAGCTAGAAAAGATATAACCTGAATCGTTTTTCCGAGACCCATCTCATCACCAATGATACCACCGACCTGCTGCTGATAGAGCTCCCAGAGCCACTGAACGCCGGTTTTCTGATAGTCAAACAGTACCGGGAATATATCGCCGGGCACACGATAGCCCCCATCATATTCAGCATCTGGGACGGTAGGATGGGGTAAGAACCATTCTTCCTCAGGTCCTTCCCTGGTTGTCCGGTCAGGTTGTTCGGACTCCTCGGTTTTAGTTTCTGATTCGGCTGCTCGCTTTCGAGCAGCTCTTCGACGACGAATCCATCGCTTCAATCGAGCTTGATAAAAATCTTCATTACCATCGTCTAACCCTCGAAGATCTTCCATGCCATCTCTATCAGGCCTTTTGCCAGTTTGCTTCTCGCGGATCTCTCCAGGCGTAGGATCAAACTCATCCGTTGAAGACGAGAGATCTTCACTTTCGACATAACTATCATCCTCTCCCTCCTCATCGGCCCGTTTTGTTCGTTTGGCACGGCCTTGGCGACGATCGTAGGTTACCCTTCTCTTCTTGCGTGACCTCCCCGAGTCCGAAATGTCTTCAGATGTTATCTCACTAACGTCACTGATATCGATACCCGGAAGTCGTAAGTCACGGTGAGAAACTGTGGCTCGTCGAGAGGCATCCTGTAAAGCTTCGGCTTCGTCGCGTTCGTCTTCGGCGTCTATTAAAGCGTCATGTAAACTTGCCAGAGGTCCCTCTTTCGGTCCAGTTCCCATCTTCGAAAAGGGCGTAATTTTTCCCGTACGGATGAGATACTCCCGCCTGGACTCATTCGGCAGTCTTCCGGATTCAGTACTCGGGATATCATTCTTCTCTTCATGGCGATTATCAATGCGCTCTTGTATTTCCTTCAAATCATTTTCAAGCGACAATAGTTGTTCTTGTGCCTTTGCGATGTCGGATTCAGTGCGCACTCTTTGAGCGGGACCGATACGTTGTTCCAAGCGGTGGTAGAGCTTCAAAATCTGATCCTCTAGTTTCCTATCGGAGTCAATATAAGAATGGGGCGGAGGATTCGAAAAGCTTACAGTTTCTCCCTAGTCGTGCGTTCGATCCGTTTCTGGTCTCGCTCGTCGGCTTGCTCGATAAGAAGTTGGTCGGCCTACGCATTCAATATTTAATTAGAGCCACATTATGATAGTTTTGAAAAGAAGAATACTTACCTGACGGCCGAGCTCTCTTTCGAGTTCCTCCTGATTCCGAACATTTGCCTCGAGTTCGCGGAGCTTTGCTGTCTCATCTACCAGAGACGTGTCTGCGGCTGGATCCAAGCCATTCGTAAAATCAGACTGCATAGCGTCAAATAATTTTGCGGAGATGGTGTTGAAGTCGCTGCTCAAGTTACCAGCTGCGCTGCGTGGGCGAACAAGAAGCGACTACAGCAATAGGCGCAAAGCGTCAATCATGATGGAAAGGAGCTTGACATCGACGGATCGTTCAGACATGCTAAGCAAATACCTTGGTGCAAGAACAAAGGTAAGTAGCTGACAGTATTTCCAAGTCAGCCTTCCGATCTCATCGTAAAACAAGCCAAGAATAACAGTCCATCAAAAAAGGTAGCAAATGCTTGTTGCGATGAACGATGACATCGGTGAAAAGTGAGCGGCAGAATAATGTGGCGTCAGTCACCGCCCGGCTGTTGCCTTACGAATGAGTCAAGCATCCAGGCACCCAGGCATCAGTTTCACTTCAGCAGCGACTCACCATGTCAATGACATTCGCCATTTCTTCTTCATGACTCTTGAATATGCTGTTATTTCTCTGTCTATACATATGCGACTAATTGACACCCCAGATTCAAGTTGATTCGCAGCAGAACGGACAGCGCCTGACTTCCTACAAGCGGCCTTTTAATTATACTGGTGTCGTCATGCGGAACAGGGTCAAATTCCGAGTCCCGGAGTGTAAGAAGTACTGAGCAACCGTGCTTATATGGAGTTATTTTGAGGCAAAGCTTCTGCAGTTCGTTCAATGCAATGGCATTATAAACAATGGTGGAAGCCGTGCCATTGTTGTCTGTGTGTCTGGCACTACTCGGCCACAATGGTGGAGAGACTCACACATACTGGTTACTATATGTAAAGCAATTGAAGCAGCTCGTAGATGAAAAATAATAGTGATACGGACATCATTCAATAATCGACAATAATGGCCGAAAGAAGTAACCCGAAGGAAGGGGCAGCTGGGAGCATCTGGGAGCAGCTCTTTCTCTCACAGAGAGTGCTCTCTACTCTCCCGGCCCAACCCCAACCTCCACCTCCACCATCTTCCCTTTCATTTTCTCCCCCTCATTCTATCTTCTTTCTTCTCCTGTCTCTCTTTTCTTACTTATCTCGCCATTGAGGAATCATAGTTTATCCTGCCTGCGCAAAACATAGTGTACTACTGCCCACTGCAGATATTCTATCTCATCTCTCCAGGCTGAAGGCCCAAAGCGATCCTAGTCCTAGCCGAATCCTCACTGAGGGCTAGACTAGCTTCTATTAAGCCTAGCTTGATAGGTCTTACAGTCACCACTCACCAGTCATTTCCTCCCAGCTGGCCGCCCAACGGCAATCTACTTAGATTTGTGACAGCGATCTTTGTCCTCTTCCCTCCTTGCACAATCCCGTCTCGTCAGACTTGGTGCTCGGCTTTCTTCTTCAGCCTGCTCCTGCGACGGCCATCAGTAAAGAGGATTCTGGATGATGAATAGCGGCGCCTCTCCTTAACAACAAGTCACCCATTCCACGCGTTAGCCGCTACTCGCTTGCGTCAGACGCCATCCCCCCGCCGTTCTGCTCTACGTCGCCTATACAACCCGCAACAGTGTGAGAGTCTCGGTGACGTGCCTGCCTACCCAACTCGTCTCTCCCGCCAGTCACCCATCGCACTGATTAAGCGCCGTCGCCAATCCAGAAATAATTGGAATATATTCCTTGCGCCAACTACTTTCCTCGCTTGGATTTTACTTGCTCTTTCCGCATGCTAGTGAGTTGACGCCGAGCGCCACGCCATGGATTCCCAGTGGCAGTCTTACGGGGATCATTCGTCGGGTCACCCAGGTCATCATGATACCTCGACAAGTCAGAATCCCTATCGAATGAGCACAAAGTATAATGGTCAGCAGCAAGCTCAGGCGCCTGCGGGATATACTTATGAGAGCTACCAGTCTCCAATAGCCGCTGCGCAAGCCTCAAGTGGAGGCTCCAGCTCCAAGCCTGTATCGATGGCTTCGTCCCCAGCGGCCACGCCTCATACTCGTGACTACTTTACTGATGTCGATACGCCAATGGAGGACGCTGATCCTTACAATCGTGCTAAGTATTCTTCTAGAGCAAATCACAATACACGTCCGTCATCGCAGTACATGCCGACCGAAGAGTCAACTGCGGCGCGTCGATACTCACCGATGAATATCTTGTCGCCAACTCTGCCATACTCGTCCAGTCCTACCAAATCAAGTCAAAATCCATTCACAGCACCTCCTTCCGGTCCAAATAGTTCTCGCCAGTCTCCTACCAGAGCCAGTGTTTATGCGTCACCCCCGCAAGGGTATCAATCTCCACCAGGTCGGTCTCAATCTCTGATCATTATCGTTGACAAGTGTGTCATAGCTAATACGCGATTCTCATTATCTAGGCTCACGGGCTCCTCGATTGCCTGTCCTACAGTCGACGGATATGAGTCCAGAGCAATATTTCCCCTCATCAGCTACGTCACAATTGAGTGCCCCGTTCGGCTCTGACTTGAAGTCACCACCCACAAACCAATCTACCAACCACAAACAAGTTCCTGGTCGGGGGCCGATACCCAAATTTTCTAGCATCAAGTCGATGCAGGAGCTCAAACCAAGGATTAATACGCAGCCAGCTTTTCGAAGGGCCAATCCTGAAGGGGGTTTCATCAGTGTAAGTATCCACGTACCTGTAAGCGTACATAAAACTAATTCAGAGGTTCTAGCCACTGCAAGCACTCACAACCCACCTACCGGCTACGTATCGCATATGCAATCCGACATTTAAATACGAATCTTCGCGCAATCCACGCCGTGTCCTTACAAAGCCCAGCAAAGGGGTCAAGAATGATGGGTTTGATAATGAAGATAGTGATTATATTTTATATGTCAATGATATCCTGGGTAGTGAAGACGGAGGTCACAAGTATGATATCCCATGTTTTTTTGATTCATAATGTCCGCTGACTATTAAAGCAACCGATACCTTATTCTTGATGTTCTGGGTCAAGGTACTTTCGGACAAGTGGTGAAGTGTCAGAATCTCAAAACACAGGAAGTTGTGGCCGTAAAGGTGGTAAAGAACAAAACGGCCTACTTCAATCAGAGTATGATGGAGGTGTCCGTACTGGACCTGGTATGTTCTTGTTTATTGCTCGCGACATTTCCTTTGCTGACAATCTATGAAGCTCAACAAGAAGTATGACAAGAACGATGATCACCATCTCCTTCGACTCAAGGATACTTTTCTTCATCGGCAACATCTATGCTTGGTCTTTGAATTGTTGAGTGTGAATCTGTACGAACTTATTAAGCAAAACCAGTTCCGCGGACTGAGTACAACACTGGTGCGAGTATTTGCACAACAATTACTCAATGGACTTAGTCTTCTCAACAAGGCTCGATTGATTCATTGTGATCTAAAACCGGAAAATATCTTGCTGAAAAAGTAAGTTCAACTGACGAAAAGGATAGCGGCACGTGTAGAGCTGACAAAATACTCTGCAATATAGTCTAGAAAGTCCCATCATCAAAATAATTGACTTCGGTTCCGCTTGTGATGAACGGCAGACGGTATACACTTATATTCAGTCACGATTCTATCGCTCTCCGGAAGTCCTTTTGGGATTGCCGTATTCATCGGCTATTGATATGTGGTCTTTGGGCTGTATCGTGGTTGAGCTGTTTCTAGGTCTACCTCTCTTCCCAGGTTCGTCCGAATACAATCAAGTAGCCCGCATTACAGAGATGCTAGGACTGCCTCCCACATGGATGCTGGAGATGGGCAAGCAGTCAGGAGAGTTTTTCGAAAAGACACAAGATGAGTTTGGTCGGAAAACGTGGCGACTCAAGAGTATGGAACAGTACTCTCGCGAGCACAACACCAAGGAACAACCTAGCAAGAAGTACTTCCAGGCAAACACGCTAGAGGAAATCATTCGCAGCTATGCGATGCCGAGGAAAAACATGAAGCAATCAGAAATTGAAAGAGGTAAGATACACTTCACCCGTAACTTATACAAGTAGAAAGATTAGTGGCTAACACAATACAGAGGTCAATAACCGTGTTGCATTTATCGATTTCGTGCGCGGCCTTCTTCAAATCAATCCTCTGGAGCGATGGTCCCCCCAACAGGCTAAACTGCATCCCTTCATCACCCAGCAGAAATTCACCGGCCCGTTTGTACCTCCAATGAACTTGAAGTTCTCAGCACTCAACAAGAGTATCGCTCCCGGCATACAGCAACAGCAACAAGCAGAAGCTGCGAGCAAACAGAGAGCGGCACAGGCGGCTCAAGCAGCTCAGGCTCAGGCCCAATCTGCAGCACAGTCGGCCTATGCCATGCAGATGGGTCAATATCATTCGCCGTCCCATAATCAAGCACCACCTGTGTACAACGGAATGTACCCTGCTCACCAACAGGGCGCACCACCACCCTATCCTGCTCAGCCACCGGGTTATGGACACCAAATGGGCATGATGCAGGGACAAATGCAACCACAGTATCCACCTTCGCAAAGTCTCTACGCACAGGCAACGACAAGGGCTGGGAGACAACGAGCAACTACTCTCGATCCGCAACAAGGGGGCATACCGCCTACTATACAGCGTGTGGCCAGTCATCTTGATCCCAATGCGCCAATCAGACTCCAGCCGAGTCCCGCATACTATCCTCCACCTCCAGATGGCTATGCTGATACCGCTGCAAATTCACGGCGTCGTGGAAGCCGAGCAGGTGCTGGTCATCGCAACAGGGACTTTATTCGCACTCTTGAAGACGGTGCTCTCGGCGATGGCTTCATGGGGCAAAATCAATGGCATTAGTTGGTTTATCTATTACCCCAGCTTGTGTTGGGGTACAGGTCTATAGGCATAGTTCGTGGTCTAAACGGGTATAGTACCAAGGAAAGGTTTCGTCTTGACATCCGAAATTATAAGCTCCTGTTTGGGCATGGTACAACGAGGGGAATGAACTTTGTCATACATCTGATTCTGTCGATCCACCTACGCTAGCTGTCTGCTTTATGGGTCTGTGTTTTCTTTTGGGAAATCATTTACCTTCGACATGATACTTAGGCTCCCGTCACCGGTCCACATGAAGGCCGTATAATGCCACCTTGATCTTGTTCACGCGCCCGTACAATCTTCGAAGAGCGATGGACGCCTGAGAAGTCAATGGTGATATTGGAGCCACAACTAATGCCGAAAGCACAAGTCGGCACGCCTCCTGGTTGTTGCTTCCGTCACTCGCGGAAGACTCAATATCATTAGGCATTTATGAGTTGTTTTGGCATAGCGCCGGCGCAAATTTTTGGGAAGACTGTTTTGTTATTCCTACGCATTGATGTTTTCAATTGCGATAACCATCAACTCTTAACGTTTTTGATGATAGCTTTGCTCTTTTTCATGGCTGTACGAAGGTCGCGAAAAAAAAACGATTGAGAACGCGTTATAAGTATATAGTCTGTTTTATGTTATAGTTCCTGTAGTTGTATACAGAATAGCAAGCCAAATATACCTTACTTACCTGCCGAAGCCCATCGTTAGAATACAACACATTATTGACAAAGGGTGAAAACATCCATGCTGGCGTCAGGCGTCAAAAGCGTGAATAGTCTTGGCATGCCGTCTCCGCCGTTACCTGATTGGGTTAAGCGACCCCTCGCTTAAATTTTGTATCGCCGCCTTTCCAAGTCATCCCACTGCGGCTTCAAGGAAACACTTGATTCGCAGCGAATATCCTTCCATCACCAGGGGCAATATCATCGTCATCAGCCTAAAAAAAGACCCTTTTCCGGCAAGATACCACCGTGTTTCTTGTTATAGGTCAAAACGCGCAACAAGTGAAAAGACCAACAGCCGCAAACATGTCTCGTTTCTTCCACGGTGGCGGCAGCGACAGCGAAACCAGCTCCTCTGACGAGGAGGAGCTTTACAGCGATCGCGAGGAGGAGGAGGAGCAGTCCGAAGAGGAAGAATCTAGTGATGAATATTCCGAAGAGGAGGACTCTGAGGAGGAGTCCAGCGAAGATGAGGATCGACCAAAAAAGACTGGTGCTAATATTTTCTTGAAGGATGAGGGTGAAGATACCGATGAGAGTGAAGATGAAGATAGGGTGACTGTTGTCAAGAGTGCAAAGGATAAGCGACTTGAGGAATTAGAGAGCACCGTTAAGCTCATTGAAAATGCTGAGAAAATTGGCGACTGGGCTGTTATCTCGACTGGTGAGTTAAACTACGATATAGGGGATTTTTCTCATTGCGATCATCGCTGACTTGAATTGTTCTGTCCAGAGTTCGATAAGCTCAACCGACAGCTTCTTAAGATTACTCAGTCGGGGCCTACACCAAAGATTTATATCAAAGCTATTGCCGATCTTGAGGATTTCATGAACGAGACCATTGCAAAGCAAAAAACTACTGGGAAGAAGATGAATGCGAGCAACACCAAAGGTCTTAATGCCGTCCGACAACGTATCAAGAAGAATAACAAGGACTATCAAGCCGAAATCGATAAGTACCGAGAGGACAAGGATGGCTACATGGAAGCCGTTGAAGCAGAGGAGGTCAAGATCGAGAAACCATCCCGACTTCGCGTTACTCCCACTCTCGATGCGCTCACCATTGCTGACGATGAAGGTTTCTCGACCGTTGGCCGTCATGGCAAGACCTTACAATACACTCCCGAAAGCATCCTCAAACACTTGCGTATCATTGTCGAATCTCGAGGAAAGAAGAACACAGACCGTTTGGAGCAAATTCGCACCATGGAGAAGTTGCTCGAAGTCTCTCAGACTCCCTATCAACAAATTCGTGTCTACCTTACTCTTATTGCCACTCGTTTCGACCTCACATCCTCATCTACCGCTAACCACATGAGCCCTGAGCAATGGAAACTGGCGGAGGGAGAGTTCTCTAAACTTCTCGGTGTTCTCGAAGAGAACCGCAACCATATAGTATTTGAGGGTGCTGAGGAGTGGGAGGATGATGACAAGCTTCCTCAAGTTGCTGAGGGAGAAGTTCTCCGTATCCCGGGAAGCATTGTATCCTTCGTCGAGCGCCTGGATGATGAGCTTACCCGATCACTTCAGCACATTGACCCGCACACTGCTGAATATATTGAGCGACTTGGTGATGAGCAGGCATTGTACACCGCTCTCCTCCGTACACAACTGTATGTTGAGGAACTTGGCAAGACCGACAAGAGCGAGCCCAGACAGGATAGCCTCAACCGGGTCGTCATCAGAAGGTTGGAGCACGTATACTTCAAGCCTTCCCAAGTCGTGTCCATTTTGGAAGATGCTACCTGGAAAGCAATCCCCCAGAAGTTGGAGTCCACCATCACTCCTCGTTCATCGACCTCCGATGTTCCTGCCTTGGTTCAGACTCTGTGCAACTACCTGTTCAGGTATAGCGATGGCATCATCCGTGCTCGCGCAATGCTTTGCCAGATCTATTTCCTTGCTCTTCACGAAAACTACTACCGCGCTCGTGATCTTATGCTCATGTCTCACTTGTCAGAGAACATTGCCAACTTTGACGTCAGCACACAAATCCTCTTCAACAGGACCCTTGTTCAGATCGGTCTATGCGCTTTCCGCGCTGGTTTGATCTATGAGGCCCAGAACACACTTTCTGATATCTGCGGTAGCGGACGTCAGAAAGAACTCCTTGCACAGGGTATCATTCTTCAGAGATACTCCACTGTCTCGCCAGAGCAGGAGAAGCTTGAGCGCCAGCGTCAACTGCCATTCCACATGCACATCAACTTGGAGCTTTTAGAGTGCATTTACCTCACATCAAGCATGTTCTTGGAAGTTCCACTTATGGCACAGACATCTTCCAGCCCCGAGATGAAGCGACGCGTTATCTCCAAGACCTTCCGTCGTATGCTCGACTACAACGAACGACAAGTCTTCACAGGTCCTCCTGAAAACACCCGAGACGGCGTCATCATGAGCGCCAAGTTTTTGGCTGCCGGTGACTGGAAGAAGGCCACCGAGCTATTGAACTCGATCAAGATTTGGGACTTGATGGCTCAACCCGACAAGATCAAGGCCATGCTCGCTGAACAGATTCAAGAGGAAGGTCTGCGTACCTACCTATTCACATACGCACCTTTCTACGACACTCTATCTGTCTCCACACTCGTAAACATGTTCGAACTTTCAGAAAAGAAGGTCTCGTCTATCGTCAGCCGCATGATCTCTCACGACGAACTCGCCGCAGCGCTCGACCAAGTCAACGACGCCATCGTTTTCACCAAGGGCGTTGAACTCTCCCGTCTTCAATCCCAGATCGTCACTCTCGCCGACAAATCCATGTCTCTTCTCGAAGCCAACGAGAAGACGCTGGAGCAACGTACACAGGGTATGGCAAACGCTTTCCAGAGAGAGCAAGGACCTGGTGCTCGTGGTGGCCGTGGCGGTCGTGGCGGTGGTCAAGCTCGTGGTGGAGCTAGATTCCCTGGAGGTCAACAACGACGACCAGGCGGTCAACAATTCGGCGGTGGTGCATTGGGTGGTGCTATTAAGGCATAGACTAGATTCATGTCTATCTCTTTCCTTTTTTCTGTTATGTCGTCCCTTCTCTTATGAAGACTGATGAATGGCCTCAACTTTTTTTAATGTAAACACTTTCGCCCTCACATTATTTCCCAGCCACTTTTTCAGGAAAAAAAGTATCATTCATCATCATTTTCATGTCTCTTAAGTCTTCATGTCGGAGTTTTTGCGTGTTTTATTCCTCTAGGTGGAAATAAGAAACATTTTACCTCTTATATTGATGATCGGATGTGGTCACGTGCTTGGTCCATGTTTGATGTCCTAGAACTTGGCTATCGAATCAAAAGATTTTTAAAGACTGCATAGGTGTCTTGGTATTATTACTAGTCGAGAAACTGCTGTACTTTCAGGTCCTTTGCACTTCTAGGTGCTACGGAAAGGCCCTTCCCTAAGTTCCTAGGCACCTGTGTAGACTGAGTACAGAGAGCCAGCATGTTAAGTACCTAGGTATATGTCAGGCGTTCAACGATACTACATACAGCGCAAGCGTCGCAGATGAAATGGGGCAACCATGAGTGTACCATATGTATACTTCGACAGATTGATCCTACCACAAGAGGGAGGACACAATCATCGGTTGATGGCGGCACATATTCCTGTAGGGATGACATCAAAGTATGAAATACTTTCGGCGTGTTGGCTGCCTGTGCATGATTGCTGACGCGCAGGGCCAAGGGATTTGCTCTCAACATCTGTGTGAGTCGAAAAAGGTTCGGGCTATATGTCCCAGAATAATATTTCCCATCCATGCCGGTTATCAATCACATATCCTCATCCAAAAGATTCTGAGGAGACCAATATTCGTGTTCCACGCATTGACTGTCGAGCCAGACTAGCCCGTCAGCTAGTAGATCGTCTAATACAGTCTTTCCGCGTGCCCTTTCCCAGCCAAGATTTGCCTGCAGCATGGAAACGGTGACAAAGCCGAGAAGCTGTAGTACTTCCAGAACGGTGGCTTGGTCTGAGTTGAGCTCTTTGGGTATAGAGCGGATGTATTGCTTGCTACCGACGTTGATGATACTGAAGCCGGATCCAAGTGGCTCTAGCGACTTGACAGCTCGGAGGATATCGTCACTAGGGATAAGTATTAGAATGGGTTCTCCGAACAGGATATTCTATGTAACGTACTTGGAAACCTCCAAGCCTCCACCGATGGCTTTACCTCTCCCGACTCTCTTGCGACATTCTTCAACACCTAACAAACCACCATTTTCGCCTCTTGTCTCTCGACAGAGCTCGACAACCCTGACCGCAACCTCAAAGTAGAAGTCATTCATATCACCGCCAAGTATCTGCGTCCAGAAACTCCCACCCTCCATTAACCCTTTCCTACCACTGCCTTTACCTTTGACATTGCTAGCGGCGAGAGGGTCAACACCGATGGTATTACACATACGCGCAAACTCGGCGCGGAAAGTCGGATTTGATCTGATCTTAGATGCATGTTCGAGTGCGAAAGTGTGTAGTAAGGATTGAAAGACTGATAGTTGTGTTTGGAGGGAGGAGAGGTGTGTTGAGCGTAGGTTTGCGCCGTGGTTTGCGTAGGATTGCGTTGCTTGGTTTCGGTTGGCGAATGCGCCAAGACCGACGCCTCGACGAGTAGCCATTATTCAAGAAATAGATGGTACTACATATCAGATGTACCTGTCTTGAAAGCGATAGCGAAGCCTTTAAGCAGATAAGAGACGTATCTGACGTTGCCGTCATATGCGGGACCGTCGCTAGCCCTAGCCCTAACTCCGATAAGATAACGTCGGAACCAAATCGGCCCGACATCACTTATCGACCAATCTATGCCGTAAACAGACTAGCTCCCACTTCTAACCCACACAAAGCAATTTCTTCTTCAACGCCGAACTCTTCTCCTTTCCTTCTCGACTTGTCCAACGCCAACAATCGACAACCATCGACAACCGCACATTCGAAATGGCTGCCACCACGTACGATTTCCCTTGAAAAGCGTTCTACTTCTTATTAGCAAGATGCTTCAGTATAGTCGTCCTATATTCTCGCTGGAGTTGCTGTTGCGATTTCAATGCTCAGCGCCAGCTCGATTAGTCCCGGTTGCTGTTGCTTTTATGTCTCATGGACTCAAAAAGAATAGCGAGGGGTATTGGGGTTGAAGGAAGCATGGCTCTTTCTCCCTAAAATCAATTGTCACTTGCTTGTATTCTTGCAGTACGGAGCATTTGGCAATATATTTTCCTGAGCGTTATGCTTAGGGTTTTGTTGGCTGAGGCCTCGTTGCAGTTCACATCATTGCCTACGAAACTTTTCTTTCCTGTAGAATGGGAGAACAGAAGTAGTACTGAATGATTGATCTACATTATCCTCACCGACTAAATGAATTTCGTCGAGTTCATTTTTTCGCACCACGCCCCCAGTCAGAGAATGTGGCACTATGCTGCAGTTCTTTCTACTCGGCGATTTTTTGAGTTTTCTCCAATAGACAGACTATACTGACCTTGCATGATTGAACAGTGTTCCTACCCAGGACCAGGTCCTTGTGCCTGAGACCCTCCTCAAGAAGCGTAAGAGCCAGGAGGCTGCCCGTGCCGCTCGCCGTGAAGAGGCCGAGAAGAAGAAGCAGGTTAGTTGAATACTTTTGTTGCGACATCTGTGGAGAGGATAGATTGGCTGGATGATTATAACAACCATAACGCGACTAGACCACAAGTCGATGCTGTCGCTTTTGTTAACCATCTTTCGGGGCTGACAATCACCAATATATCCTTGGCATGGATGTCTCTTTATTGCATTGCAGTTCATACTGACAGTTGCATTCATTAGGCCAACAAGGAGAAGCGTGGTGTCATCTTCAAGCGTGCTGAGTCCTACGTCAAGGAGTACCGCGATGCTGAGCGCGAGAAGATCCGTCTTGCTCGCGAGAGCCGCAAGGCAGGTACCTTCTACGTTGCCGACGAGCCCAAGTTGGTCTTCGTCATTCGTATCAAGGGGTATGTTTAAATAACTCTTATCAACTCACGTCTGTACTAACAGTTCTTAGTATCAACAAGATCCCCCCCAAGCCTCGCAAGATCTTGCAATTGTTGCGTCTCCTCCAGATCAACAACGGTGTCTTCGTTCGCTTGAACAAGGCTACCTCTGAGATGCTCACCATCATCAACCCCTACATTGCCTACGGTTACCCCAACCTTAAGACCGTCCGCGAGCTCATCTACAAGCGTGGTTACGGCAAGGTCAACGGCCAGCGTCTCCCCCTCTCCGACAACCAGATCATCGAGGAGAACCTTGGCAAGTACGGCATTGTCTGCGTCGAGGATCTCATCCACGAGATCTACACTGTTGGCCCCAACTTCAAGCAGGCCTCTAACTTCCTTTGGCCCTTCAAACTCTCCAACCCTACTGGCGGTTTCCATTCCCGCAAGTTCAACCACTTCATTGAGGGTGGTGACACTGGTAACCGCGAGGAGAACATCAACGCGCTCGTTCGCCAGATGAACTAAAAAGCCAAAAAGTCTTTGTTATTGATTTCCAATTTCAAGGGATGTTCTTTCTTTTATGGGTTGTTTGTTTGTATAGGGACTGCAGTTCATTAGCGTTTATGATTGTCGATTCATAGGTAGCCTAGTCTATCCAAGGTTAATCCGGACCAAACATATTCAATCAACCCATAATTGTCCTATTAGATGCCTTCTGCCTGGTAATTTATCTTTTAACAACTTTTATTGAGGCCTCACGAAGCTCAAAGCATCTATATACGAATAACCTCTTCAACCCTCCTGTTCCTATTCACAACTAACCTGAGCTGTCTATTCCGCCAATCTGTATGGGCTTCAGCGTCGTCTGTCGGCCGAAAGACACCGCTGCGCAGAGCATCAGTGAATAATTCATACGAGGGATAATCTACCCGTATTAAGAGAGTGTTAGTCGGAACTATTACAATCTTTTCTTGAATGAGAAATGCATAATGGGGACGGGTGCGTACATCCGTCGACGAAGTGATTAACTTGTTCTTCGGTCATGCCGGTGCCTTTGGCAGCTATTAGAGTCCTCTCCTGTTCTTGTCGCCAGTCATAGACGTAGCGCAAGTTTTGCGCGTCACTATAAACAGTCAGAGCAAGTGTCAAGAACGCGTGTGGCGTAGACTTACATGTGTATGAAAGCATCAAGTTGACTTGCGACAATAAAGTTAGCACTCCAACTCCACGACAAGATAAAGCGAACCAACTCACTTCGTCAAAACATCATATTCCTTCAACGCATCATTAATGGCCTTAACGTCCTCAAACTTAACAAACCCCAGACGTCCATCATAGTTGCTTGTTGGATCCTCCCTCTTCTTCACAGCATCCTCCCATTTCCGTCTCAGCGTCTCATCATCCAAGGGCCGAAATCCAACACACCACCCCTCAAAGATAACTGCTTTGATTTTCTCCCCCCCGTCTTTATTGACTGCCTCCCATTGAGACTCGGGCACTCGATCCCCTTGGCCCGCAAAAGCGGATTTGTCGTATTGCGGAATGGCGGTTGGTTGATTGGCGCGGAGGGAGTCGAAGACTTTTCGGCCGAGGGTTAAGTCGTGGGTTGATGGTTGGCCGCGGTGTTGGACAAGGGGGTTATCCGGGTGAGAGTTTGCGAGCGCTACTTGGTCTACGTGTGTGAGATATATGTCGTCGAGGGAGAGGGTGACTGTGGGGAGGGAATAAGGCGGGGATCGAAGGGTCTTTTGTAGTGCTGATACCTGCGGATATTATTAACAATTGATCTCTCGTTATCCTTATTTCCCCTTTTAAACACACCAGTACAGTCTTTCCAACTCCTTGTACGCCGTTTAATCCCAGGAAAAACGGCGGGGCGTCGGCATCATTCGCATACCGGGCTTGATGGTGCTTCAACCGCTCCAAAAGGAAGGGGATGCAATGTTCTGATTTATCGTCGAAAATTTCTGGCATGTTATTTGTTCGATATGTGCATGTCAATTGAGCAATTGCGAATTAACATGGCGAGAGACATGTAGTTTTATCTATTCGATGTCGGACTCCCGGCCGATATACTTCCCCACCTCCCCAAAAAATCGGTTGATAGTTCTCCCGGAGTGCTTCCCCATGTGGAGCAACACTAGGTTGGGGTTATACAGGCTTGAGCTTCCAAGTGATTCATGCTGTAGAATCCTCTTTTAGTCGCAGGAAATTCTTTCATGAAGATCGATGGTATTTTGGATCACTGCCCATAAGGTTCCTAACGAGACTACTAACGAGACTACTAAATGGATGCGCTCTACAGCTCAGATATATATTTTCCGTCGTCATATATCGCACCTCTGCAAAGTATTCTCATTTCATCTCGACGATAGGTACAAGAGCTAGCTTCTAAAAGTAAGACTATATTGCATGGCGAGCTCTGTACTCAGAACAGGACAGATAAAACTCCGTACCGACAACCGTATTCCCGAGATGTATTTCGGCTTGTCGTGTGTTCGTCTCTCGGCAGTCGACACCGGAATCTGGGGTTATCTGGATATTGGGGTTAAGCAGCGGAGCTACCTAGGTAGCAGTATGCAGTCAAGCCCGGAAACTGCTGCATATTTGCGATTAATGAAACCCTTTCCTTTGCAATATTCAATTCGATTGTTTTAGCATTGTTTTTTAGCAGTTGAAATGAAACTACGTAGGTCTACTTGGTAGTCGTGCCGTTATGTAACTAAATAGTAGGTAACTAGTAACAAAAAACAGCGGAGCAACCAAACAATAAGGGGTCTGGTTGGAAAACACACACATAGATGCTGATATCATATCAAGCAGCATTCATGTGTAATCCTTCGAGATGATGGTTATCAATATAGTTGTTATAGAGTAAGATAAAAAGCATGTGAAGACAGTGAGTGATGTCAGCAGTCATGGGGAGCGGCAGGCGGGCTGCTTCCTCATTCGCTGAGCCTCGCTTTCTGGAGAGCCGAGGTTCGTCTGGCCTGCTCGGATACAAACCGGCATGTAACTTTCTTTCTTCTTTCTTTCACACTCTTATATCCTATTTTCTCTCTACACGTATCCCAACTCACCCACCCTTTATAATAAATCTTCTTTCTCGTGTTGATATCGCAAGTTGATTAGTTTCAACTTAGTGACACCTGTTCGGATTGACCACTCCGGCTTGAAGACACCCAACCTGAACGTCTATCCCCCGCCCGTCATATCATCTGATCATGTCCGAGCTACGTTTTGACGGCCAGACCGTCGTGGTCACTGGTGCTGGTGGTGGTTTGGGCAAGGCATATTGTTTGTTCTTTGGCTCGAGAGGTGCCAACGTTGTCGTCAACGATCTCGGTGGTTCTCACAAAGGCGAGGGCACTTCGACAAGGGTACGTTGACTATTCGGTCAGAGGAAGCATTGTAAATTACTAATAGAATATCTATAGGCTGCCGATGTCGTTGTCGAAGAAATCCGCAAGGCAGGCGGAAAGGCCGTCGCCAACTACGACAGCGTGGAAAACGGAGAAGCCATTATCGACACAGCCATCAAGAACTTTGGCCGCATTGATATTCTCATCAACAATGCCGGTATCTTGCGCGATGTTTCATTCAAGAATATGACAGATAAGGATTGGGATCTAATCAACCAAGTGCACATCTATGGAGCATACAAGGTAAGCAGTGCAGACTACCTTTGACATGAGACGCCTGCTTACAGTTGGTAGTGCGCGCGTGCAGCATGGCCTCATTTCAGGAAACAGAAATACGGCCGAGTCATCAACACCGCTTCGGCTGCCGGTTTGTTCGGCAATTTCGGCCAGGCCAATTACTCTGGTGAGTGTCCTATCCGTGGCTATTAAAACAATATACTAACAAGATGTAGCTGCCAAATTGAGTCAGGTCGGTTTCACCGAAACCCTCGCCAAGGAAGGTGCCAAATATAACATTATTGCCAACGTCATAGCTCCAATTGGTAAGTTCGGTCAGATCGGTTTACAGAAGAGATAGCTAACCCCCTGCAGCTGCTAGCCGAATGACCGCAACCATCATGCCTCCCGAGATCCTCGAACACTTCAAACCCGAATGGGTCGTTCCTCTTGTCGCGGTCCTTGTACACTCCTCTAACACCACCGAATCTGGAGGCATTTTCGAAGTTGGCGGTGGTTCCGTTGCCAAATACCGATGGGAACGTGCCAAGGGAGCTCTGTTGAAGACCGACTCTACCTTGACTCCTCAAGCTATCTTGGCCAAGTGGAACGATGTTCAGGACTTCTCCAAGCCCAGCTATCCCAATGGTCCTGCAGACTTTATGGCTTTGTTGGAGGACGCCCAGAAACTCCCTGCCAACCCATCTGCTCCCGACTTGAATTTCAACGGCCGCGTAGCTTTGGTTACCGGTGGTGGTGCTGGTCTCGGAAGGGCATACTCCCTTCTTTTCGGAAAGCTCGGCGCTTCAGTTGTTGTCAACGACTTGGCTGACCCAGAGCCCGTCGTTCAAGAGATTATCAAGGCTGGCGGCAAAGCTGTCGGTAATAAGGCCTCTGCAGAAGATGGTGATGCAGTGATTAAGGCTGCTATCGATGCATTCGGCCGTATCGACATTGTTGTTAACAATGCTGGTATTCTCCGCGACAAGGCATTCAGCAACATGGATGACAACCTGTGGAACCCAGTGATCAATGTTCACCTTCGCGGCACGTACAAGGTTACCAAGGCAGCTTGGCCATACTTCTTGAAGCAAAAGTACGGCCGTGTGATCAACACAACCAGCACTAGCGGTATATATGGTAACTTCGGACAGGCCAACTACGCTGCTGCCAAACTTGGCATTCTCGGATTCTCCCGTGCCCTGGCTGTTGAAGGAGCCAAGTACAACATCAAGGTCAACACCATTGCTCCCAACGCCGGTACCAACATGACCCGAACCATCTTGCCCGAGGAGTTGGTCCAGGCTTTCAAGCCTGAATACGTTGCACCTCTTGTTGTTGCTCTTGCTTCTGATGCCGTTCCCGAGCCTGGTACCAAGGGCCTATACGAAGTCGGCAGTGGTTGGTTCGCCGAGACCCGATGGCAGCGAAGCGGTGGCCATGCCTTCCCAGTCGATGTTGAGTTGACACCGGAGGCTGTCGCCGCTGTATGGAAGAAAATTGTTGACTTTGACGATGGTCGTGCTGACCACCCAACGGACGTGTCAGCCGGTTCTGAACGTGCCATGGCCAACATGAGCAACAAATCCGGTGGTCAAGCCAAGGCTGCCCCAAGTGCCGATCAAGGCATCTTGGCTAACATTGAAAAGGCCAAGAAGATGACTGCTGAGGGAACACCATTTGAATATACAGACCGCGATGTCATCTTGTACAATATCAGTCTCGGTGCTAAACGCACCGACCTGCCATTGGTCTACGAGAACAACGAGAACTTCCAACCTCTTCCAACCTTTGGTGTTATTCCATGGTTCAACACCCAGACTCCCTTCAACATGGACGACATTGTTGCCAACTTCTCACCAATGATGTTGCTTCACGGTGAGCAGTATCTCGAGATCCGCAAGTTTCCCATCCCCACAGCAGCCAAGACAGTCAATGTACCTAAACTGGTCGACGTCATTGACAAGGGCAACGCCGCCATTGTTATCTCCGGCTTCACCACCAAGGACGCACGAACCGGCGAAGATCTCTTCTACAACGAATCCACCGTCTTCATCCGCGGCAGCGGCGGTTTCGGCGGCTCCCCCAAACCCACAGCCCCTCGACCAAAAGCCGCCGTGGCGGCGTACAAACCCCCCAAACGCGCTGCGGACGTAGTCGTCGAAGAAAAGACGTCCGAAGACCAAGCTGCTCTCTACCGCCTAAACGGCGACCGAAACCCACTCCACATTGACCCCGAATTCAGCAAAGTAGGCGGCTTCAAGACCCCCATCCTACACGGTCTCTGCTCATTGGGCATCTCCGGTAAACACGTATACCAAAAATTCGGAGCATTCAAGAACCTCAAAGTCCGATTTGCGGGCGTCGTGTTACCGGGTCAAACACTCAAGACGGAGATGTGGAAGGAAGGGAATGTGGTTTTGTTTCAGACTACTGTTGTTGAGACTGGAAAGCCTGCTATTAGTGGTGCGGGGGCTGAGTTGCTTCAGGATGGGAAGGCGAAGTTGTAAGACGTACAAAATTTGGAAGGTGGTAGATAGGTTCATGGATAATTGGATATTTGTTATAGTATTTCAAAGTTTATATATTGGCTGTCATGATTATTGGATCAGTTTACTATTCTATTTCAATCCGAGTATCTATATGGAAACAATCAACCTTGTGCCTAGGCACCCAGTAGCAGGAACATACCTAGGTATTGAATGTCATAGATACAGTACAGTCTGCTCTGTAAATCCAACCTACGCACCAAAAAAAACACCAGCAGAAGGAGTCTAAGAATGACAAAACCAAAAAGATTTTAAATTCTCCTTCTCCACAGAGAAAACGAGGCGCGTGTATCTATCTACCATAGAAACAACAACATGCAAATGGAGCAAGAAGAAAACGAACCAACGCAGTTAACGCCAATAGAGGGAGAAAATGAGACAAAAAGAGAGACATCATTCCAGAAGTGTGGCTAAACCGAAAGACGAGAGACGGGCAAAAAGGACAGAGACAATAGAAGCATTCGCCAAATTGAGGACTCGCTATACGCCATTGTATGCTCCGTTGGTTAAACAAATAACAGACCGAGGAATGAAAAGATTGTGACGACAGAGCAGGCTGAAAAAAAAAAAAAAAAGAAACAAGTAGAAATCCAAACTAGTGTCGGTAAAAAATAGGTACAGCAATAGATGAAATGGTAAAGATTGATGTGATGCGTCGGATCTGCTGTTTCCAGAGTGTCAAGAGGTGCCAATTGGGACATGTCTGATGATAGTCGACTAAATTTTGATGGGTGAAAGAGGAGGTCCCAACTCTGGCAGTTGAGACATGCTCTGTCGATGGTTTTTCGTGTCCTCCAGGTTAGCAGGTCGCGTTTTTCGTGCTGTCGCTGCTGGATTGGGTATTGGTTGATCGTGATCTGGCTGGCTACTCCCCGACGATGAAATCGCACGCTCCTCGGCAGCTGACGAGGATTCAGGAAAATCAGTTCTCCGTTGTGAGAAATCTGGAATGGTGGTGCCGTTACGACCATTAGTAGTGTTGGTGGGTTTTCCATTGGGTTTCGTCTCCTGAGCCTCCTTGGCGGCCCTCTCCTGAGCTTCCTTTTCATCCTGCACCCATTCCTTTTCTGTCCAACAACCCTGCCAACAGTTCTTCCAGTCACAGACTAGAAACTGAAAGCAGAATCCGTCGATTTTCATGCATGGCTGGAAACAAATGCATAGATTCTGATAATTCATCTTGTTCTGCTCCACATACGAATGTAGTAGATTCAGGTGGCACGTTATTGCAAAAAGGAGATAGTAGTTGTATGGTGGAAGTTTAGACAGTTCGTCTTTAAGCAGCTGTGGTGCCGTCGTTGCACCTTCGCACTTCTCCGCGATCATTTGCTGAGTTGCTTTTGGTAGAAGCTCATCCGGTAGTTCTCGCAGCCACGCCTTAAACATAGATCCAATCGTGTTGATATCGTACAAGTCTGGTTCATCGAATAGATTGATGTCACCCTCCGTGTCAAATCGGCGCTGCCAATGTTTGACTTCTTTCCCACTTCCAGGAACCCTATATAATCCCTCCTCTTCACATCCTTTATAGTTCAAATAGTCGATACAGCGATAGGGCAGCGCGGGCATCCAGTATTCGGTCTTGTCCTTACAGTCTTCCAGCCGCTTTGAGATTCGTGTTTTTCGAGTTTGTTCCACAAGAGGGAGGTTAATAACAGTACACACATAGTTGTCATCCAGGACAACTTCCCGCTCATTTGTACTTCCGCTTCTTGTGATTTTGCCAAAAAATCCCTTTCCAGCCTTACCTAGTCGATCTGCAGCTCCACTCGATGTATGCTTGATATTGTTAAACAGAAAGGTTGATGCTCCTGATACTTGCATGAACGAGCTGGATGGCGCCAGCGACGGATTTTTCTCTCTGCGACTGGTCTGGGGCCGGCCCTCAACTGGTCGATCAGGCGGTCGGTTATTTGCATTCGAGTTGGACGTTTCGTAAGTGTCTTTATCCGATCGCATGGGTGCGGTTCTGGGAGGTCCGGATATCTCCTCCTGGCTTTCAGAGACCTTGAGCAGAGTTGCATTGGAAGGACGGCGCAGCCCTGCACTTCTAGGGGCAGACTTATCATCTACCCTGACGGAGCGAGTTCGTGAGAGTAAATTTCCGAACCGTGGCTTGCTCTTCTTTTGTGGCGGACCTCGAGCCTGTTGTTCTGCACCGTTGCGAATGTCACTCATACCTTGTCGACTGGATTGCTCGTTTTGAAAACCCTCGGATCTCTCCTTGTCTTGTCGAGAAGCGGCTTCTAGAAGATCAGGAGTTGATCCATTTCTCCGTAACATTGGATAGGACCGATCACGAGAGCTTCCACGGCTTTTGGACGGCGGTTCCGCTGAGAGACCTGAACTGTCAGAATTGGTAATCTTATGGGATGACCTAGAAGCTTTCAGATTGGCAAAGAAAGAACGTGAAGGATCGCGATTGTGTTTCGCATTGTCTTTTGGTGATGGTGGGTACTGAGGCATCGCAGTGAAACTCGGGGTGGGTGGCTCTGGTTCATTTGGAGAAAGTGGTGCATTCATAGAGCGTGTCCTCGATCGCGAGGTGACTGGCCGTATAGTTGGTTCATCTCTGATTGACCGCGGCGATGATGGTGAGGATCTCGGAGAACGGGGAGTAATGGGGCTTAAAGTGGATTCTGGTTTCAGACCATCGGCGCTTTTCGACGCAGGATTTAGCATGGCCTTATTGAACGTGGAAGTTTTGAGATCGAGGTTCGTGACTTGATTCGATCTGGAAGGCATTTTGAAAAATCGCTAAATTGGCACAGCCAAAACTAGCAATTGTTGTCGTATGGAATAACACTGCAATGTTTATCGTAACCCACCCCGCCAAGCGTGGAGCAGCCGATATTGTAACGAGGCTGTCGAATCGGAGCCGTACGAAAAGGAGAAACAGGGATTTGAGGTTTCTAGGAACAGACATGTTTTAGATTAGCAATCGTTTCAAAAGACAGAGATGTCGACGCAACATGAGTGTGACTGCTCAATTCACAAGCGCGGATACGTCTCTTAAACATGGGCTGCTCAGTTGTAGAAGCAACCCCACCATTGGGGACTGATTGTTGACTTGTGGTAGGCGATAGTCCATCGCTATCGCCAAAAGTCGTCTCGCTTTGTGGGAAACAGAGCCAAAAAAAAAAAAAAAAAAGAAAACCACAAAGGCAGGATAATTACCAACAAAGAAATGAGACAAAACACATACCAAATCTGGCCTGTCATATTACTCCGGAGACTTTCCTTCGCTATCGTCCCTGCTCCACTGTATCTGTCGTGTCCAAAAATAAGAACTACCGATTGCTAGTGAATGCTTCGTTGGGAGCATAGATCAGGCCGTGGAGCGAACAGTTTAGCGAGGTGACGATGCTCGATCGATCGCTTGAATATGTAATGGCCGGCACACAAATGCAAAGATGATCAACCGCATGTGTCTAATATCTCGGGTATTTCCAAAAGCAAGATAAGAGTCGTTCCAAGCGAATCAGGCGTTGAGTGCGGGATAGGAGGTGAGTAATCGTACAGGAACTGCGTCTTGTTGCGTGGGCGACAGGTGGTCGTAAACTGACTGAAGGTGAACAAGCCCGGTTGATGGCCGTCAACAGTGTGCACTGTGTGGTGGATGGCTGCGAAGGTCTCTGTGGGCTGCCCCCTGTCTCTATGATGGATCACAACACAAGCGGCTTTTAGGAGAACTGCTGGCTGTAGCAGCTGAATGTTTTCCGAACGTTATTTTTTCCGGTTGGGTTGGATTTGTTAGACACCAGACCCGCACAGACAATGCATTCCTAGGTACGGACGGAGCACGGAGTAGGCGGTGGCGTAGAGACTGTAATGCAGGCACGGACCCGAGAGTGTCGAGGCTAAGAATGGCACGGTATGAGGTCGTATGCAGTGGTATAGAATGCTATCCAATATTAAGGTGGACGTGATAAGGTGGTGTTATAGTCAGGATGAACGGTGAAGTTGTTGGAGAGAAAGAAGTCGTCGAAGTCACCGAGGGGCAGGAGCCAGGGGCGCTGACCAGGAAAGAATGCCCAGTCCCAATACGGAATACGGGGATGCCGGGACTATTACTTATTCCTCAGTCATCTCTACATTTGTACTACTACTGCCTTTCTCTTTTTATTCCACTGTGGACGATGTGTAAAGACAAAGGAAGAGGTATGGAAAATTATGATATTAGCCTTTCGCCCCAGGATCGCAAGAGAAGGAAAAATTGATCGGCTTGGCTACGCATTCTTATGAAATGTTTGAGATCTCAGGGCCTCCACCAGCAGCCATGGATCGTCGCTGGACGGAGTATGGCGTACCAACGAGTCAACATCCTGCTAGAGTAGATACCTTGTTATTGACGCGTGGCGGTACTTGTTGTAGCCTAGCAGACACGCGAGCAGCGCCATTACTTTGCGAAATGACAGCGTGTGTACAGAGTATGCAGGGGCTGATCCACTTCAGGGATAGTTACGTACGAGGTAACTGATCATTATTGTCAGTGATCAATGACCCCATAGCAAATGCAGGTTTAAATTCTGATATAAACGTCTTGAAGTTGGAGAAAATATAACCATGCTAAACATAACATTCAATAACTCTGAAATTAAAAGATCACCTCGCCAGGAACATTTATTGAGATATTGCCCGCTAGTCCTGTTTGAGTGCTGGACTCCACTATTTTCCATTAACAGACCCTCTTAAGGTGGCACTAATCCAGAGGTGGTATAGCTTGCGACGTTATTCTGGCCAATAAGTATTGCCAGTGTAGATGCGGTGAGAGAGTCCATGGTTCCAAAGCAATAACAGCTCGACACTCCGAAACTCCAATTTCCACATAGCCTACGCCATATCATTTCTTTCGACTTGACCACGAGAGACCGTTGCATTTACGTACATGGCAAATGGCCTGTGCCAATTTTGGCAGATGTAAGCAGTGTACGTACGCTGTCGGAGCATAGGCCAAGGGGCAGCCCATAACGCAACACGCTGCCCCCACTTGATTCTGAAACATGCATCTTGTGGCGGACTCAGCGGGTATATGAAACACTTTGCTCCACGAACTACTCAGGCTATCAGTACGTATAACTATGTTCTTCAGCTCGGAGACAGACAACAGAGATGCATTTTTATATCTATGCTATGACGACGACTTCTAGCCACAAGAGGATGAAGGTCTCAAAGGATGAGAGGCTGCAGTATTTACCTAAACCGGTATAGTCGACGGTACGTGCCATGGAGCATACCAAGATAGGTATCCACCTACATAGAAGTGCACGTGCTGAATCAACTGCCGAGTCCTCACTACGTTTCAGTATGCCAGTACTACAGAGGACGCTGTGCATCTTTGAGAAAAGTGTCTGCTTTCATACGGAGTACATAATGCACGGACCAGATGGCTCTTGCATTCTTGCCGGTGGCTGTCAAGCTTGATGGGTATGGAGCCCGTGGAACAGCATGCCGATTTGGGCAGATATTGAGACTCGGGGAATATTTGAGACTGAATCCTTCCGTCTGCCTGGAGTCTAGACTCCAGGATCTATCATCTGGACCGCGTTTAGGTGGTTGAGTCGTGTTTTGGAGTGCATGTTCAATTCCACGAACCCGCTCGATGTCGATTCTAGCTCAGGCAATTGACCGTACGATATATCGAAGAATCGGCTAATACAATCCGAAATCTCTCGTAGACGGTAGTACCAATCTTGTGCCGGATGTGACTGGCTGCACAGCACATGTCACGTGACCTTAGCTGGAATGTCAGCGTGCTACACCCGTGGATCTCCCTCCGGCGCGGATAAATTATGATCCGGGAGTCATGTGACCTCCGTAAAGGGGTCAGCGCAGTTGTAGTTTGCTTAGATAACCAATAACAACAACTAACTAACGTAATCGGTAAGCGAAGCGACAATGTAAGCGAGCCGACAGTTTCTCTCCGAACGCGTACGCAATATTGAATTCAAATCTCAATTTCTAACCCAAAATTATAATTATACACAAAAAATTAATTACTAGTAAGATTAGGGCATTGAGGTCTTCTATGCCCGAGAATATTACACTCACTACACCGAAATTGGCGACGTACTGGTGGATGAGAGACTGGGAGCTCAGGCTCGGCCGGAGCAGTGGTAACAGCTTGAGATGCCTCAACCTGACCTTGTAAAAGTGCCTGAGCTTCCTCTCTGGTAATTCCTTGATCATGGGATATTTGCTTTTTAGATTTTTGACGTTTTTGCTTCTCCTTCTCATATGCAGCCCGTAGATCATGGAGTTCCTTCTGGGTAATTGTAAGCTCATTAATACTCATCTCATAAGCCTTTGATGCCCGTGTAAACACTTCACCAATAGCTTCAGATGAACTTCTTGTATGCCGGCTTATTCTCTTTTTCATTGTAGTCATTTGGCGCTTAAATTAACGTGGGTTTTGAGAGATTTGCAAGCAGGATGATTGTGTATCACTTGATCGACTTGGAGGGGGTGTTGGAGTCTTCAATCGAACAGTAAGCTGTTGATAAACTCAATCTGGATTGAATGGTACTAATCCAGTTACTGTAAAGCTATTCCGAACAGTTTGGGCTTTATATGCCATCGTACGAGCCTTTGGGAATGCAGTAAGAAAGTCAAGTTTATCAATATGATTAAATCCAAGCCTCATTTGCTGCTCAACAAGCTGTCCATAATGTCGCTTTAAAACAGCAAAACAGCCAACATCAAGAGGCTGTAAAAGATGTGAAGAATGAGGAGGCATACAGACTGGAATAATATTATTCTCAGTGCATGTACGGTCAAATTCAGCAGTCAAATGACTTCCATGGCCATCAAGAATTAACATGCGATAATTTCCCATTGCACGGCCATTAGTAAGAGGAATAAAATGGGTTTTAAGCCATTCTAACCCAATCTTATCTGTAGTCCATCCATTATCACTGATATTGATTCTCCAGTCATCAGGAAGATCCTCAAACCAGCCTAACCAAGTATATTTCTTTGCCTTGAAAATGATATATGAAGGCAGGGCCCATCCAGTTGAATTAATTACCTCAATTGCAGTCACCCATTCTCGATTTCCAGGCTGTAATAGCTTTGGCCGAGCATATCGATCGCTTCCAGTAATAACCTTTGCGGTTGCACAGAGTCCCATAGCAAAGCCAGTCTCATCAAAATTGTAGATATCTTCTAGTAAGATTCCGTACTTTGATATAACCTCTCGTACGCGATCAAAGTATTCTTGGATTAACTTCGGATCTTCGCATTTAGCACGCTCGTAGTTATATTTCCGTGAAAATTTTGATTCAATCTCTGGGCGACGTTGAATGAGATTATAGACCCATTTCTCTCCAACCTGTTGATTTCCACGTTGTGAAAGAAGGTAATTAGCCATCTCTCGTACAAGAGAGTGCCGAGGGGGTAATCCACGTTTGTCTAGATCGAGTACCCATTTGACAAGTGATTCCTCTTCAAATTGAGACAATTTATGTCCATTGGCACGTATTATAGATCTTTGTTGAATTCCGTTTAACCTGTCATATAGCGTCGTCCGAGGAATATTGTAAATGATTGCAGCTTGATACACACTTGAGATTTTTCCATTTTTTAAGTCGGAAATAGCTAACAAGATCCGCCCCTCTTGCTCTGCTAAATTCTTTTCGTTTTTATTGCGAATTGGTGGCATGTTGACGCGTTGAATAGTATGGAATCAATATTGAGTACGCGTTCGGAAAGAAACTGTCGGCTCGGTTACATTGTCGCTTCGCTTACCGATTACGTTAGCTTAGCACATTAACATGGGAATCGCTTGTCATGGACCCACATCGACTTCACGATCCGATGCAGGCATCCGCTTAACACTTGAACAGAGCATCATTCGAGTTCCCTTCCGCATAATCACTGACAAACGGGAGATCGATCCTCAATTCATTAATTCCAGTGGCTCTGACGAGGAAATGTCGCTAGTCTCGGGCCCTGGTAGAGGCGGAGGAGGTGCTGGTATGCAAGAAGAGCTATGTACAGACAAACATGTGTCATATATTCAGAGTCTCAACAAAGTGCGTCACCCCCCTACCTATCCGTTATTGATCAAGCACTAAGTGGTCAAGTCTGATTTTGATAAACTCTCAGCGCAGTGATGAACTTGAATATGCATACACAGATCATCTTCGTATGAACGGTGTCTACTGGGGTTTAACCCCATTGCATCTTATGAATCATGCTGAGGCGTTACCAAGAGATGAGACGATAGACTTTGTACTCTCGTGTCAGCATGAAAGTGGTGGATTTGGAGCTGCACCTTTGCATGATGCGCATATGCTGTACACCGTGTCTGCTATACAGATATTGGCTACTCTCGACGCCTTGGATGAATTAGACAGAGCAGGCCGTGATGGGAAGAGAAGAGTGGCGTCATGTATGTTTGTCCTATTCAAATAAATATTTCCGCGTGCAATGATACTGACGCTTCTTCTGAATACTACAGTCATAGCATCCTTACAAGATCCCAAAACCGGGGTCTTCAGAGGCGACGAATGGGGTGAGTCAGACACGCGCTTTCTATACGGCGCTCTTCTGTCCTTGTCGTTGCTAGGAAAGTTAGACTTGATTGACGTCGACAAGGCTGTCTCCTACGTTCAGCAATGCATGAATCTGGATGGAGCGTACGGCGTCCGGCCGGGGGCTGAGTCTCATGCCGGCCAAGTGTTGACATGTGTGGCTTCTCTAGCTATTGCTGGTCGCTTGGATCTCATTGATAGAAGTCGTCTTGGGACCTGGTTAAGCGAGCGCCAGCTAGAAATAGGTGGGCTCAATGGACGGCCTGAGAAGCTTGAAGACGTGTGCTACAGTTGGTGGGTAGGTGCCAGCCTCGCGATAATTGAGCGTCTAGATTGGATTGATAAGCCGAAGCTTCAGTCTTTTATATTGCGCTGTCAGGTAGGCTCCTATCTACGACTAACCGCATATCAACTGAGCTCTGGTTGACTCGCAATAGGATTATGATCATGGTGGACTGTCTGATCGGCCGGGGAATGTAGTTGATGTATTTCATACTCATTTTGGTCTGGCTGGTCTAAGTCTCTTAGGACATCCGGGCCTTAAACAAATAGACCCTGTGTAGTAAGTTCAGCAGCCGCTTAGGAGTTTGGATTGGCTAACATCATGCCACAGTTGTATGCCTAAAGACGTAATAGAAAGGCTGCTTGGAGAGTAAATGTCGGTTTCTCTGTCAATTATAAGTGGCTATGTCTGTGTTCTTGTCGTACTAGTACGATATGTTGATATACTATCACCAGCCTTCTTACCTCTTGCTATCTAATAACCCACTTTCGACATGCATGGATGCTGGGATACAAAGCAAGAGGATAGCAATATTCTGTGAGAATTGTCTTCAGGCTCGGTTGTACTGTATTCCAAAGTAACTAAGCCTCCCAAGATAACACAGTACATGTTGTGATGGACTTAGGACTGTAGACACCAAATCAAGTGACTCAAGGGTCGTTCCTGCCGCGTTTGTCTCGTGAGGGCCGTAGTTTCCCGTTTGCCTCTACCTTCCCTGTGTGTGCACTCGCCCTCTCAGAAACAACATCGTCTGTTCTTTCTCTCTTCAAAACCCTGTACAATCTGATCTTTTCACGACTTTCTTGTGTAAGCGCTCTACTTTTATTGAGCATTGTTTGCTCAACTTATCCTCCTGTAAACTTCCACTCCTCAGCTACCATGTGGTAGATTGAGTAAGTAGAAACCAGGAGTGTCTTGTCCTTGTTTCTGTCTCTTTTTTGTTTTCATCGCTCAGTTTGAATCAATTGCATGCTTTTATTTGTTACTGTCTGGGGGTTTTTCACATTTACAACTGTTGTTACGTGTGTTTAAGTGAGCCCTTTCATTCTATCCACGATGGATGCAACCTCCCTCTCTTGCAGCATCTGCAACAAAAAGCCCCAGTTCAGCGACATCTCTCATCTTCTTACCCATATTGCCTCAAAGGCCCATCTTGCAAGTCACTTCAGGCTCCAGGTAAAAAGCCATCATGACCCTTTCGCTAATGAGGCTTTGACTCAATATGACCAATGGTATGAGGAAAATGATATTGCTCGACTGCTCTCTGACCGTATGGCTTCGTCGAAGTCATCTCGAAGGCGACCGAGTAATCGATCGCTCGGAACAGAAACTGGTAAGACTCTCAGTGTTCCTTCTTACTCTCGACAAGTCTGCATCAGTGGTACTAATTGCCTGGAAGATGTGCCGTCTCAATCATCGTTCACTTTCCCTGAAAACAATATCGACCCCCGTCTATCTGACGCCTACCAGCCCCTGACCGAAGGTGGCCATGACAGAATCAAGGTCTCTTCATTGATCAATTCTTCTGACCCAAGAGGGATGTTTGCTCCCAAAGTCGAAACAGGGTCACCGTTACCAGGAATCGAGAACATCCCATGGTATGGCCACAACAGGGGCAGACACAGCTTTGAGCACAAATACAACCCGTTCCTTTCCATGGAACTACACGGAACACCACTCAAGGAAAAAGAGAATCTAGAATTCTCTGGCTCCAACCTTGATATTCCAGAAGATAAAAAAGTTGACGAGGTCTCTAGACTGAAAGGGATTCAGTGGCCGGGCATGGACTGTTTCGACGCTGCGTCGGATGCCATGAAGCGCCAAAGAAACCAGAAAAAAGACGCTAGTACTTTCAAAGCGATGGAGGCGGCTTCCTGTGCCAGCGAACCGAGCGAACTAGTGTTTTCCCCTTCGGGGACATTGCGGAGAGAGCGTCAAATTACTGGATTTGTCGAAGAGGATGATCTTCTCCCTGGAGAGTGGACTATTCCAAAATATCGTCGAGACCGTCGCGATCGCCGTGGTCGTGAGATACAGGAGACGTCTACTGCTCGTGGCAGGCAGGGATCCCAACGTATTGCACTTGCCGTGGCGGATGCCAATCGGTCGGTACTCGGAGGTCGGGTAGCAAAAAGAGAACCTCAGGCGAAGCGTTCAGCATTAGGGGATGAAAAGCGTCGAGAGCCCTCGATCCAGATTACCTCTTCCAAAAGCAAAGACCACGGGCTTTCTCATGGCCATTTTCGTCGTACCTACGATGAAGATGTTGATTTACAACTTTCGGCTGGGCCCACTGGCCGACGACGTCTTAGGTCTCGACTGAACATCTTCAGAGATAATCACACTCCCGAGGTAGAGCACAAGCGTGATGCTCCTAGCCTCGACATAGTCTCACATCCTACCACCCGCAATGAGCAGCACGGTCTGACGTATCAGCAACGAGCGAGTGATGCTCTCCATAACCTGATGGAGACGAACGATTCGTATAAGATGCCAACGCTATCACATGATACTGGGCCAACTGCTGAGCACAGTGACTCCCACAATCGTACAAGCGCTCCAAATACATCCAGAAATATCGATGGTATATATCTCGTCGACACAGCCATCGGCCCAACCCACCGAGTCCCATACGATCCCCTTGTTGGAGGCAACGTACTTCACTATCGATGGGACTGGCATGGCACTGAATTGGGACGAGGCGCGAATGATGCCGACGACTCCATGCTCGATGGTAGCTTATTCTATAACCGTGCAGTATCCACTGACTCGACAATTTACCAGGACGAGCAGGATACTAAGAGCTGCCTCTGGCTCGACGGCAGCTATGGCCGATGAATGAAGCCAATGCACAAACCGATTTTATAACCCACTGGGGTATTATCCATTGCATCTCTTTCTCTTTTATGAGCAAGTCTGCTTGCTATAACAGACACCCACCTTCATTTGACAATCCGATGCTTCGAGACTTGGCATTGATATTCGAACTCAACAGGGTCGTGTTATACATTTCATGTTCAGCAGTTTCTCATTGTTATGTCCTTTTTTTTTCCCCTATGATCGAACCACATCAGAACTGGAAACGATGTCTTTCTTGGCCAAGAAGAGCATCAGTTATATTATATTCTTTGTGACGCATGTTATGTATCTATTATCAAATTAGCCAGAACATCAATCAAGCTTTGTAGTCTTTCGAAACCGGAACTTTTAGTTAAGTTACAGATGGTTGTATGACTGCTTATGTAAGTGGGCAATTAAGCCGAAAAGGGACGGCGCGTCGCGCGTCAAGCCCTCCGCTTTCTGTAAACTCGTAACTTGAGCTCGGGTTGGGACATCAATTCAACAAGAAGGCTATTTGCACGTTATCCCATTTATTTGTCTTTTATGTGCCAAATATTCGAGCCTCTACCTGCTGCTACAGGCAAGTAAGTTAATTGACCCCTTTGTTGCCACCCTCCGAATCAGTTTCATATAGCTAACAAACCTGCAAAGATAGCAGAACACAAGCATGCCCTCTCAATCATCACCGCCGTCATCATCACCCGCCTTGAAGCGCAAACAGCAGACTATATCGAGCTTCTTCACCAAGAAACCTCTTACAAAGGAACAAGGAGGATCTTCGAGTCAAGCAGCCGCCAAAGTCGAAGCAGAACAGACTAAGACAATTCCCTCGGGAAAGGAGAATGCAGTCTTTGTTGGCGAAACAGTCAGTCCAGTATCAAGGAAAGATGAAGAAGGGGAAAATGATATTGCCCTCCCGGCCCGCAAACGGGTTAAGGTTGACGTTGGAAAAGAGACTCGCACGGATGTTGACAACATCCTGAATTCGTCACAGCGCACGGACAAATTCAAATTCAATAGCTCGCAGTTAATAAATGGCGGCCAGGGAAATGGAGAGGATGAACAAGCCCGGAAAGAGAAGGAACGACTACACCAGAAGTTCGTCAGGCGATTAGGTGGACCGGATTGTCTTATCGGCATCAATAAAGCTGCCGCGAATGCGGATGAGGGACTTGCAGAAGGAGGAGAAGATGCTGAAGAGGAAGAGGAACAGCCTGCTCCGGCGCCACTGCCCCCAAAGGGCAGACAGAAAAAAAAGTCCGGATCGAAACTCACGCCAATGGAGAAACAGGTCATTGATATCAAACGCAAACATATGGATACACTACTCGTCGTGGAAGTCGGATACAAATTTCGATTCTTTGGTGAAGACGCTAGAACTGCAGCCAAGGAATTGAGTATTGTTTGCATACCGGGAAAGATGCGATTTGATGAGCATCCTTCCGAAGAGCATTTGGATCGCTTCGCTTCCGCGAGTATACCCGTCCACCGACTGCATGTCCATGTGAAACGGCTCGTTACTGCTGGACACAAAGTAGGCGTTGTTCGACAGTTGGAGACCGCGGCACTCAAGGCAGCTGGTGATAATCGAAATGCGCCGTTTGTGCGAAAGCTTACGAATGTGTATACAAAGGGGACGTATATTGATGATGCGGAAGGATTGTCGGCTCCGGCAGCTGCGTCGGCAGGTGCTACGCATACGACTGGGTATTTGCTGTGTATTACGGAATCGAATACAAGTGGGAGTGATGAGCGTGTGCATGTGGGTATAGTTGCTGTACAACCCGCCACGGGTGATATCGTCTACGACGAATTTGAAGATGGGTTTATGAGAGGCGAGATCGAAACGAGATTGCTACACATCGCTCCTTGCGAGATTCTTATTGTGGGTGAACTTTCAAGGGCCACGGACAAGTTGGTTAAGCATCTCTCGGGTAGTAAAATGAATGTCTTTGGCGACAAAGTTCGAGTTGAGCGAGTGGCACGATCGAAGACAGCCGCAGTAGAAGGACACAGCCGTGTTGCAAGTTTCTATGCGGAGAAGCTCAAATCAACAGAGACTCGTGATGATGGTAATGCTAGTGCACTTCTGGAAAAGGTTCTACAACTACCGGATCAAGTCACGATATGTCTATCTTCTATGATTGATCACTTGTCTGAATATGGTCTGGAGCATATATTCGACCTGACCAAGTATTTTCAGTCTTTCTCTGCGCGGTCTCATATGCTTTTGAACGGTAATACGTTAACAAGTTTGGAGATCTATCAAAATCAGACGGATCATTCCAGCAAAGGCAGCTTGTTCTGGATCATGGACCGAACACGAACACGCTTTGGTCAAAGACTTCTCCGCAAATGGGTGGGCAGGCCTTTGTTGGATAAAAGACAGCTAGAAGAGCGAGTGGGTGCAGTGGAAGAGTTGTTAAACTCTGAGCAAAGTACTCTTACTGGGAGATTGAAGGACTTGCTCAGTAACATTCGAAGCGATCTGGAGAGAAGTTTGATCCGCGTCTATTACGGGAAATGCACTCGGCCAGAACTTCTCACGCTTCTTCGAAATCTACAGAAGATTGCGAATCAGTTTGTTTATATAAAATCCCCTGAAGAGACGGGATTTCAATCTACCATGATTAGTGAAGCCATCGCTGCACTACCTACCATCCAAGATGACGTTATCATGTTTCTCGACAAGATCAACGCATATGCAGCGGAGCACGATGACAAGTATGAATTCTTCCGCGAATCTGAAGAGTCAGAAGATATCACCGAACAAAAAATGGGCATAGCTAGCGTTGAGCATGACTTGGAACAACATCAGTCCGTTGTCGCAGAGATACTAGGTAAAAAGAAGGTTGAATACGTGACTTCAGCAGGGATTGAGTACCTGATTGAAGTTGAGAACAATTCGGCTCAGATCAAGCGCGTTCCTGCATCATGGGTTAAGATTAGCGGAACTAAGAAGTTATCTCGTTTTCATACACCGGATGTCGTTCAGCTTATGAGACAGCGGGATCAGCACAAGGAGGCACTTGCCGCTGCTTGCGATAAGGAATATATGAGACTTCTGGCTGAGATATCTACTAGATACCAGTCTTTCCGGGACTGTATCCAGTCTTTGGCATTGCTGGACTGCTTGCTCTCGCTCGCAGCTATTGCTACGCAGCCCGGATACACGAAACCTCAATACACCGACGAAACTCGCATTGTAGTTGAACAAGGTCGCCACCCAATGGTCGAGCAACTCTTACTGGATAGCTATGTTCCAAACGATACAGCTCTTGCCACGAATGAAACGCGCGCTCTTCTAGTCACTGGTCCGAACATGGGTGGAAAATCGAGTTATGTCCGACAGGTAGCTCTGATAGCTATCATGGGCCAGATTGGGTCTTATGTGCCCGCCAAATCAGCGACGTTGGGCATGTTAGATGCCGTGTTCACACGCATGGGTGCATTCGACAATATGCTGACGGGCGAATCAACCTTTATGGTTGAGTTGTCCGAAACAGCAGATATCCTGAAACAAGCTACACCTCGCTCTCTAGTCGTACTCGACGAACTGGGCCGAGGTACATCCACCCACGACGGCGTCGCAATTGCACAAGCCGTGCTGGATTACATGGTCCGCTCCATCCGCAGCTTAACATTATTCATCACGCACTACCAAAACCTCTCCGTCATGACCAAATCCTTCCCAAACAATGAACTCCGCAACGTGCACATGCGCTTCACCGAGTCTGGTGAACCCGGCGGCGAGGAAGAAATCACATTTCTGTATGAAGTCGGCGAGGGTGTCGCGCACCGCAGTTACGGGCTGAATGTCGCACGCTTAGCGAATTTGCCTCCTTCGGTACTAGATTTGGCCAAGTTGATGAGTAGTGAACTGGAGGAGAGGATTAAGCGTAGACGGTTGGCGAATGTGGCTAGGAGTGTTGGGGCGATACTGTCTGATACGGATGGGGATAGGGAGGGAGTTATTGAAAAGCTTGTTGGGTTTGCGGATCAGCTATGATTCCGTGTTGTTTGTATATTATTGAATGTTAATGAGGAGACTAAGATAAAGTTGTGTTTGGCATGTAGAAGTAGAGCATGCATACATGGTTAGCCTGGAGGCTTGAGAACCCGATATAAGAAATTCATCAGGGGGTTACTTAAATAGACCTAACAGCTCGTTGTAAGTTGTCCTTTTTACACACGGTCATCTGTCTCGTCTCTCTTTTCCGTATATCGACTAATGCAAATAATTGCTTCGCTCTCTCTATTTTTGGAGCTCGGTTCATGTCTTATCGTAATCTACCAAGGTACGACGTAGATTTCCTAGTTTGCTATCTACCCGACCTCGGAACTCATTGGAGTCATTATATATTCCACCTTGGGAGCCTTAGGAGTAACTACAACCTTGGAACAGTACATGTACGGATCGGGGAATATTTCACCTAAACTCAGAATTTGACATTATTCTAGCAAGATATGATTTAATAAATGCTCCACTCCCGGCTCAATGAATACCGAGGTAGCTAAACATCCATGGATATACTCCCTGGGGCAGGTCAATGTCCACGGACCACTGGTCCGTTCCGGGTTGTGCCTCAACTAAGCAACTAGCTAGATGCAGACAGTTCTAAATCCACCAGGTACCTAAGACTTATTCCAGCTTTGTAAAGTCTATAATTCATCACCTCAGTGATATAGAACATTTCAAAATATTAAAAATCGCCTATCTGGGTAAGTACACGTACAAAAGCGGCATGGTTGATTTCAGCAGTTATGATACAGAATCTAGGAAAAACTTTCCATCGAAAGCATGTTAGATCAGAGGAAGATCGCCGGGCTCATAACCCGGATGTCCCTGGATCGAAACCAGGACATGCTAAGATGTTCAATTTTTTTCTCACCTTTCACCAAGGTTTATTCCTGATCGTGAATTCAGGTTTCTTTTATTATTATTTACTGTAGGTGTACATGTTCAATAAACATGAATTACATACGAAAGCAAAGAAAAAGCCCAGGACTCACCTCGACCACAATATGGTATCCTACGTGTTATGGGCAGAATCCCCGTTCTTGGATTCTCGAACTTCGCCTAAGCTTATCCTCAACACGCTGACTGGCTGTGAACCTCACCGCCGCGGAGAGCAGAATACTAACCAATCAAAGCTCGCCTTCGCACACGTACCCGCTACACCACACCTTCATATAAAACCCCTATTTGGGCGCCAGGAATAGTTGCACTTTTTCTTCCTTTCTTTCCTTATCGAATTCTTTTTGTATGTTAGGCTCTAGATAGCCCGTACCCTGATCTTAGACTGGGACACTAAGGTTCTGGGAAAACAGATATTTCTCCAGTTTCTGGAATATCTATAGAGATCGGCTCAGTTATGCAGTTAAGTTAAGTTAGCATCTTTTAAGTGCAGTTACTGCGTAACTGGCAGATAATAAGACAGAAATTTTATGTACAGGACAAATAGTAATCCCTTAGCAAAATCAACATTCTCATACCTTCTCTATTCATCCTGTGCCGTCTTAATCCCAAGAAATCCCTTCCAGGAAATAAACGTTTTACAGAAACCTCTGGTCTAGGAATTGCTAGAAAGTCACGCACAGTTTATGTCATGCATGGATATTTTATTAACTATCAACAAGTAACTTGGCTTTGCATCTAAGCTCAAAGCACAACATTACGAGATAACCCTAATGGCAAATGTATTACCAATAACCGTACGACTCTTTTGTATTAAATACTGCGTGTTTTACCAGTACGGATTTGCAAACGCCGTTGATGTCGACGAACAGACCTACTCAATCCATGACTACGAAGGTAATTCTGTTTATGACAATTTTCAATTTGAGATATGCTACAAAATCCGATCCATGGGCATTCTTGCGACATTATCTACGTGGAAGAAGACGACAACTTTCCATTACAGATTTCGGCCAGGTCGGACGGTATTTTCCAGTACATCTGGGACGACGAAGGTGATATTATCAGCGGACACAAGGCCCGTTGGGTGTTACGTGAGAGCCCAGTGTTATTGACCATTTGCTCACTGCAGAACCGCCTCATCCACACGAAACTCTGGTTTCTGGAATACCTGAGAGCGCCTCTGCAAGCTACGACGCAATAGATAGTCGCATCACTGCCCTCCACATTCTGTGCCTGATGGTTACATTTATCCTTTCTATTACTTTTGGTTTAGCTACGTCCTGATAACACGAAGCACAGGATTACGCAGTAAGGCTATTCCAAAGAGCCCATGAGCCTGATAATATTGATGTTATTCGAATATTATGACTGATCCCCAAAAAGGGAGGAGAAGGATAATTACATGCAGGTAAAGGGGATATCCCCAGGGAACCGGAATAGCTAATATTCCGGTGTTGATACTCAACACCTGGGGATTCCCGTACGCACAATTGCCGAAGACCCCCTCCCTGGTTCTTGCGTCTCTAGTGCAGAGGGTTGATCGTCTTGAAGGCGAAAATGAATGATTATTTCCTCCAACCTCGGAAGGGATCCTTAATAGGGGTGTCTAGAAAGAGAGGTCCAGATGATATAATTTATATACTCATTGATTTCACGACAACCAAACTGCACGGCTCCATCTAATGACAAATACTTGGGTTTAACTATAACAACTGCTGTCTATCTTTGAACAACCTCACTCGTAGTTCCTATCATATTTTTTGAACACCACCCAAAACACCGAAGCACAGACGATCATAACCGATGCTAACCCTGTATATAGATACATACCCTTTGGATCATCCGAGAGTGGGATACAACAATCTCCAATGCAGACCCAACGCCGGACGATAATTGCGCGAGAGCCTGCACTAAAGTGCGCATATTTTTTGGTGCCTCAGAATAGCTGTATTCGGACAAAGTTGTAAACCCTAGAATCTCGGCAGTTGCTAGCAGGAAGTATATAGGGGTTTGTGACCATACGCTAATATCGTTAGGTCTATTTGTATCATCCTTACAAGCAAGTGGATGATCATAACAGGGACCTCGTGTGTATATAAGCTTTTGTATTACTGCTGCAACCGCCACGGATCCGCCCATTGTGATAAAAGCCCAGGTCATGCGAGCAATAGGCCTGAATGGGATTCCAATCCTTCGAAGTGAAGGATATAGGAACTTTTGGATTATTGGTCCGAGTAAGACACACACGACAGGGTTCAGAGCCTTGATGGTGTCGTTTGGAATGCCGTCTAGTCGTATTTGGCCAGCTTGAGTAATCAAATTGTTGACGCTTTGATTATTGCACAGATGATACAGCACGAAGCATGCCCTGGATATTCGATCGAGATGTTAGTGGCTTAACAAGCTAAGTCTTAAATGTTTTATGATAGACAGACATGACTTTACACGCTTTGAGTCCTCTTCGGATCTCTGAGACAAACAGGTCGTCTCATTCGACTTCTCTTCCGTACTTTTCTAGTTGATATGCAGGTTTTGCCCCATCTAACTGGAATCCTTCTCGAACAGAGTATATGATGACCTTGATTGCCTGCGGAAGTACGTTTCCCTGAGGCGGAAGCTTCACTTTTCCAGAATTAGAACAGTTCTTCTGCTTTTGTGGGACATAGAGGTAATTTTAAATACCTAAAGGCTTGTACCAGAAGAATAGCAAAGGGACCACGATCCAGACAGAACACAGAGGCATGAGGTAGGCTGCCCAGAACCCAACCTTTTTCTCTAGATAGGTAGAGGCAACCAGAGACAAGCTTGCAATACTGGTGAACCTGATGGTAACATTTGAAGACTTAGCTCATAATACTTGCCAGATCATGTCTTAGCAAATTCACAGTATAGCTCACCAGTAGAAAACATTGTATATATACTGGAGAGTCAACATGCGGCCTGTGACAGCTCGTTCACCGGTTTTTGTAACCACAAGCTGCGGGACCATAGTAGTATATTGATCTCCTGTCCAAGGAGAGAATTAATAAACCCAACCATAGAATGGTGACCTGCCCGATGCATCTGCCCGTGGGAGCAGGGAAGCATACCTATAAAAGGGCTTATAGTAGCTTTCACACCACCAGTCCCAAATCCTAAAAGAAACATTGAAAGTGCCAATCCAACCACTTTTACCGAATGCTCTTCAACAGCCGGAAGAGAAGTAACGAAGACCACTAAACATCCGCAAAAGTTGAGACTATAGACGAAACATCAGTGACTCCCCTATAAAATGACAGCAACAAAAAGGAGAAACTTACAAGAAGCAGATACACAGAGTTTTGTACCGTCCCAGCCAGGCATCTGACAAGATAGCGAATGGTACCGATGAAAATAACGTAAAGGCATAAAACGCACTCGAGAGCGTTGTAGCGGTTGCTTGACCTAGCCCTAGGGCGCCTGGGATTGCATTACTATCCCGGGGATACTGCGTGTAGTTCTCTACAGAAGAGAAGTTTCAATATGAGTGTATCTTCATATAGAGATATTGTTCCGAAACTTACGCCATGGAGTGGTGACAGCATAGAATGTAAACCGCTTCGCTCCACTGGCTATAAGAGCAATTCAGACAACAAATGGCAACGAGTCAACGACGTGCCGTAGACTTTGTATCTCCTCCTCGGTTGCATTCTGCCTCTCACTTTGTTTCTTTGGCATTTTGTTAGTCTTAAGAAGAACTTTGAGGAAGAGGCGTAGAAAATTGAAAGTCAATAGTCACCTAGGCACTGAGAATCAATCGTTTAAGATTGACAACTTGAAAGGGAAGATGTGGAATTGCACCATATGGCCTAGCATATTGCAGAGCATTATATATTTCCGAGTTTTCGAGGAAACGTAACGGTGATAATTTGTAGCGGGAGGACTAGGGACGCAGGATGAAGAAAGGAAAACATGAACTAAAATGACAATCTCCAGCACGCGGCTGACGCAAGCCAGCAGAAAGAAGATTGGTGTAAAAGGAAGCATGCATGCGGGCCTCTTAGTATCGACAGTAATTATCCATCCTATAGAATTAGGTCCGTGGTCTTAACATGCGGACTGATCCCCATGAGTCACCTGATCACCTGCCTCTTTAGGAAATGTCTCTCGTGAGCAATTTGTAACTAAAGAGACAGCATTCAGACGCACTCTTAGTGCAGATGCTAATGCCTAACGCTGTCAGGTAACTAATCAGTAAAATGAGCTTTGTGTACACTGTTCGCATGGATCCAACTACGTAGGTACTTGAAGTCTTGTTTGGAGAAGATTGGGAGAAAGAGAGAGTATTGTCATCACTATGCCCAAAAGAGGTTGGAGGGAGCTAGTCTTGGCACCATGTCCAGACTCCATACTCTTTCAGAGTTTTTCTTCTCCTTCACCCCGTCATCTTCTTTCATTATTTACTGATTCTATCACCAGGTTCCCTGTACAATCTTTTGATTACAGAGTTGTTACACAAAATGAAAATTTTCAGGTTAAGTGTTTTATCGGACACTCCCAGTTTCTGTTAGATCAGTCTAGGGCCAGGGTCACATCTTGCTCGGTGAAGCTATTCATAAATGAGTTTGATCTTCAGCGCCCTGAGGATCCGCTAGTAATGTCCATCTAAATCTCTGGCTTTGTTCGACTCTTGGTGACTCACTTCTGGCAAAGAGGCGTTGACTACCTGCCTTTTAGGATCTGTAATACAGCAGCATCCAATACGCTACCGGATAGCTAAAATGCATTTCTTCATTTCCATATGCACCGGTGGCAGTTCAGTTCTGAGCTTCGAGATGGGTTAAGTGACTATTTATATGTTCCTTGAACCCCGAGTGAATCGAATCTTTTTGACATTCAGATTTCAACCTCTGTAAACCAACTCTTCCTCTTCTATCTCATATCATCCGCTGATACGAAGTCGAATACAACATGGCGTCTAGACGCTTTACGTTCCTGGCGGTTTGGCACGGTGTACTAGGCTTACAACGCCAGAAACCTCATTCATGGCATTTTGATCGGCTTCGAGAGGAAGAGCAAGAGCTCCGAGAAGCGCAAGCCTATCTGGAGAAAATCAGCGAGGCTTCGGATGTCATCTTCTCAATCAGTCGAGCTCAGCATGATGGTTTCAATATCCAACCCTTGCCTAGCTTCTTTGATCGAAAGTATATGCTTGCCTACCCGTACATGTTCGGGAAGTTCTCGTCGCGATGGCTCTTCTACATCACAGCTTCCTTGTTGTGTCGCGCTCCCCATATCGTACGCGAGGTGGTCAACCCGACAAAGAACGAAAAGCTACTTCAAGTTGCCACTCGTCATCAGATTGATCCCGTCCGATTTACCCGAGTTTGCTCGAAGCTGCTACGTATTTGGCCACTTCTTCCGTGACATCTCGTCATAGGCCTTGGTTGATCGGACCCTGGTTGGTGACAAGTCGGGAAAGACGGGCAACTTTTGGCACTTTCTACCTACAGGTTTTGACTCTATTTCTCATGATTTATCTACTCCGAGGTCCAGTTTATGGCGGGACACACATGTGTGTTGCGCTGGTATATTGGTATATTGCATTGTCTTATATAGATACCACTACGATATGGCTGACTGTCTTTTTTTGTCATAACTTTCACGAAGTGCAAAGGCATTGTGTAGGGAACATTCTTTTAAAAAATATGATGTGGTGACCTTAAGATAACTCTTTCTGGGAACCAACGCTAGTCTGTTAGGTGAAGTGTTCTTTTGATATGAAATCAGACATTCTTTGAGCTTTGCTTGCTTATATGAACAATCAATCCAATGTGTCTAGTGCATTGTCTCTTCTGATGCCTGATGCCGGATATATTATCTCAAAGCACGTCTCAAACAAAGAGATTTCTGCAGGATTCTTTCAACTTGTTGCTAATCCGTGTGAGAGTGGTAGACAAAGAAATGCTGTATTGGGCTGCAGTGCTGCACTTACGATGTGCAGAACACTCCAATATCGCGGTGCAACATAGCGGAAACTGATTCACTTACTGCTCTCCATGGGTATTTAAGTAGCTGTTTCCCCAGCCCAGGTCTGGAAGTATTGACTCTACATTTTCTCAAACTCACGCTACTTGCGTGTCTATCGATCAAATATGTCTCCAAATACGACGGAAGTCTATACATCTACGACAATTAGAACCCTCAATTCATCCCGGTCAGCAACTCCTATGACTGAGCAAACTCCTACTTCTCCAAATGCCAAACCGACTGTTATCGGACTGTACGGAATCCCCGGCTGTGGAAAGACATTTCTTCTGAAGAAGTTGAAAGTCATCCTCAGGGATGATAAATTCATATTTTTCGATGGCTCTGATGTGATAAAGGAACTCGTTCCAGGTGGTCTGGATGCCTTTTCTAGATTTCCCAACAGCAGCAGGAAACATTGGCGGACCTGCGCTATCAAAAAGATCAAAAAAGATGCCGAGGATAGCGGAAAGACGGCGATCGTTGCAGGGCACTTCATGTTCTGGTCCGAAGTCAAGGAAAAGGACGTCGTTTGCAACGAAGCGGATTTAAATACTTACACTCACATCCTCTACTTGGATGTCCAACCTAAAGTTATTGCGCAACGACGACTTGAAGATCAGACTCGCAATAGAGCCAATGACTCCATGGCACATTTACAAGAATGGCAAGATTACGAGAAGTCACAGATGCGCAAACTTTGCCACAAAAATTCGATCCTATTTATGTCCTTGTCTCCTCGTCTTATGGATTTGTCGATGATTTCAAAACTGATAATGGATTTCCATTATCATAACGAGAAGATCAACTCGGCATCAATCGACCATAGACTAGACGAAATCATGGCGCGCATGGATGGCCCTGTCGAAACAATGCTAGTTCTCGATGCTGATCGAACTCTGACGGCTGAAGATACAGGCAAGCTCTTCTGGGATGACGATGGCCCTGGACCATCGCGGTTGGACGGTATCTTCCGCAAGCCGCTCCGATATTCATACCTCGCCTTTCGCCAAGCGATGCTGTTTTACGAGGAAACATATGACGATGACGAATTCGACCGCCGCTGCCGAGATGTCGCAACACGAACGAGCGTATATCCCGAGTTCTTGTCACTATTACGCCTGGTAAAAGCCGAACCTCATGTCGGTGCCGTAATCGTCACTTCAGGACTTGGCCGTGTCTGGGAGAAAGTGCTACAACGAGAAGGACTTTCCGAGAAAATCAAGGTTATCGGGGGCGGCCGTCTTAGTGACCGCATTGTTGTTACCCCGTCGGCCAAAGAAGCGGTAGTGGACCGTTTACAAGAGCACTACAAGACTTATGTCTGGGCTTTCGGAGATAGCCCGCTGGACATTCCAATGTTGAAGAAAGCGAACCAGGCAATTATTGTCGTGGGAAACAAAAATGAACGAAGCAAGACGATGGATGAAGCCTTAGAACAGGCTTTTGAGGACGCAGATTTTAAGCCTCAACAGGTGGTTTTACCTTCTGACGCTCCTCCACGTCTTGACGCAACCCGACTGCCAGTGATGAGTTTGACACAACAACAGTTCACTGCCGACGTCTTCACTCGTGGCCGGCCAAAGCAAAATATCGACATTATCAGCGCGACAGATAGAACATCTGCAAAGTTGCTTATGACGGCTATGCGGGATGCACGCAATAATGGTCCTATTCTATGTAAAGCTCACCGGCGTGTGGGCAGCTATTTGGCAACCGAGTTTGTCAGCTCAGTCATTGGTGTAGAAAAAAGCACTATTCCACATGTCCAGGGGTATTCCACTGATGGATACCGACTCTTCCGGGAGGACCAGACCTTGATCGTTTCTCTTATGAGAGGAGGAGACCCCATGGCTCGTGGAGTCTGGGACGTGTTCCCCTGTGCAATGTATCTACATGCAAAAAATCCCACAGACATCAAGTGCGATCACTTAGATGGTCAAATCAACATTCTACTTGTTGACTCCGTTGTGAATACGGGAAAGTCCATTGCAGAATTTGTGCAACACATTCGCAACCTTCATCCCACCGTTCGCGTTGTGGTTGTTGCTGGCGTTGTTCAAGCTGAGTGTACTTCCAGCGGCCATCTCTCCCAGGTCTTGGCTGGAAGCTACGACAGTCTCAGCATTGTCACATTACGTCTGTCCCAAAACAGATACACTGGCTCTGGAAGTACCGATACGGGCAATCGGCTTTTCAATACCAAGCATTTGGTATGATGTTAAGCACCTTCATGTACTGATGATATATGGATCTCGAGGTCCCATAGTCGCTAATACATAGCATGAGCCTGGAAATAAGAATTCACACAGCTTTACCTTCAATCAATCCAATTTGAAATTGCTACGGATATAGAAACCTTCATCTGATAGTACTGTACTGCACTTTGTCGTTGAGTAAGCAACGATCTCCGTTCAAGAGCAAATTGCCTGCAAATAATCATGTCAAGAAGTTTCAATAGTGTAGTGGCTTAGCACACACGCTTCCAAGCGTGAGGTCCGGGTTCCCGGCTGTGTGCCGTAAGTGTCTTGAAGCTTAAGCTTCCTTTTCCTTTTACCTTTTCGCCTCAGCATATTATAGATATGGTTCTTTGAAGAGTCTCGATCCCATTTGGCAGAGCGCACTGAGGTGAGTCCTTGAGGGCATCGGACTTCACATCCAGTACCATCCACATATTCGGCAACACCGGCACATCTCCTGTCTCTTAGGTTTCGACCACCTACTGGATTCTGAAACCACAATCCGGGGGGAAGCGACGAGACGGGTATCAACTTTTTAGAAGCGAGGTCGCCATGGGAGTTCAAGTAGCTCATTGGCTCAGTGAGTGAACCAGAGTGCACAGCTTTAGCTCACTGATCTGGTCAGCGTGGTCAGGACGTGCTCAGTCTACTCAGTGAGTAAAAGCAGCGAGGGGGCGAGCACTAAAACGGAAGGGGAAAGTCGAGGCGCATCAAAGGGAATCCGGTAGCCGTCTCGTCGCTCCCCCCGACCCTTGACCGGGTGGTAGTCTGCCGAGGCTCAACAACCACCGAAGCTCAACAACCAATATGTGTGAAACGTTTTGTAGTCCACCAACGCCATATATTTTATATATAATAACTAGACAAACTAATAATACCAAGACACGATTCACCTGTTACCTGTAGTGTCGATTAAAAAAACCCAAGTTTTGAGGCTCTGTTGCAGCCTCTTCCTCCCCCGGCTGCCGTTTACTAAGAACATATTGTTTATGAATTTTCATCAAATCCCCATCATGACGGCGTTTTATGAGGCGATTCGCATTCTTTACATAGAGCCTAAATTGGCCATTATGAGGTTGCCTTGATTAACTGTTTTTATACGGCGTGCGAGACCGGGGTTTGCTCATCCAAAATATCCTTTATACTCTCAATTGCTTTCACAATCTTATTGACGTAGCAACGAAGTTCGAATGGATGAAGATGAGATCGGTTTAATGGTTGGCGAGCTGGGAATAGTATCATCAACATCGCCATAAATTTTGAACGTATTCCCATTATCAATAATTGCATCCTCAGGTTGGATCATTTTATCCAATGCAGCACGAGGATTGTAAGGCCAAATTCTTCGATCTTTCCAACCATGTTGTCGGATTATTCGTGTTGTAAAGTTTTGTAAACAGATATCACGTAGCTCATCAAAAAGTCGTTTTTATCAAAATCGAAGCTACCGAGCCGAGCCACCTGATTCACCACTCGTCCATGAACATGTTTATATTGTTGAAACGGGACTCCATCGAGCGGTTGTAAAAGATGTGTTGAGTGTAGAGGAAAAGTAAATGCTCGAATGCGATCAATTGTGCAATACTCAAAGATGATTATCCATAATAAGTAATCGCCAACTCTTCCCATCGTCTGTAAACCGATTGAAATGCTGTAATCATTCAAATACGATCTCATCGGTTATAAAACCACTTGAAGCCGGTGCAGTAAGCCAATCCTCATCTTTTATATGGTTATACCATTCCTCCATATGCTTTTCACCCTTTTGGATATGCTGTAGCCACTGCCTCCTCTTCCCCTTTCCAACAATAAATCCAGTCTCTTCATCGCGGGGGTAATTTTGAGGTCATCCATAACCAGTTTGAGGTCAATAAACCATCGTTCAACCTGGCCATAATGCTTGGAAGCCGTATGTTCCATTTCTTGAGGGCTTTGAACGATCCGTTGATAATTATCTGGTAAACGCTTAAGATAAATCCAATCTTTGCCGGCTCTCCGTGGCGTTCCGTGAGCAGCAAAATCTTTGACGATCAATAATTCGCATTTTCCTCAATTTACTTAGCTGTAGGAGCTGCACCCATATTATCTAGATATCAAATCCATACCAAAAGCGCTTTTTCTTGATCAACCAATAACAATCTGTTCGTTGGTGAGAGAGTATACCCTCGATCCGTCGTGCTAGCCTTTGTCGGGAGACTCCAAATGCACGCGCTAAAAGCGAGATTTTTTTGATTTTTACCGTGTTTATATGTGTCAACGGCCATGGTGATCATTTGTTCCTCCTGTTTTATTGCCCAGCGGTAATTTTGGCGGTGTTTTGGACGTTGGAAAATGTAAAGCTGAGATTCTTAGAATATTGGTTGTTGAGCTCCGGTGGTTGTTGAGCCCCGGCAGACTACCACCCGGTCAAGGGTCGGGGAAGCGACGAGACGGCTACGTATGTTTTGTTGGTTGCTGAACTGACAACAACAGTACCTAATTGTTTACACTTGCCTCCAACCAGTAGTGCGATTGCGAAGATACATACCTTGCATCGTCTTATTTTGAGCAGACGACAAATTTCCACAAAGAGCTATTAGCTATTAGAGATAGCACCGAATATTAGCCCAACAAATATCATCACCAAAGATGATCGCATCAGCACCAAAGTTATATGCCGGAGAACAACTGGAGCAGGCGGCCGGTTTTCCCACACTTTATAACTACTTTCCAGCTGATCCGGAAAAGCAGTTGATCGTATTCATTCCCGGCAGTGGACACAACGCCCGAGTCGCTTATGGCGCACACCGGGGTTACCAGCAAAAGGATTTTCTAGCATACTGGCTAAACAGTCATGGCCATGGGCTGCTAGCGATTTCATATCCCATCGAAAGCGACCCCGAACTTATACCAGCTACTGCTCCCCATTTCCGCATTCGTGATTGGGGAAAGCAAGCTGCCGAGGTGACACATAAGATAATTGAACAACATGGCCTGTTTAAGGAAGTTGTGCTCGTTGCATGGAGTATGGGTGGAAGGATAGTTGTTCCGTACTGTGCTCATGCGCATTCCCTGGGGATCGATGTGGCCTTGTTCGCCTCTCTTGCGGCTACCCCTGGTGTTCATGGTTCACGACCGCCGCCGGCGGAAATGTCAAGTACGACAGCTGGGTATGCCGGAGCGACAAATCAGTACAGGTCATTCGCGTTACAGGTCGAAGAACAGAATCAGAAATTCAATAATGGGAGAGCCATATTTTCCGAGGGCGTCTATCCACGGGAATACTGTGGATATACCCCGGTGAGTCTGACAGGATGGGGCTATCGCTATGATAATGAGAGCCGCAAACTCGTCGTTGATAGGTGGATATCAACTGAAGACGCTGCGGTAGATCAGTTCGAACATTGGCCCATGCTTGTTGCTTTGACGGGCACTAGTTCGCTAGATGCTCGTCACGTTATAACTGACCAGGCAACCTGGAGTTATATGCTCACTCGCAAACTGATGCATATGATAGAGGCTCACGATGTGAAGAAGATTGCGGAGAATGGAAACTGGGGCAAATTGATTGAGATGGTGCATTCCTTGCCAAGTCAGATTTCATATTCTATTCCAGGAAACCATTTCTTCTTTGTGGGCGAGCCAGGGGCACGTACAACTGCGGCATTTATAGTTGAGCATCTGGAAAAGGCGAAGAAATTCAAACAAGAATTTCAGGCCTTGCTCAATACCTAAAAAGAATCTATTCATGCGATAGAGACCGAGGACACCTAGTTATAGGCAGAAGAGAATAGGATGCCAAAGGCTTCAAGCGGATTACTTTTGAATTTACAGACGGCTGTTAGTGCAACCACGAACTCATGAAAACTTCTACCTCTCCAGACAAGAAGCCAAAGGTATGTAAACATCAAAAGAAGAAAGTAAGAACAGCTGTATTCTCCCTTCACCTGCTGGTAACCTATCACACATGCCATATAACCAAGGATAATATCTAGATGGACATATCCTCAGTAGTGAAACAAGAACTGCTCCCAGAAAGTACTGCATCTGATCTTAGGCTTGTCACCAACATCAAGGCCCATGAAATATTTATTCAATGCTACACATCTAAAACTCAAATCTAATCAATTTGGTTCATGTATATCATTTTAAAACAGGCCCTAGTAGCACATTAATGTATACAAAGTAACAGTATAATGTGAAGTGAACAGTGGGAATTGTACTTGCATGAAACTCTTTCAACCACGACTGAGTGATGGATGTAGAGTGGCTACCACCAATTGCATACCCACATAAAACATAAGCGAAAACAACAGGACTCATGAAGATTCTAGGCACTAAGGAATTATCACAGCTTTTGGTGCTGATAGTGCAATATATGCCTTCAAATGATGTTTGGAATGTTGCCAAGTTAGTGGTGATTCTTTTCTTATTAGCTTCGAAACTCGCCCCCCGCGTCTTGCGCTGTTTAAAAGAGATGTTGATTGTTTCTCTGTTGACTCCCATCACCTTATTTCTCTCACCCACCCCGCGTCTGCGAAACAGTATAGATTCATCTAGTGTACGATGTCAGGGAGAAGTCTGAGCACAATGCAATTCTACTGTGTCCTGGTGTACTGCCCAGGTGTTTCTGGAATTGTATAATAACAGACTAAGGCTACAATTTTTTGATATATATTTTTCAGACATAACTGTTTCTTCACATATCACCATCAACCACTCAACCAAAGCATCTTCTGTTTGCAGTTTCAATTACTGCCTTTTCACCATCAGACATATTTTCCTCAGTTGTCCATGTGTTTGAACCCATACCCATGGCATGTAACCCCTCATCCGAGACTGTATCCCAATCAAGCTGACCAACAAAGCCTCGCTCGCCGACACCACCGGCATCTGGAAAATCAGGAGGTGGGCTGAATTTCAAGGCTGCCTCACGCTGTCTAACCAAGTACTGGGCATTAGACGATGTCAAAGGGCATACTGGAATATACAGTACGCTAGAATCCCCTTGCCCATGGTGTTCCTTATCAACAGAGTGAATGGAATCACAATGCCCTGGTGGGGCTACAGTCAGTTTTATGAAGATCCATTGTGGGCAAAAAAAAAAACATCAGGAATGGAAAGACTCACATGCAACATAGTCTCCTGGCTCTACGTGAGGTACAGAGCACATGGTATCAGCCAAGTCGAGATCCGGATGTGTCTTGTTGTTATACTCCTGGCAAGCTCCAGGCACAGCTCCAGGAAACTCAGCATTAAGATATTTAATAGATCCAGTAGTCATGAAAGGTCTAAGCACCAAATATGCTGTAGCATGTCTGAGCAATGGGTAAATCTTCAACGTTCCTTCACCTGGACCCGTAGACGACATGCTCAACCAGCCCTGGAAGAAGCGAAACATTGAACATGCCCCAGCACCATTGTAAAGATCTTGATGGGCGGAAATGCGGTGGTTTGCATCGAACGGGTCGTACTCCTCCCATTTCCCTTCTAAGATCTTAGAATAACATCGACGATATTCGGGGTCTTCCCACCGTTCGAGCGATCCACCATCAGAATGGGGCCCTAAGGCGAATTTCGCATCGCCCGGGTTACGAATACGAAACCGATCTGCGTACATGAGGGGATGCGTAGTTGATATTTGAGAGAGCGGATTGGAGGAGTACCACAACTTTGCGAGGAACTTTTGCGTGTTTATCATTCCTGGATGCGTTCGGGCATGGACTTGGCTTGGAGCCCAGTAGAGCTCGTATACCGCTGGGTCGTCATTTGGGAATGCTTTAACTCTTTCTTTGTTGGATTTTATGTATTCTCTGACTTTTTCTTTGTATTTGAGAGCAGTTTCCTTGGGAATCACACCTCGGATGACCACGGAGCCACGATGGCGGATATTGTTCAGTTGCTCTTGGGTCAGGGTTCCATTTTGTATATCTCTATAGCTAATTGAAGGAATGGCCTGTGATTCCGTTTAATATCATTTGCTGGTTTCTGGGATGATATTTGCTTACGTCACTTCCCAGTGCTTTAATCTTCTTGACTTCTTCTCGAAGGGAATCCAAGAGCCGTGACCAGGAGTCGGTCAAGACTTGTTCTCTCCCTGTAGACAGTTGGGTTTTAAGAGTTTGAAAACGCGGCGGAAGTGGATCTGGTGCTTTCCCAGACAATGATGGGAAAACAGAGCTTATATCTCCAGCTGCTTTTGTGGACGTTGCTGTCGTTGTTGACGTATTTCGAACGAAGGATAGGGGTACTCGTTTCAAAGCTACCATTTTCTGATCACAGCAAGATTAGGAATAATTTATAACAAGTATCAATGAGAAGTAAGAAACAACAGAGGTCGGGAATTCCCAGGTCTTATACTCGCGTCCAAAAACTGTGGCGATCATGATACCGACTACAAGCGGATGCGGATTCCCCAAATAAGTAAAAACCCGGCTGCGGGGTACCACAACTGGGATATCATTTTCCGTATATTTTTCAGATACGAGAGCAATCATTGGCGCTAGTTTTTCTTATTCTTGGGTGACTCAACCTAACTACTCTTTGGAAGTTCATGAGTGGACTCATGCTAAGCAACCACCGCAAACTGTGAGAGCGCAGTTTTAGGGTTAGCATTAGAAGCCCTAAAGACCAATGGCCCCGCTGCCATCAAACTGGTTCATCTTCTCTTTACTACGCACTCAAGGTTTGGTATATATCCATTTATTGTAAGGCTTATCATATTACGATTCCAGACCTTCAGCCTCGGAATAGCATAGGGAGTCTCCTAGCTTAATGCTTCCATTCATTTGGCAATAATAACAAAGTTACAACAACTCATTATCCTCTTTCACTGAGTCGACACTTGCAGATTCATCATCAGACCTCTGCCAGCTATATAAGACATCCTCCCCCAGTGGAACAAGTTGCGTGAATTAATTACGAGTGTCCAAAATCCGCTGATACTCCACGCCATAATCGAGGGGACGGCCATTGATCTCCTGGTATAATCTAGGGAGAATGACCCCTGTATATGGACCCATGATACCAAGCTCAAAATCTTGGCGAGATATGGCATTTCCCATCAAATTCTTCCTGAGTTCCGGGGATTGCAAAGCGAACGAGGAAAATTGACATTCTCGATAAACGAATACCTTAAGATAGATGCCTCGATCGATCACTAGTCCACTGATATTGTCACTGAATGACTACGGATATACATATAACAATCCTAGTGGTACAATTGTGCCTAGAAAGCTGATAATCCCAGTTATGTTAAGATTCTCGTCAACCTTGAAGTTCCCGAGTCAGCATATGTTCATAGTAGTCAAAAATAAGCTGTTTGCCTTACTAGAACATTCTGAATGGTAAGATCGTTATGTTTGATTACGAATAGGCCTTTTTTGAATTCCAGCAGAACGAAATGCTCAGAAAGTTCCGCGAGAAGCTCATATGTAGCAACAGTTTCCGCTCTGTCCCCTTCTTCTTCAGGGTCTTCTATCGCATATGTACGATTAAGATTCAGCATAGAATTATACGAATCTAGGTAGATTTGAAGGGACCCCTGTATCGAGTATCAAGTTTATTTTAAATGTTATCGCCTTGTGTTCCGGATACGCTGTTGCATTCTTGTCAATGAATGGACTAATAAAGAAGGTTCCGTCCGAAGCTTCTTTTAAGGAACCAATTTTCTCAAACTGAAGGGAAGCTGATAAGTAAGGGATTCCATAGGGTTAGCAATTTAAATAACTATAAATGCTTAAGCATACCTAACTGCAGAATTATATCTGTCAAATGTGTGTGAACCTTCTTTGCTCGGGTTATATCTTCCGGTTCAGGGTCGCGGCATAGGAGATGGAGATCTCTTCCGGCTGGTAATAATTATAATATGGAAGTGGAATTCATGCAAACCAAGTGACCCCGTCCGAAAAGCTGAGCTCATAGAGAACGTTGAATCATAAAAGTTTGCGTTCGGCATTATTTAGTGACCGATTAAGAACACAGCAGGCAGTTGAATACCTCCAATTATATGATATGCAAGACAACACATCATACCGTTGCGACAACCGGAGGCAACAGTACAGAGCTCAGACACACAAATGCTCTGAGAAAATCGAGTGAACTCATCGAATTCGGCTTCGTGATCTTCGCTCATGGTATCTGAACACGAGAGAAATTCAAGTTTGAACGGCTCCGAAAGTCGTAACACATGAAATCTAAAGCGTGTTATGGTAACGAGCGACAATGCTTGTAGTTTCTCGATGTTCAAGTCGGGGATTTTGGAGCAGGTGACGGATCTCAGATCTGAGAGGCCTGAATAGATTTGTGATTGGACCAGAGCTCAATTTCTCTAGTTACTTCTGAGAAATGAGATAATACAGTAGGAGCGCATGTATGGAAACTTATCTTTTTATGACTTTGTCTTGCATAAAAATACTAAAACGAACCTAAGGACGACAAATCTATAAAAATACCTCAATAGACAAGAATGAGGTTGCCGTAACTGCCTAGGTGCCTGCAAGTTTAGGCATAGATGACGATAGCTGGTACTGGCATAGAGCAAACCTGGCTACACCGGGATGATACTACTACTAGGTCGAAATGAAATGGCTAATGCTGTCCACAACATATAAAAATTTCTGGATCTAGCTTGTAAACATTTGAGCAAGTCAGGTAAGCACATCCATGGATGTCCTTGTGCACTATCTAGGTAGGTCTATGATTTGTAACAGTGAACGACATGGTCATGACAGTTTGGTAATCGTGAAGAATTATGCTAAGGCGACATTTATACCCCATGCTCTGGTACTTAAATTCTTGTGAAGTATCTGAGGGAGGGTCAGGAGTCGTGTTAAACCATAGATTTTTTTATGGTTCTTCACCAAGTTTTGGTAACTGTACCTTTTCTCTTAAGATTGCGCCCTGTCCCACTGTGATTTTGCATAGTCATGGGTATCCTCGGGCATTTGTTTCAAGGCATAATCCATTCCCCTCTCATTACAGAGTATAACATCCTTCTTCTTGGGGTTTTCTTTGATCGTTTTAAATTCATTTCCTTCATCTCCATATAGTCTTCTGCCCTGCTCCTCCTGCTCCCAAGCTTTTATAACATTAATATATACATTCACGAAGCTTATTGCAATACGGTCTCACACAGGACAATCAATAACTGTATTGTGGAGCACTGCTTCAAATTTGTCCTCCACCAGCTCTTCAGGTGGGCCATCGTTGCCGTTTATTCGAGGCCAGCTAATAATAGGGTCATCTTCTTCAAATGTATGACCATACCACAGGAGATTCATCCATTTAGATTCAGTTAGTGCTCGACATTCCGTTCTGGATAATCTCTAGGCTCAAGATGCCCTGTCATTTGCGTGACAAGACTTTCCCTTTGAATTGTGACAATAAAATCCCGGGCGTCCAGCGACACAACAAAGCCTCCTCTTTCGGATGACTCGAAGTTCACCTTTGCTCATTTGCTAGTGCCAGGACTGTTAAACCCCAGGAATCCAGATTAGGTGCTGGCAAAGAGGAAATGGAACCAAGCTACGAGAGAGATGACATGGTACTTTGGGTATAAGGTATTTCTGCTCGGCCTGAAATTAGACAAGGAGTTTATCTGGGTTTTCTTGTCGATTTTGAGGTACTGCCCTAAAAATTAAAGCAGTTAAGTCCATAGTACTCTGTTTCCTGGTCACTTGGCGACTACTGCTTCTCCACTATGTAGGTAGATTGATGCATCTTTATCAAGATAAGATTATGGTTGATGCGGCGGGTCGTTCCGTAGATCTGCCTTATCTTCACCTTATTTAGACATCCTTTGATGCCTGAAATTTGAGGTTTCAATATATGTCAGCGGGGCAGTCGGAAGTTTTCCTGTTACGTCCAAGCAGCGGAGCGGACCTACCGAAAACCACAACTTTCCATCATCGGGTCATACGTACCATCAGAGTGATTCTGCTTATAGGCTTGTGGGAGCTTGGAGTATATGTCTGTGGTGCATCTCGATGAAATTCATATCTCATAACGCGGATACCATCCTACGCAAACGCAAGCACACTCGGCGCGCTTGCGAGCCATGTCGAAGAGGTAAAAGACGTTGCAATCACACGTTGAATTTGGATGGTCGCGTGAACGAAGTTGCTGAGACTTCTACCAGTCCAAAAACCGTATATCATGGCCAGGGGAGACATAGAGGGCATGGCTCTAAGCAAGGTCGTGGGCTGACACCAGACTTCGAAACCCCAGAGAATGCCAATTTCCTTCCACGGTCGAGGCATTCTATTGGGGAACTGCTTGAGGCAGCACAGTGTAGTAATTAAGAAGATCCAGACTCTAGCTTAGACCCTTCCAGGCGATTTGTTGGGGACTCAAACCCAGAGACTGTTTTCCGCTCCATCACTAGTCCTGAGACGACTACGCGCGGCCAATCTAGCCAAAACAATATAGGGACGTGGCTTGTCGATAATCTCACCTCAACTGGGCGAGAACTAGTGACTGGTACAGCTAGGCATAATACCATCTTTTACAGCTCGAGTTCTGCAACTCAGAAACTGCTATCCTCGCTGCTTGAAACTGAATGTTTCACCATGCTACCACCGATGCCATATCTATCCCAGCTACTATCGTTCTATTCTGACGAGATTCATCTTATTTTGCCACTTATCGACATCAATTTTTTTCAAAGGGACATCGACGGCCGCTTGAAAATCCTACTTTCGCAGGCTATGTGTCTACTTGCCTCAATGAGCCCCCATTGTAAATCGCTATTGTACCTACCGGGAGAGAACAAACTGCTGGCGCCTCGCCTCTTTGGATATCGCATCTTCTGTGCCATGCGATGTGAAATTGAACTCGGTGCAGTGACTAACAGACTAGTGTTAATACAGGCACTAGGTGCCTTGACTCTATTCATAGAAGGTCCAGAAGGTCCTGAAACCGCATCACAGCTCTGTGCTAAGATGATACAGCTAGTCCAGACACTAGGCCTTCATATACAAAGAGGATCCGATCACGAGGAGGACTATGAAGTGACATGTCTCTGTTGTGCATGGGCTCTGGATCGACTCAACGCAGCGATCCATGGGCGGTCAGTTCTTATGCACGAGAGAGATATAGCAAGGGACCTCAATAAATGCTTTGAAAACCAAAAACCTGCCTTTAGACTGCTCTTAGCAGTCATCTCTCAATTAGATCAAGTCATTGATCTATATCGACCACACTCGAGATCGAAAGGTGCAGACCTCAAGTCCCACTATCCCCAATTTGATGACATTGTTGTGTCCGCTCAATGCACCAATCTACATGCCAAGCTACTCAGTAAGTGCTATTGTACCTGGCTCTGTGGGACTTATGCTTACTTTATATAGGTACTGTTGAAGTCTTGTACTATGCGGTTGCCATACTTTCATGCCGAAGTACAGAAAGACCATCAAATAATGACTTTCGACAAATCTATGCCGCCTCAAAGATCAATTCTATTGTTGAGCAGGATATCCGGAACCAAAAGCGCCTACTAGTATTCCTTCCATTTATCCCATATGCAGTTTCGCTGTCACTTAGCATCTCTTACAATCAAATGCGTTATACGAGAGTTGCAATGTATCGGACGCGCGCACGGGAGGAACTGCAGTTTACTTGCGGTTTGCTAGAGCAGTTGGGTACTCATTTTTACGTCGCCTCTGCTATGGCCAGCATGGGTAAAGCAACAATAGCAGAGATTGACCGAGTGTCTGAGAATATGCTTCGAGAAAAGAATCCCGACGGCCGATCTCACAACAATCAACGTCCGACGGAGTCTAGTTCTCGTAATGATCGACCTGCCGCTGTCAATACATCAGATGGTGCTATTGAGCTGGATCCCTCAAATTCCGGGCTGTCTTCTACAGTCAATGAGTTCAGTGTTTCTGATATTGATGTGTTTGATATGTTTGATCCTAACTTTGGACTGGATAATATTGACGCGGTCTTTCGGAGCAACCTTGATCTATCTACCCCAATGTATCTTCCGTTCTATACTGGAGATATTGATTCGTTCTGATGGCCATTACGATTAAACTCTAAACCTTGACCGCAGCAATTCAGCGATATGCCTTTGAATGAAGCAATTGCGACAGGAGAATAATTCGTTTACTTTCGGTCCCAAATACATGAACAGATTCTGTCTATGCACAGAGCAAGGCGTCAAACTCCCCTGAGGAAGAATTATAGTATAACCACGCGGTCTAAACCTCGTGATACCATGAATCATTAGCATTCTTATAGGGCCTTTCATTTCATACACAGCTGAAAAGCCCTGGCTCTTAGTGGTCCATAAAAACTACTATCTGCTGTAATTGATGCTGATATCAGGTCGATAACCGATTGACTGTACCATCGCCAAGCCTAATGTTGCCTCAAGCTACTCTCCCTTGGAACATCCTGTTGAACGACGTCAATTCGCTGGTAATTTCCAATTCGTTTGGTCAGGCGACCTCTACGATTCCTCACTGGCCAAAGGTGGTGAGTGTTCTGCTGCCTAGTTGATATTCGAAAAGACTTCCTTCCTTTATGCTTTCTGTTTTCGTTCAGTTCCATGAAACTGACTGAATTCATCACTATTTCTTTGATAAACATCATTCTTATCAATATTATCATGACCGGGATGTTCTGACGGCATCACAATATTAAGGAATGCCTTTGTCTTGGGAAGATTCGTTGTTGATTTCCATTTCTTGAGCATATTGCTGATGGAGTATTGATGCAGTGGATGACTTTACAAAGACTCATAAAGCTGGAGTGACTATCACCAAGGCTCGGGATACTACTCGCCCTGCTCTTATCACCGACTGGCATTGCGCGAAGTAACTGGTACTCACTCAAACCCGCCACTGCTTTGAAAGCGTGCCAAAGGGATGATGCAGAGTTACCCTGGCGAAGTAGTCCATTTTGGCTCGTCCTCCGCGTCTCCGTTCAACGAATGCTGTACCTGACATTTGGTGAGGAAAAGGGATCGGCATACTACAAATTCCTCCTGTGTGTATTACTCTCACAACTCTTGATGGATTGCTTCTTGCCAGTAGGTGGGCGTGGATCTGATTATCTCCCTTCGACTCAGCTCGTTCAGGTAGATCTCACTTTTCCTTCTACGAAATATATAAGATTCGTGGGGCCATCTGCTCCTGTCCCATTCCCAAAGCTAATGTTGCATCCTGGACCTGGGTTCAGCAGCTACTCGACTGACCCATCTCCATAAGGTCGCCGTCACCCCCGACTGACTCATTTTCGGGTTTTACAGCACCAGTCCCACGACACCCTGGGATCTGCGAATGTGAAAACTCATTGATGAGGAGAGGTTGCTTAACGACTGCGCCATTTTTTCGTACTCACCTGAAGACGATATAAATGATGACGACGATGGCGCAATCTGGAATCGCAATTATTTCTTCTTTAACAAACAGCGCAAACGTGTTTGCTACGTTTATCTACGCTGGATCCCGATAATGAGCCACGACGATGGCAAAATTATGGCCATGTGGGAAGACGATGATGTTGCGACACCTATCAGGCCCCAAGCCAAAAGCATTATGTGGAAAGGACCTCGGCCAAATCACGCCTAGCAATCATGCTGAACAAACATGATCCAAGGCGAAAATAAAGTACATGTCGACGATCAGAATGAGTGCGCAAAATTTCCCCGTCTTACTACCTGAGAAGGCCGGAATTGTGGTAGATCTGAAATATATGCGAGCAATGCTCGAGAAACTTGATATTCCGCGAAGATACAGCAGCCAGATGATGAAGGACATGTGCGAGAAGATGGATGTAGTGTCGTTTTCTTATACTTCTAGGATTCATGGGGTCTCCTGTAGCTAATTGGGAATATATGATTTAACAGGGAACAAAATGCGCTTGCACTACGTTCTCAGCCGGTATTACCTGGCATAGAAAACTATTCTTTCCTGCGGATTTTCAAGGATCGTCCGGGGCCAGCTCTGCCAGCCGCGGAATCCTAGCTTCTGTGACGGCTGCAAGAATCGCTGTCGTGTGAGCTCGGTCCGTTGTAGTGCCGCTCCGTGGTCTCGTTGAGCCCTAAGCCCTAGCTGGCCGTACAACGGGATATCCCTTTGTTGTTACGACTTCCTATTTAGGCACCGCCGAGGCCATACGCGCTTACAAAGGGCTGTAGCGAGCTCACACACAAATTCTTCCTTTCTCCTTCTTTTCTGTATGCTTAGTTTCTTGAAGATGAGCTACCCTAGAGTTTAGGCCTGAGCAAATGTCACACTTCGGGCAAACCGGTTTCAGAGTGATAGGCTGCAAAGAACCTCAGTCTATATAGAATTTGACCAATTGTTTGCTTTACAATGGTACCACCCATAGGTTTTTTTCCCTGGGATAAACTTTTTATTTTTTCCTTCATAGGGTACGAACAGTCAAAGCCCCAATTCCCTCCATGACATCGCTAAGGAAGATGGACCGCACTTCACCCAGATCATCGACCTTTTCAAAGCCATCTCTTCCGATCTAACTGACGCCCAATTCCTGGTGTTATCAATCACAAGTCTCTGGAGGAATCCAGTAATTTATTGAAGCTATCTTATTCGAGCCCTACATACAGACTCAAACCCTCATCACTCTCGGCGAGGTAGCGGCTCAATTACCGAATGAGATCATCGTTGACACAGGAAGATTACTTTTTGCAACAGCTCAAGTCCTCCTGGTACAGTATCTGCATTGCCGTGGGGGTTGTACCTGACCAGCGTCCTCGGCATTTGGAATCAAGACTGCCCGGCCGAAAATAGGCTCCTTCACCATATTGTACGCAATTTACGGCAAGACCTAGAGTATAGTATTGTGGATGTCATGAGGAATAATACAGATACAGCCGCGCAGGAGTTGTGGTTCTGGAAAGCCTTTGTTGTAGCATGGAAATTTGCTTATGTCGGTTCAGTGGCAGATGGTGAGCGAGCTATGCAAGACTTCTGAATCTTGTACCAGATTTCAATTGTTATATCCAGATTGCGGCTCAGTCTATCGGAATTTACTCGAGACAATATGCTAGATATAGATTGGAAAATATCGCTTTCCTCATACTTCCAGGGCGATACACCAGCTCAGGCATTATGAGCGTCGGTCACGACTACTCAGAAAAAAGAGTATAACTAACGGCCTTGGAGAGAGAGAGCTCTGATTTGTATAAAACACAGCATCCTTTCAGTAGGCAAGTTGGCTCGTACGGTACTGCTCAAAGAACCTTCGTCGATGTCGGACGGAGGTTGAAATCGAATCTTCTCCCGTTCAAGTAGTGGTGGAATTTATAGTGGTTAGTTGCATTGAAATGCTTGCGATATTCCGCGCAGATGACTCAAAACTACTTTCAGGGGCCATGAAATTTCCCTCTTATTATGTATTAAGTACTAGGTGAGGGCGCAGTCCAGCATTACCTCAGTCAGGCTACTCTGGGAGCTTACTGTTTTCCTAACTTATTGAACGGGGGCCTGAGTACCGATAGACCTTCGACCCCTTTGTGTGAAAGCCAGTCCCCGCAAAATTCACAATTCAACACGCGTAGTTATAGTCAAATGGCATGCGGGGTTTGCGGAGAGTCTGTGGGGTGATTTACAGGTCTCACCTCAACTTACCATTGCCGAAACTGAGGACCGTCGGTGAGTCCAAAGATCAGCAACAATTCGTCAGTGGCAGTTGCTAGTTCCCAAGCCACAATAAAGTAAGTTTCTCCTTGCTCAGGATGCTAAAAATTCTGCAGAAACATGTACATAGTTTTCTCGGACGTTTCCGCTCTGACTAGGTAGTACTAAGATTTCGAAGTTACGCTACCTAGGTAGCGTCCCACAGGAGATTTTCCCAAAAGAGCCAAATATCATTCTGATAGAGCCTGTTTTCTACAATATATCACCGCCGTTGGCAAACACATATGACCGTCGTGTTGAAACGAGAACATCTAGAGATAGAATTACGTGAAACTGTGCTAGTTGCATAATTCTCACAAGCTGGCTGCACAGCTACATACTCAGGTAACCTATCCCACAGGAGGTTTTGATATCATATCAAAAGAGGTAATCTCGCCTCCGATGGAGTCGAAAAAAATAAAGTATTAAAAGGAGGGCGAATATGGAGCTGTTCTCGCTGTGTATCAGTGCTGTGAACAAAGCGATAATCTTATGGTCTCCCAGCCAGAAGAAAGATGCGTCTCCTACAAACTCTTCATTTTCTTGCAGCAACTACGCTGAGTAACGCTGCAGCCGAACCACTTACACGGCGGCAAACCTCCTCTAACACTGCTGTTGTTGATTTAAGTGTTAATCGTGGGCAGCCGAAACATTTGGCATCTGGTTTCATCTACGGTATTCCTGACAATGAAAACCAGATTCCAGACCACTGGTATACAAACATGGGATTTGAGTATAATCGAGGGGGCGGTGCCCAAATGGGTAAGTCTGGATTACAGACTTTATAAACTGCCCGAATACTGGCAAAGTTATCGTTGTGATCTGACCTTCTGGCAATAGGTGCGCCAAATCGTGGCTGGATCTGGGGCTTGAATGAGTACAAAGGCCGGTTTCAGTCAACACTGTCAAACTATCAAGTCACCGTGCGCCATGGAGGCACTTTTATCATCTTACCCCATGACATTTGGGGTACTGATAATGCCAATTCCTCAACACACTGGCCCGGTGATAATGGGGACTGGTCTAGCTATGATGCTTTCCTCAACCAGCTATTATCAGATATCAAGGCCAATAACATGGTAGATCATACCGTGTTCGACATCTGGAATGAGCCAGATATCTCCATTTTCTGGGCTCGCTCTGCTGCACAGTGGGTTCAGCTCTATGTCCGAACACATCAACGCATTCGGTCTGATCCTGCGCTGAACGGTATGCTGATCTCAGGTCCAACGCTTGCATATCGGCCAGCATCTAGCAACAATTGGTGGACTAGTTGGCTGCAGGCTATAAAATCCAACAACACAGTACCAGATCAGTATGCATATCACCTTGAGGGAGGAACAACGGATGTGGACAATGATCTCCAGACCAGTAGCCAAACCCTTTCGACCTTACTATCGCAATACGGTCTACCCAGTCGGCAAATCAATATCAATGAGTATGCAAACACCAACGAGCAAGTTCCCGCTGGTGCTGCCTGGTGGATCTCACGATTTGAGCGGTACGATGCCATAGGCCTGCGAGGCAACTGGCGTGGCGGCTGTGTGCTACATGATCTCTTCGCTGATCTACTCACAAAGTCCTCCAACCCCAACTCCTGCGGAGCTACAGACTATGCACCAGCCCCGGAATATCCAGTATACCAGTATTACAACCTCAACATGACTGGTCATCGTGTTTCGACAATAGGCACAGGTGACCGAAAAATGGATGTATATGCTACTGTTGGTAGCGACGGCGTTGTACGTGTGCTGTGTGGCGTCCGTATTACCACGGGGACTTGGTATATCACTATTGATAACTTGAGCTCTGTCGGTCTTCCCACGTCTGGAAGCCTTGCTATTCAAACCTGGGGCTTTCCAGGTGGCAGTAGCGTCTTCTCTGTAGCACCTGGTCTCCAGAACAAGGGCATTGTTTCCCACACATACTCTGGAAACTCAGTTACCTTTGCCATCTATCAAACCGACAGTTCTACTGCTTGGGCTTTTGAGTTCAAAGCGGCCTCAGGTTAGCGTACCGCCCAATATGAACGCACAAGCACAATGTGATGGTGTAGAGTGGAATTTGCCAACGCCGTGTGTCCATGAGAGAGAAAAATAGTACTCTCCCGGCCCCTTGGACTGTCTGGGTTGCGAAAAGGATTCAAGAACTTTGCTGAAGAAGCACTTTGCATTGTCTACACATTTCAGAGTAGCAATATTTCTCAAATTTAATGTGCGTAATCACCTATACCTTACTTATTGAGTTGAATTCAGATGAAAATTCCTTTAGAATCAGAGTAGTAGCCATTAGCTCATCGGCATTCAATAGACAACATGCATTGGGCAGATAAATTAATTGGAGTCCAATAATGGCTGTCAAAAGTTGAGTCTTGTACACGTACTTGGCCATTGATTTGCAACATTTCGTAATAAAATTTGTTGTCCCGAGGTGTCCCTAAGACAGAAGTATCTAGACTATATGGTTTCGTTTCTGTTCTTGTTCTCAAATAAACCTACGATATAATTCTACCTCGCACTCATGTCAAATCAGATGGAGACTAGCTATGAGATAATAATCGCATAGAGAACCGTGTCCAAATCCTTTGGGAGAAGCACACATTTTGAAGTTGTTTTGTAACAATTCTGGTTAGATTAGAGTTGGCTGAAGTTGATTCCCATATTGATATACCAATATCCTGCAATTGCCGTGTTAGGCGCAGTCCAGTTCGTGATAACAGCCTCATTAACGATCTGCTCGCCTGTCGCACTTGTCAGCCGTACCCCCATTGGTAAATTTATAGGCCCAGCATTAGCTGGCAAAGTCCAAGCACCATATCGTTCCTGCGGATGACCTTCCGGGTAGTCGTCCTCTTGTACGAGAGCCAGCCAGTCCGATTGCCCGTCAGGGCGAATCTCGAAGCCTACGATGGAACCCAGCCCCGCAGCATTGACAGCTGTGATCTGGAAAAAGTAAGGTCCGGCACTACCCCGGAGCCATAAGTATACATTTCCTTTCTTGGGACATGGTACGCGCTTGTACTGCGTCGGGATCACACCCTCGACTAACACACCGGCCTGTGCTCGCGTCATAGCCACGTCGGACAGGTCCAAGTGTATTGAGCCGTTAGGAAGGGGACAGCCGTATTTAAAGTCGGAGACTTCCTGGCATTGATCAACACCAGGACCGCCTGTGTTTGATCGTTAGAACAGTTTAGGGCTCATTTTGCTGGCTAGGAAGGCAAATTGGAAGTTTCACTTACAACACCATTTAGTATTTGCCGAACATGGGCAGCTATCTACAATCTCAAGAATAATCGGTGGTGCATAGCCAGAATCGCTTGTGGTATAAAGGGTGCCGTTGGGGTAGGTGCGCACCAACTCAAAGCACTCGCCGCAGGAGAGGTAATTGTCTTGCTCTGCGCGGGTATCCAGGGATGGCAGCATGGGCCAGAACTGTGTATAGTAATTGCCATTAGGTGCCGCAAAGTTGCCTCTGAGTGTGTAATTGGCTGGGTCGGCGCATAGATCCGGGTACATAGAGCAGAACTGTGCACAGTCATCACCCAGGTCAATTCCTGAGACGCTGGCAGTCGTACACATGCCGTATAAGCCGAAACCGCAGGCTCCAGCTGGTGTTTCGCCGAAATGGGTAGAACGCTATGCAATTGAAGGTTAGAAATTATACTAGGACCGAAGGTAAGCCGACTGGAAGGTGTTTACACTGTAGTGCCAGGGCATACTGTCATTCACTGTGGTAATATCAGGGTATATAGTCCCTGACCCACAGTCCGCGTTATCACATTCGAGGGTCGTGTACGGCACCTGCGTATGACTCGCTAACGCAGCTCCGGTCAAAAAGGTCGTTGAAGTGCGGTAAGGCGTCGTCCTGGTAGTTGGTGGTGAGGATGTTGTTACAGGCCCGGTTGAGCCACCTGAACCGGCCGAGCTAGTTGGCTGTAGAAATGTTAGAAATTCTTGTAGAAATACCTTATGTGGGCCATAGAAAAGTTACACTTACAGTGCCACTGAGGCATTGAGCATAGTATGAATCTTGTGTCTGGCATGACCATCCTGTAGGGCAGCATGTTGCTCCTGTGAACCCGATACCGCCACATTGTGAGCTATTAAAGCCGTAAGAGTATGTCAGACAATATCAAGATGGTGACTGTAGCTATGTGCCAGGATAACGCACTAAGACGAAGCACAGGCGCTGGCTTGTTGTAAGGATGGTTGAGCGAGACAAACCAAACTCACTACTCCAAGCAAGACGTCTCTCTTGAACTTCATAATGTAGGTAATACTATAATCGTGAACTCATAAGTCCTTGCTGGCATATAGTAAGAAAGCAACCGAACAAGAGTTTTACATCAAGCAGATTTACGGAATGTTTTATACCCAACTAAAAGCCTCTCGTGATGAGTAGATATCGAAAGAACTAGGACATACTCTCCGGAAGATTGCACACTATTGTTGCTAGGAGTAACTTCAACCTAAAGGCTGCGGTGCAATCTAGAAAAGATTGCGCAGCTGCTACATGATTCGCCATCCGGCATTTGCTGTCCGTTATATCCAACCAAAGCCTTATTTCTTGGCCTGTTGCATGGTAATATCTTAATTTTTATTATTCACTCAATCGGAACAGTGCGTTGTTGTAGTCCAGGCGTATAGCGGAATATCGGAGGATTTTGAACTACTCCTTTACCCTTGGCCAACAGATTTAGCGCGAGACATTTTAAAATTTAGGCTGAAGCATCATCAGCGTCTGGTTTGCTTCACTAGACCAATGAAGCCATTTCCTTTGTGGCCGATTATAGCAATTTGCAGATGTGATGTACTGAAATGATCCATAAAACTAGCGGCTATATCGAGTCTCTCTAGTACATGTACAGTACATAAACAACGTTGAATTGAAGATGCAAGTATAATTCTACCTAGGTGTTTACTCAAAGAAGGCCCAGGTGTGATTTTCATGTCCCAAGATTGGAAGGTGTCCGTGAATATGCTGTAAATCATGTTAAGTACAATTTATTATACAATGACTTCAGGGCCCTGGGCATCTGAAATAATGGAGTTCAATGATTATATAGCTGCGTGTTTTAGTGAAATTCCTATTTCATACTTAGTATGGTTTCTAGAGTATATCTATGTATTCTTCTACTTAGGTAAGAACTACATCTAGAAAGACTGAAAGAGTGGGTAAGAGTTCATAATATAAACACGTCCAAGAATTAACACAATATTTCAACCTAAAAAGCAGAGATTATGGCTGACTGCGCAGTACCTCGAGCGATATTCCATGGTCTGAACTCAACTGACTGGGAAACATAGCAGTCATATGACGCGGGAATCCATGGATGTATATGAGGAATATTATGCGCAATAGCGTGGAGAAAATATGAACCTTGGAAGCAGAAGTGGCATACATAATAGACAAACATGAAATTATGTTAAATCAGAATATAATAGAAGGACGAGCGGATGCTCCGGGTGTAAAAAATGAAAACAGAGCAGATTTATCTTTGTCATTCTCAAATAATGTGAAAGCTATACAACGCCAGCTATCATACGAATTGTGCAGGTAGATTGATCGTAATCAGGCTCAGTAGGGATAGCTATATAAGCTACTGACTGCCTGGGTAATCATATATAGCATCACGACCCGACTATCAATGTAGATAGAGATTGACTATCATTACCTAGGTAGGTAGAATAGAGAGTAGAGACTTTTGAGTAAACCGTGGGCAGCCCTTATTGATGTAAGCTTGATCTTCATGGTAGGAGGGAAGATGAAAGCTATATGGAAGCGGAACGTGTTGGAATATCATCGGTAATACGAAGAAGATAAAGTGAAGAAGGAGGAAATGGATTGAGAAAGTAGAATTAGAAGCACATCAAGACCGCTAAGAAATCCTTAATTTGCTTTTAGTATGGCAAGAAGTTCTCAGCATCAGAGTCTTCTCAGACATTTTTGGCCCAAGCATTTAAACAATCAAATTTGTAACTTCTGCGCTGATAGAATAGAATGTTTAGAACGAATGCATTGGTAGAATCATGCTAGTACAGTTCATCACTTGAATACCTGATTGAAATATTTAGGAAGCATTGCATCTGACATATAGAATCTAGTGAGAACTTGATTGTAGACCGCTCTATAGTCAAATTTCTTTGAAGCACATTGATTTTTGATATAGCATGTGATTTAGGGACTGTAGTTGACGACAATTCTTCACACATATATATATATGGGGGAGTAAGGGCCAACAAACACTTTTCTTCTTAGTCTTTATAGACCTGGGTAATAGACCAGTGCAAGTTATACTATTTCCCTCAAATAAATAAACACAGCAGATCATGCTCAAACTGATGATCAGACTGAAATAGCTAACCAGTATCTATCTCAGAGATTGAAACCGGACGTAAGCCATTTTCAAGACATTTGCTCTAAGTAGCTGCCAATTATCGACTTCGCCGCGGCGGGGCTCATCAGGTGGGATTATCACTATTTATGATAGAGAGGGGCTACCAACTGGGGACGTCGCTTCTAGGAAAATTGACCTAGAACGAACAAGAGGTCGCAAATAGCCTGAAAGGATAAGCCAAATATAGGACTTTGCGAGGAAGAGCATAGAGCAGGGCCCAGGCTCAGCTTCGGCAAAATGAGCAAGTTAACAGAAAACAACAAGAGATGGTCTTGAATATCAAAGATGAAATTCTGATTACGAATAAGAGTCAAAATGTTGGCAGGTCTAGGGCTGTTGACGATATCCGCCGAGGCGGATATTATTCCATCGGATATCGGCGGCGGATACAATATTCGTTGTTCTTTCCACGGCGGATACGAATATCGAATATTATTCGACTGCTAGTCACGCTGGCGGATACAATATCTGCCATATCGTGCCGATATTCGAGTTATCCGCCGTATATTCAATATACGGAGAGAGATGAAACAATTTGTGATCGTGCCAGTGCTTAGCCAAGAGCCATAAGGCTATAATTATTAGTTCAGAAATTGCACTCGTAACTAGTTCTATAAGTTGTCTGTCCGTATGAAAAGAGTAGCATAATCAATAATATAATTAGGTGTGATTAGCCGGCAAACTCTGACTATTCAAGAAATCCCATTTGATATATATTGAGATATATATATTGTCGAAAGCTGTAGTTAACGTAATCGGTAAGCGAACCGGCCACCTCTCCAGAAAATAACTCTCTATATTGATTTACCATATTACAACGCGTCAAAATGCCACCAATTCGCAAAAAAGACCCCCTAAAATCCACTCAGGATGAGGGAAAGATCGAATTAGCTATTTCCGATTTAAAAAATGGAAGAATTCGCAGTATTCGTGAAGCTGCAAGAATCTATATGGTTGCTCGTACAACTCTTCAAGATCGAATGAAAGGAGTGCCGTATCGACAAATAACACGCGCCAACAACCATAAATTGAGTCAATCTGAGGAGGATTCGCTTGTCAAATGGGTGCTTGATTTAACTAAACGTGGATTACCGCCCCGGCACTTTCTCGTACGAGATATGGCTAATTATCTTCTCTTACAACATGGAGATCAACGGGTTGGAGATAAATGGGTATATAATCTTGTTCAACGTCGCCCAGAGATTGAATCCAAATTCTCACGAAAATACAACTACGAACGTGCCAAATGTGAAGATCCAAAGATTATACAAGGCCATTTTGACCGCGTACGAGATATAATATCTGAGTACGGCATCTTACCAGAAGATATCTATAATTTTGATGAGACGGGCTTTGCTATGGGACTCTGCGCAACTGCAAAGGTTATTACTGGAAGCGATCGATATGCTCAGCCAAAGCTTCTACAGCCTGGAAATCGAGAATGGGTGACTGCAATTGAGGCAATAAATTCAACCGGATGGGCTCTGCCTTCGTATGTGATTTTCAAAGCAAAGAAAAACGTACGATTAGGCTGGTTTGATGAGCTTCCGGATGATTGGAGAATCAATATTAGCGATAATGGCTGGACTACAGATCAGATAGGATTAGAATGGCTTAAAACCCATTTTATTCCTCTTACTAGTGGTCGTACATTGGGAACATATAGTATGTTGATTCTTGATGGCCATGGAAGCCATTTGACTGCAGAATTTGACCGTACATGTACGGATCATAAGATTATTCTAGTCTGTATGCCTCCTCATTCTTCACATCTCTTACAGCCTCTTGATGTTGGCTGTTTTGCAGTTCTAAAGCGATATTATGGGCAGCTTGTTGAACAACGAATGAGGCTTGGTTTTAATCATATTGACAAAATCGACTTCTTAACAGCATTTCCACAGGCTCGTACAGTGGCATATAAAGCTCAAACTATTCGGAATAGCTTCGCAGCCACCGGATTAGTGCCTTTCAATCCAGATCGAGTTCTTCAACATCTCAATATTCAATTGAAGACTCCAACCCCCCCTCCAAGTCGATCAAGCAATACAGCATCATCCTGCTTACAAACACCTCAAAATATACGCCAATTTGTACGCCAGTCAACTACAATCAATAAGCGTATAAATAAGCGTACAGGAAGCCTGAATCAGAATGAAGAAATCAATCAGGCAGTTATATGGTTATCAAAAGCCTACGAAATACTAGCGAATGATGCTTTACTCGTACGGAAAGAAAACCGTGATTTACGAGCTGCGCATGAAAAAGAGAAGCAAAAGCGCAAAAGATCTAATAAACAGATATCTATTGAGCAAGGGATTACTAGAGAGGAAGCTCAGGCGCTCGTACAAGGTCAGGTTGAGGCATCTCATGCTGTTACTACTACTCTGGCTGAGCCGGAGCTCCCAGCTTCTCAAGCAGTCGTACGCCGCCAATTTCGCTGCAGTGGTTGTAACGTTATGGGGCATAGAATAAATCAATGTCCTAGTCGTACTAGTAGTTAGATTTTTGTATATAATTTGTACGTGATTGAGAAATTGGGATTTGAAATCAATATAGAAAGTTATTTTCCGGAGAGGTGGCCGGTTCGCTTACATGGCCGGTTCGCTTACCGATTACGTTAGTTATGAAGTTTATCTTGTATAGCCTAATGCATAAATCACTTTATTTTTTATAACTAAATATTAATAAACAAGATGCAGTATAACAAAGCCTAATGAATGATGACAAAATTAGAGACTATGAAGTGGTGGCTGTGTCTGAACTACACGCATGGGTAATTAAAAATACTATGGTAATAAGCCCAATGGGATACTACTATTAGACAAAGATAATGTAACAACCAGCAGGCTTGGGGTCTCACTATTCTAAGAAATGCACCCATAACGTCTCAAGTTGGGTTTCAGCTACAACAGGAGAAGGTTTATATGTTCGAGGATGGTTTCAGCTCCACCTCGACTGTTGGAGCTATTCGGAAAAGGGAGATCTGGTATAAGTTATATGTCTATAAAGATAGCAGATGCTCCAGGATAGCGGAAGATAGGTTTCATTTCCATACCCTACCTTGTGTGCTTTATCTTCAGTGATTCCTCTCGAATGTAATCATATAACCGTCTCGTCGCATCCCCCCACCCTGCCGGGTTGGAGTCTGCCGGAGCTCAACGTCCACCGGAGCTCAACGTCCAATATTTCAAAAATCTCAACGCTACATTTTCCAACGTCCAAAACACCGCCAAAATGACCGCTGAGGAATATAAAGAGGAGGAGAAATTAATCGAAAATGCTGTCAACGCGTATAAACACGGAAAAATAAAAAATATCTCGCATTTAGCGCGTGAATTTGGAGTCCCCCGTAAAAAGCTCTCTCGCCGGATCAACGGCATACCCTCTTAACTATATACCCAATCCTTGCCTAGGGACTAGCGTAGCTAGAGAGTTGGCTCGTCTCCAAAATCTTACTACTACATACCCCTAAGTCCAGAATCGGCTTGCTCCCCCAAAGACTTCCACTGACGCTAGAATTCGAGAGTATCCTTGTTGCAGGAGCTAAATGTGCTTGTTGTGTAAGAGATGGAGGCTGTTTAGACAGCTGTCGCGACGCGGGTCCATCATTTGTGCCAGCAGGGGTGCCATTGGTATTGCCATCAGTCTCGGCGGCAGGGTCCGGGCTCGGTGGAAACTTGAAATCGGTAGGAAAAGATGGAGTTCTGGTACGAGGACTCCTTAGATGACTTGCGTTGCTTGGGCTAGTTGAGATAGTTCGACCTGTCTTTTCGGCCTCAAGTCGCGGGCTAAGAGCTGATTCCTTCGGGATGCCTCTAGTCGGGTTCCTGCCGTTCCCTAGAGAGAGTTAGTAAGCTTAGATGAGGTGTGAACTTCGCGCCAAACATACCCAAAAACTCGTCCAACCCATTCGACCGGCTGGGAGGCATCTGTAAGCTCGCAGACCGCCCGTGACCCCATGGTCGCGAACGAGAGAATTGTGTGGCCGGTGACTTCTCCAATGCACCTCCGTTATCACTCTCAATCGATAAAATTGACACTGATCTTTTGTGTTTGTGCGAATTGGGGGCTCCATTGTTCAACTGTGATGGCGTATGCAGAGGAGGAAAGCTATGAGAGACCCCGTCAACGGCGAGCTCAACGACGCTGAAACCCGATGCGAACCCAGCGTCGGCCGGCGAGGACTCGATGTAACGGACCGTCGACTCCCATTGAAAAAGAACGTAGGCGAAGACTTGGCCGCGAAATAGCCATCGTTGTTGGTGCCATTCAGAGCGGTCAGCGGTCGGGATACTCTGCGCTGGTGTTGTTGCTGATGGGACGGATTATTGGATTTCTCCTCGGCGATCTCTGCAACATTCTTAAAGGTGATTGTGCACTCGACGTCTTCGCCGGCGAAGACTGTCTGCTCTTTCCATTTCACGAACACTTGCAGGTCCGATGGCACGGCGACCATGGCGGCTTGGTCTACCACATGGGTGTGTAATGGAAAAGGAGTAGCGGGGTTATCTGAATGCGTCGGTCGTCGTGTTGAATAACATTCTGTATACGGCGGTCATGTTATCCGGAAGCGATCAATGTCGATGCCGAACGATATAGAATGACGAATGGATTGTAAGTAGTGGGTGAGTGGAAGGACAGATGAAGGAGCAACATGTGTCAGTCAGTGAGTGATGTGCTTAGTGGATCGCAGAGTTATCCACCTCCACTTTATTGGCTCCAAACTGTCAGATAATCCGGCTTTCAAACGAGGCAGAGAGATCGACTGTTCAATCTTACAGGTCCAAAAGGCACCTTTAGGCATATATCTGGGCACCTAGATTTCAGCCCAATATTTACCCCTCCTGATAGCTCACAAATCACCCCGCCAAAGGTGTCTATAAAGGACCCGGCTTTGAAACCTTTGGGATAGACAGACAGAACTCAATACACATACAATCTTGCTAGTCACTTCTTTTCTTTGATCCTAGTAAAACACTCTTCAGGATTGGCCTGGAATAAACCGACTAATCCGACACAAACCGCCTCGGCCTGTTAATATCCTTGGAAGCTCTGGTCAATGGCGATCTTGATCTTTCTTCTTACCTTAACACTGGTTGTTTACTACGTATCTAGCAATCAATTGCCTTCGCGACGCTTTACGAATTGTAATGATATAGATAAGATATGGAGATCTATCAATTGCTCCTCTATCTGGTACATTTGTTTGGAAATTCCCTCCTTTAGGCTCCTGCCTCTTCTCTTTATTAGAGGTGTTCTACCAGTCGTGCTCCCATTCCTCAATATATCTACGCAATAATCCCTTCCGAAATTTGCTCACAAGCTCTGGATATGCCATCTTTAGCCTCATGGATATACACGACCTTTTGCAACATACCTATGCCTCCAATGGCATGGAACACCAGCTATGGTCCTGAATGCTAGTGCTGGTTGCAAGAAACTACGCATAGTTGCACGAGGAGCTTTAGTATCCTGCAGCTAAACTACAGTCTGTTTTGACCTCCGTACATCCGTCCGAGTGACTTTCTCGTGCAGAGTACAGGGGTCTTGAGGTATTTTCAGCTACGCCCGTCGCGGAAGTCCAACTTAGATTTACGATGATTGGCCCTTCTGTTGACAACGTGATAGCAATAGTGACAAACCAAAATATACCATACGGCCAAAAACAGGACCCTGTTAATGGGGTGGTAATTTAGTGGTCATATAAGTCTGTCAAATAGGTAACGGATAAACCCCAAAAAGTAAAATGTGGCTATATCAAGACCCCTCTTTCAGCCTTGCTGCCCTAACCCACCGAAACTAGGTCTCATATATATCAGGATGAACGATCTTCCTCACGCCCACAGCTGATGTCTAAGAGAGTATCTCTTGTATACGATGTATGATAGCAACATGGAAGCCACCAGAATCGACGAAGCTCTACAAAGAGCAACAAATGAATTTGGACTCTGTCCCAACCGCGTCTGGGCCATTGGGCACAACCTCGAGGACTGGGAGAAAAAGCTCCCGGATCTAGTTCCCACGAGCGAGCGGCAAAAGAGTGTGGGCATAATCGGGCATGAGGGCCATGAACGTTGCACATTCGAGCTCTGCGAATACTCAATCCTCAACTACACATCAGTAACTCAGCGGCATGAAGATGGTATAGCGTCCTGCCGGGAGGAAAAACGCTGTGATACCCTTAAGGGGCTGTTTGCAGTGAATAAGCTTGACGAAGCGTCTCTTGCGGGAAAACCGACTGCCTGGAGGCTCGATGGGGAATCGACCATCGACGTGGCTGAGCCTTACATGGCCATATCGCATGTCTGGTCCGATGGAACCGGAAACGGAGTCTCGGCTGATGGAGAAGTGAATGAATGTCTATATCGATACTTTGAGCGGATCGCAAGACGCTGGCAATGCACCGGCATCTGGTGGGATGCAATCTGTATACCGAAGGACAAAGCTGCCAAAGACAAGGCAATATGCCGGATGGAGCACAACTACGAGGGTGCAAGGATTACACTTGTTCACGACTGCTATATTCGGAGTTGGAAATGGGTGGATGCTGAGACTGCGTGTCTTGCCATCATACTCTCGCCATGGTTTAGTCGTGGGTGGACTGCATTGGAATTAGCGAGGTCTACTAGGGTTAAAGTGATCTTCAAGGGTAATGTGATCAAGGATCTGGATGAAGATATCCTGTCCAAATCGGACAGTGATTCTGCTTGTCATCGATTTGCTACGGAAGCTATCAGAGGTTTGCGTAGGAAGCGCGTTGAAAATCTGAACGATCTGCTGACTGCACTTGGTCCTCGCTCTACCTCGTGGGCGCGCGACATGCCAAGGATCTCGGCGCTTCTTGTCGGGACTCCCAAAGCGAGCGGAGAGGACAAACAACATCATATATATCAGCAAGTACTGCATAATATTGGATGGGTGGCTCACGGACACCTGTTCCATAGGTCCGCAACGATGGCGGGCAATTTCAGCTGGTGTGCAACGAATCTGCTGGCTATGCCTATTGCTTCTCAAACGCAAGAACGACTTAACATCAAGTATGACGGATCCATCACTGGCCGTTGGAAAGTCATCAAACAGGCCTCGGTCCCAAGAGAACGCTACGTGCTACAAAACGGCTTTCCGCTCGTAGACATGAAAGTCAACGTTACCCTAGAAGCAGCAGACAAATCTGTACTCTTGGGAGAGCCTGATGCCAAAGTGCTGACCAGAGCAATCGCAGCGAAAGTTTTGGACCGTGCAAAGCAACGCTATGAATTCATGGGGCCTGTATATTTCAACCCCCCTCTTGCCCTTGACGAGATTCGCTGGAAGACTATTGATTTTGTCACAATCAGCGGCAGTCAGGAAGAGACAGACTCCTCTCAGACAATACCATTTGAGCCTGAGTTGCCGCATGTACCCGATCATCTCAAATATCTCATACCTCCAGTACCGACGGTAATGGACACTGCTTTTAGACGAAAGATTCGTCTAGCCCAGATGGCTGGTGACCATGAAAAAATTAGAAAAATCTCAAATGAAGGAGTTGTCGGTGCCATGTCTCGCAATGATGCCTCTATTAAAGAAGAGGAACGTTTGGTTCGTGCCGTCATGGAAGGCGACGAAAAGACTGCTCTCGATGTCTTGGAAGATAAATTCATCAATGTTAGCTTCAAGGACGGTGCCGGATGGACGGCTCTGCATTATGCCGTGCGGAGAGGATACAATTCGATTGTTGAACGACTTTTTTATAACATGCGCCGTGGAAGGGGACGCTATAGAAGGGGAGAATTAGCGGCTCAAATAGCGGTTCAGGATGACCTGGGACAACAGTGCATTCATCTGGCAGCTGAACGCGGGGATTGCGAGCTCGTTGAATCCGAAGAGGAATTGCTGAATGTGCACAAAGAGTGTAAGGATGGTCAGACTGCTCTTCATCGGGCTGTTTTGGGTGGATCTTTGGAAATGGTTATGCTGTTGCCGAACACGTTTTGTGACGCCGTAAAAGACGCTCAGGATTCGCAGGGTAGAACAGCGCTGCATCTGTGCGCTGAACTGGGCCAGGGCAGGATTTTCAACGAACTACTATCTAGAAAAGCAAACATTTTGCTTAAAGACAGCAGTGGACGCACGACGCTTCATTACGCAGTTATGGACTGGAACGATACTACAGATGTAGACATGGTCTCTCTTCTGCTGGAATATGAGGAGCTCAATGTCCCCGACAATGACGGTCGTATGCCTCTTCATTATGCCGCTGAGATAGGCTATCCTCGCTACGTCAGACTACTTTGCCGAAAAACAAACCTAGGTGTGGCTGATTCGAGCGAGCAGACGGCACTCCATGTAGCAGTTAATGGCGGTCACCTAGAGGCTGTGAATGAACTGCTAGAATGGGATAGAGAAAGACACGAGCTTTTGCAGATTACTCTGGATACAGCATTACACCTGGCGGCCTCTTTGAATCACTTGAAGATCGTACAGGCTCTTGTAAACCATGGAGCAAGCATCTGGTACCGAGATCCCAGTGACAACAAAACGCCCGCAGAGGTGGCAGTAGATCAGAAAAGGGCACCGCTGACCATGTACCTTGTGGAGCTTGTGCTCTCATCATCACGATCCGAAGAAGCGCCCCCCGGCTGGATCGAAGTGGCAAGCACTTGTTCGCTTGAAAAGAGTAATGATGCATCACCACTACATCATGCAGTGAAAAGAGATTATCAGAAAGTGGCAGTGGCGTTGACACTTAGCGGAGAAGACGTTTTCGTGACGGACGAGATTGGCAAGACTATCATCTCCTTGGCCGTGGCCAAAATGGCCAAGGATGTGGTATATGCGCTCGCTTATCAGTACGGACAAGCAATCTATAAAGCCAAGCAAGCCGAACAGGTTCTCCAGCAAGCGGTATACCATTCGTCTAAACCACTTGCCTCCTATACATATGAATTGGGGGGCGTTTGGAGGAATCTATACGGAGCAATTCTCTCTGATTCCTGGACAGCGGTAATGCATCTTGAGCAGGCATTCAAATCTACTAGTGATCTGGAGATGCAGGCGCTGTTAACTCCGGATTGGGAAGTTCTGCGCTCGGAGTTTCCGAATGTGAAGTTGGATGAAGCGAAGCTGCTTCAAGATGAGTGGTTGAATGTGAAGTTTGGTGAAGCGAGTCAGGATCAGTTGACTCCTTTGTATCTACATCAGCAGGATATTGGGAGATTGGATCCGTATGTGCGGCAGTATATGGCTAGATATAGGGCCTCGAATAGACAGTATGGGCTCGAAGGTGAGGATGACGACGCTGGTCAGCAGGATATTTGGAGATTGGTTGTGCGGCAGTATATTGCTAGATATAGGGCCTCGAATAGACAGTATGGGCTCGAAGGTGAGGACGACGATGACGGCGATGATACCGATGAAGATGAGGATGAGGATTCAAGCTCGGAGTCAGGCTTGTACAACTCAAGACGTAGACCGCGAAGACGGGAAGAAGACTCAGAAGAGGACTCCGATTCTGAGTAAGGGTGAAAACGAGGAAGACACAAGTAGAGGACGAAAGAGAAAGAGTGGCATTTTCCATTTCTTCAACATTGATTGAACAGCGTACATGTAGCTGGGTCAAGATATGTCCATGAATATCATTGACTACTCCCAAGGTTCACTTCAATATCTATACAAAGATAGGATTAGTACCTTAGGCCACTTAACAGTTGAACCTGAACATAACATTATGAATAGAGGCCTCTCCGTAATTATATCAATTACTACTAGAATTGATTCGGCTCAGCATTCAGGGGAGTTTTTAATCATAAATTCAAGTTCTTCCGGTCCCAATCCTTCAAATGTAGTGTCTAGAATTTATTCTGATATGAGAGGGAAGTGCACACTGATGTATCAATGACATACTGATTTTTAATTCAAGATTGGGAAGCACTCTGATATACTAATTGATCTGATCACTCATAATTGGCGTACCTCTCGTCGCCAAATCAAATCAAGTCCAGTCATACCACTCATATTCACTATCATCCGAGTCTGCCCTGCGTCCTTTATCATACAAATACCGCTCCACAGCACCATCAATGTAAAAGCGAAGATTCTTCAGAGACAAGGGCAGGGGAGCCTTTTTAGGGTTAAGATTCCGTTCCTGTTCGCGTAGTAGATTTTGCCACGAGAATGTGATTTCCTGTTTTGCATGATAGGAAGGGCGAGGATAGAGTTGCTAGGATTGTTAGTATTCGAACCGCTTTTGAAATATTGATAGTGACTGACTTGATTGCCGAGTTTGAAGTAGTTCTTTCTCTCATGATCGTATGTCCAGACCTCCAAAAACCCCTTTTGGATCTCCGTTTCGTCTTCTTTCAAAGGTTGTAGCTTGACCAGAATCACCAGACTGATCCTCTCTTGTGAGCCTCTCAAGAGAAGCGTTGCATTTTGAACGAGGTTCTCGTATGACTCGGCATACCCTACTTCTAGAGCGACTGTAGGCCACTTTCGGTCTAGAGACGGGTAAAATGCACAATCTGCTACTTTGTAACTAGATTTTAGTCCATAAAATTAGCTTGAACTATAAGTAAGATAGCAGCAGTGGCTTACCTTCCATGAAATCTGCCATGGAAACCCTCAAGAATACTGTCACTTTCAACAAAGGTCGAGCGTCGGACCCTGGGTAATCCAGATGCCCAATTTGAGAACCAATCGCATACAACACTGTGCATTGGGCTAGGCTGTGTAACGAATTCCAGCGTTCTTTGGGCAGCGTTGAAACAAAGACTCCTATAATGACTGACTGTGAATATCTTGAGGTCAGAGTTAGAAGTGATAATCCTTACACGTAGGGCCTCCAATCATTTTCACCAGACTCCAGGAACCTTTCAACACGTGCAAAGTTTGTGAACGCGCACAAGAAGTAATTGTTTGTACGTGCACAACATCCTGTCGGAATTTGGCACCACTGCAAGAAGCTGCGGGGAGTTTCTGTTATACGTGTTTCATGATTTCGGGATAGCTCACAAAATCCTTTGTGAGCTCATATCCATACTTCACTCGTTGTTTGTACATGTCTCAATTGCCGGATTGAGTCCTTACTCAATTCCCAACGTAGGTCCCTACGCAGGCATAAATATGGCCTGCGTTCCCCATGAGATAGTCGGAGTTATCAGTTATCAATTAGGAATCATGTTACTATATTGATCGAACTCACCCATAGGCTTGTTGGACTAGCCTTGCACCAATCCCTGCTTCGTGTTCTGGGACCGTGCTAAACCAACATAATATGTAAGGAACGACATTCAGAAATCAAATTACAAAGCGAACTTCCTGTGAGAGGGAACATGGTTTTTTGCTTGACATTGTGATTGACTTTGACTCTTTACATGATGTTAACCAGTTGCCTACTTGTGCAGAACCACGTGGCGTGATGTCTCATAAAGTGTCCAAATCGCAAGTGTCCAAGAGATCTTGGGTGAGCTTGCCCTTTCGACTATATCCCTCCACATATTTATCACCCCACTCCCCGACGGTGTTGTCATATGTCGTGTCAGGCTTGGTAATACAGAGGTTACACATGACTCCTTTGAGTCCTTTCATCAGTTCCAGCCTGGGCAATTCGGCGATGACTTTATTATACTCCTCCCATGTTAAGAGGCCGTTAGGGACTCGATCGGGTCCTTGAAAGTCCGCCCAGATACCATATGCACACGCTTGCACCTCCGGCTCTTTGTAGAAGACAATGCTGCCAATAGTGTGTAGAGCAATAGCATCCCAAACAAGCTGCAGACGATGCTTGTCCCATTCCGCCGTCACTCCTTCGCGACGAAGAAAATCACGAGCCGCATCAGCGCCGTCCACTTCGAAACGGCGGTCTTTCGAGATGAGTTTTCCTGTATAGTCCCAGCCCAGGTCATGTAAAAGTGCTGCAATAGCATGTGCCTCCCTATCTCGATCCTTCAACTCGGGAATCTTGTCAGAAATAATGAAGCCAAGTAACAGGGACCGGTAGATATGATTGTATGCATAGTCCTCCAAGTGTATACGCGCAAATTCGAGGGCCTTGGTGATCAGGGGCGTATCGGGAATGGTGACTCCGGCGAAAACTCGGGTGGCTGGAACTTGCTCTGCAGCCATGTCTGTCTAATAAGGATTGTGAGATCGGTTGACAAGGGTTCTTTCTCAACCAGTCTTTGCCAGCTAACTAGGATACTACAGTACTGTCAGTGTTATTCTCGGGAGGAATTCTTTGTAGGTGCCTCCAGGATCATGACCGCTTCGTTCCCAAGGTGCGCCAGTGTTCGCTTAGAGTCCTTAGTACATTTAGGAAGAATCCTTAGCCTCTTATTGGTCATATGAGCGGTAGCGGCCCCCCAGGCCCTGATCTGGAGTCTCCTATTGATTAGAATAGCGGTAGGCCCTGAGTCATAAAAACGGCAGAACTTTCCTAATATGAGATCATAATCACCAAAATAAACTGGCAGCAAGGGCGGTGATATCAGTTCAGCCAATTACTCTGTAAAGCGAGACTCTGACGGGGAACCCACTGGTGTAGTGCGCGCCCGGTGGGTTCTGCCAAGCTCATCATGGGAGTGCACGTACTATTGCTGACGCAGCTATGGTCCCCTGACATGCTAGGCACCTGTTACCGAATATCCGCTAGTCGCCAATATTGCTCGCCCGTAAGTTTCCACCATACAGCAACGACTACAAGAACAGAACCAGCGTTTTCCTTTTCGAAGCGGCATTGAACGAATGAGTTGTTCTGGTCGAAAAGACTAGTCATGGCAACCAGTGATGAAGGCAATGCTCCTGCGATTGACGTCGTAAGCAACATCCAAGTTTTCCTATACTACGCATACACACATTTTTATTAGCGCCCGGCGGGTGACCGATATGGCAACTATTGCTACTCTACGCGAATTCCTGTTTCGTTGAGCCCTTCCAACAATTGTTCCTGGCTTCTGTCCACTCTTTCCGTCGTCCACTATTTTATGGCTGCTGCAAACTAACTATAACGTAGGACGAGCAATTTGAAAACGACTCGGCCTGGGGGCAAGATGACTCAGCATCGTACGACATCCTCATCACTTGTTATCTGCTCAGGACTAAGATTATTCGATCATAGAGAGTCAACCTCAGTCACTTCAAGTATTTACAGGGGACTGGCTGAAAATGGGCGACGGTGCGTTCCAAGAAGAAGCGGTAGATGCCAGACTTGAATGATGACACCTTGCATAATAGATATCAAACTTTTCGCGAACATATATATTGGTAAGCACAATGAAGACGAGGATAATATACTCATCTGAAATGTGGAGGTAGGGGACCATCTGACGAAAAACAATTCGAAACGATGGAAGCAGGGTACTAATACCCCGCACACGTCCCATAACGGAGGCTGATGGAAATAAGACATTTCATGTATTCCGTCCTTGATTACCACGAGCCGAATCGACTGCATAGAGCTCCCATTGGAAATTCACCAGAGGTACGTCTACGGCCAGGAATGATTCACAAGAAGGAAGCAAAGCCTAATGAAAACAGCACATTCTCGACATCGGCACTGGGAAGGGGTCATGGGCCATGTATGGCTGACATTTTTCTACGATCATGAGCTGCAAGATTCTAACAAATATTCTAGCGATGCAGCAGACATGTACGAGTCTGGTAAGTAGTCCTAACTTTGATCCAAGTTCGGATCTAACTGTCTGCTTCAGCTACCGTACGCGGAATCGACTTATATCCTCCCCCAGTTGGCTGGGTTCCGCCAAATTGCATTCTGGAAGTCGATGATGTCCTTGAAGAATGGACATGGCGACAAAAGTTTGACCTTATACATATGAGACTTCTACTGGGAGCATTCACACCTGAGGAGTGGGACGATGTGTATAGGAAATGCTATAAGTAAGCATTAGTCATTTCTTGAAACGAAAACTGATATAGTGGAGCTCATGAAATGCCCTTAGCAATCTCAAACCTGGTGGGTGGATTGAGCAAGTCGAATTGGACGTGCGTGTCATGTCGGATGACGGAACACTTCCTGAAGACAGCCTGCTAGCAGGATGGGGTCCAAACTTTCTAGGGTGCGGTGAGCGATCAGGACGACCACTGAATACGCAGACGACGATGCGAGCCGCCATCGAGAAGGCAGGTTTTAGAGATGTCCACGAAAAGCTGTATAAATGTCCTATTGGCACGTGGCCTAAGGATCCTCAGTTAAAAGATGCTGGTGCGATTAATATGGAGCACTGGTCTTCGGGACTCGAGGGTTGGGCTATGTGGTTATTAACCAAACATGGTGCACCTATACCGTGGTCCCCAGACGAGGTCACGGTATATGTAGCTAAGGTGCGCGCGGAACTGAGGAACCCGAAGCTACATATCTATCATTACACGTGAGGTTATCTTCCTTATTATTTGTTGACATTGGCTGAAGAGCATTACAGTCGACGAGTATGGGGGATGAAACCAACCGAAGTCACGCCATAAAGGTAGGGATGACGTTGGATAGAAGCCACACCATGGTTCCTGTAAGGCGGAACATGGAATGCCCCTCTGGAATGGCTTCAAGATGAATGTGTTCATGAGGGAAACTGATTTTGCAAGGCACTGTAATCATGCCATTATGTTTGGCTAGTTCAGGGCTTCATTCTAATTCATTTGTGTTCAAATTTTGATGGAAATGAGATAAGAAATTTGATCTATAGCAGAACCTGTATGTCCTCTGAACCCAGGGAACAAGTTGGCTATACCATGCAGTTTACTAAAAGAAAGGAAAGAAAGTGATGTCTAGTCAAATATAATAGCTCAATTCAATGTTTATTCCAGCAGCTAGGCTAGGTAACTAGACATGAGGAAGGAAATGGGAAAAGAAGAAGGGTGCCCTAAAGTTATCCACTGATATTTCAAGCTCTATCGCGTAGCCATAGCTTAACTAAATCTAATCCTACATTTGTCCTTCACCACTTTCTGCCTCAGGCTCTGTCATGCTATGGTTATGGCCATGGGATGTGGATCTATTTGAATGTAGATCTATGTTAATCTAGATCTGTTTTAAAGTATAAATATGTTCAAATATAAACGTTAATCTCACTGTGGACCCATTTAACTGTACTATGATACACAGTAGATCCATTCAAGTGTGGATCTTGTTCAAGTGTGGATCTGCTCAACTAAATCTGTTCAACTGTGGATTCGTTCGACCAGATCCGTTCAATTGGATTCGTTTAACTGTGGATCTATATACTGTATTGTTGTAGTCCTGCTAGAGGCTCTAAGTGTGACGGCTCAGTCAGTCGATGCCTGATGAATGCCTTAAAGCCTTGCACGTGACCTCGATATATATAACTAAACTCTTTTTGACTGTTTCAATAAGCGGTCGACCACGAGTCCTCACATATGTCCGAAAGAAGAAAGGCATTCGGACCTCCCAGCTTCGCCCCTTCACAACTGACATTAAAGAGGCCTCGGATCTCCTTTTCCTTCAGATTTTCTCGCCCACAGGAAAGTCTGCTCTGATAGTTAACATCTATAATGCCCCAGCAGGCTCCATCAGAGCAGGTGAAGCCGCGAAAGCTCTTACAACCCTGCCAGAGGCGTATTTCCCTCAAACAACAATACTCGCAGGCGATCTCAACCTACTACACAATAGATGGCAACCCTCACTACAATGCAGCCCTACAACTTTTGCAGAGCCATTTATTAACTGGCTGGACCTCCAAGGTCTAGTACTCATCTCCGACATAGACTGTCCCACACACGACAGGGGTAACGTGTTAGACCTCAGTTTTGCCTCAAGCCCTCTGGCACTCGCGGGAGCCAAAGCTAGCATAGCAAGCCACCTAGATGCAACCTCAGATCATCAACCACTAATCACCACTGTACCATGGGATCAGAGATACAAGGAAACAGCTCAGAAACTGAGATTTGACACGCTAGACCACACCTGCTTCCTCTCACTCCTCGCCTCTAATCTTGCTAGTATCGAGAGCTCAACCATGACAGAAGAAGACCTTGATGCCCTTGCCAAAAAACTGACATCTGCAATCCAAGGAGCATATAGAGGCTCTACTAAGAGAACCCTGACATAAGGCATAGGACAACCTTGATAGAATGAAGACTACAAGAAAGCTTTACACAACTATCGCTCAGGCCTCTACTCAAAGACAGACTTCCGCAGGATAACTGGATGGTCTCAACGACAATTTTGGCGAGAGAAGCTCTCTACAGTCACACAAATGAAGAATGTCTTCAATATAAGTAAATAGTATAAGTCCACAGGCACCTTCCGAAGCCCTCCACTAAAGAATCCACTGAGATCCAACAGCTACCCAGCAGTTACTATACACGAGAAACAAGACATACTAGTCCACAATCTTCTCCAAAACTCAGCTAAGGCAGGAGATATACTATTGGACTCCCTAGCAGTCCCTACCACTAGTCTCTACTTCCCAGACATATCAATGATACAGGTGGAGGAGTTAGTACTTCAGGCAGGAAACATAGCCCCTGGCGCAGATGAAATCCCAACCTGCATACTCAAAGTGGCATAGCCTTTAATTAAGGACAAGATACTAATGCTATACCAAGGGTGCCTAAAGATTAGTTATCACCTAAAATGCTTTCGACATGCAATTTTAGCAATTATCTAGAAACCAAAGAAGATCGATTGGTCCTCACCTAGATCATACAGACTAATTGCCCTCCTCTCAGTCCTAGGTAAAGGACTTGAGCACTTGGTGGCACAGAATATAGCATGGACCTCTATACACTATAAAGTATTAGCAAGGCAACAGTTTAAGGCTCTCCCACTAAGATCTGCAACCGACCTGACCACATGCCTAACACAGAATATTGAATAAGCACTAAATCAAGGCATGACCGCCTCACTCCTCACCCTAGATGTCAAAGGCACCTTTAATGCTATGCTTCCTGGCAGACTGATCCGCAGATTATGTGAGCAGGGCTAGCCTACCAATCTTGTTCTCTGGATTACCTCCTTCGTCACTGGATGATCAGTCCAGATCCAACTCAATAGAGAGATTGGCCCCTCAACAGACATTGCCTGCGGTCTTCCATAAGGATCCTTAGTATCTGGCATTCTTTTCATGCTCTACATAGCGCCTCTATTCCGTCTAGAAAACCCAAGGAACAGATTTAGTTACGCGGACGACGCAGTCAACCTGGCGATCTTAACATCTCTTGCTACTAATTGCGAAGCCTTATCAGACTCACTTTAAGAAGCTCTTAACTAGGGCGCTACAGAGGGTATTATATTTGCACCAGATAAATACAAGCTTCTTCACTTCTCCCGACATAAAGCAGACCAGGATCCAACCCGCACATCTTCAGTGAAAGCTGGATCTATTACAATATCAGAAAACACTAAATGGCTATATCTACGATGGCTAGGAATTCTCTTTGATAAAAAGCTAATATTTAAATGGCACGTTAGAGAAACAGCATCTAAAGCCCTTACTATAGCCAATGCTCTTCACTCTCTAGGGAATACGGTTTGAGGAGTCAAACCTCATTTACTATAGCAGGCTGTATCAGCCTATATACTCTATAAAGCATACTATGGCGCAGAAACCTGGTGGCTAGGATATACTTGCCCTGAGCCTTCTCAGACTTCAAACCAAGTTAGAGAATATCTTGAGAAACTAACTAAAGTAATACTAACAGGCGCAAGAGCAGTCCTTCCAGTCTTCCGCACAACTCCAAAGCCAGTCCTTTATCGAGAGTCTAGATTCTCTCCACCAGAAATCGAACTAGATTGAATAGCCCTCCTTGCAACTGTCCGCCTACGGCGTCTTGACTCTTATCACCCACTTCAAAGACGCGCAGAACAGATTGCTAGTAATGGCCGACAAACCAGCCGATTTGCCCGCCGTATACTAGCCCTCCTAAACTCTGAACAGATAAACCCTCTCCAATACGCTCCCTGGCACCCTCGCGAGCCTCGTGGGAATACTCAAGCTCAAATAGGAGCTCCCATGGGACACACTAAGGAACAGGCAGCGGCTAATTTCATGGCTTTTCAACGTACTATCTCTAGCTCAGATATTGTAATCTTTTCAGATGGATCTAGGCTAGCAGACGGACGTGCAGGAGATAGCTATATTGGACTTCAAGCACACCATCAGTTTCTCCGCTCCTCACTCTCATACAGACACAGGAAAGAGGTCTTCGACACAGAAGTAGAAGCAGCTCTAGCTGGTGCTTAAGCAGTAATAGCATACCCAACAGCTTAATTTGCTACTAACCTATAGATCTACCTTGACAACCTAGAAGTTACTACACGCCTTCTATCTCCCCCTACAGGATCTTCCCAAGAAATCTTTGAATCCTTCTACATCCTTGTAGCTGCCTGGCCACTCCGCAAAAGGTTTCCTCATACTAAAAGTGGATCTATCTAAATCTGATGGGTCCCTGGACACGCTAAAATCCCTAAGAACAAAGCAGCTAATCTTGCTACCAAAGAGGGAGCTGCCTCAATCCCTCCTGCTCCTCACAAATTCTTATACGCCTTGCTAAAGAGATATGCCAAGACTCAATCCCTCTCCACTGCTCAGTCACAATGAGAGAAGATAGCACCACAGAGTTATTAAGATCTAGAAATAACCACTTCCCCTAAGCGCCCTAGGGAGCTTCAACTCAACTGACTTGACCTCGGCTGTGTTATTATGGCCCATACTAGTTATAGAGACTTTGCAGACTACCATAAATGTTTTAACCATGATAATGCTTATCTTCTCTGCTAATGCAGAGCATAAAAAGCACCTCTACACTTCTTCTTCTGTTATATAGCTAAGAGATGAGCCCCTTGGCCTCCTGGGCCCCCTTCTGAGGTCATCTCTTTTCTCTTAGGCACTGCTAAAGGAGCACAAAAGCTAGCCACATAGCTAGCAGAGACCCACTTCTTTGAGGATATCTGCCCTCGCTAACCTCTCCTTAGCACCTAGCTAAGTCAGCCCTACTCTTCCTTTATATTTTTCTTCTTCTTCTTTCTTTCTCTTCTCTTCTTTCTTTCCCTCTCTGCAAAACTTACTGTTTAGTTATAATAGTAGTGGAGTAATAGGTCATGGAGTGTAGGCGGACCATTGCAGCTGGCAAATACCTAAAACCCACTCAAAGTGGACCTCCCTGTAAGACCACGGCAGCTATGGAAACGCGCCAAAGAGTCTCTTATTTGTACATAAATCTGATAGGACCTGAAACCCGAGGCTTACCCCTCGGCGGCCTATGTCCCAATAGGGATCGGTGGGAAGCGTGCGAGTCACGAACCACGGCCGTTAAATATACACACACACACACACACTATGTTGATAGTTTCTTCCTTCTTCTTTTATGCTTAGCTTTCTTGTTTATAGCTTCCAATATGATATTGATTGGGCCCTCACACAGGATCGAAAACTGGCCAAGGCCAGATCTACACATAAAGACCTTGGGCCAGTTACCGCAGTAAAGAAGGTCAACAGCGGTCGTCAGTTCTAAAGCTTCGTAGTTAGGTAGTCGCGAGTTTTGTTTGAATTTTTAATGATATCTCGTTCAGTGGCATCAGAGATTGATACTTCTCTCACACATCATTTGCACCTACTCTTTTATATCTTCTGGGCTCATAGCGTCCTCGTCTTCCATGTTATTGCCTAGCTAGTCACCAAATTCATCCAGGGGATCCAAATTGTTGTATCGCAGCCACTTCTGTCCCTATAGCGGCTAAGCCGTTTGCCTGGTCCGATACGTCGTCCATTTTATCTAGTATTGGCGGAGAGTGTTATGCTGTCGGAGCTGAATTACTCCAGTAATTGTCCATGGAAGGAAGTATTGATGCAGTCAACTGAGTGACCTACAGCATTGGTGTCGAGCTAGCTATTTCGTTGGCCGATGTTATTTCCAAACGCCGGGCTAGGAGGCCTCAGTGCAATAGAAATTTTCTTATGTGCAACCGTTTGTTGCGGTTGAATGAGAAGTTCTAACTTATATAAATTATAAACACTGCGTCAGGGAGTTTCTTCTGATATTACAGAATTGTCGAATCTAGTGAGTATCAAAACAGGGCTCAATCTGGCATTATCAAGTACATGCTTCACCCCAGTCAACATGGCTACCATCATCAAAAGGTTCTATAAGGTCGTTGGCAATATCACCTTGGATCATGTGAGACTGGCGAACACCAATAGAGATTGATAATAAGCTATACGTGATAATGTAACATACAATTTGGTAGCTGAAAACAAACACAAGCCACAATTCACCGGTGCTCGACATAGAACAAAGGGAACAAGGGATGATCTAGACGACAGAGGACTCCTTCCAACTACTTATATGATTCGAAACTACGCAGAAAGAGTGCTTCAAAACCTATACCCCGACGCGGCCGACCCCCACCACTTGGAGATCGTTGGACGCAGCGATTTCTCACTAGACTAGGGACAGAGTATGAAATTCAGAAGCAAAAGACTATTGATCCAAAGCGTCATCTTGCTGAGGATCTGAATATAACTCAAGCTTGGTTTGACCGTCAAGAGATCGCATTATAGAAGAAACGAAATTTTACCATGCAACTATTAGAACTTTGATGAATCCGGATTTCAAATTGGACAAGGAGGCGACGAAAAAGTTGTGACAAAGTATCAAGAAACGATACGCAGTGTTCCAAGCTCTTCTGGACGAGAATTAGTAACTGCCATTGAGGGTATAAACGCTGAAGGAAGCGCGATTCCTCCGTTCCTGATTTTCATCGGCAAGGTCATCCCTGAAGAATGGTTTCAATATCTCACTGAGGCTGACTGGAAAGTGACTATAACCGAATCCGGCTTTTCCTGCAATGACTTCCCACAATCATATTGCACGACCCCTTCCGTAGACTTGGTGTGGAGACTAACTACGACATCGCCCAGCCTGATATCTGGTACTTGCTCCAGATTAGTGTACATTCAGACATCAACCGCCCTGAGCTGTTCACAGTCCATAGGTACTACATCGGTTTATACGGCACCATTGGCTGCTGGCTCCTTGATGTCCAATTTCTCAGCCTGCCAACAAATCAATGTTGCAGAGGATGACACAGTATCAATATGTTTAACACCTAGAACCTTTGACCGTAGTTGTACACATTCCTGCAAAAGGTCAAGGGCTTCCACGCCGCGGCCCTGCTCTTTCCAAGTGAAGGCCATGTTAGTCATGCTGGTCAGCGTGTCAGGATGCTTCGCACCCAGCACCCTCTTCCTCATCTCCATCACCTGCACGTCCAGCTCTTCCGCTTCATTCCATCGTCCTTGATTCCTGTACGTCGACGCCAGATTAGCTATGCTTGTCAGCGTGTCAGGATGCTCTGCACCCAGCACCCTCTTTCTCATATCCATCACCTGCACGTCCAGCTCTTCCGCTTCATTCCATCGTCCTTGATTCCTGTACGTCGACGCCAGATTGGCCATGCTTGTCAGCGTGTCAGGATGCTCCGCACCCAGCGCCCTCTTTCTTATATCCATCACCTGCACGTCCAGCTCTTCCGCTTTATTCCATCGTCCTTGATTCCTGTACGTCGACGCCAGATTGGCCATGCTTGTCAGCGTGTCAGGATGCTCCGCACCCAGCACCCTCTTTCTCATATCCATCACCTGCACGTCCAGCTCTTCCGCTTTATTCCATCGTCCTTGATTCCTGTACGTCGACGCCAGATTGGCCATGCTTGTCAGCGTGTCGGGATGCTCCGCACCCAGCACCCTCTTCCTCATATCCATAACCTGCATCTCCAGCTCTTCCGCTTCATTCCATCGTCCTTGATTCCTGTATGTCGCCGCCAGATTGGCCATGCTGGTTAGTGTGGAAGGATGCTTCGCGCCCAGCACGCTCTTTGTTGTCTCCATCACCTGCATCTCCAGCTCTTCCGCTTCATTCCATCGTCCTTGATTCCTGTATGTCGCCGCCAGATTGGCCATGCTGGTTAGTGTGGAAGGATGCTTCGCGCCCAGCACGCTCTTTGTTGTCTCCATCACCTGCATCTCCAGCTCTTCCGCTTCATTCCATCGTCCTTGATTCCTGTACGTCGACGCCAGATTAGCTATGCTGGTTAGTGTGTCAGGATGCTTTGCACCCAGCACCCTCTTTCTTATCTCCATCACCTGCACTTCTAGCTCTTCCGCTTCATTCCATCGTCCTTGACTCCAGTGTGTCGACGCCAGGTTAGCCATAATGGTCAGTGTGTCAGGATGCTTCGCACCCAGCACCTTCTTTGTTATCTCCATCACCAGTACAAACAGCTCTTCTGCTTCTTTCCATCGTCCTTGATTCCAGTATATTGACGCCAGGTTGGCCATGCTGGTCAGCGTGTCAGGATGCTTCGCACCCAGCACCCTCTTCCTCATCTCCACCACCTGCACGTTCAGCTCTTCCGCTTCATTCCATCGTCCTTGATTCCTGTACGTGGATGCCAGATTGGCCATGCTTGTCAGCGTGTCAGGATGCTCCGCACCCAGCACCCTCTTTCTCATCTCCACCACCTGCACTTCCAGCTCTTCCGCTTCATTCCATCGTCCTTGATTCCTGTACGTCGACGCCAGATTAGCTATGCTGGTCAGCGTGTCAGGATGCTTTGCACCCAGCACCCTCTTCCTCGTCTCTATCACCTGCACTTCCAGCTCTTCCGCTTCATTCCATCGTCCTTGATTCCTGTACGTGGATGCCAGGTTGGCCATAATGGTTAGCGTGTCAGGATGCTTCGCACCCAGCTCCTTCTTTGTTATCTCCATCACCAGTACAAACAGCTCTTCTGCCTCTTTCCATCGTCCTTGATTCCAGTATGTCGCTGCCAGATTGGCCATGCTTGTCAGCGTGTCAGGATGCTTCGCACCCAGCACCCTCTTCCTCGTCTCCATCACCTGCACTTCGAGCTCTTCCGCTTCATTCCATCGTCCTTGATTCCTGTACGTGGATGCCAGATTGGCCATGCTAGTTAGTGTGGAAGGATGCTCTACACCCAGCACCCTCTTTGTTGTCTCCATCACCTGCATCTCCAGCTCTTCCGCTTCATTCCATCGTCCTTGATTCCTGTACGTCGACGCCAGATTGGCCATGCTGGTTAGTGTGGAACGATGCTCCGCACCCAGCACCCTCTTTCTTATCTCCATCACCTGCACAACCAGCTCTTCCGCTTCATTCCATCGTCCTTGATTCCTGTACGTCGATGCCAGGTTGGCCATAATGGTCAGCGTATCAGGATGCTTCGTACCCAGCACCCTCTTCCTCGTCTCCATCACCTGCACTTCCAGCTCTTCCGCTTCATTCCATCGTCCTTGATTCATGTACGTGGATGCCAGATTGGCCATGCTAGTTAGTGTGGAAAGATGTTCCGCACCCAGTACCCTCTTTGTTGTCTCCACCACCTGCATCTCCAGCTCTTCCGCCTCTTTCCATCGTCCTCGATTCATGTACGCCGACGCCAGATTGGCCATGCTTGCCAGCGTGTGAGGATGCTCCGCGCCCAGCACCCTCTTTCTTATCTCCATCACCTGCACAAACAGCTCTTCCGCCTCTTTCCATCGACCCTGAAGCAAGTCGATCAATCCTATAATATCTATACTGCTTAACGTCTTTTCATGTTCTAGACCCAGATATTGTTTCCAAGTCTTCATCGCTCTGACTGACAGCTCTGCTCCCTCACCACCATTACCTTTTCTCCAGTCATACCATGCAGACTTATACAGCACGGAAGCCCATTCAATCAAAGCGTCCCGGCTTTCTGGCTGTTGCCTTGCGGCGGCCTTCGCATGCGGGAACAGTATCTGGCATTGTTCCCAATTCTCATACTCTCCACTAGGAAACTCCGCATTTAGATTCCGGATATATTGCCACTTCCACTTCTCCAGCTCGCCATTCACCTCCAGCCATCGTCGTGTTGCAAGCTGCACTAGGTTGTGCATACTGAAGGTCGTTCGGTCTATATTGATCGAGATCAAGGAGTACCTTCGCAATATGAGGATATCATTGTTAAACTCATCCGTCATGCTAGACTGTGCTTCACTGTCGTTATCGTCTTCACTACGAGATTCCTCGGCGTCTCCGCCGCTACGGTTGTAGAGGAGAGCCTTAGGAATCCCTTGGCGGTCAAAGAAACTCATCAACGACAGTAGATCACTCGCTGATCGTCGATTTTCGCGAATGCTCTCAAATGAGATCTGCCATGTGATCAGGATCGAGTTCTTGGCCTCCCAATCTCGACGAAACTGGCCCTCCTCATGATCTAGCAGATGGATCTTCTTGCAATCATTCTTCTGAAACTCGTTAAGATATTGTCGCACCGAACAGCCCCGATCCGGGTCAGAAATATATGCCGCCGCTTGGACAATCGCCAGCGGGATGAAGTCCAATGCTGCTGCCAGTTCGGCAACATCCTGGCTGTTGTGATATTGCTCATCCCCCTTTCCCAGCTTCGTCTCGAACAGTGCTTGTGCGTGTGTACCATCCATCGGCTCTACTGGAATAATGTCGCGCTGGTTCACTAGCTTCAATGCGGCCTCCCTGCTTCGTGATGTTATCAAAATAGATCCATTTGGGCTTTGAGGAAGATAATCTCGCAGCGACCGATCCACTCTGCTAGTTTCATGACTAGTCTGACCCTGCATATTATCAGAGCGGTTGACGAAAAAATGACCATCATCAATATTGTCCAGTATCAGAATCCATTTTCCGTTCTTGCATTCTCGCAGCCAGTTGTACACAAGCTTGAAGATGTTGGCCTTCGGATCCCGCCGCCCAAAGAGCTTGACAGTATCGGCAATCTCCCGGTAGCTCTGCTCAAACCGAGCGGCATTACTAGCATGGACCCAAAAAATCCACGTTTCCGGTTCTCGCTCGTGAATTCGGTATGCATGTTCAATCGCGAGCTGTGACTTGCTGCACATCAAGTTAGCGGCGACCGGGGAAGTACATATGCTCTTTACCCACCCAACACCACCCAAACCTACCAGCGCCGTCCTGGATCCTGGTGCAGCACATCGGTCATGGAGCTGATTCAGGATCGTCGCACGGTCGATGAAATCCTGATCGCGGAGGAACGGGATCGAAAGGACGGACTGGGAGGAGTCTCGGGACGTTCTACGCAATGGGGCTATTGTCAGCACGAATTCATGGTGGACAAAACAGCAGCTTACCAAAGGCGTAGTGGTGGTGGGTCTCAACATTTCCCGCGATATAGCCAGCTTGTAGTCCGTTATTGTGCGGACCCGAAAAGGTGGCGTGGTACTCAGCACGAGGCATCTCGACCATTGATGATTTGAGAGTCACAATTCTGCTATGTGAGCCAGGAATGGATGTCCCTTTTTGTGCTGGAAGTTCGCGTGTGTCCAGCTCGTAGCACTGTGATATAACAATCTAGCTGGTGGGTGGGGCATCATGATCTGCACTACCGTCCTTCACCGCCTGAGGAATAACCCTACCTGAGGAATAATTTCAACGGCTTACTGTACAGAATATTTTGAAGCTTTTACAACACCACATAATAATTAAATATAGTGAATTTCTGGTGTAGCACTAAATAAGCTATGGCGAATCTAAAAAGCATAAAAGTTAATCGCGAAAACGTACAGGGGGCCGTATCGCGCGGCCCCTACGGTTTGTAGTAACAACCACCTCATTATCCTCCACATGAGCCTCAGGTTGCACTCTTGGCTTTGCTTGCCTAGAAATTTGCTCTGTGGGTTTTTTTGAAGCCTTTGGAGTTGATATAACATCATTTTGAAGCTGTAAATCAGCTAGCTTAGCCAATTCTTGCTCGTCCTTAAGCCGTTGCTTTTCCGCAGCCTCTTGCTCACGCTGCTCACGTTTTTCTTGTCGGATTTGAGCTCTTTTAACCTTTTCGGCCTCTTTAGCTTGCTTTTTAAGCTGTTGTTGAAGCTTTTTATCATCTTTATGAGCCTGCTTCTGCGCGGCTTCGTCATTTTTTTGAGAAATAATATCACGAGCTTGCTGAACCTTAGTAGGGCTCATAAAAAGCGCTCCACCATCTTGTTCTGATGGTAAACCTAGTAATAAAGGCTGTTTCTTGTTTTTAGGCTTCTTTGCATTTATGAGAGCTCTTTTCAGGCCTTGCTTCTCATTTTGAAGCAAGGTAAGCTGAGTAGAAAGATGTGACACCGTTTCTCGAAGCTGTACAGCCTTTTCATCATAAATATTGTTAACAACAGTTTTAACAAGCTTCTCAAGCCGTCTCCAATCTTCTGGAGGAATAATTGAAGCTCCGGATTCGCTTGAGGATGGCCGGCTGGTGATTTTCTTGTTGAATTTGTTGATAACAATCTCCGGATCAAAGGGATATAGACCAGTCGTTCTGAATGCTGAATTGATATTCTTGCTTATAAAAACCTCATTCCAGCTAGCCCAAAAAAGGCGAAAAAAGTCACGTTTAGTGAGCCGGGTGAAGCCTTGGCTATCCCTTATAAAATCATCCAATTGCTTCGTATAAGCGTTAGAAAGAGGCGAGAAAAGAGCGACATCAAGAGGCTGTAAAGTATGTGTTGCATGAGCCGGAAAGATTGCTAATAGAATTCGATTCGAGTCGCAGTATTCAATAAACTTCATTGTAACGTGGGATCCATGCCCATCGAGGATAAGAAGGCGCCATCCCCGGCTTGCTTGAGATTTTGTCTCTTTATCAAAAACATCCACCAACCAGCGATATCCGATATCATTATTAGTCCACCCTGACTCTGAGGCTGCAAAGAAGCATCTCTGTGTTTGGGGATCGTAATCTTGAAGCCAAGAATCCTGTATAAAGCCCGATTTTGCCATATAAATAAGACTAGGCGCTAAAGCAGTTCCATTGGCACAGATACAACCAATTGTTGTAATCCATTCTCGATTTCCATCCTGAAGATGCTGCTTATAGCCCCCTTGCTCATATTTGCGCCGAGTAAAGATTCTTTTCCGTTTTGTGCTTACCCCAAGCATGAAGCCCTTCTCATCCATATTATAGATTTGCTCTGGGCCGAGGTTATATTCCCGTATTTTCCGTCCAATAAGCTCAAAATATAAAGCATATTTATATGCCGAATCTGCCTTTTTTCTATCCGAATCAAGGCCCGTTGAATAGCGAGAAATCACCTTATCCGAATGAGCCTTGAGCCAGCGTGAAGCCCAGTTTTTCCCAGGCTCTTTACCAGATATTTCTCTTGCAAAGTTCGCTAACATTGAATTTGTAGGGGGCAGGCCTCGCTCGGTGAGTTGATTTATCCATTTTATAAGCGCTCTTGATTGCGTGGTGGTGAGTATTCGTTGCTTGTCGTATTGCTCTTCTTTTGAGCCTGTAACACCGTGAAAACGTTTATAAAGGCCCGATTGGCTAACGCCGTATGTTCTTGCAACCAAACTAATATTAGGCTTTTCTCCAGGATCCGCTGAATGTAATGCTGCAAGTGCGAGCTCCATTGAAGCCATATTGGTTGATATATCGCGGTGTGAAATATTCGCGATTTTTCGCGTTTTGGGGTAAATTTATTCCTCAGGTGGGTTTATTCCTCAGGCGGTGAGGGACGGTAGCACAAACTCAGTTAAGCTTAATACTCAAAGATATCTTTATAGTGGAAATATTGATATTGACCTTATTCTGCCCACTCTTCTATCTACATCTTGAGGAGATTGTTGGACACTATTTATGCTTGAGAATCCCATCCACGCAATCTCAAATAGAAGATTCTCGACACAGAGCTGTAAAGTTGATTCGTAGATTCAATCTTGTGACTTCAATTCTCGAATTTTCCTTGATTAGGTTTAGCTTACCTAATCCTCGACAGGATACAGAAGTCGAACTACGGAACGGTTCGCAAATACCTCAAAAATACCAAATTCCCTTTAAGGGCGTCCTTTTTGGTGAAATGGTATTACGTTTTAGTTCCGACAGAGTCCGTGCGGGAGAAATCAACAGGGACCTTTTCCGCTTTAAGAGTAGCGTACATAGCCTTAGCCCTGGATCGTTTACAAAATTCAATTTTGACAGTCCACATGCTGCAAATTGAAGAGCTGTATAAGATTATGGAGGCATTGGGAATATCTGAAACGACCATGGTTCGCTTGTTCTTGGTCTTATACGGCTTTTTTCCAGCTATGAGTGATGATGGAAATCACAAGCCATGCTACAGAGGCGCATGGTCGTGGCATATAATCCATTGGATTGTTTGAACACGATAAATCAGATTCTGCAAGAACTGACTTAGAATAGCATGTATTCGACATCAATGAGATTGCGAAGATTGACTGTCCTATTTAGACGTTCTTCTAAAACACTTGAAATGAGACTAATAAGTCTTCCGTCAGGTGTTTCGAGGTCCTCCAACATTTGAACTACACCGGCACATAACGGTCTGGAGAGCGACAAGAACTCCTAGTATTCCTTGGAGATGCTACTGTAGTACCCTGCGCTTGGGCAGTCCTCGGTCTGATAAAACCTCCTGACTGGGTCTGATGCGGCCTTCTTTTCAGTTTGGTAAAGTATCGCCCCTGCAAGGCCAGCTGCGTTCTTTTGGGAAAGCGTGCTGCAATGCTTGGCCACGAAAGCTTTTCAATCTCTTTGAGATTGACTATCAGTGCATCTTCTTCGGCAGTATAACCCTTGCGCTTCGGAGACGCAGACACGTCCGCCCGCGGGGAAATCTGGTTGTCTACCACAAGGTCATCTAGAGTCGGTGATAGACTTCCTTCCTGAGGCAAGGAATCATTTTCCGGTGATTTCGCGTATGTCTCTTTAAAATTAAGGCTCCATATATAGCCACACGGCTTAAGTTCACGAGTAAATAAGCCTTCTATGTCAATAACTTGAAAGTCAGACATGCCAGTTGACTGGTCCCCCCCGTCTGCCAGCTTCTGAAATGATGCCAAGATGTCGGACGACTCAGGATTAGAGGCGGTCGAGTTCATATCTTCTGTGACCCAGCAACAATACTCAACGCGGCTTAAAGAGACTTTACGCAGAAATTGGCCGTGGATACATATAGTCTCTGGACTGGTGGACTGTGAACTCAGGGCTCGCCAATCTCGGCGGAGAGCTTTTTGGATAAGCTTGTGCCCGCACTCTTTTTCTGTGCAACTGAGAAGTATCCATACTAGTGTCCACCCGCCTTTTTCTCTTGATTGGACGTGTTGCTGGTTCATCATATTCTATTCGACTCTCTGCATGGCTGTCCTTACGATAGTCACTCTCCCCTAGATCATCACTTTCTGTACTCCGAATGAACCGAGAACGACGTGAGTGACGAGCGGTGCGAGTGAACTTGCTAGACTGTAGCGGTTGACAAGGGACTACCACTGATAGAGATTTGCAAGGCATCTCTGCTGAGGAATTGCGTCCCTGTTGGCTGCCATTGAGCTGTCGGGTTTAAGTGGGCGCAAACTGGGCTACTGCCACTTCAGCAATCGGAGAGTGTTGACACACAGATCGTTGCCTACCCTTATCCGCTAGAGTGTCGAGGCACATTGCGTCACCGGTTGGAGTATTGACAGGACTCATTAACATTTGATCTATACCAGTTGTGTCAGACTGAACCGCCGAGGCGATGGGGTCATCTAGAACGGTTGACGGTATTTCTTCAATAAAAGTTTCTAGGACAGTGCTGCAGTGTTGCTCACATCCACTATCAGAAACAAGGGGCGACATCTCTGTTTCTAGAGATTCTATTACTGTAGCATCTTTAGCTAATAAGATTTCTGTAACCTCTAGAGGTTCAGACAAATCCTTGTTTTTCTCGATGTAGTGGTTGTCATAGATTCATTCGTTGGCTGGAAGTAATGTTCTTAGTTGTCGTATAGTAGTATCGACGGGGTCTATACTTACAGCTTTGACACGCATCCTGCTCTATCTTCTGATCACATATGTTCTGGTCTTTGTTTTTGTCCTTCTCATCGAATCCATCAGAGTCGACGATTGTGGCTGCCGGCGGTGGACAAGACTCCTCAATTTGAATTTGAGTCTGTGTAGCCACAGAGTTGATATTTGCCAAAGAGGATGGATTCTCGCTAGCTGACGCAGGCGGTACCACTGTTGTGCAAACATCGACAGAAGTAGAACGGTTAAGGAAAGGTTCGGTGGTCGATTGAAACGAAGAAGCTCCACAAGGGATCAGAGGCAATTTGGATGGCTTCTTAGGCTTAGGATATTGGTACTCGACCACGTTGTCAAGAGAGATATATGCCATGGCTGAGGTTGTATGAGAGATCAAACAAGATGCGCGTTCCTATAGATAATCACAGATTGAAGTTGCGTCTTTGGTGGCCAACAGCCGATTAATATACCCGAGCTGAGAATGGCCTGATGCAGGGAATATACGAATTAGGCAATGCTATAATAGGAAAAAGAAGAAGGAACCTATTCAGCTTGTAAGTCTAGCCTTTCTAGGAAGCACACCGAGACTTTCCATCAATACTCAGTCCACATAGACGGGATAGGCAATACCTAGAATAGGAAAGAGACCGAAAGGAGTCTTATACAAGGACCTTGCATGATAACCATCCTGGTCGACCACCCTGTCATACTCGGGCAACAGTGGAAACATTTCCACTTAGCGTGCACACCAGTGATATATTTTGGTTTGAGGTATTTTTCTCATTGGTGTATAGCCACTTGTAGCAGTGTAACAACCATGAGAATGATTGCATAGCGCTGGCACAGCCTTCATCAGCGACCTGTTGCGTTTAGTATGATGATGTCGTAGTCACTATTCCTTTCAGCCAAGGTACAGCACGGTATAGGATGGAATTCCTACCATCAAAAAAATCTATCCCAAGTGTTAATTGCATCCGCTATCTCTAGCCGAGACGTAGAGCCAAGTAGTTTCATTGACTCACAGGCAGCTCAGCCCTTGGATCAGTCGTGCTTCTCCTCAAACAGAATCTTCCATACACAACATTGGCGCCTCGACTAAATCCTTCAAGGCTAGTGCTTCAACCCCTGGGCCATGAGCAGCCACTGCCCCGGCATGATCCTGGAATTGCAATCGGACATCACCGGCTCCAATAACAGTACCTTCGAACGGACAGAAAGAGGCAGTACTCAACTACTTTCAACACCTTTCAGGTCCACCTCGCCAAATATAGTGTATTGATTGGTGCTTAAGCATAGAGCTGGTTATAGCAAAAAGAAGTCTCCTTTTGATGCAACCGATGCATTCGCTGGTGGACCCTGGATGCGGTCGCCCAATCGGCTAGTCTATCAGAACAGACCTCATCCTCGCAGAAAGACAGCTGGCCCACTAATGTCGCACTAAGTGCCATTCGCGTGGTGGCTGGCTCAAATTTGTGAGTCATCATGTGGAATCGGACGTCAGCTGACACATGATTCACTTCAATCTCCTCACGCTGTAATGTCAGCGCAATCCACAGAGATATCACTCAGGGGTTAGCCATGACGTGCCGAAAAACAGATACTTGAATATTGATGGAATAGGCCGAAGAATGATAAAGCAGGCTGTAAAATAGTACCGCTCAATCATCGTCTAGGGCATAAACAACTGACGAGACCATTGCCTACTGAAGTGCTGAAACATTGGTCTAGCTTGTATAGAGTGCACAGGCTTGATGTAGCGATGGAGCTTTCGTTTCGTGATTTTGTCCAACGCTATGACCGACCAATTTTTCAGCTGTCGGGCGGTGGTGCGCCGATGCCAATCACGGGCTTGAGACCGCGTCAGTTAGGGCCGCTGGAAAGTTTTGAAGATGTTCACGAACGACGGTGGTTGAGCGACGCACCAGGGTTTATATACTCGGGCAGACGAGGTACAGGCACGCTATCCCGCATCAGGACCGACTCCCAGCAATCCGCCAGATCGGGTCTGCCGCTAAACCGGTTATGGCTAGCGCTAGTCCCAGGATGGTGATCCCGGAGGGCAAGCCGAATCCGGCCGCGCCGGTACAAATCGACAATCTACTCTTCTAGAAATTATATATGGTGTTTCACTCGTCTTCAATCCTTATATGTTTATTATGGGTCTACTGCTTCATGCGAATGCCTTTGAAGCTAACGTCAAGTTAATGGATGATTTGCGTCGACTATTTGTGATGCATGGCTGCCAACAGCTAGAGTTACCATTGAAGAAAGAAATGGATAACTATTACTTATTTTGTAAAGTGGAAGAGACTGGTGATGAGCCTCGTGTTATACGTGATCAACCCATAACTGATGGTGTCTTCTATGGAGCTATCAAATCTATCTTATTCATCATAGATCTCTTAAATGTCTTCTTTTATCATCAATTTTGATATGGCACGGGGAAATTGCTAGACAAAACTGGTAAGTCGTTATACTTGAAATTCAAGATATCATGCTTTTTGATATGAAGTGCCAGGATGGGCTAGCAACTCTAAGCGTACCTCATCATGAAATATGCGGACACTTTAATCTTTCTCAAACATTGTTGCCTACAAAATCATACTCAGATGCAACAAGTGGTCTTTAGTTTAGAGGCAGATCAGCATTGGGATTGGACTCTGAAAAGCTTTAATCAAAATAAAGATAAATACCACCCGCGGTTTCTAGACAACACAGAAAAGGCTTTCGTGGAGAGTAAACTAGAATTGCAAGAGACTATCCGTGAGCTGGGACTCTTGGAGGATAATATGACAGAAATCCAGTCACTAAGCTTACCTCAGAGCTCGCTCAAGTACAGAGCCAGGTTCTCAATACTCGTCAGACTCAGATACAAGCGTTTAGCTCAGGTTCGGCGCAAGTTTGGACTAAAACAAGCAGTTATCAATATTAATAGGCAGCTTGACGGCACAATCTTACAGGAAGATGATGTGGCTGAAGAAGACCTGCCAGATGATGACATGCCTCTTCAGTAGGTCAGACTTGTAGAAGAGCTGACGACTATTCCGATCATATAAAAACTTGAAAGAGAATAGCAGCGTCACAATGTGGGCGTAGAAGTCATTATATTGTACTATGAGTTCTAGGAAGGTGGGTTCCTTCAAGGACGACAGAAGCAAAAATGGAATGCAAGTAATAACGATATGTATAAGAAAGCGGTAAAAAGGTCCAACAATGTAGAGAATTGCTAAGATTCTTGAGGAAGATCTGGTTGCCGAGGATTACGAGCAGTAGTGGAGATATCAGTTGTACGCTTCCCTTTGGGGATTGATGGATTCTCGATGGAGCGTTCTCGACGTTCGTTTTCTTCTCTTTCTTGTTATCTAGGAAACTATCTAAGGAGTGAGGTGTTCTATCCCGTACGGATAAATATCGGCCCGAAGGCTATAATCTTTACAAGAATAATAAATTATCTATTGCGAAGAAAATACTCCGTATATGAGTGGAAAAGGCAATATAAGCATGATTACTGTCTCTGACATTAATTAAATCCCCTAGACCCATTGTTGGATTGGAGATGTCTTTTAGGGCTTCTTTCCGTTTTTGGCTTAGTAGTGATGACAGCCCATAATTGTCGACAACTCCAACATTCATGCTCATCCTCAGATACCAACAAATTGATCGCTCTTTCTTATCAATTATTCATATCGTGTGTGTGACATGGCTGTAGTGGAAGGATTTTGAATGCTCAGTAGTGAATTATGTACAGAAAATCTAGGTGGCTCCCTATCATTCGCATGAAGGATTAACATCAATGGTATTCTGATTTTTATGTATACCAAGGCCTTTTGTTAAATATACCTAGGCACTGCCAGCGTGGTTTTAGAAACAGTCATGGTGCCACAAATTGACTTGAATTCAAAAGTGTGAGACGATTATCTCAAATTGTCTATTTCAAATGTCGCACCTACTGCCCAAGGCCGGGGCAGTTTTCATCAGTGATGTCAGTGATAGTATCCCAAGGATAAGGAAGAGTCCAGATTTGACCGAATCTGTTTATTCTATCAATGAGCAGCCACACAACGTCATATCTCAGACGGACGGAAAGAAACTACATACTCATCGTCAGGATAGTCTGGTGCATCGTCAACACCCAATTTCTCCGCAATCAGGGTCAACTCGTCATGTTCCCAGCAAATCAAAATATTGCCGTCGCCGTCATAGTTATCGACGGCTTTCTTAACACACTTCTCGTCGGTCTTGCTGCAAGAAGTATCGACGGTAAGACCCAATTCTTCCGCTAGGGGCTCCACGGTCTCGTAGGGTCGCTCACGAGAGCCATCTACACCATATACCAAGTCAGGAACCTATTGAAGTTTGAGCTATTGAGAAGATTCAGAATTAGCGTACCATCCTTGGGCTGCTCGGCCAAAATATATCCGATATTGTATGAAGAGCCTGGTCCGAAGACAGAGGTTAAGCACTGAGCACGCTGTTCGCCCGCAGCACTAAGTCCGTCACTGCCATCTGAGGGCTTCTCGCCGTGGCGGATCATGTAAACAATAGGATCGGCAACAGCGGAACCCAATAAAAGAAGGGAAACATTAGTTAGGATAAGAACCTTCATCTTTGCTTGGGTTTAATTTTGAAGGGAAGGTTGATCGGAATTAACCAGATTGGATATTCAGTGTGGAAAAAGTCCCGAAACAAAACTTGTCGAATATTTTTAGGGGAAATGACTATTTGTATAATGATTGTTTCACACTAATTGCCGACTTGACGTCGCACACCAGGGTCCCTGAAAGATATTTGTGCAGAAACAAACACGGACAATTAACTTCCCACACAAGACTCGATCTGACGACTCGTATCTTGTCATCTTGCGGACCTGACGATGCAGGGAGACGAATAAGGATGCTTATATTCCAATTAATTGACTCTTCCAAACATCCCAAATAAGCGAGAAATGTATGCAAAATGACTCGATGTAACCTCATGATTTCGAAGACGACGCTGACTGACGATCATGAAGCCGCCCACGTGATGGCTCTAAATGGTCATATTGGCGCGGTTAGTGCGTGTAAATACTTAGATGAGTTGGGCTTACATGGGTTTCTTTAGATCTACTTTAGTTAGAAATTAGAACTCCGCTATGTGTACATACGTAAGTACGTAGATGTTTGGATAGCGTGAGTAATCGGCTGATCGGAACAGATCTGATTTGATCTGCGCTGAAGAGATGTAGATGCGATAGTTACTTAATCACCCGAATAAGCAATTTTCAGTGAAGTCCACTATTTCCTAATTCCAAATTATGCATAGGCTTAGTTATCCAACTTTTCTATGAAGAATCAATTTACCAATTAGTGGGAAATGCTAAGAGTACTTGATCCCGACTTAGAACAGCCCATTCCTCTGGATCTCCGAAATAAAGCACCACCTCATGTGCAATTTGATCTAGATATCCATGGATGTAGGAAGAAGGGAATTTACCTGCCTTTTGCTTGGTTGCGTGCATATATTCGAACTACGGATTGAAACCGTAAAGGAGCTTTATTAACTGCAGGCCCACTACGGTGGTTCTTGACCCTTTATATCCTACACGTGCTTCAAGAGATGCTATAGCCCCGTTTCTATGCATCATCTCCTGCAATGTCCGAGAGCCGAAGGCTCATACGAGTAAAAAATCGCGCTGTAGTTGCACTGTTCCCGAGTCCAATGGATTTTACCAAGATGGGTTGAAGAGGCTGGATAAAGATTTTACTCAGAGTGCGCCCGCGAATTGTGCTAAGTGAAGATGAGCGAGAAATCGTCTAGAGCAATTATGCATTAAAATTACACTGGTTGCTAGTATAGTTAAACAAGTTGCACACAATCTTATAACTGTCGTGACGTGACGGTACAGAGAACCCTAAACCCTAATTCCAAATCCATGCCTGCACCCGACGAGTAACAGCATCAATGAACAAAACCTGATGCACCATTATGATTCTCCGCATTGGTAACTTCCATACAAACTTCCTCTTTATTCCTTGATTTGCGGGACTTGACTGGCCACTTTGGACCAGCATACTCCAACTTCTCCAACGGCACAGGCTTCATACCATCCGCTCTCGTCTCGGGTGTCAACCACTTCGTAAGTGCAGCACCAATTAACATAAAAGCACTAAACACAATAATCCCGTATCCAAACTCATTTGAATCTCCATGAGGTCCCAGGCGAGATAATGAAGCAAATATCTGCACAATCACAGCGGCCGTTTTGCCCGCAGCGGCAGATATGCCTACTGCCGTGCAACGTAGTTGAGTTGGAAACAACTCTGAGGGGATGATATACGTTGTGAAGTTTGGTCCGATTTGGAAAAAGATCATGGAAATGACGTATAGAAACACGACGAGCGGCGTTCGAGACGGCGCGGAGAGGAACCGAAATACTAGACCGACGACGATGAAAAGAACGAACACGATTAGAAACCCGGCGAGCTGGAGTTTGCGGGGCGAGATGCGTCCAACTAGGTAAATCATGCATATGCCTCCTAGTATTGCTCCAAGTGAAACAATCACGAGCGAATGCCACGATTCCGTCATGAGGTTAGTGTAAACGTCTTGCCCATCGCGAGAGGAAGTGTTGAAGACTTTGCTGACGACTTGATATGAATTGGGTCCCATAACGTAGAATGCAAAATCGAAACAGAACCATGTCATCGACGTGCCTAGAAGCACAACCCAATGGCCCTTTTCCCAGAGGTATTGGTTCAAGCCGGAGCGATAAATGGCCCAGACGTTTCGGCTTTCAACATCGGCTCCGTCACTTTCGGATGATGAGCTGCCGCTTTCGTGAGACGATTGACGGCTGAGCATTGTCGGGCTCAAGGCGGATGAAGGTGGTCGGTCGTTATTTGCTATTGGTGCTCGTGTGAAGGATACCTCACCATTGCTGGTAAAAGTAGGACTGTGCATTTCGGTGGCTGAGAGATATTGGGCCGAGCTAACATGATGGCTTACTGTCTCATCGACCGCGGTGGTCGAGGATGCGTCGCGAAACGTTGGTGATCCGGGACTTGATATCCAGCTCCTTTGCTCAGCAGCATGCTCACCGTCCAGAGGATCATCATCTTCATGCATGACATGCTCATCAAAGTCAGGAACATGCTGATCATGATTCATCTCCATATCATGCACATTCGCATCGACACCACCCTCATGAGGTGTTGGAGACGACACAGTAGGCAGATCCATATCGTTAACATCCTCCAAGGCTTCATCCGGTCGATTCAGCACCTCAATCGTATATCTTGGACTCTCCGGAATACTGAATCGCAGAAAGATAGCCAATGCAGCAGGTATAGTGCCAAGGCCAATCACCCATCTCCACACACTATCCAATGCGCGACGACATTCATCATTGACGCACGTCATATTACCATCCGTGCTGAGCTGTGTAAGATGCGGCTTATACGCCGCCAATGCAATGATACACACAACCGTCGCAAGCAAGTAGCCAAAGGGTTGCATGAAGAAAACACTCGCCAACATCCTCCCCCGGCTCCTCGTAGGAGCAAACTCGGAGGTGATCACAGCACTTAATGGGTAATCGCCACCTATTCCCACGCCGAGTAGTACCCTCCATGATATAAGCCACCCCAGCAAATCCATTGACCCAGCTGTTCCAGGCGAAGACATTGTTATACCCACAGTCGATCCAATGATTATAAGAAGTTCAAGACCATACATGGACTTGCGACCAAAGACATCCGCAAAGATTCCGAAGCCGAGTTGACCAATGACTGTTCCGGCGAGGACTGCAGCGTTGAGCGATGCTTCGATGTTGGTACCCATTTGGTTGTTCCAGTATACATGGTTGAGCATGGGGATTGTGAGGGAGGCTGCATAGATCTGCAGATGTCAGTCACATCCAAAAAGTATCTGGGGAATGGAAGGAACACACATCATATCCATCGGCCAAGAAGCCAACACCAGCTACAAACACTACTAGCCATTGGAAATGTGTTCTATCAAGTTCATCAAGAACGCGCCTTCTTCGAAGTTTGAGATCCTGCCGCAAATTAGCTAAAAGAAGACAGAGTGGTGGTGACACATACCCTAATATGATCAAAGTTGACTGTCCGATTCTTAACATGCAAAGTAAATGGATTCTTCATTGCGCCAGCTGTACACCTAGAAAGGTAGTTCTGGACTGGAATTGATCATACGCAGCTGCTGTAATGAGCACCTTCATTCACATACTCATTACGCGTGACAATCGAGCTCAAAGGCGGCTACAAACCACAATTAAATAAGCAAAACAAAAAGAATCAGAGTCTGTCTACCTCCACCTCGAGGTACTAAGCGGCTCAAAACCATGTGCCATTTTCCCTGCATGATAATGGCCATTTTCTTTCCCATCATATATGCGTCAGGCCATGTACCAAGAGCGCTAAGAGTATGACTGGACAGCTGAACAAGGCAGGGACAAGGAAATTCGTCTTGATCACATCTGGAAAAAGTAAACGATTGATTGAGGCTGAGCGAGGCACACTTGTCCTTTATCTCTTTAAGTAACTCGTTACGTATGTGTACGTGTATATATATGTATTGGTATTGTCATGGCAATTTAATACAGTATTGTGGTATTAGGGCTACGTAAGTAGTTTGGGGTGCTGCATGAGGGTAATTCTCCGAGTTTAGTTTTGACCACCTGCTCTACCATTTAACTCAGCTATCCTCGTATCTGCATTTCTCAAACCATAAGTTGCAGGGGTTTTCGTTGAAGAAGTATCTGTGACCAACGAACAGGTGGTCTTATCATGAATTTCGAACTGTCTGAGAATCCAAAGATCAAGTACTCTTAATATTTCAAAATATGACAGTTCCTAGCTAATAGTATATCTATTTTTACAATTTCAATTAGTCAGTACAAAAAAAATCCGTCCGGCCTGTCCTTCGAGGTATCTGTTAAACATCCATGCTCGAAATACCCCTGAACGCCGCATCAGATTAGTCATAAGTCGTAACGTGCATCAAGTGTCGTAAATGATTTTCTTATAATGCCATCCAATTAATTATCCTTCGACCCGCTCAGACTTGAACATTGTGTAGGTGTATATTAGAAGAAGTAGGAAACTGTGTTGTTGTGAAAAGATTAGGGCTTCATGCAGCTCCTTTCGTTAAGAATTCAGTTGAGAAGGAAGTCAGATCTGAATTATCTGTTAGAATGATGAGAAGTAAGGGTTATATGCAGACCAACCAGTCTTATTCAAGAACTCAATTTTGAGATCCTGCAAATGGTGACTATTATTTTGGAGCTTAAGGTCCAACGAACTCTTGCCTACAACCTTGGACTGGAGAACTTCTCGTGCTTGATACTATGTCAGTACATCAACAACAAGAAGTCAGGGTCAAGACCTACCAGGAATAGAATGATACCTTCCCTTCGACTTTTCACATTTCGTTGTATAGAAAAGTAGTGATTTTGTGTCATTCTTCTTCCAAACACGCAGTCTTTGACCTTCACTGAGATTCTTCCCAGATGAGGAGATTTTCTTGATATTGACTGTCAAAAGTAGTTCTTGGCCATAAACCAAGGACTCGAAATCATTTAGAGCTGTTAATCATTGTTAGTTCACACTCGCACATTGACAGAAATAGGGTACATACATTTCTCATTCTGGAAGAAGAATTGTACTTCTACACCCTTTGGTTCGGTATCCAGCGGGCTTATAAAGTATGCTTGATACCCTTCTTCGGGGATATCGCGTTCACCGAATGGTTCCACTTGAGGGAGTGGTCTCTTTTTGTGTGTAGAAACTGTAGGCTATGTCAGTGATAGAGGCTTTATGGCCATACTTATTCTGAAACTGACGTTTTATGATAAATGAAGAACTGCTTGAATCCTGCTTTCGGATCTGAAGAGCGTAAAGTTTGCCATTTGAGTCATAACCACCATTCACAGTGCAGGATATCGGTCTGCCGGAGGTAGTAGTAGTACTGTCAACAAGTCAATACGGTTTTCTCTGAATTTGATAAGGGTCATACCATTTCACCCAACCATCAAACTGGATAGTCTGCCAATGCGATACTCCGGCAGAGAACGACACTTCCGACGAGGACATACTAAAAGTGCGGGACTGACGAGGTGAGCGCGAAAACGGCGCAGTAGACGCTCCAACCGATTCCGCAGACGAAGAAGGGCTCAAAACTGGCCTTGATAATGAGCTGACAGATAGAGTTCGCTGCTTCAAAAGTGTATTTGGCGTCATTGGTTTATAATGCTCCACCATCCCGTCAGGCAAGAAAGATGACTGCGGCTGAACAGGTTTTACAACATGAGCGCTTTGAGCGAATGCTTCACTAAGTCCTGAGCTCTCCTCGGGCAGCGGAGCTAGTGCTTGAGGTAGCATTTCCGCAAATCCGCTGTCGTGCGTATCAGTTCTTTGTATCGGTCGTAACGATGGCGGGGTCCCAATGGTATGATGAGGCGTAAGCATGCGGTTGAGTTTTATTTGATACGAAGCTGATCCTGTGCGCCGTTGCGCTGTCGAACTAGCTGTTCTTTCTGCTGCATTCAGAACCCTTCTACTTATAATTTCGAGATGGTCGAGGATATCATTCCATTCTTGTAGTGTGTCGTCGTTATCCGCTCGCTCTGTCTCCATTAGAGCTAATCGTTTCTGCTCGTTGAGGGCTCGAAAGATGGCTTCGTAGTCTTCATAGTCGGTGTCATTTTGGCGTTGGTAGTGCATGCGCGGTGATCTCGGAAGTGTATCTGGCGATCCTGTGTTTGAGAGACGTCGGTTAGAGTGGAGGTCTTTGACCATTGCCTCGACATTCGATAAGCGTTTGTTGACATTGGAATCTTCTTTTATGCGTCGGTTACTATATGTTGTTAGTTAAGCCACTGGCAGGGTGGCCACTACAAGAAACGTACCGCTCTAGAATTTGAAGATAAAGCACCAACGTCTGCCGATGTCGTGCAAGTTTGCGCTGCAACTCCTGTATCTCCGATTCACCACCTAACGTCGTCCATATCACCGCTTGTGAAAGCTTCAACCCTGTTTCTTTCGACTTATCAAGCAACTCTTTCGACTTTGAAAACGACGATCGACGTTTAAGACCTTCGCTGCTATTCGTACTGCTGGTGGCAACATTCGGGCCCGAATTATTCGAACCAACGCCTTTCGACAACTGCAAATGCTTATACTTATCCAAATAAGCATCACAACTCTTCATCGTCGCCTTCATATCCTTCAAATCAAAGAAAGCAATATTCTTCCCATCCTTGACAACCTCATGCAGATGCACGAGCACCGTATAGAATTCTTCCAGATCATTTCGTAGTCCCTTGATTTGTATGGATGCGCTGGTTAGTCCTTCACGGCAGTTTTCGACAATCTTGTAGCAGGTAGCTACAAGCGTGAAGATGTCGCCGGCAGACCATCCAAAACTCATTGAGACGATATGCAAGCGAAACTAGTGGGTGTGACGGTGTTGTAGGTGTTGCTGTGTGTCTTTGGACATATAGTGACACGTGCGCCGGAATTGCGCAGTGACGATCGCTCGTATGTGTAATTTGTCGACCGGGTTGAGACTGTCCTAGATACTTCGGAGTATAAAGATTCAGAAAAACAAGAACCACCTATTCAGAACTGATAAAAGCTGGGCGGAGGCTCGGGTGTATATGAATAATGGATAAGAAGTATATGCTGTATGTAGATGGAGGACATATGAGAGCTCACCTCCCTAATCAGTCTCGAGTCATACTAAGAAAGCTCTCCCATATACTTAGTGGCGCTATACTCGGAAGTAAGATTAGTATCTCCTCGCCTACCGGTCTTAATCACTGGCGCATGCAGACGTATGTGTCAGAAGGAACCCAGTTCGTCCTCACTGTCGGCATGTCGCAAAAACATCCGATGCGTTGACGGATGTCGCTTCTTCACTCGCCGGTAGATCAGTCTGAGGCGATTCGGAGTCTGTTCTTCTGTAAGCGATGCTGTACGAACTGTCAGCCACCGCACAGGCACCAACAATAAACAGATTCTGGAGAAAGTGGATGTTGAATCATTGCCATATGTATGGAATAGCCAGACCACATGGTACTAATAGCATACAGTAATACGGGTGAATACAGGTATATACATTACGGATCTGGATACATTACATTACGATATAACTAGTAGACTTAGAAATATGATTGGCGGATAGCGCAATATAAAATATACAACGGTATTATTCCCGTAATAAATACTATCTAGCCCTAAGTTCTCGAGTTCCTGGACTAACAACGGGCCTATCGGAACGAGGATCAGCATCACGTTTTTGCTCTACTGGATGTCAATTGGGTTCAACGAAGCAGACTCCTTACGGGAGTGCTTGTGCGTGTATTTTCATTGCGGCTGGATTGAACGCCTGATGTTTATGCTATGACAGTGACCAGTCGATTGTTTTGATTGATGCTCAGAACAAGCAGTTCAACAGACAAAGCAGTAAGAAGGCCTAGACTATCTGAGTCGGTTCAGTAGATGCAAGGGCTTAGGGCTATCGAATTTCTTCAATGATACCAAGTCCTGTGTAAACACACCGGTTTCATTCCAACGGGCTAGAAAGCTAGTAATAGGGATATGTTCTCTGTTCGCCGTACATAGGTGAAGTAAGTACGGAGTAAGGCCATGAGCTTTTGCCACGAGGTGAATCGATGAGGGATTTCTTTGACAGACCTAACTCTTTGCGACTGTTAAGAGCTCAGCCACATCTCATTATTTATTCCTGTTGATGAGAGAAGGCTCGTCATGTCAATAGATCAACAGACACTGTACTATGTAACTTAAGAGAGCCTGGTTAGTATCAGCCAATCAGATAACTTCTGAACCCTGATATGCGCTAGTCTATTTCTGGACGATATAGCTTGGCATGCGATTATCTCTATGCACTATTTAACTAATACGTAGCTTCAAACAATTCAATTCAAAACTTACTGAAAGTTGGGTTCCATTCCATGTAGCTACTCAGCAATGAGCATACCTGCATATGTGTGTATATGTACACTCATTGTCGCTGATTCTCGCACGTGGCCGCGACGACAGCGGAACGATGCCTCAGGCCACTAACTCCGAGACCTCCCCGCAATGACTCAAAACTCCGGTATCGTCGCCGCAAACGTTTTGCAAAGAATCTCATTCAAGAACAACGAACAGCACAACGAACTCTCAGACTCTCTCCAATCGCTCTTAGCTCTTTTACATCGAGAGTAACTGCAATAGATATTTTATGACCGAGACCCCAATTGACAAACCCAATTGCCAATTGCGGTTGCAAGTTTTTTCTTGGCCGACGATAAAATCTGACCCCGCGCGGCTTGCGCGATTGTGAATCTTGAATTTTTAACGACAACATGGATCTCGTCAATCAGTGGGTTATTACTACAAGAACATCAATTCAGTATGAGTGTTGTCTAACGTATTCCCAGCCTCGAAGGACGATTACTTTTCGCCGTGCCCAAAAGTCAGCTTCCCCCCTCGCCTTTAAACAAACTCACTCTAACATCAGGAAAAAGAGGGCCGCCTCCAACAAGCAACCCTAGACCTCCTCTCCGGGTCCGACATCCAATTCCGGCGCGAAACCCGCCTCGACATCGCCCTCGTGAAAAACCTGCCCATAGCACTCATCTTCCTCCCCGCCGCCGACATACCTACTTTTGTCGGTGAAGGACGCGTCGATCTCGGTATTACGGGTAGAGACCAAGTAGGCGAACACGACGCCGCTCTGCCCGAAGGCGAGGAATCCGGTGTCACTGAAATCCTTGACTTGGGTTTTGGAGGGTGTAAATTGCAGGTACAAGTTCCCGAAAAGGGCGATATTACAGATTCGAAACAACTGGTGGGTAGGAATGTTGTGACCAGTTTTACGGCGTTGGCGACACAGTTTTTCGCAGGGTTGGAGGGGGTGAATGAAAAGTCAAAGGGGGAGTTGAAGACTAAGATTAAGTATGTTGGCGGGAGTGTGGAGGCGGCTTGTGCGTTGGGTGTTGCGGATGGTATTGTTGATTTGGTCGGTATGTATATCTCGTATCTTTGACAGTTGGGGGAAAGATGAGCTGATGAATACAGAATCCGGCGAGACGATGAAAGCAGCTGGTCTCAAGGCTATTGATACCGTTGTTCAGAGTACGGCTGTCCTAATCAAGTCGAAAAACACCAAGAACGAGCTCGTGGATTTGATCGCCAGTCGTATCCGCGGTGTCATTGGTACGTCCTATCCATTCATCTTCTTGTTCTGTGCTAATGATTTGAAGACGCCCAGAAATATGTCCTATGTCAATACAACATCCCCCGCGACAGAATCGCTATCGCCTCAAAAGTCACACCTGGAAAGCGTGCGCCAACTGTCACTGCACTCGAACAAGCGGATTGGGTTGCGATTAGTGCCATGGTTGAGAAGAAGAAGATTGCCACTGTGATGGATGAGTTGACTACTGTCGGGGCTACGGATATTTTGGTTCTGAAGATTGAGAATACTCGGTCTGGTTAGATTGGATAAAAGCTGTCCTGGATTTACGCGTGGCAGCTTACGAAAACTGATTATAGACCAAATATAAAGAAATTGGACATGTACCTTGATTGAACTTAGAACATAATTCGTTACAGTATTTACCTACAAAACCACGGATAAAAGATTAAACAGTCCCAGTAGCCAACACATACCCGCCGTCAACAACCACCGTCTGCCCATTCAAATACTGATTCGTAGCCGCAAACAAGACTGCACTTCCCATATCCCTGTCATTGCCCGGCCGCCTGGCCGGAACCTTATTCTCATACTTCTCCTTTGGCAACTCACTCTTTTGCTTCTCATCACTTTCCTGCGCCGTCATCTCAGAAGGGAAAACACCAGGCGCGATGTTATTAACTCTGATTTTCAGGCCTGAAGAACTGATTTCGTATGCGAGCATCTTTGTGAGATGGATGGCAGCAGCCTTGGAGGCATTGTATGCAAAATGATGTTGAGCGGATTTGACAATTCCAGAGATGGAGGTAATATTCAAGATTGTGCTGCTGAAGCCGGGGATTGTATCAGTTGCCTTTTGCAAGAACGGCAAAAATGCAGAGCTCATAAAGTATAGTTGAGCAACATTTGTCCTGTACACGCTAGTCCAGTCTTCGATTGTAGCTGCGTTGTTGTCAAATAGAGTCTCCTTAAGACCCTCCGGATGCTCTCGCTCGGTATCATGACGGGCTTCTCCCGAAATTCCAGCGTTGTTGATCAGAATAGAGAGATGGTCTTCCTTGGCCTTGAATTCGGATACCAATCGATCAATATCGTCCTTACTGGAGACGTCAGCGACAATAGGGATGATTTGTCCCTCGCCATTCCGGCCGGTTGAATACAGTTCAGCAACGCGGTCGAGTTTCTCTTTTGTGCGGCCGACAATGTAGACTTTTGCGCCGTTGACGGCTAGGGCTTGCACGGCCATTAGACCGATCCCTGAGCCGCCGCCGGTGACGAGGGCAACTGTTTATCATTAGTTTGATGCTCAGCTTATACATGAAAGAGAGGAGTGGGCGTACCTCTCCCCTTGACATTGAACAAATTCTCAAGCTTGAATTGTTCGTTATTAGTTTCTGCGCCCATTTTCGCGGTTGATGATACAGATCGTTTTTGGAGTGATTTAATCGGGAGAATATTCTTTTGTTGGATGAAGGTATGATTGTGAATGTGGAATTGTCGAGTCCAGACTGGAGGTGCTCTGGGGAGAGCCTTATATACTGCTCCTCGAGATAGCAGCCTATGACGCGCCGAAGTGTAAACTGATGACATTGTGCTGGGTTGACGAGCTGGCAGACATCAATGGTTATACATGTCTTTATCTGAACGATGCTTGATCTATTGCAGTACGTATCATCAGTATGACGTCGTTAGGGCTTGGTAGGTCATGTGTGCTTATGTAAGATATCTTCTTAGATCCAACAGACTGTTAAAAAGCATAACTTAACTTACACACTTATTATTGTATGTATATACGCTATGTTATAACTTCGCTGGCGTCTCTTGAATCGCCTTTGAAAAGGGCACCACTTCCACCATCGTCTTGCCCGTATTGGCACCCGCATACATATCCACCAACCCCTGTGGACAAGCCTCGAGACCACCTTTGATTATATACTCTTTCCGCTTGATCTTGCCTTCGATCAGCCATTTCTGGAGATCGGCTATAGCACTGGGGAATTTTTTGTGATAATCCAAATAGATGAAACCCTTCATCATGACTCGTTGGCCCTGTAACAGTTAGTAATCGATCGTTCAACAGACAAAGAAGGAAACGTACAATCAACATCATGATATTCCTCGGCCCCTCCGGTTTCGCCGCCGAATACTGACTGATATGCCCGCTAATCGGAAACCGTGCATCCTTCGCCGCAAGTCCCAAACAAACATCCAAAATCTCTCCTCCAACATTATCAAAATAGACATCAATATACTCCGGACAAGCCGCTCGCAGCTGTTTTTTCCAATCTTTATCCTTGTAATTGATCGCAACGTCAAATCCCAGTTCTTCTGTCAGGAAGCGACACTTATCAGGACTACCCGCGATGCCAACAACGCGTTTTGCGCCCTTGATTCTGGCGATTTGTCCCACAATCATACCCGTTGCGCCTGCCGCACCGGACACGACTACAGTGTCACCGGCTCGCATCTGACCGACTTCCAACAGACCAAAATAAGCCGTTAATCCCGTCGTACCCAACACCGCCATGGCGTCCATGGGCGAACAACCAGGGGGAACAACAGCTCTCTGTTTCGCAGCTTCCTTTGCGCCCAACAATGCATATTCCTGCCATCCCGTGACAGCAATCAGCCACTCCCCTTTTTTGAATTGCGAGGTGAGCGACTCGCCAACGTCCACGATTTGGGCGATTGCCAAACTGCGCATTACGTCGCCGAGTTCGACGGGGGCGATGTAGGATCGTTTGGCGGTTAGCCATTGGCGCATTGCTGGGTCGAGGGAGAGGTAGTGGTTTCGGACGAGGAGTTTGTCGGTTGGAATGGGTAGACTGATGGAGCTTTGGCGGAGGGAGAAGGTGCCATTGTTGCTGGAGAGGTCGGGGTTGATGGCTGGAGAGGGCGGGTGGGTGTAGATGATTTGTTTGTTTGCGATTGCCATGTTGTATATAGCTAGCCACCTGTAGGGTACGGTATATATAGAATGTAGGCATGCGAAGGAGTGGAGGGATTATTTCATTTCATTGTCGACATTTTAGAGTCGACATTCGGTAAGCGGTAAGACACTAACAAAGGACCTCGGCATGTTGTTTCATCGAGGTAGAGTGGGACAATGAAGTCGGGGATGTTGCCGGATTGAGGCTGTTCATGCGACGCTCCACGGAGAGGCCGGCTTAGTCATAATCCTTAGTCATTCAGCTTCAACGACAGGGCGACGACCTCTTGTCCAGGCATTGAACAGCAGAATAACCTCGTACGGCAGTGAGTTTCTCAATCTAGCGAGATAAGCCGCTGACAGGCCTGTTGGTGAAATAGTTGTTCATCCAAATTGGTTAATATGCAGCAGACGTCATCCAGTGACGTCAAGGTCGATCGATGATGTCGACGCAGGCCAGCTATAAGAATCACTCGGAAAGCCGCTTATCAACATATCCGTTGACTGTGAATCATACATATATGCAAACTTCATATATCATAACTACTACATCATGGCCTCATCAAACTATAATCAACCCCAACCACAACCACAAGAATACATCCCAAACCTCTTCAGCTACGAAACTGGCCCCGCCAACAATACCGCTGGCCCTCATCAGTCCGATCTCGCCAACAAACTCGATCCCAGCGTGGACAGCGACTTGAACAATCGCGCTCAATACGCTCCCGGAACAACCAGGACAACAAACACTCATCCCGGCGCAACTTCTTATACCGCGAATCCCGGAGCTCAAAACACTTTGGGACCTCACGAGTCCGATTTCAAGAATAGGATTGATCCGCGAGTGAACAGTAAAACGGGCGAGATGACAACCAAGACGACGAATAATGGAGGTACAGGTTCGAAGAAGGAGCCTGTCACTTCTGGAAGTAACTATACAAGCGGAAATCCCGGACAGACGCAGCCATCCTCATCAACCAGTCCCGGTCGTACCGGCGGCGTAGTCGGCGGTTCGTCGACGGGTGCACCTGCCGTACCGTCACCGGTCTCGACGCCAAGGGAATATAGCCGTGAGCAGTCGAGTTACAATCCTGCGACTGGGACGGGGTATACGCCGTCTCATCGACAGCAGCAGCAGGAAGCTACGCAACCTGCTACTGTGCCTGCGACAACGACTACTGGGACGCAGACTGGTTCTACCGAGGCGTCGGGAAGTAAGGGTTTAGGAGGGGGGATTAAGGGTGTTGTTGCTGGTATTCACGTAAGTTGCCCTATCTCTCAATATGAATATTGCTCTAATAAGGAATGGGGGGGTTGAAGGGCGCCGGAGAATCTCTCCGAGGAACATTCAATGCCGCCGTTGACCGCGCATTCAATGAACCCGAAGGTGTTGTCAAAAACGAAGCTATTGGCCGTGAAGGAGAATACGAGGCCAAATCAGGACAATTCGCACCTTCGACAAAGCAGCGCGAGGGATTCAACACGCAGAATGGGACTTGATTATCTATCATGTTGAAGTTTGTGTACGATGTTATGATTGCATTTAATGATTGTATTCTTGAATTAGAATGAAACTGATGGACTGATTCAATCCGTGCATGCTGACGCCAATAGTAAATCAAGGGTATCATCCATAGCCAACGCCCCTCCTGGAACCCCCATATGAATGATCACACCATCCACACATCAGCAATCTTCCGCCCTCCTTCCATATGAATACAAATTTCAATCCCGCAATCCTTCAAGATTGTTTTGACCTCGTCCAACTCAACCAATTCCGGCTTTTGGGCGAGATCATCCAGGATCGCTTTGAGTTCAGCTCTAGCGTCTGCCGCGGCAGCGCCTGTTCCTCCATTACCAGCCACGGTAGAATTGTTGGTTGCGTTGACATGCTCATCAGCAGCAATGGTAGCAGCGTAATGTTGCAATAGACTCTTGATTTCGGCGATGGTTTCGAGGTAGGTCTGTTGGTAGAGAGAGGATACTTTGTGAATCTTTGTGTCAGCTTGGGTTGTTGCTGCGACCATTTGGGTGTTGTCGTTGCGGTTGGTGTTTGGTGGGAGTTCACGAGATGCTTTGCGTTTGAGGGGATTGAGTTTCTGATTTCTTAGAGTTAGTTGTGATGCTAGTCGTCAGCGTGAAGGGAAATACCTGTTTGGATGACATCGTGCAGATTTCTGCTGCTTTTGTAGTAGAGATAGACTTCTTAATGTATCAAAGAGATAAGATTTGACGATTTAAGGATTTAACGATCAAGAGTTGATAAAAATCAAGAAGAAGAGCAGATGTGAGTGATAGCCAAAGGGTGACACGATAAAAGAGAAGTTGACCAGCCACAAGGACAGAACAGTGCCATTATTTGTTGTATAATCTGATGAATATCCATCTCAACCATAATAGGCATGTGATATTGATAATATCTTTGCAAAGACAAATAAATAATTCTAGCTACCTTCCTAATTGGGCATTCTGTGACGACTCAGTCAGTTGATGCCTCATGGATGCCTTAGAGCCTTGCACATGATCTCGATATATACAGTACCACAAAAAAAGTGTTGACACCCTCGTGCGGGTGTTACCGATATTAGGGGGTGCCAACACTTTTTTCATCCCACTGTAGTTGGAACCAAAATCATGTGACTAGCAGAATATGTCGGAACTAAAACGTAATACCATTTCACCAAAAAGGACGCCCTTAAAGGGAATTTGGTATTTTTGAGGTATTTGCGAACCGTTCCGTAGTTCGACTTCTGTATCCTGCTAGTCACGTGATTTTATTTCCAACAGAATACAGAAGTCGAACTACAGAATGGTTTGCAAACACCACAAAAAAAAACCCAGAATCCCTAAGGGCGTCCTGTTTGGTGAAACGGTATTACAACCCTGCTCACACACTTACCTTTGTTTTCCTTTCTTCTTCATGCTTTATAACTCTGTATTCTCGTCAAATTGCACCTAGCTCAGGCATAGCAATGGATTGTTATTAGATCTAGCTTGGCACCTTCACATGTCCTTTCAGCTCTATATATGATGTCATATATCATTATATATTTATATTCTCTTTTTCTTTTCTTTCTTCTTCTTCTTCTTTTTCAGTTCAAGCGATACCTTTGAATAATTGACATACAGAGAAGGGTAATATTATCTGTATGCAGCATGTCGTCACATCCCTGCCAAGCTCAACACAGCAAAACTAAGCTTTTTAGTGTCCTGGTCTGGTCTAGGAACTTATATAATATGTCGTATTACTGATCTTTCGTAATCTGTATCTCATATGCCCTCCATACCAGTCATGAATCAGTCTATACGACAAGGATATGATAAGAGAAAAGCAATGATTCATCGATCCAGCGGACCGGCAGAGGGCGGAAACGCGGGAATCGCGGGGATCCGCTATGTAGGCTGTGCAATCTATCAGATCGGGTCTTTTCTTTTCTTTTTCCTTCTTGTTTTTCTTTTCTCCCCGGAATAAGCAGACTATATAACGACTGTACATGACAGATACTTTTTGCGCTTGTTTATTTTTGTTGTTGCATCGTACAGAATAGCATCGTCTTTATGGCATTCTCCTCTCTATCGCATATACAATCAGCGGGGTTTACCTATAATATTAATCATGGAAACCGAAACAACACCAACTACACGAACCAGCGGGGAAATCCCACCTGTCAATAGTACTAATCAATTACACAAAATGGATATTCAAGCAGATATGACACCTCCGGAAAGTGGCTCGGAGCAACCGAAATTATCATCAGATTCGAATAGCGACGTGTGCAGCAGCGATGAAATCGATGAACCTGACGCAGATGATGAGGATCAGGTTAATGATGTGCTCGGGGTTAGTATTAGTCAGGTCCAGAGTCGGATGAAGGCAAGACAGACACCGGCCGAAGAAAAGAGTCGCGCGATTGAGAGCTCGGGTGGTTATTTTGATATGATACCGGATGAGCCGTCGGAACAGGATCAAAGGCAGATATTTGAGGAGCCGGAATCCATTGATGGGCCTACGACACAAAGCGATGAAAAGAAAAAGACTGAGAAGAATGGGAATAAAAATAATCGACATTCGTTTACGAGGTCTATGTTAATGTCTAGTTTATCCGGACGGAGACGGGCGTCGTCTGGTGATTCGGGGTATGGTATTAATCTGAGGAAATTGTTGCCGGACTTCAGCCTGTCGCCCAGTCGACAGAGCTCGTCGTCCTCGAAATTAGGTTCTACCGATTTAACGATCCGCTCGAGATCATCTAGTACACCGCAAGGAGGACGAGACACAGACACCAGAAATAATCCAGCTACTAAATCCTCAAGTACAATCCAATCCAATACCGACGATGGTCTAGCAGCGCTAGGCGCATTGCAAAATAGCAGAACACATTCCTATCAACAATACCCAATAGCGAAGAAACGTCCCCCCCTGAGCGTGAGACAATCCATGTCCGATGAAAGTTTATACGTGAGAAGTCTTTCCCGCGTTTCGACCTTGGAACACAGACCGCATTACGAGAATGTGCATTCGCAGGTGAACAGTCGCTACAAAGCGATCAAAGACAGTTTACAGGATTCGAGTAGTCGGATCTTCAGTATGCCGAGTTTCAATCTCCCGGATTTCAGACATGAGTGGCATCCCGGGCGGTTTTTGGGGGATTATCAGCGAAAGGATAGTGTGGGAGAAAGTACCGCTACGCCAGAAGTTAATAGTGGTGAGACCAGTGTCAACGGCAAGCCAACGACCAGATCAAATACAACTTACCCGTTACTGGACCAAGCCGCGTTCCAAATCACGGGCGACGTCGTGGTCATGGGCGGATATAGAGGCTCAATTTTGAGGTCTGCAAAACCACCCCATCGACAACTCTGGGTGCCCATGAAGGTTGGCCTAAACATCCGCAAAGTCGATCTCGAAGTCGGTCTCTCACACGAAGACGAAGAGCGCATGGAAAAAACTATCATCGCGAGGGAAGTACTCTCCCACATCGGTCCGGTGGACATCTGCCGACGATTATTGCAGCGACTAAGCAAGTTTCAAAAGTCGCGGAATGGGGATATACGCGTCTGGGATTATGGGTATGATTGGCGGTTAAGTCCGCATTTACTCTCGAAACGATTAATCAAATTTCTGGAGGGTTTGCCGTGTAATGCGCCTGGAGTACCAGTCGAAAAACGGGGTGCGTATGTGATTGCGCACAGTCTGGGAGGATTGATTACGCGTCACGCTGTTAATCAACGCCCTGATCTATTCGCCGGTGTTGTCTACGCGGGCACTCCACAACATTGCGTGAATATTCTCGGTCCCCTACGAAACGGCGACGAAGTATTGTTGAGTAGCAAAGTGCTCACTGCACAGGTCAATTTCACGATTCGAACGAGCTATGCATTACTCCCGGATGACGGAAGATGTTTTATCAATCGGGATACCAAGGAAGATTATTTGATTGATTTCTTTGACGTCAAGTCATGGGATGAATATTCTTTGTCGCCGTGTATCAGGGCACCGTTACCGCCGGCCGGAAACGATAATAAAAAAAGTCTTACCACGCTTCCACGCATCGGGCTGGGGAAGAAGAGACTTTCCGTTAAACTCGGGAAATCGAATTCCGTGTCTTCGCATCCACATGGACCACGAGCGTCTCGTGAAAAGGATCAAAGGGAGAACGTCCCCGGTGGAAGCGAAAATGAAGAAATCCCCATCGACTCCAAAACCAGCGGATCAACAGGAGGAACAACAGGCGATATTCTAGGTCCCAACACATCCAAAGCACCACAAGAAATAAACACCAACCAAGCAACTACCAGCGGTAGCAGTATTCCGTCGAATATGAACACAGGCGGAAACATCGCAGCAGCCACAAGCACAATCCCGCGTGAACAAGCGCTCGAATACCTTGACCGAACCCTCAAAGAAGTCAAACAATTCCGGCAAGAATTAACCTTTGACGAATCACATCAACAAGAAAATCGATACCCGCCATTTGCGGTGTTGTATTCCAAGGCATTACCAACCGTGTACGGAGCACGGGTCTCGTCGCGAGAGGATATCAAACGGTCCGATGCGTACGATGACCTTGCGTTTGCGGCGGGGGATGGTGTCTGTTTGGCTTCGGCGGCGATGTTGCCGAAGGGGTATAGGGTTATTAAGCATGGGCTCGTGAGGAGTGATAGGGGTCATGTTGGATTATTGGGGGATTTGGAGGGAGTTGGGCAGTGTTTGTTGGCTTTGGCGAGGGGAAGGGAGGCTGGGGTTGGGTTGGGGGTGACTAAATAGAGGTACATAGATAATACCCTGTATATAAACAAGATGATATGATGATTATGATTATGATAATAATAATGCGACTATATAAATTATGCTGATGCTTTATCGTCGAGAAAGTGGCCGGTCTCAGACTCGTCACTTGGTTTGCATGATTTATCATCGACAAAGAAGCTAAACTGCACATGCTAGGAAGGAAAGCACACACTGTGCTTTAGCTCCTATGATAGTCCTATCATAGCATCAAGATAAGCTCTTCTAGTAGCAGCAGGCAACAAAGCTTAGCGTTCTTATCAGCTGATGGTACAAAGGGCTAGAGGGTACTCAAGTATAATCTTTCCTTTCTTTTTAGTTCCAATACTTTTTTCGGTATATAATAGAAACACAGCTATCCAGCTGCTGCCTCATACTTTCCAAGGTTTAACATAGAGTCTCGACTAATATAAAATACACGTTAATTCTGTCTAGCATAGTACACAACGCACAATTCCCACTAGGACGCACAGTGAGAACCAACATCTCATTCTGCTCCCAAACCCGACTCATCTCGAATATCATAATGGAAAACAACACCGAACAACAGTATCAAGGCGAAGAAGGCCATGGTCAATTTCCCGTAGCTTCGCTTATGAACATATCCAAAAATGACGAAGAAAAAGGCAACACAAGTATTACTTTACCAATCGAATCTCCATACGCCAATGTGGTAGCTACAGAAGATTATTCGGTTTTTACAAAAAGGCAGAAACGAATGATGATTGCGACTGCTTCATTCGTTAGTTGGATAAGGTAATGACTGATACCAAAAGAAAGTGAGAAAAAGGTAGGCTGATTGACCAAGTCCATTGACCGGAGCTATTTATTATCCTGCAGTCAACCAGATTGCTGCAGACTTGCATGTTACGAATTCCAAAGTCGCGTTGACAGTTACAACATATTTAGTAAGTGCATAACACTTTGAAATACTCGTAATGGACCGATCAGAGGAAACTTCTGACACCGACAGATCTTCCAAGACCTAGGCCCCATGATGATCGTTGGTTTTTCCGATAAAGCAGGACGCAAGCCGGCATATATAGCTTGTTTCTCGATATATATGATTGCAAACCTGGCCCTAGCACTGCAGAACAATTACATTGCCTTGTTGCTCCTCCGCATGCTACAGGCAGGAGGTAGTAGTGGCACGATAGTGCTCTCGAATGGACTGGTCGGTGACTTGATTCCATCGTCTGAGCGGGGGAAGTACATAGCTTTTGCGTCGATTGGATTGATTCTTGGACCTAGTCTGTCTCCATTTCTCGGTGGAATCATCAGTGAATTTTGGGATGGCATTGGTCAGTTGATTAACTTGATTGAGGGGAAAAGTCAGGGGCTGATAACAGCAGGATCTTTTGGTTTCTTCTCATCCTCTCTGGAACTTGCTTCGTTCCATTATTGCTCTTCCTACCAGAAACATGTCGTAACATCATCGGCAATGGCTCTGTTCCTCCTCCCAAGTCGAGTTGGAATCTAAGCGATCAAATCCGTTTTCGCAATCGAGCGAAGAACGGCATCCCCGTTGACGAAGCAAAGCTGGAGGCTTTGCGGAAGAATTACAGAATCACTCTTCCCAACCCTATTTCTACACTGCTCATATTGAGAGAATTGGAGATTGTGATGTTGCTTTTTGGTAATGGTGTGGCAATGGCATGCTTCTATGCCGTTTCAACTGGCGCAGCTGGAGGGTTTCGGGGAAATTATGGGTTTAATGAACTGCGGATTTCTCTCATGTTTGTATGTCCCCTCTCTCGACTTTGCTTGACATCACTCGCAATCTCTTATGGGCGACTGCGTGCACTAACGTATTTTCAAGCTTCCCATTGGTGCCGGTGGTATAGTCTCAGCCTTCACAGCCGGCTACCTCGTTGACTGGAACTACCGCCGCCATGCAAACCGCCTAGGCTACCCCGTGCACAAGAACCGGCAGACCGATCTAGCTCATTTCCCCATCGAAGTAGCACGCATGCAGATCGCTGTACCACATTTCTTCCTCGGTGCTGCGGCAATGGTAGGGTACGGATGGGTCTTGGCCTCTAACGTCTCCTTTGGTGTTCTGATCGTCTTCTTATTTCTGATCGGGTACACAACTGACGTAGTAGGCCAGACGGTGATGGTTCTCTGTGTGGATATTAATCCTGGGAAACCGGCCAATGTGTCAGCTGCGAATAACGTGGTGAAATGTCTGGTTGGAGCTGCGGCAAGCGCGGCGATTGTGCCCATGAGTCAGACGATTGGGTATGGGTGAGTAGCTTTTCCATTTGACAATTAGACTCTTCCTGATGTGTCAATGCTGGGGAGTTAGCTGGGCGTATACCATCCTCGGAGTACTGTTTTTGACTAGTAGCTTGGGGCCGATTGCGAGTATGAGTTATGGAATTGCGTGGAGGCGAGCGAAGAAGGAAAGAGATGATCGCAAGGCGGAGGCAAAGAGGCCTAGTTAGGAAGGGAAGTAGTATGTTGAACGTGAATTGGAGGCTGATAATTGCTCCGAAAGACCAGAGCACTATATTTGCAATTGTACAGTGGTGGGAAATGCGTTATTTCTAGGTCCAAGGCTTGTGGATTATACTGGATAGAATCTATCTAGAACTTGTAATATTTAGCGGAAAGGACCTTCAACAGACGAACATCGACAGACTAAGCCGGATCAACCTGAATGGCCCTAACTTTCCTAATCCTCCCCTTGAGAAACAACTCCGTCGGTGTGGCCCCAACTTCCCTAATTATTTGCCCATCCTTCAACATCCACTCCCTCTCACCATGCTCCCCACCAATCCGTCGAGCAATCACCTTACTAGGCCAGACCTTGGCATCCAGCGCCGGCCCCTTTTCACTAAACTTATTCAACCTCCTATCCTTGACCGATTCATGAATCCACTCATTCGTATACCCAACCTGATCATTCCCATCCACATACAGCAGCGGTGTACGATTCCCCTTGCCAAATACAAGAGCTTCCACATACTGCGTAAATTTCCAATGATCCTCCTGCCCGAGGCTGGTTGTCCAGGGCCTGAGGGCAGATTCTCGCAATTGTTCCGACGATACTTCCGCTGCCGGGTCATGAAACAGATACGTAAGGTCAAAATCCAACTGCTTATCCTTACTGGCATGCGCAATCATCCACGCAAGCGCAATATCAGATAATCTCGGATCCTCCGCGCCACCGCCAACATCCGCGTGCGCCCCCGAGAACCAAACCTGCAGTAATTCCTGATCCGGAACTCTTTGTGGCGTATGCCATAATGTAGGCTCAAACGCTTTTCTGCGTTCGTCGAGTGCCAACGCGTGAAACGCATACCTTACATCTGGCGACAAGATCGTATTCGGCAACTCAAACTTCTCTCCAAAAATCTTAGATGTGAACCTAAAATCGTGAAATCCCACAGTGTCAAACACGCCGATGACACGGATTGTGAATCGCGGTAATTTATCGCGAAACCCGAGTTTGCGACGCATATCTTCGTCGTCGTCGTAGCTTAGACGTTTCTTTTTGTAGTAATCATGATATATTATAGGGAAATTATCCATGCCACGCGGAGTGAGTAATCCCATATCAGCTACCAAACCTGCCACAGCGCGTGCTGTATAGGCACCGCGCGAAAAGCCAAAGAAGAAGAGTTCATCGCCTGGTTCGTAGTTTTCAGCTAGAAAGGCGTATGCTGCACGTACATTGGCGCTTAGACCAACTCCCGTGAGGCCTGTCCTCGTCAACTTCATTTGTCCTTTCTTTGGTTCAAGAGAAGAGACACATACCGCCGAGATACTGATCCAAAACGCCGGTTCCGACACCTTTTTGGTAATATGTGATTTGCGGGATGAGGATTTTGTCACCGTTCGCATCTATGATTTCGGCATGCTGTCTTATTGACCGGGCTATGCGGGTTATGTTGCTTAACGGATTGTCGATTTCGTCTGAGGTGCCGTCTTCCCATGTTCCTAGGAGTTCGTATGGTTAGTTAGGGTTACACTGGGATGAAATGGGAGGCGTACCGTCGCAGCAGACGATTAGGCGCTTGTTTAGGGATACTCGAAATTTTAGCTCTGATGGGTTTCCCATCGTTTCAGTATTTACTGTTGATAAGAATATTAAACTACACAATAATCAAACCATGAGCAAACCAGGCTTTATTTATGCCCCTAGACTAGCACCAGCATTAGTCTAAGCACGAACCATTCCATGTGGAGTCCCTAAATTCTCCAAAGCGATCGATCGCCTGCATCAGCTATTCAATATTTCGATCTTTTCCCATGACGATCCCAGCTGAAGAGCCGTTCATAATCAGCAGACCTTCCCTGATGTAAATTCCGTAGAATTGATTGGCTCAACACTGCATTCAGGCCGGTGGTTCGCTGAAACTCAGCTGAATAGCGTGCGTCTTTAGGTAGTTTTAAACTTCCCCTAGAAAGTGAGGCCAAGTGAATAATTTTAGGGCTTGCCAGCTTGGGGGTCTGGGCGGAGTCTGAGGACTGGTCCACTGCGGCATAGCCCGTGGGCTAAAGTCATCTATAGTTGGTGGTTCTAACTTCTTCCCGGAACGGTGATTGATCTGATTTGTTTAGTCGGTTGACCGACTTGTCAAGTCGAAGATTAGGAAACGTGCCAGTGTGGAAGATATGATTTGTATGACTCTGCCTACGGAGTGCATGGAATACGAAAGTACTCTGATAAATATGCAATGCTGCAGCAATCGAACTCGTCTTACTTCTATGCCATGACTAATCAGAGTACTAGGCAAACCTTGGTTACCATCATAGCGATAATCTATCTATAGCTGAGCAATAACCTTGCAAGTTCGCGCTTCGGGGTAAGACGAAGCTACTTTCCAGTCTATACGTAAAAGCTGAGGTATATGGGTAGCTGAACGTACCTGAAGATTGTAGCTGACATACGGACATTATTGATCATTCGTAATGTCAATTTGAAGTTCATTCCTGTCAGGCAGTTACACTTCTACTTGCACAGCTTGTTCCTCTAATCCTTTTTTGGTTCAAGTCCGTGGAACCCGAGTAGGCCAGCCGCAATGTGGTATATGCTTGACAACTCGGTTCACGTACAGACCGCCAAGAGTGGATGGTTCCTAGTTCCTACTGCTGATGGACTTTATAAAACTATGGTGCAACTATACTTACGTACATTCAGTACTTCAGTACTGCCATCAGATGAGTAATCCCATATATCACGGCAACTATCCATAGATGGTTTCAAATACTGTCAATTCTTTGGAGTTCCCCTGACCGTGAATGTGCAGTGCTATCTACTGTATCGAGAAGCAGAGAAGAGGACAGGAATCAGTCGGCCGAAAGGCGAAACTGGTATCACGATGCTCAACATCTCGGAAAGGTCACTTTCCCAATTTGGCAATTGTAAAGTGTGGGGTAAGCATCCCCGCATTTTCTCTTCTTCATAAATGAGAGAAGTGATCCATCATCCCGTTTATTCTTCAATCAACCTTGGAAGAACCATCACAATGGCTACTCCCTCCAAAGATCGAGTTGAGCCAGGCTCAGTCAACATTCCAATCGGAAAGTATCCATCGACAGTCCCATTAGACCCGTCCGGGTCACCACCGGCGGTAGAAATTGCCTCCAAACTCGTGGAAGACTTCAATCAAGCCCTGGCCAACAAAGATCCTCACGCCATCTCCCAATTATTCTTTCCAACCGGTTATTGGCGTGACCATCTCGCTCTCTCATGGGACTTTCACACGTTATCTGGCCGAGAAAGTATTGCCAAATTCTTGAGCACGAACGGTATACGAATTACCAAAGTCGAGCTTGATATATCAACGGCTGCTCGAACACCGCATTTTGGACCTATCGACGGCGGGCTGGGAGAAGCCAATGGCGTGGAATTCTTTATCAAATTTACGTCTGATATTGGGTCTGGAAATGGCGTGGCGAGGGTAGCTGAAGAATCCGCCGGACAATGGAGGTTCTTCTTGCTGTCGACTACACTGTCTGAATTGACCGGTCACGAACGCCGGATCAATCGGCTTAGGCCAAAGGGGGTGGAGCATGGAGGGGATCCCAACCGACAGAATTGGAAAGAGAGACGTGCTGCAGAAATTAACCTTGAGAATAGGCAGCCGCAGGTTATTATCATTGGTAGGTATATCTTCAAGCACTCATTATCATATAACTAATGTAGACATAGGTGCCGGCCAAGCAGGACTGACTGTCGCTGCATCGTTGAAATTGCTTGGCGTTGAAACTCTCATCATCGACCGCGAGGACCATATTGGCGACAATTGGCGAAACAGATATCGACATCTCGTACTTCATGATCCCGTCTGGATGGATCATTTACCCTATATGCCCTTCCCGCCAACATGGCCCATCTTCACACCCAAGGATAAACTTGCAGATTTCTTGGAGTCATATGCATCGTTCCTTGAATTGAATGTATGGACAAAGACGAATTTGACTTCATCATCATGGGACGATAGCACAAAACAGTGGGCTGTGACAGTCGAAAGGCAGAAAGAAGACGGGAGCAAAGAATCTCGCACTTTTAAACCACATCATGTTATTCTGGCAACTGGCCATTCGGGTAAAAAGAACTTCCCTACCATCAAAGGCATGGACTCTTTTGCAGGTGACCGACTTTGCCATAGCTCCGAATTTACTGGTGCGTTCTCTCAGACGGATTCAGCAAAGCCGAAAAAAGCTGTTGTCGTTGGTTGCTGCAATTCAGGCCATGATATCGCGCAGGACTTTTACGAAAAAGGATACGATATCACCATGGTACAACGCAGTTCGACTCTAGTCGTCTCATCTACTTCCATCCTCGCAGTGTACGTCAAAAGTCTCTTTGACGAAGACGGTCCCGCCACCGAAGACGCGGATTTATGGATTCAAAGCTTTCCCGCTGAAGTTTTCAAGGGTATTCAAATCAAAGCCACAGATATAGCCGCCACCCAAATTGACGCCGAAATCATTAGCGGTCTCGAAAAAGTCGGATTCAAAGTAGACCGTGGTCCCGACGACGGCGGCATCTTTATGAAATATTACCAGCGTGGCGGAGGATACTACATCGACGTCGGAGCGAGCCAGTTAATTATTGACGGTAAAATCAAGATTAAACAGGGACAAGAAATCACTCAAATCTTACCGCATGGTATTGAATTTGCCGACGGCTCTGTCCTGGAGGCTGATGAAATCGTGTTCGCTACGGGATACCAGAATATGCGGACAGAGGCGAGACATATATTCGGTGACACCGTTGCGGATCGTTTGGGTTCTGTTTGGGGATATGATAAGGAAGGAGAGTTTAGATCTATTTGGAGACCGAGTGGACATCCGGGGTTTTGGTATATGGGTGGTAATCTGGCGCTGTGTAGGTATTATTCGAAGTTGTTGGCTTTGCAGATTAAGGCTATTGAGGAGGGGCTGAATACGGTTCAAAACTAAGCCATGGTATCTTCATTCAGAAGTCTATTCTCCCGAGAAATACCGATTATACCTGGTTACTGTTTTCGCCAGAGTTTACGCCTCTGGACTCTGTATCCTCTTCACCGTTCTGATTCTCAGCCTCTTCTATCTTCTCCTTGAACGTAGTCGGATGTCTCTGCCACGTCCCCAGGACACATATCAATGCCAACCCCGTAATACCCATATTAATGTCCAACTGCGTCACAAACGCATTCGCAAATGGCCTCCGTACAGTCTCCGCCTGTTCCGGCGTAAGTAATGTCATGGCAAGCAACGAATGTCGTAAACTATCAATCTCGTCTGCTGGCACAACACCTCGTAGGTCAGAGATGAGATTTTGATTCAGGACAATGGTGGCAATGGCGAGGCTGATGTTTCCACCTAGAAGGCGGGCTTGGGACATTAGACCTTGTGCGGATGCTTCATATCATTAGTCTACCCAGCAGGAATTGTTAGTGATTGAGGGGAAGAGAATACCGGAATCTCTCTGATCAGCATGAAGTTTAATCAACACTATCGTTGTGGAGAAAATCATTTTAAATCCAAAACACATCAAAACCTCGAGACCGTATATTTTTACTGGAATGGAATGACCGGAGTTGATAGTGTGCATTATTCCGGTGCCGAGCATGATAAAACTGCAGCCGGCGAGGAGGGTGTAGAAGGTATTATTTCTTTTGACCGATGCTGTGCCGCCGATAAAGGAGCCTGTATCATGTTAGTAATGAGAAAGGGGTCTGAGGAGGATGGCAGCTGACCGAATGCTGACGGCCCTGAGAGAGCTAGAAGGGATACGCCGGCCATCTATGCAGAATCGCCATTGACGATTTGAAAGCGTTCTGGGAGTTGGATTAGGATAGAATAGAAGACGAATCCGACGCATGTTGATACTCTGCTCTCATCAGTCTCTTCTTCGGCGAAGATTTGGAGGTCTTACAGTATGGTAGACAACATAATCCGATGCGTAACAATTCTAGCCGGGAACAGTGGAATAGTCGAATGTTTCCCCTTGGAAAGATAGGCAATCCACAACGCAAAAGAGGCAAATATCACCCCGGCGAGAATCATACAGGCGATGAACGCAGCCGAGTTCCAGTTCATTGACCCACTACCGCCTTCTTGTAATGCGGTGATGAGTAGTGTGCAAGAAGCGAGATATATCAAGCAGCCAAAGAGATCAAATTGTTTCCAGGTAATGCGTCCTTGGTATTTGATATTGGGACACAAGAGGAGAAGAAGCAGAAGAATAGTGCCGCTGATGGGGATGTTGAACCAGAATACCCAGCGCCAGGTGGAATGAGTTGTTATGATGCCGCCTACGACGGGGCCTCTGCTCATCATGATCAGTAAGTTATAGAGACAAGACGCAGAGAGGGAGTCAGAACGCGTACAGAACAGCAGATATAACAGTCACACCCCCAATCAAACCACTCATCACGGCAATCTTCTCAGGGGGGGGTGATCTCTGGTAAAACTATAAGAGCCATGGAATATAACCCTGCACCACCAATACCTTGCAAGGCGCGAAAGGCAATTAATTGTTGGATTGTCTGCGCGCAACCGCAGCCTATTGAAAATGCTGTAATGAACGCCAAAGCCTATTCTTTTGTCATTATCACTGCATGCCGGGTTGAAAGAGGCGAAAGACGTACGGCAATAGTGGCCCATTTCCTACCAATAACGTCACTTATTCGAGAAAATGCTAGTGCAACTCCTGTCGGTATGCAAATCAGCAAGTTTCATAACTAAATGTGAAGAGAGATCAGGTATAGATGTACCAAGATAAGTCAACATATAAGCCAACACCACCCACTGGATGTGCATAAAGTCATTGAAATGGTCGCCAATAGTGACAAGGGCCGTGGAGACGGCCGATGAGTCCATAATACTCAGGATAAGTCCGAGATAGAGACTCGATTGGAGAAGGTAGAGACGCCATCCGTACAGATACTGTCTTTGCTTCGTCGGTTCATCATGCTGCTGAGAGGATGACGGCTCTTCATTGGGGACAGTGGGTTCTGGGACTTGATCTGGTACCCTTATTTTCTCCATAATAATGTGCCTCTGCCAGGATGCTGATATAGTATAGAAGGAGATGTTAGACCGATTCAGAAGATGAGGTTGTATCAGCTGCTCAGGAAACCGTATACTGTATCTGGCTAGGATACGAGCACATATCAACTGAACATAGTATTAGTCGCAACCTAGTATATAATTAGATACCGAATTATAAAGAAAACAATTCTAAAACTCCGGTGGGCCATCACGACTATATAGGGCCAAAGGATCAGTCTAACCCAATATGGAGTCCAGTGCGAGATCGAGTCAGCCAACGCAAGACATTCGGCGTCGTTCAGCCAGTCAATCACTGAAATTAGTTCCTGGGATTGGAGGAATGTCGGATTATATAAGGATTTTTGATAGGATGTGTTAACCATATGTTTAGGACAGACACCGTATGCTATGGATTTATGTAGCCCTAATTACCCAAGTACGGATTAACCCTGAATAACCCTAAGATGGTATTTACCCATCGAGGCCTGTCGGATTGGTGTGTTAACTCCGGTCCAATCCTGAGAAATTGTTTACAAGGATGGTAAAATAAGAAGTGACTAGCAAGATTGTGTATGTATTCTCCTTGTCTGTCCTCTCCGAGTACATCAGGTTCCAAAGCCGGGTTTATATAGATATTTTGCCAAGATGTGTAACAACTAACAGAGTTGGGGTTCTAACTGTTCCAAGGAATACGGTCATGATGTCTCAAGTCGAGTTTCAGGTGCACCAGGTGAAGTTTTATATGTTTGAGGATGGCCTTTTGGATTCTATTCCTCGTTGGAAATCCGGATTATCTGACAAGGCCCGAATCTTTGAGCATCATTCTTCCGAGTGACAGATTCAGATCTTTGTCTCGAAACAAAGAGATTGAGCGGATTTGAATTTATCTATTTATTCATGTAGATTGGCAGACTGACTACGCAATTTACTAGTCATATAGCTAGTGCAATCATTTGCCCTGAATCTTTCCGGTGTATCTCCTTGATTCCGCCAATGCGCAGCCTTGAAGGCATCCAATTCCTTAAGGGCGAGACACACACGTTTGACATTAGGCACAAAGTCCAAATCCAATCTGTACACCACAAGCTGATCAACTGTAGGAACTAGCACCACATCCGCCATGGAGATAGAGTTGCCAAAGGAATAAGACTCTCTTTCTGAGCCTTGCTTGACCAGCAAATCCTCAAAAGCTTCGAATCCATCGATAAAAGACGGATGAGCAAGGGCAACCTGGTCGTCGAGACTTTCTCGCAGAGCTCTTACCCGCTGCACGATACGGAAGTTTGTCGGGAGCTGTGTATCAATAGTGATGATATTGGTCAAGTCGCGTACATACACCCGATCCGACATTGCGCTGACGGGCGGAAGTAGTGGGTATCATCTGTCTGGGAAACATTCCTCAAAATACTCTAAAGTAGCCATGGACTGTCGGATGATAGTCTTTTCGCCTCCGTTGCGCGGAGTGATCACCAATGTGGGCACGCTAGTACTGGGGTTGAGGTCGTTTTTATATCCGTCTGTACGGTGCTCTTTCACGCTAAAGTTGAGATAGGAGTACTCGAGGTCAATGCCCTTGAGATGAGCGGCGATGATAATCCGTTGACAGCATGAGGAACGGTAATAGGAGTAGAAGTGAAAGGCGGCTTCAGTATCTATGACGAGTTTGACTGGTTTAGTTGGGATACAAAGAATAGGAATTGTGTTGAGTATGAGATTTGGGAAACGGTCTGTTTGTAGAAAGGCCGGTCGAAGAGTTGGTGAAATAGATATGCTGCTGGTTTATAATTGGCTGGCAGATTGATCGAAAAGTGCCATCAATAAACCCCCAGATTTTTCCTGACCCTATATTGAGCCCCTGTGCGTAGAATTGTATCATTAAATATCACTGAAATATAAAACATTGATCTGCCAAAAAATGTTTCGAGGTCTTCATGCCTTCGAGGTCATGCAAGGCGTGCAAGCAGTATAGAGAACGCAAGCTCCGGAGAGGCAGTTAATTGATTGCGAAATACTATTTCTTCAAGCTTTAGGAATGACCGCATTGTAATTTTCTCATTCCAATTAAACCTAGTAAACCATTAGTAGACGATTGCTAACTACAAAGACATTTCCAAACCGAAGCATGGAGCGGATTGTAGCATCTGGGTATGTCGAGAGGCTGTAATCGAAACGTCTATAGCGCACCATTCTGAGTGAAATCTGCTGTCGCCGCCATTTTGTATAGATTGCCAAAATCAAGATAAGGAAAGGAGCTGTTTTCGAACTATCGATCCGGCCATTTTTTTCAAAGAAGGCCAAGTAGGGTCGATGAAGTTTTATAATTCCTGAATAATAGCTTTCTATCAGATATAGCAAAGGCTTGGCACGCTTGCCTATTAGGATTCTGCCGGTTTTTCCGAGTTGTAATTTTCACTTGTAATTACAGGCTGCTAAAACTCTCCAATATGAGGTCAGCTCATAACATGAGTCTACCCAAAACAGATACCGTGGTTAAGAGCAAGCGAAGTTCACATACCCAATTAATTGAATCGCGATATAATGAATAAAGTCAACCAATCACAATCCGACACGTTTTATTATATAGGAGTTGAAAAAAGCGGTAAATATATAACCCAATCAAAATGTGTTCGTGGCGATAAGTGAATATATTACGAATAATACAACATCGAATTCAGTCTTAACGACGGAGTGCTCGATTAACTTATCTGTGGAGTTTATCGCGACGTCGGAACTCCCCAATTCCTTCAAATTTCCTCAAGACACCTTGCAAATACTTCAACTTCGAGAGATAACACTGAAGTAAGAACAATATGCCAACCGATACCCTCAATATCATCGTTCTCGGTGCTGGGGTGGCAGGTCTCACGACTGCTCACAGCCTCCTCGCCAAATTCCCATCTCACCTTTCTGTCAAACTAAACCTCACCATCATCGCCAAACATCTTCCCGGCGACATCAATCAAACAGAATATTGCTCTCCACAAGCAGGCGCGAATTGGCGCTCCTTTGAGAAGGAACTTAACCAATACGGCCAGTATGATAAAGTTGCCTTTGAACGCTTCCTGCAAATCGCGCGGGAATCACCCGAAAGTGGAGTGAAGCGATTCCCCTTGAGATTGGTGTATGGCGATGAAGATGATAAGCGGAGAGAAGAATTTTGGTTTGAGGAGTTGGTTGGTGGGATTGTTGATGTTCCGAAGGACAAATTGCCGGAGGGAGCTTCGTGGGGTGTTGATTTGGAGACGTTCATATTCAACCCGGTTATATACTGCAATTGGTAGGCTTATCGTGTAGGCTTGTGAGGGACCAAGCTAATATTACGTAGGTTATTTGCAAGTCTGATCAAGAGAGGTGTGAAAATTATTAGACGCTCTTACGATCATGTTGATTCTGTGGTATCTGATTTTCCAAATACGACTGCCATTTTCAATTGTACAGGATTGGGCTCGAGGTATCTCGGTGGTGTGAAGGATAAGAAAGTGCACCCAACAAAGGTTAATCTTTCCTACAACGCTCTATCCCGTGATTTCATTGACTAACACCATTACAAGGGGCACACAATACTGATATCAGAACCCAAGAAACCTCTTGAAAGAATGTACGTCTGGACCCAGCCTTCCATTTTCCCACCCGGAGAATTCTCGCACGTCTTTCCAAGACCACTTGGCGGTGGAGTCATCATCGGTGGCGTACGTCTAGACGACGATTGGAACGACTCCTTTGATGAGTCACGAGTCGAGCGAATCAAGCAACGAGCTTGTCAACTTGCCCCTGAATTGGGTAAACCGGAGGACCTGCAGGTAGTGCGGAACAATGTTGGCTTGCGACGTAAGTGAAAATGTTTGTGCTGATTGAAATATTGGTGTTTTTGACAGCACTGACGAGTCTTATGGATCCAGCGAGCCGCGAAGGTGGCGCAAGAGTTGACATTGAAGATCGAAATGGGGCGTGGCTGGTCCATAATTACGGTGCTGGTGGTGCTGGATATCAATCTTCGTGGTATGTCGCACAGGAATTGACAACTCGAGAAGACCTATATGCTGACTCGAAGAGCAGGGGCATGGCCGAGCATGCGGTTTCATTGTTTACTCAGAAGTTGGGATTGAGTCTGGATGCCAAGCAGGCAAAGCTGTGAGAACAGGAAACCTATCGGTAAGGCTAAATAGGCACCCCCATGTTTTCACCGGGTTCCCCCTTCTACATGAAACAAAGTCCAGCCGCTTGCATATATGATACATGATGACATCGGCCCTTACCTGTGTGTGCAGAGTCATGTCGGTGTCTCTAATGTGGAAATGTTCAGCAATTACCTCTCCTAATAATAGCAGAGCTAATTATATCATATCAAACAATGAAACCTGCTCTGATTCAAATAGGAAGTCATACTACAGAACATTCTTTCACAGAGGTCGGTGACCCTTTAGGGCTACCGAGGCAGAAGGTTTTAATGAGATCAACAGGACGTCAATATAAGGGTCTTACCGATCCGATCAGACCCGCTACTTTAATTCAAAAGTGCATTCTGATCGTAATGCAATTGGATCTCATCGGCCAGTGCTGACACCCAATGACAGGATGACGAAGAGCTTTTGATACCGAAGCATTTCATCGGGTATACCCAGTACTCCAGGGTATGGCCATTCACAAAATCCCTGCACATCCACGTGAGTTTCTGGGTGGATTCTTTGAATTTAAATCTCCAGGACGCCCCATCCAGAGTGTGGTTTTGTTTGATATCAGCCCTTTGAGCCTACGCCCAGCTATGTTGTCTGGATGCGTCTTTTGTGTGAACTCAACCATCATTATGAGAGTGGCGATGTCTTTTCCACTGACCAGGATATTCTATTAGGCAATCTTTTGTTCTATATTTGTCTCTCACTGGTGGAGATCATAAAACACGCCTTTGTTCATTGTTTGATATAGACGTCACTACTTCATGTCATTGTCTGATAACGGTGAAGAATTTTTTTGAACATAATGCTATCCGAGAGAAATGGATTCTGCCTAGGGGCCTGACTTGAGCATAAATAGAGCCTTGCTCCCCCTTCCTCGACTTGACTTTTCTTCCTCATCATAATCCCCCCCAAAAAAATCAAACCTCCTTTTCCTTTCCTTCCTTTCTTTTCTTTCATTTCTTCATGTATCCTTTCTTCTTCTCTTTCTTTACTCCATCTATCCTTGAGGCTACATGGCATATCTTCATCCACTATCACTTCACATTTTATGTATCCCCAGTCATGTTTCTACAATCATGTTTCTCTAATAATGTACCACAAGAAATACCCAAAACTATGCTTGCTTATCCTGTTTCCACAGCCATGTATTCCCATGATCGGAGAAGATCCATTTGACGCTATCACATATGGAGCAAAAAGAAAAGATGGCAGGTAAGTCAAGCGCAAGAACATCTTTTTCCAGATTCAATAGCTAATATACCTCAGGACCAGTTGCTGCACCAACATTTGGACGCAGCCAACAGAGCTGGGGTTCCCTCTGTTATTCATTATTGCAATCTGTAGAAAGCTCATCGAGATCCATTTAGGAAATTCTCAAGCCCACTTCTCAATTGCAATTCAATCCACGACAAGAAGCACGTCCATAAGTAAGTAAAGAGCAGTCCCCTATGGCTTAGAGTCCGAGAGAAGAATTCTGTTTATAATGAGTTACCATAGCATGGCAAACTTTTCTTACCACTGCGAATCTATGCTGCCTAAGGAAAGAAAGTGACATAAAGCTTCTTGTCCAAGATCCAGAATATACACTTACCGACCCTGAGTCCTCGGCAATGGATCTCTGCGTGATGTCTTGGCTGAAGAAGTGATTGAAGACACTAGTACAATGGCGTTGCCAACTGACTAGAGAGAAATTTATGGGTTGTGTTTTGAATTCGCCCTGAAGAAAGTGACCAAGACCTTCTCCTATATCATTACACATTCACTTCGCGCTCGAATCCGTACATTGTTTCGTCGATGATGTGCTTCAAAAAAATTACTTTTGCTGAAGCTGAGGATTGCGAAGCTAACAGACCTTCACCTCATTTTCTCTTCATCTGCTGTTCCATCACAGTATTCCTTCATTCCATACGATGCCTTTCCCAGAAGATGAACAGAAAATGTAGAAATCTCATTTTGGGCTCGTATCCGGTCATGCAGACTTTCTTGAATTAGAAGTCTGCCTTCGTTTCGGTGAGTACTTCATTTCCTTGCATCGATTATCGCTTCTCTTCCTCACACACAAAGTAACTCGTTTGTAGGCTATGGGAGGTAGATGGGGGCTCATATCTGGTCATGCAGACTTTCTTGAATTAGAAGCCAATGCCTTCGTTTCGGTAAAGTACATTTTAATTTCTTGCATCGATTATCACTTCTCTCTCACACAAACTAACTTGCTTGTAGGCAACGGGGGCCAACGATGTATGGACCGATGAGAAAACATTTATTGCCTTTGTCTTTTCGACGAATCGCAAGAAGCTCGCCTGCTGAAGATTATTCACTGAATTCATCATCGAATCTGCAAGCACAACATTAGCCACACCAGCCCTTTCATGTGGCGGACGGTTATTGTCTTGTCGCTCCATGACCTATTTGATAGAAACAGTGTCCTGTTGAGGCAGTCAACTACAGCGGCGAACATGGAGGAAGAACAAGTGCGTCAACTTCTGTCGCATGGTGTCTCGCTGAACCATTTCCCACATATCCTTGTAGCCGACACTTGACTTCAATCCTAGACAGAATGATCTCATCAGCAGGAAACAGGAAGGAACTGGAGAGCGGCTAGTCGAAACAAGTGAATATCAGGAATGGCCCTGGGGATACCATGCTCCGTGCCCAATGGTCTCTGCAATATGAGCCGGCCACAGAGAGGGAGAAGAAGCACAGCAAAATTGGCATGGCTTTAGTGTTCAAATAATTTGGACCTTTTTATCGATTTATGCCTCATCCGTCCTCACTGTCAACGCCACTGGCAGACTTCAGTCGAATCGAAGGTTACTACAACGTCAATTCATGGATGGACTGAGGTAGACAAGCGCTGTGAGAACCAAAAACAGGCTCTCTACCCCTCCGGCTGTCCTGAGGACAATGACACCGTCGAATGTCGTCTCATGGACTTCCCTTAGTTCCAACTGCGTTGGATGCTTGGCGCTACTGCCTTGTGGACGAACATGCAGGTTAATATCGGCCTTCGCAACTGGGGACGCATGTCGCCGTATTTTTCGCGCCACATGGCTGCGTGTGTTGTTGGGTACGTCTTCTTACATGATTTATCAATGATCAGTGATTCAGTTGCTAATCGTTTGAACAGTCTGACTATTTTACTCTGATAGCATGGACTTGGTCACTCTCATGTTCGCGTCCATCAAGGTGTGGTTGAGTGTTATCAGTATCAGCTGCATGTTGTGTGCCTGCCTCGTAAGTACTCCATGGCACGAGCATTGATAGGTGACCTAGTTGCTGACTAGTTCCTGACAGCTCATTCTTGATGGCAGAATCAACCGCCGCCAGTGCGAACTATTTCTGACGGGAGGTAGTTCGTATCCATATGTGGACTTGCGGCCATTAAAGAGCTTCTTCCCAGCCGTATATACTCTCCGATAGAGTCAACGATTGATATTCGATCTACTTGCGTTCCAGCTGTTAACTCTCAACCCACCAGGTATGAAGTGCAACGTCGGTCCAGAGAATAATATAACGGACTGCCTCAACTACCGGTTCCTGGCGATGAGATTCTTGCCGTAAGTAGTTCTTCAATCAAAAACATCGATATGTGATTTCATTACTGACTCTTGTTTGAACAGTCATTGCAACCAAATTGTTTAATGTTGAAGGATGGTTTGCCCACCCCTGAACGGCTAATACTTGAACCAAGCGATTATTCGTCGATAGCGCGAGTATACGCCGAATCAGACAGTTCAGAGGCGATACCTTGCCACTTTCATCCCGCAAAATGCAAGGGCGAGTCTGACGGCACCTTCAGGGGTGCGGCCGAACATCTTTGGACAAGACACCCCAAAAAACCAAATCTATTGGCAGTGCTTTCTAATTGTATCTATTATCGACATCAGTCCGTCCATGTACTACCACATCCATGAACATCGGTACAACTTTTGTCACCGCTGTATCCGAGCTCAACACTGTTTCGAAACAAGCATAGTCATGCTACGATCCTACCAGGACCATTCCTTTGTGTTTTTCACTTACAGAATCCTGGAAATGTCATAGTGGAGGTCGAATCTGGTCCAGTCACTTTCCAGAAGGAAAGTCAGTTGATCAGCTCCGGTACCGACAAACGCCACTGGCAGTGGCGCGTTGTCTTAAAGAATGGTTGCTTCAGTTTCAGGAACATGTATTCCAGTGGCCTGCTCCAAATCGCAAGCAGCAACGCCAATGTAATCGGCCTCTTGTTCAAAACTGGACCGGATACAGATGGACCAAGGGCAAGGCTCTGTGTCGGCGAGGAATCGGGTAATGGTTGCTTCAACTGCTCTGCAAGCAGTTTCGAAAGTAGAACGAGGCTTTTGATCCAGTTGCATTCCTTGATCCCGCCTGGTATGATGCCTCTCAAAGGTTTCCACTTTTCATCCGCACAAAATCAGCATCCGCCAAAATCTGCCGAGTCGAGTTGTGCGAAGGACTCACTTGGCTGCGCAAGATTGTGAGTCCAAATCCAACAAGGACTTGGGAAGGAAAGCGTTCTCGAGGCAGCTATTCGCCACCGTGGAGATCTCTCTGGGTCAAGCCCAGACTACCTATGCATGATCGTAGGTTATTCACGCCTCTTCAACTTTGGAAATGGACGACACGCAGTCAGTGGACTTCGTCCAGGATGCACTACTGCTCCTGGGCGATGTCCCATTCGATCCCCAGCATCACTGTTGCTTTGCAGGCGAGGAGTTGGATCCAGAGTCTTCAATCACCAGCAAGCTCTGATCTGTGCGTGGTTCTCTGTTCTACAACATGATCATGAGTATTTTCGCAAGACACTGGAAAATTCAAGTCGAGCACCACGAAACGATGTTTTTTAGACTTGGGTACATGCCCCGATCTTGAAGGGCTCCGAACTGATGATCGAATACAAGCTTTTGAATGGTCAAAATCTTCGTCAGAAGCTGCCTGCTAGACGCATTGGCGAAGGTCCATGTTTTAACAACACGTACACTGAGCTTGAAGCATGGTATTCGCTTAGGGCACTTTGAACGGTTCCTTGCTTGGAAAAGATGATACGGCCACCCGGACTAACAACTAGCGATGAGCGCTCGAGATACTTGGGTGGGAATACTGCGGCTGAGTCTTCCAGTATGCTTCGGCCATTCTGTCCGAAAATCACGACGGCCACCATATATGGTCACGCAAAAAAAAAAAAAAAAGGAAAGGAAATATGTCCGTTTACTACTAGAAAAGCTGATGGCTTCATCGTGATTACGCCGTTCACAGCACCTCTGGCCGGTCGTTCTTACCTTATCACCAGCCGGGCTGGTTCCAAACAATATGTCTTGGTCAAAATGTTCCGTTATCAACAGGATCA